AATGAACAAGGGCCCGAGCAAGTAACCATCCTTACCCACCCTTGGCCCTTGAAGGAGAAAGGAGGGGGAGAGCTTCCTCGCAGTAGGGTACAACGGGATTGGAGCCTGCGCAAGTTGACTGTGCCGTAAACATGGTCGATGTTGTCTAACCAATCTGGTCTCAAGACCGACTTCTCCAGTTATATTGATCATACTCCATCGTCGTCATCTTCGCGTCAGTGATACTGTGTAATTGAAAACAAAGGTAATCTTGCAAAAAATGTTGTAGCTGTTTAGGAATGGTATGGCTGCAGTCTCTCCACTTGGTGAGCTTTCGGCTCCGGACATCGCCCTGACGAGTACTCAGCAAAACAACTGCGATTAGTTCCAACGAGAATTCGCTAACGAAGTTGAAGTAAGCAGTATAGGAAATCGAGAATATACGACAATGCCAAGAGAAGAGGAGACAGGTCTCTGAAGAAGCGAAAGAACCGAGGGAATTAGTTACCGAGTAGTTAGTTAGTTACTACAGTAGTTGGTTATTGCAGTTGCGGGTGACATTAATGCATTTCAGCTCTGTCAGTCAGGGCCGCCGCCCCTCCATCTCTCTTCCCTCTCTCAGTCTCTGTCTCGGCCCTAACCCAAACGACAACCACACGCGGAGGTACCGCTCCGACCGTCCAGAATACCTTCCACCTGGACACCTGATTTGCTGGCTCGTCTAAAAAGAACCCGGAGTTGATCGGTGCCACAGCCGACTCGTGGAGATAGTAGTGACACCATAGGTAATCTGAGTGCAGCCTCTGTCTTCAGTCGTGCACTGTGCCTGTTGTTATCTGTTGTGGGCTGTGTTGGGGCGTGGTAAACTTCTTCCTTTCGTTATTGTTTAGAACAAACAAATTGCTACGTATCAGGGTATCAGGTACAGTACAATGTATGGCTTGCTGCAAGGTTTGGAAGGGATCTTATGCTTCCGCAAAGTCAAATGTATCTCTCTCTCACTTTTTCGTTTTCTTCCTTCTTGTCTCCCCCACCGCCCCTTCCTTTCCATATAAGATTCTACCCCTCTGCAGACCCCATTGGTTTCTATACATCTGCAAAGCATTCGAAATCATGCTCGGCGTCTCAAAGTCTAAGAGTGCGAATTTGCTGTCAAAACTTGGACTCCAGCCGACAACCACCCACTCATTCCTGACTGTTTACCTAGACGGGTCTAGTAGCACTGTTCGGTTCCCCATGGATGAATATTGCTTTTGCCAATCGTTGCATTCATAGGCTTGACAGACAGCGCTAGTCGCTCGCTGAAGAAGATTGACAAATCACTCCAGGTTTCTTCTCTCACAGCTACCCTTGGCCATCCTATAATAAGCTCCACTAGCCTTTTGTCTCTTTTTTTCTTGCCTGAAGTATCTCTCTTAATCGTCCGATATGTTGTTGTTTTCCTAGCTAACTCTATGGATGAGGAATGATAGGTGGTTACCGATCATGGAAGGAGACTCTGTACCCAAGATGATGTCGAGATTTCTGGTAAGAGGGGTGGGTTCCCTTGTGTACAGCACTCTGCCGTTATCATGCATATCAGCTTCAGACTTGGGGCACGTGAAAAACCGGCCATATTCCCTGCTCCTCCCAAATAGACCAACAAGGAGGGTAGTGGGACATGAGCTCATTCCGTTTCATGACAACTGTGAGGGGAAGTGATAAGTGATCGGCTCACCTTTGCAGAAATGTGTTGGCAAACTCTGCAGATTGGTATCTTGACCGTAGTACAGAGTACCTGGCTGTGCATAGTACATACTGCGTAGCACTAGTAGCATGTCGGATGATGGGGAACCTGGAAAGGTCGAGTAGCACGGTGACAATCTTGGCTGTTTTTGACAGGCCCTTTTCATTTTTTTTTCTTCTTTGCTTGGTATCAAAGAAGTAGTGTGCTCTACGAACCCACAATCTATGGGATAAAATTCGACGCTGTACGAACTGTGCTGTGCTGTGTACTGTGCTGTGGGTGGCTCATTTCCTCCTCAAGTTCCGGTGACTCGAGGCTTGGGAGGGGGCGAAGGGGGGCCCACCCACATCGTGTCTCCCGCTTGGCTGTCAGGCTGGCTGCTGCCAGTCCTTCAGCAGTGGCCCTGCGCAATCTGAGACCGTAAGAGCTAGGCAAATTTAGAGCTTCAATTCTATTCGTAGGTTGGACCCGACACAACGGTAAGCTAGCAGGGCCACTGCAGGCTGGGTTGCTGATTCTATTCCGCGCCCAATAGACGCGGGCTATGCGCGCCCTGCTGTTGGCTGGTCGCTTTCAACCCTCCCTTCTCCTTTCCAAAGTTTTGCTGTTTCTCTGCCTGTTTCGGGTTTGGATCTCTTTCTTGCAGCAATCTGGCGAGACTGAAACCCCAGCGAAATTATTTTCACTTAGTACCTTTCGCTCCGTCCTGAAATGTGAGAGTAGACGAATCTCAATGCTGCGCTTTGGTCTTTCTTTCCTTTTTTTTATTTCTTTTTATTATTATTATTATTATTTTTTTTTTTGATTTCCCCAAACTTATACCGCCCCCGACTGGCTTTCATTCCTGTTTTGCCCTATCACTTTCGGAGCACGGATAAAAGGTGTTCTGCATGCTACGTAGCGGAGCTTCAAATGATTCACCTTGCTTTCCCAGATTGTCTTCTCCCCACCGACAGTCAATTTACTACAATGTACTTCTTGAACAGTCTCCTTGTCGAATCCCTGGTATCTCTTCCCCTCACTTTATTTATGCAGAAGTTGTGCTTGCATCGACTAGCTGTCGGATCATTTCCTGCCACCAAACGTGTTCCCGGTGCGCTAACCTGTATCCTCATTTGCTTTCAGATGGGTCGAGACCCAGTGGAATCCCCAGAGATGGTGATTCTAATTTAGAGTAGATGTCGGAGACTTCGGGGCGAACACTGACTTGACTAAGTACTAGTCACTCCATGGCTCCACCGCTCGCAATAATGTACTGTACTACAGTAGATAGATGAAGATGAGTCCACACTCCACAGTGGCACACTGCACCAGGAGCAAACAAACGGGCCAGTTGAGCAGGCCAAGTGTCGTCTGATGTTTTTTTTTTCCCACGCCAGCGACCGACTTGAACCCTGCAATGCTTCGTTTCGGTCCACCCGTCTTGCAGGCATGGAGCCGACCTATCAGCTCCGTGGTTCCTTCGAATCTTCCCCTGCTATGGCAGGGCTGCAGGGCAGCCCGCGGGCGGGCGTAATTTTACCGCGTCATCCTCTTGGCTGTGTTCGCTGATGTGATTTCGATTTTCATTCCCATCGTCAGGTATTACCTGACTATCTTCCCGCCTCTTCCTTTCTACATTCTTGACACCATGAATCGCATCCTGAATGTCCCTCGTCTTCAACTGGAACTCCTCACCGCAGGGTCGTATGCCCCTCGAGAATTTGCGGCGAGTTGGGACCGCCAAATACGTCCGCATCCTTTTTCCTGTCAGGAGGAATGCTTGTGGGGAATCGAATACGAGCCCTTGCTGCCCGTAATGATAATTACGGCAAGCATGACACATTCTTCACGACCAGATATCGGCAGGAGAAGGAAGAGTTGATTCCCCATCCTCGCAACACGAACATGTGGTCACTCCAATTGTTGCTCAGGAACACTTCTCCACGAATATCGGATGTCACTCTGTTTCACAGGAGGTCAGGAAGTCGGCATGTGAATTACAACCAGACATAGCTAAGCCCCCTTCTGTATAAGGAATTTCGCTATGCTCATTGTTCCCACAGTTGGGATTGAGTAGTCATAGTCGCATCTAGTATTTGTCATGGTTCTAATAGGCCGATCGATCTGTGCCCCAGTCAGCAGTCGAGCTGCATAAGCCAGGAAGGAGAACCGTACGGTTCCCTGAAGTTAGAGCTAGAAGACATCCTTCATGACTGCATGGTCGCGCGCAAGAGCGAGATTCCGTGCAAAGACGAGGATAGATCCGTCCGTTCCTTACCTTTTCCTCTGATTGTCTGATTCTGTCCTCCCTCTTCTGCCGCGCATGCAGATGGGTCAAATCGCAAGCTTCAGCCTGGATGGTTCAGCGATCCTAGGGACCTGGAGGGGTCATCCGGCATTCCGACAAGATGAACATTATGACAACGGTGTCAAGTAGAGACTGATTGATTGACTTGGACCCGTTGAGCTTGGTCCATCGGACCAGGGACCGACTGACTAAGTGACAACTGCTTATCACCATCGTTCACCTTGATATCTCTCTGGCGTGGTTCTGGTTGGAACTTGATCTTAGGAGGCACTTCTCACCCTTCCTCTCCAAATCCCCCTCTATTGTCTGTTCTAGTCAAGACCTTTCTTGCGGCTCCTTCACGGTGATCGTGGGGTTCGTCTTTGCTTCTCAATATTATGGTGCAGGATGCATGAACTAAAGTGGACTGGCTTGCTCTCCTTCAGTCCCAGTGGATCCGTGGTTTGGGAGCATCAATACATTTTAATCGAATGGAGTTTAAGATGAATAAAACATATCCATTGGTCTTCTTTTCGATTATCAGCCCAAGTATTTCCCCTCCCTCCCTCGCTTCGAAAAAAAAGCAAGAAAATAAAAGATGAGAAAGAAAAAAACAAGAGGGAAAGAAAACTTTAAAATTACAGTAGCCGCAATGTAATTACCCGGTCCAACGGGGGCTAGTACAGGTAAGTACAGACAGTGATTGTTCCAATTGTCTATCCTGCCTGCCAACGTGATCCTTGGATGATCTCCACTCCCCGAACTATTCCATCCGTCAATGACATCCACCACCACCACAGCAGCAGCAGCATTATTGTCATTATTGCACTGCTTACCGTTTGGAGCTCGCGGAGGATCCATTTGTCGTGGAGAAAAGTGGCGAATCCCTTTAAGTAACTGAGTATTCCCAGATGATATCCTTGCATATAAGAAACAAGCTCTGCGCTGGGGAATTCTTTTTCTTTTCTTCTTTCAATTTTTTTATTTGCAGAATTATTTTTTCCCCTTCAGACTTTCAAATATTCGATTTCTATGGTACTAGGACAATATCTGTTTAATATCGATAAGTCTGTCCTTTCAGATTGATCGGGGGCCAAATACACAGTATAAAACTCTTAAGGAGGACATGCACGTGGATGAAGTACTAGAGTTGAAAGTACGAAAAGAGAAAGGCATCAACATCACCACCCGACAGCCATCACCACCACTATTAAGGCTATTGCAACTACTACAACCACCGCAAGGCTCTTTTCGCCTCCTCCATTCACCTCCTCCTGACCCCTCTTCTCCTGTTACCAACAACGTACCACGCTACCACCTCTTTCCACCCACACCCCTGCTCTTGCTGCTGCTGCTGCTGGCGCTACGCATCACTCCGGTCAACCTCATTTACCCGCCGTAGAAGCGACATTCCCCACGACCGGACCGGGGGCGCAGTCACCGTCGGCCTTCATTACAGGCCAGAGAGTCCCAGTACTCTGGGACGCTGCATGGATTAAGCACAACTAAACACCACTAACGGGACCCTTGGTCACCATTGCCCTCCACCGGAAACCCAACCGGAAGTCTCGTGCGGCGTTGGTGATGGTTTAAGGAGGAAGCCGGGCCCAAAGGAATCCATTTCGCAAAGCTGCCTCCTTTTACTTTTATCTTTCTTCTGTCTCTCCACATCATTGATCTACCCAAACCTTTTTGTGTTGCAAAAGCCAAGGTCCTCCTTCCCGTGGAGAAAGAAACTACCTTCGGCCTTTATTGCTGAATCCAAAGCCCTATCACATCTCACGTCTTTGGGGGTTTGATCTACTGTGCTCCAGACTTCACTACTTCTTCATCCCTTCTCCTCTCTATTGTTTCCTCCTTATCTCTCGAAACCTGGCTACCTTTGCTTGCCTTGTGTTTTGAGACATCTTGTCTGCCTGTGCCATACTTGTATCTTTGGCGGCTCTTTTCTCTTTCTTCTTTCTTCATCTTCCAGCATTTACCTAGATAGAAGGTGCAATTTCTTCGGAGATTCATCTTCGCCTCTGTTACTCATCATACATTCATCATCTTCCAAGGGTTGACGCCAGCACCACCGCACGTTGAAAATGCAGGCCATTCACGAGCAGCATCGGGCGAGCTACATGCCTGCCTCATCTCGCCAGAGCCGCATGGCCATCGATTCCTTGCTAAACCCATCCGGGGACAGCGAAACTGCCAGTACTCGATCACAATATAGCCAGCACGGCTCGCCATTATATCCTCCCAGTCCCAACCAGTACTTTTACACTTCCTACTCAGAGAGCCGTCATCCCTACCGGGAGGATTCGCAGGACCAGGGTTACCTGTCCTATCGAACGCGATCTGTGGAATCCTCGCCGGACCCCTACTCTCGTGATCGATATGACTCGGTATCTAGCAGCTCTAGCAATGCTGCAGAGCGACGCCGGCCTCCCCGACCCAAATACGAAGAGGAAGAGATGTATTTCATCTGGTACCACCGAGTGGACCTCTGCCAGGAGTGGAAGGAGGTCCGTGAAAGCTTCAATCGGCAGTTCCCCGATCGGCAGCGTCGCGGGTTCCAGGGAATCCAATGCAAATTCTATCGCTTCATCAAAGAAAAGAAGTGCCCTACGTTACGGGAGCAGCGCCGCATGCGTGACGGCGACTTTCTGCGGGAGGGGGCGGGAGCTGCCGACTCGGGGTCACCGAAGTTTGGAGTTATTGATTGGGTAGGGATTTGGTATCCATGGATGCGTGAGGACAAAGAAGAAGTGCTCACTCGACGGATGTCGAGGTAAATGAGTCTGTTTGCGGCTTGCTTCATCATGATCCGGCAGTGGTCGCCTTCTTGTCGAGTCATTTTTTGCCTCCTGCACTCCTCGCTCTCGCTCACTCAAGTCTTGCACCACGACTCGATACATTTCTGTTTCACGGCCGACCCCGACGATACCTCAACATTTAATTATTCCTTTTCTCAATCTGTTTTATTTGCTTCACAATCCTTGTTTGTTCGTACGGTCGTTCTTGCCGATTTGCAAATCACCTTTAGCATGTTGTGATCTTAACCTGGGAGGATATCTGTTCATTTTGTCGTTACAAGCATGCATAAAACGCACTGGGCCTGTGGGAGGAACTTGTCGATTTACAGTTGTTTGTCATGTTCATCTATATACAGAGGCGTACCACTCACCCTCATCTGCCGCTCTATCTGTCTGCCTGATTGGAATTGAATTCTAGTTAGATGGAATTAATGCTTTGATCCAAGGATAAATGTCTTGACGACACTTTCACAGCCCACCTGGCGTGGAATCAAGCTCTCAATTGCTCATGATCCTCTGTGGATAAAATTTCGTATCGGACCCTGGCGCAAATACCTTTTCATGGCTTAGTCGCCGACTATATCGCATCCACTTCGGAAGCCCGAGATCGGCCGTTGACAGGGGAGGTAAGAACGATACGGCACAATACAGTTACATACCAGATTGTAACAAGCGGGTACGGTGCTACGGTGGAGTGGAGTGGACGGTACAGTACAGTACACACCCTCGGCCCGGCAGTACCTTTGCAAAGCGAGAAGCAAAAGGGGGCAAGAACGGCTCAGCTTTGGAAAGATAATCTGATATGATGTATAAAACTGATACGTTAGCTGGTGGTGATCGAAGCATGACAAATCGTCCATCTCGCTTGTTTCCCTCAAGCAATTTGGCCTAGTCAAACGATGCAAGGAGTGGTTTTGGATGTCTTGCTATGTTAAGAACAAGGATTCTCTCCACCTAGGAGTCTGTTATGGGGTTATGGGGTTAGAACTGTCGTACTAGGAGGGTGAGTTGGAAGAGTCCCTTAGTATACTGGACTTCTAATAAAGTAGTTATGGTACCTAGGTAAGAGGAGCCGGCATTGAGAAAGCGTGGATACTTGCATACCTAAACCTTTCTCACAAACATAGTTTCTATGTGTGTATGTATAAGGAAAGAGACAGGGACGGTTGGAGTACATCGCGGAGATGAGGGAGTGAAGTATGGGTAATATGCTGAATGCGCGTCTCACTCACTCACTCACTCGCAAAGCATACTGGTCTAGACGGCGATGGATGGTGAAAGTCAAGGCGAAGCATATAGACGACCACGGATTCAATAAGAGACAAGGGCCCACATTTGTCAGAATGATATCAGAATCCAATCAAGGTCTGTATGTATCTAAACATACAAACGTACATACATACATATAGCTTCATGTCTACAATGACATTATGTTGACAATGGAGATTCTGTACCGTGATCAGGCTTCAGAGTCATCCATCCTAGGCGCTTGGTATACACTCGCTCGGTACAGACTGGCTTGTTATAAGCTCTACATCCGACGATAATGCAGAAGGAACGAAGAGAAGAGACTTTCTAGCTCGCCACGTTGTGCAATATTCATCCACCGCTGATCCGGGTCTCAATCTCCCGCGCGGGAATAATCGGTGATGTTGTTTCTCATTCTTTTCCTTGCCGGGTGAATGCGTTATTCAGGATGTAACAGAATTTGGAATTGATATAAGTTCTCTAGATAGTCCACAGGGACGACGCGTACGGCAGAGGATGATGATCATGGTGACTATCAGAAATCTTTTACATAAAAGTTATGAAATCAGGTGATGTACAGCATGTTCAGCCAAGCGAATGACGACGAGTCTGTATAGCACACCGATGGGAAGCGAAGCCCAATCAGGACCCATGGGTGAGACTTATTTTCTGCAAGACTGAGCAGAAAGGCAAGACTCGAATCGAAATAAGGGAAACAAAAAAAACGAATTCGAAACCTTGTACCAACCCAATAAGGCAGATAGATGATGACGATGATGATGTGGGCGCATGGATCCTCAGGAAGGAATTCAATAATGATGAGATTGTGCATGTGGAAGGTATCATGGGATTGTTCGGTATGGTGTGTGTGTGTGGTATGGATGGATGGTGGAAGTAAGCGGTTCGCTTGGCCCCCCCATTCGGCTATTCATAATAAATGGATATTATTGTTGAAAGAGGTGGGGGAAACGTAAGAGGATGAAAGATGAGAAAAGAAAGAAAGAAAGAAGGAAAAGGAAGGAAGGAAGGAAGGAAGGAAGGAAGGAAAGAAGGAAGGAAGACTGGATGGAAAGGATTGGAAGCAAGTACCCTACCCCGCATCATCATCTTCTTATGGCTGGCTATTCATTCATCCATTCATTCCATCAGGTCTTGCATCAATCTATTTGATTGTCTTGTCTGTCTTCAAAGTTTCCCGCTCTCCCTTCTTCTTCTTCTTCTTCTTCCTTCCGTTTATGACATGATAGCCAGCAAATACGGTCTTTGACTATTTCAGGAAACTGATAGCTGGCTGTTTATGGGGCGGTTTGGACTTTTCGTCAGAGCAACGAAGAGCAACGGAGAGCAACGCTTCTTTCTTCCTGCACAATCCGTCTTGTCTGTTTCCTTGTTGGGACGCATCGCAGGGCTGACCAGGTAGGACTGGCTGGCTGATTTGCAAGGGAACGAATAAGTGCTATCAGCTCCGAAACAGCCTTGGCTCCTTGTTGTTATCGTAATCTACTTTTCTTTTTTTCTTTTTTTCTCTTTGTCGACTTCGCTTCAACAATGGCTACGAGCTCTGCAGAGAACTGCTGCTGGTCTTCCGATGCATAGATGCGTTGGCTCCTCCACTGAAATTCTCTCTCGCATGATTGAAACCACTTCTACTGAACAGGTCTCCCTATCTCTGCTCTGCTGCATCAACTGCTTCGGTCTATCACTTCTTCTTCCCCAGAGTCGTCATCGGTTTCTCCTGCAACTTGCAGCATCGCACCCTTCCCCAAAGTACTATGCATCACACATCCTCCACCAAATGAGGCAGACCTTCGTTCTGCAGACGCAGCCACCCCAGCTAGTCTCGGCTGCCTTCCTGCACTTGTGAATGATTCCTTCCCGTCTTCAGAGCTCTGTCCCACAGACCTTATTCGAATCCTTCACCAACTTTCCTCATCCGACTCCACGTGTGACCGGAATCCATAGTCAAATCGACAGTGCCCCTCGCTAGCCGAGTCGTCAAAGTCAAATTCTTCGTCATCAGACCGTGCATGGTTTCGATATTTACTGTAGATAGCTGTCGGATCCTCATCCTCATCGTCCCACGACAATTCTTCATCTGGATAATCATTTGCGGGATTATTCTCAGCTGCCCCCGTCATGCCCGTTAGCCTTCATCCTTCATCCTTCGCTTCTTTTTGTTTTCCAAATCTGACGGGTTTTGCGCTTGGACTTACCGTTGGAGTCTGCGTCTTCGCTGTCCCACCGCTCTTCATCCTCCTCCTCCTCCTCAACAAAATTCTCCCAGTATTCTTCATCCTCTAGGGTAATGACAATGACTCCAATATCCTGCCGAGTCATATCAATCCCATGCTGCTTGAACCAGGCCTCATGGTCCAACTCCAGATTGGCCAACGGGTCCGCAAGCAAGCCGCTAACTGGAAGCGGCCTTCGAATGTACGTATCGTAGACATATTCTCCGTCGCTCTCAACTTCATCGTCATCCTGGTCTGCAGTGAGCGCGTCAGCCGCCGAGTTAGGATTCTGGACAGAGCTGCCGTCAACGAGCTTTTGTGTAGAGCTATGTTTATTGGGTGTTCGTGGCTGGTATTTCAAAGTCGGCTTGGGTGTTCCCACAGAATGAGACTGCGGAGGCTGGCCAGCCCCAGACACCAGAGATGTAATGTTGCGCGGGTGGTTTTGTGACCCTGTATACGACATGTCCACTTCCATCTCGGCATCTAATTCCAGAGCGACCTGCTCTAGCTCTTTTGCGAGTCGCTCTGACTCAGCCTCCCAAGTCCTCTGATGCGAAGCCTGAGCTTCTTTATCCAGGACCTGGGAGATATGCTGTTTAGCAGCCGAGATCGCGGTCTTCCGCTCTTCCCTCCATTTCCTCTCTGCCTGATTGACCACCGGCCGCTTGCGCGGTCGTATTGGCTCTTCAACCTCCGCACCCAACCCTTCAACCCCAGCAACCGCATCCGCAACCAAAGACGCCTGTCTTGAATGAGGCTTGCGCCTCAGCTTCTCCACAAGCACAGCCACAGGACTATCCCCTTTCCGCTTCTGCACTCCCGCACCTGTACTCCGGAGCGTGCTGTTGACGGGGGTACTTGACCGCGAAATTTGGAAACGGCGCAGTGACTGGGAGGCAGTAGACGGCGAAGCAGGACTTTCATTCCCACTGGAGGCGGTGGAAATAAGTTTACCGACGGCGGCGGAGTCAGAAGTGCGCTCAGCCGCATGAGCGGGTGATGGTGCTGGTGCTGGTGCTGACGAGCGAGCACCCGCCGGCGACGCAGGGGTCGACGGCACGGGGGATGAATACAACGCTCGCTTCATTTTCTCATCCTGTTCCCTGCGCGCGGCGGCGAGACGGCGTTCCTCGCGGAACTCGGCCCCGGGGGAGGTGGCTCTCACCATGGGGACGACGCCTGCCGCTGCTGGGGTTCCGCCGCCATCATTCGCAGCGCTGGTGCGAGAGGACACGCCACTGCTCACCGAACGTGGAGTGCGGATGACTCTCTGCTGCCCAGGTACCAGGGATGATGATGGGTCAGCTGTCCCACTGGCGGTGGTACCCTTGGGACCATGGCTGCTGATCTGAACTCGTTGGAAAACAAAGTCTGTGAATCGTCGTTTGGTCTGATGCAGCTCAGACTGGATATCTGTTCAAAAGCATTAGCTCAGTATAATTATTAATAACAAGATTGCAGTTTTGGTAGTAAAGTAGATGACGTTGCCTCTCACGTCGGACGTTTGACTCAATGGCTGCTACTTCCGCCATGAATGATGAAAAGGCCAAGGAAAGAGGGAGGTTCTTACATAATGTGTCCACGGGTTCTTCTTCGCGACGCCGCTTGATGTTGATCTGTTCCGGCGGCAAAGCCATCTTGAGCAACCTTAACAGTTCTGGGGTTGGGCTTTACGTGGCTACAGGTTAGGGTGAAGTCAAACCTATGATGCTCGTGACAGTCGCGGTTCTGTTCCTTCCATGATTTATCCCTGTTCGGACTAGCGCTATCTAGCCCGTCTTATCTTCACGTGACCATGATTCGACGATGCTGCCAGATGGGCAAACTATCTACAAAGTACTCGAGTTGTAAGCTTAGAAGTCTTGCACATTATAACCAGGGCATTTGTCATTGTCTTTGCTAATGAGAATAAACCCTCCTCGTCTCTCCTATGTTCCTTGATGGCGGTAGCACTATCATCAACTGGTACCAATTACCTCCGCCGCTATATAACCCTTGTCGTTATCGGAATGCAACAGGGGAGCTGTGCTCTGGATTGAGTTCTGTCGAATGGCATCACATATGCAAATGGTCAGCTTGAAACATAAAGAACAGACCGAAGCTAACCAATCTGGGGTGTAGCCGAGATCCCGCCCGCTTTCGTAGCCAAATGCAGATCGAATAAAATATTGTAAATAGCCAAGAGAAGAGAAGCAGAGAAGGGAAAGAGAAGGAAAGAAGGAGTCAAAGAAGATGATGAAGAATCATACCCAGCTAGCAATACAAGTATTGGTATATGAAGAAGAAAGAGGGATTAAAACGGTATAAAGTGGTGTGGTCAAGAAACGAAACATTTAGACAAGTAAAGAAGGTGAGAAAGCACAAGGGGCGAAGCCAATACAGAGAAAGGGATCAAGATTATGACACTGAAGATAATGACGAGATGCCAAAATAGGGGCGAAGGATTGATTTCACCACTGTCAATGGAGGAAAGGTGGATTCGTCACAGCTTTCATTTAGCTCCAATTTCCTCTTCAGCCCATCCAGGCAGTGAGCTTTCGTTCTGGATTGCCAGACCGAAGCCAGCATGTTTGAGGCCTCCGAGAGCGGATGTGAAGCTAGAGAAGCTGCTTTGAGGCTGGTGGGCAATTCCCGAGCGAGGTGGTCCAGCCTGGTTTGAGATATGCCCAAAAGGTTCCTGAGAAAATGAAGGCAAGCTGACGGCCCGGGAATGCTGGGCGCGAGGTACGCTCAAGCCACTCGTGCTGGCTGTTGCATGGTGACCAGGTCCCGATGAGCCATTGGTCACATTCAGAAAGCCGTTCATAGAGGGCTTGTGCTGATGTAGCGGGGCGTCAATACTTCCGTTTGTGAGCTCACCAGTGCTTGTTCCAGTGAAGAGATTCTGCTGTTGAGGCTGGGATTGAGACTGGAGAGCAGCAAGGGCCATGGGATCACTCAGCCGGTTCTCCTGCTCTTGGGATTGCTGAGCTGACATTTGATTGAGATACATAGTCAATGGGTTATTGGCTCCGACATTGAGAATCCCCGATGGCGATGAAACTTGCTGCAGAGGATGTCTACCCAGGTGGCCATTCTGCGAGCCAGTGGACCCAGGAGCAGGTGAAAGAGCCGGATGCGTCGGGCTAGATCCAGAGCCGGACTGGCTCAGGTTCTGCTGGTAACCGTTCAAGGCTGGAGAGGGTGACTGTGTGCCCTCCATTCCCGACCCGTTCCGACTTTGCTGTCCACCATTACCAGCTTGGCGCGGGGGGTTTCCACACCGGTCCTTGCCAAAATTGATCTTAAACCTCTTGTACTCTTCCCGGTTTCGCATCCCTTCAATGGCTTTGATGGCATTTGCAATGTTGGTGAAATTGACGAAAGCGCAACTCTTCTCACGCAAAGTGTTGACAAGCTCAATCTCTCCATATTCCGAAAAGTCCTGGCGTAGCCGTTCTTCCAACCAAGTCTCATCTAGGTTTCCTACATATACATTCCGAGAAGCACCCCCACTCACAGCCAGGGCAATGGCGGGAGGGAGGGGACCCGAGTGTTTACCCCATCCAATCTTTAACCGACGGTTGTGGATCATAAGACCCTGCAGGTTGCTCAAAGCATAGAAAGAAGCCGCCGACGTCGGGTCAATAAAAGTGACAAAGCAGATGTGCTTGTCCGGAATATAGCGAATGTGATGAAGAAGCCCGCCACGTACGACATTGCAGATCTCTTCAATGGTGGTCTCGGGGTGAATGTTGCCCAAGTAAATCGTGCGGTTGCCAAGGTTGTTGACACCACCAGCTGTGGTGGCCACAGCTGCGGCGGCAACGGACTGTTGAGCGAGGGCATTCGTAATCAGGTCACGGTCTGCCGAGTTGAGGATGTGAGCGTATCCTGGAGCGATGCCCAAGAATTGGGCGGCGTTCTGCTGCTGTGTCTTCGAGACATATGCACAACGGTCTTTACCATAGAAGACACGGCGGGGCGCCTGCCACTTGGCCTCCTGAGGCAACTGGGAGACAGCCTTCATGGCGTTGTTGATTGACAAGAAGTGGACAAAACCAATTGCCTTCTCTTTAACAATCTTGACAGTGTCAATAGGACCGAACTTGCCAAGCTCTTCACGAAGCTCCTCTTCTGCCATTTCTTCGGGAAGGTTGCCCAGATAAACATTCCTTGACGCGCCTGATTGTTGCACCGCAAGCGCCACTGATGTAGGCACCTGGGAAGGCTTCCCCCATCCAACCTTGATATCATTACCCTTGATAGCGAGTTTCTTGAGGATAGCATCCGAGTGGAAGTGCGTGGCGGAGTTACTGTCCAGGAAAGAGATGAATGCGCAGTTCTTGTCGGGAAGCAAGCGAACGGATTCAATCTGGCCGCTCCGTACGTGGTTCAAGATTTCTTCCGCGGAAGTTTCGGCAGGGATATTGCCCAGATAAACAGTACGGCTCGTTCCCGAGAGCAGGCCAGGGGTTACCGAGGCGGCATGAGCACCGAACGCGGCGTTGCCCAACCCGCCCAGGCCACCGACGGGCGATTGCGGAGCTCCCAGCATCTGCCCATTACCCATACTATCTGGTGATAACATGCCCGAGTAAAGACCATGATTCTGTGCAGGCTGAGTTGGACTCGCCAAGTGGTGGCTCTGATTCTGCGCATGTGTAGGAGCATTGGCTTGAGGAAAGCCACCAAAATTGGCGAACTGAGGCGAGGCAAACGCGGACGGGGTACCGGGCTGGAATGGGCTACCGAGCAGCAGCTGAGACGGTAGGAGGGGGGTGAAGTTCATGTCGAACGCGGTCCCCGAGGAAGCCATGGTGTCCGGAATCGGAGCCGAAGTGTTGATGGCAGGAATATTGGCACGACGAGCGTTCCGGTCCGACAGACCCTGCAGAGGAATATTGTTGGAATTGTATGCACCGTGGGAGAAGCCCGTGTTGTCCGCGCTGATGTGGGAGAATTTGGAGGGAATCAGACGACTCGGGTTGCTTGCATCGGAGGTTTGCATGGCGAGGGAAGAGAGCGACTAGGACACGAGAGTCCCCTGAAGAAAAAAAGAGAGAACGGGGTGAGTCGTCAGAAATGAAATGATTGATGTCACCCAGCCAAGGGCCAAAGGGGGGAAGGAGGACGTACGAGGCAATTGACACGGTAAGAATGGCCAGGGGAGAAGGAAAAAAGCCGGGCCTGAAGATCACCCCCGAAAAGAGTAGGGGGGAAATAAGGGACAATGAAGAGAGGCTCAAAAGGCCAGAAGGAAGGTAAGATGATTGTGGAATGAAAGTAATGAGGATAGGGACACAGCACGGGGCAGGAGTCCTCTTCCAATGGAGACGTGTCTAGAAGGGATCCCAGTGGTCAATTGGAATGTGCATGGACAATGAGCGGATGGGCTGGTGGAACGGAGACAAACCTGTGATGGTTTAGTTGCTTTTAGGGGGAGGGTGGGTTAAGTTTGCGGGTAAATAAGGCCGAGATCCAAGAGACCGGCACAGGGGCACCAGGTGAAAGAAAGTGGACGAACAGCGGTTCAACCAAGATTGTTAAGATAAAGACGGCGATCAAACAGGCAACAAATTAAAATGTGCTATGGGTCTGTCAGATAACAAGGCGAAGAATAGCAAGTGACTGAAAGGAATAATCCAACGACCCTGCGTGAAGTGCCAGGTTGCTAGAGTTTCAAAAGGTGACAAAGAAGGTCTGCCACAGGCACCAATAGTCAAGCTGAAAAGGGATAAGTGGGAATTGACTGTGGGGAGAGAGGAGGGTGGGTGATTGCAAAGAACGATGTCAATTGAAAGAGATAATGAACCCAAAGCCAGACAAACAACTGCCACCTCAGGTTCAAAAAGAGAAATAGGGCCGATGAAGTCCAAAAAAAAATCATGAAAAGAAACTAATAAGGTACGAAAGAAATAGGCCCCTGGTAGGAAGGGAGAAAAGGGGCGCGTGTGTTTGAGGGAAGGACCGATAGATAGTCAAATAAGATAATACCTGATATTATTGAGGGATTGGACGGGACTCATTTAAGGCCGTCCTCTCACGCCTGGCTCGTTAAAGAATGTCAGAAGAAGAGAGCAAGAAGAATGACCCAAAATAAGACTTCAGGAATCAAATAAACAACTGAGTTGGGAAGAGAGAAATTTGGTTGTCCGCCGACAATTTCCGGGAAAAGCACAAAGGGTAGAAAGAGGTAAGAAAACACGACAGGTACCGCACGGAGAGAAGATCATGTAAGCAAGGAATGAGAGGGGACAAGTATGTGACTGGTGATATGGGGAAATTAAGTCTTTGTCAAAGTGAATCGAAGCAAAAGGGGCGAGAAAATCTTCATCGAGGTCCAAGGTCAATTGAGCCATCATAAGTTTCAAGGTGTCGATAAATTTAGAAGTGGCAGGTAATCTTCGTTCCCTTGTGGAGTGAAAGTTGATTAGTAGATCCGTAGTTTTGAAGCAAAAGATGGGGAAAAGGACTCCATCGATTGATCCAACCGTCTGTCAGTGTCAAGCAGGTTGTCTGAAACAATCATCCTCATCGGGCTGACAAGGCTTTGGGACCGGCACCTATGATCATATCTCGTAGTCACCATGCGCTCTCTTCCTGAGGCGATATAGTTTGATTTGATTCTCAACCGCGTCTTCGTGTCCGTCAACCAAGTCTCAGACGATAATGGCAACTAGCCTCGCTCATTCAGGATCTGACTGGTGTGATATTATGGGCAAATTTCCCTTTCTCTGAAGCCAGCGATGGACAGCCTATGGCGGCAGCCCGGTTTCCTTCCGCGATGCGATCTTTCATGCCACTCATCTGGGTGATGCATCTTCTTCAGAGACATTGCTTTTTCGTTTCTCGCGCGCGCGATCAGTCATTCAGACCTCGGTCGATGACCGTGGAATGATGAATCAGTGATTATCCACATTAAGCGACGGAGGGGGCGTGCCAACCAGCCACAGACCGTCTGACAGTGGGGTGTTCCTGGACCAGAGAGAAGATTTTCCGGATATTGCACGGAACCCATCTTGATCCGGTCCGACTGCAGAAGCATCCACTCTCTTTATGCCTTAGGCGGCTAGGCAGAAAGACAGAGTCGCGTTTGTGGCAAAGAAGGTCGCGATGTGCTTTGTGTGTTGTCCATCATACCATCATACCACATGGAAGGTACGGAGTAGAACTGGACCTACTTCCAGGCGATAGAAAATGCTCTGTGATTAAATCAAAGAGCAATGTCAGATTATTGCGGCGGGCAGCCCATTCGGGCTTGTAGCTAAATCATAGACTTAGTAAAGGCCCATATGTAAAGACTATTACTAGAATAGTCATTATAATGTCATCATTTGACCACTCTCTATGGAGTATGTTCACCAAGTATGAAGGCAGAAAGCAACGACCGAAGCAACGACCGGATTTGTGTAAGTCGTGCCTGACGACCTTACACTTTATGCCTGAGGCATACGCGGGGAGATTGGGCGGAATCCAGAAATTTACCCCTCCGCAAGACAGAACAGCCTTCCACACTGTGCGATTCGGACGCCCTCACCTCACCTGCACACGGGACTTGCTGTGGTATTAATTCCTTGTCCAATTGATTGGTTAGCATGTAAGTCCTACTCTATCATCATACCCCTGTCCTTCGCTCCAGTCGTTCCTGATAAGGAAGAAGTTGTGTATATGACTCACATGCAAGTCCATAAATGGATATTCACTGACCGCGATGCTATCTTGCCATGATATAGATCTTCTTATACTCAACTGAATCCTTTGCAACCGGACCAACACAATGGCTACCGTCTATATTGACGAGGACGTCGGCCGGGACGACTCGACTGCGACCGGCACCGAATCCACCCCTTACAAGACACTTGTCCACGCTTTCACGCAGCACCCTCCCTCCGAAGGAAACCAATACCTGACCCGCAAGTCCCAGACCGAACCCGCCGAGGAGGGTGCTGACAAGCTCGAGTGGAAGCCCGCCACGAAGTCGGCCGTCAAGAAGGCTACCAACATTTACGAGCAGCGCAAGAGGAAGGCTGCCAAGGAGCAGGAGCTGGCAATTCGCGAGAAGGAGGAGGCGGACAAGCGCAAGCTCATTCTGGAGGAGGCTAAGAAGGTCGTCATCAAGGAAGACACATCCCTTCCCAAGCCCGTCAAGATCCGTCTCGATGAGACTGAACCCGCCGTGGTTAAGCTGGGATCTGCCGAATCCGAGACCCCCGGTACTCGTGTCCGCGTTGTTGGACGAGTCCACCGCTTGAGGCCTCAGAAGGATGTTATCTTCCTCACACTCACCGACGGATATGGCTACCTTCAATGTGTTCTGACTGGCCAGCTCGTCAAGAGCTACGATGCGATGACTCTTACTCTCGAAACCTCTATGGCCATCCACGGTGAAATGCGAGCTGTCCCGCCCAAGCAGCACGCTCCTAACAACCGTGAGCTTCACGCGGACTTCTTCACCGTCATCGGCCGTGCCGCTGGTGACAAAGAAGCCATCACCACCCGTGTCGCCCCCGATGCCGACCCCCAGACCCTCTACGACAACCGTCACCTGGTTCTCCGGGGTGAGACCGTTTCTTCGGTGATGAAGGTGCGCGCGGCCACCTTGCGGGCTTTCCGTCAGACTTTTGAGGAGCAGCGCATGCTTGAGGTCACTCCTCCGGCCATGGTACAAACCCAGGTGGAGGGCGGAAGCACACTGTTCAAGTTCGACTATTACGGCGAAGACGCCTATTTGACCCAGTCCTCCCAGCTTTACTTGGAGACCTGTCTCCCCTCACTGGGTGATGTCTTCTGTGTTTGCCCCTCTTTCCGAGCTGAGAAGTCGCTCACCCGCCGTCACTTGTCCGAGTACACCCACATCGAGGCCGAGCTAGACTTCATCACCTTCAACGATTTGCTGGACCACCTGGAGAACGTGATCTGCCGTGTTATCGAGCTGACCGTGGCCGAACCTGCCACCAAGGCCCTCATTGAGAAGCTCAACCCCGACTTCAAGACTCCCAGCCGTCCTTTCAAGCGCATGCGCTACTCCGATGCCATTGAGTGGCTCCGCGAGCATGATATCCCCAACGAGGAGGGCAAGCCCCACGAATTTGGTGATGATATTGCTGAGGCTGCTGAGCGCAAGATGACCGACATCATCAACCAACCCATCTTCTTGACCCACTTCCCCGCCGAGATTAAGGCTTTCTACATGAAGAAGGACGAGCAGGACCGTCGCGTCACCGAGAGTGTCGATGTTTTGATGCCTGGTGTCGGTGAAATCGTCGGTGGTAGTATGAGAATGGACAACTGGGATGAGCTGATGGCCGCTTACGCGCACGAGGGCATGGATCCCTCTCCTTACTACTGGTATACCGACCAGCGCAAGTATGTCGACTCTTCCCCGCTCCCACCTTCACTCGACATTTTGGCTGACGCGCATTTCAACTATTATTAGGTACGGAACCTCCCCTCACGGTGGTTACGGTCTGGGTCTCGAGCGTTTCTTGGCTTGGTTGTGTGCCCGTTACACCGTCAGAGACTGCTGCTTGTATCCCCGTTTCACTGGCCGTTGCACGCCTTAGAGGCTTGATTATCGTAGAAAAGAACTATAGATATGACACGTTCTCTGAATTGTCTGTGATTGTTTGTATGAATTTGATTGGGAGCAGCGAGCGTAGATTTCTGGTAGTGACCATTCGACGTAGCTAATGAATACATTATAGTGCTTCGGATTTATAAACTAGGTACCTTGAATTTTGCTAAAGCAAAGGTAAGTTAGCAGACAGGTTCTTCCTTTTCTTGCTCCCTGCGCTGTTGTCTTAGCCTTCCGAAACCTTGTCCATCGTGAAAGTGCCCCAACTATGCAGACGCCAATCTGTCTACCACGCTCTCATACCTCACCAACCAAGGACACTTGAAGAATCTCATTGAAAACTGCTTCCAAGTGAGAGCAGATGGTCGAAGAGGAAAATCCCAGTGGCACTTGCTAGTATGATAGAATCCAGTCACGATGGCTGGGGTTGCAGTAGAGTTGGCGTGGCGAGCACCAAGCCATGGATGCGCAAGCCATCTCGATCCCAACCACACTTTTCCGAGCCGAGCCGTGGTGGTCCAGGTGTATACGAGCATCTGCAGCCTCCGCGGTAGCCTGGGGAATTAGGAAACGGCATTGCTTATATATACGAGGATTGGAGAGGAAAAGATCCCGGGACTGATGGTAGACGTACTAGTCACGCGCGATGCCGGGGCCCAGTCGGTTGACAAAGGTGCAGTGTCATTCGTCTCGTCCAGGCTGCTTGCTTCGGGGAAAATGGCCTGTTCCGCTGCTACTTTGCTTGGAAGCCACCGAAGATGAACTCCGATGCAGACATTTGTAGAATTTAGTATTGGAAAGAGTTCTGCTTCATGCATTTTGGTACACGCTTGCTCCTGATGTGATCGGCTGAATGCCAGATGAGCATAGACCTGGTAGCTCAATCTTATGGGAGGATCCGAAATATGTGAAGCAGGGCACACATGCTTTCTTTGCTGAGCAGAAGCATGGAATTGACTGTCTAACGTGGACTAGCTAGCATAGTCTGCACATTGGTCAATGTGCATGCTAACTGTCACGGTAAGCAAACCAGATGATGTGCACACAGAGCGGAGTGACTGAAGAAGTCATCCCCTCGACTGAGACCCCACATCCGACCCGTACGCCCACTGGACAAGATAATGTGCTCTGCCTTAAGTTGCAACGGGATCTGCAATACTTTCTGAGCAACAGACAGGTGATTCTCTCTTCTTAGTGGTTGACTAAACCAAGGTCTAAAGCTGACAAACTGTGAAGGTCCTCAGGATTTTGTCTCACCCGCTTCCAAGTACATGCTAAAGCCAACCAACATGGATTGAACAAAAGTAGTCTCGTATGAAGCATGAGGAATTTGTCAAAGACGAGTAGGAGTTGATGGGGCCCATGAATCGGATGTCGCTCTAGTTGTTCTGTGCCTCGGAGGCCTCATCATCTTGTTCGTCTTCGGCAATTTCGTTGATAGCAGGATCTTCGTTCAGTAGAGCATATATGTCGTTGTCGGAGGGATTGGCACGAATGATTGAGATCAAGTGAGCGACGCGCTCTTGATCTCCGCTGCGGACAATCATCATGATTCGTTCGAGAAGACCTCTGTAATAGTCTAGCTCTGCTGTGAGTTCCTCAGGAGGCTGGGAGGTGGTAGAGTCCGAGTCACTGGTCTGACTAGTGTCGTCTTGATGGTCGTTGTTGACACTATAGGACATGAGAAACGGTTAGGCAGGAACAAATCAGATGAAAGCGCAGTGTGTCTTGGGGGCAAGATTTCTACCTCTCATCTCCATCTGGGGAAGAACTGCTTTCTTCCGCGGTCATCTTGTCATGCGATCACCAGATAAAGGTTGTTTGTCTCAGCTGGTCGGTATACCCCGCGGGGTAGTGGTTGTGGCGGCACGGGTCTCTGGTAATGGGCTGGTCGAGCACGTCAAAGTTTCTGGCGATGGAGGGCAATGGAGAGGGATGAAACTGGGCTTATCATGCAGCAGGATTAGAAGGTGATTGAGCCCCACTGAGATAGAGCCATCAAACACTGATCAAACCTGGACGATGGGAGGGGAGAGCTGCATTCAGTGGCGTTATTTCGTCCTCGCTAGATGGAGTGACAGGCTGGCAGGCTGGTAGGCTGTGTGTCGGCTGAGCCTAACCCCCTGGGCAGTCAGTGCGGTGTCTACCTAGTAGGGAGAGTCACACACACTCCGCCGATGCTGCCGCCCAATAGCCTTAGAGGGGGGAAGGAGCTCTTCTCCATCCAGGTTGGAACGAGACATAGGGAGCGTTGAGGCAGGAAAAGACTTCCAGGCCTCTTGAGCCAAAAGAATTGGGTCGGTGATTAGACAGATAGGCTCGTTGGCGCGTCCGCTGCAGAAGAGATGATCCCGTCACGTATCGGGCCTGAGTTCCAGCCCGTAGGCAGTGAATTTTGGCCATAAGCCAGCAAAGACTACGCCAGAGTGCTTAGCCAAAGTCACTAGGCTAGGTATCCCTTGTACTCCACACGAGATCCGGTTGAGGTTGGTGCCACTTAAAACCACCACGGAAAGGTCAAGCCTGCCACTGCGGATGCTCAGCGTACACAAATTTCGCAGGCTAATGAAATCTGGCGGGTCTCGAGCCATCAGCACAGGAATCAGAACGAATCTTCAAGGGAGGCCCATCCATTGTGGAGGAGAAATAGATACGTTTTGGGTCTTAACATGTTTGTAGACCGGGAAACGCTGTTCGTCGTGACAAGAGCGCGGAAAAAGTCCCCAGCCAATCCCTGGACCCGTGGCGGTCTCCGCCGCCCATTGCAAGGGAGAACGAGAACCTGCGATCCTCAGGAAATGACATCCGTTCTTTCGGATAGGCCCATTGATACCTCGCTGCTCGGTCATGATTTATTCTCTTGATGTATCTCGAATCGCTACTCCAGTCGCTGCTCCTTCGTCCCGCTCGTCTTTTCACTAGTTCCATGTCGGGATTTGGTGGTCTTCTTCTTCTCCCCTGCCTTCGCCACCTCGCCATTGCCATCATCAGCAGATCGCGTTGCCGCGAAAACTGCGGACTCCGTGCATGCTTTAGGTACACGAGTAAAATGCGTCTTCGGGGCTAGTCATCGGTTCAGCTAGAGGGTTGGTCGATAGGTTGGTATTTGTCCTACCATCTGTTGGCGGCTAACGTAGTTCAGCTGCCTCGATTGACACCTCGTGTCGACCTCGTTCCTCGGCGGACAACACGCGTTGTTCGGCCTCCAACTGCTTCCATCCATTTTGTCTGTCGATGACAGAATGTTAGCTCCTCTTAAACTCGAATCAAATGTTCGGATGGACGTGTCTTCGCCCGTAGTCACTTGAGACGTCTCGTTCAACGGACTGTGTTTCCTATTTGAAGTCATGTTATTTCATCCCAGTTCCTATCGGGGCTAGTGCCTTTTCGATCTTGCCAGCCCTCCAGAGCGACATATTGGTCGTGGGCATTCTGAGAAGGCGCAGTGCTCCGTTCAAGAGGCGATCGAATCAGTGAAGAAGGGCGGACGCTAGAAGCAAGACTTGCAGGTATACAAATCTACCATAGTGTCTCTTATTCACTCAGTATTTGCGCAGCTACTGAGGAAGATTTGTGTGCGAATTAGGTCTTATGAGTACACCGCATGTTGTTCAAATCGGTCAAGACGTGTCAACAATCGAGAATGCAGAATAGTCGTCCCGCCGCTTGTCGAATCTTATGATTGCTGTAAAGCTCTGAGATGACCCTGATAATCCTGTGCTGTACAATTGGCCTGGTATAGAAGATCAGACTTTAGGTCGAGATGAATACAGACGGCGGTCCGCCTGGCGCTCTTTCCGCCCCAGAAACCCAAGCTATTTTCTCACAAGGAAAATTCACCGTTTCAAGCTGTTCAAGAATATGCATGGCTATACATATCTGGGTCGGGACATCCAGGATAAGAGCGGGGTTATGAGAGCTGGGACAGAGACAGAACCGGGCAGGTCAAGCCATTTGACGTTGTACCCAAGCGACAATGTCAGATTGGTAAGACTCGTACATGGACAGCTTGTGGACGTTAATGTCTTTTTCTTTAATCAAATGATCGTGAATTGGTCAAAATAACAAATATCCTCGGTCATGGGCCGCCTGATATCCTTGTGGTATATACTTGAAGCTAACCTTCTGGCTGCGAGTGTGCAGGGGCTAAGATGCTAAACTTAACGGCACGCAATCCACACAACCGACAGCTCCATGATCGCATTGGAACATGTGCACATCAGCGAGCTTCTAGAGCGCCACCACGGGCCGAGGTTGCTTCGAGCATATGGCACACAAATTCGAAGATGGAAGACGACTTTAGTGAAAGGCTCGCTTCTTGTATATGTTGAGATCGATGGGAGAGATCGAGTTGCTCGGTCATTCTGCAATTATCTTCTAACGGGAGTTGCGGCAGCAGTTGATGCCCGGACTAGTCTGCCTTAGCGCGGATTGCCGTTCGAGGTTGTCAGGTGGTCAAATCAGTAATGTTGCTTCTCATTGAAGCACAAAGCGCGATTTCATCTCATCTGTTGAGTATCAGAGAGATGAGGAGTCTTCCAAACTTATGAAGAATTCAAGGTTTCCTATGGGCCACGTTGTTGTCGAACGCGTAGGGTTCCAGCAGATGCCAACTTGTTGGCCTGCCATCATTCCCCGCCATGTCTGATTCTATGATATCACATGAGGCAGATGTTGGTAATCATGCAATAACAGGTATATTTAAGAGGATCGCCGAAAGCTAGGGAATCATTTCCTGCCGCAGTGCGTGACAACGTCCATCCATGCGCTTGGAGCTTGAGCCGCGCTGGGTGACCATCGGTGGACCCCTTGGCTCGATCGGATTCTCCGTCAGTCTCCCTTTACTTATGCGATTTGTGTCGCGCATGTCGGGTATTATAGCTCTCATTCTGCTTTGACGGGGGGCAGCATGGTCAATTGGCAACCAGGACCCGTGGAACACCCAAAAGTTCTGACGTGACGGTATGTCTCGACATCTTCGAGCAGGCTCATGATAGATACCTCCAGTTCTCTCGCGCAGGATCATGAGTCTGATGACGCGAAGGACTAGAATGAGACTCAGCTCATATTCAGAGCAGCCCTGTAATCATAAGAGGCTTTGATCACTTCGCATTAACGATTTGAGGGAGCAACCCGCGCTAGATCAGCAACTTTAGGTACTGCCCCACGACTGATACGGAACATATCTCCGAAGCACGAGACTTCTTTCTCAACGTGAGGCCTTTATCTCAGCTTGCGACCTCTTTTTTGGCGCTCGTTTAGACACTCGAAACAAGCCTTAAGAAGATATGTCAAGCGTTCGACTGACGGTCCCTAAAGGGAAGACAAGATGGAGGACGTGAAAAATGAACAGTACTGTGTTGATTGACCAGCGGCACCTGTCTCTGATGGATAATACCAGCGGCTTGTCTCTCTGATGGATAATTATTCCAACGCCGCTTATTGGGTTCCGCTATTTGCATGTACGGCACTTTCGAAATAGTCCTTTCGCGTACCAGTCTTTTCAAAGAAGTTTTTGAATGATAGGATCGCTCAGGGGTAACATTCTGCTTGTCATCTCGTTTGTAGATGCCATGATATCTGTGACTACGGTTCTCTGATAAGACCATAGGCATACGACAGCCTGACCTTGCTCTTGTGGTGAGATAGATGTTGCCATTGCCTCGACGTAGCAAGTCGAGCCCAGCCAGAACCTACACGTATCGGTTCAGTTCCAATAATCATAATGAGTCAAGGTGAGAGATTTCTTTCACCGGTGCTGAGGATTTTTCTTTTTCCACCGGGCCAAACAATATGAGATCCATTGACATCGGCTTATTAACCACGTCTTCACAGTCTCGGGCGCGCAACCAACTTCTCAATTAGTGCTAATCACCTAGTCTCCCGAACCCCTTCGACGGTTAGCATTCTTCGTCTGTTCGCTGCGTCTCCTTGATCTGCCAATACCAATACAATTTTTCTCGGTCCCGTCCACGATGGCATGGCTGAGAAAACCACTCCGAAAGCCATGAAATCTGGCGGAGGTCACACCCGCAGAGTATAATTGGTGCCGCTCTGAAATATCATACAACCGCACCATTCTGCTTCCTACTTCTTTGTATCTACGTTTACTGTACCATAACACGATAAGATCAAATGGCTGGGAGAACAGGATGCTTGTCCGTCAGAAGCCAAGAGGTTCACGTCGTGTAAAGCCAGCACACTGAAAATCAGCGGTTGACGAAAGCTTGTGCATGTCACTTCCGCCGAATTTTCCTTGTCGTCGTGACCTCATGATTTGAAGAAGTCTGGTTTCTCTCGCATCTCTGCTCTCGATGTAATCGGACCTCATATCAAGCGGGCTTTGTTCGGTAAAACTGTTTTGAGATGCATCTGTGTACTGTCCAAACTAGGTCAAAAGTACCCTAAAAATATGTCCACACTCATTTTCATGCTATTATGTAGGGTACAATCAAATGAAGCATTTATGCCCGCCCAAACACCAACATTCGTTGTGAACTATAACACGCCAAGAATTGCCCTCTAATCAGCATACATTGGGGTCATTTTTCTTTGCCTCAATTAAACACTCGCAAATGCAGATGTGACAGGCTTGCCCTGCCGTCCGAGACTTCAGCTAATATCAATCTTAGTTGATAATTGGATTTGACCGAGCATGTAAGGTAATCAACACATCTTACTCACTTCAGGGAGTCTCTCATCATCCTCAAATCAATGTGTTCTTGTCCAGTGAAATGCCACCATGTCCTCTGACGTGCTCATTGCGTGGGAAGCAGCTGCCCACACCATTTACCAGCCTTCTATGGCTCAGTGACATTGATAATCGTTGTTTGCAATGACGTGAGGGCGTATACGGGCGTGATAATATGCCACAGAGCCGGGGTAGCGTGATTCATATCTGTTGATGAGATTTTCTGCTCGGGCCTTTTTCTAAGGACTAAGCAGAACAGGACTTTACTACTAGAATATATCAGATATACAGGTCTCGATGCCCTCAGAAAATGCTATTCTCATCCTTGTTTACCGCAATTGAACCCACATACCACACCAACCGCATCGAATACCAACTAGCCAGCCAGCCAGTCAACACTTGAATCAACATTCTTCAACCACCCCCATTCTCCCTGTGTGTCCTACACCCAGATCTCGCCTCCGATATTCAGATAAAACTCCATCTTCATCAGCATGCACATACGCGAACACGCGAAACACGCGACGACCACCCCAGCCAAACACCTCTCAGCACCCAAACAAACACCCCTTACTTACCCAACCCACGCATAATGTAGGTATGCAGGCACCGGCAGGGGAGAGTGCTCAGTAGGATTTAAAGCTACCTCCCCAACCCATTATCCATCAGGTCTCACTGCATAAGTATACAAGCTTTCGACCCCAACGCGCAGCAGCAGCCAGCATCCACCAACCGCGGCCCAGCCTGACATCTCGAGTCTTCAGGGCGATTCCACTCTTTTGAAAAAGAAACCTTCACTCATTTAAAACAAAACGCAACACAAGACATTTATTCATTATTCAAGATGCAACTCTCCGCCTTCTTCCTCGCGACCCTCACCCTCCTCACCTCCACCGTCTCCGCCCAGAGCCGTCCCCACGGGATCGATATCGGCAACGAGGCGTGCGTGGGTCAATGCGTGCGCGACCCGCGGTTGTTGACTTGCCCGACAACCAAGGTAAGCAAGCACCACATCTCTCCTTGCCTCTTCCCCCATCCCCTCATTCACTTGGATGACTGCATGCATGCATATCATACCCGACGCGGAGAAGGTCTCCCCCTGTCTTGAATCCGGGCCTTTGCTTTAATCTCTTTGGCCCTGGGCTAACCCTTCAATGAAATCCAGTACCAAGCCGATCAAGGCTGCTACGTATGCTGTTGGCAGGACGATGATGCCGGGGCGTGGGCTGATCACATCCACGATGATGACCTTGTTCCGGATATTGACTAGATGAGATGGGTCTGGGTTGGAGCTTCCTTGGGGTTTTGGATGTTAGGCGGCTGGATGGTTCTATGTCAGGGAAATGTGATACTCTGAGGTGGCAGAACAGAAGTTACGAGAGAAGTACACTCACTCATCTGCCATTCGCACGACCAAGTAACAACTGTGCGGGATGTTAAGAGCAACATGTTTATGATACAATAGTTTCGATGGGTCTGAGCGATAAGGCTCGCACCGTCATAGCATCTGACGTTGACATCATTGTGCTTCGCCCGAATCCTTCCTGCATTAATTGGACGCTGGCCGAGGGAGAGGCGTTCTGGTCTCGCTTCTCTGGAATTGCATAGTCTCGCACTTGCTCGTCTACGGTGTCGTGACGTTCTGTAGTCGTGTTCAAGATTCTCGGTCTCTGAGGTGCCGCTGTCTGCTCTAAGTGTTGACGTTGCGAATGGCTTGTGCTTTCTTTTTGACCTGTTATAATGTGCATGCGTTGCGTTCGAACATAACTGTCATTTCGATCAAATTGGGCTATAACTAGCAATGTCTTGGCTAATGACACAAGGCCGGCCACTCTTGTTTCACCATAAGGCTGATGAAGGGTGAGTGGGTCAAGTCATGAAATCTGGGGTAAGTCGGCAGATTGCAGGCCGGTTAACAGCAAGTCAGTTTTTAGGGCGTGCGCTTCTATTTTTGAGCCTTAACTTGGATGGTTGTGTCAGAATCATGAATGGGTTGTGTGGCTTGGAGGCAATCGGTTTGCGAGAGGTCTAACTAAAATGCTTGTCGCTATCCGCCTTTATACAAGCCCAAACCCTGCTCAGTATTAAAAAGTCTATGCCATAGTTCGCTGCTGTTTTCCACGTTCACAAACAAAAGTATTTTCCCACGCCTATCACTCATGAGTTCGTTTCTCGCTTGCTTTCTATCATGTTTCCTGTTCAATGGTTGCAAATGAATGATGGAAAAGAAAAGAAAAAAAAGAACAGAAGAAAAGGAAGAGTGAAACAGAATAATAATAAAACCAATGATGCAGTTCTCACAACATCACAGTGGCCGAGGCCTACATATTTGACCAGTAGAAATTTCTCAAACCAGTCAACCATGACAAATACGCCGAACGTTCGGCCTAAAGCTCAGACAGAGCGCATGGGCACATTGGAGCTCACTGCATCCAAGGTCGTAGTCAAAGTAGATGTCTTGCTGAGAGGCTTCTCATTCCACAGTGCACTGCTGGCAGGAAAGATAGAGCCTTCATCGGACATGTCAACGAGGGAGACGCCCTCAGCCTGGACATGGACATGAGGGACTACCAGCTCAACCCCTTTGGTTGCACTCGAACTGCAAGTATGCGGATTGTGACGCGGCGGCAACGGACGATATACCGGATCATGCATCTGACCCACGTAATCCGAGGCATTGCTGCTGAATGACGACGCGACCGTAGACGGTGTATGGGTAAGCGAGGGAGCAGGTCCCGTGGCACTCATGAGAGTACTCAGGCTCGCAGAGCTACGATGGCCGAATCCTGGGCGACGCAGAGGAGCACCGCTGTCTTCGTTGTGGAACTGGGACAGATACTTCCACGCGTCTGATGTTGCCAATGAAGTAGTGCCAGTACCCATAGGTATTACAGGCTTCCATTCGGTGGGATCCTGATCCGGCTTGGCATCAAGCCATTCGCCGGGTATCCGGGCAGAGCTAGACAATCTGGTGGAACTCTTCGTCGGAGTCAAAGGTGCGACTATCATCCGAGGCGACATGAGGGGAGAGGTTGGGGGCGTAGAAGAGGAAGACATGGAGGACGTCGATGGGAAGGAAGCTGAGAGTGGTTTGTGGGAGTCCTTGCGACGGCAGCTATAGATAAGACGAGCATAAGCATGAGAAAACAGAATGATGAGGTCGGATAGGGGACGTGAGGTCAGATTTGAACAACAACGGGGCCTATGCTCAATAACAACGATGGTAAATGATAAGGAAAATCTCATCATACCTTTCACTGCAGTACAAAAGAGTGTTGTCAGGCACTGTTATCTGTCTTTCGCACATGGCGCTGTCGATCAATCAGCTTCGAATGAACTCTAGATAAGGCAAAACGCAACATGCAAGGAAGGGGAGAAAGAAAGAAAGAAAGAAAGAAAGAAAAAAGAAAAATAGCAGTCCAGGCACGTACCAGAAGTTGAGGAAGCTGGCCGCCATCTCGGGTTGCCGGTCGTCTTCCACCTCCAGATGCTTGGTGGGTTGTCCAGAGCCCAACTTTGAGATGGAATGGGTGACGAAGGAAGTGCCTCTCCGATGTAGTGCCGGCCGGGAGGTTCTCACTTTAGTGGTATTCGAACCCGAGGGTGTGCGTCGATGATGGAAGTTGCCTTGAGTCATGGATGGCGGTGAAGGGGTTTATGTATAGGGCAATTGGAAAATAAAATAAAAATATACTCGTCCAGAGGCACCGGAGTGGCTCTATCTGAGATAGTTCGGCGGGTGGTACCTTGCGCCGATGGAGACCGCGTCCAGTTGTGGAGCACGAGAGCTTCCCCTGATGGGGTCAGAGTATGAGGGATTTGCGACTAGCAGGGGTCAAGTGCACACAGCAGGGCCAACCGGCTAGGCCAGCTTGTCTCGGATAGTTGTACTGGGAGATACTGTAGTCCCCGTGATGGTAATAATGCCTCGTACTCGTCCAAAAGGGAGGCGAGGATCATGGGCATGCGCTGGATCAGTTCAACGGAATGACCTAAGAATACAGATCTGAGCGCCCTTTATGTGGTTTCTTTTTTTTTTTTGGAGACCCTAGCAATGAGGCAAATATGTAGCAGCCGGATTGCAAATTCTTGATGATGATAATGACGCCGATAAGCTTTTCTGGGTGTGTATCTGTGTATCTGCTGTGGCACAGTCATGGTCAGATCATTCGCAAAACTAAAAGCGCAGTTTCACTAAACGGGAAGTGGCCGACTCGTTGGACGGTTATCAAAGGTCTCTGAGTGGGGAGAGATAAGGGACTTAGGACAAGGCATAGAAGATGACGATAAATTTAGTCTGATACGAGAAGGCATACATACCAAGCAAATGTTGATTGTCGTTTCTTTCCCTTGATTGCAGTTGAAACTGAATTTCCTGCCACTTTTTTTTGGTGATGAGAGTGGTAGAAGATGATGTCGTCTTTCAGGGTACACCGCACCGCACGTGCAACTCGGCTGGTGCCAAAGATGGGCGTTGCTGCGGTCCTATGCGGGATTATTGAGTGGCGGTGATGGTAAGTTATCGTGCAGCTGGCCGAAAAAGCCAAAAAAAAAAATCACTCGGAGAATATTGCGTGACCCAAGGGATACCGCGGTGAAATATACTAGAATCGTGATGTATAAGAATAGTGATCGATCCAATCACCTTCTTTCGAGTCGATCGTGGTAAGTATGTATGTACTGTATGTATGAAAGCCAGTGGCTGACGATAGACCGAGGAAGTTGAAATGGGTAATGAAGATGAGGGAGGTGGATATGGAGTACTAGATATAACTGAATCTGGGATCGGGGATCATCCAGCAACGGGATATTCTAGAACTCTTGATTCGATACTCTCTGTACTCGGGTACCACCTGAATGAAGAAAGCATGATGAAGGTTAGCCCTGGGGTTCCTTTCTTCCCCAACGATTGCGCATTATTCCCCAGGGCGACGTGACGACCGCCGAGCACGTCAAGCCCGGCAGTGGAAGCGACACTTGGAGTCACGCCATTGCGGTCTAGAACTGCCCCTTGGTTGCCTGAGGCACTATGGTCGACGCGCAATCGTGTTTCTTCCTCCTTCACTTTGGAGGAAACATAAAAATAACTGCTTACCTCACCACCAGCTAGATGACCTAATCGTCCCAATGTACTCCGTATAACTATTCCTTGTAATGGGGACCGTTGCAATTGATCCGCTGCTGAAACAGAATTTTCTCTCGGTCGTCTCTAAATTTAGTTTCGAGCTGTGACTGCTCTGGATCCGGTGGAGAGAATTGAGGTCAGACTGAGAAGGGATGAATCACAAAGAGAAAACAGACTTCCAACCCTCTCCGAATCCGTTGTTGCTTTTCCCGCATTCTTATATGGAATTCAATCGGCACTCCATCGTTGCCGGAGCGGGGTACTAGCGATAACCACGGAGTCACTCCCACCAAATGAGGATTCCGACTTGCCCGGCAGGCAGCCTTGATTTCTTACGGCCTACTATACAAGCGCGATGACGCTTGATTTTGCAAAGTCGTGTGTTGTTGGTTCCTAGCCCATCACATCACCCGTCTCGATCTCTGGGTTTTTTCATAACCGACCGAACCACGCTTATCGGTCGAAGGGGGGAGCCTATCCCCAATCACGTTTTCGCATCCGGATGACATGTCGTCTTGGCTTGGACGATATGGTCTTCGCGGGGCTTCTAGGTCTGATCGTCCACGCCCCTCCCAGCCCAGATTGACACCTTTCTTTGATTCGGGCACCCATCATCGACCAAGGGGCGTCAGCTGTCAATCCCTCCTACTCCACCGCTCTTGGTCTAGAGTCTCTAGACAACGTCCGGGACACCGGGTACAAGGAGGGATAGACCAATGCTTTACGTACAAGCTTACACATGGTAGTGCGCCTCCAGCGCGGCCTCGGTCGTGTCCTGCAGTATCTGACTTGCGACGGCCCTAGTAGGATCTGTGCGGTAGGATCAACCGTCGTTAGATCCAATGATCGCGCCATATGGCTTAGGTGCACAGTACACCGTACCTCTGTAGTCCATCGCGCGAAATGAATTGACCTTGGTGGTGGGCAAACCAGGAAGCTTCGAGATTGCACTCGTACACCCATTATGCTTTATCTTTCCAGCAATTCATCCACCTTGCGGGTGTGACGCCATCAATACAAATGCCCGAAATGGTCTCTTTTGTTTATCAATAGAGATGGCACAGAATCAAAGAGAGTTCGGCGGGATCAGCCACAACAGGCACGCTTCCATAGATTAATACTGCTTTGATCAAGGGGGCAAAATATCAATCAGGGTGACGAAAATAGCTGAGACACGCCCAGGTGGGAAAGGAAGAGCGATGGCTTGCGCCTACCTGGTCCACTGCAATCATCGGCGTAGACATCATCAAAGGGGGAACAATTGCCCGCAAAGACTGTTGTAGTCTGAGATATTATTGAGATAGCAATAAAGGTTTGATAATAGTGGGGTAGAGGGGAACAAAAAGCAAGTACGCAGTCATCAGGCGCAGTAGCCACCATGCAGTTCTATGATAACTGCAACCATCTTTAAGCGCATGATAGTAAACTGATATTTACCCCATCTCGACCACCATTTGCTCAAATCAAATCATACATACACCCTCGCCCATAGCGAATGAAGACTCCTACCCGCCTGCCCTACAATCTCGATATGGGAATATGATTAACTCACGGCGGATGAGCATGCCCACCCGGTCGTTCCAGGGATCTGTCCCTTTCTGTTTGACGAATAACTCCGGACCAAGTATCAACTCTTGTGCTCTGGAAACCCCGAGGTCCACCGATCTCGACCATGTCAGAATCTGTTCTGGACTTCTGACAAAGCAAAACCACATCTCCGGTCTGAAAGGGTTGCTGACGTTGACCTCGAATGTTTAGGTTTGATTGACTTTGGAAACTCATTGACGACAGCCTCACTTCACTGAGATCAATCACCTGCATTACCTAATGGTAGAAATCTTTTCTTTCCAATAATACAGTAGATGCATTTCCGATGCCCGCTGCAACGGCCTCCACACTGCAAGTACAAGTACTTTTACTTGGGGCGCAAACGGCTTTCCCTTCCCCTCCCGCCCTTCTATCCCCATCTATCTCCCGGATTACTGCATTCAGCGGAAAGACCGATGCGGCCATGCTACCCCTCCACTTCTTTCCTTCAGATAGATTGCTCTCTTGTAAAATATGAACAATCGCTGTCGCATCTCAGAGGCAATGCATTCCACTGGGTCGCATGAAGTTTTACCTGTCCACTGTTGCCTCTTTTCTTTTTCTCTTATCCCGGGCCTCCCACCCATCATCACACGCCAAATTGCCTCATTAGGGTACAAGATAAGCAACCGTCTGCAGATATGCACCGTAGGCCAGCTAATCTACTGTAACATACAACACAATCAATCTCCAAGTTTTTTTTGTTCTTTACTCCATGTTGGGCGAGAAGCAAACTTTAATCAAGGGCCATCCCACCACTTACCAGCAAGGGGAAATGAAAAAGTTTACCCCCCCCCCCCCCCCCTGCCCCAACCAGGCCTACCCATCTGATTCCAAGCCAGGGAAGTTCCTGCTCGCCCGCATAAGCCGACCCCAGACTTGGAAGAGGGAGGGGACCGCGGGGGTCCGCACCAATGCAACATCGCTCAAGTTGCCTACCCGGTCCTCCTTATCTACCGACTGGAGACGGGAGAAACGGAGGACCTTGTTTCTCTCGCGTATGCAGTGAACCTAAGAAGCTAAGGTCTGATAGTGAAGAGGGCTGGTACCTCTTGTCCCTCTCACATATAGTGATGAGTTTAGTAGCCTTCCAACGTAGTCCCGTGATTGGTCAGCTCACATGCACCCAGTAATTTGGAACAGCGCTCATTGATGTTCCCATTTCGCCTGTTTATTCCGTTCGGGTGACAAATGTGTCCGGTTCCGGGAATGGCATCGGACATTGCCAGAGTAAGCATTGCCTGTAGTGTAGAGGCCGAAATCAGTTTAAAAGAATCAAACGGGCAAGGCTTTGTCTGGCTCGATGTTGAGGGTTTACAATCACCTTGAACGCTTGGTGGAAGGGTTTGATTGTTCAAACTCCCAGAGAAAAAGGGTATTTTCTCACGCATCTGGGTTGAGGAATCCAGCGCGTGAACCGCATAACTCTTCCGTATAATAACGCTCGCGTGATCTGTGCCTCACTGTGCGGCCGGACACGCTGATCCTGGGTATTCGCTTGTGGAAGGAATGGAGAAAATTACAATATTGGCCTACCCATGATTACCAGTTTCGCAACAACTATACACTCACAATGCATGAGCAATCCGTGTTGCCTTTACTCAGGGCGGCGGCAACGATGATATGCATAGTAGACATACTTGCATATGTGTCCGGTAGGCCAAGCGTAATATACTGATTTGTTTACCTGGCATGATTCCGCCAGTAAATGAACCTCGGGAGTTTGAGGATGTACCAGCAAGGAGAAAGTGCTTGGGACAAGTTGTGTTTCTTAACGTGGGTATCATTGACTGGATCGTAGTATTATACACTTGGGGGTTGGAGATAGCCCAGGCTGTCAGATTGATTATTTATCAATCTCCATTGGATCGCCCGCGGCCACCGGGGTGGGAGTAGGTGCAGCAGCGGAATCGGGATTAGGTGTAGAGGTAATCGAAACTTCAGCTTCGGCTGGAGTCTTCGTTTCGCCATCCGCTTTGGTTGCACACGATTCGTTGGTAGCCCTGTCACTCGCAGTAGGTGCGCTCTCCTTGGATTCCTCTTTTGCTTCAGGTCCGCCCAGAAACCTTGCTGGAACACCCCGCGCAGCTACTCCAGCTGGGCCTACATAGCACCCAAGCATTGGGCTCCAACTGAACTTTTGCGACACCGCGTTTCGAATTTCGTGATAAGCATAGGCATTTGCGAAAGGGAGAGACGTGTCGGGGTCGCGATAACGAGAGGGAAGTGATGTAATCACACAGAGGGATGAGGATATCTCTGTTTTGCTTGTTAGTGTTTTCAAAAGACGCGTGCATAGGGTCGGAACTTGGGGTGGTGAACGTACTGGTAAGCCTTGGGGGCTTCTTCGCGTTGAAGTAAATGCTGAACTCGCGGCTTTGTGCAGTCCTTTCATCGAAGTTCTCCAAGATTGTCAGGTTGCGTCCCATCTGTTCAATGACTGGAGGAGGTTGAGGAACCTCTGCTTGCGGTGCGTTCTCAGTCGCGAAGATTGGCTGACTAGCTTGTGGCCCCGGAATCTCCTTCTCCGACTGTGTTGGCATCGAGGTATTTTTGAGTGCGTCGGCTTGCGAAGGTGCATCAGCAGCGGCCGGCACTGTAGTAGGTGAAAGCTCCTCCGAGGCTGCGACTGTTTCTGACTCTGGGCCGGTGGCTGCAGATGGCTCAGGAACAGGTTGCTTTGCTGCATCACAAGGGTTTTCCTGCGCAGGCTGTGTGGCTTCATTGGATTTCGGCTGCACAGATGGTGCGACTAGCTCCGCTTGTTTCTCGTGTTTGGCCGCAAGATCCTGGTCGTCCGAAGCCTGCACCGTGGACTGTGGAGCTTGAGCTGCACTCGCAGAAGACTCTTCTGGCTTCTCTGCGTCGGATTTCTCAACTTTGTTCTCAATCTCGGAAACTTCTGATTCTCTACCCTGTAGGGCTTTATCACCAGCGGCGGTCTGTGGTTCTGCCTCTTTCATTTCAACATCGACCGGATGTGATTCCGACGTTGTCTCTGTACCTGACGCCTTTACGGGCGCAGAAGCGGGTAGTTGTTCCGGGGCAGTGGCTGAAGCCTCTGCAGGTGCAGTTGCGGGTGCAGATGTAGATTCGGGAGCACATGGGGAAGCCTCGCCGTCGGCATTGGTCGTTTTGCTTTCTGATGGGGCCGTGCTTTCTTGAACCGACTGAGGATCAGTTGGTTGGGCTATGGAGGGTTCTGAGTTCCCCTTCACGGGTTTCCCTTCTTCAGATACTACTGGATCCTTCGAGCTTTCGGGCTGAGCGGTAGTTTGAGGGGCTGTTTGCGACGTGGCAGGCTTAACAGAAGCACTGACCTCGGGCGGTTTTTCCTCTGTCATATTTTTCCCTTCTTTGTCCAGCTTCTTGCTCTTCTTGCGTGTAGTGTCCTCTTTTTCCGGCTTGGGAGTTATATCGACTTTGCCAATGCGCGTTAAGCGACCATCGGCCCATGTTGCTATGCCGCTCCAGTATGACATGACCGGGCCCTCTAGACGGCGGTTTTGCAGCGCCTCAATCTTCGCTTTTCTTTCCTCGGCTTTTCTTTTCTCCATTTCCTCCCATCTATTGAGGCTTTTGCTGTTGTGCCGTTCTACTCTCTCAGCTTCGGCAAGACGTTCAGCCTGCGTCATCTCCTTCGGCTTGAATTGAGCCTTCCGTTTCGCTGCCTCTTCCATGGTCGCAATGAGACGAATGCGCTTTTCCTCGCTGTCTTTGAGTCGTGCATGCGTAAGTTCCTTGTTCTGCATGGTTTGTCGACGAGAGGACGATCTCGTTGGCCCTTCTTCGGGCGTCGGGATCCACGAAACGCGTTCGGACTTCTTCTTCGGTCGCGGGGCAGGCACTGCGGACACGGCGGTGGGATCGATCTTGACTCGTTTGGCGGCTATTTTGTATCTGAGATCTTCCTTCGCTCTCTTCTTCTTTTTGTCTGCTCGTTCTGCCTTCTGTAATTGTTGTTCCCCTTCAAAGTCATCGTCCTTGGCGCTCGGACCCTGGTCGTCTTCATCATCGGACGAAGATTCAAAACGCATATCGTCTTCCTCTCCGCCCAAATCTTCCGCATCCACGGCAAACTCGTTGTCGTCCTCAACTTCTTCGAACAGAAGTGCAAGGTCATCGTCGGCGGCAGCATCCAGAAGAGCCGACATGTGAAGCCCTGCGGTGCTTCGCTTCGCGCGTCCCTGGATTAGCGACTCGACCGGGAGGTCTTCCTCCGCAGAGGATGGGGTCTCATGTTCGTCGGCCATTGTTCGTAGACTCGTAATCTAAAGGTACTCTTCGGAGCAAATAAAGCGACCCGTTTGATAGAAGCCGACCGTTTAGCCACGATAGGCCGCGTGTCCGCTAAGGCGCGTCAGAGTACAGCAGCTTTCGCTACTGCTGCCATGCGTCCCGACTTATCCTGGTACACAGGTGTGAGATTAGTGGTATATATAGAGGACAGATAATGAAAGGGAAACTTTTACTGGATAAGGCGATCGCCGGTGCTGATAGCTGCGCTGCGGAAAGGTAGGCAGGCACGCAGGCGGTCACTGCGGAAATTCAGTCACTCCTTCTAGTGCCTCAGGCATAATTGCTTCACGTGACAAAGCATTTGGATTCAGTTACGAACAAGCAAGCAGTAAGTAGGTATGAGTAAACATTTTACATAGTCAGTCCAATAGAGTCTTACAAAGTCGGGCGATATAATTACACACAGTCTGACTCCGACTATGGACAGAGTATGCTTACATGGATGACCTTACCTCCTTCCAGTTGTTACTATGGCTTACCTAGAACGGAGTCAATGCAGAGAGCCAGTAGGAAAGAAAGGTCTTGCTTGGGTCAGGTACCTGCTGCTGCCATTCTAATAAGGTCCTGCGCTGCAGGCAAGATGATTCTGGAACCAGACTGATCCCAGAACAATGATTGATACCAAGGCTCTAAACGGCTCATCCATTCTTCTGCACAGAATAGGATTTGTCCACGGCTTGTTGTCTTATGTTTTCTAGACAGGTTATGACGACATCAAAAGCAAAAGATTGTTGTTGTCGGGGGAATGGACTCCTTACTTCCTTTTCTCTGTATATCGCCGAAGAGAAAAAGCTCCTTTGCTTTCCAGGGCGTGAAGCAGATATCCACCGTCACATTCTGATCTGGTTCACCGATCTCTCAGGCGGCCAAGTCGGCGTGTGACTGACTGCTGGGCGGATCGATATTTTGTAGTAGTCGACGACCGATAGATGTCATGAACCCTCCTTGTTATAGGAGCGGCGCCATGCGCCCGGGTGCGTTCAGCACTGTGTCAACCCGCTCAAACCACATGACGGACCTTGGAATGCGGGGTTTTAGCATGTTTCAGGGCGAGCATCACCCGGACTAGGTCATTTAATAAGTCTTCCGTTTCGGTTTCGACATGGGCGTAGATGTCGGACGCGCCATTCGCATCCCTGCCCTGCTAAACAATAAACAGCCTATCAACCGCTTCATCCGCTAGGTGGAAGGCGTACAATCTCATGCTATGTTTCAGAATTAAAGGGGCTTTAGGCCAGAATTCAGTGTCATTAGACAGCCATCTTGGAGGTAGAGGGTAGCATCACCACCTGGCTCTCGGTACGAATTGCATCTTCAGTCGTTACAATGCTAATTTGTTTTAATGGGCTTAAAGTGTCCCTGCTCGTGCTCCCCATGTTCTAATTCAGTTCTTTGAGGCAATAGATGTTAGCTTACGGTACACACACATTAAGTATATAAATATATAATCATACGCGTACCGGTGTTGAAGGACACAACCGATATGAGTTGACGCCGTGTACACCTTTGAAAAAAAAAAAAAAAAAAAAAAAAAGGAAAGGATCCAATGCAATGTTATCTGCACCGGTAATGGCTTTGTACTGTGTAGAGGGCAGACAGTGGGCTAACAAACACATCCACACAGAATCAGGAGGGAATAAAATCAGGTGAAACGAACCACTATTCAGAAGGCGGGTTTCTGTGCTGGCAAGTAGTATGAGATTCACCACCAGCACGACGGGCGACTCGAAATCAACTAAAATCATTGTGTTGAATGAAGGATGCAGCAATAAACTCCAACGGTACCTTGAAAATCCGCAGCGACAGAAGTAAGATTCATAACTCCGTCCCAATAACAATAAATCAAGACCGGTCGAGCCGGCCAACCACAGAGCCGAATATATGACATGCCCTGCCCGGGGATCCGGCAAAGGCGAGAGCTTCAGAAGGTTCCATTTTCTCCGTTCTTCACTCACTTGCTGAGTCCCGTCTTTTCCATCCCGCCTTCTTCCACTCTCTGGTTGTCTCTCTCTCCGCCCAACGAGCATAGCACCACCACAACACCCACAGCTTCTCTTTCTCTTCTTCCTCCTTCACCATCACCCGCTAATCTTTTTTACCTCTTCCCTTCCCTCCCCCCTCCACACCCTTCTCTCTTCAACTTCTATCCATTGTTCCCTTTCCCTTGCTTTCACTTTAATCATTCCACCATCGTGCTCATCTTTCCTGTTCCCCAATCTCCGGTCTTTTCAATTCTTGTATCTTTTTTAGGCTTCTGCCCGAAAGCCGCGCAGTTTATTTCCAGCCACCTCTAGTCGACCCTTTTCGGATCTCCCGTTCCCCAACGGCCGCCGCGTCCCTACTCCTGATTTCTGCAACTCCCCTCTCCATCGCTCGATTGGCTTGTCCTGACAATATCGCGTGTCTATACGGTCTTTTCGAGCGGGTCCGAGTGATTTAGTGGAAAATCGATCATCGAGATCTGATCACGGCGGAAGATCGTGGCCATCGATTCTGGACACGACACCAGTCCAAGACAACTCTTGCCCAAGGGCGATTCCCGTCGACTGCTTCATTCTAACGGATAACGCCCAAACCTTTACGATTTCGCATCTCTTTTGCCTACTTCCTGGCCTTTTGTGATCGCTAGAGCATACGTATTCTTTCGGACCCAGTCCTCGCCGACCCCGCTACGAGCACCGCGCCGTCACCAATCCGGTTCTTGAGCATTCCCACACCTAGACGCAGAATTGTTGCCTGCCTCTCTCCGCAGGTCTCTGGTGGATTATCGCTTGCTTTTCTCCGTCACCCTCCTAATTGGACCGACACATGATCGGCGCAGATCAGTTCTCTGACTGAGCAACCGATTTGCCGAATCCACGAGCATCCTCTTCCTTCGTTTCCGCTCAGAGCCCTGCTACGCATAAGGTGTTCGCCTTGAGGTGGAGGGATATAATACATAATGTTACCCGTTTCACGACCCGAGGGCCACATGAACCTCAATTATATTCCAACTACCCAACCGATGTCTGGAACCAGTACGGGGCGCAGCTCTCCAAGCGATCTATCGGGGTCTGCTGGTATGAAACCGCCGTTCGGATCTTCAACTGGTTTGAATGGCGGTGCCGGCTCCATCGGAAACGCGAGGCTAGGGGCTGGATCCCCTTCCCATGAACTTGGGGCTCGTTTATATTCGAAACGGTAAGCCCAGTCTCACTACCCTGATGAAGTTTGTATTCGACTGTCTGATAACTGACATTGCTCGATCTATATTTTAGAGCGCGCGAAATTCAAGCAGAGGAAGGTGTTTCTCCCAGTATCTGGGGACCCCCCACCAGTGGCCATTCGACTCCCCTCCGCGAGAACATCCCCGAGTCCCCAAGCCAAGAGGGGTTTCCTGACTTGGTACCCACTTCCAGCGGCTCAATCAACAGCACTGCTCGAAGAGCTAGAGCTGGGACAGTTCCCTCTAGATTCTCACCTGTTGGTGCTCTGAACGAAGCAAATCTTCAGCAACCGTACATTCCCCAGACTTCTAGGCCTACACCTTCAACCAGCCCTTTCCGCCCGACCGGGGTTTCTGGCATTGACACAGGCGCAAAGACTGCAACTACCGCAGGCGTAGCTGGCGCAGGCTCCCTCTCGCGTCTCCGAGCTGGCTCTATGCCCCAGCGAGCAAATTTCCTTGGATCTTCTGGTCCATTTGGGCCTTCCCTTTTCTCTACTAGCTGGGCAACGGGCCGTGACCGGGCCACGACATTAACAAGCATCCGCTCCTCCGAGGGCCCGGCTTCCCCGAGCCATTCGTCCTTTTCTCGAGACGGTCTCGCCGATACCGATGTCAAAACGCTCGATTATCTAGGCCTTGCCGAAACACCACAACAGCCAAGAGCCACGCTTGTGCGCCCCTCGGTTGACATGCTTCTTCAACAGCAGCAACAACAGCAACAGCAGTCTTCGCTTCCTCCACTGCTTGCGGAACTGGCCATGATGAAAAACAACAGCAGAATCCGATCCTACTCCGTGAACGCCAAGGAAAAATATGCGGATGACGAGGACCTGGAATATGAGAGCCGATACGCACAGATCCCATCTGGTACTGTTACGCCGTCAGCTGCCGCGACAGCTGCTCAATTGGCTGCGACTCAGGCTCAGATACATCAACACAACTTGGCTGTGCAAGCTTTCGCCAATCACGCATCTGCCAGCCGCCCTCGTGCCCGGACAGCTGGCATTTTGGAAGCGCCGCCTCAGCGCTCGTCTATTCGAAATTACCTGGCTACGCCGTCGCGTCTGGAAAACAGCTTTAGCGCGGCCGATCTCAATATCGCAGAAAGCGGAGAATACGATGAACTGTCCGAGGCTGTCCAGCTGATGCATTTGGGTGGCGCGAATATGTCGAATCTCGGCATGCGGCCTGCAGCGGAATTGACCGATGAGAACAACCAAGACGGACCAACACGCGCTCTGTGGATCGGAAGCATTCCTGTCTCAACCACAGTCACGTCTCTTGAGGCGATCTTTAGCATCTACGGCAAGATTGAGTCTACCCGTGTGCTGACTCACAAGAATTGCGGTTTCGTGAACTTTGAGCGCATTGAGAGCGCTATTCAGGCCAAGTCGCTGCTCAATGGCAAGGAAATTTTTCCTGGTGCTGGCCCAGTACGTATCGGGTATGCAAAAGTCCCCGGAAGCTCTGCAGCTGGCACGCCAGGAGTCAATGGATCTCAATCTTCGCCCACCCCTGATCCAAATGCTAGCTTGAATGGAGCCGATGGTCTGGCAAAGTCCGACTGCGGCATAATTGTCCCCCAAATCCCTGCTCTTTCTGAACTCCAACCGGAAATGGCTCAAATTGTTCAAAATTTTGGTGCTACCGAAGATGATACTCTGAACATCTCTGCAAGCGTTCAGCGCGCCATTGCGTTTGATGCATTTGAAGATGAGATTCCCTCTATCGCAGAGCCCAGCCAGACAAGAATGTTCGATGCCCCTCGCCTCCGCGATATTCGCAAGAGGATCGATAATGGTGCCTGTTCTGTACAGGAAATTGAAGAGACTGCAGTTGCGATGCTTCCAGAAATCGCCGAATTAGCATCGGACTATCTGGGCAATACCGTTGTTCAGAAACTCTTCGAGTTCTGTTCTGAGCCAACCAAGGAACAGATGTTGGTGCCGATCGCCCCTCATCTCGCTGAGATCGGTATCCACAAAAACGGAACCTGGGCCGCTCAAAAGATCATTGATGTCGCCAAAACTCCGAACCAGATGAGGCTGATTGTTGATGCTCTTCGGCCGTACACTGTACCTCTATTTCTCGATCAATATGGAAACTACGTACTTCAGTGCTGTCTCCGCTTCGGTGCCCCATTCAACGATTTCATTTTTGAGACTATGTTAAGTCGGATGTGGGAGATTGCCCAGGGCCGGTTCGGTGCTCGGGCCATGCGGGCTTGTCTCGAGAGCCACCATGCCACAAAAGACCAGCAGCGTATGCTCGCGGCGGCCATCGCTCTCCACAGTGTGCAGCTTGCAACGAATGCTAACGGCGCACTTTTGCTAACTTGGTTTCTCGATACTTGCACTTTCCCTCATCGCCGTACCGTGCTTGCACCGAGGCTGGTCCCTCATCTCGTTCATCTTTGCACTCATAAGGTCGCCTATCTTACTGTCTTGAAGGTTATCAACCAACGTAATGAGCCTGACGCCCGTGAGATTGTGTTGAAGGCTTTGTTCTTCAGCGCGGGCGACGAGGTATTGGAGAAAATTTTGAGTGATCAAACTTCGGGAGCGACTCTAATTTTCAAAGTTCTCACTACGCCTTTCTTTGATGAGTCAATGCGCGCTGAAGTTGTCAAGAATGTTTCCAAGGTTCTCACAAAACTAAAGGCGACCCCGAGTCAAGGATACAAACGCCTTATGGATGAAGTTGGTCTTTCTTCGCGTGGAGGTGCCCGAGACAATCATCATGGCCGTGATCATGGACCCAATGCAGACAAGCAGCAGCATCGTCCAACTTCTCGTCAGGCAGCATCGAACTACGTCCCACAACCGCCCATGGAAAGGCAATATAGCGCGCCATTTCCTACCATGCTTAATCAGAGCATGGACGCCGCTAGGCCCATGCCTTCAGAACAGCAATCAGGCGCTGGAGCATATGATCCTTACAGTATCAATGGAATGAGCAATCTCGGCTCTGCAGGCGGCATCAACCCTCTCGGCGGAATTAGTGGAGTTAACGGACCTGGATTCGCTCAAGACTCTATGATGCCTTTGACTCCGCAGCAGCTACAATATCAGGCCTATATGGCGGCACAAAGCCGTGGCCTTTCGCCGTCCGGCCTGTATCCAAGCCTAGGAAACCCCAACTTTGGTTTTGCGGCTGGCAATCCTTCAGCAGACAACCTCCGATCCATGCAGAGTCAGGCTGCCTCCTTGGCTGGCCCGCCGACCCAGCAGATCAACCCAGGCTCCATGTTGAATCAGGCGGCCTTTGCTCCTCAGCAGTTTAGCCCTGTCATGAGCACTGCTCAGATGTATCAGTATCCTTCACAGTTCTATCCCCAAGCACAGCCAGCCCAGGCGCAGTCTGCTGGAGGCCGGCGAGGACGTCCAAGCCATCCCCAGCACATGTGAAAGATTGGGACTCGCCTGCGTGATCGAAGCTGATGTGGGTTGCCTCCCGCATTGAGGATTACCTATAATGCTTTAATCCGCCATTAACTTCCACCTTATGTATAAAGTTTCTTTTTGATCTTTTTTTCAGTTTCCGGGATACAGAGTAGTATGGCTATATGCATGAGATGACCTTTGTCACACCTAGACCGACGCTGGATCGTCTTGGAAATGGAGGAAGGATTGATACGAGAAAAAAAGTGTTATTGTTTTTATTTTTGTTTATTCAAAGCATCGTGGTGTCGCCTATGTTCATAAGCATCTAAGTGATTTCCCAACCGCTTTGGGGGTTTGGTTCCATTTTATCCTCTATAGTCAGTTGGCTATCAAAGCAAAGGGCGTCTTCTGATCTTCCAGCCGGGGCCCATTATTCTCACATGAATTGTATTATGTATTATGTATACGGATAGGCGAGAATGACTACTCCTTCGGATATAATAAGATTGAGGGATTTGACCCCATCCACCGCCTATCCTCTCTATTGGCTTGGGCATACGTCAAACGCTTGGCTCTCACAGGAATGATAGTAGTCGGACAAGCGGGCCTAGGTAGCCACTTACGAAAGGGATCCAACTTGGTACCGTACTTCCATCAGTATTTCCTAAATGGGGTCAAGCAGCCAACGCCAGATTTTGGACGGATGCTGCCCCGCTGACAGGTAGTATTGATACCCCCGGGAAGCAAACTTCCCGCTGCTTCGAAGGTTGGCCCGACTTCTCCTGGACATGACTAGTCAAGCAAATGCGCGAGTATGATAGCTCCTTCATCCATACTTTATCAGGATCCAGAAGCCACCACTTTTTTAATTGATATCCCTGTATCAATCGCTCGCGCACAATCGCTTGTCCAACATCGTTCATCACCACCTTCGTTCTCGACAACGTCACCTTCCGTCCCTGAACATGGCAGGAACCGAATACTACTTTCAGCACCGCCTCTCCGAGAACCATATCCTGCTCGTACAGAGCCAAAAACCGATGCTGCACGGGCAAACGTACTCGAAAGAACGCCCCTTTCTGAAAGGCTTTTTCACTCCGAGATCCTTGAACCCCTTGTAACAAAGGGGTTGACCCGGATTCGCGATGTGCTCGAGTCCGAGTTTCGGTGGTGTTTACCGCGGACTGAGGCTGATCCTAACGCACAGGAAGCAACTTGCGGGGTGAAACTTGACGATGAGGCCTTTATCGCAAGAAAGAGAAAGAGAACTGAGCAGACCGGCGGCGAGAGACGCGAGACTGTAGACGCTACTTTCGAGCTAGCCAACTCTGATACTGCTGCTCCTGCTACGCCCATTGACAGACGCGTTTCGCATGATCCACCATTGATCTTATCCCCAGGCGTAAACAGCTTCAGCTCCATGTCAGAATTTTGCGACCTCGTGGTCCGAAATACGTCATTACAATCGGCTACGATACAGGTCTTCTGTCCGATTATGATGACAGACAGTGCAAGGTGCCGCCATAGCCAGCACCATCGAGCAAATCCTCTCCACTCTTTTTACATCCCACCACTATCAAGCTTCCTGCAGTGCAAAATTCCTATGTCACACCCAGGGGCACACTCGGATCCCATCCCAGGTCTCCCACGTCATGAAACATTCAACCTCATCCTTCTCGACCCACCCTGGGCGAACCGCTCCGTCCGTCGCAGTGGCCATTACCAAACCCAGACTTACCGCGACTGGGACTTGCTCACTCAGCGCATATGCCAGATCTTATCCGTACATCTCGTCAAGGACTGTTCTGGGGTATCAGCCGAGGGAACTGACCGGAAAGAAAACGGCAGAGCTGCGGACGCCATAGCAGCCATCTGGATCACCAATTCAGGGAAAGCCCGTAAGACAGCCTATGAAGCGATGCAGGTTGCCGGGCTGGCAGTTTGCGAGGAGTGGGTATGGGTTAAGACGACGACAGAGGGGGAGCCCATCACACCAGTTGGGGCTCTCTGGCGAAAACCGTATGAGATCCTGGTAATTGGGAAAAGGGCAGGCTGTGGACCCCGAGAAACTCATTCCCAGTCGCGCGCCAGGAAGGCCGAGGATGGCGTCGTTAGGAGAGTCATTGCGGCGGTCCCAGATATCCATTCACGGAAGCCGAATCTACGGGAGGTTTTTGAGCAGGTGTTCTTCTCCGATGGGCCGGTGGACGAGGCTGGTATGCGGTACCGTGCTCTGGAGGTTTTTGCGCGCAATCTGACTGCGGGATGGTGGGCGGTTGGTGACGAAGCTCTGAAGTTCAACTCGGAGGAATGGTGGGTCGAAAGCTGAACGAGCAGGACGGGGTGGGTTTCCCAATGACTATGGTTGATTTTTGTATCTCTATTCCTGGCTTCGGAGAGTATCTATTTACAGTTCTCACTTCCCAGTAGCCAATGCCCAATAAGTGGATAGCAGGGTATCAGCATCACTACCTTACATCCCTAGCAAGCATCACTCACCGGTCTACTTTAAAAGATAACAGGGAAAGGGAGGGAAAAGACGGCCATGACCAAGTCCGGACCAACTATTCAAAACTCGGGCCCAAGCTCACCAAACTAAACCTCAAATCCGGATTCCCGCCCTGCGCCTCGACATCCAAGAACCGCCTCACCCCCAACTGCAACGCCTTCTCACTCAGAGCATCCTCATCCTCATTCAGCACTCCTCTTTCCAGCGGACCCTTCCGCCGCCCGTCCAGCTCCCACAACCGGCCATCCCCACCCTTGACGAACGCCACAAAGTGCAAGTCCACATTATCCTCCGCCTGCGGCGCCTGCGTGTCGCCCAGCTTGGCCGCGTCCGCGTGCGCACTCTCCAGCGCCTTGCTCTCGTACAGCAGGTCCGCGCGCGCCAGGGGGTCTAGCGCCTCGGCCTCACGCAGCAGGTGGTCCAGGTCCGAGCCCGGCAGGATCTGGCGGCGGGGCTCGCCGTTCGCGACGGCGTGGAGCAGGCCGATGAGGCCGCATGCGTTGCGGATGGTCTGCCTGAACCACATCACGGGTTCCGTGGCGCCGGAGCCCGTGTACGCGGGTAGGGGCTCGTCTTCGGTGACGCGGGCGGTTTCGTAGGTGCGGGAGACGGGAAAGACGAGAAGGAGGGCGTGCGAGGGCCGCGGCACGAAGGCGAGCAGGTCGGGTTCGTCGATCGAGTAGACGTCTGTGAAGGCTAGGGTGGGCGGGAGGCCGAGCTGGTGGATCAGCTGCGACATCACCTCTGGGTTGTTTTCTGGTACGATCGGAGGGTGGTTAGTTTATGCTCGAGGAGAGGCGACTAAATGTGATGTTGAATGGGCGTACCAAGGGGCACGAAGGCCTTGTTGTTGGATTCCGGGTCCGTCGTGTCTTCGGGCATTTTGTGGTTTGTAAGGTTGTTTTGTCTGGATAGTGATAGATGTGTGTGTTCTGTATGAGAAAAAGAGAGCCGCGTGAGAATGTATAAAGAAGATACAGTGAGGGGTTTGACTTCCGGTGTTGCGGGGTCGGAAAAGTTCTTGGGGGACCGGGGGAAAACGTCATCATCGACAACAACAATTCTATTTGGTACAGGAACGAGTCTAGAAAAAGGTATCGAATCATGAGACTGTCATCATGTCATTTGTAGCTCATAACGCATCTATTTACTCTATTTTATCTCATTTTATTCGGCTCGAGGTTTATCCCCTTCTTCAATGGTCCGTAGACGTTCGTCCACAGCTCACTGGCTTCACCCAAGAAGTAGGTCAGACTAACGTCCGCCATGCTCGCGTCCTCATCGCCCGACAGAGTCTCTAGCTGCGAAATAATATTCTCCAATCCGAATGCTTTCCCGGTAGCCTGTGTAGCACCGGCTTCTAGCATGACGTTGACGACGTGAATATGAAAATGATAGTATGTTGGCTGATCTGAAAAGTGAAAACAAAAGTGTTAGCAAGACCATTTGACAAAGATTTGAAGAATAGAGTCTCACAGTGCACATATAGCTTTAACTGGTCCTGATCCAGTTCCGGATACATTTTCACAGTTCCTTCGAGCAGCCGCTGCCGCAGGTACTTCAACCACGGAATGTGTTTCTTCTTAAGATCGCGCAAGCTCCATATATCCCGCCGCTGTACCAAGGCCAGCAAGTGTAGCGATCCCATGGTCTTCCGGTCCCAGTTGAGATCGGGCAGCATCAAGAACCCATCATCCGCACCGTGTCCCTCGTCGCGCAGGATCACATCTTCCTGTTCCGTTCGACCCTCGAGGATATTAAACACCCAATTCAACCGACCTTCCTCGCGCTTCGCGCTCATATACGGTCGAATGTGTTCGCGATAGATCTCCGGCGTCTCGGTGACCATGCGAACCACTTGCTCTGAGTACTTCTTGATGTGTGATTCCGTGCAGGGCCAGATGAGATTCAGCTTAAGATCCGGGGGCTGTTGGCCTCCTGCCTCAGCGCCGGATGATGCTAGATACCACCGATAGATGTCATTGTCGCCTAGGTTGGTGACTTGCGTGATCGCGGCATGGAAGGCTTTGAGGACTTCGGGGGTTTCGGTTGCGAAAGCCGCGCGTTCGGCGATGAGTATGCCCTGCTTTTCGTCGATGGTTCCGAGAATAGCTATGCGGCGACCGCTTTGGTCTGTAGGAATATCATATCAGTCAATGCTTGGGTAACAAGTATTCAGTCGAGGGGTGGGGGATGCGCTAGGAAGCAGGGGTTGTACCTTGCTTAAGCAATCTGTCGACCTCAAATTTTGAGATAACAGCCTCAGGGGAAGGACGCCCAGCACGGGTCGTCATTGCGAGGTGTGCTTGTTGCTGTGACGAGGTGAAGGTCCAGCTATCAGGAAGCTGAAGGTTGATGGGTTTACCCCGGATATTCTTCGCTTGGGCAAAATCGCATGGGCGGTGAAGCTTCTCCGTTTGCATACTATGGGATCAGGTACACTGGCCATTACCATGGATACAAGGAGACTGGGTCCCGAAGGCGAGGGTTGGATGATGAAGATTAAGAAAAATGCATAATATTCTATTCCTTGTTCTGTCAATGCGGATACTCGACTGTGGATGAGGAGAATTGTCCTTGCTGTACGCATCCCAGACGCAAGTAATAGTTTAAAACATATAATGTAATGGATTTTCAATGTCCCAAACATGTCACCTGTTCCATGACATTCTATGAAAAATCAGGCCCAGGTATGCAATATGTTAGATCATGATTTTGATATCATATCACGGACTGTTATTGACCATATCGAAGCCAGCCGACTATGGCGCCAATGATCCGCCAATGCCCTTTAAGTACTCGTCCGCAAGGGAGTAATTAAACCACGCCATGCACATATCTGGTCCTTGTGTGCACAGCTATCTTTGAGGATGAAGGATGCGACTGGGGAGATCGGCGCCGCTGTGAGAAGACAAAATTCTCTCTGTCTTCCTGGAACGGTGAAAAACTGTGTCAAGGTGCTGCTCAAGATGACGGCTTCGCTTCACTGCTGGGTTGGCAGTGCATCTAGCAAGATTATCAGAATAAATAAAGCAGTCAAGATAGTTATTAGCATACCGCTTCAGCCAGTCTGATCCACTCTTCCACTCCCCTTACGAAGGCGTCGTCTGCCGCAGGTACCAACTCATGCCCCCAAACCGTATATTCCTTAAAGGTTCCCTGTTTCTCCAGAATCCTGACTGGCTCCTCTGGCTCGACTTCTTCGACCTCAGCTTCAATCTTCCTTCGGGAACGGGGCAACGTGCGGTCTGTGCTCTTTGCAATAACTCCTGATATATCTTATTAGCAGGGTGTCAGGGATGGGTAGTTCAGAAAAGTTTGCTACCTTCATAGCCTTCCGGAACAGCAACTCGTCGGCCTTTGAGTCTACGGCCGCGGAAATATGCAATCTGTACGTCTTTGTCTATTGTGAATTGGTCAATGAGCAAGGCGTCAAAACATCGAGAGCGTGCTGTTTTACCTTGCTCGTCGGGTCTCGGGGTCCAGAAGCGATCTAATTTCTTGAAAGGTCCATCGTAGTGAACTTTGCAGGGTAATATATTGGGTGTGAAACAGTCCATTGATGACTGGTTCTCAGTCGCAGAAGACGTCGGCGTTGTCTGAATCGCGAACATGCTTGAATTTATGAAAAGATTATAGAGTTGCGCTCCGAGGGCTCGATCACTGATCTGAAAAGAGTATAAGAAGCGCTTAATTATTGATTTGGACAAGTAAGAAAATGATTGGGAAAGCGATGTCCGGTAGTGCCTGCTATCTTAATTTGATAATGGATGTACGAGTGTGCTTGAATGCGGAGAACGCGACGCGTTCGCCGCGTAAAGTGGGTGACGGAACGGAAGTGGACTGAAATTCCGCTGTGCATTCAAATCCTAACAATCATGGAAGTCTACTTCACTAGGGCCAATCGGAATAATTTTACCCATCCATGCTAGGAAAATGTAAATCATACACTTTATTCAAGCTCTATATACTCGGAAAATCCTCAGATGCTGGATGGCCTTGTAACTAAATAAAGCTGGGGTATATTATAGACAGGTTTACCGACTCATGCAGATGTTTTTTATCACCTCTTACGGGTCTTCTTCTTCTTTTTCTTCTTCTTCTTTTGATCATCACCCTGCTCCTTCTCGACTACCAGCCGCACCGGCCATTTCTTCAGGTGTTCTCTTTCGAAAGTGTCCTTGTCCCGTCGGTACAGAAGCATCGTAGCCTTCGCATCCTCAACACTGGAATGTGCCCCATCTTGAATATTCAAGCCCAAGAACTCTGAAGCTAGCATCTTAAGACGAGGAGAACCCCCGCCTGCTATCTTTCTGTAGGGCTGATGTTTGCTGGTGTCTCTGATGTCGCGCTTAGGATGGCTCAGAAGAAGAGCATCCAAGTCGTTACTCAATGCGTGGCCCACAAGTATGCGTCCATTGAGGATTTCTGTAACCTCTTTTTGGACCTGCTCGAGTGATCGCGCGTTGACCATATGCTTCGGGAGAATACCGCTAACATGCGTTCGCCAGTCCGTGACCATCTCCTTGGGTCTGACATACGAGTCGTAAATCTGCTCGCCGTTGAAGTTGACGATAGAGACACGCGCGAGTGCAGAGTCGTTCTCGGGATCGGGACCGACACCCACCATTTCGCAATCCATGGCGACATATTTTCCTAGCTCCGCACTGAGAGACAGTCAGTATTTGTAGAGTTTGCCTGAGAGATGAAGGAAAGCCAAAAGTGGTACTCACGTTGGTGAGCGGCCCTCGTTGATCTTAGAGGTTTTCGATTCCGCAACCGCTGTAGTGGGATTCCTCTGCGACGTCGATTTTAAGACCTCTTCTGCAACAGCCCCGCCTCCTTCCAGAGCGCTTTGAGACATTCTTTTCTTCTTAATTGTGGCTTTCTTCTGTTCGACGTTCGGTTTTCCGTCGGCTGCGTCTGTTCGGCGCTTCTTCACTGTAGCATTTTGCGTCTCGCGGTCGGAGAGTTTGCGCTTGGTGATGGAGACGTTATTCTGCTTTAACGTCCCCTGGAGTTTCTTCCAATTACTGGAGAGGTTTTTCAAGTCCATTCCAAAATCGAACCCAGTCGCTATTGCATCGTGGCTGACCAGGAAAGTAGAGGGTGATTGAAAAAAAGATTCAGTTGATGCGGAGGCTGGCCCGGCAACTTTCCTGAATCGGCCTTCCCTTCCGCGCTAAATTTTTGGACAGGATCCACATGTCAAGTCTCGATCGCCGCAGCGGTGGCTTATCGATTTCGACCATATCACAACACCAAGGATAGGTGTTTACCTTGAAAGCTTGCGCTCTCTATAGACTTACTTTGTACTTGGCATATACAGAATTTGTCTTAAAAATTGGCCCGTATTATATGAAATTTGCTTTTGAAAATCCACCGCATGAAAACGCCAAAAGGGAATCCATTTACAAGCCTGGAACCTTGAAATCCTTGTGAGACCATTTCTCTGTAATCTTCCTCTTGGGCTTCTTGACCTGCGTCACAGGTTTGCGAGCCTCCAGCTTTCCCTGAACGACCAAAGTCCGGAATCGGTCATCAAGCAGGTTGCCCTCGGGTTTGAGTAAACGCAACGAGTCTTGAAGCTCATCCGGTAGCACAACTTCCAAAGGTTTTTCAGGAGCACTATTACAGTTAGTAAACAGAAAAGATGGGAACTGAGAGAGGGCCAACATACTGTAGCTTTCCGAGGGGTCTGCGGCGCAGAAGAGTATCATCACCTTCGTCCGAAGAACTGTCCTCCGACTGCTCGGCAAGCTCGAGTTCCTGTCCTTCGGCATCTTCAGGGGCGACGTTGGCCCGCGCATACTGCTCTTGTCTCTTCTTCATCTGGGCCTCCCACTTCGCTTGCCGCTCGGCCTCCTTACGTCTCTTGACCTTGTTCCTTTGGGTCTTGGTCTTCCGCTCCGGACGCTTCTTGTTTAGCCAATCTGGCTTTTCATATTCGCTCTCAAACCCTTCCCAGGCACTCTCATCATCCGACTTCACTTCGCCATCGTCATCCTTAGCCTCTGCGATCATCCGCTGTCTTTCTTGTTCCTTGCGTTCTTCCTCCAAGCGCGCCTTCTCAGCTTCGACTGCTTTCTCGCCTTGTTCTTGAAGGAGTTTGTCCCAGTCTTCAAATGTCGGATTATAACTCGTGCCGGCAGTTGGGGGACGAACAGCGGGGATCGGCTTGCCATTTGCGGCGAGGGAGATAGGAGCGTGCTTCAGGGTAACAGGTTCGACTTTCTGTTTCGGCTTTTCCAGGAAATCAAACTTCGGATCGTCATAGCGAGTCGAGTCCTCTGCATCAGCCCAAGGATCGTACAAGTCGCTTTCGGTCTTGTTGACGGGCTTGCCTTCCTTGGCCACCTGCTTCAAGCGCAACCAATCCTTCCGCGTGACCCAATCACCCTTTTGCTTCTTGTGCTTCGGTTCGATGACCCCGTCTGTTACTTTCGAATTCGATCGCGTGCGTGTGTCCACACCAGGAATTGCAGAGCGCTGTGCGATAATTTCCTCCGATTTCAGAAGTTTGCGCTTCTTTTGAATGGCCTTGCGTACTTCTGCCGATCCAGTGGTATCGATAACGAACAGCTCGTCCGAGGGTTTCTCCGCGATAACACCACTGTGTGTAAATGCTAAGTCAGAAACACATGGTATACAAACAGATGAAGCGTCATAATAGTTCCATACCCTTTAATCTCTTCATCTTTCAAGATGCGGAGTCCCTCCTGAACCTCCGTAATATCGACATTTTTGCGCCAGGCTTTCTTGCCCTTGCGAGATGGCTGGCTAAACTGCCTCGGGGCCTCAGTGGAAGCAGACATTTTGGAAATTCTGCTATAGTGATATGATTGTGAAATCTTATCTTTTTTTGCGGCGGCATTCTAAATTTTGATTTTCCGTCCAAAAATCTGGACCCGCTTACATAAGATAGCGCGGGGAGGAAACACTAATGTATTTGTCGCGCGCTAAGGCTCTGCGCGGCTATCGCGGGCAAGTGACGAACGCCGCTTCAGGACTTGATCTCGCTCTGCCTTCCGCGTCGGTTCCCAATCGACACTACTCAACGTGGACATCGGTGTTCCACCTTTCATTCATCTCGCGCAATACCTCTGAGACCGCTTCAAGTATTCCTGTCTATCTTTCTGGTCGGCTCGGTTCTGTGAGCCACCGCAGACTTTATCAGCCATGCCTGTCGTCAAAGGAGGTGTTTGGTGAGCCATCGCAACTCCACTACATATCGCTTTTTTTTTAGCTAACATATCACACAGGACGAACATTGAAGATGAAGTGCTCCGGGCGGCGGTACGTTTCATGCTTTTCGGGTAGCTATGTGATTCTGGGGAGCTCTAGGCGATACTGATTAGCTTATCCTTTAGGTGTCCAAGTATGGTATGAACCAATGGGCGCGCGTGTCCTCTCTGTTAGCAAGAAAAACTCCCAAACAATGCAAGGCGCGATGGGTTGAATGGCTGGACCCCGGCATTCGCAAAGTGGAGTGGTCTAGAGAGGAGGACGAGAAGCTATTGCATCTGGCAAAGTTGATGCCGACACAATGGCGTACAATTGCGCCCATTGTCGGACGGACGGCAACGCAATGCTTGGAACGGTATCAAAAGCTTTTAGATGAGGCTGAAGCTCGAGAAAATGATGAGCTGGGTTTGGGAGGCCCTTCTGGTGCAGAGGCGGCCGCTCCTAGTGCGGATGACGTGCGCCGCCTACGGTATGATTGTGATTTTTCCTACCATTCTACTGTGTATCACTAATTTGTACAGACCTGGCGAACTTGACCCCGACCCGGAATCGAAGCCCGCTCGTCCTGACACGATCGACCTTGACGAAGACGAGAAGGAGATGTTGAGCGAGGCGCGTGCTCGTCTGGCAAATACACAGGGAAAGAAGGCCAAGCGAAAAGCCAGAGAACGACAGTTGGAAGAGTCCCGACGATTGGCCGTCCTTCAAAAACGACGTGAACTCAAAAATGCTGGCATTAATATCAAGGTCGTTACTCGCAAGAAGGGCGAAATGGACTACAACGCGGACATTCCGTTCGAGAAGCCTGCAGCGCCGGGTTTCTACGATACCGTCGAGGAGCAGAATCGAAACGAGAGGCAACGGGAGATGTTCGATCCTCGTAAACAACAGCTTGCCAATAAACGAAAGGGTGATCAGGACGAAGACGCGGAGAGGAAGAAACGAAAGAATGACAAGAATAGCAACTCCGCTGCGTTTGCAGCTGCAGCGCGCGCGGGTCAAATGCAGAAGATCAGGGAAGCTGAGCAGAGCAGCAAGCGGAGGGCTCTCGTGCTTCCGAGCCCTCAGGTCAGCGAAGGTGAGATGGAAGACATTATCAAGATGGGCATGGCGGGTGATAGGGCCAGCAAACTGGCAGGTGACGAGGAAGGGTCTCGAGGCTTACTTGGCAACTATACTTCTATCGTTGGTGGAACCCCAATTCGGACTCCTAGAGCTCCTCCGCAGGAGGATCACATCGCGAACGAAATTCGAAATATCAAAGCTCTCACCGAAACTCAATCCTCGCTGTTGGGTGGTGAAAACACCCCTCTTCATGAAGGGGTAGCCTCTACTGGGTTCGATGGAATCGCACCTCGCCGCCAGGAGATCGTTACTCCCAATCCTATGGCCACACCTTTCCGACAAGCTAACGGCGTTGATGCTACTCCTATGCGCGGCGGTATCGGGCCTGGCGCTACTCCACTGCGGACACCTCGAGATCATTTTGCCCTGAATCAGGCAGAGGCTGGGCAGCTCATCGGGAGTACCCCGCGTGACATCAAGATGTACGAGAAGAATGCGCGCCAGAGTATTCGCAATAAATTAGCCTCACTTCCGAAGCCCAAAGAGACCGAGTGGGAGCTCGAAGAGCTTCCGACCGAGTCTACCGAGCCTACGGAAGTCGCAGAGTATACGGAAGAAGATGCGGCTGAACGCGACAGGAGAGAGAGAGAAGCACGAGAAAGAGCCGCACAGGCCGAACTCAAGCGCCAGACACAAGTTTATCAACGCGCCCTACCTCGGCCAAACGTGCTCGACATCGATGCGATGCTGGATCGGGTATCGCATATCACTGATCCCATTTCCGGGCTGATTGCCAAGGAAGCTGCCCTCCTGATTGCGCACGATGCCCGCAAGTTCCCCGTCCCTGGTGCTAAAGTCGAGGGCAAGGCACGGAAATTGGACCGGCTTGACGACAGTCTGATTGAACAAGCCCGTGCAGCTGTCGCGACGGAAGTTTCGGCATCCGGAAAACTAGAGGAATGGCAGAAGACGTTTGACGAGCAATGGTCATCCAAGCATTCCGATGTCCTGCCCGGGCTTTCTAACTATACCGATGAGGAAGAAGACGTGTTTCGACAGGAGCAGCGGATGATTAGCGCTTTCGACAACGAACAAGCCTCGTTACTTGCCACAGCGGAGCGCGGAAACAAGCTGGAAAAGAAGCTTGCGTTACACTACGGAGGTTATCAAAACCGGGCCAAGATGCTACGCACGAAGATTGTCGAAGCCAGCGATGCGCTCCAAATATCGAAAGACGAACTGGACGCTTTCCGGACCCTACAGATTTCGGAGGAGTCGGCACTATCGCGAAGGTTGGAGAGGCTTCGAGATGATGTTGCCTTCGTTATGCGGAGAGAGCGTGAAGCGCAGGATCTCTACAAGAGCAGGAAGGACGAGCTGGATGAGCTTGTGACAGGCACGGGAGGAACGGTGAATGGTTGGCATTGAGGCCTTAACAAAGATACCTAGTTTGACCTTCGACTTGGGGTTTTCGAATTCAATCATGTCCCACATGTACAATTTGTGTAGTATTTCTGCGGTTCCGCTGAAGTGGGCGAAGTGATGTGGCTGGCACATAATGGAAGCAGTTACAGAAGTCATTGAACAGCACGACATGTGTAACGAACCTGCCTACTTACGAGCGGTACTTGATATTATACATATATCGTATGCTTGACCATGTTGAAGTTGTAGTATCGAAGTATCTCGGACAATTGCGGCGAACCAATTCAACGTACCAAAGCAGGCAGGTTGGGTGATGAGCCAAAAGCGGATGGCAAAAGTTCAAAGGCGGTCTCTTCCGTCGCATTGCAACGGAGATTCCTCCATCCTCTCCTGCCAAATCCCTTCGCATATCCATCGCGAGCTACCCACCCCTGGAACACTTCATCAAGAATTTTGATTTCTATCGACCGATAATTGCCCCTAAACCGATATGGGCGGCAGGGACGAGGCCACGGGTACTCCGGACCCCGTGGAGAAGGGGTTCGCCACCCTTAATACCATCAGGTAAGCGATAAGAAATTTATTTGCATTAGCTTTTCAACGTCCTCAACCCTGATTTTACCGGTCGGAAATGCTGATAAAGGCGCCAGGATCGGTGTGAAGGCCATGGTGCAAAAAGTCAGTCTGTCGCAGGTCCCCAGCGCTTCACTTTTCTTCCGGGACATATCATCACGTGATACATGGATGGTTTTATACAACAGCTCTGATCAGCAATATAAACTGACTTAGTCGTCATCTAGGATGGAGAGCTACGAAAAGCGGAGATTCTGTCTATAAAGCAGCGAAAAGATGGTCCTTCTTTCTAGTATGCTCAACCTAATCCCCTAGCACTTGCACTTTGCAACTTGTGCTGATGGTAGCCGCATAGCGTGCATTATGTGGATTTTAACAAGCGCCTTGATGGTGAGTTCATCGAGTCCGCAAATGCACCTTTTTAGCTGACACATCAACCAGAATGGGTTGCCTCCTCACGTATTGACTTGTCGCATGAGGTTGAATGGCCTCAGCCCGAAAAGCCAGAGAAGAAGAAGGCCGGTCCTGGCAACAAAGCTCCAAGCAAGAACACACAGAAACGCGCCAGAGCGGAAAGTCGTGATGTATCAGCCACTCCAGATCTCCTTACGGGGAAGAACGCCAATGTCGGCAAAGCCCAGCGTCCGTCTAAGGCTGGTGGAAAAGAGAATCGCGGCGACGAGACACCTGTGAATCTTTCCATCGGCGGTGGCTCAGAAGCTGTCTCTGCGGATGGGACACCGAAGCCTGAGTCTGACGATGTTGACATGATTGACGTCAGCTTCTCCAAAGACGTCAAGGAAGAAGAGAAAGCCCTGGGTCTTATGTCCCGCGAGGAAGAGATCGAAAGGCTGCGTACCAGCGGCAGTATGACACAGAACCCGACGGAGATTCACCGTGTGCGTAACTTGACGCGACTGCAAATGGGCAAGTACGATGTTGAACCGTGGTATTTCTCGCCCTACCCGGCCTCATTTTCCGACGCTGACATCGTTTACATCGATGAATTTTGCCTGGGGTATTTCGACAACAAAAGGTCGTTTGAACGTCACCGCTCCAAGTGCACCTTGGCACACCCACCCGGAAACGAGATATACCGTGACGACTACATCTCTTTCTTCGAGGTCGATGGGCGTCGTCAGCGGACTTGGTGCCGCAACCTCTGTTTACTCAGCAAGCTCTTCCTTGACCACAAGACGCTCTACTACGATGTTGATCCTTTCCTTTTCTATTGCATGTGCAGCCGGGATGAAACCGGTTGTCACTTGGTCGGTTACTTTTCCAAGGAGAAGGATTCCGCAGAAGGTTATAATCTTGCCTGCATTCTTACGTTACCCCAGTACCAACGCCGTGGCTACGGTCGTCTCTTGATCTCCTTCAGCTACGAGCTGAGCAAGCGCGAGGGCAAACTCGGATCCCCCGAGAAACCGCTGAGTGATCTCGGTCTGCTGGGATATCGACAATATTGGCGAGAAACGCTTGTGGAAATACTCATGGAGTCCGGACGGGATAATATCAGCGAGCATGACCTTTCTCTGCAGACATCGATGACGGAGAAAGATGTCCATGAAACGCTTGTTGTGTTCAACATGCTTAGATATCATGTACGTTTCAGTTTCCCTTCCCCACTTCCCCCTTGATACCCGTCTTTCCCCAACCTCAACTCCTCCCTTCCTCATGTTACCATCCATTTCCCCAAAGCAGCCGCATACTAACAATAGATTGGACATTCTCAGAAAGGAAACTGGGTCATAGTCCTCACCGACCAAGTCGTGGAAGAGCACAAAAAGCGTCTCGAGAAAGAGAAACTCAAGGGAGCTCGCAAAATTGACCCTGCCCGCCTGCAATGGAAGCCTCCAGTCTTCACTGCGTCATCACGCACGTGGAATTGGTAAGGTGCGGTGCAAATGAAAGCGCGGCGTGCGTGGAGCACACTGCTGTGCATGGATCTATGATATACGCAAGATTTTCTCACATCGCCATGCGAGCGAGGCTTGATACCCCCCCTCTTTTTCTCTTCAATCGGTGTCTTCATTTTGTCGGTGGTTTTCCTCGGGATGTTTTCAAATAATCGTGGTGTTGGGAGGATGTCGGTTTCGTTATTTTTGGCAAATTTGGACGGCATAATATATTGCTTCATAAGTTCTGGAGCAAAGAAATGGAGGTGTCTGCGTGTCACTCTTGTGTATGGCATCCAGGCTTAGATTGTTTGATTTCTAGACATTAGCCCAACCAGCAATGTGCTTAGAAATACGGACCCGAACATGGTGAACAAAGTGAGCATTTAGTAGCTCTCTTAACCTGCATCTCCTCCGACCCAGCATTTCTAGGAGAGTCGATTCATCTCCAGACGCATGTTTACATAGGTACAAAACCTCACTTACCGATCTGCCTTTTCTGATCTACCCTGGGAATAGATACTTTTACAAATCTGATATTCATATCAACCTACGTCCAAGGACACCAGTAGAACATTCTGTAAATATTTGAATGCACACTATCGGCGCACAAAGCTAATTACACGCTTCAGAAAGGCACAGCAGAGAAGGCCCTCTCACTCCCGTCCCTTTTTGCCTGCAATTTGAAACTGATTGCCAATGGGGTTCACGTTGAATGACAAACGATTACCCTTTAGAATGCAAGACGTTCAGATGAGTTCAGGTTGGGAGGGGGGCATGAGAGCGGAAGAAGAGTGCAAGATATGGGTTTGGGAACCTATGGATGGAGAGAATAATGGTGAGTTGGTTTAGGAATCGAACCAAAACCACGAGGTCAAGATTTTGAGTTGATACAGGACAAAGAGGTGCGGAGGAGTTGAAAATGAGAGCGAGAGGGAGATGAAGGGAGGGAAAGGCCGGAAAAAGATATTCATGGTTCGTGCCAAAGGACAGGCAAGAGAGTGGTGGCAGCCAACGCATTTGCCGCGGAAAGAAACAGACATCCTATTCCGCGCTCGAAGATCAGTATGTTACTCTGAAATAAGTACCGACAAGGCATGGCGTCTGGGAATACTGTACGGTAAAAGAAAAGGAAAATTAAAGAAGTACTAAGAATTCAGACCGAACCCAGACCGATGAATATATCCCCGCAGGCATAGCTCATCAATACCGAAATGAACGCTCAATGAACATCTGGCAACCAGCAAAAGCCAGTGAAATTTCCAAAAGAACCAGTTTACTGGGAGCCACTGAATGTACGCGGGCCCCAGGATGCATTTCGAGACTGACGTCGTGGAGAACTGCCTCCATTGGTCTGCTGTGAAGAGGTGGGCTTCTTAGGGACTGAACCTCCGGAACTCTCGCGTGGTTTTGTGTTCTTGCGAGGCTTGTAAGCCGTAGAATTGCGTGGCCGAGGGTGAGGCGCCATTGACTTCCTAGGAAGAGGCACAGTCTTTGCAACGATGGCGCCAGGGAATCGGATTGTGACACGAATATGGCCGGAGGCATCTCTGTCATAGATACCGACCGAAAAAGGCTCGACGCTATGGATTTGCATCGACTTCAGATTCTTAGCTCGCAGTTTGGATTGCGTAGGTGGTAGCGCAGCTTGCCAAGCTGCTGGGGGAGCATGAGTTGGCACACGAACAACTGGCAGAGATCCTGCTTCACGATCTTCAAACATTTCCTCGGCCTCCTCTACTTGCTTTGCAGTTGCCTCACCGTCTCCGATCATGAGCTCAACGTTGAAAGGTAGGGAAACCGAAACACCAGCAATGTGAAGTTGAACATCAAGCGGCTCTTTCGTCGCTGATGTGACTGCTAAAGCATTCCTTTTCTCTGTTACTGTCTTCTTTCCGAAAAGAGTATTGATTTTCTCCTGCCAGGAGGTCGCTGTCGTAGCATGTTGCGGGCCGGTGCGAGGGGGTGCAGCAACCATAGAGGCGAAAGTTGGTGGGGGTGGTGGAGGTACGACAACTCTCGGAGGAAACTTGACGATAGGCTTTGGTGCTGGGAGATGAACCAAGGGTCTGTTGCAATCACCCGTGTACACCGGATGGCTTGACATTTCCTCGGGTGGAGGGGGCGAGGGGCTTCGATAGAAGTCCCCTTCGTCAGCCGTTGGCTTTCGGGGAGTCTCTGTAGCCTGGGGGAAAAAGCGTGAACTACGCACTGGGACACTACCAAGAGGGCGCGCGTGCGTATCCGCAAAAGGAAGGTTACCGACGGGGTGTTCAAGACCTGGAAGAGGGTTTGCAAGTGGGACGTTACTCTCGTTCGACCTTGCAACTCCAACAACCTGCCGCTGTCCGGCCTGATCTCCTGTTCGGACTTGGCGCCAGGTTTCATTGAAAGTGACCTGAAGCGACGCAGGCCCTTGCGGTATAGCACTCATTTCGCTGCGCAGCTTTTCGTTCTCTTCTGCCTCACGCTTGGAAGCAACTGCATGGAAATTGTTCCAGGCTGCAGTCCCAGCAGCACGATTTTCATGCTGACGATGTTGAGTATGTTGCGAACTAGGAGGCCCAATGGGACCAGGTCGCCCAATTAGGTTGATAACCTCGTAAGGAACGTGGCGGACCTCGGGCGATGGTAATGGTGATATCGATGCGGTTTCCTGCGGAGATCGCGCGGGTGCGGAGAATGGCTGAGCGGGTGCAATGGGTGGTTGATCCAGACCAAGGTGACTGCGTAGTGATATGTCCCTCCCTGGGAATCCTCCAAGGCTTTGTTCGAAAATCCCGTTTCCTAGGGTCTTATCACTGCTGCCAAGGGGCTTCCAAGGGTTCGCGATTGGAGGGGGAGCAGTATTCACGAACTTGGGATTAGGGGACCACGGCAGATACGCACTAGGAGGGTTGATATTGCTCCTCCATTGCGGGTTCTGCTCGTCAACCTTGGCTTCGGGTAGTTTGTCGGATGTCGGAGCTTGAGCTTCACTGCTCTGCTGAATTCCATTTGGTAGAGGCACCTCTTGTTTAGGTTCTGGGGCCGCTGAAGATGGGCGCCGCACACCAGCCGTGGCGATAGGTTTCTCCACTACTCTTTCCCTCTCCACGAGTTTCTTCACAGTGTCGGGATGGTGGACTTTCATCATTCCATACTGCTTGGGCTCCCCACTTGGCTCAGGAACGGGAGGCTTTGGAGGGGAATGCAACACTTGTGCGGTGACTTGTTGAGTATTGGCTTCAGGCCTTCCAGTATCAACTGACTCTCTGCGCAGTGATTTCGGTTTCTCTGGCGGAGGACCAAGCGCCTCGAGCTTCTGCCGAATTCTTTCCCGCTTCGCAGCCTCTTCCTCTTTCTCCTGGTCTAATCTCCGCTGACGAGCTTCCATCCTTTTCTCCTTCATGATGCGTTCTTGCATAGCTACAGGATCTTCCTGAGGCGCTGGCGGCATTGCCGTTTGCTCATCAGTTGCATGACTCACATCGGTGGATGCGGTAGTATTTCTGTCCTGAGCATGAGTAGGGCCCCGTGCAGCCCAAGGACCAGTGCCACGTCGATCAGGAGAGACTTCACGTAGGTGAATGTCTTTAGGTGGCTCCCTATTCAGCATGGAGGGATCAGGCATTACGTTGACTTGAGAATCCCTTCTGGACTCGAATGGCTTGTGAACCACGTCGGGACGACCTATCGACATCCGACGTCCAAAACTGCCACTACCACCGCTGACATTGGAGGATGTCCGACGGCGCGTCCAATGCATACCGTCTTGCCCACTCGACCGATGCGTTTGGAAAGCTGCGGAAGGCTCCGCCGGCCCCGCCTGATCACCTTGTGCTGGTCTTTGAAGCACAGATGGTGTACGGAAGGTTTGCTCGGCACGCCATGCCCCTTTCCTGGTTTCAGGAGCAGGCTCATAACGACCTGACCTAGAGTTGTAAAGCTCGCGTGTTCCAGACTGCATCTCTCTCCAAGATCGATTGAAATCATCCGCTGCGATCTCCTTTGGAGGCAACGCTCCAGTAAGACCATCACCAGCATGGGGTTCCCGAGCAGGAGCGCGCATAGGCGGTTGTACTTGCATTGGGGGCATCACAGGGGACACTTTCTCAACCGGAGGAAGCGCTGCCCAGGGCGACTTAGCCGGAGGCGGCGCCGGGCTGGTTGATAGCAAGGGTGACTTATCATTTGGTCCCTTTGCGATTATACCAGCACTCTTGGCTTGTCTTTCGGCGTTCGCTCCGAGTCGTAAAACAGTCGGGTTTGGACCAACTGAGGTTGTGGTTTTGAGAACGCTTGGAACGAACTTCGGAGGTTCTTTGGGAGGCGCCGCTTGCTCGACTGAGGGGAATTCTCTTTTGAAGTCTGCGGCGGCCTTTTCTTGACTCGGTATTGGGGCTGTTGTGGGAGGCTCCGGGTGAGTGAGATTCGTTTTTGTTCCGTCAGTCCATTCGATTGTCTCAGGGGCCCAGTCGTCTTCGTCGTCGTCAATGTCGGCCCATTTCGATTCCGTACCTGCGCCGTCTTCTTGGATTCTTGAAGTCATATGTATGCCATATTGCTGTTTGAGCTCTTCATCAGTCAAATGTTTAGGCGGTGTCTGTTGAACGGCTGAAAGTAAGACAGTGTTAGCAGAAAACAAATGACAACATATTGTGTATAGTCGGCCTTACGTCGATTTTTGTTCCAAACTTGATTTGGATCCGGTCCGCTGCCACCTGGCTTGGATGCGCTCGTGCCAGACTTTGATAACGAGTCCCGTAGGCTGCTAGTGGACTTTACAACCAATCGAGGTCGTGAGGTCTGCTGCGGCGTACCTAGCGGGGTCGTGAGGGTCGAGGAAGGAGCTACAGGACGTTAGAATATGGATTCCACAGATAAATCAATTCCCAAATACCTTTTTCGGAGGGTTTACTGATAGGTGGAGTGCCGGGCGCCTTGGGAACCGAAAATTTGGCAAATGTGACCGGCTTGAATGAGGTTGGCTTCTTCGAACCGGTACGCGCAAGAAGTTTGCTTTCAGCACGACTTGCGTCAGACTCAGACCCTCCCTGAGAGGCAGTGTCCTCTCCAATATCCGATCCAGATGTTACACCGTTCATTTCTAATGCTCGTGCTGCGACCGGCACAGGAGTGTACTTCGAAGTGTCCTGGGTTTTATTCAGTATTTTATACGCCGCGATACATGCCTCGGGTGAGGACTCACAGTCGGCATCTGTTCAGCGTCTTCTCCCTCCCCTTGGTGATCTCGCGATTGTGTAGCAGTCGTCTTGGGTTCAGCTTGCTGGGTGCTCGTCCCCGTCTCGGCTTGTATCGTTGTAGCGGTATCTTTCGTCTCCCCCACGTCCCCTCCAGCAGGTTTCTTGTCGGCGGTGATCGCAGGAACGTCGGAAGGCGAAAAATCGCCGCCCGACAGGGTTTGGTTTACCACATCGTGGGAATTCTGCTCTGCCATAACAATTCTCGAGTCTGTGAGACCAACAGGTTGCGACATCTGTTAGACAAGAGTTCTGAAAAGGTAAATATGGAAACAAGAGGCGGCTGTGATCCGAAAGTCATGGATGCATGCGAAGGAATGGTCTGAGGATATACCTATTGTCAGGTATCAGGAATCGCCACGGTTGGACTGCTAGCTCAACTGTTTGAGCCGTAAAAGCTCCGAACGACCAGGTGGACGGCGGAGAGGGGACCAGTTCAGAGAGAAGGCTGGGAGCCAAGGAAAAATAGAGAACGGGGAAAGGGCAGGCGTATGAGAGTGAGTGAAGTGAGAAGTGAAAACCGCTGCCCAGGCAGTCCCTTGAGGGAGGTTGCGATAGAGGTGGTGGTGATTGTCGTGAATGATCGGGTGATGGCTGCAGTCATTGACGGTGACTTGACGGGACGGTTCAGGTTGAGGCACTAGGGTGGCTGTTTTCGGTTAGCGCGGCCACCTCCCGCAAACCCTGTGGCTGGAGCCGCGCTGGAGGCCTTTGTTGCCGCCCGCATCGGATAGATTCACTCCGTGCTACAACACCTCATTCTTCCTACCTTCATCCGCGTCAAGCATCTCGCATGCCTATCGCGCTTTACCTGTCACTGTGGTGCATGCTGGCAACGACTGCAACATAGAACAATTCAACAACGACGTTAGTGGCTTGTCCAATGGATTTGTTCCGGCCTACAGTTTTAAGTAGTCGCTTTACCAATGCCTGAACACCAATCAACCACCGTTACCTCACTTGAGTCATTTGCAGCTGACTCGGGGCTACCTGGACAATCTTTCGCATCCAAAACTAGGAAAGAATCGGATTACCTGGTAATGCATGGCTCACAGGAACAAGAACCCTTCACCACGGCCGGACGACGTTCTTAACTATAGTCGGCGTGTTCTCGGTGCTACTTGGCGCTGAGTGACGCTCAAGTGTCGGCTGCGATGTTTCAGTGCAGCTACACAATACACCATTACGGCTCACTTGGCGGTCCCAGACTCTCAAATCTCTATGCCGAGACTTCATGGCTCTGATCAACGTGAAGGTAGCAGGTCGACAAACGTGCCCAGTCAATGATTTCTCCTGCCTGATTGGTTTATAACGATATTTCTGCGTTTTGGAGGCTCGCTAATGGCTATCAGGCGCTGAATCATGCTGTTTACTGGAATTAGACACCAAGAAGGCTTTTTATTCCGAGAAAGTTTCCCAGCCGGAAAAGCGAAGGAAGTCTGATTCGATGCTGGGGGGCTTTGTCTGGTTGCGCCGGTGTCCAAGGAATTACATTCCAGTCTAGTGTCCATTGGGAATCTTAGGGTGCCCTTGTGATAAAGAGGTTGAGGAGCGCTTAGAATGCTCGTTGAAGTGGAGTTGATTCACAGTTTGAACAAGATAACAAGGTTCGGCTGGCTATATAAGCAAGAGCCCATTTAGTGCGGGGTTACGGCAGGATGTAAAGATTAGCAGTCCAAGGGTGACCAAGTAAGAGAGCTCCACCGCACTCGAACCTATTTGTTGTGTGCTTATGAGGCACCTGTAAAAGGCGCGCCAAAGTGATATCACCGATGCAAGGGGAGCTATGGTCATGGGAAGAGATGGGCGCGATCGGACCATACAGCGGCTACATGGACCGGGATTGCGGCGATTTTACAATGGGTCTACAAAAATATGAATGTAGCTCAGACGGTAAAACATGGCTCGAATGGGGCGATCCTTCTGAGACGTGCGCATGCATTAAGTCAGAGCATGTGGCGCTTGGAGGACCGTCAAAAAGCATCGTGATCGGCATTCCCGACGGCATAACACGGGATATATCTAGCTCCGAGTGGACGGGAAAGCCGATAGAGATCAGAGCCGGGATGGAAGTATCGAATCATCTTGGCTAGTTGAATGGTGGGCGACCGCCAGCGGTCCTCGTAAACGTCCAAAATAAACCAGAGCAATTCGATAACAAGGCGGAGGTTTCGATGGGAGCTTTGAACAAGGAAATGAAAATTTTGTTTTTCTTTCATTCAGGGGAATCTATGCACAAGATCAAGGTGTGCTAGTACACCCGGGAACCTTGCTTAGCTTCATCTCAATGCAAAGGTTGCCCCCAGATGTAAAACCCAGAAACACCAAACAACCGCAAACGACCAGATATCATCCGTTTAAATGTGAGTGTCGTAGGGGATGGGGGTGATAGTCTCGGGAGCGGAACCCTCAACGGTGTGAGCCTCGCGGGGGCCGACGGGCTGGCGCTTAAGGTGGAGGTGGACACCCTGCTCCTTGGCCTGGCGCTTCTTCTCGGCGTTAAGCTTGACACGCTTGATGAAGTCCTCACGGGAGCGGGAGTGCTTGACGTGCTCGATGCGGACGTTGATGCGCTTCTCCATGTAGCGGTTACCGACGACCTTGTAGAGGAGGACACCGACGGAGGACTTGGTCACGTTGTAGACAACACCGGTCTTTCCGTTGTAGACCTTGTAGGGCATACTATTCCAGATCTCAGCAAACCATTCGATAACAGTGGCGGAAGAGAATCGAGTGAAAGTCGTTGATGTCGGACTTCTCAAGATTGTAGCGGGCGGAGCGGAACTAGTACTGACCCCTTCTGAACGGCACCGTTAACCTTGACATCGACGATGTCACCAACCCTATATCGCAACTATCAGATCCTGCAAATCACATATATATCGGTGTTTTCGGCGGAAAAAAAAGGACGGGCGTACCGGTAGGTCTTCAGGTAAGTCGACAGGCGAATCTGACCCTTCTCCTTGAAGTTGCGGCTGAAGGCATACTGGAAACTCGGTCAGCGCGTGCGCTCCGACCAGCGAAAAATGGTGCTGCACGAATCCTGGAAATATCGACATACCCGAGTACCGGCTCTCAAACCGTGCGAGTGACCCATGTCGGCGGTGTTGGTGGTGCTGGTGTTGAGAACTTGTCGACGTCGAAAAAGTGCCTCACTCTGCCGCCCGTCGCGATGGTGTAGACTTCTTCGGGTAGGTAGTGTGCCCGTTCTCCGCCGTCGAGGGCTAGCCCTTGCACTAGTCCGGATATGGCTCCACCTTCGCTCGCTTAGTCTCCATCTCCAAAACGCATCTTCATCTTCCGAACGTCTGCGCTCATCGTGAAGTTCGGTAGTACGACAATATCGCGACAACGCGCAATCAGCAGTCATGGCCCCCGTCCCGTGAGTATACGATCTCCGACCAAGAGTCGAGATATGGCATTTTCTAACTCGAATTGCTGCGATGTAGCCGCGTTTACTCCAAGACCTACAAGGTCCCTCGTCGTCGTAAGTAGCCTTATCAGCTGGGATTAAAAAAATCCTCAGATATCTGGAAGTTGGTCATGTGCTAATATCAGTATAGCTTTCGAGTCGGCTCGTCTGTTAGTACTCTCCGGCCACTGATCAGAAGCGTGCTTCTGTTTATGTCGTGTGTTCCTGTGTCTAATTATGCTATAGTGACTCGGAACTGAAGGTTGTCGGCGAGTACGGCCTGCGCAACAAGCGTGAGGTGTGGCGTGTCCAGCTCACCCTGTCCAAGATCCGTCGTGCTGCTCGGTATGCGACCCCTAGCTCGAACTTCACCTTTCCGAATGCGACCGCGCGACGCAAACTCGACCCAAACGCTAACCTTGACATAGTGAGCTCCTCACCCTCGACGAGAAGGACCCCAAGCGTCTTTTCGAAGGTAACGCTTTGATTCGTCGTCTGGTCCGCATTGGTGTCCTCGATGAGTCCCGCATGAAGCTCGATTACGTTCTGGCCCTCCGCGTTGAGGACTTCTTGGAGCGTCGTCTTCAGACCTGCGTCTACAAGCTTGGCCTGGCCAAGTCCATCCACCACGCCCGTGTCCTGATCAAGCAGCGCCACATCCGGTATGCGTCTCCTCTTCTATCTTGAACCTCGACCTGCGCTAACCCTCATCAATAGTGTTGGCAAGCAGATCGTCAACGTGCCCTCTTTCATGGTCCGCCTTGACTCCCAGAAGCACATTGACTTCGCTCTCACCTCCCCCTACGGTGGTGGCCGCCCTGGCCGTGTCCAGCGCAAGAAGGCCGCTGCTGCTGCCGGCGGTGCCGGTGAGGAGGAGGAAGAGGAGGAGTAAGCGATTAAAAACTGGAGTACGGACGGGTTTCGTTAGCGAAATTAAAACTGCGGGGCTCCTTTATGGCTGCAGCATTGCGTTTAACGTCGTACGGTCTTGCAATACCATGAATGAACAAATCACCTACGGCTCACTTCTGAGGCCCGACTATCTTTCCTATGTAATTGCGAGTGGTCGTGGACTTAGCATTCTTAATCATGTATAAAAGTGTATGGACGAATGCCGTGTCCGCCAATCCGTAGGCATCACTCATCTCAAACACATCTTATCCTTCCACCCCAACCAATTTCTCCAGCGTCTCTTCTGCGCTTCTGTACCATCTTCCCATTTCCTCAAGCCCATCGCTCTCTCCCTCTTCCTTCTTCCTCTGGATTTCCTGTGCCTGTGCTATGGCGTCTGTCTTCCGCCGTTCTAGAACACTTAATTCGCGCTCCACCGCCTCGGCTTCTCTAGCCTTGCGGGGCAAGACATTCTGGACGGCTGCAAGTTGTCGATCAAGCGCCGCAAGCTCGGCTTCTCGTTCGGATAAAACGCTCAGCGTGGCCGGTAGGGGTAAGTTTTGTGACGATGATGCATCGGCATTAGTTAATTGTTTGGCGCGTAATTCTTCGATGGTTGACTCGAGATTTTCGATGGATTCTGGCAGCATTGAAAGCTGAGTCAACTGTAGTTGCACGTTTTTGTATCCTGCACGGCCCAAAATCGTGTTAGCTGCTTCATATCGCAAGGCAGGCTGGCAACAATCAATGCGGCCGTTTGAACACTCACGGTGTGCCAAGTCCCTGCCCGTCTTCTCCATTGCTTCGGTCATAGCCCGGACCTCCTCTTTCCGTGCGCGAAGTTCTGCTTTCACTTCGGCTAATTGCGTCTCCAGTTCAACGTTTTCATTGTGACCAACCACCAGAGGAGGATCGCCCACGATTGCGCGAAGGAATTTCTCCTTTGTGACCTGCTCCACGTAAGAGAACCGTAGCTTTGAGAATAATTCCTTCGGGCAAAGTGTCAGCATATAAATATTCCGTTCCAGCCTGTTGGGCTCGTGGTAGGGCTCTTAATGGGCTCGCACTTTGTAATGGCTCAAATCTGCCTCCAATGAAGCAGGGGTCGGGTTGTCGACGGAAGAAACGTCCGAGTGGCGCTTCGAAGGGGTTGCGTTCTGATTCTCAGCAGCCGGAGAAAAGATCGGTTCGCTGATTCGTATTATATTCAGTTGCGTCTTTAAGCCGCCGTTGTCTTGTTCCAGTTGTTGGAGTTGCTTCCGCACTTCTGCGGGGTTCAGGTCGGACATTTCTCCCGTCGCAGATTCGACTTTATGACAGCTTCAATAGTAGCAGGCGAGAATGTTCTTCGGACCTAGTGGTCAGTTCTATGAAAGTTGTGTCGTACGAGAGCTTACTCGATGATTCTCCGGTCTCTGCTGTTGCGCGTCGGCAGAATATGCGGAGGTAAACAGAATTGTTGACTCGGGACCCACTCACTGTCTTATCGGGGCTGGGCGGTGACGCCCCCGCCACTGCAATGCCGACCAGTTGTTGCCGTTCGTAGCTTCCAGGCTGCAATTGTCTGCTTCATCGTTTTTCACAGGATAGTCAATGGACTCAATTGACCTCATCATTGGTTGTCGCTGAATGCAACCTGAATTTGTTTTACTTTTCGCTAAATTTATATTATATCAGCCCCGCTTCCAAAGATAATGCAATTTGCCCCGCTCGTCAAATCTGCTGCGTTCCCCACTGGTGACACTGTTTGATATTATGTCTTCCAACCCAGCGAAATCACTCGGTGCGCTCGACGACGATGACTATGTCGCACAAGTCCTCGCACGCGAGGCGTGTGATAGCTCCTTAAAATACTCCGCACAAGGCTTGGAGGCGTATATGCCAAGAAGGTGAGTGACAAAAGTCTCGCGCATCGTTCTCAGTGGTCAAACAAGCAGGGGCTGACATACAGGCCTGCAAGACCTACAGGCGCCGCCCCAAGACCAAACACCCGGTTTCTTCGAAATATTATCAAGGAGACAGACAGCCATAATGCGGCTTTGAAACGGAAGGAAGAGAGAGAGGCGAGGGAGCGCATGCGGCAACTGAGAAATCAAGCATCTACTTCATCTCACGATTCAAGCCAAGGGAATCGTCGTCGGCGTGATTATTCTTCAAAAGATCGACACTCGACGGAAACCAGGAAAGAGCGCGACCAAAGACACAGCTCTTATCGGAGGAGACATAGGAGTCGGTCGAGGTCCACAGAACGAGATCACTTGCGCAGCAATCGCAGGAGACACAAGGATGATGACACTGAATATAGCCGGCACTACGAGTCGAGTAGAAGTCGACGATATTGGTCATCTTCACAATCCAGAAGTCGATCTCCACGGAATGGTCGAAAAACAAGCTCGAGAAGTTACCGCCGGCACTACCGTACGCGTGATGAATCACAGCCACGCTCTCGATCTCGATCCGTCGAAAGGTCGGACAAGCGCAGACTTACAGACAGGGAGAGGGGGAGTCACCGCAGAGACCATGAACGTCATAGCCCCAAGAAGCACCCATCGTCGCGCGAGGACCCATTAATACGTCTTCCATCAACTAATCGAGGTCAGCTATCAGAGAGCGAGTCAGATCCGCTAGAGGACCTTGTTGGACCACTACCACCAAAAGAGGATGGCTCAAATGAATCTGCACCGATCCGTTCACGTGGTCGAGGTGCTTATAAACCTAATATGAGCAACATTGATGCTCATTTCGCACCCGACTATGACCCTGCTACAGACGTGCAGCCAGAAGAGGATGACCTACAGTCCGGTAACCGACCCTCTCGTAGGCACGTTTCCGGCCTTATGACTGGTGATGATGACTGGGATTACGCCTTGGAAGCTATTCGGGACCGTGCTCGTTGGAAGCAGAAAGGCGAAGAGAGGCTCCGAGAAGCTGGCTTCGGTACGGACTTCGTGGAGCGTTGGAAAAGCAATACTGCCTCCAAGCCTGAAGCTGATTCCGAAGGTAGACTGGAAAATGTCAAATGGTCCAAGAAAGGTGAAGGTCGGGAGTGGGACCGAGGTAAATATGTGGATGAAGACGGACATATTGATGTGAAAGCATCCTGGTAGGTAGCCTCTAGCCTGACAGAAGATGGTCGTGGGATTAGCACGGTGTCATAGCATTACTCTTATGGCCATATTCTAGTACCGAGTAGTTCTTATTCTCGATCATAGAATAAATCATGTGAAACCTCACATGTATAATCACAAGTAGGACAGAAAATTCCATTCCTGATTCCAATTGTAGCATTACATCAGCGTCACAGGAAGTAGTTCATATAGTAAAAACTACTAAGGTAAAGAGGTGCCCGCTCCACCCGCTTAACCGATGTCCTTAGCTATGATATGAATATATACAGCTGCTCGTACTAGCACTGCGCTGCAGAGAAGGTTAGAAAGGATCTGCGAACTGTCGGTAAGAAAGAGAACGCCGCGGCAGACGGCAATCTAAGTGAAATTTGTTCATGAGAGTTCAGCCAAGAGCATATTTGTAAGCTGCAAGTAGAGCAAAGAAGGTTGTCATGTCGGCTTGTCTCGATCGATGTAACTGATTGCCAAGACGCAAACCCACTTCAGTTCCGCACCTTGGTCATCAGTGCGGAATTGTCGCAAGAGCTTTGCAAAATCGGTCACTAATTGCCTCATCGCAGCGCTTCCATAGTGGTCGAACAATATTCACAAAGATCGCCTGATTGGTAATAAGTTCTAGCTCTAGTGAGACGCTTGTAGAGACATGAAGAATAGATATCATCATCATCTGATAGATACACGGTGTCCGTACATACTCGTTGGAAATTCACACCCGATTTGTCCGCTTCCTACACTGAGTTTACTTGGCCTATATCAATTGGCACCATTCCCCGAAAATAATCAGCTGAGACTATCGCCGAGTGAATTCTAGCAGTATCATTCAGCAGCGTTATCCAGGTTCCCATATGACGGATCAGTTTGCCTTTACATACTCTTTCCCCCTCGAGGGGTACGAGAATTTGGAGCCGCTCCCGGAGTAAGTGCCTTTATTCCTACAGATCGGGGTTCGAACAGTCATCTCCGAATTTTAAGTGCTGAGGAATTATCTCTGAAGGGAGCGAAACGAGGACGGAAAGTCTTTTAAGAACCCTCAACATGGAATCCTGAGCAAAGCATACGAGGAGTTTCCCGACCCTCTTACCAAAGGCCGCCGCGGAGGATTCGATATACATATCTATCATTTCCAAGTACGACCTACACCATAAAACCCAGCACAATGGTATACGATTCTCGAGAACTCACTCGTGTCTTGCCCAGAATAATCCCGACCAAGTCTTTTTTGCCAGAGCACTCTGGGAGAGAATCCGACGTGAATGTAAGCTCGTCCACACCAGCTTTGTGATTGCATACGGCCACATAGAACCAATTCCGTGGTGTGGCCTTAACCCACAGAGTATATACCTTGGGGATAGAGCTGATCATGCTCGTACAGTTCCCGAACTCCGAATCTACACTTTCTTCGATCGACCCATAGGACCGCATCCCGTGGCCATGTTCGAGGTCAACCTGTTCACTCCAGCACAATTTGGGGCATTCGTTCCCTGGCTCATCATAAATCGAGGACCACTGAGCGCGCTAATTCATCCGAATACCGTGGAGGCAGAGGAAGAGCGGAACCATACACAGCGTGCTACTTGGTTAGGCGAGCGAATTCCTCTGGACTTACAATTATTCAAGTTACTCAAAGAGAAGGAGAAGAGAGAGGAGTTGAAAGGTGAATGAGGAACTTTTAATAGTAGCAGGAGCTTTGAGTGATAGTTTATTTTCGATACAATGCACTGCGCATAGCATAGCCCGGGAGGTTCAGAGTGTGATTACGAAACGAAATCTTGATTTCAGATCATATAGTAACGAATAAAACAGAAGATTTGGGCTTAACAGTTCGTGGAATTGTTTAATGACTACCCGTGTGAGGTCACTTGATAATGTGCTAGTACCCAGAATATAGGTCATCTGCATAAGTTTGTGCTGGCGAGGTAGGAAAACTTGAGGATGGTGTCTTCCCTGAAACACCAGAGCTGGCATACCAAGGGTAAGCCGTCTTACTACAGGTCACAGCAAGTCTCACGGGGTCCCACCTTCTCAAGGGCAGCAGGGTGTGACCTTGAAGATCGCCCACTCACTGTTTAAATTCAAGTTTGATTGGCCAAATGCGCCCTACACCAAGCTTACTTGTAAGTAGCAAGGTCCATTTCCTTGTTGACTATGCATGATATGCCAAAGCCCGGTCTTCCTGCGACTAGGGAACCTGAACGGGTAAGTTACGGCATAAACAGTTCAACGACGAAGCAAGACAGACATAGTCTAACCCTGACCCTGAGCGCTTGATTCGGAGCTGGAGAAAAAGCAATGATTTGATTATGACATCCCATCAGCTGCCGTAGCTCCTGGCTATGTGTGGATTGTGAGATTGAACGATGGGTGTAAATGAACATCGCACACTCAACCATGTCAGAAGGTCGGCCATCGATATGCGACCCCATATGACAGGACAAGATATGTTCTTAATGTTGCAAGTTTATCGTAAGCGTTTAGTGATGAGAAGATCGCATTACTTTGCTACGGTTGCGGAGGGTCGAGAAAGAAACCTTTTAATAGACTTGATTGCCCTCTAAGTCTTATGATTCCGTTGCCGCACGCCAGCATGTGGGAACTTCTATACCATTTACCACCACTCGCCGCAGAGAGCAGCTTATCGGGCGCTTCAACCATCGGTCTCGCCGCGACCGCTATTCTGACATGCGTGATAGAATATGGTGAGTTGTACATGAAGGAGATGCACTCGATCTGATCATTTCATAGCACCGCTTGTCTGGTTACATAGCCAAGATGTATACAGGCCATCCGACATTGGATAACAGCTAATGCACACCATCCCAATGGTCAATTGGACGTCTATCCCTGGATCACAATCGCCGTTAACTCTGGACGACCTCGCAAGCCTCAACAGTATGGGCAATACCAGTGTGTATCTTACATCCAAAGAAGGGATTGATGCAAACCCACAGCCACATTGGTTTTATGGCGTGGAGCCAAGTGTCAATGGCGTGACTGAAGGTGCTGTGTCATCGAATATCGTCGTTCGCGACCAGTATTTGGAACATTGGATGCCTTCTACTTTTACTTTTTCGCGTGAGTTAAGCAGATTAGGCCGAGGGAGGTACGCTTCGCGGATGCTCAACAAGATCTTAGGTACAAGCAAGGCAACACGGTACTGGGTATGCAACTCGGCAACCATGTCGGGGACTGGTAAGATGCCTATAGTCATGATGAATTGTGGACTAAAGCGCGATAGGGAACACAACATGGTTGGCTTCGAGCAAGGAGTTCCCAAATCGCTCTGATATAGCCAACACGCTGGCGGACAGGCCTTCACCTACGACGCAACAGAGAAAAAGGGAAAGAGGCCCATCGCATATTCTGCAAATGGGACACATGCTGTATATGCAATTGCTGAGTATGACTCTTGTTGTGCCTCGATTTACAAGCTCATAGCATTCTTCACCAGTTCTCATGATCATACTATCCCCAATTTCAATCTTCCCACAGGGTTGATAGTTGACTACACAGATCGGGGTTTATTGTGGGACCCTGCTCGAAACGCGTATGCATATAGTTACGATGCCACGAGCCAGAAGTTCCAGCCTTATGATGCTAGCTTTCCAGTTAACTGGCTCGAATACAATGGTAAATGGGGGAACGATGCGTTGCCGGGCGGACCGGAGCTCTTCGGACAAGCAAAATATACCGGTGGCCCGAATGGCTCCAGGTTCAAACACCTCGTTCGATCCAAAGTATGCCCGAGAAGTCCATGCACGATTCTTCCGTTTCGAATTTGGAGCAAACCTGAGATCACCAGCGAAAGATGACTGTCTTTTTATGGAAACCAGATTTTATCTCAATGCAGTATGGTAGGAGTGATGATGACCTCTGAGTACTTAGAATCTGACGCTGGACTTTGAAGGGAGGACATGTGGAGCCTGAGACTGTCTCGCTCTCCATGCCGAGGGCTGGAAAATTCGATGGCCGGTATGGGGAGAAATTTTGTGATCAGGCATGTCACCAGGGAGGGTGTGATTCAATCAATATGCTATTTGAGCTCTAGGATTCTCAAACAATAGCTCTGCTACTCACAAACCTAAAATTTCAATAAGCTGAATATATGGGTGCAGTCGGCTCCGTCCCTGTGCTGCACTTGCCCGGTCGCATTGAGTATGTTTTGGTCCCAAGGCATGACTCAGGGGCTTCCCTGGATGTGGGCAGGAAAGCGAGAATTGCGTGAGTTCTTCCTAGCATGACCGATGCTACTGAGTCAAATAGTTCTGTTTCTCGAGTGCAATATCCCTACCAATAAAAGCAAAAAGCAGACAACGAAGTGAATCTGCTAATATCATTAGTCAGGACCAGCAGCAAAATATCCGCCGTCTCTGCCCACGTAAGACACGGGCAACTCGGAACGGAAAGTGCCCTCCCCGCACTAAGAAAAGGGGCGGCTGGATGGGGCAGGTGCTGGTTGAATGAGCTTCCCAGCATCTAATTCCATTTTCCCTTTTCCCGTCTTACGCTTCGGAACATAAGTCTGGTCTTGATGGAGAAATTGGGTGATTAGGAAAAGGTCAGAATCCGGGGAAAGGGAAGAATCGAGAATTGACAATAGGAGGAATGTACGCCAGATGCACGAGATAATCAAACAAGACTCGTGTGGATTCGTAGAATGACAGGTCCAGAACGGTATCCACGTGTACAGTACTTTATGGAGTTTTGACCACCGCCTGATTATCAGTCGAACGTGAAGGGCCACCCTGGGCCCCTCGGGGAATCGAGAATCAATACATGGTATCGGAGGCGTATTGTCCGGCAAGCATATCGGCTCCAATTTGCGGCTCAATCGGTCCTCACTGCATGAACATTGGCTATTAATATAGCTGAACGTATCTGAATCAATCATCGCAAGCTTGATCGACTGAGCTAGCGCGTCCTGTGTTTATTTCTCTCAGCATTCCAGTTGCGATTGAAGTTAAGTCATGGCGTGATGCTTCATTCCATTTGAACCAGCGCTTCCCTGACATACACACAAATTCCGGGTAATGAAAACTTACCACTCGTATGAAAAGTGCAGCCGTACAACATCGGACTCTCGAAGAGAAGAGAGAGTCGATAGGCAGTAGCTGTAATCAATCAAACGGCTTGCCCCTCCAGCATACGAACTAAAACCCCAACAGTTTAGAGACTAGCAACCTGCCCTAGACCAAGTCGGTACGGAGTCAAATGCAACTCAAGTGTTCACTAATCCCAATCGAACTTAGACCAATTCGCTGGGTGGGGGGCGAGTCTGGAAGAGATCGAGCTCCCCTACCGCTTTGCCCCTGAGTTTCGTCCGGCTTAAAAGCTTCTCGAGCTTCTCCCCGCCTTTGTAGACGTTCAAAAGTACCTAGAGAAAAGACAAAAAAAAAAGAGAAGCCAAGAAGGAGAAGAAGCAAGAGCGTGGAAAACAAACCAGAGGAAGGCAATTAGACACTATTGCCACAAACAAGACGGGACTTCAGGCAGGTCTTCACATCCAGTTGGCTTGGGGAAAGGCAAACGTGCTGCAAAGCCTGTCAGTTGAGCTTCTGTATTGCGAAGCAGAAGGTTCAGCATCAGCCCAGTCCGAATACAGGTACCGCGTCGTCTTTGCCCAATCTCACTGGTCGATCATCATTGATCCTCAGCTCCATCAGGCAGCCTTCGCGACGCTCTTCTCTGACTCGGGGCCAACCCTTCATATCCGTTGTATTCCTTTTCCTTTCTGTTCATCTTGTCCCATTCCAATTGTATGCGCCGCTTTAGTCGGACGCTGTGAGCCGGCATCGCTTCCAGAGGTCCCCGGGTAGGATCGAATCGCAGTATTGACGTGTTGTTTGCTGGTCTCCGCAACCATACTGCCTGTTGTTATCTTGCAGTAGCAAGGCCTTTCAATTTGACGATTCACCTGCTGGACTTGTGCAAGTCGATTGGACTAATCACGTGGTCGCTGGATTTCTCATCTCACTTCTCGGACCAAACGGCTGTGTACACAGTTTCTAATCACGGAGTCGATTATCTTGGCTTTCTTCTTCGGTCAATTGTCCCATCGTTGCGTGAAGAGGTTAGTGCACTTGAAGCGAAATTAGAAGAAAAGTGAAGCCACCCATCGAATCAGGTACGTTGGTCATTTCACAATCCAGAGGCGGGAGACCCGTGGGAAACCAGAAGTCTTCGGGTCAGGGGGTACAGCTCATATTATACTATGCGAAAACACCTCTCTAGAATCTTAACAACTGACTGCAACTGACAGCCCGTCCAGGTGAATTTACCAGCTGAAACCTTCAAGGACCTAGTCTGTTTTGAGCCGACAGAGAAATTTCAGGATCACTGGAGTGAATGAAATAAGCCCGACTATATCTGAGACACGCATCATTCCCAGTACCCCACTTCTGTTTGGCTTTTTGTCCCCCGATTCGTGTTACAGCCAGTCAAGTGATAAGAGAAGCCGGAGGTTACCCAGAATAAAATCCGATGGCAAGCACATCAACAGCACCCCGGACTCCGGTTCGGACTGAGCCTTCCGCTGTCGCCGCAGAAACAAAGGATCAACGCAGAACGTCATCTTTAGGCTTCCTTCGTCGCTCCAAATCAATTGAACTGTTAGGTGAAAGGAGACCTTCGGCGAGCAAAAGTGGCAAGCCAATGCCGACGGAAGAGGACTCCCATCATCAACGCGCTTCAATGCTATACCATCAAGCTCCTCGTCTTCCGGACCTGTCGCCGGCTCCAGTCCTGGAGACATTCGGTGGCGAATCACCCCGAGACACCACTGCAGCGCCTCCCAGCCAGTCCCCCGTGCCCCGACCGCAGGCCGTGTCCCGCAGTGCAATGAGCACGCCAGTGAAGCCAGAGAGCAGCGATCCATACGCACGCGCGGAAAGCATGGCACACCGTGGTCGTTATAGCTATGCGAGCAGCGCTGTCAGCTCCGTCAACAACCCGCGCCGTCTACGGCGGCGCAAAGATCCTATTCCGTACAAGTAAGTTGCCATCATCTCGACCGACTCGAGGCCTCGTACTGATCTACTTTAGTGTTCTTGTCATTGGCGCGAGTAACTCCGGCAAGACGTCGTTCCTCAAATTCCTCAGAAAGTCTTTGGAAATGCCACGAAACAAGCAGTCCATCCGGCAGCCCAACGACATGGAAGACCAAGATAATGAATCTGCAGCTGGGGAAGGCTACTCTCCCTCCTATCTTGAAACTGAAATCGATGGCGAGCGTGTGGGGCTCACTTTTTGGGACTCACCAGGGCTGGAGAAGAACATCGTTGATATTCAGTTGCGTGGAGTAACAGGCTTCCTGGAGAGCAAATTCGAAGAAACCCTGAGAGAGGAAATGAAGGTCATTCGCTCACCTAATGCTCGAGACACTCACATTCACTGCACTTTTCTGATTCTCGATCCGGTACGCTTGGATCAGAATATAGCTGCTGCTGAGAGAGCAGCGCACGGGACCCCAAGATCAACCGACTCAACCATCATTGGCATTTTAGATGAGAGATTGGATGTTCAAGTTCTACGTACCATGGTAGGGAAGACCACTGTTGTCCCACTCATAAGCAAAGCCGACACGATCACTGCGGCGCACATGGCATACCTGAGGAAAGCTGTTTGGGAAAGCCTGAAGAAGGCCAACATCGATCCTTTGGCAATCCTGACCTTGGAAGACCAGGAAGAATACACATCTTCGGAGAGTGATGATGATGATGATGATGATGATGATGATGATGATGAGAAATCAGAGCAAGACGAGGGAATCCCTAGGCCTCTACGCGCTCCCTCCGAACGCAGCCAGGACACGCCCGACTCCCAATCCGTTCCTCAGCTTCTACCTTTCACAACTTTGTCTCCCGATCTGTACTCGCTGAAGTCTGCAGACGAGCCTATTGGTCGTAAGTTCGCATGGGGCTTTGCTGACCCGTACAATCCGGAGCACTGCGATTTCCTGAAATTAAAGGAGGCTGTCTTTAATGACTGGCGCATCGAGCTCCGCGAGGCGAGTCGTGTGGTGTGGTATGAAAGATGGAGAACTAGCCGCCTGAACCGTAACATCGCCACATCTTCTGCTCCCCCCAAAGAAATCGCGCAGAAGAAGACATACGGAGGGAGAACTGGACCCGATCTCCGTCGCTTCCAGTAATCAATGCAGTCTCTCGACCTTCACTCACTACTAGTATGATTTGCGTTTCGCGGAAATTGTTGGGCTCTATCTACTGCCATTTCTTTACATCTGCTTCACTTGGCTAATATGTTGGTTATTCGGAATCCAACCATATGCACCATCTTCCCTAGATGACGACTTGAATAGCAGCAGCCTTCGGCTCCCGGCAAACCCAACGAAAGCACACGTGTTGGTTCGACCATTCTGACAATCAGAAGCAAGCATATTTTGTCCATGTTTTGTATATGCTCCGAGATATCTGAAAGGTCAATCCATGAAGTACTTCCATCGAGCCATACTTTACAAAGTTGGCTAGCCGAGACACTGTGCCCAGGCTATCTGTCAATCTTCCCAAAAGCGTCGCCAAGGAACCGCCGAGCTGAATATTTCGCATACACTTCTTCAACGTTTGATACTATCTTTAGGTCTCCCCATTCTTGATGTGATATTACCCCAACGCGTTGATGTCTCAGCGCTGCTGCGTTATTTCGGCTCAGTACCTACCTGCTTGGTCAACTTGCCCCATTTTGTTCTTCACTGTGAAGATGTCTCCACAAGCCATACCCAATTTCATTCCTTCTTTGTATCTCTGATGATCTTCTGATCCCATTCATGTTGAAGTTATCTTTTCATGCTAGTTCAATAGCCCGTAGCTTGCGCCCACGCCCACGCCCCGGCTTGTTTGTGTCATGCTTTTTAATGTGATGTTTAGAAGCTACTCGGCGGATAAGGCATGCTGAAGTTCATGACCTCTGTTGTCGTTTCACTGGCAAGGCGCGAAGTGTCAGATCTCGATCTCTAAGAGTAAGCTCGCAGCCCATTGTTTGTAATCAGTTTTCTGTAGTACGGTGAGTAGAGCACCTACTTTTTTATGGCCTGATAGAAGCGGTGAATAAATCGCATTATCACGAACAACAATGAGGATTTGAAAAGATTATTCAACCTTGAACTTGTGGATCGGCTCAGTCGAATTTGACGAGGGCCAATGGCGGGAATCTGACCAACATCGAGTTGAGCGCCATTCGACGATACGAAGCGCTAGTCCCGACAAACACTGAGGGGCTCAGGCGGCGGATGGATTCCGGACCCCAAGGTTTAATGAACTGCTGCTATTCGTGAAGTCATAAGAGGATTAGACTACCGCCCAGGGTGGACCAGCATGGATGGCCCTCAAGGCTGCAGAAGACGGTGTGCGGCTCCAAAGAGCGCAGACTCTCTCAATTGGAGGGCGGATCTTGCGATCTTCAGATAGTACTGCCGCATGGTTCTCAACAGCGCGAAAGGATAGCAATAAATGTGGAAAGCGCGCCAGTCCTTCTGAGGAGTAGTAATGGTTAAACTCGAATCGAGTGTCGCTAAGGGCTGTCTCTTTGCACTGTTGTGCAGGAAGAAGAGGGCGACAAGGCAGCGCAGCCCCGCGATCAATACTCATGCGGACTTGATTGATTTCAGCTGCTCAGCTGAACTCTCGACACGATTTCCAATGATCAGTCGCTGCATTCGCCAGCCTTATCCTCCAATTACTAGGGAAAAACATTGTCACCTAGTCTTACCTTCTTTCACCTAATCTCTTCTCTTCCTTTTTGACTCTCTGATCTGCTCCGTTCCTGTCATCATATCAGCCCTTCCCCGTCATTATTTTCTCGGTGCTCCACACCAGCTGATCGTTGTGCCTTCAGTCCTTTTCTGCTCGTACTCCGCCCAGTGGTACATCGCTTTGTTGGTTTTCGGTCTGCTTTTCTAGCTTCCTAATCTTCATCCCAGCGTCGGTGGGACTCTTGCTCTACTGTCGCAGCGGTTCCTAGCTCTTTGATCCATGTCACTCCAGGCGGGCGACCCACGGTCGCGAGGCCGTTCCAAGTCCCCAGGCGGCCGTATCCGCGATCGTTCCAAATCTCGCGACACTCAACAGCCTTCAACCCTCGACCCCAAGTATTTGTCTTCCGCTCATGCGGATGAGAAGTTGAGGCCCAGATCTAGGAGCAGAGGCGCTGCCCCAGGTAATTTTTACCGGTCAAGTTCTCGTCATGGCTTCTCTGATAGCCGGGATCACTACTTAGGCATCGAGCACGGTCGTGATTACTACTACCAATCTGACTCAGGAGAAAGCAAAGGTGCAAAGCGCGACTGCAGATACTCTTCTTCCGCTCATCGCCGCGATGCGCGCTACGATAGTTACTCGGAGAACTCATATTCAGACTCGGAGGATGATGCACTCGCTTACGGTGACCTTCCCAACGATGACCTAGAGCGCAGCTATTACGGGTATAAGGGTACAAATCGTGCGGCATCGCCGCGCCATGGTGGTGCCATGATGTCTGGTGCGCTGAATCCGGGCGTGCCTGGAGCTGGTGTGTCATCGCGCTTGGGAGATGGTATCAAGGAGCAGGTGCCTGGCAGTCATCCTAGCTACGCAAGACCTGACCCATTTAAGTATGCCACGCAACCTCAGCACCCTCATGTTCAGCCCCATCCTTCGCATTACGGTGATCCTATCGCTTCGCACACCCTATCCTCCAAATGGGCACCGATTCCTGAGTGTGAGCGACCGGGCTTTGTAACCCCATTGTCGCAGGGACACGGTCAAGCGATGCCTGGGGCGTTTCCAGCCGGCTCTACACAGCCTGATATGCCTGCCACCACCGCTGCAGCTCCAATGCCAACGTACAGATATGTCGATCCAGAGCGCACGCAAAATCCTTACGCACCGCAGAATGGTCGCACACCGTCAATGTCTGCCACCAGTGCATACACAGCTGGAGGGGCCCCTTCAAACCACCAGCGGTCTGCATCGAGCGATGCGGCGGTCAAGCCTTCATATGCTGCGCCATCTCCGTTTCAGTATGCGCAAGTTGATCCCAATGTGAAATACTCATCCAAGAGCGCAGGGAATAATGCTGCCAAGCCACCTACGCATCCCGCAACTCCTCAATATCCGAAGAGTGGTGGCACACAAACCAATGAACCGCCGTACAGCGGTGTTAAATACGCAGCTGCTCCTCAGTTTGCCAAAAGTTCATCGACTCGTCAAGGAGGCGGTCCGCAGTACGTCGAGATTGCACCTGGGAACCGTACTGTCAGCCGACCCCATAGTCATTCCGTGTCCTCAGCCCACAACCTCGCAGTAGTTGGCCCTGATCCGACCCAGCGACCGGCAAGCCCGCTACAGGAGCCCTACAAGGGGACTTACCAGAGTATTTCGCCAATGCCATCGCCTATCGTGATTTCGTCACGATTGGATGACGACGTTTCAGACTTAGAATTGGTGGGTACTAGTTCAGACGAGGGAAAAAGGGAGCACAAGCGCAAGAAGAGCAGAGATGAGAAAGATCGTAAGGAACTGAAACCCGACGGTGCGAAACGGGAGAGTAGCCGAGTGCGGCACGAACGACATGGGTCCACTGGACCTAATGCCCTCGTGGTGATCACTCCTGGCAGCAGTCGAAAACGTGTCACTTTTTACGACGCCGGTCCCGATGCCCTGGCCCTGCAGCAGGCTCTATCGCATGCTCGACATGTCGACAACAAGACCCTTATCAAGGTGCTACCACATTTGACGAGCGACGAGATCTTGGACTTGCGGAAGGAGTACAAGAAACACGTCAAGGTACACGGGAAGGGGGTGAACTTGGCTAAGCATGTTCGGCTTTGCCTTGGTAATAGTGCTTTTGGTAAAGTATGCTATGCCACTGCTCTGGGCCGTTGGGAATCCGAGGCCTATTGGGCAAATTGCTACTACCAGTCAAGCACTTCTCGGCGTGAATTGCTGATCGAGTCCTTATTCGGAAGGACCAATACTGAGATCAGCGAGATCAAAGAATGTTTCCGAGACTCGCGATATTCGGACAGCTTGGAAAAGTGTATGAAAGCCGAATTGAAGGCGGATAAGTTCCGGATGGCCGTGTTGCTTGCACTTGAAGAGACTCGACAGAGCGAACGTGATCCGCTCGACTCGGAGCTTGTTGAACGAGATGTGCACGAGTTACACCGCGCTCTAGTCTCGCGCCATGGGGGTGAGACAGCGATGATCTACATCATTGTTCGTCGAAGTGATAGTCATCTTCGGGAAGTTCTGCGCGCTTACGAGAAGATCTACGAGCGCAATTTTGCTCGGGCCATGATGGCAAAATCACAAAATCTTGTGGTAGGTTTACTCTCGCCGCCGCTCCAGGACCACGCTGCTAATCCATTTTCATAGGGTGAGACACTTGCACATATTCTTAACGGAGCTATCAACCGGCCTATGCGTGATGCTCTTCTCATACACCAAGCGCTGCGCGAATCGCGAACCGGCAAGGAGCGATCGGAGCTCTTGATCTCGCGTCTGGTTCGGCTTCATTGGGAGCCCCGACACCTGGAAAAGGTCAAGAACGAGTTCCGCCAGCGCTACCGCGAGCGGCTAGAGGATGCCATCGCGGAAGAGGTGCTGACGACCAGTGGAGGTAGCGAATGGGGTGAATTCTGTATTGAGCTAGCTCGCAGCTCTAAAACTCTCGTCGGCCGTGGCTGAGATATCAACTGTTTCGGAAAAGTTGCTCATTTTGTTTATTTGGGTGGAACAACTTGGAGGCATAATTTTGGGGCTTGACGCGTAATGAATGATGATTATGTTTATATCACTAATGTGACATACCGAGAGATGCTAACTTCTCGAGACACCGGGGTCGGACTGTTGTAGGGCCGTAGGTAAATCCTTACGCGACATAGAGACTCTTCGATCTTTCTGGCGAAGCATCCAAAATTAAGCTCCGGAATTCTCATCTAAGTACTTCCAATACTAAGCCGCGCATTTCATAGTGCTAGCGTCCAAGCTGAGATATTTTCAACTCTACAATCTTACACTACGGTCATCTGTCATCGTCGTGGCTTGGGCAGCCCCTCACCAAAGAAGCTTATTCCTTCCACACTTCTGACGACGCACGATACAGAGATCAACACCAGTGGCAACTTCTTATTACGACTGCTCTGGTTTTGGACGTATTCGTGGTTCTCGTTGGAGTATAGTCATACCAACTCTTCTGAGTCAGACGGGTCTGCATCTAGGGAAAGATGGGCTCACTTGTGCTTTGTGGCAGATATAGAATACTGGTCTAACACCCCGAGCCATAACTCTGGAGTTCGTGAGCTTGCTGACAAACGGTCGAGTTTGAGACGATATTTGCGCGCATGGATGCATGCTATGGCGATGCCATGGGCAAGTCTGATAAGCAACGCACATATAAGTATTGCCAACCGAAAGGCTCTTGGCTTCTTGGATATATTTAGTGTCTCTGGTCTGGCTAATCCATCTGACTATGCTTATGATACAGTTCAAGGACTATTGGGGGCCATCGATTACAGGTCTAGTCGCATCCGCTACGAGCGGTTGTTGCTCAGGGCGTATTGATTCCTTCGGCCGCGAGGGCAAACGCGGTCATATCGACATATTCATTCGGGGAGAGATTCTCCATGAAGAGGATTCATTTCTGGATGATCGGTGACAAGTAGGTATCTCCGACTTGTGAATGAGTGGCAGGCGGTTAGCCGAAATGCCATGCCTTGGAAATTTCAGGATCTTCATTGTACTGTATATAGGTACGCGTAAGATTCACTTTATCATATTCAGGAAATGACACAGTCATTTATTTGAACTCGTACTAATCTCCAAATTCAAGAAAGAAAACAAACCCACTATTAGTGCCTTCTCAGGTGGGCTTTCAGTAATCATCTCGGGCTGGGACATAGTCACCGGTCATGTTCCGAGTATATCACAAGACGCGTCGCTGGAATAGACTCGACTATCGCAATTAGGCTGAAAATAATCTCCGAGGGGAAATGAGATGCGGAGAAAGAACGGAAGAATCTGAGGCTGGAGTGAGTCTAATTTACTCAAACGTCAGTGAGGACGGGTGACTTCGAGAGCTACTTACTTTGGCCCATTTGCTAAGATCAACCTTTTCCTTCCCGACCAAATCTGCCGCTATCCGAGTCGAGTCCAGTCATCCTCGTCCGGCCTATCTCCGACCATGCAGACATCCTGCTAGTTGTCAGAGTCACACTGCATCCATCCGCTGTATCTTGTCTCCCCGCTAGCGCAGCCCCCCGATTCCTGAACGCAGGGGGAAGCCGCTAGAAACTTCGATGAGGGGAAACCATTGAACTATTCTACTTTGCTCCCATTTTCCTCACATGATGGCATCACAATTGTCGGTCACATTGAGCTGTTAGACTTCAACTACCAGAGGGCGACCCTGACGCATGCTGCATTGCCCAGAGGGCTTTAGCTGAGGTTTTTTCTTGACTTCAAATGATACTATATGCGAGCAAGATCATGGACGAACGCATGGCCGACCCCCGATGCTATCGCACCTTCTCCCGGGGTAATTTCACCTGCAGAAAGCCGGCTCTTCAGATTGAGCATCCGCTGGCACTTACTAAACTATTGATTGCTAGTCATGTACGAACCATGTCATTTCCTGCCGTTTTGAGATGGCCTTCTTTTCTCAGAGAGGAGCTTTCGCTTCTCCTCTTTGTGTCTGTCTCCAGTTATGCCTCCAGGGCTCTACTCCACTGGGATGCAGTTCATAACATTTCTTGTCCCCTCATCATCAAACTCACTATCATCATGTGTCACCCGTTTAACCTATTCCTTATTATTCGGTCGAGCTTATGATACTGTCACTCGTTCAGACACTCATTTGCAAAAGTAGTCACCTGCCCTGATGCCCTAATGAGATGGGGGTTTGTCTGTTTTCCAGCACGGATATGCTCTTTTGAGCCTCAGTTCAAGGCTCACCTGGACCATGTTACAAGCATTCCTTCACAACGCTTGAACAGTTCGCGTTGGGCCGTCGATTAGCTTCTGGCCTGGGTCGGCTCTGCGGTCTCAGCTCCGCATGGAAGAGAGCGGGTGAGACCGGATGCCTTAATTAAAGCTTGCATGGTAAGTTTTGATCACATTCAGCCATTGCTTCTATACCAGCAAGCTTTTCCATTTCTGGCACGGCGAGCAATGCTTTTCGGAGATTTGGATGCGCATGGGGAGGGAAGGGGGGCTCCTTTCTTCCGGGTTGTGGGAGGTCAGACGACGGTTGGAGGCATTGCATCACGCATCTCCTGCTCTCTCAATGAAACTTGCTAGATGTAATTGAGATTGACGCAATATTCAGGAGTGTCTGCCCTGAAGAGCCCTTCAAATATCCCCTCCTTTGCCGCTGGTATGCTGGCTCGACCTTGTGCATAAACGTTCCTGACATTCCAGTTCAGCATTCCAGACTCCACATTCGCCATCACCGCTGCAAAGTCTTAATCTGTTTTGTCATTCTCCTCTCGGTGGACGAAGAGACACGAAAGATTTCATAAATAGGAAGGGTTATGCTCCTAGTCTGAGTATCTGGTGGCCAAATTACAATGACTCGGTTTGTCTTAGGCTTTTTAGTGACGGTGCTGGTCTCTTATGCAGGGGCCACGTCCGTCTTCTCTCCTGCTCGGCCTCCAGCATTACCCTTGGCAGTCAAGTCGCCGTACCTAAGCACCTGGCTTGCTGCAGGAAGCGACGGAGGTAATGGAGGATATCTGGCCGGGAAATGGCCAACGTTTTGGGCGTGAGTGCTTCTATCTGACACGTTTGTATTGTTACGGGACTGTCAGCAGATGTGACTGACTGCTATTTTGCGACTTAGTGGACAAATCAATGGTTGGGCTGGTATGATTCGCGTCGATGGCACCGCTTACACTTGGATGGGGTTGCCTGGAACCACCACGGTCAACCAGACTTCTTATGTTTACACATCCACGAAAAGCATATTCACCATGAATGTGGCCGACAAAGTGCAGATGAACATCACCTTTCTGTCCCCAATCACACCACATGATCTCAAAAGACAGTCGCTCATTTTCTCTTACGTTGCTGTCGAGGTTGCATCGCTCGACGGCGAAGCTCATGATGTGCAGGTATATGCAGATATTTCGGCAGGTAAGTAGATTCCAAAGAAGACCAAATCAGATTAGGCATGGTGAGATTAGTGTTATGGGTATCTGACATTGATTAGAATGGACATCGGGGGACCGCACAGCCACTGCAACATGGGACTATGGAACCACCGGCAACAATGTTGCATACCACAAAGTCAGCCGTCAGACCCCACTCGCTTTCTCTGAGACAAGCGACCAGGCGGACTGGGGAGAGTGGTACTGGGCAACAGATGAGAACGAGAGTATGACCTATCAGTCAGGGAGAGATGTCGATGTCCGTGGCGCTTTTACTACGAACGGAACGCTAGGTAATTCCAAGGATGCGGATTACCGCGCAATCTCGACAAATTGGCCGGTGTTCGCATTCGCTCATGACTTGGGGTCGGTCGACTCACCGGCCGCAGTACTGTTCTCCATTGGGCTGGCCCAGACCGATGCCATGCAATATAACGGAACTGATAACGGTTACGCCCCATTGCCATCGCTCTGGACAAGCTACTTTAGTGATGGCCCTGCAGCTGTAAGTCCTGGATGAACTGGCACAAGTTATTCAAGACACTGACGAATTATCCACCAAGCTGGACTTCTTCCACAACGACTACGAAACCTCCTCTTCTCTCTCCACTGAATTGGATAACAAGATCGCAGCCGACTCTGTAGCCGCAGCTGGTCAGGACTATCTTACCATCACTTCACTTACTGTCCGTCAAGCTTTTGGCGCGACCCAATTGTGCGGCACGACAGCGGACCCTTACCTCTTCATGAAGGAGATCTCTTCTGACGGAAACATCAATACTGTGGATGTCATATTCCCTGCCCATCCGATATTCTTGTACACGAACCCAGAGCTTCTGGACCTTCTACTCAAGCCCTTATATGAGTTTCAGGAGTCTGGAAAGTATCCCAACTCTTATGCAATGCACGATGTTGGGAGCAACTACCCTAACGCGACTGGCCACGCTGACGGTAAGGATGAGGCGATGCCTCTTGAAGAGTGCGGAAACATGGTTATCATGTCATTGGCATACGCTCAAAGGGCGGGCGACACGGCTTATCTTGAAGCCCACTATGACATGCTGAATAGATGGACAAGCTACCTGATTGAGGATGCGCTTTATCCATCAAATCAGATTTCCACCGACGACTTTGCTGGTAGTCTAGCGTGCGTGTTCCACCCTTCCCCCTGACAACTTTTTCAGCAGGTGCTGACTCAGTTATAGAAACCAGACAAATCTAGCTCTGAAAGGGATAATCGGCATTAAAGCCATGTCTGTTATCAGCAAGAGGACCGCCCACTCTTCTGAAGCTTCCAACTATACAACCATCGCTCATAGGTATATCCGGCAATGGGAGAAAATCGGCATTGCCCACAATGCGAACCCTCCCCATACGACACTTTCATATGGCGCCAATAACTCTCATGGTGCGTCCAATCTGATATATAACTGAAATGGGATTATTGACTCAAGAACACAGGTCTTTTGTACAATCTTTACGCTGACCGCGAGCTGGGACTCGACTTGGTACCGAAATCAGTGTACGAGATGCAGAGTGCATTTTATCCTACGGTACAGAATACCTATGGAGTACCGTTGGACAGTCGTCACACATATACCAAGGGTGAGCCTAGTCAATCCTATCATGCTGAACTTCTTCTAAAGCATTACGCAGGTGACTGGGAACTGTTCACTGCCGCAGTCGCGTCAACCAGCACGAGGGACATGTTCATCAAGCTCCTTGCAAACTGGATTAACTTGACTCCAACCAATCGAGCTCTTACTGATCTCTACGATACCACTAGCGGAAAGTGAGTATGAACCGGCGACAAACTTCTAAGAACTTATCCTGACTAATGTCCCTAGCTATCCATCAATTACCTTTATTGCTCGACCCGTCATGGGCGGCGCTTTCGCTCTTCTACTCCTCAATCAGGGCAACTGATTCACTCACCATCATATATATCCATTTAACTCCGGTCCGCGCGACTGTCATATTCTGTTTGAAGTCGTCTTTGGTTCTGTGAACCGGGCCAATTTGCTTCCTCTATGCGTTCGGACGTGCAGGCCACTCGCTGCGTATCTAACTTTGGAACTGTTTCATTTTTAGCAGAACTTTCTGTTTATCTTTAGGCCAAGTTTATATTTCCTGTTGCCGGCTTGATGGGGCTTCGGAGGCCGTGGCGAACAGAGTACATATTTTCACTTGCCTGAGCTGTTGCGGGGCTGCAAATATTACTTAGTGATTACATCTGCTTGAACTTAGTATTTTTGTTGCCTATCCCATAGAGTCATTAAACGTCCCTACCGCCACACAAATCGTAGTGAATTGGTGACAACGAATGGGGCACAGGTCGGACTTTCGTTGTACTCTGCAATAATGACTTGGTCAATAGAATCACTTATCGGATAACTTTCGGGGAAGCAAGGTGTCGCACGACACATCCCATGTGCTGAGAAGAGAATTGTGAACAACATTCTGCCAAGGGACACTACAGTCTCACATCATTCAAGCTATTTCCCAACACCGCTCAAGAAATATTCTGAAAAGGTTCCAAATTGGTACACGAAGCCAAGGCTTGATTATTAGTATGTATTTCATCCTCATTCCGCACCGCGCCCTTGCTAGCATTGACCACACAGTTCAGGCACGGCCTCCTCCGGACCCTGCCAACCGTCGAAAGAGCGGATGAGATCTGTCAGAAGACATCTACACGTTAGCCAATCTTACTCAAAAAGAACACTCTTGGGGCCTTATGTGGGCATCAAGAACAAGGGAAACGTTCAGACGGCATACCATAATACAACATGATTGCCTCCATATGCGCGTCGATGCTCACCCTTTCATCGACGGTGTGGATATTGAACGCCCGTCCGGCGCGGGACGGACTCCATCGGTAGATGTTCCGCGTCAGGGGCCAGTAGAACCTGGTGTCAGTGTTGCCGGTCATGATGTCGCCGCTGACGACGACGGTCTTACCTTTAAGGGCGGGAACGGACTCGAAGACGGCGCGGGTGACGCCGGAGAAACGCGCCCAGACGGGGTCAGTGCGGAGGTTGGTCGGGCTGACGGGCGCCGGGTTGAGGGCGCCGCTGAGGGTGGTAAGGGTGAGGTGGTTGTTGAGCGAGGTATCGACCTGATTGTCCGCGGGGAACGCGGTCAGAGTCATGTTGTACCGCTGCGTGATGGATGTGACGATCTCGATGGCACGGGCCTGGATCTCTTCGGGAGTCTGGTGCAGGGCGACCCGGTAGTTGACCAGCGCGGAGATCTTCTCTGGGAGCGCGTTAGATTTGACGCCGCCCGCCACGAGGTCGGCCGCCTGAGAGGTCTGGAGGATGAAGCGGAACTTGTCGCCGCGCGAGTCGGCGAGTCTCTCGGCCAGGGAGACATAGTCGGAGGAGCGGAGGGCCGACGCCAGCCAGGGCTCGACCTGCGAGGGCGAGTGGCGGACCTGGCATTCGAGCTTTTGCCGCGAGGGGTGGCGGTCGTCCAGGACAGGGACGAAGAGGTCCCGGCGTTCGAGCGAGTAGATGATCTCGGAGATGATGCCGATGCCCGTGTGAGGCGGCGGCATCGAGCTGTGCCCGCCTGGTACGGCTAGCGAGAGGACGATGTCTAGGCTGCCCTTTTCGCCGACGCCGGGGAGGGCATAGATGACTCCGTCCCCATTGTCGGTGACGCCCGCTTTGTCGTTGTCGTCGTCGCTGAACGTTTCGAGACCCATGCCACCTTCGTCGAGGATGAATTCGAAACTATTTGGGCCGTACTTCTTCTGCAGGGACTCGGAGATGTTCCCGGCACCGAGGAAGCCATGGGATTCCTCGTCGAAGCCAAACGCGAAGAGGACACTTCGGATGGGTTGCCAGTCTTGGGAAAGAAGGTCCTCCACAGCTGACAGAAGACCGATCAGAACATTCTTGCAATCGCTGGCACCACGGCCCCAGAGCCATTCGCCGTCAAAATGGCCGGCAAAGGGCGGGTAAGTCCAATCAGCAGCATCGTCGATTGGTATGACGTCCTGATGAGCCAGGAAGAGGATCGGCTTCAAGCTGTCGTCGGTGCCATTGAGGGTAAAAACAAGCCCTAGGCGGTTGACGTGATCTACACGGGCGTGAGAGTGGCTGAAGCAGGAGAATGTTAGAGACACTCGTGCCAAAAGAGGCAGTGCCACTTACAGGAAGGGAAAGAGGGATTGCAGGAGCTCGTGGAATTCGAGGAATGGACTAAATTTCTCGTCATAGGGATCTTTCATGTAATCGTCGATGACGGTCGGTACTTGGACTGCTCGAGAGAGACGGTCGACCTGTCGCAACTTTACTGCATCGTCCGTGACGAACTTGAGCGAGGAGACAAAGCCATCATCCGGCGCTTCGATTTTCGGTGCCAATGGGCAAAGGTCACTATCCTCTTGGGGAGACCAAGGATTAAAGATTCGTTGCGCAGAAGGAATGCTGGGAGACGCAACCGAGGGGGCCAGCAGCCCTACGATGACGGGGAGTAGCTGATGCATGGGCAATTCAATTACAAGGTAGAAGCACTCGCCGGAGAGAGAGGAAGAACCAAACTACAACTGCAGGATTCTTGGATCCATTCTATATGAGGGGAAGCAGCTAGAACACCAGCAAGACAAATGAGTAACTGAGTTGTCTTATCGTCGGGGTTGCGCCATCATCGCATCGATGGCAACCCCCTCACCATATCTACCGACGCGACAAGTCGGGTATCGGTTAAGGCGGATTTGGCCGCGCCAGGATTGCCAGAGAGGGCAAGTCTTTCCAGCAAGTTCTCAATGCAGAGATGACAGCCGAAAGGCAAGGCTTCGTGGCATATGTTCGTCTTTCATGAGGAGCGGTAAGTGGGTGCTCTGAAGCCATTGGCATTGAGGCGTGAGTTCTCGAAATTGATGAGTTAGAAGACTTTGCAGTGTCATGCATCATGGAAACTAGATTGCCGGCCATTTTTCTTGTTGGATTGCAAGATTCGACCATTTTCAAGCATAAAATTCTGAATGAGGGCTACCAATACTCATGTGGATTGATGCAACGGCCGTTGTTCCAGTACTTCCATAAGTTGAGAGAGTCAAAGCTGCAAAATTTTGTCAGTCTGTGAATTCAATCATTGGCATCTTCTGGCAGCATAAGAAGGAGCAGCGGCAATCTTTAACTTTCTGGAATGACAGTAGAAGCCGAGGCTAAAACTGTCAGTGCATCTTGGTGGCGCTGTCAAGCTTATGGTGATCGACGACGACATCGTCATCAGGGGAGTCTATGACTCTATGTACAAGAGCAAAATTATCCTTGACGAGACAAAAATCAGTCAATGTAATGAATGGTGTTGATAAATGGCAGACAGAAGAAAACAGGTGGGACGAAGAGCGCAGAGCGATAGGTCTCGTGACTGGCCGCCCTCCTTTCCTTCCCTTTCCCTCCCTTCTTTGTCCAATTCGACTCGAAACTTTCACCCAGTCTTTTTTTCTTTCCCCGGCGCCCCCATCTGCCATCATGCGGCATACTTCAGCATAAAGTTCCATGGAACCGGCATTCCGTCGTGTCAATCCTCGACCGATGAAACGGGATCCAGGAACATCCCACTTTGTGTCATTGTGGTCAGCTAATAGGAATCCACTCTGGGATCCATGATGGGCTTGCCTCCCCACAAGACCAACCCAGTTGAACCAACTGACAATCACTAGCCATCGCCTGGTGGTCTCAGAAACCAATAGCGTGCTGATCCCTACATCACTCGGTCAAACCCTTCTCCAGAAACAAGCAGAAAAAGCAGTTCAAGCGACAGGCACAATGATGAAACACCAGCCTTAAGATGACTCAAACACAGCAAGGGATCGTCCGAAACGCAGCCGGCGCGGAGCCGACGATCAGCCAACGAACCATTTTGGAATCCGGAGAGAAGAGAGGCGTTCGTTCATGCGATCTTCAGATCGGCATTTTTGCTGGGTTTCAATCGCCGATTTTTTGCATGCTGTTCCAAGGGGTTGATTCTTCAGTCAGAGTGTGCACTTTCGCTTGGTTCGTCTCCATCCGTCCGTCCAACCATCGGGGGTTGACATATTAAGATGGATCATATTTAGGTTGAGTCCGCCCTTGAAAATTGGAACCACTCCTGTCAACCATATCATTCTTTTGCGGTCTATTTCTTCTTCTCACCCCTGTCAAGCATATCTCCACTCTTTGAATCAGAGTATTTTTTCCAAGCCTGATACACACATTCTTTACTCAACTTTTCTTCTGCTTTTACACCGTCAATCGACGATATGCCTCGCAAAAGCATCCTCGGTCTCGTTGTCTTGTCTCTTGTCTCCCTCTCCTCTGCTTATTCTTTTGTCGGCTGCTATATTGAGCCCGGCGAGCTAGTTCTCGCGGGATCCTATCAATTCCAATCCCTCGGATACTGCCAACAAGCCTGCGACAAGCGTAATCAGACTGTTTTCGCCCTGCACGACGGGAACCAATGCTACTGTGGCGACCACCTTCCCTCCGCCGAGGCTAAGGTACCAGATACGCGATGCAACACGCCATGTGCAGGCTTTGCGTCTGATAACTGTAAGTCCCCTCTTTGCCCACCTCTTACACAGAGTCTAATTAGCGCGGAGCAGGCGGCGGCTCCGACACCTGGAGTGTCAATTCCAACACCCACAACGCCAAACGCGATGATGCAGGCTCTGTCATCGTGACCGCACCGGACACTTCTGACCCTACGGCAAACATCAAAGTCAATCCGACCATGGTTGAAACTGGCATTGCACTTGCCAGTAGCGTCGTTAGTGATGCTGAAAGCAGTGTACCCAAGACGGCCATTCCCAGCGGCATCCTGACCGCTCCGACCCTGACTGCTGCCCAGCAGCAGCAAGTGGGTTCGGCTACCGCCACTGCCGCGTCAATGGTGATTAACGCGTCAAGTTCTCCATCTTCATCGACCGCTGTCGCATCATCAAGCGTATCTGCAAGTCCCTCACCCAGCGTTGGGGCTGCTGCTATTTTGGGCTCTAGTGCAGGACGGGGGTCGATGTTCGGTGGCGTGCTGCTCTCGATGCTCGCGACTTTGCTGTATTAGAGATATATCGGCATGGTGAGACGACAACGGCAGGCGCAGATGGCATCTCATGCTCAATTCGGTATAAAGCTCTTACAATACCCTAGATTCGGATTCTTCAAGAACCGCAGGTCGGTTGATATGGACATACTATCGCTATACTCGCGGAGTCACTGCCGGGTTCACTGCAGTGCCACTATGTAATTAGACTATCTCCTCGCGAGAAAGCAAATTTTGTTTCAAAACAGGAAAATATAAAAAGAAAGCGAAAGGGAACTTAATCCTTCCTTGGTCAGTGTCTTGCTTGTCCTACGTAAAAGAGTGTGACTTATTCAGCTTCGATCATTCGATTATGATCATACTTCCTCTGTCTCTTTCTCTTATATGGTAAAAGTATAGGCTTGGTTATTTCAAAAGTTGGTCGCCACACCGGAGCGAGTCACTCATTGCAAATCACGTAGCAAATGCCGCGGCATCTCCCCGACCTTGAGAACCCATTCAGCCTGAATTTGCCCCAGGTTCTGACGGTTGCCACGGTTGGTTTGGATACTGCTCATGGTAGAGTGCTCAGATCCGACCGTTCTATACGATGCCAATGCAACTTGCTGATCAAGCATCAGCGGCACAGGGGCGCTCAGCCTGACCACGTTTAAATTCAATGAATCAGTCAATATTATCAGCATGGTAAGCTTCTCCATGGTACGGTGGCAGTCTTTAGTCGACATCGGACGCTGCGGAAGACCATCCCGCCCAAACATGGCCAATGGAGAGAGCCAAGATACGAGGAGCAGTGGAGCAACGGCCCCCGAAATAGTTTCAGGCGTCCCTAGACTACACTGCTCCTGTTCCCTGATTGTTACCAGGGACTTGTGAGGCTGAAAAAGCATCAGTACTTCCGGAAGTATGATGCCGACCCATGTATAAGAATCGCGATCTCCTGTCCCGGTGGTCAACAACTACAGCTTACGATCTCCACGCTCATCATTAAACACACATCCTTTTCACATAGAGCACCCGGATCAATAACAATGTCCCTCTCATCATGCAACCTCCTCCACAATCCCTCCTTCGAGACGGGCAGTCTCTCCCCATGGTTTACGACCGTTCCCAACGTGAACATCGCCACAGTCACCAATGCGACCACTGCCTACGAAGGCAACTACTATCTGTAAGCTTGCCCATATTTCTCTCTTCCCACAAATTCTCTCAAGAGCCCTAAAGCACAACCCCAACCCGAATCCCAACCGAGTCTCAACCAAGCCGCTGAAAGACAAAATCAGTGACCTCAAAACCGACGTCGGCAACCGCGGCCACTCGATCGCGCAGCCCATCACTGAACTGAAACGCGGCGCCGTCTACGAATTCACCGCACACGTCAAGATCCCGGGCTCCTCGGGTGTCGAGTACTGCTTCGTCGACGCCTACATCGGCAAGAACGCGACGACGGGGCTGATCGTCTCCGAGCTGTTGATGCCGACGGACGAGTGGGCGACGGTCAGCGGGCAGTATAAGCGGACCAAGCGTCGGGCGGAAGATGTGTTGACTATCAGTGGGGCGTGTACGTCACCGGGCAGCTCGTATACTTGGAATGTCTATCTCGATGAAGTGATTCTGAAGGAGAAGGGGTGTGTGGAAGAGTAGCCGGTGGGTAGGTTGGTTGCCGATGGGCTCGCGGTATGAACTAGGGAGCTGGTCGTGCTTACCGAGGGATTGCGTTGGGGACATTGTATAGACCGCTTGCGGGGTCTGGCAAGTCTTTATGAGGTCAGGTTGGGAGTGTCTCTACTTCCTTCAGTACTTGAGAGGATGATGATGATAATGATGATGATTATGAGGATGGGTTGAGTCGAAATAATGTACGTTCGGTCGGGTTCGCCATAGATTCAGTCTATGGACCATAGGCAAGCGGCATCGTATTTCCACCCGTATACTGCGGACTTGCTCACTCAGAAACACATCTCAATAATCGCAACGGATCTCTCAAGACAGCGCCGCGCCGGCGCAGAAGGCAGGCAGGTAGGTCTCTCAGATCCAGCATTGGGATTGAAGTCCCAGGATCATACGTGCGCTGGCGAGGCTTAAGACTGCTGCTCTACAAAGCCGTGCTGCTACTTACTTCCTGCCAGCACGCTATAGGGATCCATGAACAGCGAAGTCCCACTCCGCTTGCTGTAGTCTGCCGCAAATCTACGAGGCATCAGTAGATCATTGGAAGCATACTAATGGGCAAGGATCCTACTCTATGCAAGGGCAAACAAGGAGTCTACCGAGAAAGCATGCATCAGTGCGTTAGGATAGAGGGAGGAGAGGAGGTGAGGAATCCGAGGGGGGGGTTTATACTCCTGTCGTGTTCACATGACCTGCCAATTGGGAAGCCGCCCAGCCTGGAGGAGCAGGCCAGGCAATGGACGGAGATACCGTGGACCATGCGAATTGCGGAGGAGCATACAGGACAATAACCTCCGGAAGATCCAACCATTGAGCGAAGCTACCAGCAACACGATCGTAATAGCTCTTCCAGACAGTCTACTTCTGGTACACAGTCTGCGACCAATGCTTGTTCCAGTTCGTATCAAAGGAAGAACTACTCCGTACTCCGCTGTCAATCCTGGGCTGATTGTAAATGCTCCACACTTTAGCCCCCAAAGTGCTGGATGACGACGATCGCGGATGCTTAATATAAGAGGATTGACTTGGTGGTTGAACCGCCTGGGGTGATGCGGTCTGTATATGGCCCACTGTGGCCACACAGTCTTTCGTTTTCCATTTTTCTTGGACTTCTCCCCCTCGTGCCCTTCTTCTCTCATATCCAGGTCCATTGTCGTACTCAGGAGCACCATAAACACAATGGCTAAACCCCGAGCCCCAATACCATCACTCCTAAGCATACTCCTTCTATGTACTGCACCGCTGGTACAAAGTAGCAGAAGCTGCTACTTCCCCAGCGGCAGCCTCGCGCCGGAAAACGTCCCCTGCTCCAACTCCACCTACAGCGCCTGCTGCGGCAAGAACGACATCTGCCACTCCAACGGCCTCTGCATGGACGTCAGCGAGCAGCCCTACGTCCTCTCGCACGGAGCCTGCACAGACGCCGACTGGACGTCGCCCAACTGTCCATCAGTATGTCGTAAGTTTTTCTTTCCTTCACCACCGGCCTACACGAACAGATCCGCTCTAACACCCCGAGCAATCCATCCATCTCAAGCACCATCCATCCCCACCCCCTTCCATCCCATCCCAATCCACAACAACAACAACAACAAAAAAAAAAAAAAAAAACACACACAAACCAACCCCACTAACCCCTCCCCAAAAAGAAACAACCAACAAATCCGACGGCTGCTCCACCATCAATCTCCTCTACACAAACGGCATCTCAACCTACTGCTGCGGCACCCCGATCAGCAACGGCACAGACGTGATCTGTCCCGATGGGAAGAACAGCTTCGAACTCGAATCCGGAAGTATAGTGGTCGGCTACGCGGCGCTCGAGAACGTGACGTCGTTGGAAGCTGCAGCCACCACCACCACCACCACCACCACCTCTGGTGCTTCTTCCGCAGCGACAACCGGCACTTCAGGGTCGGGTTCCACTACTTCTTCTACTTCGACTACTGTTTCGAAGAAGGGGGGATCGTCGTTAGCGAGGGATGCGGCGATCGGGGCTGGGGTGGGTGTTCCTTTCGGAGTGATTGCTATCGCGTCGATGGCTTGGGCGGTCTGGGAGAGGACGGGGAGGCAGCGCATGCTACGGGTGTCGATGATGGTTAAGAATGGGGCTGGGGCTGGTGGTAATTGTGGTGCTGGTGATGGGGGGAAGTATCATCAGGTTGTTGGGTCAGGGTTGGATGCGCAATCGGTTTATGCGCCGGGGATGGCGGAGAGAAAGCCGGTAGAGTTGGGGGTAGGGGTCGCGTCGCATGAGTTGCAATCATGATTTGATTGATGGGTTGAGTATAGAAAATGAGGGTCTCGATAATGCGATTGTGTTGATAGTCGTACTAATATTAATCAATGAAGTGTACTGCTGTGTACGCGACCGTTTCAAGGCGTGTAAATGAGGATGGCGAGGCGATATTCATCGATTGTGGTTGGGTGCGGAGAAAAGAGTGGCTCGCTATCATTGTCTAGCCCATGTCTTGCCAAAATTGTGTAAAGTCCGCTACTCAATGATCAGGAAAACTACGATACTCGCGCCGGCTCTGAAGGGCGTTGTAGTATTCGAAGAAGATAATATTCAACTACAATAGGCTTAAAGATTAGCCCAAATCTGCCAAACCATGTTGAATCGCTCACCATCCAAGTGAGTCCCGAAATAAAGCGAGAAAGACCAAAAGGGTATAAAAGAAAATCATCGCAAATTATACTCCACGCATCACAAACACCCGACCCACTCGAGCGAAAGGCAAAAAACTGCAGTCGATTGATGCCATACCAATCGCAATGTCTGACTACCGAGAGACATGGATCCCTTTCTTAGCCAGATCATCGATATGGCTGGCGCTAAGAGTGACGGCGTCAAAGTTTCTGGGAAGTGGGAGCTTTTTACTGTCCGGAGTTAGCAGTTAAACAACAGCAGCAAATCAACGTCTTGCACGTACAGAAGAAAGTCCCTCTTCATATTCCGAGCCCGATCTTTTATCTGTACGTTGTTGCGGTTTTCGATCTGTTTTTCACCTGGCAGCGGAGGCTGAACATGGTTCTCACGCAGAATGGCATTCCAGTCAAAGCTTGTGCCCCTTCGCTTGTGTCCAAACTCTTCGATCAGTCGGATCAGTCGCTTATTCTCACCTTCGTTCCAGACTATCTTCGGTAGCCTTTGCTTTCTTGGTTTAGGAGTAGAAGGGACCCGCGACGAAGCCAGTGGTTGGTCAGGGGACACTCGCGGATGACTGGATCGAGTCGACCTCCGAAGTGGGGTAACGTGTCTCTCTTGAGGGCGATTGCTGGGATTCTCAGCGGTACTTTCTGTCCGTCTTTCAGTTCTAGCGCGTTTGCTGCGTGGCTGAATCGGCTTCCTAGCTCGCTGACGCTCCACGGAAACCTCACGGTCATCGCGCTCAAATTCAGCATCGCTTTCGGGGATTTCATCAGGTTCGCGTCTACGCTTGCGAGATACCTCCGTGCGTCTGCGCTCGACGCTTCGAGGATCCAGCCCTTGACTGATGGGAGAGACGCGCTCGGCATTAGTCTGGTGATCGATAAACAAAGCACGTGAGCTCTGAGGCGCAGTTCTAGACCGCTGAGTTCCTGCATTGAACATATTCCATGCCTCATCGACATCGTCTTCTGGGTCCTTTGCAGTGTCGCGGCTGGATCGTTGCAATGCCTCCTCTCGGAGAGAAGACGGACGGGAATTTCGAACAAAGGAAGGACTATGGGATCTCTCCAGCTGAGACTCTCCGGGGTCACCGATGTCTAGCTGGCCCTCGGTCACTTCAAATTCAACCTCGTCCTGCACAAATGTAGAAGTCATGTCCGGAGACGCTCGTGTCTCGGAGGGCTCTTCCGGGGCTAGTTCGGGTATATCTGATCTCGGAACCTCCGGCTGCTGAATTTCTAAACTCTTTTCTGGGGTAGAGTCCCCCATTTCAAGCCGATGTATTGCCTGGATACTTTCCGGCTGGCGAGGTTCTGGACTCTTTTCTGAGGTTGAATTATCCTTTTGAGACTGGTGTGTTGCTTGGCCATATTCCGGCTGACGAACTTCAGAACTTTTTTCCACGATGGACTGCTCTTGTTTTGAGGGGGTTGTTGACCGGGCAGGCTCCGACTGCCGAGGAGCTTCAGGCCCTTCAGCCCCAGCGTTGAGCTGCTGTTTTCGTTGCATGAGATTTTGGATGGATGCCGCATTTAAAAAGATTCTTCTAGCTGTTAGGCAGACAAACATAAGTAGGAGTAAAGACACTCACGGTTTGAACGATCTCCTCCGTTCTCGGTCTACAGGGAGAGACTTTTTGAAACCATTCGACTGAATATCGTTGCTAACCTCAGGAGTTTCAACCGGACCTGGAACATTGCTCTCTGGTCCACTGACTTCAGGCACTGGCTCCGGATGTGAGTGTGAGAGAGACCTGTCAGGCTCAGGAGATTTCGAGTTGGCTCTGACCAGGTCTCCGGCTTGCTGGTCGACGTCCGGCTGAGGAGAGCCCTTCAAGCTCTCAGCCTGCTGATTACTTACAGACAATCGTGTTGGAGTCTCCGTATGTATCTGACTTTCAGTCTCTGGGCTTGCGACAGTTTGATGAACCTCTCGTTCAACTGAGGATTCACTGGTCCTTTGGAGGGGTCTTGTAGACGATCTAAAAGGAGATTCGGACTGCATTGACCTGCGGGCCTCGGGACTCGCAGAGTCCCATTCGGGATGTCTCTCCCCGTGCTGAGTTTCGGGTACGGTGTGGGTCTCATTTCGAAGGCTCGAAGGTGTAGCAGTATAGCGCGCAATCCGCTCTGAGACCACACTGCCAGGAACAGTCCTTACGCCGTTTCGGGTAAGCGAAGGCGTAATGGCAGCAGCATATGCAGAGGTCCTCCTCGAAGTGGCAGTCCCCGAGATAGATTGCGTCAGGCGACGAGCAGTTGACGGTGTTGCTGAGCTTCTCAGCCTCGGAGTTGATGACACCGTGCTGCCTAAACTATGACGCGTCTTCGGTCTGGCGAAAAACGCGTTTTGCACGTCTCGAACACTTCTTAAACCTATGATATCTTTGTCAATTTCGTCACTCCGTTTACGGACCCACTGAGCGGCTCGTGCGACGAATTTCCGCCATCCGTACTCTCTCTTGAGCTCCTCAAGATCGAGCTTGTTGTCTTCCGTCATACAAAGGACCTGCATTTCTTTGCACCGGTACTCTACATCGCCTGCATACTTCGCGGGAACCTCTCCGTTGGGACCCGCCAGGGCTTCCGTTTGAAAGCCCCGGAGAACCAGCTGAACAGGCTCGGATGCATCGTCGTCAGTTTCTAGCTCAATGTAGAAGCCGTCGTCGAGCACCATGACAGGATCGCAGTCGGGATCGCGCCGATACTCCTCTTCCAGTCGCATAATCATATATTGAGTGCGAAGCTCCAGAGCAAGATCAAAGGTTTCCTTCTCCAAGGAACTGTCTCCAGCAGCCTGCTTCTGGCTCTCCGATACCAAGTTGTTCATGAAAGGCAGAGGAAAGACCCCATCAAGGATTCGGATTGCCTGTTTCGGAGACGTGTTCGTTCCAGGTCTGGCCAGGAGGACCTCGAGCGCAAACTGCGCACAGTTGGCTTTCTGCAAGAATGGGTCTGGATTCCACTGATGCTCCAGTCCTTGTAGCTTCTCAGCCACTGTTTCCGATGATGCAAAAAGATGATTGACCAGTTCGACGTCGATGTACGTCTGATGGCCAAAGTACTCGGCCTCTCGTCTAAGATTGGACACATGCCGACCCAGCCGCTTGCTTTGCGTGTTGCGGGGATCACTCAGCACCTTGCCCAGATTGACAATGGTAGCCAATTCCGCAGAGCTGGGTACGAGGAACTCGAGCATATCCTCAGCCGCGCGTGCCAAGCCTGGAAGAACATCGATCATCATCTCCGGATCCAGGTCCGTGTCGGGTTCGGACGGTAAGATCGTGGTACCGGAAATATTGATCTCATCCTCCGGCGTCTCGGGGATGATCTGATTCTGAGATCTTGAAGCCATCGGCTTCTGTGGCGATGATTTCTGGGGAAAATCCTCGTCGAAGACATCACGGGCTGACAAAGCGAATCAACAGTAAGCTCGAAGGGTCAATTGAGCAGAACAAGGTGAACGCCCGAAAAAGAACAAAGGAGCGAAAACACGGCAAACAACAAACGACCACCCCGAGCAACAACGCCCGCAAGTTTGGTATACCTCATACTCAAAAGAGTAGCAGAGAGAAATAGATTGCCTCACTCACCGCTAACTTCTCCCTTTCTGCCTGAGGCGCCTGGGGCACCCGACCGACTCCCAGTCTTATCAACCCAGTGATGTCCAGCATCTTCATCATCAGCCGATGGTGAACGCAGATGACTCTGGCTCCTAGTTACCCGTCCTCCTCTCAACGGACTCACGGTATAGCCCGTTCGGACCATCGACCCTTTCGACAGAGTACTAGCCAGGGCACCGGGATTTGACCCATTTTCATCCCAGCCTTTCTTCATGGGTGGTAGGGATGACGATAAAAGTGGTGGTGGTGGTGGCGGCCCTTCCACCTGGCGCGACCGCGACCGTGCCATGACCGAAGCAAAACAATGACCACAACACACACAACACACTCCCCCCAGCTGAGCCAATGGAGTTCTCCCGCTTTGGGACTGAAGGCGGTCAGCCGGCCCGAGAAGATGTACCTTAACCCCAGCGGATCACCCTTGCAGCAGTAGATGTAGAAAAGTAAAAATGCGACGATATCGCTCCTCCCGGTGCCGATGGTTGTTGTGACAGAAGATGGTGGTCGATGGCTGGGAGGGGGACGAGCGGAGATATGGGAAGGCTAGATTGTGCAAACGCATATTGGACGACACACTTGGGGTAAGCGGTTGGTACTGAATAGGGTATAGGCTTATGTAATACATCTACCAGGGCGGTGAGTTTCGTTCTAGAAACCCTAAAGTAAACCCTAGCAAGCATATCGGCAACATGTTTGGCTTCTCAATAATGAGTCCCAGAGTAATCACAGAAAGTGTGAAAGCAACTTCCATCGCCGCCGCAGTCCTTTCTACACTAGATGTAACTCTCAATGAGTTATATCGGCTCCAAAGATGCAAGTTTGAGAAAGGCAATGTTGGCGGCGCTGAATCTGAATCATGGGGCAAAGAAACTTTACACTCGGTCCCAAGAGTCTCGAGCTAGAAACGACGCTGAAAAAAAAGAGACTGCATGGTCAAGAGCCACCTGCCACAAGGAATTGCCAATCTACGCATTGGCGCGCATTATATGCCATGTGAATTTTTTATTGCTAACTCTAAACCTGATCGTACTTCTGCTCATCGCCACTACAGCAGACCCCTATCTGACTGCGATTAGTTTCTCTAATTCATTCTCACTTCGATTCATCATGTCTGACACGTTTACAGCATGCTCTGCTTGTAAATGAAAGGTCAGACTCGATATTATGCTTGACTTGAGGAGCAGAGGAGAATTTTGTTAATGCTTGATGCTCTATCACGATACTATCCTTGAATTTGTTGGGTAAGTTATATTCCCCAGTTCGTGACCACAGGACATTACACACTACGTCAGAGCTACTAAGCCACTTGTCATCCAATCCGGGCGAGTGCTACAATAAGAAGAGAACCCCGCGGAACTGGGGACACTGGCAAGTTCGGCAGCCTTCCCATATGACCTAGGATTCAAGTTGAGACAACAATGGGAGCGCGGACTACTAACACATTAGGCGCAGACGCATTTTCTGATAACATTAAGGAAGATTGAAAAGCACGTCATTCTAAGTGCAGCTAGCTTCATCTAGTATTGATCGTCACAACTCAAGTCCATGAATGCCAACCCAAATAGCAAGCAACAGAATCATCTTCTATTAAAACACGCCAGACAGGCTAAGAGAATACATGCATGCATTACGAGTTAAATGTATGAAATGACCCGGCATAAGATAAGCAGCAAGGCTCAAGAAGAAATGAAAAAGTCTTAGTAAAGCGCTTCAATGAGATAGATGACGCCAAAGACCAAAAATGCAGTAGCACCGCCCAGGGTGACTAATGAACACATTAGTATTCCATCGAAAAGTAAGAGAACCGGGGGAAGCAGTGACTTACCGACTCGCATGCTGACCTTACCAGCAATGGCACTTCCTCCAATGACTGCCGCAGCGGTGCAGAGTCCATGACCGGTGATTGCACCGATAGTCACCCACCAATAATCCTGGCCAGCAGCCATTGCGATCGTGGCAATTTGGCTACGGTCGCCCCATTCACCCAAAAAGGTCATCACAAAAGTTTGCACCCAAGCGGGGCTAAGCAGAAGCGAGAAGAGGTTGTTCATGCCTGTGAGAATGTCACCCCAGCGGTTGGGAGAAGGAGACGATCCACGCGACGAAGAAGATGAAACGCTCTCAGGAGGCGAAGGAAGGCGATTGCCAGATGAACGGAACTTACGACGGCCGATGCGACCGGCCTCCAAGGCATGCGGAGTCACAGAAGAGCGACGACGATTCATGCGCATTTGTTGCTGTTCCTTCTCCTCCAATTCCATCTCAACTTCCTTCATTTCCTCGCCGACACCCTCGTCGGGGGACATTTCACGGCCCTCCTTCAACATCTTTAGCCCGAAGACGAAGAACAGAACCGCTGCCAGAAGCTTGGTGAGAGACTTGGGAATCAACGTGGGCACAGCATGGCCCAGAATGGCCGAGAGCACAGTCATGATCATCAACGCGCCGAATGCTGCAGAGAAAACAAGCAGACGCGGATGACGCATAGCCATGAGGGCGGCCACCAAGAACGTCTTATCGCCGATTTCCGAGACCACGATCATTGTAAACGAGAACAGCAGCGAATGGAACGCAGTTTCCTCCTGGATGTCTCCCGATTGTGCTTGAAGATGACCATCTTTGTCTAGACCGAGTGGGCTTCCTTTCACCGTTGCGGGGGACTTGGGCGGCGGAATGTCGTGAGGTTTCTCAGGCAAGTCGGCCGGTTTCTAAAACAGTGTTAGCTCATACGTCTCATTCACACTTCGTAGGTATTGCCAATTACCTCGAGCCGACCCAGACTGGAATCCGCAGTAAAGCTCTTCGGGTCGTTCACCTCGACACTCTCTTTCTGCGTAGGGAGCTTCTGCTGCTCGCTGTGCGGCAAAGGCGGCGCCTCCTTGGGACTATCTGGCGTCTTCTCGGCGGGGAATGGATTCTCCTTCATCTTCTCCGTGACACCACCCTCCGTTCCTCGAGTTCCCTCTTTCGGACCCGTCCGGTGAGGATCGTCCATCACTCCATCGTTGGAATACGGGATTGGCTTGCCGTCAGGCCCAACATGTTCTGTCATTTTGTAATCGGCTACGGTCACTTCCTCCGCTGAAGCACTCGAGCCGGACTTTTTGCGATCCCGCTCGGCGCTTGTTTCCACCCATGGACCGGCGTGAGGCCGGCCATCCTTGCCGTCGACGGGGGCGTCCAGCGTCCCTTTGGGAGCGGCCTTTGGAGCAGTGAGTGCATCTAGACCAACAGAATTGAGGTTGGATGCATCCTTCTGGCTTCCGCTGGCTGATACTGAATCTGCGACGGCGGCCGAGAGCGCGGGGAGGTATAGAAGGATCAAGGATAGATGGTGAATCTTCATGGTGCAAATGCTCGGTTGAGGCAGAGGTGTCGATGAAAATAACTAGTGATATGACGACCACTGGCAGGGGTGGACACGCATTGAATGATCTGATTGCAAAGGAAGTTTCAGTTCGGGGTGCAATAAACTTGTTATTTAAACCACGCCGGCAAATCGAACGCGGGAGTATGTCGGAACGCAAATGAGGCAATCTTTACGCTAAGATTGAGCGGGGAAACCGGTGGACGGTGAAAACTCAGTGATAAGAAAACAACATCAAAGAAGACCAAGAAGCAAGATAAGAAGAAGGAGTGAAGGAGGAAAAGACCGAGGGGCGGATGCAGGAGGATCAAAAGAGAGGAGCGAGCGAAAGACGGACTCTTCTTTACCGGCCGCAAAGGGGCAACGCCGCCTCCACATCACGTGGCGGCCGCTTGCGGGTAGTTTGGGATTTCCTGCCAGCCTCAGGACGGTCGCGTTCTGATATCGCTCGGCCATGATAGGGCGCCCGGGAGCACGTCCTTCAGGTATAATTCAAGTTATTCAACCCATATTTCATTCAGTCACCACGAGCATAGACGCTGTAGAGATGAGACAACATGAGCCTGGCAATCTGCAGGAATGTAGCTGCTACACATGCCTATGAAACCAAAACTAATTCAGAGATCAGTCTTAATATTGCAAGTAAAGTATACCAATTCCACCTCCGTAGTCTATTCATTTGTAAATCTCATGCATCCAGTCGATCAATATATACATAGGTATCATAAAACATGCCCTAAGATCCAAACAGAACCTTTTTTTTTTTCAGAGACCCCATTTCGTAGACCAAGCAACACAGCCTAGAATCTTGCAATCAGGTATAAAAACCAAATGAACTCCGACCGAAGGGAACGCCGTATTCCTGAGAAGGGTATCACTCATGCCTCATATCCGTGTAGGGAGTAATCCAAACACAGAATGACTGAACATAGAAGAAAAGAAAAGAAAAAGCCGAGTCCCACACCAACCTCCAAGTCTATTAAATGCATGCATGCCGTTATGAGTTGCGCGGTTTGTTTCATTCAGAACCAGACCCAGATCCAGACAAACGCCGTTCGACCATTCCTCTATCTTCCCAATCACTCAACAGCCTTGAAACCTCTTTGAAGGAAACCGGCTTCGTGAGGAACAAATTGACGCCTGACGTGAGTGCCTCAGTTTCGTCACGCGAGCTACTGAGGCCCGTCAAAGCGATAATCACGGAGGGGGCGCAGCCCTCCCCACGCTCTTTCTCAATGGCTCGAATGGCACGTGTTGCCTCAAAACCATTCATAACTGGCATGGACATATCTAGAGGGAAAATATAAGTGAGGGCTTAGATTTTTAAGGGCGAAGGTGGTTACTCACCCATGAAAATGATATCATAACCTTCAGGTAAACGTTCAACTGCATCGACGGCTAGCTTGCCGTTCTCGGCCGAGTCCAGCGTCTCCAGCTCACGCTTTTTCATGAATGTGAGCATGAGCTTGAGGTTGATTGAATTGTCGTCCACAACCAAAATGCGTGCACGCCTATCAAACGGCGATGAATTTGATTGCTGAATGGGAGATTGAGGTTGAATGGAGGATGACGGTGATTCGATTGGACACAAAGAATCAAAGACATCCGATGACTGTGAGCGCATATAGTCGTATGAAGATGACGAAGCTGAGCTGGCAGCAGCTTCTGGCGTAAGCTCAGGAGTATCAGTCGGAATCTCAAACATTGCTTCCCCCGGGGAGATGTCGCTTGATGACAAGGTAGCATGCCGGGGCCGATGAGGTAATTCAATAATCCTCGCGGGCAGAGCGCCAGTTCGAATATCCAGGCATTTGCGAATGCTACGTGCGAGTTTGTGCGGGCCACATGGGCGTCGTATTATGTTCACCCTTGTAGCGAGAGACAACCATTCGGAACGACTTGTCGCATAATCGACAGATTTGTTGCAGAAGACGAGAAGACTTGGGATAGTCTTGTCGAAATCATGCTGCATTCCCGCAGCTAGGTCTTTCTCCTCCGCGAAAGTAATATCCGCCGGAGTCTCATCCTTGAAGGACACTATTTCAAGGCCATACCAATCAGTCAGGTAGCGCGAATAAACTGACCAGACCGAATGAGTCGCTGCTTCCGCGGGTTCTACCCCGAGGATTGCGACGCGGCGACCAGCATGAGCTTCGCGCAACATACGACTCTCCGTCAGTGCGTCTTTCTCCTTGACTGACGGCGACCGCGGGCCCACTGTTTCATCCAAATCCAACTCAGGGCCTGGTCGGACCAGGGGTAGGGATACTTTGACAATGGTTCCTTCGCCAGGGCAACTATGGATGTTGATACTGCCCTTGAGAGCCTTGACGAGACTCCGCACAATGGAGAGACCAAGGCCAGTTCCAACGGCTAGTGTGTCTTCCTGAGCAAAGGGGGTGTACAGGCGACCGCGGAGGAACTCCTCGGAAATGCCTTTGCCGGTGTCAGACACAGTCAGGGTGACCAACTCCTCGACTCCATGGCGGCGTGAACGACCTTCAGATGCCTCTGTCACCTCCAGATGTAGAGACACACGGCCACTGTGAGTGTACTTCATCGCATTTCCGAAAACGTTCATGATGATGCGTCTCAATGCTCCAGGTTGGGTGAGATAGGTCCAGTCATTGTGCGCGATATCCACAATGACCTCCACATCTGATCGAGATGCCGTCTCCGCCTCAAGCTCAGACGCAGGCTTTTTAGACTGTCCAAGCGGCAAGACCATGGGTTGATCGTAAGGAGCAGAGGATTTCTGACCGTATGCATGGCCCAGACATACCCCTTCTACAACCTCTTCTGTCAATAGGGCCAGGTCTGTCGCCACATAGGTGTCCAGGTGTGTTGAAAACCGATCTAAGCCTTTCAAATCTGTGGGCGGTGTTCTGCTTCGCTTCATATTTCGATACGTCCGTTCCAGAGAAACAATTTTGCTAAAGTCCAAAACCTGGTTGATTGTGTCCAACAGAGTACGTCCGCAAGCGTTAATCGTCTCCAAAAGAGAGCTTTGGAATTCGTCGAGTTGTGTGCCGTTCAGAAACTCCGCGGCCGCTAATATACCATGAAGGGGACTTCTAAGCTCGTGTCTACCGACGTGTCAGCAGAATGTAAACCAATGTATACGTGGGAAAACTTACGAGATGCTGCCGATGAAATCTCCCTTTTGCCGATCTGAAATGAGGGATTCCACCCGGTTGCACTCCGCCATGATGGAAGAGCCGAAACCGAGGATGGAACTCAGCTCTACTGACGGGGTGAAGACTTGCGTCTCCACAGTGTTCCAACAGAAACAACCGGCAAACCACTGCGAGTTCGCGGAATTCCAAAGCGGCACGAAAAGAACTTGAGTAGCGTTCGGGAAGTACTGATTTAGCATAGTATTCTCCGTGGCCCTCCATCTCTTCGATCCTCCCTTGCCCATCTCGGACTGTTTGGCGGTGCGTGAGCGACTCCTGCGTGGCGTTTCGTCGTCCGAACTCGAAATCATGCCATCTCGATGGAAGGACCAAAGCTTTCCTTTGCTATACCGACGCAGAAGTTGGTGAAGAAATGCGGTGTCGAGGGACGCTGCTGGATAGGAGGCTTTGGATCCCGGACCGGGCGCAAACGGTTCCTCGTTGGTGGAGATGGCCAGCACGGGAGCCGGATTGTTTCCTTCTATGGAGCAATCGCTTCCTGTATCAGCATCGATCATCGGGCTGTTGTTAGCTTCCACGAAGATGACTCCACCCTCCACACCAAGCTCCAGGCTTTCTCGCATCAAATTGGCCGCCCGTCGGAATGCCCAGCTATGTCCATGAGAGTCATCGGAGCCTTTCAGCTCCTTTTGGCGGCTGCCAGCCCACCAATCTGGAAAGGGGCTATCCAGTCCGGAAGATAGACCTTGATCGAGCTTAGATTCAGATGCGGAGCTGAATGAGCGGGTGTCACTGCTTTGCGATCGTCTAGATGGGGCGTCAAAGCTTTTGAGCGATCCGAGAGACGGGTGATTGGCTCTCTGGCTTGACGAGGGAGGTGTGCTGGGTGTCGCCGCGGAATTGCCAGTTGAATAGGGATGGCTGCCATCGACAAAGCTGGAGCTTCCTTCAACGAAGCAGCTGAGACCGTGAGACAGGCGGGCTGCACGGCGACCTTCGGAAGCCTGACGGCTGACCTTCAAATAATCCATGATCAACCCAGCCAACATTTCCATGGTATCCCTCTCCGCAGCAGTGAAGCCATCGTGTGGTTTTATATCAAGAGCAAAGAAACATCCGATGTTGATATTGGTATCCGTCGTCAAGGGCGTACCGGCGTAGAATCGAAATTGGGGATCTCCTGTTACAAATGGAAGGCGTTTATATCGTTCTTCTTGACTGAGATCGTTCACGACCAAGAATTGGCGGTGTCCCCGTTCGCGGGAGGGAGGAAGAGCAACAGTTGCCTTCAGTGACAGACGCGATTAGTTTAAGTGCTCGAAATGACGACAATATTCGAGGAGTGAACACTCACCTTACACATGCTCCAAGCGCTGGACGATAATGTTGAGCAACCGTCCCAGACGCCATCACCGGAGGATTGATAGTCGCTAACGGCCCCAGTCTGGGTGCTTTGTGCCAGGATAAATTGGGAATGGCGGTCCGAGACGCTATCGAGGAGGTCGATCGAGTCAGTCATCCAAAGGGAAAAGGCGGACAGGAATTACCCCGTAGCATTGAGTTTATGTGCCGACGTACCTGATTAATACGCGCTCAACGTTGAGTCGCAATGCGGCCAGCTGCGCAAACGACGTCAGTGTCGCATTGGGATCGCCAAGTATCAGAGCTTCGGGTACTAGCCCGGCTGCAGCGGCGTCGGCGGACGGGGTCGAAGGACATTGAGAGGATAATGAGGGCGAGGAGGGGATTTGGTGGGATGGATCCGAACTGGCTGAGGGGAGCGCATCATCGCTCGCGGATGTGTAACTGCGATCTTGAGGAACGCCGGTGCGTTCGGGCTGGAAGTACCGGTATAATTCCCGAACTCGGCGACCCGCATTGTGGTCATCATCCCTTCGTGGAGGGCGAGATGATTCCATGGCGGGGGTGGAAAGGGAGGGAGTAAGAGAAAGGAAAGAGAGAGAGAAAGAGAGGAAAAAGAGGAAGGGTGATGAGGATTGTAGGGATGATAACAATGAGGACTATTGTTACTTTTGGGTAGTCCTGACTCCCAAGAAATTCGATGTGATGGGGAGTTGGCGCTCAAACGGTCTTATGCAGCCATCCTGGTGGGGGTGGGAATGGAGGCGCTGGCTTGATCGAATTAAAGTGTGGCAAAAATCTGGTAGTGAGAAGCAGACAAGAAGACCACAAGGAAAATGACGTTGTGGTAGGTGAGACCGAAAAGAGCTAAAATGGCGATAAATGTAGAATGATGCGAAACAGTCACTAGCAACAGGAAGGAAGGAAAGAAGAAAGGAAGAAGAAGAAGAAGGGAAAAGGAAGACCGAGGAGAAAGAGTTACTGAAAGCCAGCTGGAATCGAGCGGGTTTAATATCAACCAAAATCAAGGATTGCTTGCAGGGCACGAAGGAGGAAGGCTGGCGAGACGAAACAAGACAAGATAATAGACGAGGGCAGAGTAGCCATCAGGTCAAGCGACAGTTTAGTCAGTCCATCCGTCAGTCAGCAAATCTCTGAAAAAGTGAGTGATCTTTTCGGATCTTTCATTTTACAAGTACAGACCGACCTAACCGGTAGCTACAAGTTCCAATACTGCAGAGTAAAAAGTGGTGATTAGTCATGAATAGAACGGACGCATGAATTAGGAAAGCCGTGGAATGTGAGGTCGACAACACATCACAATAGCAGCAATACAATAATCCAAGCCATATCAATCAACCAGGATTGTAGTCGTAGCCAGTGACTGACTGTCTTTTCACCACATAAGCTGTCAGTCCACACACCTTCGCCTTATGCCGGAATAACCGAATGTGGCGACACAAGAGTGAAAGGCCTAAAGGGAAAATGTACTTCAGAAAAAAAAAAAGTCGGGAAGGCGTCGAATTATTAGAGCCCAAATGGATGGCGCACTAGATCTGAGGATCTCTAAAATAAAATTGATGGAGGCGGCCCTCTTCAACCCGCTCTGGACCATGCAACTTCTGTCCCGTCACTCCACCCAATTTCTCGTGTTGCGAGTAAGGAACTGTGAGCTGGATAATAGCCCTAGGGCATATACTTTCGCTGAGCAGGAACTACGTACATGTTACAGATATCTCATCGTCATACTTAATCGATCAATCGATAGCCTAGTCTCTCACTCTTATTGTTCTGCATGGGTCTTGTCACTTCTTCGCCTCCAACTATGCTGATCCCCTCTCGAGAAGATCCCGTTTCAATGCAGTTGCACGCCCCCCCCGGCCCCTCCCAGTCAAGTTGGGGTCACCTCCACCCAATCTCAGCGATCCATCCTTCACCCGCTCCGGAAATGCAATGTGTATTGAGTTCAGTCCAGGTGAGAATGTGACTGGCCAACATCCAACGGCTCCATCACTTCTCATCCCGGTTTTGCTTTGACGCTATTCCCTATGAGGATAAATGGCTCCGCAGTGGATCGCTCCGTCGGTTCGTGAAGCCACCAGTCATCTGGATCGATTTCAGGGTGTTACCGCCTTCCAGGCGTCGATATGTGGCTGTGGCTCGCTCTCTCAGTCATCCTCTCTTTCATATGACGGTACCCTACGACTTTGCCTGGAAAAGTGAAGCACATCGCTAGAGTAAATACTTAGAGTTAGCATTTTCATGTGTAATATAGCCGATGAGGGGCAATCAAGGAGGCTAGGCAAGGCTACCTAGGGAAAGGCGGGCATAGGACTGTTTTTCCGTGTTTACTCTCCCTTTGTCTAATCACATTTGAGTACAGGTTTTCTCTCATGCCTTCACCGCTGACGTCGTATCCCGCGTCATGATCGACAAAATGCTTGCTGCACCTGCACCTGCAGCAGCCTTGGGCTGGGTTCGACTCTCGATTTTGTACTCAGTAGCATCTGCCCGCAGTGCTGGGGCGTGGTAGGTAAGGGTGACTAAGCGGTCTAGAAACCGGGCTGGATGATGTGATCCAGTAACTAAGGTATGGGGATGGCATCGATAGCTCCTCCGTACAATACTCAGATTGATTCTCCTGCCAATCACTAATCAATGGGGGGAAAAGTGGCTATGTGGCTGTGTGCTGTGGCAGTGATTGAGCTTTCATTTCTGCCGACTCGACTCCATGACTCCAGTCGCTCCATCGGCATCAGATGATTTTGAAATTTTCGTCCAGTAGGACAAATCCCGTTCCGATATCATGGGTCTTGGGTCCGTCAGCAATGACATCCTAGCCATGTCAAAGATGTCAAATCTGATTAGGATCACCCTGGCCTGGCGACCTACCCAGTCCCACCCACCCTCGAGTCCGGACACGGGTGTCAGGAGCTTGCTGCAAGGAGGGTTGAATCAAAGCTGAAGCCCTGCAGTCTACCCGTTTAGGTATGGAGTGATATGTCTCAATGCATGTCTACCGAATTATTTGTAAGCAAGGTAATATGGCGCTGCTCTACAGTATATGTACAAATGCCGATCGCCAAGAGATAAAAACAAGATTCGCCCCCGTCTCTTTGTCCAACGGGCAGCTCCCCGTCGGGACAAGACATGAGAGATCAGAGATTCAATGGTGATCGCGCCCGCTTAGAATTTCTCCATAAGCTGTTTCCGGACCGTCCACATTCGAAACCGTTTACCATAAATGTACATGGGTATCGTGAACAGCAGGCACCCTAGCTGAATCACTCCCAGAGCGATAAACACCAGCCGGGACCCTTCTGCATCCAACCAGTCGACGATGAAAAGGGAGAATATGAGTCCATGGAACACATCTGTCGGAGATCATTAGTTCGGTGTCTCGTCCTGGCAAAGGATCAGCGAAAGGGGGGAAGATACGTACTCTTGCACCAATTTAGCGTCACCAGCGCTTCGCCGGCGTACTGTCGGTAGCTATCAACACAAAACGTGATGGAAGTCGTACTCCCAAGGCAGCATCCAAAAGAGACTATACCGAAGAAGATGGTCGGCACAATCCACATATCGCGCTCTTCAGCACTCCATCCAAATCCCATTAGACCAATTGTTGTCGAGATGGCAATTGGAATCGCCATCACTAGACGAAACTCTGGTTCGTATATGCCTCCGTTGCGCCGTGTCATGTACTGTACAATGATATCCGAAACCTTGCCTGCTACTGCTGTTCCTAGGAGACCACCCACGAACGGCGAAATGTACACAAGGCCAGTCTGCAAGGCCGTGAAATTGTACATATCTCGCGTCTCATAAATATGGGCGACTGATTCGGAAATCACGATGAGCCATCCCACGGAGAGAGCGTATACGGTAGCGGACCACAGCACTGCAGGGTAGGCGAACAAGATGAAAGGTCGCAATGCAACACGGAACCAGTTCTCGTGAGCAATACGTCCATTCCAAGGCCGAAGGTAGTACGTGAAAGAAATCCTGGGCCGCTCGCGGAGTCGGTTGGTGTATTGCGCCGCTGGAGTGGCCGGCGGGACAGGGTCAATGGATTCGCTACGAGCCGGAGATAATTCAAATCGCCGACCCGTTTCGAGTTCAGAAGGGTTTATCGCCACTGGGCCAGGGGATGTCAGAAGCCCGTCAGGTTTCTCAGTATTCCCTTGATCCGCGGAACGTGACATTTCTGGGCCTGGCAGGCTTGCCGGTGTGTCGACTGCAGGAGTAATTTGATTTCCATGGTCCCCACTTTGAATCTTCTCCAGATCGTGGACTTTGTCGTCATCCGCCCCTTCAACAAATCCAACGTGACCCTTCTTAGCCTTCTTTGGCTGGACACTAGCCACATCCTCATCAGGGGAGGGATCCTCCAGACGAGAGGCATGGGGATGCCGGCCTCGGAAGCCATGAGCCATGATGTTTGACATCCCTCGATATATGCTAGGGCGTTTGCGGGGCCGATGGGGTCGAGGAGTACGATCCCAGAATGTTTCCGGCACAAAGAAAAAGATAAGAGCGAGACAACCGCCGACAACGATGGCAACAACCCAAAACACCCAACGCCATCCTAGGTTGCTGATGATAGCCGCGCTGACCAAAGGAATGAGATTCTTGCCTCCTAAAAGGAGAAGCGTGTAGATACCAACACGGTATGCCCGTTCATGCAAAAAGAAGATCTCTGCAATAGTCGCGGACGGCAGACACTCAACCGGGCTCACCGCAATACCCTGGAAAACCCGGGCGACAACCAAACTGGGGTAATTTGGCGACAGCGCACACCAGACTGCTGAAAGGATGAAGAGAGTTGCACCGAGAAGGTAGACTGGTCGTTTACCGAACAAGATAGCGGTTGGGGACATCACCACAGATCCGATGCCGAGCCCAAGCATGTATAAGCCCGTGGTATAGGCTACCTTCTGAGTAGTCACGCCATATTCTGAAGCAACCTGTGAAAAGCCTGCAGCCAGAATCGGAGTCATACCTCCGCCCATCAGGCAGTAGAAGCCCAGCGATATCAAAGCAGCGTCTCGGCGCCATACGGGCCAGTTCAGCGGGTCGTTTGCCGAATCATCGGGTTGTGGGCTCAAAATGATCTGGCCGTTGGCCGTCTTTTTTTGTATTGGTGCAGAGCGGGAAGAAGCACGCGACGGAGGATAAGGTGAAGGTATGGACGAGCTGGATTCGCGATGAGGTTGATGTCTCAAGCCCAATGGCTCGTTGCGATTCGAAGAGAGCAGGAGGACCGTTCCTGTGTTCAGATGTTGGCCCTTACGTTCTACTGCCACGAACTAGATCCTCAAGCCAGCTTCGAGCACTCACCAGGTACCTCGTCAGTCTCTTTATCACTCAGAATTCCGAGAGTAGCTTTAGGACGATAGTTGTGCTCCGCATCCGGTGCTGACGCCTCGATGGAACCCCTTCCGAACCAACTACTAAATTGTTTCCTCTTCGATTTCGACTGTGTTCCCAGCGGCGGCACAGGTGACTCTTGAGAAGCCATGGTGACCTAGCAAGAGGACGAGCGGGACAAACAGCGAATGTGAGGGGTGATTCGGTAACTGTTCACAAAGCATATTGTCAGCCATCAGATTCTGCGTAAATACTAAAGACTGACCAACTTCTCTTTAGCCTGAGAACGCCTGACTTGGAAAACGATAGCAGCATGTAAACGCCACACAGACCAATTCTATCCAGTTCTGTGAGCAATAGGCTCGGTAGGAGAACGGGGAAGAATCCTCGCGAGGCAATCAAGAGAAGAGGATTGACCACGGCCTGCAATGAACAAGCAGAACCGGCCACGGTGCAATGTCACCAATGGACATGACTAGGAGGGGGGAAACAATGACATTATATACGAGTAATAGACGAGAGAAACTTTGACAGAGGCGTCAAAATCATAGGCTAGAGCCAAGGAGGGTAGAGGAAGCGAAGGGGGGAAAATATAATTTGTGATTGAGTCGGTGAGCGCAGTCGGGTCAGACAATGAGGAGAGAGGATCAAGCTTAGTAGGCGGCTGATAATGGGCAGATAAGAAAGGAGGGATGAATTTCGATCAAGGTGGGCACCAGAAAGACGAAGACGGCCATCACGAGTGATCCGACCGGAACTCATGATTGGCCCCGTGTCGGTAGCCTACTTGCGCCCGGCTCCATACTAGTAGCTTTGGCTGCCCCCACAATTCCATCTGTCTTCAAGGTTTGTGTTGCTGCTGATTCCCAGTCCATCATGTTGGTACTGGGTATCTAATGAGCCTGGAGGTGCTCTGTCCTATTCCAATCGTCATGCGCGATGTGTGCGAAATACCTGGTGGCTTGTTGTTTCAGCACCGATGACGATATGGACTCATGACCTTTCTCGCCCCGAGGTTCTGACTGTCTGCAGATCCGGGCTTGAGACCATGCAGGAGATACAAAGCCAAATTCGACCCCCAAAACCTCAAAAAGTAGGTCGGTCCCCAGGAGGCTGTGAAACCAAAGCTCGGCACCATGCAATTAATACATAATATGAATCAGCAATTTTGGGAACCTTGTTGCTCCAAGTATAACCCCAGCACTGTGTTAGATGTTCCTCCAGATCGACCTCGTTCATGATTGTTTGTGGTCTCTTGTCGCACTGAGCGGTGGCCTCATATTAGTCTGATAGATCTTCAACCTTGAAATCTTCCCGTAGGCTGTGTATCTTCCCGTAGGCTGTGTCGCGGGGGATCGGCCCTCTAATTCCGTAAACAGTAAGTGGCGGGGGTCACCTGATGCAGTCATTCAACGCAAATGGCCAAGCCTAACCGCAACTCTGCGGGGTCCGATGCAGCGAATGCACGAGGTGGACAGCTGTCGAAACTACTTATACCAAGCAAGGCGTGAACGTCAGTCAGCCAACCAAAAAAATGGTGGGGCTTTTGACCATGCAGTAAGATCATCATCGGCCATCGTGTCATGCGCTCATAAGGTGCAGTTCGCATTTCCCCGTAGCAACCACTCACTCACAAAGTACTATGTTATTCTTATTGTACTTGTTTTCACATAAAACGGAAATCCAGGTCTTCCTGACGGTAAGCATGACTTTACTATGTATGGAGGAGTAGCCTGTATTATCAATTCTGCTGTAGATGTTGGGAACGAAGGGAGGTTGTCACTTGAAGGGCATAAAAGTAGCACAGGTGGTTAGCCCTTTAGTGCTCATATGTTGCGATGGATGTGAAACACTATCAGTCTTTCCACTCACATCACATGATCTTAAACGAGTCATGAATAAGTATAAGGACTAAATTCGAGACAATAGGCAAGCTGGTGCAATGTGGTCTCCGTCGAGACAAATGGTGAGTGGTATAGACAGGTAGTCCTGCTGAAGTTGATAGCAGCGAGCCTATAATAGCAGCTCTTCAATATGAACCTATCTGACCACTGACCATTGTGGGCCTTCGCTTATCATGAGCCGTGTTATGGTATTCACAGCAAATATCCTGAAGTCCCAGCATGGTCAACCCCTCGTGGTCACATTTCGCGACCGTCTTGACTTCTGTTAGGTCGTTCACCCAACAGCCCCACCAGTCAAACAGCATAAACACAAATGGGGGAAAGGAAGCTCCTGGAAACCCTGATAACTGCACATACATCGACGTCCCAATTTGACCCGTTGTTCTCTGTTTATGCTGGCAGCGATGGGGACTTGGTTCAGAAGACGCGTCCAGGAACCTATCATCGATGGCTGGCGCTTCTTGACCCCAAAAGAAAGACACGAAGCTAAGCTCTACATACTCAATCCTTATCTCCCAAATAGGATTGACAGCCTTCAATGGATCCATCCTTGTTTTAGCCATAAACCGCTATGACTATGACGCATTCCTCGATCACACCACGGCTAAGACTTTCGAACGCGTAGGGCTGATGTACGGCCTCAAGCTGTTTGCTCAAGGCGTTGGAGCTACAATAATTACTCCTCTTCGTCAAAGAGTCTCTTCACGGATGACCCTTGTCCTCACAGTGCTACTTTTCGGTCTCATCAATGCTATGTTGCTTATCATAGACGCTTGCACTGGGGGCACAATTGTTCCTGACTCCTTCGTTGGCCACCATCCGAAACAGGAATTTCATTATTACGGCGATTATGGTACCAACGTGCTGATCCCCGTGTACAGCTTGGCGGGCGTGGCATACGGTATGGTTGAGCTGATCGTTCATGTTGTTCTTCATGATATTGTTGATGGGCATCTTATCAAATTGCACCGGCTGGAAAGTCTGGCTTACCTGTCCACCGAACTGGTCAATATAGTGGGAACACTCTTCGTTGGTCTGGTCCGGATCCCTCATCTTGGAGCAAGTTATGCCTTCATAGTCACTCCCGCCTGCTTCGCTGTAGCTGTGATGTCCTGGTCTTTTCTCCAGGATAATGCGCTCGAGGGGACAAAGTCCGAGTTATCCGAAGGTCGACCTTCATATTTCAGCGCTATGCTAATCAACATGTTGGAGTGGTCTGTTCTCATTCTGGTGGGTGCTCAGCTAGTCTTTACCAGGCGCAAGTACGTCTGGCTGTGGCCTTGCTCTTCGGTGTTGTTTTACACTCATCAATACCTCGAAACTGCCATCGTTCCCAGCTGTAGCTCAGCGAGAGTTCGGAAATGCGGCGTGGTCCCAAATCAGGCTCGGAGGATCTAACTGTGGCAAACTGCTGGGTGCACTTTTCTTCATCTTTGCAAGCCCTCAGCTGCATATGCCCATGCCTTGGCTACGCCTGAACGCGCTTTTTGCTGCTTATAACTTGATATCTGCCATTCTGGCAGCCTGCACCGCATCACGCCGCGCTAGCCTGGTGCGCCGCTGCCAGTTTCATCCCCATCATGTTTGCATGGGTTGTCGTAGATGCCTCATTAGCAGCTCACGCCCAAGAGACGCTAGCACGAATGAACCCAATGTTCAAGAATGTCTCTTCACCCCCACGCAATCACAAATTTCTTGCACACAGCAGAAGTGATCATTTTCACAATCATCTCACCACTGCTTGGAAGCTATATTGACCGGGTCTATCGCAAGACGGGTCATTTGACAGAGGGCGGGGATATTCACGAAGCCTTGTTCTATGTTGGCGCAGTACAGATTTCCATTGTCTCGTTGTTGGTTCTGATGGCCACAGTTGTGCCTCGTAGTTCAATGGCATGAGATCCAGGATATCTGTGGGTGGGGAGAAGCGAGACGATGTAGGTGAGAATGAGGCGAAGAGGAATGATTGGAGTCTTAGCCCATTGCGTGACAGCAATTTATGCCCAGGAAAAGCCCGGGCTTCAATTGTGAAATGGTATTTCTGCACAATTTAATCATCAATCCGGCTGGTGGGATGTTTGATTGTGTCTCCTCTAGCGCGAATCACATTTGTGCAACAGGAAAATCTGGAGGCCGACTTAGTAATGGATACAGTATTCCATTTTATGTAAAGGCAGATGTGACTTGAGAGATACTCCCCTCGCTTTGCCATTCCCGTTTCCATGGAAAGTTAGATTCAGCACTGTAAGCAAACCTCCTGAGTATGGTGAAAAAAGTGGAATTTATAATCCAGGAATTGAGTCAGTATCCATACTTAGCATCGGTGAATCAAGCGAGACATGGGAGTTATTGTCATAAGAGCCCGAGCGCAATGATACCGATCTACTCTGGCCTTGGTGCTGGAACAATTCGTCACGCAATCTAAAGTGCTCCCTACTTATCCGCAGAGCAACAGTTAGAAAAGATGGTATTAGTGACACAGAGCTCATGCCAATCCTGCATTTGGGAGTTTGCAGCACGTTCTGTACCCTGTCGCAATCCCGCAATATCTAGACCTGCATATGCTGGAGTTGAGGAAAGTGGACGCCCCGGACCAAGGAGGCAGCATTGCCGGCCCCGGTTTTCTTTGAAATATAAATTTCTGGCTTCTTCCAAGTGATACTTACCATCGCGAAGCTGTTCATTAAACACAGGCCATCTCACCCAAATGAAGCCTTGTGTTGACCTCTTGCTCGCGGTAGGACGGTTTATATCTCCTCCTATCTCTTCAGCCTATGATTAACCTGACAATTAAGACAGGTCTATGGCATGGCCGCTTTGGAGAATGATAACACGTATAGCTCTGGTGCCAAATTGATTATCAACAGCATCACTAATACATCCACACCGCAGCCTCCCAAAATCCTTTTCAGGGGAAGCACCAAAGTCTGGTGGAAGTTCTCCTCAATCCAGCCGCACTCATCACCTCGTCTGAAGTAGTGCCAATCCGTTCGCGAATCCGAGAATATGCAATCTCCGACCAGAACGAAACATGCGCGTGAATTCGTCACAACTGGCCTGATTTCAGATACATCGCAGCGTGCACGAGTTCAATCGATATGGTGTGGCATCATGGCTTGACATCTCGGGGAACGGTTCTGATCAGGGTGCGCCGCATTCGTTTCTCGTCTGACACGTATGCCCAGGGTATCGTAGTTGGGGCGGGCGATATACATCTGCTTGCCTGACTTGCACGAGCCATGGCCGTTACAGCAATGCAAGAGACCAGGCACGTACAAGGCGTCAACAATCAGACACATCATCTTAACCAAGCAACGGTCTGAAGGTGGAGAGAAACATATTATAACGGTTTCGCTGCGCACACGCAATGGATGTTGTCTGCGACGGAGACGAAGGAAGCTGGAACCACAATCCAATGCTCGTCATCAATAACGATATTAATTCCAAGTCCATTTTAGTCGATACTTCTATGGGTTCACTTTTGACTTTTTGATGCTGGGGTGACACATGATCCGGACGACAACTCCCTATCCTTTAGAAAATTTTACTATCTTGAGCCGTCTACTGACCACTAGACGGCGGAAGGAAATGTGGGAAAATTGGGCATCAAGGTTGGATTCGGCGGCAGAAGCCTGTCTATAATAGATTTTAGCCGCAGGGGACCGCTGTGATGAGAAGAGCTCTCAAACTCTGCGTCAGGCTCTGCAGGTACTAGACTTGGTTAGTGGACTCCGTCATTTGCGACCTACAGATGGCATAGCTGATAAATATTTCCGAGATGAAAGTCAGGGATGCCGATAGTCAAAGGGACAGAGAAATTCCACGCCTATGATCATATGCTGCTCAGTCCTCCAGAGCCAAGGAAACTACTGATGGGGTGGCTGTCCGTGCATAACCCTATCCAATGCCCGACCAAACGCAACGCCACCGGGAATCACGAACACGAGGTACTGCCCGGTGTCAGCAAGCACCCAGGAGCGAAAGATGAAAACACGAGTGATTATTTCGCAAACAGAGAGAGAGAGGGGCCCTCACCTCTCATCTCTCATCTCAAATCTCGATCTATTTGAGTCTCTATCGACAATCTCTCGGTTGGGGTAGATGCCATCATTTCTTTGTCCGTGACTACTCGCCAACACTTGTTCTTTATTCCAGCCCAGGGTGGAACTCGTGGCCTCGCCGATCGAAGGCTTTGTGCGACGTGCGCAGTCAAATCGGTGATTTGCTCAGCCTTGTCTTACAGAACGACGAATAGGTCTCTGCCTCTGTCAGCTCGTCTGCCAGCCATCATTGCCACCACTCTCACCACATCCTTAGTCTCTCCTCCATCCTCGCCATTAGCTACAGCCACCACCAAAAATGTCTAATGCTGCGGACGCGGCGACAATAACTTCCAGGGCGACGACGTCGACCGGAAGCGGCTCCTCCACATCGTCAGCGAGGACAGGCACAGCGACACACACGATCGAGGTCGGCTCCAAAATCTCTCCCCACGGATACACTCCGCATAACGTCACCGCTGCCGTAGGCGATGTGATAGTCTTTGAATTCTATCCTCGAAACCATTCCGTTGTGAAAGCAGACTACCTGGCACCATGTGTGCCGGCTAGCGGGTCGATCTTCTATTCTGGAATCTTCAATAGTTTCAATGAAGAAGATGGCGAGTTGGTTGGACCGGTATTGCTTCTGTTAACTCCTCCTCTAAGAAAGCTCTCTAACAAGCATCGTGCGATAGCCACCCACTTGGTCTCTTGTAGTCAATGACACCGAGGTATGCTTTGCGCCTGGCAACACTCATGCGCCTCAACTGCAGCAGCCAACTAACCCGGACACAGCCAACCTTCTTCTATTGCACGGCCATAGACTCCTGCCTCGTGAACGGCATGGTAGGCGTCATCAACCCCGTACGTTTATTCCGATCGCCTCCCTCACTTAACCATACCAAACTGACATCTTGCTCCTACCTCTGACAGAACGAAACTATGACCTGGGAAGCACAGTATGAGAAAGCAAAGACCTACCCCTACATGCTCGTTCCCGGCCAATCTATCCCAGCTGAAGGCTCCATTCCATCCTCAACAAGCATCTCGAGTGCAAGCCCATCCGCTTCCGCATCCTCATCTGGCTCTGGTGGTCTCAGCGGCGGCGCCATAGCAGGCATTGTGGTGGGCTCTGTAGCCTTTGTCGGCATCCTGGGTGCATTGTTCTTCGTCCTCGGAAGAAACAGGGTCTACCAGAAGTGGATGTCCTCGCAGGATGGTCGCACAGAGCGGACGGCTAGGTGGGCGTCGATGTTAAGTCCCGGCCATGGAGCCGGGGATCAGAGCCAGGGTCAAGGACACGGCCGAGGAAAGAGTGATTTTGATGCGGGAGCTGGGTTAGGTGTAGGTATGATGCAGACGCCGGGACAGCCTCTTCAGCAGCAACACCAGGGGCAGCACCCATACGCGGACTACGTGAATGCACAGTCCCCCGGGTCGGGAGCGTATGCGACGAGTCCGGATATGGCGGGGTCACCGCAGCCTCAGAGCCAGGGCGGACATTGGAGTTGGGATGCGCAGCAACAGCAGCAGGTTTACCAGGGCCCGGGGCAGGGGCAACAGCAAGGACAGGTGTATTATGAGGCGATGGCAAGGGGACCCTCAGAATTAGAGGCCACGAGTAGGAAGTGAGCGTGAGGGAGCCTGGATGTGCGATCGGGGTGTCGACTCCGTCGCATATATCAGAAGTAGTGTTTATACCCTTTTTGGTTTAACCTTCTCGATTTGACTGTTCTCATGGGATTCGGGTTTGTCTTTCTTTTCTTTTCTTTGTTCCGAGCTTGGATTTAGGCAGAACAAAATACCATTCAAGCAAGGATAGGAGTTGCAAATTGTATGAAATTTGAGGCAACGTCAATAAAAAGCTCTTTGTGAATTCCCAAACGGTAGCAATCCTGTAAACTTCATTTCTAGATCAAACGGACATCTCGCAATGAATGAAGCGATTCGAACGGGATTCTCCGCTGAGTGGTGGCCTTCTACTTCCCAAAAACCAGCAGGCTGCTCTATAGTCCAGCCATATTCGTGTGCATTCGGTCCAATTACGGAAATAGAAGCATCACACTCATTGATCAACGGAACTGAACTGGAAAATGTCCTTATTCTTCAACAACGGCACCATATCCAACAGCGCAACACAAAATGACCACCTGCGACAACCACACCGATAGCACCTATAGTTAAGAGAATTATAGCAGTCACGACCTCCATTTAGCATCTCCTGATCCCGCGCCGATCCCGCAAGTGGAGTCGAGTGGATAACCTTCAAACGACGCCGTTGTAACAAGCTTAAATTACCCAAAATCCCCCAGGTCCAAAACTTCTAGACCAACCGCTTCGCAATGCTGCAGTCTCTCTTTCCCGACACAAAACTCCACACTTCGAAACAAGACAGCCCGGGCAATGGATTCTAGGCTCGGGATCTAGACCGTGGGCAATGATCCACCCGGGCCCCTGGTTGCGGTTTCGCATCGACTCAGACACGTACATGGCTGGGGCTTGGAAGCTGAAGGTGCCAGGTACAGTAGCACTCGGTCGATCTATTGAATTTATGGGCTGTCGTCTGCCGGGTGCTTCGAGCCGAGGAGCTGGTTATGTGGAGTGAGCTGATGCCTATAAAGGTGTGTATCCGTCGCCTCCAATTTCGACTCTTTCCTCCAGCAACAATCACCAACCACTAAGCCCAACCCTAAAGCCTTACTCCCATCTCGCCAAAATGGTCTCCACCAACTCCCTTCTCTACGTCCTCCTCAGTGCCGCCTCCCTGGCCGCCGCAACCCTCGATCCCGCCACCACCAACACCAAGGGCAAATGCCCCGGAAAGTATAATTGCTCCGGTACGTGACGCTCTGCGTGCCTCAAATTGATAACCAAGCGTCAAAGCAACCTCTATACTAACTACGTAACTCAATAGCCACCAAGGTCTCCAAGGCCATCCAGGCAGCCGAGTGCTCCCACAACACCCGCACCTCGAGTACGTGCCATCGCATAACCCAGACGAATCACGCAACAAAACTAACAGCCCCATCCAGAGACCCAGACCTTCGCCGTCTTCGTGACTGACCACCAGTACGACTCCTCTCACGGCGCCCCCTACGGAACCTGCAGCGCGTACACCTGCACCGCGCCCACATCCTCCGAGATGACCGACTCGGACTCGGACTGCTGGACGTTCTTCTGGAAGTAGGTGGATCCTATCCCAGGCCCTCGTACCTCAATTTTCTTCCCGATCAGGCAATCAGGATGAAGAACAAGATGAATCAAGGAAGGCTGTATGGGATGACGAAAAAAGTGCTAACCAAGCAATCTAGCGACAACGGCGAGTCATCCGGCTCCGGCACGGGGTGCATCAAGAGCCCCAATGACGGCTCCTGTGGATGTGAGAACTCGGACGGAGTCTTTGTCTATGGCTCCAGCAGCTGCTCCTAAAGAAGTAGGTATACAATAAACTGTAATAGTGGGCTGGGATTCACCCAAGCGGGTGGCGACTTGACCTCGCTTTGGACTGTGTATGTATCGATAACAATCTGGAATATTGTTTATGTTTTGGTCCTACGAGTATAGATAGATGAGCTTCAACCGAACTGGTGCATTCCTTTCATCGCTTATCGCCCTACGGATAATGCTTCTTAGCTGTAGGGTACTACTTATTATAGTACATGCTCCTCTCTCTCTCTCTCTCTCTCTCTCTCTCTCTCTCTCTCTCTTTATCTCACAGTCATGTATAGTTTAACAGCGACGGCTTTATCTGGTACTGGCTCCCTTCTGCATCGCGGAGAGATGCTCCCATGACAGCGTATCCTCGCCCAGACTCCAGGCCATGATGCCACCGACATTCTCAGCGTCGACGATATCTGTGAACTTGCGACCAATCAGGTCACCTGTGTCCCAGGTCCAGAAGATATTCACGCTGCTGTCGAAGTAGTACTGGCCGCCCATCTTCGCGTCGGTGGTACCTTCGCTCAAGGCGCGACGCCACGAGTCCGTGATAGAGATGCCCTTGCAGGTACCGTAGTCGGAGAGGCAGCCCGCCTGGCAGAAGTCGTCGGTTGTGCCGCTGTTTTTGGTTGGTCAGTACCATGTTCGGAGGAAATGTGTCGTGCATTGATCAGAAGAGCGGGAGAACATACCAGTTCCCATACTGACTACAGCACTGCCCGGAAGGACACTTGGTGCCCTTGTCGAATCCACAGGTGCCATCGGTGGAGGTCCTCAGGTTGGCCGGCGCCGTACTCATGGTACTCTTCTCGAAGGTCAAGGCACCGGACTTGCCGTTGTCGGAGCCATCCGGGTTCTCCATCACGGCAGCCTTGCAGCCGATCGGGTTGGTCTTGCAGTCCGAGTTGGGGTCCGTGGTGAACCATTTTGCGTAAAAGGCGAAGCCCAGGTTCATCTTGCTGCTCTCCAGGCCGATGGCCGAGTACGCCTTGAGGGTGGTGTGCGAGTCCACCACCGAGGTGTGATGCATCGTTACGTTATTGCGGCGGTTCATCAGGTCGTAGCTCATGATGTTGACCATGTCGACTGAGGGCCAGATCTTGGGGCCTGTGGTCGGTGTGAAGGCGATGAAGTCCTCCAGCTTGCCTGGGACGGCGATCGACAGCAGCTTGTTGGGACCGATGGCGTCGCGGATCGCCTTCAGAAAGAGGGGGTAGTTCTCAATCTCGGGGACTTTGGCCGAGTTGGGCGTTTGTTTGTAGTCTTGTCCGTTGCCGCCGGGGTATTCCCAATCGATGTCTTGGAGTGCGATATATTAGTCTGGAGATTAGGAACAACGAGGATGAGGGGAGCATTTACCGACACCGTCCAGACCTAGGTTGTTGATCATCGTCGCAACGTTCTTCGCGTATCGGGCCCGCGAAGCATCGTCCTTGGACCCTTGCGAGAACCCGGACGAGTCGCCCCATCCGCCAATGGCAATCATTACCTTGGTATCAGGGCCGAATCGATTGCGCATGGTCGACACAGACTCGAACGGCGTGAACTGCGGTGGTGAGTCGGAGTTGAATAGTGTCGAAGGCGCAAACGCCATGATCGCGTGTGTGGTGCCTTGCGTCTTGTCCTTGCCCGGAAGATTGGCAGTGTGGTACCTCGTCGAGATGAGTATGTGCTGAGACGGGAGAGAATCGTAGAAAACTCACTGGTCGATGTACATGGCCATTCTCATGGCCGCCACACACTGCAGGCCCATCAGGGCCAATGCGAATCGTTTGAGCATGGCCGTGGTTCGTGTCCGGTCTCGTTGGTTGTATGAGCGGTGGCCGATGGTGGTATGCGCCCTGGACTAAAGGAGTACTATCGCGAAAGTGGCTGTCGCCTGCTTTTTGTGTCGCTTGTCGGGTCAGCAGGAAAAGGTTATTGACAACCTGGCAGAAATCCAGACAGAAACACTCGAAGGACAGGCCTCCATTCCGATCAGAGCATTGCTGCCTCCTGGCCCGACCTGGGGTATCGCCAGCCACGGGCATGCGACTGAGGAATTTCCGACTCCACAAACTTCCATAAGCTGGATGAATAAGATGGATCAAACTGTGCCATGGTAGATGCGGTATGAAGGTTGCTCATGCCTGCACCCTGGGGGGGATTCTTCTTTGCGTCATATCTGGGAATCGCCCGCTGTTGGTTCCTGGCAGGTCAGCCGCCCAGCATGCCAGCGGACATTCCTTAAACAAGGATGCCTCAACAGATTTCCGGCACTGGGCTACTCGACTTTGAAACAATTCATACATCTTGAATGTCAAGTTAGGGATGTTGGAAGCTATCGAAGCCAATTACGCTGTCCTTTCTTGGCGTCAAACAGTGTCAGTTCTTACATAGAAAGGAGCTCAAGCGTTTAAATCCAGATGATTAGCGCTAGATCCAAAATCTCAATACAGTTGGGTATCTTGTAAAGTAATCTCAAGTCGACACTGGCCACCTGACTGGGACTGAGAACCGGCCGCAGCCATTAGTCCCAGTGCCTCCGTATGATCGGTCGGGCTGGATCCCATGGCCCAGTCACCACATTCTTATACTTCTGAAGACTGATCAGCCACCAGCTACATCCTCCCATAGTCAAAGCCGTCAAGATGCTCCCTAGAATGGATCCGACCACGAACGCCGCCCATCCACCACGCAGGGTAATGCCCACTGCACCACCAGCAACGAGCACCAGCGTCAGTGTCAGCAGAACATGACCAGTCCAAGATACATGCCGCAGCTGTCGTCGAAAGATGGGAAATAGTCCGAAGACTTCCATTGAAAACAGCATGAGACTGAACACATGCGTCGTGGACGGCAGTCGAGACGCCAGCACAGTAGAAGCCATCACTGCTGCATTGGTAGACAGGGAAGCCGGAAATTTGGTAGCGCCTGCGCCCTCTCCGCTCCCATAATCGAAGGAGAAGATATTCATGATCAGCAGCCAGCAGCTCATTGCCCAGATCGAATCGCTAGCAGTAGATTTGGTAAGTGATTTCAAGATCGGACTGAGCCCGAGCAAAGCGAAGTAGATCAAAAAAGCCGACTTCACCGTGGACAGACGCTGCCGATTCCTTGAGGAAAACATGGGCGACATGTCCGCCTCGTGAGATAGGCCACCAAGAGAATCGCTCGCAGGCCCGGACAGGGGGGACGCTGGTTCCTGTGTGTTGCCATCAACATCCCCACCACATGCCGGGCCCTTTCGACTGGCTATTTGGTTCGGTTCGTTATTTGCCATGGATAATCCCAGCCCATGGACCTGGTTCTCCTTCTGCGCGCCCGGGCGCGAACTGGTGGCACCGGAAGGGTTGACAGAGCTAGTCATCGAGCTAGAACTAGAGCCATCGTCACCTTCTGATGCTCTTTCAGCGACATGGACACTCTCCGCGTGTTCCCTCAGAATCCAAGAGTCCCAGAATACCCATCCCAGAGCCGTCCCAACACTGCCCCAGCAGACCACAGAGACAGGGCTCACACGGCCCTGAACGATGCCAACAAAGCAGCATACGAAGATAGCTACCGAGCACACATGTTGTACAATGACAGTGGAATCGGCCACGAGAGGCCAGAAATCGTAGGGACGTACTCGCGGATTGCGTTGGAGGTGGTCAAGGAAGGTCTCCGTATCCGTGTAGTTATCAGGATCTATGTATAAATCAATATTCCGCGTCAGATTCGAGCAAGTTTTGCCAAGCTCGTACAGGATTGTTTCACCCAGAGTAGCTTTTTCCAAGCGCCCTTTCGTCTTCTCCGTCTGCTTGTCCCCCGCAACTTGCGTACCTCCTTTCGTCCACCCACTCCTGGCACAGCCGGCGGCAATCGCAACGCTGCCACTGAAGTAGCATGGACAGCATTGGGGTTTAGCACGCGTAGAGAGTCATCATAGTGGGCCGAAGAAGGTCGCGCACGCAGTAATGATGAAGCGTAGTATGCATCTTCGGGGGCAAGCCTAGTGGGATCCGGGAGGGCTCGTTGCTCTTTCAGGCCGACGCTGCGGTTCGGATGGGTTTCGACAGGGACGGGAGGAGGTCTGGAAGGAGGCGAATCGGACAGCGAAGGCATCGAGCAGGAGCCGGACTCATGCCCGAAGCATGATGTGAAGTGAACTAAGTAGATAGAAAGAAGCAGTCGATCGGGATAGCAGACTCTCGCTGGTATCTATCTGCCGGTCGGTGACGCGAATCGCCAATTCCGGCACCGCCCACGTGGAATTAGTCATCAGATATCCTGCTGTTCTCTAACTAGGTACAATTTTTCTGATCAGATCTTAACTAAACCATATCTAAGCATTATTAAGTACCTAGGTGTATACGAGCCTGTTTCTGGTTTCTGCCCACTAACTATATATCATACACAACACGACTGCACACCAGTCGACTCCAAAAAGTTGTAAAAGCTAAGATAGCCCAGTCTACCTTATGCAAATTACCACCTGGCAGTTTATAGACATGCTCGAAAATGGCTAACGGTTCCCAGCCGCTTGGAACCGGGGTTGCATACCCTCCTGAGTTTACCGTATAACAGGCCTGACTTTGATCTCCACGGCTGGAACACTGTGCTTTTCTTTCAAAGCATTCAATGCCACGCAGATCATATAATCGAATTCGTCATCACCACCTTTGGGGAGCCACACCTCTCCGTAAGACTCCGTCTCGCAACAGAGGTATTGGAGGTCTGCGAGATCAACGTGTAACCGAAAGAATTCGAGGGCTTGTGCAAAGAGCTCGTCCACCGTCTCGCAGTTTGACAAAGGGACGAATCTTATTTTGTCCTGGACACACAGCACAAACACAAGGCCACCGGTCACTTTACGCATGGATGTCGGGTCAGCATGATTTGTCTTGCGCTTTTTGGCTATCGGCAGTATTATGTCAGGACTCCTGCTAGGAGTTGTCTGGTTCCTCTGCTGCTCGAGTTCATTCTCTGGCAGTGATTCCTCGCTCGAATGCTCCTCCTCGCCCCAGGGCTCCTCGCTCCCAGACGCAAAGTCTGTATCTGCCGGCGGGCTGGTCTCACGAGAAAGAACGCTCGAATTTGCTCTTTGACGCTTGGTTCCTGCAAATTTAAAGCGCTCTCTCATATTCCTTCTCCGTGTATTAAGTTGTTCGTGTACACTTTGCCGGCCACGTTCTTGCCTAAGGTAACTATCCACGTACCCCCATGCTTGAGGCTCGTATATGATATCCTGCCTAGGGTTTCTTAGCCAGATACGGAGGGCACACGGCGGCGGCACGAGATCTTCGTTTTGCGGAGACCATTGCCGAAGAAAGACGCCGTAGCGGGGAATTCTGGGCGGACCACAGACCATCAATTTCGGGGGCCCTTGACTTTCATCAAAAAGCACAAGCACGTGGTCAACAGAGCCTCTCATGGTATAATGGCAGAGTTCGACCTGTCGATGAGCCCGATTGTAGACCACATAGTCTTTCCCTTTGTTTGTATGGTTTTGGTATGCGAAAGGCGGTCTCTTGTATCCCACGCCGTCATTTTTCTTGTACCATTCAGCTATCTCGGCTTGTAGGTGCCGAGGAAACTCAATGCGTGGCCCTCTGACAGGTATGGGGTCGATCCTCATCGAATCTTGATCCGGCTCGTCAGGCTCAGCCATGGGAATAGCGTTGTACGGAATGTCGGGGCCGGAGCCGTAGGACGAAGGCGCAGCTGAAGCAAATCGGTGGCCACGCTCAATAATAGACAGTACTTTCATAATTGACCGATCATCGCAGGAGTCGGACATTGCAGTTTGTTGCTCTTCGCCTAGGCTGGTGGTCTTCACGGTTGGCTTCCTGAACAAGGGCATGGTCCTATTAGCTACCCAGTAATGCTGATTTAGAATGAGGACTTTGGCTGACCACTTCTCCAAGTTTGGTATTGTTAAAACTAATGGCTGGCGATTCATAGGAGGAATCATAGCCACAAATTATGTACTTCGATGGACATTTTCTGTACAGGGACTGTGATATTAGATGGGATATCTTTTGTGGATCGGGTGAATGAAGAGTAGACGAAGAGAGAATAAAGTGAGATGAAGAGTAATGAAGAGTGACAAGGGTCAATGAAGACTGCGCCAGACGCGTCGGAGCCCTGTTGCGCGTTTGTTCTGCTTGGTCTTTAATTAGCGTATCCGCGGTAATAATACCTGCAGGCAATAGAGAAGTTGGTAGTTAGCGGAGTGATCTTCGACTGGCTATATCTCGTCGCAATAAAACGATCCATCAATATGACTAGCAGGGAAATGAAGCATGATTTGACAACAAGGATGTTAAAGATGCGAGTACAGTCTTAGAAAAGGCTGCAGTAGATTAGGGGGGAGTTGCATGAAAATTCACTGTTCCCATCTAAGAGCATTTCATTTATCAATTAGGACTCCACATTTCCACCCAGTATACCTCATGTAGAGCAGTCAGCTGGATGTCTGCTTAGCCACAATGTACGTCTAAATGATGTATAACCGATCTACTTTGACATGGATAAGCAAAAACGCCAACAAGAGAAGGTATCAGGGCATGCCAAGGAGGCCAGAAGCATAAAATACGGTCCATCGACACGAATCCGGCAATATGTACTCCATGGACACGTTCAGGGTCCTTGTCTGGCCAAGCATGTAGACTATTATCGAAAGTTCATGTGGTCGAATATTACACGGACAATATGATTTAGAACAGTATAGAAAGCAGTAGTACAAGGTTATCATAATCGACGGGTATCAAACGCTCAAAATGAGGAACCGGACACATCTTGTCCAGCATGCATGCTCTCCGGAGTGTCATCCGCTAGGATGAGTTCTGTTGACTAGCTTGGTGCTTGGCTTCCAGAGCGGCCTTTAGCTCCTGCAGGGACGCCTCGTCGATGCTGTTTCTACGTCCCCAATTGGCAGGCTGTCTCCGCAGGAAGGCACCGACGGAGCCAATGTAGCCTTCGTGACGCAGGAAATAGGCTTGCTTCTCGCCCTTGGACCAAAACTTGATAGCATAGGATAGAGTGTTCATGGTCTGTCGGTGTCCTCGGATGAAGGATCCGCCGAAGTAGATGTGCTTGACCTGGTGTTTCTCGGATTGCAGATAGGCGATTTGTCCGATGTTATTACTGTGAACTGTTAGACTGGTCCTCTCACTCGCGGATCCATGATATAGTTCAGAGCGCACCTGATTGCATACAGTAAACTTCTGCTCATATCCTCAGCCTTGAACTTTGGATCACCGTTCCTCGAATCGGGTTCCTCCAAGGATTCCTCTACTCCACCTGAACTTTGTTGTCCTGTCTGATTCTTCAGGCGGAATACTTTGCCGAACGTGCTTGCAATGGCAGTGTTCTTGAGACCAATCTTGCTATAGTCCATGCCGTAGATATCTCCAACCAACATATCTACCCCGCTGTTGTCGCCACGATCTGCCATTGCTAGCATGTCGTCAAAGGTGCGGGCGCCTGTCAGTAGCGACATAAGACCCCAGAATGTACCACCACCCAAATGTGTACCACCCACACGTTGGAACTGCTTGGGGCCAGAGACCTTGATCATAGATACTCCGGAGCCGATGTTGACAAGCAAATACGGGTAAACATCTGGTCGGGCCTCGGCGAACTGCATGGGCTCGGTTTCGCTGTATGTGAAGACCTCGTTGGGGATCTCGGTGATGAAGAAGTCAAGACCTATGGTGAGACTTTGAGTCAGGAAATGTTTCTCATTTAGCATCGCAAAAAGACAGTGGGACACGCTTACCAGTAATGAGACATTCCATCTCATCCTCCCGTATGATGTCGACATTGAGGGACTCCTTCAATCTGTCGTAGTACAAGTAAGCACCACCTCCAGTAGCCATAACGCATAGTTCCGCCCCTGATGAGCCCTTCAGCTTCTCGTGCTCAGCTTTCAATTCTTTGATGAAATCAATGCACAGGTCGATCCGCGAGGTTTCGAAGTTGATGAAGTTGAGTCGACCACCGTTGTCGGCAGAGTCAATCTCTCGAGTGAAGTAGACGAGCTTCGCCAACGATCCGCCGATCTAGAATCCATGATATTTAGGTTAGTTTTCGGAATATCTGGTCGCGTTGAGTTGAAAGCTGAAATTGCGGGGAGCTGGGATTGTATGCGGGGAACCACGGATTGTTAGAATAAAGAGTCAAAAAGAGGATCACTCACATCAACAGCTACATGACTGATTTCTTTGTGGTTGGGAAGTCTAATGTCATGACCTGAGCCAAGTATGAGCTCCAAATTTCAATTCAAGGGTGGAATGCCAGGAAGTTGTGCATCTGGGGGCTTTTCCTCACCCTCATAATGAACCCCATCGGTCCTCACCGGACTTTTAGACCGAGGGTCATCATCGACGATGAAGGCGCCCTTCACATTGATCTTTACTGTGCCCGGGTTGGCCAACTCCAGCCGACTTCCCCCACGATTGGAATTAGAAGCGGCCATTGCGACTCAATGGCACGAAATATCATGGACGTGAGCCGGGCGATGACAAGGGGTTTAAATCCGAAAATGAAAAGTAGTTGACGGTAGGTGCTCTGTCTCGGGGAAATGGATTATTGGCCCGTGATACAGAGTACAGCGTATATTTGAGATCCTTCTGCCCGCTTCGAGGTCGGTAGAACCCACTCACGGGCTGGGCGCGAACGGAGTCTCCGACCTTTCCTTCCAATTGTTCCGTGCCGCGCTGCTGACCTGCAAGGAGACCCGGGTCAGTCCCGTCGGGTGTATCGATCGAACTATCATCTGCTCATAACTGTACCTCATGGACAGCCGAAACGGGGTGAGTACATTTGTTGAGATATGCTTGCCCCACGCAAGCAACGTCGCAGTGGTACTCGCTCGTATTTGCCCCTGAGATGACGTCGAAAACTAGTGAATGCCTTAGAAATCAGGCTGCGTGACCAACAAATCAGAAGCAGGAGCGCAGGGCGCGCCGGTTGGACTTAGCCAATCCACTGCTAAGTTGAAGCTATTCATCAACGAAAGATAAGGCATTGCAGAAATGAAAAAGGTCACTAGAGGAAGTGTCCGCCAGGTTCTTGCAGCTTCAGGAAAATCGTTCGCACCCTTAATTCTTTTCAGTCGCCTTTCAACAGCCCTCTACACATGCACGTGATCTCAATCATTCCCACCAACCGATTTCCTGTAGGCATGAACGTCATGCCTTTAAAGAAATCCTTGATTACTGCATTCCAGCTCTTATAGCAGGTAATGGCAGATGATCTCGAGCTCATACACGTGATGACACAAGACCTCCCAAGCATTTTTTTGTCGGCATGTTAGTTTGAGGCTTTGGTTTAGTAAGGCTGAGAACTGCTTACAACAACGCAGCTTCAGCTTTGCAACTAACATCACAGTGAGACCTTTGACGTTGGCGGACCAAATGCTATATGATTGGCCTAGCTGAAGCAAAAAGCCGACAGTAGAAAAAATGTCCTTATGGTCTGAAATAATATCACACGGGAAACGGGAGAACAGATATGGGGAGACGATGGATCAAAGCCTTCTGCCAAAACGACAACAATTCGTAGATTTTAGGGTAGTATGCACTTGTTCTGTGCTGACAAAGGTGAAACAAGTTACTGACCAGCATCTAGAAGTAAGTTTCGTCTGCCAGGTGGGCTCATCGAAGGGTAGCCAAAGTCATCCAGGCAGCGTACAGGTCATGGCGATGAACAGGTCACCCCCGCTTCTCTATACTATGAATCCTGGCCAACCAAAATTCGATACTTCAAGCACCATGATTTTCAAGCCATACTTTTCAGAAGCCTCCCAACGGCAGCCGTGTCATGGTACTTGAGAACTCGGTTGGGTTGACAATGAAACTTCTAGTCTCAGGTTACGTTTACAGAGATACTGTACCAGACATCTGAACAAATCACTGGAGCCATGACTTCCTAGCTTATTACATGGCTCAAGGCCCGATTCTATAGGATGTTTAGAAGCTCTCTTGACAGATTCCGGTGACATGCTATATTCCTAACATCCCAGGCCATGTGCTCATCTAGAATGGTTGACAATAAAATGTCTGTTTACAAGCCTCGGATGTCTGCATAAAAATGAAGCTATCCTCGGAGTCGAGGTCATTATCTATCCGATTTCGTTTGCACATCACGTCAGTTCCAGGAAGCTAGAGACTTACTACGGAGTAAAAAGAGTTCTCACTGTGATTGTAGGCTTCATTTCTCGTGCGGATTCGTGATATTCAGTGTCCAGAGCGATGCGTTGCACTTAACCAGACCCACCTCATTTTCTAATCATATCACCTGTTCACTCTGATAGTTCCAAATAAAACTGTTGTAGGTGTTACATTCACCCTCATCCAGGAGATATCCTTATTGGTCTCACAACGCCGAGGTGTCTTGTTGTGTGAAATCCGTTTGCTGTGCTCGGCGTGAGGTAAAATTGGCCCAGCCCACACCACTTTCTCTTCCTCCCACCTTTTTTCCTTTTTCCTCTCATCCTCTCTTGACTTCTCTTTTCTTCATCACTTTTCCTCTTCTGCAAACACTGTAATTCTTCCTTCACTTATCCTACTGCTCGTCAAAAGTTCACGATCCATCATTTCCGTCCATCACCGGCGTACTCTGATTGTCTCAGACACGTCTCACTCCAAGTTGGTATCCATCAATCCACGCAGACTGCTCATCATCCGCCATGCTCATTTCATCTGCTTATAGGTTGCTGTTGCTGAGAGTCTGTCCCATTTCACGTTTTCGGATGCTAGTCCAGCCCTGAACGAGCAACCATGGCGGAACTCGATATGTCTCCGTTGGGAACCGCGCTCGATGATGTGACGAACAATCAGGACAACAAGGAAACCAACGCGTCCAAAATCGCCCGCGCGAAGGGATGGGTGGAGCCAGAGAGCTTTGACTATGAATTGTATAATACCTCTAGTCAAGCTCTTCAGCAGCCAGCTGGTGAGGGACATGATAGCCAGCTCCCTGAGTGGGCGGCGAACGCAGCCAAGTACGAATGGAAGGATGAGTATGGTGATGTAGGCCCGGAGATTCCTGAGCTAGAGGAGCAGCTTTTCCGGAACGAGTACATCAACCGTGCTGGTCTCAAGATCGGAAAGTAAGTCGGCCACATTCAAAGAGTGTATAACCACAAGTGCCTGACCGTGGGTAGTCTGCAAAAGATCGAGGTCATTGCTGAGAGTCGTGAGAGACCCAATCCTGTGAGAGACGTGAGTTTTGACCAACTCTTCCCTTAAACTTGACTATGAGTCTGACTTGCTATAGTTCGATGACGCTGGTCTGCATCCGATAATGCGCAGAAACGTCGAACTTTGTCGTTATGCGCATCCCACGCCCATTCAAGCTTATTCAATTCCTGCAGTTCTTACCGGACACGACCTGATTGCGATTGCCCAGACTGGTAAGCGGTCTCTACTAGATCTCGTGTTCTCTAGGTGGACTAACACAAATAGGATCTGGGAAAACCGCGGCTTTTCTCATTCCTGTTTTATCCCAGTTGATGGGTAAGGCTAAGAAGCTTGCGGCCCCTCGCCCCAATGTGGCGGCCGGTTACAATCCTGCCACGGACGCTGTTCGGGCTGAGCCATTGGTCCTCATTGTTGCTCCGACGCGTGAGCTCGCGACTCAGATCTTTGATGAAGCCCGTCGCCTTTGTTATCGCTCGATGTTGCGTCCTTGTGTGGTTTATGGGGGTGCGCCAATCCGTGATCAGCGAGACGAGCTGCAGCGTGGCTGCGATATTCTCATTGCTACACCTGGAAGACTCCTTGACTTCATGGATAGACCCCACATACTTTCACTTCAGCGCGTCAAGTAAGTGTATATCCCGACAAGAAGAATGTCCTAATGTACGTACCTTGTTAAATCATCCACAGGTACACCATCATCGATGAAGCTGATGAGCTTTTGCAATCTGACTGGGAGTCTGATTTCAAGAAGATCATGTCGGGAGGAGGTATGTCAAGGTTTCCACCTGCCATGGAAGATATTTGGACGCTCATAGACTGTAGATGTGAATGAGGACGCCGATCACCGTTACATGATGTTTTCCGCAACCTTCAATAAGGCTTGCCGTGGGCTCGCCCGTGAATACCTTGCAGCTGATCATGTTCGCATCCGTATTGGACGTCCTGGCAGCACCCACATCAACGTGCAGCAAAATGTATGACTCCCCAATATAGTGTGCTTTCAATTTTAACACCTCCATAGATCATTTTTGCAGAGCAGCATATGAAGAAGCAGTGCCTTTATGACCTCCTTATCTCGATGCCTCCCTCACGAACTCTGGTATTTGTTAACTCGAAGCCACAGGCTGACCTGTTGGATGACTATTTGTTCAACATGGGCTTGCCCAGCACCTCCATTCATGCCGACCGCACTCAGCGTGAACGTGAAGATGCCTTGTAAGTGTCCACCCCAAAATAAATACAACGACTCTCGCTGACTCAAGGTTAGGCGTGCATTCCGCACGGCTAAAAGCCCTATCCTTGTGGCTACGGGCGTCTCAGCTCGCGGTCTCGATATCAAGAATGTCATGCACGTCATAAATTTCGATCTTCCCCGCGTTCATCACGGTGGTATTACTGAGTACATCCACCGTATCGGTAAGTAGAATATATTCCCCATATTGTAGCTCTCTAACGCGAGGTAGGACGCACTGCTCGCATTGGGAATGAAGGCCTGGCGTCCTCATTCTACAACGATGGCGACTCGGAGCTCGCGCCTGATCTTGTCAATATCCTTTTGGAGAGCGGCCAGAAGATTCCCGACTTCCTTGAATCTTACAAGCCCATGGATAACAAGGTTGATTTTCAGGACGAAACCGACGAGGAGGATAATTGCGATGGCAACGGCTGGGGAGGTATCGACATGGGCACTAATGACGCGGGAAACGAAGATACTCAACCATCAAACGCCGGCTGGGAGTTCTAGAACTGGGGCCCTGGCTAGTCTGTTGACTTAGGGGGCAACACCAAGCATCTCATCTCTCTTTACCCCGAGCCGATGAATCATGGAGTCGAGCCTTTCGTTGACGGACTCAGCTCCTCATTCTCGATATCCCTCCACTCCTTCTTCACTTCGTTCGCGGGCCTATCAGACCATGGGCTTTTAATATTGTGTGATGGTTTAACGCCCCCGTGGCTCTTAGGATGACGCTGTAGATGTCTCTGCTTGTTCCGGTCATGCCCCGGGGATCCAGCGGACGCTGTTTGGTTGATCTGATCTGCGTGGGTTGCGGATCATGTATTTCAGTGTTGCAGGGTCTCCGGCCAACGCCAACGCACGTTGGGTGGTAGATAGGGATGAGGATTTGCTCAGCGGCGTCACCTTCCAGACAGTTACACATGGAGGCTGGAAAACATGTTCATCATGATTGATGTTTCTACTGTTACAACGTCAGGATTCATGGGGCTGCTCTTTCCGGAAGTAGAAATCTAGTATGGCAGTGGCTCCTGCCCCCGCTCAGCCCTTCTTGACGTAGAATATCGGACTGCAAAAGAATCACTTTGGTATATCAACCATGACCAAAGGCAGCACCCCACTCACTATCACAACACTCAGCTATCACTCTGAACTGGTGGTCAGCGACGTCAACCATGGCTTCGAGCTTTTGCACTACTGTACTGATGCTCCTCTTGCTCACCTGGCACATTCTCATCACCTCAGTCCAAGCGACGCCGCCTCCACCTCCACCACCACCTAGCCCAAACCTCACCGACATCCTCCACAACCCCGAGGCATCCCCAAACACCCTCTTAATCGACACCTTCCTCCACCAAGATGTCAACGACCTAGGCCACTGGCACGGGCCTCTCGAAGGCCTCACAGTCCACCACAGCCCAGGCTTCGTGCGCTTTTTCCCCTCTGACCCGGACCACAACTACCACACCCAACTCTCCGCCTCGTCCTGCTTCGACCTGCGCCCCTACCAACCCACGCACTTCCTGCACATCGTCTTCAGCGGCACCACCAAATTCTCTATCTTCCTCAACCAGAACAACCCGGCCTGCAACTTCACGCGTAACCCGTTCCCGCAGACCTCGGATGTCGTCGAGGCCGCCCGCTACGCCCGCGGCAACGACATCTATATCCCCCTCGCGCATTTTCAGATCGACCAGACAAGAGCCGTCTCCGTCAGCTTCGGCGGGTTCTATTCGTTGGAGCCGCTAACGCTCTACCGCATAGAAATCGTGCCGTCCATCCCCGTGGGGTTTCCCGTCCCGCATCGCATGAACAACGGACGCTTGGTGCTGACATGTTCTCGACCTGGCTCGTTTGCGTTCGGTATCGACGACGGGCAGCCGCGGTTTGCGCAGGAGGTGATGAAGATTCTTGAGGAGGAGAGGGTGCTGGTGACATTTTTTGTGGTCGGGCTGGGCCTGAGGGATCGGGACACGAACTTCTCGAATGTGTATCGCGAGATGATCAAGAGGGGCCATCAGATTGCGCTGCATTCGGATACGCATCGGAAGTATGCTCCCTCTCTCTGGGTTTTCCATATAGGGAAACTTCGTGCTAAGTTTCATGATTTCAACGAAAGAGCACTCAGCTAACACAAGGATGTAGGATGGAAGGCCTGGCATCCACTGCAGATATCGATCGCGAAATCGTCGAGAATATCAAGTCATTTCGACAGATATTGGGCATTGAGAGTATGTCCCTACTCCCTGATTTGGGTTTGCTGACCACCAACTGACGTTGCAGCTCACTACTTCCGTCCTCCCTTTGGCACCCTCGGGGCACGGACACGCCAACGCCTAGCGAATTTCATCACCGACCCACAAGTCATCACCTGGAGCGTTGACATCGAGGACTGGCTCTGGGCGGATTCCAAGACCCCCGAGAAACAGCGCGAGGCCTTCTTTCGAGATGTCATGCACGGGGGCAATCTGGCCGTCATGCACTTCCTAAGTCCGACAACCGTCGGCTACTTCCGGGAGGTGATTCAGTTCGTCAAGGGTCAAAATAAGTCCATTATGCGCATTGACCAATGTCTGGGAGATCCGAGGAGCCCACCCTTGAAGTACCCTGTTCATTAGTCTGTCGTACACTCTGGGCTGGGCGTTTATTTCTGTTATTCTGTTGGTAGTGGTAGCGCGGATCAGTATAAATTGTCGCATGAGTTGGTATAAAGCATATTGTATACAATAGAGGAGCTTGCTAAGAAAACGCTAAAGCGAAACAGAAAGAATGCAGACATTTGTTTTTCACGATGGAAGATTTTTCTCTTTTGGCTATGACCCGATCCCGGCTACCGAGGACCAAGTACCAAGAAAAGAATGCCAGACGCCCGGTATGGATGCAAGATATCATCGATCAATAAATAAAAGCTGAGAACAATCCCCATAACGCCATCCACTGCAATGCATGCAAGTGTCCTGCTATACTGGAGAAACGGCAAGAAACGGGGGAGGGAATGTACTGTACATCTAAAAGGGTAGACCTGATAACACAATAATCGCACCGCCTTCGAACAAGGAAAAAAGCATAGAGAACGTCTCAACGACTTGTAAATAGAATTATTCGACCTGCGAATATTTCTGACATTTTTATGGGTCTTGATTTGTGCTGTCCGTGGACGAAAATCTATAAGCCGAAGTCTGGGCGACCACACCGTGGCGCGTGCTCGATCATCTTGTCGATTGTATTCAGGATCCACCCGGACCGAGCGTTGGGGTTCCGGACACCCAATCGCGGCGTTTCGCCGAGGAAGCACACCCCAGCGCGCAGGACGAACTGGGCGCAACTGCGCGAGTCGGCACACAAAGACTGGCATTCGTGGAAAGTGGTGACTTCAGCGTGTTCTTCGTCGGAGAGATTGTCCCAGCTGTCGCGGACATTGGAAAGTTCGGGGTAGATGAGGTCTTTGAAGACGTCGCGGTGGAGAAGGACGTGTTTGTTCGCCTAAATGGGAATAAGCATGTTAAGCTGCGGACAATGACGCATGGAGAATTCCTGAGGGGAAGGCGTAATCGTAAGAAGGTTAGAACGTACATCTTGCCATCTGCGACGTTCATATTCGTATAGGTCTTGGATATCCCGGGACGATAAGTGGTGTAATGCGACGGCGGGGAAACACCACGGCTTGCGATAGAAGCCCGTGGCAAACTCATCGATTTCGCCGAGGTTGGAGTTCTGCAGCATGGGCCAGGAGTAGTGCAAGGGTACGCCAGCGTCCGCGAGAACCTTTCCCAGGACGCAATCACCTGCCCAGTGCCAGTCGGTGTACTCGTTCAATTCCACAGTACGAGAGGCGTACTCTTTCGAAGCGAGTTGCATGGCGGGATTGGAAACGAGAAAGCCTGATCCGCCGTGTGCGAAGATGACATCTGCGATTTGGGTCTCGGTTCCGATATAATGCGGCTCGCTGGGATCGAAGTGCGCGAGCCATGCAAGAAGCGTCGGCCACGAGAAATACGTGTCCGCTTCCATAAAGACGTACCACTTGGCGTCATCCTTGTAGGCCAGGGCTTGTTGAACCATAGGAAGAAACTTCCACTTATCAAGCTTCCAGCCCGGGTTATTGGGTTTACCGATATTAGAATTGGCTTCGTCAGCGAAGTCGGCGGAATCGAGACCGGCGCGGCCTTGTTCGCGGAGGCGGTTATAGAGATTGAAGTCACCGACGGTGTCTCGCACGATCGTATCCATCCCAACAAAGGCATCGTGGATCTTGACACCTTCAATCTCTTCCTCATAGTCGGAGAATATAACGTAGTTGGGGACACAGCGGAGAGTGGTGTGGAAATGAACGGGGACTTTGTCGAGAGACTCCGTGACACCGGTCTTCATCACGACGAGAACATCCTCGATGCCCGGAAGGGGCGGGCATTCAGGCAAGGTGCGACGGGCTTCGTCATTTTCATGTGGTAGCAGCTCGGAGCGGAGGGTATAGAAGTGGTAGAGGAGGATAAGTCCCAGAAGGGCGGAGAGGGCTGCGATGCGACGAGAGCGACGGAACATCCTCACAGCGGCGTTGTTGAAGTGATGGGGAGGGAGGGGAGGTTGTGTGGGTTCTGTCCAGTAGGAGAGCCGACCTGCAGCGGAGTTGAACAGTGAACTGGAGCGACAGACAATGCGGAAGAAAAGAAGCAACTGAAACAAAAAGATTATCGACCGATCCTCCGGGTTAATTGAACCACGCTGTTCATTTTCTTCCTGGTTCCTCAATCAAAGCGGTTCTCCTCGACAGGTTCGCTGACGGCTGCCCCTCCTCGAGTGTTTATTTTCTGAAGGTTGTCGGACAACGGGGTCGGATTCCTGAGAGCACGGGCAGGAACGCAGTTTGAGACAGAATGCTTATCTTGGGGCACGTCTCCTGGCGCTTAGCAAAGAGGAATGGGAAAGGAGTTTGGGGAGGAGGTGGAGGTTGTAGAGGAGGGGAGAACGAGAAGAAGAGGAAAAGGACAGAGAGACAAGATAGAGACAGCCAAGAGGAAACCGTTCCGCGACTGACCAACGAAAAGGAACGGCGGTGGTTATTCTTTTGTCGGCGTGGTTGTCCTTCGGCGGGCGTGGGGTTGGCGACGTAGGAAGGCACGTAGTCGAGTGCAGATCGGCCCACAGTGTCTGGGCGATCTGGAAGGCATCTAAGCTAAGGCGAGCAGAAGACGGTCCCTATTCAGTTCCGACTCGCAGCTGTCGATGACGCGTTAGTCCCCAACTGAGCCATGGATTGAGGAGGAGCTGCAAACCTGAAACCCGCCCCTGACAGCGCGGCGGTTCTCCGTGTGGTCAGATTAAATCTTTAAAAGCTACGGAACACCCGCGTAGTGCCTGCATATGATGAATCGCGAATTGAAGGGAATGGATCTTGTCGTCGAAGTTCTGATAGCTCCCCTCCCATGGTAAATTCATCTTCATCACAACTCGCTTCCGTTGAGGCCAGGGGGAGGGACAAAGGAGAAGAAGTGAAGGAAAGGTGAAAGTGAAAGCTCGAACCTTCCATGTTCCCTTTTTGGCCCCAGAGGACAAAAAAATCGGGCTGTGTTTTGGGGGCAGCCAGGCTGACAGGCAACTGGCGTCTACTGTATGTACCTATGATTTTTCTTTTCCTCTGGGTCGGTCAACAGACATGATATTTTCCTGGCCGGAATATGGGCATTAATCTGTTTGAGGGGCTCAATGGACCCTATGTTTTAAACTATTCACTAAGCAGTGTCCCTAGCTCCTTTCTCCAGAAACGGGCACTCAAAACACGCCCGACCTCAACGGTCGCAACGTTTCATCCTATTCTTCTTCTACACGCAATCACTTTCAAGCTGCCACTAACCCATCCTATCTATGATGGAGGAGGGCCATGCTGGGCAATCTTGTTCGAATGTAACTTGACCAATTCAGGAATGATCAGGCTCTCGATCTCCACGCCTTCTTCTGCGGCAGTAAAAACCTCCGGCCCTCGGTCGGCGCCCCCACTGGTTTCTCCCGTCAGCGCCGCGGCTTCGCCCGCCCGCCGCTTGGCCTCCGCCAACCCGACCTGGTCTTCGCTACCAGAGATGCTCTTGCTGCGCCGCGATTTGGGCACCCGAATCCAACGCTCATACGGAGGCTCCGGTGTGACAAATACCACCTCCCATTTGCGTGTTGCCAGCAGATTTCCAATCACCAGATGATGCGCATACCGTTGCAGGGCAGTCTGCGCCTTGTACACCAGCAGATTGGGGTCGGTTTCCAGCTTGAAGGAGACGACCATGCTTCCATCTGGGGCCCAACCGTCCACAAGCCGGTGGAGAAACTTTGGGACAGGGTCCAAGTCTATGACCAGCTTCTTGCTCCGGTTTGGTGGTTGTGGCTCAATCCCCCCAGTGTATATGTCTGACGGATCATCGACCTGGCCCCCCGTCAAGTGGCTTGGTAACTCTGAGGATTGGATTTTGTGCTCCGACATGCGATCGCGGGGAATAAAAAAATCGCTCACCGCCGCCGCCAAGTAGAACAATGCGTTGGGGCCCAGAGGTTTCATCAGTTGCGCGAGCGACCGTAGTTCGAACAAATATTCGGAAATTGTTGTAAAGGGAAGGAGTAGGAGAAGATTGTTCCGTTTGGCATATTTGTACTTGCGCAACACATCTCGCATCTGATCTTGGTATTCCTTGCACACAACGACCGAGCCATTCTCTGAATCAGACTCATCTTCGTCCATGAAGTCGAGGAAGCAGTTGGTCGAGTGGCTGTAGTGTCGTGAATATGGCAGCAGACTAAACTGACGATGGAGGAAGATCACGGCATAGCCCTGCTGTAGGAAGTATTCCGCCGATACGGCACCTCTCGTGCCGGCACTGAAGTTGTCGATGAATCGCACGGTTTGGTTCTCTGCACATGGTTAGAAGCCATTCTTGGGTGCAGTATCCAGCTCACGAACCAAGAGGGACGGTGGTGCCCCCGGAGGTGACGAGAACCAGGCGCCGACCTGCTTGGACATGGTAGTCCACAAAGGCACGTGCCAATGCCTCATGCTTTGGAAGAGCTTTGGGAGGAGGGTAATTGTTGAAGTAGACGGATTCGGCCTCCGCAGGAGTCATATCTGCCGTCGGAGCGGACGACATGTCGGGTCCGGCTATTTCTCTTCGGACTCTGATTGACCAAGCACAAATTATCACCCAACAGTATTTATCAATGCCACTGCAAGGTGCGCGGGGGAGGAGTGAAAAGAGGATGCGCGCTTATTGTATGGATATAACAGATATATAGGAGAGAGTGTGTATCGGCGATCGGTGTCGAACGAGTGGAGGTTGGATTCAGGAATGCGATGTTCTAGGTCAATTATAGTGGTTAGTCTCCAGCTCCAACGGTGAAAAGCTGAAGCACTGCTCAAGCGTCATGCGGCGGCAATACCTACCTACCCCTTTACAAAGCAAAATCCTCAACGGAGGATATAATGTGGCATGGAAGGTAAATGGCCTGCTGATGAACGGAAGGGTCCTCAACATTCTGACAGCCGGGGAGGGGCAGTTCACCGCTTTCGGCATGACGCAGCTCCGGAGTTATTTCCTCGGCTCTTTTTTTTCTTTCCCTCTTCCCCAACGCCCCGATCAGATAACTGCTTATCAGTCAGATGCATACCTGTTGAGATTGCAAGACAGTGGTTATGGTACGGCAGTATCATCCACGTCCTCGGCTGACAGCAAAAAAACTGCCGACCATTTTATCTTGCTTGCTCATAATTCCCGAGCCCCCGCCAAGTTGTGCAAACCATTTCAATCGCCGAACCAGTTGTTCGGCAGCAGAAACCGTATGGAGAAATGTCCAGACTAGTGGAGACGACCTTGCATGGCTATATGTAGTTTGTGTGCCCGGGTTTTATGTTCTTAGCTGCTACTCTGGCTAACTCTGTAACGAACCATGGGGTCAGGTTCTGGCCTCCACTTACTCGAGATCTTGGTCTGCACCTTCCGGTCATCTAAGAACCCTTCTTGTGGGCCCAGCATGAGTGATATGGCGCAAAAGTCCAATCGAGATGCAGACTAAAATTAAAGAAAAATATTATTCAGAATACGACTCCTGCTTCAGACTCCGGCACACGGGAAGAAGGTTCCTCAAAAACCTCAAAGCTAACGTTTTCACACCAAGCCTAGACCTACCGCATACCACTGATCGAGAATCTTATCTGTTCCCCTCCATCGTCGTCATCAGTTTTAGATACAGCGTCCGTTACAACGGCTCGAGGTCTCGACCGTGGTAGAACGGGTTGCGATGGTCATACGTGGGGTGCCCGAAGTTAAAACCATGCGTGTTGTTTCACATCTGTGGAAGGCAGTCAAGAATTAGGGGCGCTGTACACTCCTACATACCTCTTATGGTAAAGATGCAGAGGCATGCCATGGTCTCTAGTTCATCCAATACGTTAGAATGATGCATAGCCCAGGGCTAGTGAGTGGGCTGCCGTTGTTCTTCTTCAAATCTAATAGATACGCGTAGCCTAGTATGAATATGGGACACAGAAATAAAATTGACACAACAGGTTCAGGCCTGCAAGCAACAGTATATGTATCTTCAAAAACCTCGCCTGTCAACGTACCCAAGCTTAATCCTTGCGAGGTCTGACTGCCTCTTGCGGAGCCGGAGCATCAATATGCGCAGCCCACTTGGTCAACGACACATCCGCCGCCGTGAAGCCAATATCGTACTTATCATTGCCTCCGAATAGCATAGTCATCGGGAAGCCTGGATCGAATGGAGCGGCCAGATCAATCTCTCGGATCTCCTCCCTGCTCAATTCGACCTTCAGTGCCTCAATATTGGCCTTGAGGTGCTCCACCTTCCGCTGTCCGACAATAGGGAAGACGTAGGGTTGCTTGTAGCGCAGATAAGCGAGAGCCTGAGTTCATCACAAACAAGTCAGTCAGTCAGGCCATCATGCGCGTTGCATACGATGGTAAGTCTTGGGAAAACAAATAGCAACTTACAATGGCATAAAGATTTGTGCCTTTCCTTCCAGCCACTTTTTCTAATACCTCCGAGATTTTCAAATCTGCCTCGGACGGCTGCGCACCCCGGTTAGATCCCTCATGCTGGGCCTTCTTCCTCGCCTCGGCCGTCCGGAACCTACCCTGACCGAGGGGCGCCCATGGGGCTACCGCCATACCCTGGTCTCTGCACATAGGAATGATCTCCCTCTCCATATCTCGAAATCCTGCATTCCACTTTCCTTGATAAACCGAGAAGGGCCGCAGACCGTGCGCCCGGGCGTATTCGTTGGCTTTCACGACGACCCAAGCTGGCGTGTCGGAGACACCGATATACAGGACCTTCCCGGCGGTAATCAGGGCGTTGAGTCCGATCATCACCTCCTCGACGCCGCTCGTGAAGTCCCACCAATGAACGTACAAAAGGTCGATATAGTCCGTCTGAAGCTTGCGGAGGCTTGCGTTGACCGAGACGCGCAAGGATTTGAGGGAATTGCCGACGTAGTTGGACTGCAGAGGCTCCTTGTCGAATTGTGCGGTGCGGAAGCCGGTAGTATACTTAGTTGCGATACTTTTCACATCAAGTTAGTACAGCAAGCATTTTTCTGCTTTCCGGGGCCTGACGGATTGGCGAGGCTGTTGCTATACTCACACCAACTGATCCCTGTTTCCACGTTGCTGCATCCAGTCTCCTATCCACTGCTCTGAATCCTCCTTTTGATAAGCATTCGCACTAGGGTTGGGGTCAGATAAATGTCTAAAGAAAATCGAAAATATGAATAGGGGAGCATACGTGTCGATGAAGTTGCCGCCTTCGTTAAAGAACACGTCCATAATAGCAAAAGCATCCTCCTTGCTACATTCTCCCATAAATTCCTTCCATCCTTCACCGAAGTTCATTGCTCCTAAACAGAGCGGTGAAACCTACACACCTCAGCTTTGGACTCGTGATAAAATCGATAGATATGAAGTACCTTGACACCAGCAGTTGGTGAGAGCACCTGGTGGTAGCCGAGTAGGCTCTTAGGCTTAGGAGCAACCGGAGCAAATGACATATTGAGAATGGAGTATCCAAATCGGATCAATCTGATCAATTGTGTTCAGAGAGAAGGTTTTTCAAACTAGGAATTGTTGGACCGGGAATCTGTGAGCCTTCAGGCTGCATATATACTGTTCTACTCATGTTTTGAAGCACTGCAGCGAGGCGGTCTTATCCTGACATGACGCAAGGTCTGTGGAGCCTAGTTTGAGTTATCGCCGAGCTTAAGTCCTATTTCCCAAAGACATGATCGTATTACCTCTTCCGGTTGGGACTGGCCTGTACTCCGGTTGAAGCCGGAAAGTGACTAGGCGACTCCAGGCATATACCTTGCGTAATTCATGATCATAGAAAGCTAACTGGCAATTAGACTGCTGACAGGGTTCTTGCTTCTGTCAGCAGTGAGCCTGTCAGCAGCGCTGGTGGTGCTGATTTTAACTCCGCACGATAGTGGTTGGAGCCGAAGCTAGTCTAAAACTGGAAATAATGGATAAGCACTGGTGGGCACCTCGGCAGCTGCAGTGATTACTCAGACCGGAGATAGCGAATCTTTTCCTAGGTATTTCGCAGAGGTTTTATGACTTCAATTCAGGCCAAGGTGACAATCTTGGCAATGTTCAAGGGTTAGCTCCGTTTCCCTCAGTCAACCAGTTCATGGCAAATCTTTCTGCGTGCGACATGGGCGACCATGTCTCCGTTGTTTTGCACCGGGGGGATTAAAGTCGAACCTATCGAACGCCTGGCACTAGTGCTGATCATGCGGTAGTAGGCATGATGGTCTGGAGCACCAGTATCTTCCATAGAATTCATAATCGGTACCACACCCCAAACCTGCGAGTAGCAGGTTGACAAGGCCTTGCAGGTAGCTCGAAATATCCAAAGTGCTGTTCACAAAGACATGACACCACTTCAATAGTTGAGAAGGAGGATTTGCTGGATGTTTGATTCCACTTGCAGATGGTTCTCACTGCAAATGTTAGTTGCCTGCACTGATCAAGCGGATGATTAACGGCTTTATGACGGCGATTCTTTTCGATAATATCGAACCTTCCTGTCTTCGCATCCAGCCATGAGCTTCGCCTCAGTGAGAGATATCGTCGGTCACTCACAGGATCAGCTCTACCAACAAACCCAGCTTCAAAATGAGATTATCTGATATCCCAGGGATACGACTGTATCTCTTGTTCACGGGTGGCGGTCAAGAACAGAACCGGGGCAATCTCATCATACTAGCCATAATTGCTCAGAAGGACCGATCTGACTTATCTTGACAGACCTTGAGCACGTCCTTGTAAGTCGGAATGCTCGCAACGTAGGAGAATCGCAACTCTCTGGCGTAAATCGCGTCTGAATCAACGTTGATGGTCACCCCCTGGCTCACAGTAGCACCCGAGAGATCCATGGCTACTATTATGAGAAATTGGGCATATGCGTCCCATAAAACTAGTGTAATACGTACGCCGTAGGCAGGCTCATGTTAGCGCCGGTGGAGGCCAAGGTTAGCAAGATCAAGAATGTATAGAATTTATGGTTGCAATTTATGAGGTGAAAAAAAAAGGGGGGGGGGGGGGGCGCGCTGCTGCGAAAAGATGTGGAATTCAATGTAAAACGCCCGGGGAGAATTTCGAAAGCGTCGTGATCAGAGATGGGTGGTGTGAGACAGAGGGATGACGATTTGGGAGATTTGGGAAGTACGATAGAATTGGAGAAGAGAGGAAGAGGGAATGAGGCCAATGCTATCACCCCTCGTCACTACGAGGAAAGACCTGCGCATTCTCATGTAGAGATTCTGATATAGATTGACTTGATAGGATCATGAGGCGACGACATGAGATTTTTTTTTGCACATGTGCCAAGTAGTATGAAGGAAATGACAGCTGTCAAAAGGTTCTGGGCAGAGCTGTCGCAGTAGATGGGAGGTCTGGAATTGAGTATACTTGAATACGTGCAATATATGGCATTCGCTTGTAATCCCTGGTTCACAGCATGATTCAAGGGTCTCAGGGAGAAAAGATCTGGATACATCCAACAATATTAATAAGACCCTTGCTTGGTTGAGCTATCTGGTTCAAATGGAGGCAAAATGTGAACCATCACCAAAAAGAAAAAAGAACAGAGTCCTAGGTCAAGGCAGGTATCGACTTCGTAAGGCCTGACTGATGGTGCTCATGCGACTTGCCATTCCTCCATGCTGCATATTACTCATCAAAGCCTCTTCGAGCGCCGACTGAGTGACGCTTGCATCTGCAGATGGGTAAGTATCAGCATGCACCGGCAATACATGACGAGCAGAACCTACCATCTAAGTCACTGAAGCTGCTCCCCATGCTGGGCGTCCCATCGCTAGTTTCTCGGCCAGCTGATGCAATAGATCGTCGCGGACTGAGATGAGCTAACTCGGCGGTGCGACGAGGACTCAGGGGGCCACCGCTTTGATGCAAATGTCGTCGACGATCAGTAGATGCAAGGGCCACTGGAGCCCCGGAGCTGACAGAACTCGTTGATGATTCCGTTGTGGGGGCTCTCTTGGGTACATGATGCTGTTCTGTAGGGCGTCGCTTAGAGGCCGCAGATTCTTCCTCGTTCAACCGTAACGTAGCGTTAAGATCCTGGCCTGAGGGGTGAGTGCGCACAAGCGCTGGGCCTGAGGATAGGGGGAGGAAGGCGGGCGAGTCATCATCGTCTTCCTCTTCATCTCTCAAGCCAGGCTTATGCGTGGAGAACTTGCCGAATGGTCTGAATCTAAGTCCCCGTCGACTTGCCATTCGCTCGTCATCGTCGGACTCAAACTCAGACGAAGTAGATGTCAGATCTTCCTCTTCAAGAGTCGGTGACTTTTGAAGAGGAGGGTCTCTTCGGCTTACCGATGGCCGTGGAGCATGTATATCTCGGCCTGGCTCTTTTGGCTCGGAAACAGGTGGCTCGTTGCGCGATGGTTCCCGGGTGGGTTTCAGTTGGCTGATGGTTGTCGTCGAGCTTGTACGTCTGGGAATGGGAGCTTCTTTACTTTAGCACCAGCCTTCCTTTGAAAGAAGACATTTAAGCTGTGGCGTAAGCTGTGGCGCTTACCTCGTTGCGGCAATGATTCTTTCTGCTGCGAGGCCAGGCGACTTGGAGCTCTTGGGGCTTTAAAGCTGTTAGAAAATGAAAGCAACGCAGTTCAAGAAGAGGATCATACCATTGTTTGTGGGCCCTTTGGCTTGACCAAGGGCAGTGCTGCCGGCTATCGAGCCAGGGGCGGGAGAAGTAGATGTCGATTGTGTGGTCGGTACCTTGCGCATTTGCGCCCGTACTTGCGATAGCTGGCGGTCGTAAAGCCATGCTGCCTGCTGAAGTAAGAACTGAAGTGTCACTTCGAAGTGGTCTGCTCTATAAGCCGAGAAGAATGAGTATGTGCGTATGACATGGGTGGGTTGTGTCAATACAATGCTTTCCCTGGGGTCGTTAGCCGTTATCGCATGGAATGAACGCTTTATAAGTGGACCTACAATCTAGATCATCGCCTTTGGAGGGGCGCGAAAGAATATCCCATAGAGCCTGATCTTTAGCTGCATTCCATTCCATCTGCCAAAATTAATGTTTACTCCATGGTTTCTCGGTAAGTCTAAATGCGTACCGGTGGAGGATCCACAAAGTCCCCCCTGGGGCATGGTAGGCGGATAAAGACGGTGAACTTGGTGTCCCCGGTGTGAATCAAGGAGGTCATGCTGGTGGCCACAGGAAATCTCGTCCGTCTATTGCGCTTGAAGTACTGGACCCAGGCGAGCAGCTAAAAGTATTTTGCAATATGCTAACAGGTAGATTAGCCCACTGCTATTGAGAGTGTAATGGAAGATAAGCTTCGTTCGTGGTGATGGTGATGAAAGCGGTGGAGCGACGGATGCGCGCCGCACGGAAGTTGTTGGGTTGGTGGCAGTGCACCATCTAAGCGGCGGTGCAGCTACGCTAATGGCACTATAAGGCAGCAAGGCTCCTACCATGACCCCCTGACCACAATCACACCACCTTGCGATTTTTGATTTTCGGTGTCCGAATAATAGATCTCAAATTCCAGCGTCACTCGCACTGGTATATCCTACTATCTGTTAAAGCTTCATCTTGTTTGCCCTTAGACAAACATAAGTTCCAGGAAGTTGATGAAAATATGTGGCTTCATTGACGGTAATCAAATGCATCATAACTTGGATGGACCGCGGGGATTCCTCTTGAATGCTGAATTGCAGAACACTGAAGCACCCTGACCGTGTCTCGAGCCAACCTCGAGCCAACTTACAGGGCTCAGTATGGTCGTTGCCATTCTTTAGATTGGACAGACGGGACATAGTAACAGCCAATGCAACAAAGGGGCACAACATGTAACAACGAGTCATGGTATTGTGCCCCCGGAAAGTGTGCATGATTTGGTCTGTGCTTGCACTCTACTCGATACAAACTTGCTGCTCTAGACAATTGCTAATCGCTATCATTTGCTTTGAGTAAGCATTGGACTTCTTATGCGATACCACCGTCATTAACCTCATCTCGATAGAGTACTCCGATCGATCATAGAGGTCGGAGTAAAGAGTAAATGATGATGTCAGTTTACAAGGGAGCAAGACGAGGTCATTGCCCTGATGAATGGGCATTATTTTTATTTCAACAATGGATACTGTACATCGGATGATCGTTACTCTATCCTCCGCAAATTGAGGTGCTTAGCACTGATTACGTTCCTACGTTCAACCTCTTCTCTCAACTATTAGACTGGCAGAGGACTCAGCACCCATAGAACTTCTGAGGCCTTGTCGACAGACAATAGTCGAGTTCTCAAGATCGATCAACTCTATTCTGTTGCTCGAGCTGCAATATAGTCTGTACCGTCTGTAGATGTATGTTGATTTTTCTACCGAAAATTCGGGCTCGACTGATGCACCTGAACAACTAATGCTAAATAGCACTTTGACCACAGACGTGCAGTGCCATGCATGGTGCAACCGGTGATATCTACCCTCCTGAACAGACAAAACATCCAAGCACATCTCGTAAGCCTACGACAGGGCCTGCAAGAAATGGTTGGAGAATTCTTATTCCCAGGGCAGGCTCTTATCCACCGTAGCAGGATTACAGATGACATGCATGATGTCGGTGATTATTCATTTTCAGCCGGCTTCTCAGAGACACCGGGATAAGCTCACTAGTTTCGACGCAATCGTGATCTACTCCACCCGTGGCGGATCTCCAAGTGTGGTGTATGCGATCAGGTCCACCGTTGGGAGGCCCGTATGCATAAACATGAATCAATGATTGTCATTGTGCTTATAAATTAGCGATTAGGATATAGATTATTAGCTAAACGGGAAAGTTATATGAACGCCATGAATTTCGATCTGGTCCCAGATCGTCATCCCGATCGGAGCGCGGAAGATTGAAAACCTGGATCTCTCGGCTAATCTGCCAACTCCAAGCTAGCATAGCACAGGCTGACGTACTCGGTTGTGGGACCTCACGCCATATAGCTCTGGACAATATGACCGCTGATCGCAAGCTCAGGTAACTGTCAAACCGGCCCGTGTTCGGTGGGCTATTTCGCCTTGGTGACAAAGGAGTGTGTGACGAGGCTGATATAGATGATCGGAGAATCATTTGGAATCCGCGATTTTGTTGAAGAGTCCCTAAGAAGAGCGTAGTCCGCTGTGCTCTCCTCTGTTTTAGCTGAGAGTGAAAAGCGACGACAGAGGCTTTCTGTTGGGGATGATCTCGGACTGCCATTCCAGGAGAAGCTGTACGTGTAACTTAACACAACATTGCGCAGAATGGCATTTCTGCTGTACTGTATGTTGCCGCTACTCCTGTGATATATGTGGTCGAGGCGAGGGAGCTCAAACTTAGCACGCTTGTTGCAGAGCTTTGGCCAAGGACATTTCCTCGCTCATCAAATCCAGAGGGTGTCGGTGGCCCTTAAACTAGGCCCAGCGTCAGTCATCAACTATGATTCTGTGCCGGAAAGCAGGGATAGAAAGTTGGTTATAAGGCAGAACCGATCAATTTTTCTGGATGATTATCTCCGTAGTCTTCCGAATGTAGTGGTCGTCCTGCCCATCCGACTGAGACCATTCTCTGTTCTTACTCTCCTGAGATGATCCAGCCGATTTTGTCGCGACGCTGCGGTCCATCCCGCCCAGTTCAATAATATTCTCCTCGCTTTCCGAGGGCGATATTATATCAGTCCGCGCGGTACGGGGCTCGTAGACGCCGGCAAAATGTCGGCTGGAGCGCGTGCCGTTGCCGGTTTTGAGCCGGGTAGTATTTGTATGAGGATCTGTCTCGTATCTAGGGTCGTTGTATCTGCCCTGGCCGGCATAGTTGCTTGACTTGAGGAATGAGAGTGTCGACCTCGCAAGGGACCACACAAATGGTAAATTTGTGACGTACATGCCGATTGAAGCCTCCCTTAGGTACCAGAACTGGTAGCTGTCATCGTAGATATTCTTGAAAGTAAAGAACTTGGAGGTAATGGCACATGCAATCTGGACATGCGTCACATAATCAGTCAAGTGTTCATACGCGATACAGCATCGAGGCTAGACATACCACCACGATGCCCATTGAGAAAACAACAATAACCGGTAGCTTGGTTTTCCATGCCATTTGGGCACGAGCAAACATTGGCAGCATGACGCAAAGGATGGCAACGTCAGAGCTCAAGTTAAAGACGAATTGCACGACCTCGTAGCGAAAGTAGGTTGAGCATTCTTCGTGAGGAGGGGGGAGCGTCCAGTAACCGGATAAGGGCCGACAGTTGAGGAAGAGAACCAGCTCCGTAATGATCCATCCACACAACGTATAGATAGCACATATAGCCACCACTCGATTCTGCCAGAGATTTGTTCTAGGGAATATTTCGTAAGGGACGCATTCCTGCTTTTCCAACAGAGGGAATTTGGGCTCACGTGAGTCGAAAGTAGACCATCAGCATACATGCCTTGAGTAGATAGATCGTGCAGAGCTGGCACTGCGTCATGACTGGGTTAGAGTTCTTTTCACCAGTTGTATTCTCAATGATAGACTATGGCAGCTCACATTCTCTGAGGCAAACTCTATCTTGGACCCTTTGACCCTGGAGGCAATCTCTCCGGCAGTGAACGAGTCGTATTGTCCAGGCTTGTAAAGATTGCTTCCGCCTCCTTCCGCGATTTTGATGTTTGTTACCACGAATGCGGTATAGAATACCTGGTAGGTGCAAATAAGTTAGCCTTGGGCTGTGGAGTGCAAAACGCTGCAGGTAGACATGCCATAGCCACCACCATCAGATAATCTTCGAGCTGAAATACCCAGCGCATTCTAAGCCAGCGCCCATATCTGAAGAGAACCGTTAACAACTTGAAGAACCGACTGGGTTGCAATTACCTACAATCGCACAAAAAACAGCAGCATGGCAACGCTGTACATTATCCAGGTGGTAACCACCAAGTCGTGCGGAGAGCCACCGCCATCACTGGCCATTGTTGCCTCCGTCAATTGGGACTGAGAAGCCCAAAAAGCATGTCGGATTCTTTGTACGTAAGGAGTGTTGGTATCTTCTTATGAAAAAGGGAGACAAAGGTGGAACGAGTCTGGGGACTCCGATGTGCTTCACTGCTTACAGAAGCAAGTACGACCCACTCGCACAGAAAGGAATTAGCTGGCCGCTACGGCTTCAGTCTAAATAACAATCCTTCGTCCTTCATCCTAGCAAAATGCTTTGTAGCTACCCTCCGTTCCGTCGGCGGCCATCAACGGCACGGCTTGCTACGGCCGAGGTGGCTGCAAATTAGTACCGTTTGACACCTTAGTCAAGTGCGAATTAGAACATGATTTGTTGGTTGACTCAGGCACATACATGCAGGCGCGGAGTTTGGCTGCTAAGCTGTCGGCATCCCTGCATAATTGAAATAAATTTTTCACAAAAACCGTTTTCTAAAATCGCGCATCAGACACACTTCTAAAGGATCTCCCAATCGTCGACACTACATGCTGCTACGCACATCTCACTTATTTCAGGTTGCTCGAAACATGAGAAACCTCGACTTAGGGTCCTGGACAAAATAATAGTCATGATTGTGTGACGAAAAGGGTCGGATTTCTCCGTACCTAGGCCCCAGAATACATCGAGTCCAATGTTCCACTAGACTGGCTATGTCAGGAAACGCATCGCGATGATTTGATTATTTCTTAGGAGCAACAGCATGAGTCGGAATCATTTCCATTATCATCTCTTCCTCCGGACTGCAATGCTGATAGGTGTGTTTGGGTGGGTTGCATAGTGGGCAGTTTTCCATTTTGCTTTGTACCGGCACCCGCATTCAAAGTCGGACATGGCGAAACTCACATCCAACCATTTCATTGGAGAATTTCATATGTGCATGGAATAAATGCGTGTTCTCCCCTCCATAGAAATGTGGAGCGGTAATCATAAGACTCATATGTAGCCGGCTGAATTCTCAAGTAGCAAGAAGCTGATTGGAATATTTTGAAGGTCTGTCTTTTAGGGGCCCGCATAGGTCGAAAGCTGCAGCTGCAGCCTGCGATACCACCATCACTAGATTAGTTCTCCATCATGTATTTGCACGGTAACTCCGACACTATTGCGAGGACAGGTCGAGGGATAGGGAGAACGAGGGGCTGGCATGGAAAGATGGAAAGACTAGACCGGACGGAAGGGCGGGTAAACCTCCGGTCAGCGGGGCACGTGCTCCACTCCACTCTATTGTCTCGTCAACAGAAAATAGTCAGCTGGGTAAGAAGATAAGAAGCTTTGATCGCAGCCAGTAGACCCAGACTAGCCAGGCAATAGTGTCCGGACGAGATGCCGTGCTATGCTAGAGTAACATTGGTAAATTGAAGCACTTGGCACCAGCAGCAAGTGCTTGGACTCGGAATAGGCTGAAAATTAGCGGCCGGTTGGCCTACCTAGTGCCCACCTTGGCCTTAGCGTCTCTCATCGCCTTAGAACTAATTCAATCCTGCAGCAGGGCCAAATCAAGCTACCCCTGTCCGACCAGAACTTACATTATGTCGAAAACTCTCGATGCAGGGGTACCCTAAGTAAAGGTTAGACAGGTACAAACAGGTCCAGCAAATGCAGAAGGTTAAAATCTTCAAAGGGGTTGATGTTTGATGTCGTTCCATGGGTCAGCAACGGAAGGCACAGAATTTTAGCTTGAACGGCTAAGCATTGCTAAGCCGCCTTAAGCATTGAGTGGCGGCTTGTCCCGGACTCCCGGCCGACAAAAAGTCGCCAGGCGAAAAAAGCTAGCAGAGAAAATCCAGTCTGCCAAGATGATAATAAATCAATCATGGATCCAGACTTAACCGGCTGACCATGACATGACATAGGGAGTCCGTGTCCGTTGTTATCTGACTTGAGTGTCTTTACCCGCCTAGCTCTATAAGCAGGGTATCATATCTTTCCCACCTGTACTTTGCTTCTTTTTACCCCTCTTCTTATTCTCCCACCATGCAAGCTGAACAAGCTTATCCTTCCACGTGAACTTCTTATCCATCTTTGCTTTTCTCGAGTGTCGGCGCGCTCATTCTTCTCGCGACGAGATACAATCGGCTTCCACCAATACCAGGCCCGATTAGCTGACCGAGCATGGCCGTCTCCATGCAAGATGAAGAAAAGGGCATGAGAGCTCAGGGACCGCTCTCGACTTCCTCTGATCTCATTAAGAGTCCATCTTCCTCCTCCCCGGTTTCACAAAGTGGCAATCCATTTTCAAGATTTATTCTCTCCGTGCTTGAAACTCGAGGTCATGACCGTATACCGGAATCTGAACGGCTCAAGTGCGTAACGGCCATAGACTACTTCCGCATGGGTGTTCTGTGGTTCAGCACAAGCATTACAGCCAACAATGTCGCCGTCGGTATGTACGGTCCATTAGGCTATAACCTTAGCTTTGTGGACTCGGCCCTCTGTGCCACATTTGGCGCTTTCTTGGGGGCTGCTGGGGTTGCATTTATGTCTATTTTTGGACCTGCGAGTGGAAATCGCACGATGGTGGGTAATGCAAAATCAGATTTGTGAATTCTCTAACATATGGCGCTATAGGTCGTTGCGAGATATTTCATGGGCTATTATCCCAGCAAGATTGCCTGTCTGCTGAATATCATTATTATGCTTGGTTATGGGATGATAGACTGCTTAGTCGGTGGCCAAATTGTAAGTCCGCCCTGTTTGTCCACACAATGCTCAAGGCCATGTCTAATAGGTCATGATTGACTTCAAGTTGTCTGCGGTGGCTGATGGGAATATGACCGTTGTTGTCGGTATTATCATCGTCGCTATTATCACCTGGTTGGTCGTCGTCTTTGGTATGAAATTTTTCCACGCCTACGAAGGGTAAGCCTATATGCCGCTGAAGTTCCACATATCATGAAGGTATACTAAGAATCATAGATGGGCGTGGGCTCCTCAACTGGTCGCCATGTTCGTTCTCGTGGGCTGTGCAGGTCCTAAGTTCGACACTTCCATCGTATCCAGCGGCAACACCGAGACGTTGAACGGGGATCGCCTGACATTCTTCTCTCTATGCCTCTCTAGCTCCGTTGCTTGGGCTCCTGCTGGTGCTGATTTTTTCGTCTACTTCCCGCCAACCACGTCCAAGTGGAAAACCTTTGTGTCTGTCTTGTTCGGCCTCGGACTGTCCCTGACATTTGCCAACCTAATGGGTGTGGGGCTGGCCTCAGGCACCATTACGAACCCTAAATGGGCTGAGGCGTACGATACCTCTTCCGGTGCTCTTATCGTGGCCGGTTTTGATGGCCTCGGCGGATTCGGCAAGTTTATGGGTGTTATTATCGCCTTGGGATTAATCTCCAACAACATCCCTGGGACCTATTCCGCCACCCTCGGCTTCCAAATCATGGGACGTCATCTCGCCCGTCTTCCTCGCTGGTCCCTGGCCTGCGTAAGCACAATCATATATACCGCCTGTGCGCTAGGAGGACGAAACCATCTTTACGATATCTTTGAGAACTTTCTTGCCCTCATGGGCTATTGGGTCACCATTTACCTGACTATTGCCCTCGAAGAACTCTTGATCTTCCGCCGCACGCGCGGCTTCGACTGGGATGCTTGGGCAGATCGGTCTAAGCTGCCCCTCGGCATCGCGGCTCTGGCAACGTTCCTCATTGGTTGGGCCGGAGCGATCGTTTGCATGGACCAAGTCTGGTACATTGGTCCTATTGCCAAAATGGTTGGCTCAGATGGAGCCGATCTTGGAATCTGGGTCGGGTGCTCGTGGGCCATGCTAGTGTACCCCCCGTTGCGGTACTTCGAGTTGAAGAAATTCAACCGATGAGGTCTGTTGTACTGCTGTTACAAAATTTTGGGGCTGGGAATGACGATATATGTTTTACATGTCTCTGATGTACAGCTACGCGTTACTTTCGAGATGACAACGTAATGTGAAGAAGGGAATATTTTGAATATGTTGTAATTACTGGAAAGGCAATCCAAGTATTCAGTGCTCTGCCCTTCCGTCAGGTCACAAGTGCATAGATCCATAGCCCAGGGTACTCTATTAGCGATAAATACTCACATAGTCTACTTCTATGATGCTGCTGCTGTTTGCTCCTCTCCCGGGGTGGAAGCACTGATACTCAGTAGCTGCCGTGTTTCGAACAAATCACGAACTTATAGCTACCCCTAGGAGGCTGTAAACTAAGATAGGCTACCTACCGAGGTAGGAGGCAAATGCAGGCATCTGTTGTTGTTTTTTGGGATGCCTATAAAGAACTACCAGCGCCCTAGCTGGAAGCTAAAGGGAGTAATTCAAACGGAGTATGCATTACAGCCTTACGAGTAGTATGCAGCTGCGGACTTATTGCTAGGTTGGGTTAAAGCCTAGAGAGAATGAATAGATGCACGTTAACAGCTGTGTACCTAGCTGCAGAGCAACCAACCCTCCAGCCTCTCGATTATACTTCTGACAGTTGCAAGGATGTAAAGATTAATCGATTAGTTAGGAATCATGTCCAACAAACTCACCATTAAGGTACAAGATTAGTTAGCACGCTGCCTCCTCCACGTCACGAATACCACATAGTACTTCTCCTCAGTCTGCGTATCGAAATCCTGTTGCTTCTTCTGACTCTCCTTCTGCTCCGTCTGTTTGCTGCCCTCGCCTTCTTGTCCGGACTTCACAGCATCAGTCTTGAACTCCTTCTCCGCATCAAATGGAATCAACCGCGGAGGCGGCTTGACCGCTTGGCTAGCATTACCCCCTTGCCCATCCTGGTCCTCAACTCCCATAACGACATCTCTCAAGATGTCCTCCTTCGCCCCGATCCAGGTATACGCCTTCCTCGACCCTTCGTCCGCCACCAGAAACACCTTCTCTCTCTCACTCAAGACCAACGGGAACCTCCAACGGAGCGCCATCTGCACAATCGCATCCAGCTGATCCCTCTTCCGCATGACGGTCTCAAATTCAATCACAAACTCCTCCAAGCTGGGTAGCCGCTTGAACTGATTCCCCCACACCCGCTCCTCCTCCCAAGGGGTCAGTGGCCGCCTCACTTCGCCCATTTCATCCGCCCTCGTCCTACCCGTACGAAACGGATCGATTCCCAGCGGCTCATTATCCTCCCAGAACCACCAATCCGTATGCCGGAGCGTGAGGGTCATCTTCTTGGGCGAGAGGACCCCATCGCTCGAATCCTCCTCCGGTTCCTGGCTATCCTTCACGCCTGCCTCACGCCGTTTAGCCTCGCGCTTCTCCTGATCACCCGCCTCATCGGCATTGGCTTCGAGCTTCCGCTTCCCCTTCCTCATCTGCAACTGCCAGGCCTCATTGGTCGCCCACATGTTCGCCCAGGAGGAATCTTCGAGGAAGAACTGCTGGGTGAAGAAATGCAGCTCCTGTACAGCGGACCGCTGCTTGGGCGTCATGCGCGCGAAGTAGTCAGCTGGGGAGGAGGGGTTCTTGACGTGCGGTGGCGGGCGGTAGCACCAGAACGTGTGGTGATTTATGGCCGGTGGGAGGAGCGAGGCTTCGTTGTAGATCTGTTGGCATGTTTGCAGGAGCGAGGTGGAGATGCGCTTGGGAGATTTGAAGCCCGGGCGGTAATAGAGGGCTTGTTGGGCGTAGCTGGAAGCGGTAGCGGTGGTGGTGGTGGAGCTGGGGTCGTCGGGCGACGAGGAGGATTCGAGCGTATATGCGTAAATTGTATTCCGGATCTCGGCAGGAATGTGCGTGAACAAAGGGCAGGTGGCTTGAGGGATTAGGGGGAGAGAAGGTGTGAGGTCTTGAGGAACCGTGTAGGCGGGGATGGGACGGGGGCCGCAGCGGGGATTTCCGCGACGGCGGCGCGGTCGTCGTTGAGCGGGTGGGAAACTGTTCATTTGTGAGGAAATGGTGGCTGAAGGATAAACACTGTGATTAAGTGTTGGGATATATTGGTTGAAATGATAAAAGGATGGGAAGGACAATGTGAAGTGCTTTTAGAACCAAGCTTCGATGTTTCCAGACGGGTCCTTATATACCCCGCAATTCAAGGTTCAGGGTGTATTGCTTGTCCAGGTTGCCGTCTTACAGGCGGTTTCTGCCTGGCTGGACTTAGACTTAGTTAGAGCTCGGGCGGGTGACTCATGCCATAATACCCGGTTTCGCTCGTGAATTGAGTATATCTGAGGAGTTGAAGCTATTATATAGTTCTCATAGTGTTGACTGTGTAAGTCTTTCGTAGACGATCATCGCGATGCAGCATCGGACAATAAACGTAAACCTTACCTTGATCCGCTCTGACAGGAAGGGAAAGTGATAATATAAGCATAGATCAGTACGCTGAACCAACGCAATCTGCTTCTCAGCCCTGGATACTGCGTAGAATAACACTTCCGGGCATTTGGATTACTCCTAGCTGACTTGGCAAAGGGACAACCTACAGACAATTTCAGAGAGAAAAGCAGACTATGTAACGATCTTAAGACTAGACCAGGTCTTCCCCCCCATGAGTTAACATGATGAAGGTGCCCACCCACAGTGCAGTGCAGTGTTAATCGTAGGTTTATGGCAGATCAAAGGATTGCCGCCTTGGCTAGGTAGAGTAGGCCCGGCGGAGACTGCGGGTTCCCTTTCGGGCATTTGCCAGGTTCCTCAGCTCAGCTCCTCTCCAGGCTCAACTTCGGCTCGGGAGTTCGGCGTCTTCTTCCTCGTTCCCTCTCATTAAAGCACATTTCTACCTTTGGATTCAAGACGAAGGCATCCCTTGAATAGTGGTTATTTCTTCCCATTCTCATCAATCATCCGTGTTTCATCCTTGTCCCAGTTGTTCGTCTTAGTACTAGCCTCGGTAGACAGATGCATTTTTCGATGGCGTCATCGGCCCCCAAGTGGGCCGTCAGCTATACGGCACAGACCGACAGAACCAACTACCGACTTATTTACTTATATGTGACTATCGATGGTGCCTGTTGATGCAATTCGAACCAAAGTTCTGGCGTCCTCTTGGCAGATATAACCCGTGTCATTGCTCAAATCAAGCCCTTGATTTGCATGTGTGCGCTGACCCGACCTACCGCACGACATGTTCTTCCTCACCTACCTCTACTACAAACTCCTTGCTGTCTTCTTTCGAAGATATTTTACACGAACGCTGCCCGATGCCAAACCTGATGAGGTCCTTCATGTCAAGTCGCGCGACGCTGGACGAACGATCAAGGTGCACGTGTACTACCAAAAAACAAATCCCGCTTCGAAGCCTACGCCAGTGTTGGTGAATTTTCACGGCAGTGGCTTCATCTTTCCGCGCCATGGTGCCGACGACGAGTTCTGTCGCAAGATGAGCCAGGAGACAGGCCGGACCGTCCTCGATGTGCAGTATCGCCTCGCTCCCGAGCATCCCTTCCCTGCCGCGCTCAATGATGCCGAGGATGCCGTCCGATGGGTACTCAACCAGCCGCACAAGTTCGACCAGCGAATTTCAATATCTGGCTTTAGCGCTGGTGGTAATTTTGCGCTAGCATTGACAAATCTGTTCCCTGCAGAGACGTTTCACTCTCTAATCGCCATATATCCAGTTGTTGACATTCATACGGCACCCGAGTTGAAGGTGGCACCGGAGCCTGGGAAGGCGATCCCACTCTTCATGTCGAGGTTTTTCGATGCATGTTACGTGCCCACTGGATATGATAAAAGAGACCCTAGGATATCACCATTTTATGCCAGCACTGACCGCTTTCCTAAGCGAGTGATGATTGTGAGCGCATCACGTGACTCGCTGGCGGTCGAGGCGGAGACACTGGCGAGAAAGATCGCAAAGGAGCCCGGAATAGATCGTGAAGTGGTGCAAGCGCGAATGCAAGGCTGCGAACACGGATTTGACAAGCGGGCAATCCCGGGGACAATACAATGGGATGCCCGCGAAAAGACCTATGCAATGGCTGCGGCCATGCTGTTGCGCTAGATACAGGCCGGAAGTCGCTGGGATTGGAGGCTACAGTTCCACATAGCAGGTTGTCCAAAACGAGACCTGAGTACCAGTATCTTGATAATTGCATGCTTCGATTAATCTATCGATTTCAGATTGAGTGTGATTATGCAGGTCAATCTCCATCGATATGCGGTGAGGATCTCTGCGATCACCGAGTAAGACATCGTGCCATCACACCATCCACCCCTCCTGCCTAGACAAGCACTAGGCGGAGCTCGAGAAGCTCTCTGGAACCCGTTGGTCTGGGATGATCACGACACTATGTCTCCCCCTGTAAGAGTCTAGTACTGTCCTGGATAGGCGTCCCAAACATCGATGACAACGAGGTTGACAGATCTGGAGCAGTGGAGCCGAGTAGTCAGGTGGTGTGCAGGACGGTAGAAGGGTGCAGCGGGGGGTGCCTGACTTTTTTTCCATGGTCCCAATTCGAAACCACGGCTCTGGGAGCGCCAACGGGTGGCTCCTGGCCTAGTCTACCCTATGCCCTACCCTCTCGCCCAATCCGGGCGGCTGTTTTATCCATCAATGAATGAAATGATTGCGAACGAGTCAGCAACTGAGTTGAAGCAACCATGGGCGGATGACGGGTAAAATTAGAGAGTGTGCCTTGAATTCTGCAATCAACATTCAACAACAATGGGCATTCAGCATGGCTAGGGTTCCGTCAGTCAGTCAAGTCAGTCCCGATCTTCCCGAGAGATGTGGGTGTGATTGCGATGACAGCCTTCTCTTTTCCCCGGGTATCATCATGGATTTCTTCTTGTCTGCCACCTTTTCTTGCAGATGATTTCACACTTATGATGCCTTTCCCCTTTGCTGGGAGAAGGGGAATAACCGACCGACCTATGGCCGGCGAGAGCAGGAGTGATGGTCAGGCGGGTCGTGGGTCGGAATCAAAATTATACCAAAAGAACTCGAGCCCAATGAATCAGGTTCTGACTTCTCCGTAGGTCTGCGCGGGCACCTGGCACTGTTGGCCCGCACAAGCAGGACTATTCTGCGCTTTTATTAGCCCATTTCCAGTCTCCTATTTTGTTTTTCTCCTGTCTCCTCCCATCCGGTTGTCTTGTCTTGTCTTGTCTTGTCTTGTCTTGCCTTAAGACGTATTCGCCCCTCTCCGCAAGTCGGATGCTGCTCGGATGCTGCTCCTGAGCGCGTCTCCATCTCGTCCACCGTGCGTGCTTCTAGTAGTGCCGTGGACGAGTGTCTTAGCGTCTGGCGACTCGTGTCCCTGAAACTTCCGTCCCCTTATTGTCTCTTATCGGCATTGTTTAATCTTTCTATATATCGTTCTTTTACCCCTCACACACCCTCTAACCTGTTTCCGTCCCCTTTTCGTGAATTTGCTCCCACAAAGCAAAAGCTCCATGGGCGACTTGGGAACAAGCCCCTCTGCAATTGCATCATGGATTACGCCGAAATCGATGAGTCCGAGTACCGCCGGCAGGTCCTCTTATTACCATCTGAGGAAGCCGAAATAGCGCGTCAGCAAGAATTACTCGATGAGGCCCGCCGCCTGAACGTGCCAGGCGTCGAGCTGGTCGCATCGTTGACTGCATCTATGGATCTCTCCTCTTTCTCACCCATCAACTCGTCCACTCGATCTTCCACCGAGCCCGAGCGCAACTCCGGATACGATATCACACCGTCCCACGAGGGCCCCTCAATCGATGTCCTCGGTTCGTCTCTCTCCGAATTTACTGTGTCCTCCGAACCCATTCACGGTGGTAGTGTTCGCTCGATCGCCTCACTGTCTACCCGACCGACATCTTATAGCTCATGTGAGGGAGTCTCGAGACTGATCCCGGGGATAGATACAAATCTGCTGGCGGGGGCGCCGGGCAACCGTCATTCAATGATCAGCATGATCCCAAGTCATAAGAAGGAGAGACGGAAATCAACACTGAAGTCGGCTATGGAAAAGATTCATTTTCGCAGGAAACGGTCGCCGTCTGGAGTGCTGCTCCCCCCAGCGGCGCAGACGCAGATCGCCATCGCCAAAGGTGACAAAGGCATCGAGCAGGTACTGGTGGACGCGCAGCAGTCGGGGTCTCGGAAATCTAGATCATCGGGCGACGGGAATGGAATGCTGCGGATTGAGATTCCCGCATTCGATCAGGAGGCCCTACAACGAAGCCAGTCCGATATGCAGTTGCGTCAAATGCGCGAGCGTCACGTGATGGAACTCAACCGACATAAGATTTTCCAGGCTAATTTTATGCTGCGCCTCCGCCAAACTCAGCAGTCGGTCGTAGCCGACCGGCTCGCAGTGAATAAGAGCCTTGAAGCCGAGAAACGCGAAAAGGTTCGCTCCGTACCGCTTGTGATATGTATCCGCTGCTAACGTCTGTGAAGAACTTGAACGACGCTGCTCGAATGGAAGAACGACAACTGACGATCGAAATGGACCAAATGCGGGAGTTCGAACGGGCTAAAAATTCTTCACTGACTCGTATAAAGCATATGGAGGGATACCTCAAGAACCTGAATTCCAGTCCACCCCCATCGCCCGGAGGGAAAGGCTCGGAGACTACCCCCGTCCGGACATATACAACCCGACAAAAGGAACAGCTCTTGCAGGAGTACCACAACCAGAAGTCGATGGACCAATTACACGAGGCCAAGATAAAAGTACTCCGCGAAAGACAAGAGGTTCGATTGCAGGAGGCCGTTGCCCGCATGGCAAGAGAACTTGACGAAATGATCGACAAGCACGCCTTGGACTTTGCGCGCATACTGCAGAATCATCAGGAGGAAGAGCGATCTCTTCTCCAGACATTCGACAAATTGATGGCCCGGCTGATGTGTCGATGGAACCTGGAGGAGGCGATCCTGCGAACAAAACTGGAAGCGCAGCACGGAAAGCCTTTCGGTCCCCTTCCTCCTATATCACCATCATTGAACGACCCGAACTGGGAGACGCACGATTCGGCCATCTGTGTGGAGGAGCAGACTGGTGCTGCCAGCGCTTGATGAAGAGGTGCACCAAGACGAAGGGAAGGGAACAGGTGCTTTTATTATGATGTGATGTCTACGTGATACCCTTTCTTTTATTTCCCCCTTTCTCCCGATCTCATGCATATACGCAGCCCCCTAATGTGTCATATTCGGCTTTAGATGCCGACCATATACCTCCTCTTGTAATTAATATTCTTATCCTTTTTCTTGGCTCTTTTGGCATTTTGTTCCTGCTGGCATGAGTCCGTGCCGGCTGCCGGCTGCCGGCTCCTACATACACTAACTATAGCGGATAACCATTGCCCTCATGTGCATAGCGCTGGCTTTGGAAATTCCTGATTCCTAGAATTAACAACTCGATAGATTCACATATCCGGCTGGTTTGTGACTTAATAACAGAAATCAAATCATTAAAAAATTGGTACTAACTGTTGGTATATGGAACGACTCGCTAGCAGACTGGCCAAATATAGTAAAACGAGATGTGATGAGTTTCAAACCTCGGACACGGTCCTCGACGCAACTTCCGAGGGTGATGCAGCAGGATGCTTTGGTTCGGATGCGTACTTCCTCGAATTCATCAGGCGATCCAATAACGTCTCCACTCTCCCTCCGGTCATAACCCCCTCCATCAACTTGTCCCTCCCGGAGTCCCCCATCACGACGGCCCTCTCCACCAACCCAGCATTGGAGATCTTGAATCTTCCGACCCGTCCATCCTCCCACTCGACGCGTACATAAACCGCCTCCAGCGCCGTTGCACCTAACGAGACAATGCCCAGCTCATTCCTCGCGATTCTTGTCTCCTGATTGCCCTCCACAAGGACATCCCTCTCCCAGACCCCATCCTCCTCGTCCCCGTAGCCCAGCCCGCCGGCGCCCTGTTCTCCCCGCCGAACCACCCCCAGCCTCTCCCTCAAATACCTGACAGCATCACATCGCAGATGCCACACCACCAACTGCCGTCTCACCTCCCGCACAAACGCCTTCAGATCCTGCTTCCTGCTGCCATTCAGCACCTTGCGCTTCCACGGCTTGAGCTGCGCTTCCTCTTCTTCTTCATCCACATCCTGCTCTATTTCCCCCCCATCCCCATTTTGCGCCGTATTTTTCCCCGTAGTAGCCCCCGTCAGGCGCGGTAGATACACCCGCTCCAAGGCACTCACATCCACCACCGCCGGGATCGTATGTCTATGCACATACAACAACCTCTGCTGCTCCCCTTTTACCTTCCCCTTCCCCTTCCCGTCGGCGGTGTCCCGCCGCACCTTCCGCAGTAGGATATAATACGGCTTCGTGTACGTCCCGTCCCGGGCGCATATATCGATCCGTAGTCCGAGAAGATTCTTCGCTTCGGCCGTCGGGGAGGGGTCGGTGAAGGGGAACGCGGTGGTGGAGAACGCGATGCGGTGATGGTTGAGGTTGGAGTGCAGGGAGGAGCTGTGGAGCAGAGGGGAGAGGTCGGTCCATGATTTGGTTGTTGTTGTTGTCGAGGTTTGCGACGGAGATTGGGATTTGGCGAGGCGTTGGAGAGGGCGCGAGGAGAGGAGGCTGGATGCTAGGACGCGGCGGCGGTGTTGAAGGGTTCGCACTGTTGGAGGGGATTTGTTAATCTGGGGTGGGTTTGTAGGAAGTAGGAGGGTGGAGTGGACGAACGTTCTGCGCGGATGGCGGAGATCTCGGAGTCGAGGGACTCGGCTTCCTCGTCTAGATTGACGGAGGGCGGGGTTGACATTTTGGCAGCCTGGGGGATGTTGGTTTGTTGTTCTTGACGATGGTTTAGAGGTGGGTGTGGTGGTGATGCAGCCAGCAGCAGTTAGTTAGTGCTGGTGCTGCTGTATGCGGTGTTTGTTGTTGACAGGAACCGGCATATCACGTGATGGTTTGTTATCGCGGAGGGTTCATGGCCGCTCGGCCAATGTGCTGCAGATCCACCGGGTTGGGTCAGTCGAGCCGCGGGCTTGATTCAATAACCCAAAAGAAGTGTCTAATAACAGCTGTTTATGATGTGGAAGACGTGACCAGATCATAACAAAGCAACGTGGACTATACATCTAATAATTATCAATATATTGTTGGGGTTGTGACCACCACCTACGTACCTGCACACAGCTTGCTTGCCATCTGCATCACTACCGACTAGAGCCGATCATCAGCAATCTTGACGTGAATCCTTCGTCAAAAAGTCTCACCCCGCCCAATCATCGGCCCGCTCAATCCACTTGAATCCAGCCAAGCCAAACAAGGGGAACTCCCATTGAGGCCAGCTTGCCTTTGCCTCAAAGAGTCTAAATCAAGTCCAGTCTGGAACTTGAACCGCACGCTTCTCTCTCCTTCGCAGCTCCACCACGTCGAATGGATGCATCAGTCCAAGTCCGACGACCCATTGCCAGTCCCTCCTTTATTATCTTCCTCCCCCAGTCCTTCCCTCCATGTCTCTGCCCCCCCTTTTTACCAATTTCATCTTGATCGACCGTGTCTTTCCTCAGAGGTGGAACTTCAATCTCTAGCATGCAGCACCGCCAACCGTGGACATTTTAATAATAAACTAGACCCTCGTTACACAGACCACTCCTCCGATCATCCCGGGGATCCCGCTTTTCTTTCCTCCGAGTCAGACACGGACTCCCTTGAAGCCTACGACGAACCCTTCCATACGCAACGACTCCTCTCATCGCCCCGTGGCCGTGCCCAGATGAAGCGCAAAGGCCGCACGGTCACCAAACGTCGCTCGAAGCCATCCCTGACCATCTCGACGGGCCAGAACGGCTACGCGAGCGAGGGCATGGATTCCTCAATCGAGATGCGGAAGAGGGAAACCTCCGTTGAATCCTCTGCTGGCCGCGCCAATCGTCTTATGGCGCGTCACAGCTTCACTCTCGACCACGATCCTCCCATGACCCCGCAGACTCCCGCCATGGCGACTACCTCGTTTGCCAACCTGCCTGCGAGCGACCGGAGAAACTTCATGCTGTTGTGTGTGCTCTATTTCCTCCAGGGCATCCCCATGGGTCTAGCCACCGGGTCCGTCCCCTTCCTGCTCAAGCCTTACCTCTCGTACGGCCAGATCGGTGTCTTCTCGCTCGCCTCGTATCCCTACTCGCTCAAGCTCCTGTGGAGTCCGATCGTCGATGCCATTTGGAGCCGCCGTTTTGGTCGACGGAAGAGCTGGATCACACCGGTGCAAGTTATCGCGGGTTTGGCCATGATCTATTTGGGCGGGCGCATTGACGAGATGATGGAGGCCGCGGGCGCCAACGGGGGTGCTGGGGTATGGAAATTCACCTACTGGTGGTTCCTGTTGGTGTTTTTCTGCGCCACCCAGGACATCGCCGTGGATGGATGGGCCATCACGCTCATGTCGCCGCCCAATATCTCCTACGCATCGACCGCGCAGACGGTCGGCCTTACCGCGGGCCACTTCCTCTCTTACACCGTGTTCTTGGCCTTCAACTCCGAAGACTTCGCCAACCGCTGGTTCCGCAGCACTCCGGCCACTGGGGGTCTATTGTCTCTTGGCACATACTTGGTCTTCTGGGGATGGGCGTATATCGTGGTGACCACTCTTTTGGCTCTGATGAAGAAGGAAGACCGGACGCACGAGCGTGATAGCATCAGTGATGTCTACCGCAGTATGTGGAACGTACTGAAGCTCAAAAACATTCATACTATCATTTTGGTGCACCTGATCGCCAAGATTGGCTTCCAGGCCAACGACGGCGTGACCAGCTTGAAGCTGCTTGACAAAGGATTCGGCCAGGACAACATGGCCCTGGTTGTGCTGATAGACTTTCCTTTTGAAATCGGACTGGGCTACTATGCAGGCAAGTGGTCGACCGAGTACACGCCAATGCGTCTCTGGTGCTGGGCGTTTATGGGACGGCTGGCCGCGGCTGTCTTGGCTCAGCTTACGGTGATGATCTTCCCCGCCGGCGACGCGGTGCCGTTCTGGTATCTGTTGACGGTGATCGGAGAGCATATCTTTTCGACGTTTATGAACACGGTGATGTTTGTGGCGGTCTCTGCGTTCCATGCGCGCATTGCCGACCCTAGCATTGGAGGCACTTACATGACTATGCTGGCAACGTAAGTACTATGCAATCGTACGATGCAGGAACCAAAGCTGACGATCGGCAGGGTCTCGAATCTTGGCGGTACATTCCCGCGGTACTTTATCCTCAAGCTGGTGGACATGTTCACGGAGGCGACTTGTGTGCCTCCGACGGTACCTCCAAGCGCCGAGGCTCTCAAGGGCGAGCTGATCACACAACCCTTTTCGTGTGCGCTGGAGCCCGACCGCAATTTGTGTGTCAATGGAGGTGGCACATGCAACATTACCCACGACGGCTACTACACGACGAACATTCTGTGTGTGCTGATTGGGGTGGTAACTTTCGTGTTCTTCATCAAACCGGCTGTACTCAAGCTGCAGGGATTACCGTTACGAGCGTGGAGATTAACCCCCGGGCGGCAATAGACGACCAGGTGTAGCTAGCTCTTAGGCCTAGGAAGATATGTATTAATAGAATCAGCCTCCAGGGGTCGGTGACTCCGGATCAGGGTTCTGACCAGGGGGTCTTGATCGAAACGAGCCACCGAGAGGTGTGATTCGCAGTTGTGTGTCGGAGACCTGCATTAGTGGGCCTCTTTCTCCGCAGACCTGAAATTGAGCAGGATGGTACGGGGTACCGCGTGCTTCCTTTTATAAAGACGGACCCTGACGATCACCCGCCACTGACCCTCCTGATTCTGTTCCGGCTGGTGCAAATCCTGCAATCACTTACTTGTACTGTACGTACTATTGAGGTTTCCACTCAACTGCACAATGCATCTACCCTTGAGCGTCACTTTGACCGCAACGACGGTCCTCTGTCTCCTGTCTTCTACTTTTGCTCTTCCATCTTCCACGTACTCTAAAATCGATACTCGGGATATTCTCCGGCCTAGAAACGTACGTTCTCTTCTTGGTTCTTCAGCTCTCCCTTCAGTTCTGCAGCTTGCCCATACATCCCCTCACCCCGGTTGATAAAAGCATCGCGCACTCTAACCCAATCCCTGCTCTCTTCGACTTGATCTCATACTAACAACCAAGAAAAGTGGGATCTCCGCCTCTTCGGCCCAGGCTGCGACCCCAACACGACCTCCTTCGACGTCTCAGTCTGGCACCGCCAGGGCGTCTCCGCCACCGCGGGATGCACGACGCTGGACGCGAGCCTGAACGCCACAAACGTGGACACGTTCTCATGGAAGAGCCCCGGCGCGAGCCAATACGACCTGTGTCTGTATTCGAGTGGGTGCGCAGCAGAGGGCGGGGAGGGAGTGGGCAGCACGCAGGTGATCCGGAATGGCTGGGAGGTGTGCGCGAAGTATAGTGGGTGGAGGGGGTATAGGGTTGTGGCGCATGGAGAGGATTGTTGAATGCTGGCTTGTATATATTGAGGTTACGGTTTGGCAAGCTCGGGATACATGTGTTTGTTGTTTGAGGTTATGGAGTCATGATGCTAATGGATGTGTGGGATTTGGGACATGGTCATCGAGTCGCTTCTCCGAGTCGGTACGTAGTATATTCTTTGTAGTATGTATGTGTGTAGTAAGTAGTTCATACAAGCATATATACATCTCATCAACCTCCTAGGTCCGCCACCCCAATCCACACTACTAGTAATCTACCAAGTATCATTTAACCCTCCGCACCGTATCCTCGACCAACAACATCGCAAAACCCCGATGCAACCTCCCACCCCAACCGGGTATAACCTTCTGCCTCTCACCTTCCGCTTCAACCACCTCATAATCATGCGCCGACGCAAACCGCACATCCACCACCCACTCCCTTTCCTTCGTCCCATCAGCAGCCCCCTCAGATTCATCAACAAGATACGGCTCCGAAACACTCCACTCATGCCTTCCCCCACTCATCAACCGCCACGGATACCCCCACTGCGCGATCCTCTCAAAGAACTCCCGCGGCTCGTTGGGAATCTTCCACGACGCGAGCAACCCATACGGCGACTCGGTGGGCTGGCGCTCCACGATAAAGCCCCCGTTGATCAGTTTGCGTTTCGTTGGCGCCGGGTTGTCGGGGCTGGGTTCGGGCGGTTGGAAGCCCGCCGGTGAGAGGCCTACGTCCCCCGGGTGGAATTTGCCCGTTGTGAGCAGGCCGATAAGTTTGGCTTCGGTTTGGATTATCGGGCTTGTGAGGAAGAGGATTGCCCAGGCTGTTTGGAGGGTTTGTGTATTTATGGTGGGGCTGAGGTTGGTATTTGAGGTGTTGGGGTTGTTGTTGGTAGCGGCAGCAGCAGCAGCAGCAGCAGCGCGGAGAAGGCCCTCAACCGGGACACGGGCTTGGTAGATGTCGATTTCGGCGCAGCGCTGTGTAGCCGGGTTCTCCGGGGTAGTGAGCGCGCGGCTGCTCGCTTGTTCTGGAGGCACGGCTGGGTATTTGGCTTCGAGGTGGGTGAGGCCGCGGTGGACGGTGTATGTGAGTAGGGCCGGGGGCGTGAGGAGGTAGAGGAGGCGAGTACCCGGGCTCATTTTGGTGGTTGAGCTGACTTTAGAGGTTGGTAGATAGCTGCATTCAGAATGAATACAGAAAACAGAAGATAGAGAATCAAAGATCTAACATTGTTTATGCTTACATTTAAAGGTGGAAGGCGGACGCAACTCTGCTCCGAAACACCGTACGACCTGCCAATCCTCGTTCGGGCTTCGGCGAGTTTAATCCTATAGCAGCGATTAACTATGCTAGATGCTTTTAACCTACGGACTACTTAGGTCTCATCTCCAGAGATAGTACACCAGTGAGATCCACTAAGAGTAAATTCACATTCATCAAGATCCTATCAGATGCGACCAATTTTCGTTCTCTGGTATCTACACAAACTAGGCATATCCTTAGACTATCCTTAACTCCGAACCACAACTACACAACCCCACCAAGCCCAGAAATCCACCTCAATCGACTTTCCCCGCCCCATAGCTAACTTTTTTTCTCTACTGAAAGTTCCGATATCTCCAAATTTCACCTCTCACCATCACCAGCACAACCACACAGCTCACCAACAATCCTACCTACACCTACACCTACCCAAACCCAAACCCCATAAGCAAGAAAAATGAACTCCAATTCTTTAGACGACATCTTCGGCTCCTCCCCACCGCACGAAGAACCCCAGTTTGAACACCACCAACCCGAATCAACAGTCACAACCACCGAACCCTCCGACCTCCCCTCCCTCCGTCGCCAACACGTCACAGCCGGCTATCGCGACGGCCTCGCCGCCTCGAAATCCACACAGGTGCAATCCGGCTTCGACGCGGGGTTCCCCGTCGGCGCGCAGCTCGGTATGCGCGTTGGCACCGTCCTGGGGATTCTGGAGGGTGCGATCCGCGGGCTGGAGGTGCCGAGGAAAGTTGTCCGGAAGGGTGGGTCTTCTTCCTCGTCTGCTTCGAGTCCAAGTGCAAATGTGAATGCGAAGGGTGGGGTCGCGGGTACTAGAGGTAATGACACGCTGGGAAAGGGGAAGGATGGTGCCGCGACGGTTGTTGGGTTTGAGGACCTGGGTTCTCAGGGAACAGGAGTAGATGCCGGGGTAGCAACAGCAACAGCAGAAGATGGAGAATCCACTCGGGAGAAGAAACGCGCGGAATTACTGGGTCTTTATCGGCAGGCGGTGCGGGAATTGGATGTTCGGAAGGTGTTCGAGGGGGTTTCGGCTGATATTGATGAGGGTCAGAATCAGGATACTACGTCTGTCGGAGGGGATCAACAGAAGGCGAAAGAATTGCCGGAGACGAAGTTGGCGAGGAAGGCTGAGGAGGTGGTTTTGGCTTGGGAGCAGAGGGTTAGGGTTGCGCTTTGGGAGGAGAATATGGATGCGTTGGAGTTGAAGGAGTTGTCGAGTTGAAGTTAGTAACGCGGCGTTTGTGTGGCGAATTTTTGCGCTACGGTCATGCTTTTTTGTTGGGCTGGCTCTGGCTCTGGAGCTGGATTTGGAGAGGGAGGGAAGAGGACGTACGAGGTTCCTGTGCGTTGCGCTGTGCTTGCTTGCTTGGTGGCCCGCCGCTGCCGCCGTCGACTGCGACAATTCGGTGTTCTGTGCCTTCCCATCCGTATGGTTGGAGGACAGAGACTGAGACCCCATCGGTCGTACCCGGCAAGACAAGACCTCTGTCTCAGTTTCAACGCGCTGCATCCGCGAAAGTCAGTGTCATGACTCGCATGAGACATGCAGACGGACAGAGCGGCAGGATGAGATACATCCGTCGACGGGAGCGGAGCGCTGGACGAGCCCGACAGGGAGGGAGGGAGGGGAGCTGCAAGTCGGCCTGCAAGGTCAAGCTGTGTCCGTACAGTGTACCTACGTTGGACAACCAGACAGCTCGGATCATGTTGAGGTGCTGCAGACGGGGAATTCAGCCTGTCTGGGTACGAGTCAGGATGTCTAGCATTGTGCGAGATTGTATATGCACTGTCTGATGAGAGTACCCAAGCCAATTGAGTGATACAGGGTACAGATATAACCATCTAGAAGGTAGATTCCGTCAAATCGACCGGACACAAGCCTAGAGGCCCTTGCTTTACCTATCAAGTCTTATTGCCATTCCAAAGAATAACGCCCATGAACAAAGTTCTGAGACCTTGTCTTCGCCTTCGTACAAGGGATATCCCTGCGGCGATGTACTTCTCCCAGCAGAACAAACCAAGGGATTGACTACACCTTGGTACAGGCTTTTACGGTGTCGTACGATGCAGTCTTCCTTGGATCGTGAAATTCTCTATCGCCATAGTTGTACCGCTTGGGACTAGTCTTCCATTGCTGAGAGAAGTACCGTGCTCGGGATTACCCCACACATTCCAGACGAAGAAAAGTCCGTGCTTGGTATGCGTACGCCCCCCGGCTTGTTTGTTTTGATTTCTACCAGAATAGCAATAGGAAACACGGCGCGGAAGGATTCGTGGTCTGCTTCATTAGACCGATAGTAATATTGCTTTTATAGACATTGAGATGATAGGAAAAGAATTGGAAGACTATAGTCAGCGACAAGGGATGATAGGTGTAGGGACACCATGATAGATATGTGTTGAGTGAGTGTGGGCAAGACTAGCCGGAAATATCGAGAAAGGAAATCGTCGATGGTTCGACTTAGTGATAGTGGTAAAAGACCGTGGCAATGTACGAGAGACCGTAAGCAGCAGAAAGAGTGTGCATGAGACAAAGCAACCGAGTGACACGCCCGTGTGTCGCCTCAATATCAAATGTGATCCATCGTCACGGGGCATTCGCATTGCATCATTCGAGGACGTCGGGTCATATGTTTCCATAGCCAGCGCAGCCATCTCGTTAATTCATGGATGACATGGAGAAGCCGTCAAGATCATCCATCTAGTCATCAACGCCCCAGACTGTTCATCTGGGGCTCATCAGGTAGCATCATAAGACATTAAGTTGATCAAGGAAAGGAAACCGTTCAGAGTCGTTCAGACTAGTGGTCATAAATGGGGTGATGAGAAAGCTCAGTCAACGCCACCCGCAACTTTTCCGCACCCAAAATGGAGAAAGAAAGATTTAGGAAACGCGTTCACATGGGTCGACGGGGTCTTGGGGGAGGAAGATCACCATGACATCCCAAGACCCGCAATGACTCCCACACCCGTTTATAGAGTGGGGGCCGTGCGAGGGCAAGGCTTTGATGGATAGCTTTATCTGACCGGTCCTCCCGGCAGAAAGTACATGATTTCTCAGCCTCGGTCAAGCCTTTGGGGGACGAGTCAGCCCTTTGCCTCCGTCGTGACTTGGCTTGCATGGCAGCTGCCGTTGTGCGGTCTATGTCGATGTTTGGCGTCCCGTTGCTGTTCCGTCGTGATCGCGGTTGAACAAGCGATGTCGTGGAGGGGGCTACCAGCCTCAACGTCTGCTGCGCAGTCGGCCGCAAGATGTCTTTCGAACGAGATCGAATCAGATCACGCATAGGCGATGGACATAGTCGCTCAGCAGACTGGTCTGGTGTTGAAGGAAATTGTTCCAACTCCTGCGCATGCTGGCTGTGGGCTTGTGTATTGTTGAGCTTGGGCGCCGACTTTGCGACGCGGAGATGAACTCTGCTTCGGACCTTTTTCAAAGTGTCCATTGGTTTGCGGGACAGAGACTTGGGATCGACTGACTCGTTATCCGAGTCCGACTCCCAGACAGACTGTTCATGCTGGCCGACTAATCCTGCCGGCGACGTTGCCGGCCGCTTAGTGATTGGATGTCGTTCAACGGAGGGTGACGCTGGACCTGGGCTCGGCACTGGACTGGGACGGTCATTCCCAGAAATGAACATAGCCTGATCAAAGTGCGAAACATGTGGCTCTTTTGTCACAGGATTATACCAGCAAGGAGGTGAAATCATGGAAGGGGCGATTGGAGGACGGATGGCTGGCGGTGGCCCTTTTCGTCCGCCCTTAGTGTTCCGGTTGCGGACGCCATTTGGGAGAGATGGCAATGGCTTCCCCCGATGTGGTACAGGATCGTGACTATTTACCTTTTGCATGACCAAAGTGTCCGTCGATGCGTTTGATTGACCTAGCTGCGCCTTCAAGTGTCGGGTCGGTGTCGAAGGCTCCGTTGCAAGCGTCGTTTGAGACAAGTTGACAGGCGTAGAAGAAGCCGGATATACTTGGCGTCGAGGACTAGGCGGTGCCTGCGGATTGTGCAACGAGGAATATTCTGGTCCTGAGGTGATAGTTTCGCGATTTGTGAGAGCGGAGTAATTAGAAGAGAACGAACTGCTCGGAGTCAAATCGGGCGTTGCGTCGGTTTGCGCGGAACTAAAGGACGCTTGATCGTAGTTTGGGAACTGCCCTCCCCAAGGGTGAGTGGCAGCGATTTCACGGAGACTCAATTGATGCTCTAGTTCAACCACAGACAGAGTGGATCGATTGATATTCGACCGCAATCTCGCGGTATCTCCACGCGACGAGATTGTGAAAGGACCACCTTTGTTGTTGTTGTGCACAGAGGCAAGCATCAAGTACTGGCTGGCTTCGTCACTATGTCTAACATCACGACTCTCCGGCCGCCCAGGGCCCCAAGGGCCACCCCCCGCCAGAGTGTGCTCTAGATAGAAGGGATCTGGATTCGATTCGTCCACGATTCCAGGGCCTCTAGTAGGATAGAATGACGAAGCCCGCTTCCTAGTCGGCGTGACTTCGGGACAAACTGTAGTTTGTGATCCGTTCCGGCTATTGTATGAGGCGCTCACTTCGCCGCGCATTCGAGGGTATCCGTTAGCCATGGGCTATGTTTCTGTTGTAGAGGGTAGATCCGTCGTTGTACATTCAGGCATGCAAGTTGTTCATCAGAGGCATAAGACACAGAAGTGGCTCAGTCGTATGGCAATTGAAAGGAGAGACATAAAACAAAATGAAAGAATAGTGGTGACTGTAAAACGAAGAATGGGCAGGGCCAAGGGAACAATATGTTTATACGTGTCTCTCCAAAAATAACAACATTGCCCTGGTCAACCTAGGGCACATCCTACCATTGCAACGGTGGCTAGGCCGGGGAGGAGCAGCGACGCATGCCAATGCTCATAGGTGTAAACAAAGCTCCAGCATCCGTGGGGACAGACTCCAATGACCTATCAGAACTTACATCTTCCTGTCCTTCGGTAGGGATGAAGATGTGCAGCAAGGCGGCCGCCCCTCGACGCAAGAGCAAGGGAGGCCCGGAATCCCGATCCGCAACTTAGTTGACGCGGGGTCTGATCATGAAATCCAGAATTATGATTTTGGCCATTCCCGTTAAGCTTCCCTGTTGTGCACGAACTTCGAAAGAGGAAGGATATCATCGTAGTATAGCGAGACTGTTCTCGTATCCCCTTGTAGTTCCAACCACCGGGTCGGATTAGCACTACGAGTGCCAATGCAATATTGCTCAGTGAAATGATTGCTCATGCTTTGCGAGTAACAGTGTTGTGAGTAAATCTGTTAGAACATGTCCACACGACATGAATTCTATTCCATCCAATTGCGGTAGCCAATGTTCGAAGACATGCGGTAGAAGTGCACCAGAGAAGGAATTGAGGCCCGGAAGATCTAGAAGTCCTTCCTGTGCGGAGATCAAGGTGTCCAGTCCCAGTGTGATGGCAGAGGATGAGCAAATGTGAGAGATCAGGTTCATCCGAGACGCTGGGACACAGACCACACTAACCTAGTGCCGCAGTGATACGTCGATCCTACCGTTGATCTTCTTCCCCCTCGATCGTGTCAGTCGTTCCCATCACAACATCCTTCCCAATCCCTTGTCAAGTCAGGTCTGTGATTCTATTCGGATTTCAGATCAATTGGGAGCCGACTTATTCGGACAAAAGTTTGCTTGTGAGGAATTTCGTCATAAACTCGCCGTTGCTTGCCAATAGCTACACAATACTTAGATATCGTTTTCCATAACTCGGAGAAAGTTGAAGGCAAGTTTCCGCATCGTCTGCATTCCAGAAAACCATTCCAGGTTGCCATGATACCGCAGGCTTGCATTAGGGTCCCAAGAGCTGGAACCAGATCTGGTTCGAAACTTGTCTGCCTGTCTTCCAGCGCCATCCCTATCGCAGTCCAGTTATAAGAAGGAGCCGGCCCCTCTTTCTTTTATTCTCCGACAGGCTGGTCTGCTGTCCTGGGAGTGTCCTCCAGAAGACCTTGCTGGAAACTCTTCATTGTCCAGGCCGAAAGTCTGAAGGATAGTCATCCCTGTCCAAGCTGTATTCTCCCGCGCGCAATCTAGGCCCAGATCTGCCCTTGTGAACAATTGGAAAGTTGTGAAATCAATCCTTCCTGCGAAGTACCCTGCGCTCTTCCTTGGATTGATCTGTAATTGTTTTAAACTTGCGACCATTGCCGTCTGTTTCGTGGATTTAGTAGTCATGAAGATCTTCTGGAAGCAATGGACTCAGCAGAAAGTTGTTGACCTGTTTCGGTGAGAGAGAGAAATATATGTGTATATATACCTGTAAGATCTCCTCGATAGTGCTGGCCAGCCAATTCACAAATTTGCATGGCCGCTCACCTTCATCGTCACATAAATAGCAGTCGACTGATTCCTGCCAGCCTTGTATATTCAGGACCACTCAGATGGAAGATTGTCCCACGTACGTGAAAAGCCATGACAGACCAAGCTCGCGCCGAAAGTATCTCAAGTGTATCTGCTGGTGGTGTTCATCCCTCCAAGTAAACAACGCACTATAAGGCCCGCATTCCGGAACTCCTCTCCGTATGCAGGTCCCTCTGTGAACAATATCATCTGCATACTTTGATGCAAATACACCTCTGAGGGACCTGCATAAGTTGCAAATCGCCGGCAGAGTCTGAAGCCAATAGCACAATACAATTTAGCCATTAGGATCGACATGATAACGTTTCCTAGAGCTGTAGACCCGTGCCTGAATTACTTTACTGTTGTTGATTGTCATCCTGGGAAATTTTGCATGCATATTCTCTTGAGCTTTCTTCACGGGGACTTTCTGCACAGCTTTTCGACCACCACAGCTGTCACCTTCTCCTGTTCGGCTTCGTACTTTTGTAAAGTAGATTCAAAGAAGAGCGATCAGATCATGCGATCATGTTAGGCGCCTTGTGATCTGCACGGAAGATCGAGACCTGACAGGCACAAGCAGCGTTCGCTTGACCAGTCTTCCACATCTTCTAATCATCGTCTAGCTCACGTTGGTCGCAAAGTGAAATTGGAGGCGATGTGAGAAAAGCAGTTTTGTGTGTGAGACCAGCTGCAAGGCATTTCGATAGGTCTGAAACCGGGACGGATGAAAGAGCTTTCCCAAAGTCAATTGAGACCCGAGCCGAAGGACCCTTGCTCCTTACTCGTCTGCTTCAAAAGGCTCAACGACAATGGCAAGCTGGCCAGGTAGCCGATTCCCTTCGATTGCCGAACGACATGATTCCAGTTTCCACCATGATCTGAACAGAAGCCGAAGCGTCACCACTGTGACTACTGTACAACCACAGCGGGAATGGCGTTTGACCCACCTAGGGGACAAACCCATTGGGTTATGGTTTATGGACTTGAGTCATATTGGTAGAACCCAAATCTGAGGATGGTAGAGAAGCAAGTCCAGATCGAATATCTCCGGATCGATCAACGGCTTCTCGTGCGACCGTGAAAAAGGACTAGTGACTAGCCTAAGGTACCGTCATCAAGGTCCGTGCTTTGCTGATGGATCTGATGTGGAGACAATTAACAAGAGTCCGGAAGCCAGAAGTTGCTGGTTCACTTCGCCTGAGGCTAGTTTTTCATGGATTCACAATCACTGAGGAAGTCATGTCGAAGTTGTAATTCTGACATATACATCCGGCACCAGTTGAACATCCATGGCTCTGCGGACTGCACAGAGGAGGCGTTGGCTGACAGCGACCGAATAGTGACGCCCGGTCGGGACTAAATCCCCATTCAGTAACTAATCGCCAGCACATCAGCCTAGGATTGGGCCATTGCAAGGACAAAGCTTGTACTAGCGCTGGTTTCTATATATACTTAATTCTGGTCGGCTTGTTGTGATGATGCAATGGCTCTTCATCGATATGAAGAGAGAAGCTATATCCGCGATGTTTGTGGGCTTCGTGTTCAGAAGGAGAGACCTGGCGGCAGTGGATGAGTTTCAAGTCCCATTTGGAGGCAGTCAATCCGCGATCAGCCGAAGCACACAGTATGGAGTACGTAGAACACACATCATACCCAAGCAATTCAATGGAATCAGTCATCTTGGGTAGTCAGATTGTTGGTTGTCGGATGAGTCCCCAGTCGGCCTGAATTGACCTGTGTGCAACCTGTACAGGCGGGGGTTGGAAGGCAAGGAAGGATTGCTCTGGTCCTTGCACAGAAGTAAATCAACGTCATCTTCTCTTATCCTTCCGTATCCCAGTCCATAAACACCCAGTAATAGTAATCAAGTGGTGACAAGGGTAGTCAGAATTGGTGATCGCGATCGGGTAGATTTACTTTGAGGAGCCTTCGGCGGAAGAGGCAAGCATCTGGCAGTGGCACAGACAGGCATTCATTCTTTGGGACCTGTTCTTTGGTACCCGGCTAAAAGTCCCGTTTCACCTTCCCTCAGTTCTCTTCCCCTGCTGCGATTTCTTCTTCCTCTTCTTTTCACTTCGATTTCTTCAATTTCCGCTCCCAATCCAGACCGCTTAATAGCTTAGGCTTCTCCTCCTTTATCGTAAGGAGGCATTGGGTTGTTCCCTCTGCTCCATGACGGTCACGGGCCTCTAAGCAGTGCTCGTTGCGGTCTGGCAGGGCGCTTTTTCAGGAACAGGTGAGCGCAAGTGCAGCTTCGGATCCCTCCCAGCCATCGCATTTCCCGCAACGACCCTTCTCATTCGACCAGCCACTGTCAATTTTAGCTGCGTGGCTCGCTCTGAAATCTTCTCCTCTTTCTCTTTGCTGTCTTCCCCCGTGTTTCAACACCCCCGAGAATACCCACATTCCACTTTGTTCACTACTGACCTACCATTGCCTGTCCAGTGGCCGGTGTATCGTGCGTGTGCTGGACAAGAAGCGGAGTCGTGCCAGAACTGCACAGCGCCCCCTGACACGTTACCAAGTCCACTCTAAGATCGCAAGCGTCCTGTTCCTGAAACCCATTGAAAGGGAATTGAGCCCCAGTACTCACGTTGTCGTCGCATTCGCTTCCGCCTCGCTCACCTACTACTGCGGCGGTGTCTTATCCTTATCGCGGCACGTTTGACGAGACCTACGAATTTCACGACCCTTATACGTTGACGACTCTCTCACCGCAACGCCAGCAGCAGGCTGCTTCCCGACCCTTACCTGACCCTACCCTTCACTCAGAACGTCGACCCTCGAGTGCTCCTGGGAGTGCTCGATCGTTGCGGAGAACTTCTCGTCATTTCCAACGCCCACCGTCAGTTGATGTCTCCGGACGTCCCTCTCAAATAGAGCAATCAATTCCTGTATTGGTGCAGTCTGTGTCGGATCACGGTAACGGAATCGCTGCATTACGTCCTGCACTTTCCGAGGCGCATACAGAGTACGACGAAGAAGAGGCCGATTCGGCACCGGAAGACCACCTTGAACGGGCAGACACCTCGTACTGGCCCCGTAGGTCCACCCGAGTTTCTCCACGTACGGCATCTGCTATCCTCTGGACTTTGGAAGAAGCAATTCGGACACCATTTCCCTTCACAACGGACTGGGAAGAAGTGAATGCGCATATGTCTGACGTAGTAGGTGTCCCTGGTTCGGCCAGCTTCGGTACCAACGGCCGTACGCAAAATGGATCTTCACGGGCCGCGCAAGGCCCAGTTCCTGTCAATCCACATCCCCCAAGTGGTGTGCGGACACCAACGGATATTATGAGACAGCGCCGGGATCGGGAGGCTCGTAAGAAGGCGGAACAGGAAGCTAGGGATCGGGAGCAGGAGCAAAGCAAGGCTCAAGGGCAAGCTCAGCCTTATGCTGCTGGCGTTGCCGGTGACAGAGGATCACAGCGGAGAGCAACGCAAAGGGCTCCCACAGGGCCGGAGGGGCAGCCAGAATTGCGCACTACCACCATTCCAGAACGATCGGCTACCAACGCTCGACGACCGGACCCATTATCTCCGACGCAGGCACCAGGTACTGGTGTGGGGCATGGTCATCCCAGGCCGAGTACATCGGCAGGACAGCCCAATCCAGCTCAGCAGTCACATGTCCCACCCCAGGGTTCTGCAGGGTTTCCGAAGCCGCAAGGTCAAGCCCCGGCTTCCAATCAACAAGCCAGTGGAGCTCAGTCTCAGCAGCAATCCCGTCGGGTGCCTTTCCCTCATGCGTTCGAACGATGGGAAACCCTGTCGTCTCACTGGGAAGGATTGACTGGCTATTGGATTCGCAAGTTGGAACAGAACAACGAGGCGCTCGAGCGCGACCCTCTCAACCAACAAATGGCCCGTCAAGTTACTGATCTTTCTGCGGCTGGTGCAAATCTTTTCCATGCCGTAGTGGAACTGCAGCGCTTGCGTGCCTCGTCCGAGCGGAAATTCCAGCGCTGGTTCTTCGATACTCGCACAGAACAGGAACGTGCCAAGGAGTTGCAAGCAGAGTTGGAGCGACAGGTTCGAACCGAACGACAAGCTCGCTCGGAGGCTCTTACCTCTTTGCAGAAGGCCGAAAGTGACAAGTCGCGCGTGGAAGAACTGCTCAAAGAGATGCGTCGTGAGCTGCAGATCTCCAAAGAAGAGGCTCGCCGTGCTTGGGAAGAGTTGGGTCGGCGCGAACAAGAGGAGCGTGAGAGGACCAATTCCCTCCGCAATGGCGAGCCCACATTGGTCGGAGGAGTCCAGGTGGTGCCTATGATCCCTGGAGCCTCGCATCGACAGCCATCGACCACCCGTCCTCAGACACGCGAGAGCCCCTACGCTACCGGCGGAGCAACTAGTGGAGAAGGAGTGCCGAAAAGTACAACGGACACTGAAGGTCAATACTATGGCGAAACTCCTGCATCACCCACCGGTACGGATCCTTTTGTTGAGGGACCGCCCCCGGTGACCTCGTCTGCAGAAACCGAGAGGCAGTATCCCGCGCACTATTACGAGCATGATTCCGGCTATCCTGCTCGACCCACGTCGGAAAACGATGACCGCTCCTATGGACCTAGTGTAGCTAGCAGCGAACCTGGCGAAGACGAGTTTGGGTCCAGCTATCGCCGCAATCTCCCAGGTCCGATCGTTTACCCTCCTACAATGTCTGAAGGGAGCGACGATTATGAACACGGCTCACTGGACGAAGCTGGGTACCCCCCTAGCTCGCTGCCCGCGTCCTCGGGGTCTATCTATGGGGGCTACAACCAGGCCGTCGACTACAGTGGCTCGGGTTGGGGCGTCGGCTCTGGGTGGGAAGCAATGACTCCCCGACATCGCCATCCTACTCGTCTGAGTGATGTCATCGAAGAAGAAGAGCCACGAACTACGCCTAGCCGTGCCAGTATGGCCAGCCGAAGTGTACAGTGAGATCGAAACCTTTGCCGTACAGTACATACCGCATACAAGAGAAGAGAATCTTCGGACATCGTCATCTGACCAAAGCTCGATCCCCATTTCGTTTTCCGTTTCTATCCGATCATGCTTTCATTATTTTGCTTTGCCTATAACAATACCTCTTTGCTCTGGTTTCCAATTGTTTTCTTCCAATCACATTCCCATGTGCCATATTCGATCCGCATAGGCTTTTGTCTACCAGCGACCTGATATCTAGTGGGCACCGCTTGTATGGCATGGTTTCTTGCTGGATCTCTGGTTTCCGCTTTTTAAGGGAAGGGCGCGGTGTAATTAATGTAATGCTACACAAGTCATGATTCCATTCCTTGTTTTTCATGCATCAAAAGTTCTCGCAGCATAGTGATTCACATAGAAGCCTCACGTAATGTGACCACGGGTACAAATCACACTAGACCGTAAATGGCATTATCAACCAAGCCCCGACCGGGCGGGCTCGCAGCGCTTCCCGACACACCCGCGACCGGCCGCCCGCCGTAGTTCTCCGTGCGAGAAACGAAATCTCCGTGCTATCAGGCCACTTCTTTCTTTTCACACATCCTCCCATCAATTGACCCAACACAATGGCATCCTCAATCCGACCCGCGAGCCGCGTCCTCGCACGTGCATCGCACACATCTCTGTTCTCCCTCGAGTCCACCGCATCTCGAACCCTTCAACGCCCAGCGACACTCTTCCCCGTGCACAACACAATCGCCGCCGCAGCCCGCGCCACGCGAAGCACCAATGGCACTCCTCACCGTGCATTCTCTACCTCCCGCGTCCAGCTCAAGAAATCTCCCACCATGGGCCAGCTGAAGGCCCGGAACTCGACGGGCCCGTTCTCCTGGAAGTCGGCGCTGCTGTTCGTCCTGACGGGCGGCGGCATGATCATCTACTTCCGGGTGGAGAAGGAACGTCTGGAGCGCAAGCGCATTGCGGAGATGAGCAAGGGTGTAGGCAAGCCGAAGGTCGGAGGCCCCTTCACGTTGAAAGATCTAGATGGCAAGGAGTTTACGGCCGAGGATCTGAAGGGGAAGTATAGTTTTGTAAGTTGACTCTGTTCCCCCCACCACCCGACTGGCATAATCTCTACATTTGACTTCCAGCAATGGGAGCATTCTGGGAGCGAGCGTAGATGAGGAGAGCGTCTGTGACTAATACCTTTTGTTCCACTGGGTTTAGGTTTACTTCGGATTCACCCACTGCCCCGATATCTGCCCGGACGAGCTGGATAAGATGGCCGAAATCATCGACAAGGTGAATGAGGCCACTGGCGGCGAGAAGATCTTCCTGCCGGTCTTCATCACCTGTGATCCCGCCCGCGATACGCCCGAGGTGCTGCGCGAGTACCTGAAGGAGTTCCACCCCGGCATCGTCGGGTTGACGGGCACGTATGACCAGGTCAAGAATGTTTGCAGACAATACCGCGTGTACTTCAGTACCCCGCGGGATATCAACCCGGGAGAGGACTACTTAGTGGACCACAGTATCTACTTCTACCTCATGGGTGAGTTTGTCCGGTGATGTGACGGAGAGACGAGAAGGGGTTCGGGTGGGCTAACGTTCTTACTTATATAGATCCCGACAACGACTTTGTGGAGTGTATCGGACGCCAGGACACGCCTGAGTCGGCGACGCGGACGATCCTGGAGCACATCAATGACTGGAAGCGCGAGGGCAAGCCTTTGAGGAAGGATTAGAGGTCTGCGCGATTTCTGTCTGGGAGGGGCCAATATGTACTATAGAATACCCTACTCTGTAAAATCATAAAAGACTTGTCTTGGGATCTCATTCGAGTTCAACTCAACTCAACTATATACCACAACGACATGAACGGGCCCTATGCATCACTATCAGTCTATATATACAAACACTAGCCCAACAAGCCCTCCTCCCCACTTCACCAACTCCCAAGAAATCACCCCACCAAATTCCCTTCGCGATCCCTCTCCCGATTCTCCCTCCACTCGCCGGCCCCATCGACAAACACCTCCCGCTTCCAGATCTCCGCCTTCTCCTTACACAGCTCCAGCACCTCCTCGCCCGCCCGCCACGCCGCGCCCCGATGGCCCGCGCTCACCGCAATCACAATACTGCTCTCCCCAATCGGCACATCCCCCAGCCGGTGCGCGATCACCACCCCCAGCAGCCCGTGCTTCTGGACTGCGTTCTCGGCGATCTTGACTAGCGTCTTCAGCGCCAACGGCGGGTACGCCGTATAGCTGAGCTGCGCGACCGCGCGGTCGCCGAAGGTGTCGCGCGTGGTGCCGAGGAAGAGGACGTTGGCGCCGGCCTGCGGCGAGGATACTTTGGCCAAGGCGGCGTTGGCGTCGAGGGGGTCGTAGGTTAGGGTGATGTGGGTGTTGAGGGTTGGGTTGGTGGTTGTGCGGGGGTAGGTGAGGGGGTTTAGGTGCGGGGGGAGGTGGTCTTTTTGTTCTTCTTGTTGTTGTGGGTTGGGTTGTGGTTCTTGGGGTTGTGGCTGTTGTTGCTGTTGCTGTTCTGGATGGAGCTGAGTTGGTGTAGACATTGTGGTTCTGGTTCTGGAAAAAGGGGTGAAGGTGTGGAAGTGAGTGTGAGTGTTGGCTTGTTTCTTGTGGGGGGGCGGGATTAGATTGAACAGCGGACAGGCGCTCGTCGGAGGAGAGGGCTTGGTGGTTGTAATGGTTTGTTTGAGATGTATATCTGGCGGGCTAGAATTCTGAGGATGAGTCAGGCTGATAAGTACGTGAAGAGTGCTCGTAGGGCTTTTTGCGAATGGTTTGAGGAAGCAATCGGTTGTGGAAGACCGAGAGATGAATTGAGGAACGAGCTGAGTCCACATGCCATGACTACATTCAAGATAGCTTATCAATGGGTGATCAACGCGGAGCTGTTTAGATAGGCAGGCGGTCGAGCATGCATTTACTCTCCGGCTTGCCCGGCGCCGGGCGTCATCCTGATGGTCCCCGGTCGGGTTTGTTCTCGGTTAGCCTCTTTGGGACTGGCAGTAAGCAGGGCTTTGATGTTAGAGGTTATGTCGAGGTATCATTCTTCTTGGTCCTGTTAAGACCGCCTTGTTTATATTTGATAGCATACTTCAAGGCCATACTGGTACCGAACGACATCTGGTTTCGATCTCGTAGGACTTTGTTTTGTCCTCGCAGTTACAGTTACAAGTAGTGTATATGGTCCTCTTTAACACAATCTTCATCAACCAAGCAAAATAACCTAGGGATCAATAGAGGCATTCTCATCGCGAGGGCTATCAGCTTACTCCGAAGCGTTTTGTTTCACTGCTGGGATCATTTAACTACTTTCCCAGGAAAAAAGACTTACCGATCCAGTTCTTGTCATTAGTCGCCGAATGCGCGATTTTCGCGTTGACGGGAAACATAAAACTATCCCGATAAAGGGCAGACAAAGCCCGCCCTTCCACTCCTCTCTTATGTCTCTCGATTCAGATTCTCACAGGAATTGGAAACAATAGCCGGCATTCAGAATGTACCTGCACTGCAGAACCGTCTTTCCTCGGCGAGCGAGATTATCTCCTTCTCTATCCTCCCTCCTTGGCTCCCGCCAGAAATACAGTTGTCCACCTAAGGGAGGATCGGAACCATGCCACAAAAATGAAATTCAAGCCCAGGATAGCTCACAAATATCTTCATCCAAACCACCGCCCCGACCTTTGACTCCTTCCGTACTTAATCGATCGTTCTGGACCTGTCGCGCATCCTGGAAGCGAGCCCGAATCAACACCCTCCGGTGCTTGATCGGCTGTACAGTCGGCGACTTCTCAGCCCTATGGATGCTGCAAACCTTTGCCCCGGACCTCGGGATGAGTACAATAATGGCGCTATCCAGTATGTTTGGCCCTTGTCACAAAATATATCAACACTCCAGAGATGCTGGAAATGTATGATGGAAACTAATTTATGACTCTACAGTGGCATCTGGGATTACTAGTTCCATCATTCTCGAAACCTTTCTGCTTTGGCGGGGCGCAGACCAGCTTTCTTTGCCTATGGCATGCCGAACTGCCATGGGGATGAGCATGGTGTCCATGCTGGCGATGGAATTGGCCGAGAACGCCGTGGACTACCATCTCACCGGAGGAGTGGTCAATGTGGGGGACCCGCAGTTCTGGCTGGCGGCTGGGGTGTCTGTGGGCGCTGGTTATCTGGTTCCCTTGCCGTACAATTATTGGCGGTTGAAGAAGTATGGGAAGGCGTGTCATTGAGCGCAGCTTTCTTGTGGATTGCGAGGTTGGGTGATGTGAAGTCTGGGTGCACTTGATGGGCCCTGTTAGGCTTGAAATTGCCCAATCATTCGGAAATATCTAGGTGTCAGCAAGATGAGGGATATGGCAATGTAAGATAGCGGAATGTTTGTACAATCAATTCTTCACTTATAAACTACTATCAAATGAGAGTCAATCTAACTTGATCGCATTCTAAATTAATGGCGGTTAACATCCGTTTGCTTCTCGTTATATAGTATAGGGCCAAGCACATGAAAACACAATTCAAATCGCTCTAGAGACAAACAAGCTTTCTTTCAGACTCACATTATCCGCCCTCACCTTAGAACTCCAAGTCATAAGCCAACGTATCCTCACACAACTCCTCCCTCAATTTATGCACCCTGCAACCATTAGCCCTCGAGTTTTGCCAGTAGTGCGAATCGACTTACTCCAGATGCGCCGGATGTGCCGCATAGACCTGTACATCTTCCGCCTTCTCCAGAATTGCCACGAGGCCCATATCAAAGCCCTTAGCTCTTGCAGCCGTTGCAGCGAGGGGGCTGCCGGCGTGAAGTTCTCGGAGACCTGGGGTGGTCAGTAAAGGATTCCGAAAGCCTTCAACACGGGAAAAGAAAGTTTACCGGGGATCTGTCCGACCATGCCCTTAGCCACGTTGGACCAGTGGTCCAGTTGTGCTTTGGTGACGCCGGGCTTGAGGCGGAAGAGGACTGAAATGGGTGTTATTAGTTTGGTTCAAGTGAGGGGGACCTATGGGAGTCGAGGTACCGATGTGGTAGATAGGCATTTTGCTTCAAAAGCTCTTCTTTTCTTCTAGTTTAGGACAATATGGGAAGTAAAGGTGTTATGGGTAAATGATGACTTCGACTTTAAATAGGAAGTGGTGACTCGAGGATGGAGACGGACATTAACCGAATCCCGCCGGGAAAAGTCCGGTACTTCTTTCTGCCTGATCTATCTACAAGACCTTAAGCGTACCCCATAAGTCGTGCTTACGCTGAAGCTATATCTAATGTCTGTGATCTCGATCTAGACTACTGATGCTTGAGATCTATGACTTGATGGAGATCCGGTGGTAACCATCGTTAGGCTTTTCGGATTGTTCGGATAGCATGCACGGAGTCAGGTACTCCATGCTCGACTTACAGATCTGGCTACCGTGGTTAAGAGAGGATGCCATGCAATAGGAGATACTCAGAGGTTTGCCTTCCCATTCATTGTATACCGATTGTGCCTATCAAACCCAACGTGAAAATGTAAAGAGAAGATTGTCCAGCATTGGACCGAGAGGAGGGGATGACTTGCATAGTGGCGGTTGCCAGTTGGCCATCTCCGGTGCCCTTCCAGACGACCATCTCATCATTCCCCCACTTCTCGCGTACCTGAAAAGTGGGTTGATGCGCAAACCAGATGTCTTCTGGAGGGTGTGGTCGACTGATCCACCTCGACCTGGAGTATGAGTGGCATAACCACCCTGAAGAAGTGGACAACGAACCCACCGAGAATTTCTCCGCATGAGACACGGGGGGTGTCGATGAGCAGCACAGCGCAGCAGTGCACTGCCCCTCATTGCCAGCGACACAACAGATAAGAAGGATGACCCCCACCCTCCTTCATCGCATTCAGTCACTCAAGGTCGTCACCTCTTACGAGTATCGCCCATTTCCAACCCGGGATGTCCAAATCTTCCTCTCAGATCCACCGCGCATGGTGGAAGGAAAGCTCCGTCTACCAGATCTGGCCCGCCTCCTTCAAAGACAGCAACGATGACGGCATCGGTGACATTCCCGGCATCGTCTCGAAGTTGGACTATATCAAGAACTTGGGGATAGATATTGTGTGGCTATGCCCCTCGTACAAATCGCCCCAGGTGGACATGGGGTACGACATCTCCGACTACTACAGCATTGCGGATCAGTACGGCACGGTCGCGGACGTCGAGAAACTCATCCAGGGCTGCCACGATCGGGGGATGAAGCTTCTCATGGATCTGGTAGTCAATCACACCAGTGATCAACACGAATGGTTCAAGCAATCGCGCAGCTCCAAGGACAACGAGTACCGGAACTGGTATGTCTGGAAGCCGGCTCGATATGACGAGCAGGGTAACCGCCAACCACCCAACAATTGGGTTTCGCACTTCCAGGGTAAGTTCTCTAGCTATAGAAAAACTATGAGAACCAGCGAGTATTGAACTAATAACTCCATTATGTAGGAAGCGCCTGGCAATGGGACGAACACACGCAGGAATACTACCTCCACCTGTACGCGACCGAGCAGCCCGATCTCAACTGGGAGCATCCGCCCGTACGCCAGGCCGTGCACGAAATCGTGCGCTTCTGGCTTAACAAAGGCGCCGACGGGTTCCGTATGGACGTCATCAACTTCATCAGCAAAGATCAACGTTTCCCAGACGCCCCGGTCAAGGATCCCCGGACGCCCTGGCAATGGGGCGACAAGTATTACGCCAATGGACCGCGACTGCACGAGTACTTGCAGGGTATTGGTAATATTTTGAAGGAGTATGATGCTTTCAGCGTTGGTGAGATGCCGTTCGTCAGGGATACGAACGAGGTGCTCCGCGCTGTGCGCTATGACCGGAATGAGATCAACATGATCTTCAACTTCGAGCACGTCGACATCGATCACGGCACTTATGACAAGTTCGAGCCCGGCAGCTGGAAGCTCACGGACCTCAAAGCGTTCTTCGAAACTTGGCAGAAATTCATGTATGAGAACGACGGCTGGAATGCTCTGTACTGGGAAAACCATGACCAGCCGCGGTCCATTGACCGGTACACGCACGCCAAGGAAGAGTACCGCACCGAGGCTGGGAAGATGCTGGCTACGGTGCTGGCCTTGCAGTCTGGTACGCCGTTCGTGTATCAAGGCCAGGAACTGGGAATGAGAAATGTTCCTATAGAATGGGACATCAGTGAGTATAAGGACATTGACTGTCTTAACCATTGGCACAGGTACACTCGTCCCCTTTTCGGGTAATAAAAAGCCAAGCTAAATAATGCTGACTGGTACTCCAACTGCAGACTCCTCGAGCACAAGCCCAACGACACCGAAGCACAGAAGATCGCCCAACAGGAATACCAGAAGAAGTCCCGAGACAACGGCCGCACCCCGGTGCAGTGGTCCGCAGGCCCGAACGGAGGGTTTACCGGTCCGAACGTCAAGCCTTGGATGTCTGTGAATCCGGATTCCGAGCGTGTCAATGCTGAGGCGCAGGTCAAGGACTCAAACTCGACGTACCACTACTGGTCTTCCGTGTTGGGGCTGCGCAAGAAGTATCTTGACATCTTCGTGTACGGAGACTACGAGCTGGTCGACAAGGAGAACCAGGAGTTATTCGCTTACACCCGGCAGTACGAGGATCAGAAGGCGTTGGTGCTGGCCAACTGGACCGAGAAGACGCTGGAGTGGGATCCAGTCGCTAACGGCGTGAGAGGGGTGAAAGAGGTGGTTTTGAATACGTATAGCAGCACCGAGAAGGCCAAGGAGAGGTTCCAAGATGGTGGTAAATGGTCACTTCACCCTTATGAGGCGGTGGTAGTGCTTGTGCAGGCGTGATGTTATCGCTGTTGGGGACTGTACCGAGATGACAGACTGAACATTGTCCGGCTTCTAATGATATGGTGGCTACAATCCCGAAGATAGTTTACATTCCATTGAACTCAAGAGATAATCGGAGAAGTCGCAACCATAGAAATGGTAACTATCCGCCTTGAAAGAGAACAACCGGCTGTGGTTCACAGAGATAAAGGATGTAAACAACCACCAAGATATAGGCCCTAAACAAAGACCGATCCAGCTTCCACCATCCTCCACAAGAAGTTGAAATGCCCATGAATAGAATCCACCTGCTCCCATCAACATACAGCTACCCTCTACACAAACAACCCAGCACCACCCTCCACCTTCAAACTCAAACTCAAGCTCAAGCCCACACCAACATGAACCTCCCGCTCATCCTCCTAGCCCTTCACACTCCTCTAACATCCTCGTTCTCAATCCCTTCAACAAAAACCTACCTCGAAACCCCACACACAAGCGCATTTCCTCACGGTATCTTCTCCTGCCCGCAGCCCTCCCCAAACACCCCAGAATCAGCTAACCGTATACCAGAACCATCACCACAACCGAAGACCACCAGAAGACCCCCGATCCCACACCGGGAGCCTCCCTTCATGCCCAAAACCACCCACCAAGCCATCCACCCGCTATCCCCCCCAACCCAACCCGATATCCAAATCACACATACACCAGCTCCCAGCACAGAACAGCTCGTAACCGCCCAAGGTAGACACTCCTACCACCTCATCTGCCCGGGGTTGAGCCTTGTGATCGCGCGCGAGGATGATGCCTCCTTGGCTGTTCATACCCGGGCCCCGGATTCGGGGGGTCCTGGTGGTGGTGATGCTGCGGATTACAAAGGTTTGGTGGTGGGGTTTAAAAAGAGGACATTCGGTGAGGACTGTCTATCGCACTCGTTGGATTTGTTTGAGTTCTGCTGGCTGGTGGCGAGGTTCGTCTTTCGTGTTCTGGATGCGCTGGGGATGCTGGTGTTGTATTCGATGATTTTGGGGCCGAAGTTTGGGTTTTGACTACCGGTGCTGATTATGAGGGTTTTCTTGGGAAAGGGAGTTGGTATTTTGGGTGATTTGGGGGATTGGGTTGCTTGTTTAGGGGGTTCTATTGTTCTTCAATGGTAGGTTGGTGTTGGGGTTGAGCTTTGTTCTTTTTTTAAGAAGAGGTTTGAAGCTGGTGGTGAAAGTTGGCTCTAAGACTCTGATTATTTCTATTTGTTGGGGGATTTAAATCAAACAAGCCCACAAAGCGACTACAGGAATAAAATACAAAAGTCTCCCAGACGGGTATGCCCCCATCGCCCCGGACTTCTTCGCATTCACCATCAACACACTCGGCTCGTACGCGGCAGGCTCCGTGCTATTCCGTGTTCCGTCCCAACAATACTTGTCGAAGCACTGCATGCAGACAGACGGGACCTCCGTGTTCGTGCGGTCGAACGACCGGGCCAGGATGGCACAGCCGGCACAGGTGGGCCAGTCCGAGTACGAGCTCCGGGTGCCGTTGCCCATGGTCACGACGTTGTATCCGTTCGTGATCATCTCGTCGCGCTCCGAGATCTCGTACTTGAGTTGGAACGTCGACTTGTTGGAGTAGGTCGTGTAGGGGTAGTTGGGCAGGTAGACGACCAGCGGAGCCTGGCCGGTGATGTTGGAGCTGTTGCACCCGAAGAACGTGGGACGCGTGTTGAGTCCGAGGTTGATGAAGGTGCTCTTGTCGGGGATGCTGGGGAACACGGTCCCGTTGCCGATACCTGTGGAGTTAAGACTGCGTTCGTACGTGGCGACCAGGGGGCTGCCGTTGGGCCAGCTGTTGGATGTGCTGGCCGAGGAGTCTACTGCAAAGATCACGTCCACGTTGCGGGTGGGCTGAATCAGGGGGTGAAGAGGCAGGTTTTGCTTGTCTTCGCCGCCGTCAACGACGTTGAGATTGGGGGTCTGTTCGTAGGCGACGGACGCGTTGCGGTATCTATAGAAGGGATTGGGCGAGTATATGGCGATATCGTCGTTCCGGTCGCCAAGCTCTTCGAGAATGTCAGCGGCGATATGCTGAACGGTGCTGGGGAGATCCGTAGTATTGAGCTTAAGGATGAATTGATTGAAGAGACTGGAAGATGTGCCCATAACGAACCCGGCATTATCGTAGCCGCGCACACAGGTCGAATTAGAAGGAACCCGACCGTCTTCGAAATATGTTCCGAGATATTCAAGAGGGGCAAATCCGAAAATAGAAGGATCAAAGCTACCGAACTCCCAGGGATTGAATTCGTAGACGGTCGAATTGCTGCCGATCAAAATCTCGCCTGGGTTTCGTCCGTCCGCGACAAGGAGAGGCAAAGGCATCTTTCCATCCTTGAAATCTTGGGCCAACGCAATGGATGACCAAGTGTAGCTGGGTCCACCATCGGTAGCATTGATGAGTTGATATGAGAGAGCGCGGCCCCAGTAGTCGGTGAAGGAGATGTTAAAGCCAGCATCGCGTTTTCCAGCGACGACCTTCACCAGGTCGTCATAATACTTCGCTGTATCCCAGATCTGCAACCCCTTGGTCTCTGGGCCTTTAATGATCGAGTTCTGGAACTGCCACACTTCGCCCTCCTTGTACGTCTGCAAATTCGAAATGGTCGTGAAGTTATTGATGTAGATTGATCCCAGAAGCCAGCCACCTCCAGACAGGCCCGATAGATACGTTGCTGACTGCAGAAGACCACCGAGGTGACCGCTTTGGGTGGACCCTTCCGTACGACTATCAAATGCTTTAATTGCACCTGCACCATTAGTCAAGGCTCTGTAGCCCCCGCCCGATACAGCGATTCCAATGTTGGGTACATTGGAGACGTTTGAAGCATGCTTGCTGATGTACGACACGGCATCGAAGTTGCTCATATTTAGATGTCCGAAGAAGTCTTTCATGGCAGAGATGGTCTGCTGTCGACGCACATCCAGCCATGCCGTTTCATTCTTTGAGAGCGTGGATGCGCTCCGGATTGTTGGCCTGGTTGACGGGCAGGTCACATTGCTTGGGGTATATTCATCTGGGGCGTTGGGAAGGGCACGCCGTGCGATATCCTCAACGATCAAGTCATTGGAGGTAGGTACAGAGACGCTGCCTATTTAAAACAGAGATAATATTGTCAGTACTTGTATGCTTCAGCAGGAACCACGAACACTTACCGGGGACTGACCCCAGAGCAAGAAGTGTTGTGAGGGAGATGACTGTCAGCTTCATAACGTAACGATCGCCAAGACTGGCCAATTGAGGACCATCCGAATACACAGGGCGATTACCCTCAACTGGTGGGATCGTCGGTTTTATATGGGTAGGGGCACATCCAGAGCAAATCGGAAGTTTCTTCAGTCTTCAGCCTTGTGGCTTAGAAAGGGGACCTGAACCCGGGTAAGCCGCATGGCTTGTTTTATTTTTGCTGCCTGGAATGGAGCACCCACGGATTGCTGCATAACCCATGTCATAAGGACAATGTTCGGACTCCGGAGTCAAAGGATTGAACAACCATTGTAAAGAGAAACAATTAGATCCTACAGTCCCCACTGGACCCTGACCAAAAGCTGCCGATTGGGGGATCAATCAGGCAACAGAAATAAGAGGCTCGGAGGTGGAGTTCTCGGGCCCCGAAGAGCTGGAAAAGTCAGCTCTGACTTCAGCTGTTGTGCTGGGACCAGGTGTGACGAGGTTGATGAGACCAATTGAGGTGCTCCGCGGCAGTGATCAAATGCATGTATCGTAGCCGTGTATGCTGTCATTAGAGACCGTTTGGTAGGTTGCAGATGATCCTCAGTGTACAGTACGTGTAGAAGTTTTAGGAGACCCTGACCCTGAAGGCTCAGCCCTACGGGGCGCGGGAGCCTCGGCTGGGGCGGCAGAAGCCTTTCCTGAAGCATTCCTGAGCTGATCGTCGTGAACTACTTGGTCTACAGGTATTTTACTATAGAAACAAAAATATGCTCAACATCAAAGTCGTAAAGCGGTTAAAACGAACTGATGCGCTGGCGTATGATTGGGATAGCTCACAAAAAAGTAGAATGGAGAGCGGACGACAACATAGCTACCGTTGTATAAGATGAAGTTCCCAGAGCCGATCAACCAGCCAACGTACAGGGGATCGCAGAGGTGAGATAGTATCTGGTAGATAAAGACACCAGTCATGGGCTTCAAACAGATGCAGAGTACTTCAGTGCTGCGCATTCGTAATGCGCTGGGTAGAAGCTGCTGAACTCCCAGTCAATAATTCCCGAGACACGGTTGCTGCCCTTATTGTAGGTATCCTGTTTCACCATGATATTGTCTATCCATACATCACCATGGATGAACCCTAACTCCTGCTCGTAGGTAGAGCCTTCATGCCTGCTCTAGAAAGAAGCGAAGGAGCTGGACCTAGGTGGGACTACCATGATGACGGGCGCAAAACCGCAACTCCTTAAATCCTGTCGCTGTTGTGAGGCCTTTGAATAGGGGGCATTCATCGACGCGAGTTCTTTCACCCCTTCTCGAGAATCTTCACCCAACGCTCTGCCGTCATACGGAATCTTTTTCAGCCGACAGAAGATGTCCTCAAGCTGGCTTGTATGGCTAACTTGTCCTCGTGCGTCATGGCGGGCCCGGCTTGAGTCAATGTCATGCCCGAGTATGTAATGAAAACAACGCAGAATGGTCCGAGCGCTATCAGACTATGAGTACTTGAAACAGAAATACCAGGTGGATGCTCTGCGAGATATTGAATGATCGTACGTTCCGTATAATCATCATTTCTAGTGGTGACTTTTGCAACAATGCCCTCGCTGCCCGGGACCACAACATCTCGAACAGAACTTTCCCAGAGCTTGGATGGATCCCACAAGGGATGCTTAACTGAGATAATGAGCAGTTCTTCTGAGACTCTCGAATTTGACTTCGGCCCCTCCCCCCCACCGATAGATCGAAGACAACAGTGGCAGTCCCGGCAAAATTCCGGACTGATGCGGAAATCGGGACGATGCTGAGTTTTAGGTATATATGTCTGTGCATCTGTTTCAATCTTATGGCTTATTGCCGTTGTGATTTTGCGAGTGTACTTCTTTGGAGACTCGGATAAGAGAATGACTTCTGGTTCCCTCCTAGGTATGTTGCGGAGATCGTCCAGCGTCCGGGGATCGATTTGGCTAGCCAAAGATAATTGGCAATACCGGGCGTATCAATGCTTATCACGGTACGATTTTGAGGGCATTGACATCAAATCAGCAGCTGCGTCTTTTTAACAGCACAGCTTAAAATTCGCATCTTTGTTCCATTGAGCTGCTTCATCGCTGGCGAGAAAAAGGGGTAGTGCAGCTTCGGCCATCGCTGCAAGAAAGACCAGTGCCTAAGAAAGTCTATTCAGCAAGACAACAGGGAGATTGGCGAATAAAGCACTCGAGCCGTGGTTAAACTACATCGTTCGGTAAGCGTTGCTTGGTTTACTTTAAGAGATTCACGAAAACATGTGATAGACGTAACTTTAACACTAGAGATTGAGAACACTTCCGACGATACAATCAACATCGGAGCTTAGTAAAAACATCGCTCTTGCCTGGTAGGGATTCAAAAGAGTAATCGTCCGTTAGACCCTGCAGCCTAGGGTAATCCTTGCTGCTTGGCCTTGAGAGCCCCTTTGTTCCTGATATAAGTCTCGTCTTCCTGGTCGATACAGCCACTTTCCTCAAGCTTATCCAGGAGCCCAAGAACGTAAACCTGGCAGTCGAAGCGGAGGTTTCATTGTCAATGCTTGTTTTTTCAGCAACATACTTGATCTCATCGATCTTGGAAACATCCACGGTACAAAGGTAGACCAACTCCAAGAGGCTCCGTGCGTAACGAGCGTTTGAGTTTCTGATCTCGAGAACAAACCTAGACAATCAGCTTATTCATCTTCAAGAAACTCTCATAAGGCGTGAGCTAGGGTCAGGGCTCACGAGCCGGAGCGGTTGGTGATATGCAAAATGGTCTTCGTCGTCTCCGTGGGCCCGTCGATAAAGAGACCCCAGTGTCTGACTATGCTATTGCCATAAATGGCGACATACAGTCCTGCAGTGGCAGACATATCGTGAGTAGTTGGCAGTTACGATGGAAGATGGAAGGCTTGAAGTGGGCGAAACGCGAGCCACAGATTACGGGCAGCAAGACGGTTTCGAAAGACCTTGACAAGGCTGCCAACCTGAACAGATAGACCGAATGGGATAGACATAAACGCCGTTGAATAATAACAGCTGAGGCCAGAAAGCATCTCAAGGGCTTGGATCAATGCGGCCTTTTCTTTTTATACTGCATCACTCCGGTAGTCCTCACCCGTATTCAAAGTACGGCGTTTGTTTTTCAGTCATACAAGAAGTACGTACAGCCCCAGCAGCAGTATACGAAACATGTCGAGCGTAAGATGACTGAATCTGGCGAAAGCCTTATCGGATTAGCCATTCAGAGACGCTCTTACGTCGGCGTAGCAAGTCACAAGGGGTCAGACGGAACACTGAAAAGGACGAGCATGGTAAGGTGGCATTCAGCGCGTTTGCAGTGTCACTTCAGCCTTCGCATTAGCGGGCCTGAGAGGCATCGATCTAATTCGAGATTAGGTCCTAACCTCGGCGCCCAGTCCAGCTGCCGTCGCCTGGATGGGCACATACAGGTCAAATCAGAAGCTTGAAAGCAGTACTCTTAGACAATGCTAGAGTAATTTGCGGTTGATGAGTAGACTAAAAAGAAACGCGTGGTGAATTAATGATCTCCAGGCTGGCTGCGCAGTCTAGGGACTGATACGAGTCTGCTTGGGACACAGAGAGTCAATAGTAATTGTGAAGCAGGCCAAAAGGGCGATGATTGATCCATTTTTGCACCAGAGAAGCTGTTGGCACTCCGTAGTGTATATAAAGACTGAAGGCAACGCCGTGAGACAAGGGAATGAGGAAGCGATAAGGGTAACTAGTTCCCACCGCTAATCTCAAGCTGGACAAACGGAGTCGAGCGGTATCCTGTTGGCGGTCAACAATTCTGCCGCATGCGCGCCTCTCCAGCCATTTGACGCACCTCGCTCTAAGCGCAACCCAACTTCTTCCCTCTTTTACACTTTAATGACTGTCCATCATGTCGCAATTCCATCCGGAAGATAACCGGTACCCTCCGGGACCTCCGCATCGACCTGTTCCCCGCCGTGATGACCGGGACGGCCGTATGTACGACGATCGCTCGCCTTCCCGATCGCGCTCGCCTGGCGGTATTACGCTCTCCTCCCCGCAATAGTACTAGCACAGGGCGAAAGGCTTTGGCTTTGATGAACTGTCCACACCTCTTGCTTTGGACATGGTAATAACTGACTCGGAATCGTCATGAGAAGATCTACCCCACTCGCCTCCGCGGGGGCCTGCTGCGGAGAGAAGAGGAGACTATGCCAGAGATCGGCCCAGCTCTAGACCCCGTTACCGCAGTCGGGACCGTGATGACTTTCGACGCCGCTCTTCGCGCACCCCCCCACCACGGCGTGGCAGACCGGCTTACAGGGACCGGGATCGCGAGGGCTATCGCTCCCCCGGATACGCCAGCCGAAGCAGAAGTTACAGTCGCAGTCGCAGCCGCAGCCCCCGTCGCAGTCGGCATTCGCATTACGGGCAAGAGAGTCGCGAGGTGATGATGGACGGATTGCCGGTGGATATGGTGGAAGAAGACGTTCGACAACTCCTTCCCCTTTCAGTTTTCGTTGTCCGGAGCTCCAACGCGGTGCTCCCCGCGACACCATATTTGATGGCAAGAAGCTGAGATGTTCGTTGGATGTGTTGAACAGGTTTCGAATGAACTGAAAGAATTCTACAACGTTGAGGGCTTGGATGATGTCCGGGTTATTCGGGACCGGCAGACAAGTGAGTGATGTCGGAGTCACCTTGCTGTCCATGAGCTAATTGTGGTGTACAGAGGTCTCACGACAGCTGGGATTCTTGAGATTCCGAGACCTCAACCAGTCGCGAGCGTTCGTCGAGCGCAATTTCCCACACATCTACCTTCAGGGCCCTAGTGCACATGATGACCGGGGCACTAAAGTGCGCATCGCCTACAGTCGCGAAAGAGAGGACCGTGCTCGGGCCCGCGCGGAGGCTGACTGGACCTGCATGATGGTGAGACTCAAAGTCGAGGCAGCTTGAGCCTGAGTCAAGTGCTAACTCTTTTAGTGTTCCATTGTTAATTACTCCACCCGCCAAAAATGCTTTCGTTGCCAAGCACCGCGACCTGGTATGTCACTCAAGCGAACCTCTATTTGAAGTTGCTCATCGGAAGTAGATGCCGGCCCTGCAGGCCCACCTGGACTACCGGCACCGAAAGTCGAAAACCATGGCGATAACGATGCAGCCCCTGAGAACCAGCCTTCGCAATTCCTTCTCTTTCGCGGACTGGAATCATCAGTTACCGAAGAACTCCTGGCCAAAGGTGTTGCCAAGTTGTATCGTCCTTCATCTTCTGGAAATGATGCTACGGGGAATCAGAAGAAGGGAGCTAAAGTGGCCTCCACCACCGGTGACTCTAACCTGGGAGCTAGAGATGGTTCTATCCGCCGTGTCCTGCTGGTGAGAGGCCGCAAGTCCAACGAGAGCTGGCGCTACGGCTTTGCCGAGTTCGCGACGATTCAGGTATGTCTGTCAATCTGTCGCCCCTGGCCTAGCTAACACTGACATAGGATGCACAAGCTGCCATAACCCGGCTCAACTCCTTCGACAAGTTTACCATTTCCTCGAGGCCAGTCCTTGTCAGCTACATTCACGCCGGTGTTTTTGTCCCGGTGCTCAATCCCACCGCAAGCAATGAACGATTTACATTCAGCCCCCTAAACAACCCGTCACTGAAACTGATGTACTGGGATGAGGAGGCGTATGTGAAGGAGCTCACGGTATCGACAGCGGAGCTCGATAGCGCGAAGGGAGACAAGGCAGCTGGCCAGGATGGACAAACGAAGGGCAACAGGGATGCAGACAAGGCCAAGAAACGCAAGGCCGATGCTGCCGCAAGCGCAGGAGCGAAGAAGATGGCGGTCCCGTCGCACCTGCAGTTCTGGAGTAACCGCCACGCCGAGCTGCATGGAATCCAGAAGAAGGACGCCGAGGAGAGAAGCGGCGGGGAGCAGCCGCCGGAGCCTGCAGCATCCCCAATGGATCCGGCCGCTCCCCCGAGTCAATCCTATGCTAACCCCAACCAGAATTGCTGTTACCTGTGCATGCGCAAATTCAAGTCCACGGCTCAGGTCAACCTGCATGAACGCCTCAGTCAAATGCACCGCGACAACCTTGAGAACGAAGAGCGGATAGCACATGCCACCCGCAAACTTGTCAAACACGGCATTATCCCGCAACCGACGGAGTATCGCGATCGTGCCAGGGAGCGGCGACAGGCGTTTGGCAGATCCAAGGCTGGAGCCAAACCACGGCCGGCAGCGCCTCCGTCCAAGGAAGAAGAGCCCGCGGTGCAGACTACGTCCAAGGGCGCATCGCTTCTCAGCAAGATGGGCTGGTCTGCTGGTTCTGGACTGGGTGCTCAGGGGACCGGAATGACGGCTCCGATCGCGACCGAGGTGTACGCGCAGGGTGTGGGCTTGGGTGCTCAGGGCGGCAAATTGGGCGATGCCAGTGAGGAAGCCAGCCGTAACACGCGCGGTCGATATGATGAGTTCTTGGAGAAGACGCGACAGACGGCGCGTGAACGATATGAACAGATGGATCAATAGCAGCGTTGATTTTTTTGTCTTCGCCGTAGCTGTCATAAGATTAACCATACCATTTTATGGTCTTTTCTTCCGTTGCCAATGGTTTGAGAATGCGATAAATACAAGAGTAGGGTATGTCATGCAAAGAAAAGTAGAGAAGAAAGATATGTTCATCCGAAAGAAACTCCATCCCATCCGATCCCCTCAGCCAGCCAGCCCTTTCCATTCGAATCCTCCCCTATTCCCCACCCCGCAAACGATCGTTTAAAGGAGATCAATCAATTCCCCTCCCCATCCCGCTTCGCGTTCTCAGCAAGTTCCTTCTCGCGCTGCACCTTCAACTCCTTCCCGAACTTCTCACCCAGGACGCGGGCAGCCCACTCCTCGACCTCGCGCTCCATCTCGCGGTCCCCCTCGACGAGCCCCTTGGCCGCGTCCTCCTCCGAGAGCGCCGCCCGCCGCACGTACCGCCGCATGTCATCCACGCCGTTGATGTCCATGGCGTACAGCACGCCGCCGGTGCTCATCATGGCGAAGGAGAGGACGTTCAGCGTGGCGAGGTTGAGGGCCTCGAAGGCCTCGACGCCGCCGCTGACGGCCGGCTTGTGGTAGGGCGCACTGGTGTAGAACGGCGGGATCGACGCCAGCGCGCGCTTCCGGATCGCCCGCCGCGTTGTCAGCACGCTCAGCGTGAAGAAGGCGAGCCCGCCGACCAGCAGCTTGAGGTTTGTTTGCGGGGTCCAGAGTTTGGGGAGTGGGGGGTCGAACTCTGTGGTTTGTGGGCGGGAATTTGAGGGGTCTGTTGAGGTTGATGTGGGTTCCTTTGTTGTTGTTTGTTCTGAGGGGGTTGCGGAGTTGGTGGAGGGTTGTTGTTGGTCTGGGATGAAGTAGCGGAGGAGGCCCATTTTTGAAGGGTTGAGTTGGGCTTTTTGGAGGGGGTAGGGAGGTTGGATTCGGCGGGTGAGGTTGTGGTGGGTTGTTAGAGGTTGTATTTGAAGTTTCAACTGGGGCGTTCTGATGTTTTGCGCCTGAGAAGAATTGATTGAGTGCTTGTTGAAGTCTAGTGAGGGGATCTCGGATCTTAGAGAGTGAGGAGATGAGGAACTGGACTGCTTAGTCAGAGGAAGATAAATGGGCATTTAACTCCTTTTTAAGTCCGTGATGGATCTTGGTATGTGTCATGTCGACTCTTCCCTGCTATTCTCTCGCATTCCTTGCTGATGACTCTTAGATTGCTTGGTATTCTTAATATCTCTCCCTGGTTCCATCCAAGGAAGCACTATAGGTTTGTTTGTCTCTCTCTAGTGAATTGTCGGCGATCGAGATGATAATCGACGGGCCGAAGGCTTGGCCTGTTATGGTAGCACAGACCGTCGCTCAGGAAACATTGTATAAGTTTGTCAACTGATAAGAAATCACTCTTTGTTGCACCAATCGTCAAGCAGACTCGGGTCTAGTCTCGCTCGGAATGCTCGCTTGCCCATCGTAAGTGGCATGCTCAGCTCAGCGGACGGGACTGCAAGGAACATTTGTAGATGATAGAGTTAGGACATCCCGAGAAAGAGCATCCAATTCCCCAGAACGGGTTAATGTCTATGAAATTCCCTGTCTTGTAGTGATAGTACTGTGGTATATATGCTGAGGTATGAGTATACACAAAACAAAACGTCTATTTACATGGTATCTTGGTCTGCAAATATAAGTTTATATACAGGGTTAATTCGAATCATGCGATATCAACTCAACCATGCTGTAGAAGGTAGCAGGAAACATATACATGAGTGAGCTTGCAAGGTTTCTTCCAGGCCATTGTATTCGAGTCGGTAGAAGAGTTAGAAGCCCGAATCATATGTGCCTGGCCCCTGCTAAGTGAGTTCTTTCGAAGGCAATTTCATTGACGTTTCCGTTTTGGTTCTGAAATGTTGCATCAACATGTTGTGGCGCATTCCTGCTGATTCATGATGATGTTACAGCCTGAGAATCGAGGTTGTCGTGGACCCCAGTGAACGCACGACACAATGTCCTGTAGGTAGAGTAGTTGCCTGCTTGCACCAGAAACATTCCTAGTCCCACTAATTGCACCAATTCTCTCCCAGTATATGTGTAGGGCTTCGTCAGGGCTCCGCTCGAGCGACACACGTGTATAATGGCGATGGACCATACATGCAAGGGATACTCATTATCTTTCATGTCAGTCCCCGAAGGGCGAAAGAGCGAAGCTGTTGATTCCAGTGCTTCGGGGCCAAAGTAGCTTGGGCCGTCATTGAGCAACCAGCAGACTCTGCTTCAATCATTGGACAACCTCAACCGAGTCAAATGTATAGATTCGCAGCACACGTTGCTTTTGCTCCAAGATCCATGCATGTAGCTCATCAGTTAGAGGAAGCATAGCCATGTTCAGTAAATTAGTCGATGCGAGCCATCCCCCAAGAAGTGGGGAGGTTTGTCGATGAGCCGCAGTGACCCGGCGGCCATCGGCCTCAGGATAGTCGATCTTCTCCATGCCCATCCTGGCCGGCATCGACTGGCTTCCGAGAAAGTAAGGAATGGTGGCACAGATTCCCGTTGCGAGATCTTGGATAATGTCTAGGGCACACTGAATATTGTCTGTGCGGAGGGGAGGCGGAAGCATGCGCAGACAGCCGAGAATGATGTTCTGGATGACGATGCGTGAGTCGCGATAGAAATTCCACGTGCTGGCAATCCAGATGTCCGAGTAACAGTCGCATCGATTCTTGTACATGCCTGCCTTGCGGATGGATTCGCAGATCATTGTTGCAGGGACAGGATGCCAGTGGAGGGGGAGGGCATGTGTCCAAGCTACGAGTCTGGTGTCAAGATGCATTGCCCGCGCGAGGATCGCCTCGATCTCCGTGACATTATCGGCTCGGACGTCTAAGACAAGCTTGTCCCATGCTTGTCGAAGGCTGACCAACTCAGATGTCGCCATCAAGAGTTGTGTGGAAGCCGATTCAGGCGCAACCGGGGCGGGTGGCCAAACCTTGGGTGTCTGCATAACAGGGTACGCTAACCCTTTGGAAGTTTTGATCTATCTCATTAGTCAGAGCTCAAACAAGTCGCTGGAACCTCACGCTTACAAGTTGTGCATGTACTGCGTTTTCCAACGTTATCGCAATGTCCGTCTCCCGCTGATCGGGACTTCGACTGTTTACCAAGGCAATTGCGCCACGTAAATGTGTCTTCCCTGGAGGCCTCCGCTCCTTCAAAGCCGAGAATTCCTAACCAGATCCATCAGGTCTGAGCATTCATTTATCGATCTCATCACTCACCTCATAAATGGACAGCAGAAGAACAGTCATCAGGATCTCATCTTGGTTTTGGTCAATGCCACCTTGAATCGCTTCTCTGGTCTTCGATATTGCTTGAAGACACAGCTGCTCGGCAGCTCGGAGGTATGACCGGTTGCCTGTCCATGCCGACACCGAGAAGAAAGAAACCGCCAAAGTGATGAGTTTTAAGTGCGAGCCAGGCTGGGCGTTTGAGTAGGCCTGAGGCACCATCTCCATGAAACCTTCTCTTATCAATGGGTCCTTGGGCGAATAGAGATAAGAACTGAAAAACAAAGATGTCACCGTGTCTTCCAGAGGCAGATGGACACTCTTAGGTATATTGCAGGTCTTATCGAATACAATATCCATCCAATCGGCTCTAGTGACATTCGACGACACGACATTTTCGGGCGGTGCTGAGATCACTGCGGTGTTTAACGCTGCTAGTTTGGCTTGGTCCACAGGGGCTGTGTTCGAGGCCTGAGTATCCCGCTTTTTGCGTTTGAAAGCAATCTGGTCCCGTAATACAAGATCAAATGGATCCGGGTAACCCGGACAAGATCGGTTCGTCCGCACACAAGCTCTACATTCTGGACGAGTTTCATCGCACTGCAACAGACGATCAGCAGCGACATCTTAAAAGGTCCACAGAATGCTCACCTTGATGCGTCTTCGACGGCAATTTTGACATCCAGTGCTTACTCCACGGTAGACCATACTGAAAGATCCCTGCGTCCGGAGAGACTCCAGGTTTGAGATCGGACTGATTGACCGTGGGGTTCACTCGTACGACCAGTTCAAGAATTTTGTTCGGGGAACTGATGCTTTGAGGTGCATCTTCAGGCACCAAGCATTCCAGTCAGCTCTATTGGTTGTCAAACTGACCTTTGGTTCGTGTTCTAGACGTCACAAGCTCATACCATGGACATGTTATCGGGATGGCCAGGTAGATAAGCTAGGCAGAGATGACTGCAGTGCGCCATCGGACCGGAGAGCCCGCGCTATCACAAACATGGTTAGTCTTGATCTCTTAACACGTGACGCTACTATCAACTTAGTATCTAATGCCGATGAACCACAAAACAAGGTCTAGACAAAAGTTTATCAGACACATGATGGCGGTTGGCGCATTCTGAATGTACGTCTCGAAGGATATTAATATAGCAAGGTGGCAAGGAGAATAGGGCAATTCGAAATACAGCGGACAATGAAGCATAAGTTACCAAAGAGAATCAACGTCAAAGGCTCATAGATACATTAGGGCATCAGTACATCTCATTAACATTAAGTAGTCCATAATAGTGGCTTGACATTCGAATCATAACACATAGAACGGGTTTTCGTGAGACTCATCGATCAATCATAATACATGAATCATTTGCAAAGAGGGGAAATGCTGTGGGTTGTGCACGTAGGTCGAATAAAAGTGTCCCTCCTGATTTTGTTGGAGCCGAGCTTGTAGTACGCGCATATGCACTACCTCGCATATCCGGTGGTAATCAACATATCCGTCCGACCAGGACGGTCAAGGCGGTCAATACCTAGATGTTCTTTTCCATCTCGGCCGACATATATTCCAAATCCGTACACCGAATGCTCTCTGTCCCCAGGAGGTGCGACAACCAGTCGAGTGACAAGATCTACTTTGCTTCTAGGCTCGCGCAATATCTTGTCCGCAAGGAGGGGGCTCTGGTAGAGAAAGCTCATCAGATCGGCCAGCGTGCTGATATCATGAGGGAGGTAGCGTTGGCGGCGGGGCCAGATACACAAGAAGGAAACGGTATAAAGCGCACAGAAAGCCACCAGGGCATAGAAAGCAGGCATCGAGGCTGCAATCTTCACTGCATGCTCGGCCGGATAATTAAGCGCAATGAACACCCCTCCGGCGAGTATAGGAATGACGGCAGATGCAACGCTCATGAATGAAATCCATGCAACTTTGTAATGTTTGTTGATGACCGCTAGTGCAGTCACCTGGAAAGGAAGGCAAGACGGATATGCCAGTAACAGACTCTCCTCTGCGCGCGCACCTTTCGACGATGACAAAGAAGCAAACGGCTGCGAGGCGCGGAAGAAGACGTCAATCGGCTGCCATGCGAGAAAAAAGACATTTCCAATGAGAGCTGGAACAAAGCTGTAGCAGAAGTTGGATGACGAAAAGGCGCCTGTAGAAGGCAAAGTTGGCAGTCGTGGGGGGAAGCCTCCTCGGATAGCGTCATGGATAAAGCTGACCAGCACGAATGCAATGAACAGGGCACAGATGATCACCGTCCAAGCAATCACTGATGAATCCTTCAGGAACCATGGAACCCATCGGTAACGAACAGAAGGGGCGTACAGATGCTCACAGTATTCGCCCTTTTCTGCCATACCCTGGCGTTCATGGTCAAACGAGACCTTGGACAGACCGTGCGACTGCATTTGAAGATTCTTTTCCAGGTGATGTAGGGACGGCGTTCGGATTGGAGCATCAGCCTCACCAATCCCATAGAAGGTCTCTCCTCGATTCGACAACTGCCAGTATCCCAGCCGGAGAATTCGAGGATCGAGTGACTCCCCGACGTGCGGTAATGTTTCGGACTGTTCAAAATCGTGTAGAATGTTTGACCGTTGGATAACTGAAATCAAATCGGCCAGGCTAACAGGGTCCCACATCAAACCTGACCATGTGCGCACAAAGCGAAGCATAAGCAGGATCAGTCCAATAGTCATCAAACTGTAGATAGCCACTAGGGTCCACCCAACAGCCTGGACTGAAGCCCATCGCCACGTGCCTTGGTTATCAACCACATACCACTTGGCCTGGAACAGACAACTGAGGAGCGGCAATGCGATGAGATTTGAGATCCACATTGAAAGTAAAGAGAAACCGACAAGCGCTTCGCCATGTCGAAAGTGAGAGAAATCAGGCACAATGAAATTGCGTGACAGAACCGGCAGGCTTTGCAGAACTCGATCGAATGGTCGTTCTGATGCCATGATAGCAAATGGCATGACACGGTATACGGCGGCTTGGACAACGAATGTCCAACCGGTGATGGCTATTCCTAGAATCTGGGGTAAGAACTGCATCACAAAGTAATGGGAACCAGTTTGCTGCTCATAGCCCCAAAGTCCTTGTTGCCTCGTGGACCAGATATTGCAAAAGATAATTCCTGCTATCATGAGCAAGCAGCAGGTCGTAAGTGCGGCCAACGCCCATGTGCGCAGTACAGGAGGCACATAATCTAATGCCGGATAAAGTAGACTATCTTCGGGGGGTTCCACTGGTATGAATGATTCCGGGTCCACCGACTTTCGGGGTGATCTCCTTGCGGAGACAGGAGATGCTTGCTGATGTCTGATTTCCGCAGTCGAGGAAGGACAATGCGAGCGGATGAAGCAGCCTAGGCCATCATCCCAGAGCAGCGGCTCGGCGGGAGAGTCATGGCTCACAATCGAACTCCTCCTCCTGGGACCCGCGACTTCTTCATCACGCGTGAGCTGGCTAATGGCGAAATGGATATACGGTGAGTCGTCCATTCCGGGTGTTGGTGGGCGTCCCGCGTAGCTGTCAGCGGGCGCCTGACTGGATGTTGTATTGGACATGGGGCTTAGGTGGACTTCTCTATCCTCAACGGAGCGTATGGTATGGGACGCGGGTGTAGTGAAGTTTCTATTGTCGCTCGAGGATTCCACGGAGGGTTGCGATCGCGTGCCAGCCACCGGCGGGGCGAGATGCGTTCTTGATATGCTAGGGGAAGGAGTACGGGATGCAGGTCGCGAATTGGGAGTTGCATAGCGCACGACATTGACTCGACTGCCACTCATGCGAGACCTTGCGCTGGAGCTCTGGCTTGAGAAGGAGTAATAGTCATCTGAAGCGGCAACGGACTGTTGGTCCTCGGTATGTATCATCTGCGGTCTACTTGCTGTATAGAGTCAGTCATGAAACCACAATTCAGAATCGGTCGAGATCTTGGGTTGACCGGCTGTCAAACAAATCTAACATTCCACTTACAGCTGACAGTCCGCAGACTCACATTACCCGACCCCGGAGCTAACATTGCGGTCGGGATCAACCGAGGAATGTATATGTTCAATTGCTCACTTGCAAAACAATATGAGATATCTCATGAACATTCCTAGCACACAAGACCCTAACCGATCGAGAGAGAAAGAGTAAGAGTTGGAATGGCCGGGGCAGGAAGCAAGGGAGAAAAGAGCTCTGAATTGGGCTGCCACTGACCGTTTGAGGTGGTTGGCTATACGACCGCCAGTCTTTCCCAGCCTCCGCAGCCCAGCCACCGCAGGTCCAACGAGAAAAGAGCCAATGGAGCCCGACGACATGGCATCGGTGGTGATAGATCAGGGCTCGACATGGCTTCCAGTCATTGGCGAATTGCTCTGGGCGGGAAAGGCTTGATCGGATGAACGCCGTGGTGTGTCAGTTCGGTGGTTGTGGTGGCACCCAGAGATGGATCTTGATGGACAGCCCAAACTCCAGACAATGCCAAGATCGCGGCCCGAACCACTCAAGGGCCATCCACACCTGTCAAATACTGGTACTTATACAACGTAACGAGTTCTACGAGGTTGTCGGAATCGCTGGAATAAGATGAACTAAGCGAATACATCAAAATGAGATAACTATAAAAAGGTGCTTTGCATCGCATTGGCCCTCATCAGACTTGCAGTCACTCTCCAAATATCTACCCAATGCAGACGTGTTGCACACTGAGCTTGTCTGTCGGACAGACCCACAGAATTGGATCTGACGTTTGTCGAGGTTGAATGAACATCAGTACAACATTTCACGAGTGTTGGTCGAGACCGAATAGACATATGATATAGCATCATCTACTCACTCTCATAGTGACAGTGCTTTTTGCAGAAGGGGTGGGCTAACGTCATCCATTCCACTTCCGCGTCACCATCTGGAAATACGAACAAACTGCTTGCGCACTCGGCACTAGCCAGAGAGTACTCCATACCTCACTGATGGTTCTTAGTAGAGCTGGAACTTTTACATTACCTTTCTCTTGTCAATTACTACCGAAGTATTCCTTGACGGGATCCCTGCCTGGATATATCTTGCCAGCCGGGAACGCTACTACCTCAAGGGAGACGGCATAGAGTCCAAAAAGTGTAAAAACTGAACGGGTACGTGCTGCAGATGATTTTCGAGGGTCTGGGTCTGCTAAAATTAGAGCCATGCTCAGGACTGTAAATTCTGGTCCAGCAACCTGGGAAGTCCATCCTAATTTCGCAAAGAATGGAGATTCGTCGGCTCTTATAATGTCAAACCTAGGCAGTCGCTATTCTGACTCGAGGCAACTCGTGGGACACGGCCCCATTATCACTATCTCTGGCTTGACGAATCAGAGAAGCTCTCGGCGTGGGCACAGGGGGGGGCACTGCTGACTGCGGCATCTGGAGATGTGGATAGTGGGTACATGTGCTATGCATTGGCGCGACAAGCGGGGGAAACGAGAGTGTGAACTGTGAAGGCAGCAGAGATAGATAGTTCAATGGGCAGGGCCGCTGCTTCGTCCGCGTAATATCTGAGGCAGAAGCAACTCAAGAAGCCATTGTCGAGTGAGGAGCTGGCTGGCTGCAGCGACAGCGACAGTGACAGTGACAGTGACAGTGGCAGGCAAGACTCAGAATGAAAAATGATTACTTGCTTAGTGCAAGTTGGATCGTGGCGGCAATGACTAAGGAATCTTCCTTTCTGCTCCAATCAGAACCCCGCAAATCTTGCAATCCCACCCGGCCGTCCCTGTCGTTTTCCCCTCTCTTTCTCTATCTCGGTCGAGGCAGCATCATCCACTGCAGTGCATCCTTCCCTTCACCCACTTCTCTCTGCTCTTCCTCTTTTACTACCACTACCTTCAACTCCTACACTTACACTCATTTCCAGTCATTCCTTCAATTTCTCTCCTCTACGCTATTTGCCTCTTCTCTTCTCTTCTCTTCTTTTTCCGCTGCCTTCACCCCTTCGCCCCCCTTTATCATCTTCCATTATATCCTTCTTTCTCTTTTTTACCTTTTTAGATTCTCCGGCTAGTTAGTTAGTTAGATCATACCTTATCTAAGGGCGGATTCGGTTCGCCTCCCTCCTCCAATCTCCGAACCAACCCTTCTTTGTCACCATATCTGTCGCGGATTCCTCAGGCTTCCCGCCTCCCCCTGCCCCCATGTCGCAGGAGGCCAGCAATCATTAAGTCCTTGCAAGGTTGCGCTCAATGTTTCGAACAGCTTCGGGACTTTACTTGTGATCACGTTGCATCTCAACTCGCCGTGGCCTAAGTAATTGTGGTCAATTCCTGCCTTCTGCATTGCTGCCACTCCTGAGTCCCCGCTCGCCTCTCGATCGCGGCGACAGTGTCGCTCCGCTCTCGAGTCGCCATGCTGCTTAAACCGGCCACACCGCTTACTATCCTCCTTCTGATCGCATTTGCCCTTCTCCTCATCTCCGTCCTCTCGACTCCGATTGTCAAAAGCATACCGCTGGCTACCTTTGAGAATGTCGACTACGGTGTTTTCGGTTACTGCAAGGGTGACCAGTGTACCAGCATCCATGTTGGCTATGCCGACGGTTCGTTGCCTTCTCTCTCTCCTCGGCGCATTCTTGTCCTTCCTCTCAAGCAGGGTTCCGTGTGCTTGTCGCGAATAATTACTCACAATTCTCGTCACAGATAATATCATCCCGACAAACACGAGCAGCAGCGAGTTCAACCTCCCCCCTAGCACTCGGAAATCGCTTTCGGCCATCTTGATTGTTCATCCCATCGCGGCGTTTCTCACTCTCATTTGTCTATGTTTAGCAGCAGCAGCACACTTTCACGGCCCGTCGCATTCACCGCGCTATCTTTTGGCCTTGCTGATCCTCCTTCTCCCTACTCTCCTCGTGTCTCTTCTCGCTTTCCTTGTCGATATCTTGCTGTTCGTTCCGCATCTCGAGTGGGGAGGATGGATCGTGCTCGTGGCCACCATTTTGCTTGTCACTTGTGGCGTGGTCACATGCGCAATGCGCCGGACACTTGTGAGCCGTAAGGCGAGAAAGAGACGCATCGCAGAGAATGCTGAAATGAGTGGGGAGAACTTCTACAATCGCCAGAACGCAGCAGCGGCAGCGGCAGCAGGAGGCTTGAGTCAGCCTGAGAGCCTCAATGTTGACGTCAAGGAGCCGGTTGTTACCGGCTCTCCTCCTACATCTGATGTCACGCCCACATTCGCTACGTTTCGCACGACAACCCATGATAGCGACGACGATCGTGCGCCTTTGAACGCCCGCAATCCATCTAGTGATGCTGCAATGCCTCCTGGTCAATATGCCAATATGCGCGGCGACGTGATGGCCTACAACTCTCCACCGGATCATATCGAGAACCACGGGCCTGTTCAAGGACCAGGGCCACGGATGCGCCCCGGACCCCCCGATGGTCGACTTCGCAATCAGTATTCCGATGGCAGTATGGGTTCGCGACGCGGTCCCCCTCCTCCAGGATTTGCTCCGCGTGGACGTGGTGGATATGGCCCGCGAGGAGGCTACGGTCGTGGGAACTATCATGGGCCTGGACCACGAGGACCTACTCCGGGGGGTCCAGGAAGAGGTGGACATCCATCGGCAATGGGACGAGGCTACCGAGAACCTCCTCAGCCAATTGGATATGGTCCTTCACCTGGGCCTCGGCCGACCGCGCCTCTCGAGGATGAATACGACTATCGTGGCCCAGCGCCTTCAGCGGGTGCTCATCGACAACCATCCCCGGGTCCGATAGGAATGGCCGTTTCTGCGGATTATGAGGCGGCTGGACAAGCTATAGAAATGCAGCCGCAGCCAAAACGCCTAGACTCAGCTAATACTCTGCCGCATGAGGTGATGGTCGATTCCCAACCACATGCCTTGTCAGCCGATGGGTATCCCGAACCCATCAGTCCCTCAAGCCTTTATAGCCGGACTCCGTAAGCCATTTCTCTGCTCGGTGTTGTACGTGGTGTGTGTATACTGACAACCAACAGATCGTACAATCATCCGCGCGCTGGCTGGGCCCAAGCTGAGCCCGCCGCTCATCACTCACCCTCGCCTATGCATGCGTACGGTTCTACGCAGCGGCATGCTCGCTCCCCTTCAACTGATTACTTTGAAGATGCGGATCCTCGATTCGCAAATCCCAATGAGTCAGCAGTAGGTAACACACGGTTGCCTCCTGCTCTGACACCGGGTGCTATCGGTGAGCGGAAACCGACGGATGATTCGGCTGAGGCCCCTAACTCACCCACTACTAGCGAAGTAAGCCACTTCACATCCATCTCTCAGCGGCCCATCAATCCTCGCTGGCGACCACCACCCGTTCCAGCTCAACAGAAACATGATGTGCTACTGGAGAATAATCCAGACTTTGACCTTCGGGCGGGCGCCGGGAGAGGAGGGCTTGCCGGAGCAGGAAGTCGAATGCCGCCTTTGTCCATACCCCGAGACGCCTCAAGATACCCACTTCCATGAACATAATCTTTAATGTTACACTGTGCCTCCGACCTTTTCCGAAACACGGGTCTTCCGGGGACTTATGAAGCTAGTCACTGGACTGGACAGGATCTCCCATGGGGCCGACGAGCCCTTGTGCTATGCCTGCGCAGCATGGCATCTGCATATAAGCGCATTGCGTCTGTAGCTGTGGCCACTACGAGTGGACATTGAAGAAGAACAGATGTACATTGATGAGAGAGAACCCGATACCATACGGACTGCTGTTAGTTTATGATTGTTATGTTAGTCTCATAGGGCATGATTACTATGTTTGTTTCAACAATTATTTTTGCGACCAATCATACTTGGTAACGATTGGATGAATCCTTCCCCTCGTTGATGTGTCTGGGGGAGTCGACCGAAGCATTTCCATTGAGCACTGCGTAAACTGGGAAGTGGTGATGGTTAGTGGCCCTATTGTCTGTAGGTTGCCCCGCGTTTAACTCAATCATGTGCGTGACATCATGAATACAGTCATCTAACCAGAATTCCAGGTAGTATGACTATCTTTCTGCCTGAGGGCTTTAGTGCAGATCTTCTCTGCGGAAACGAACGCCAAGAATGGATATCAAACTGCCCAGCGTGGCTCAGCACCTGAAGAAGCCAAGCTGCATGATCATTGGCGGTCGAGCGCATTGCAGAACAAACTTCAATTTTGCGGCAGAGTCGCGATTATCTTCCTATTGCATGAGGGGACAAGAAAAAAAAGCAGTGAAATACTTGGGAACGAGACTTGTCGTGAGCACATCCAGCCACTGTCTCGTGACTTGTCCCAATGGAGGATGCTGACAGGCCAAGTGTCTCGTTTTCGGCATTTAGATGATTGATGTCTGCATCTTTTCGAATGAGAGCGAGGAACGGTTCCCGACAACTCGTATCCGCCAAGATCCCGCTGGCGCTCCCGGTCAGTTTTGGCGAAACCCTTGTGGACTGGATCTTGGCTTATCGTGATCGACAGATGGCTAGAGCCTCCCGGGGCTTGGAGGCTATCGACGGAGCCAAGTTACAGACCCGTGCCAAGGGTTTGCCAAGCGGCTCTCTCTGGCAGGCGATATGATATGTCCAATATCATGCAGACCGAGACTGAAAGCGCTGTCGCCTGATTGATTTGGACATGGTATATCCATCTCAAAACCCATGTGTCGCTCCAGGATGATGCGCGTATCGCGACGGCACATTGGGCTGATATCGGAAACCGCTGCTTCGGCGGTGTACCACCCCACTCGCGTCTTCTGGTAGGCATGCGTCTCTCGAGACGAGAATATCATGGACACATGGTTGCACTGATTCTTATCAGTATCTTGGCGTGAAGAAAGGGTGGTGGGGATGGAAAACTCTGTATCGAAGTCCATTGTATATAGGGATGGCCGTGATTTGGCTCCAAGGATGAAGGCAGCAATTTTCTCAACCCCATTTTCTACACCGGCACCGGTTGCGCTTCCCTGTCTCATCTCACCATGCAACAATCTTCCGCCGATAACATTCAGCCCGCTCCGGCAGCTGCCACGGCATATAATAGACATCTGCAGTTCAGCGAGGATCGAGGCGGCCTTTGGTCCTCAGGCAACAGCACCATTGTCTCGCTGAATCAGTCTACTGACGACGAAGAGACCACTTCCTATGCGAGGATAGCTCGCCACTTCCAAGCCGAGATCGATATCTCTTATGCCGATCTGCCTTTGATCGTCTGCGGCTTCGTCAGTGGCCTGGTGGATGGATTGTCCTTCAATGCTTGGGGGAGCTTCTCCAGCATGCAAACAGGTATGTTCTGGCCATGTCACCCCTCGTTCCACATCTCGTATACAAACAACACCCCACGTCACTCTTGTTTCAGCCCCATGAGCTAATTGGCTGCGCCTCAGGAAATACTGTCTTCATTGCCCTTGGTGCTTCGGGGCAACCGAGATACCCCGCCTACCTGTGGGCCAAGTCCCTCATTGCACTCTGCACCTTCATCACCAGCAACATCCTCTTCATTCAAACCTCCCGCCTGCTCGGTCCGCCCCGCCGTCGCTCCTCCCTCATCCTCTCCTTCGCCGTGCAATCTGTCTGTTTGCTGGTCGCTGCACTCCTCGTGGAGCTTGAGGTCGTCGCGCCGCGACCCGAGAACCCGCGCGCCCCCATCCAATGGATGCAAATCATCCCCATCTCGCTTCTGGCCTTCCAGGCGGGCGGCCAGGTCTGTGCCTCGCGCATCCTGGAGTTCGATGAGATTCCCACAGTGGTGCTGACCAGCCTGCTGTGTGACTTGCTCGTGGATCCGAACTTGCTGGCCCGGAAGAACCCCAAACGAGACCGCCGGATCGGGGCCTTCCTGGCTCTATTCCTCGGTGCCATGACAGCTGGTGGACTGTCCAAAGTGACTAGCATGGCGAGCAGTCTGTGGTTTGCTTTTGGTCTGAAGCTCATGATCACCTTGGCATGGATGGTTTGGAAGACAGACAGGAGTGGAAAGATGGGCAAGAGCGGAGGAAGTATAGTCTGATCCTGTCGTTCGTTGTTTGTCCGTTGGGCTCTCTGCGATACGATCCCTCGAGCTATTTGTCTCATGTCATTGATGAATGCTTGTAGGATGTTATGAGTTATGATTTCTTTTTTGAGGGTTCCTGCTTTATATTTATGACCTGGTGGGCGAGATTGTTTGACCGATGTATGAACCTTCCTGGACCTTGGCGTTCGCTGTTTGCTTGATGATGCTTCGAAAATGATACCACTTAACGATCGGTCGACTTTCGTTGTCTTGCCTTTCTCGGGGCTTTTTTGTTGCACCGGCGGGGTACAAAAGATCCCTCGAGGGCAGTGATACTATTCCAACAAATCAATTTACTATGTTTCTACTATCATCGCCAGACACCTAAGTTGCTACTATTTGTATTGTCTCAGAGGGCACAATATACTATAAGTCTGATTAGAAACATTATATAGGGTCGCAATCACATAAGCTAGGCGGTCGTCAGCCAATCTACTTACGATTAGCACTTGGATCATGGAAGATAGAGAACTGGATGTACTTCCCGTTACATAAAGGCTTCATTCACAGGCCTAAAAATACTTGTTTTATCCAGACTAAGGTAATCCAGGGATCCTTCTTCGCTTCGAGATAAGCCCAGCTCTCCATTTTGCAAACTCCCCTTATCCAAATGTGCCTTTAAGACCCACGGAAAAAGTTGCACTCCTTCCAGATACCCCATCTTGGGATCAAAGATAATAGTATACTGCAGTCTCATATTTGCGGATGTTCATTGTGAAGCCATGGATCCTGCGATAGCTCCTTTGCTGTACTCCGCTCTTCAGGTTTCCATTTGATCATCCGTTTAACGAAGTTAATGAACATCCTCTTCTCCTCCCCATCAAACTTGGAGAGAGTGCTTTCGAAGCTGAAATTACTGGGGATAAGGTCTTCATCTTTGAGTGTTCCTATGTTGCAGCGTCAGTTATATCTAGAGATCAGAAATTGAGGGACTCCCTTACCAGCAGCCGTAAAGAACATCGATGTCCTCTTACCACAGTCAACAAAGCCTTTGGGGGCGGGACCTAAGAGCGAAGTTATATACGCAAGATGCGTTTCGTCATCATAATCTTCAACAGCGCGTGGATCAGCTGCTTCAAATAGTGTTCGCCCTTCTAGGAAATCCCAAAGCTTCATTCAATTGTTAGTTGTCTGCGCTAATATGGAAGGATTTTGTGTACCATAACTCCCAGACTCCATATATCGGCACTATACGTGTATCCTCTGTCAAGGATGACCTCTGGCGCACGATATACCTCGTCCTGGATGCAACCATCCTGCGGAGAATCGCCTTGGACTGCTAGATCAAAGTCCACAATCTCGATAAGTCCGACGATGTCCTTCAGCGGCCCGTAGTTATTGCGAGACAGATATATGATGCGTCCATCACTGCAGTGCTTCTGAGGTAGTGGATTTTCGAACTCATCTCGGGCGTCCTGGGACAGGAGGGCCCGATCTTCCAGTCGTACCATGATGTTATCTGGCTTTAAATCTGGTGATTGTGAGTGAGGATTAATCTTTCGACCAGCACAACTGAGAGCACCTACCGGTATGGATGACACGGCATTCAGTGTGGAGATAATCAAGCGCTTGAAGTATTTCTTGGAGGATTATTTGAAGATATCTGGGGGCATTACACCGCCTTGCCATCGCCGACAATATTTTTCAAGTGACTCACGTAGAGGTTCGAAGATGAGACGTACATGGTCCCCTGAGACTCCTTGTACGGAAAACGAGTCCAGTGATTTTCGAACGAAGTGCCAGCCCTCGTGTTGCCGATTCGCTCTCGTGATATGTCGCATGATCTCCAGCTCAACGTCACCAGCGGCTTTCCGTGCATGGGTGTTCTTGGAGTTAATCTTAAGAGCCACATATCGCTCGTTTGACCACCGCCACCTAGACTTGTCAATATGTACATTTTACTGTGATGTTTGGGCAAATACGAACTGATGAAGGTCCCTTGCAAGCCACACAGTCGATCTGCTTCCATGGCCAAGCTTGGTCGCTATTTGATAACGGTCATTGAGGATGACCCCAATACGCGCCGGATAAAAATAGGCGGTCTCGTAGTAGGGTGAGTTCTCCTCTTCAACCAGCAGGGACGGGTCAATTCGGGCGGGAATGGCGGTCGAGATTGCCCAGGGCGAGTGACGCAATACCTTTAAGGGTTGCTTGAGGATAGAGAAATTCCGCGTCATGGTCTTAAACAAAGCCAGAAATACTGGCGTTGGTGTATCTGGTCATATTGGGGAGAAAGGCATAGTTCGAGCTACGGATATACTAGGTAAGCTTGTTGGGATGCCGTAGGCTGGCGCCGCAGGTCACGCGAGTGGCTGGGCATCTTATTCGCCGTATATTTCGTCCTACCACCGTAGGGTCAATAAGCATATTTTATAGAGCAAAGAAGGCTTGTTAATATCATATTGTATATGCTTATATCATAAGGTCATTGGACTGAAAAAAAATCAAGAGTTTATGATTTCCAGACCACGAAGAGAGTAAAGTTGTGGAGTCGAAGATTAAGCGGGTGGATCCAAGGCTCAAGGCTGAACCTGAAATTTAGGGCGGTGGAACCATCCACTACGGACTACACAAGCGTTGAAGGACGGCATCTACTCGGTACTTTACTTCCTCCTGTCACTTGTTTTAGCCTGCTTGGGTTAAGGATCATGCGAGTAGTCTGATAAAGATGTTACTAGGGTCTATACTCACCCTCAGGAACAATAAGAATGTCAAACAATCAATGACATACGTCGGTGGCTGCTTTGTCACCGCCACGTAAAACCGAACTAAAAATACCCCGTGCCCAGCCACGCGCTAACCCAGTCGGGCAAAGAATTTACAGGGCGGGCAGTAAAAGAACGCGTAGGCAGCCAACGCTCATGTGAGAAGGGGCCCAGTCAGAGTCCAAATAAACTATCCCCAGGCCTTAAAAAGGGCATCGGGCTTCTCTTGAGCTCCCTGCACTCGGCTACTACCGGTCTGCTCAAACAGAGTCTAAATAAACACTTCTCCAAAAACACCCACCATGGCGCCGTCTTACATGGTCCTCGATCAAAGGTCCTACGCCGCAGCAGCAGGGCCGCATCTGCTGAAGCGCGATCTCAGCGTCACCCACGCTCAGGGAGTGACCCTCGGAGTGATGGGTGCATACGTTGTCGTCATAGCACTACTCTGGAATTTGCCCTATGTTCGCTGGTCGCTCTGGCCGTTCAAGGTGAGAAACTGTCATTTGGTGTTCTTTAGTACCTTCTTTGCTGACGCTGCCATTCTTTCCGTTCGGAAAAAAAGATGCTGGTTATCGCTTTCCACGAGTTTGGCCACGCCATCACCGCATGCTGCACCGGCGGTCGCGTCAAAAGCATCTCGCTGGATCCGCACGAGGGCGGCGTCACGCACATGTCGGGCGGCATCAGCGCCGTGACCCTGCCAGCGGGATATCTGGGCTCGTCGATTATCGGGTCCTTGTTGATTTTTGCCGGTTTCGATATTGTCGCTAGCAAAGTTGCCAGTATCGTTCTCGGGGTGTGCTTCCTGCTTACTCTCTGGTGGGCGCGGAAGGATTGGCTCACCATTGTCACGATTCTCCTCGCGGTTGGTTTGCTGGTCGCGTGCTGGTTTATCGCTCATGGCCAGGCTTTGAAATGGGTTGTGGTAAGTTTCTGCGGTCCTCTAGCGGAGAGGAAGGATTGCGGCTGATTCATTCGTGATAGCTCTTCATTGGTGTCATGTCTGCGCTATACAGCGTCTGGGATATTGTAAGTCTTTTGGTCCCGGTCTGCGGGTGGTCGCGCACCTGCTTGTCTCGTTCAATGCTGACAAGTGCGCTCTCTGCAGTGTGATGATCTGATCCTTCGCAAAGTAAATACCTCGGACGCCAGCCAGTTTGCCAAGCGCTACGGAGGCTCCTCGCAGTGCTGGGGGGTTATCTGGTCCTTCATCTCTCTCGCATTCATCGCGGTTGCGATTATTGCTGCTATAGCGGCATTCCGCGAGTCGTTCAGCCAGCAGGAGAAGGACTCGCAGCACTTCATTCCGACACGTTAAACTGGAGCTGCGTTTTTCGGGACCATGCTTATTTTGATGACTTATGAGTTTTGCGCATCGAATACCCCTCATGAGGAACGGAGGTCGTCGTCATCCATTTATTGTGTTTTTGTCTCGTTTGAGCCTGTTCGGAATCTGCTGGACAGATAGCTTTAGCCTAGAATTGCTTGACTCTAAACAAGCTTGCGTTTCACTCAATCGCGCGATCAAGCCAACTAATGAGACCATGCCAAACCATTTACCTGGATCCACTATCGACAGGATTACTATTACTATATCGGTGTAGCTGACACAGATGGTCGACGAGCACGGGGACCGCATTTTTTAGAATGCCAAATTCTACCCACAGGCAACTGTTCGTACACCGCAGGTCGAGAAAACTGGAATGGCGCTCAACGGGGTTGCTCCTTTCTTGAGCAGTTATAACCGTAACATTAGTATTGATCTGATTAATATCATAAGTTTATAAACATGTCCGTGGTTGACTTGGTCGTGGGTTTTAGTTGTCCCGGAACTTTACTCTCCCACTTAAATCCGTAAATCCGACCACATCAGCGTCCGCGATCCATCCCCTCCCCACGCCTTCTTCTATCCTCGACTATATCGTTCCACCCGTGACCGTCTTCCATGTTAATGAGACATAATATGCCTCGTCTCAGCCAGCGATGGCAGACAGAAACGCCACCCCAAAGACTCCTCCAACTTTCAGGGGAGCGACACGCAAGACCCCTTCATGCGTGGTCTGCAACAGGCGCAAAGTCAAATGCGATCGCCAGGATCCTTGCTCTGCATGCACCAGGAATGGAGTTGAATGCATATACCGAGCACATTTTCCCCCGCGACGCCGGAAGAGGCAACGGTCTGATGGAGCCCATCCCAGTCCTTTAAGGCAAGACCCAGGCCCTGCTGGTTCTAGAGGTCGGCATGGAATGCTTTCGCCAACTATCACACCTAATGCGTCTGTTACGTCTGCTCAGGCTGATCCGGGGTTGTTGATTGCAGGAGGGGGGAAATCTGTCTATGTTGATGGGTGAGCAGACCGGTGTACCAGAAACTCAATGCTCAAGGACAATTGGCTAACAGTTCAACTAGGAACATGTGGTCGAGCATCCGGGCGGAGGTATGGAAATACCCATCTTAGCTCTATCTCCAGGCAGCTGCTAAAATCATCTAGCTGCCATCTGCGGAGGATGTGTTACGTGATGCCTCAGTCTACAGTGACTCGAGTGAGCCCTTGCCGGAGATGGACGATGAATCTTCTCTCATTCTAGGCTCAAAGACGAAGAAGAAAATAACGGAGTTGCATCCTGAAGCTTTACACATCTTCAAACTGTGGCAGGTCTTTCTGGAGAACGTGAACCCGTTAATCAAGATTCTGCATGGTCCCACAGTCCAGCAGCAGATCATCGATGCCACTGGGGATTTGGGCGCCGTGCCAAGAGGGCTCGAGGCGCTGATGTTCTGTGTATATTGTATCTCGTTGATCTCGATGACCTCACAAGACGTGCAAAAGGCTTTCGGCCACAGCAAGACTGCACTCCTTTCTAGGTTCCGTCGTGGGGCTCGGCTTGCGTTGTCCAATGCGGGCATTTTACGAACGTCGGACATTGTGGTTCTGCAGGCCTTTGTCTTGTATTTGGTATGTATCAAGCTTTGTGCACGTGTTGTTGCATCTAGTTCGAGGCATATTTCATGAAGCAAAGCGACTATATTTCTGACTCCACTCACAGTTCTCAATGCGCGCATTCTCTGATCCACAATCAATCTGGTCCCTATGTGGTGTCGCCATCCGGCTGGCACAGCGTATCGGACTTCATCGCGATGGCTCTCTTCATGGCCTTTCTGTCTTCGAGACCGAGATGCGCCGACGTCTTTGGCTTCAGCTAAGCATACTGGATGCCACCACGGCACAGCTTACAGGGATTACTTCACAGACCTCGTTGATGGCCGCTGATGTACGGCGTCCAGCAAACGTTAATGATTGTGACTTGGACCCACGCATGACGGACAGTCCCCGTGAACATAGTGGAGCGACTGAGATGATTTTTTGCCTGGCACGTTGCGAATTCGGAGAGTGGCTAACTCGATGGTCCAAGCTTTCAGGTACCTTTCCTACCAGTCAGGGGTTCCTGAGCATTTCTACAGTTTCGCTAGCTGAGAAGGATAGAGCAATCGATGAGCTAAGTCATATCTTCGACACCAAATACCTCAAGTATTGTGATGCCTCAATTCCACTTCACCAAATGACAAAAATCGTGATCCATTCTATCGTCTCTCTACTACGGTTCTCTGCACATCATCCTCGCCACGACGCTGAAATGGGAGGCCACAAATCACAAGCCGAACGAGACCAGGTATTCTCCATATGCTTGCGTCTGGCCGAGGGCTGTGATATAATTCAAACGAGCGACATCACCCAACGATATATGTGGCATGTGGAGAACCATATCCCCTGGACCCCATTGATTCACATGCTCTACGAGTTGCGATACCGTGTCGACGGGGAGGAGCCGGACAGAGCTTGGCTCTTTATCGATCGGATTTGTAGTCGACATTTCCACGATGTGAAGGGGCAGCGACAGAGGACGGCTTTCAGCGTGGCGCTGCAGAACCTGCTTATGAAATCTTGGAAGGCACATGCAGCTGAACGCGCCCATCGCAACAGGCCCCCGTTGACATGCCCGACTATTGTGTCTATTATTTGGGATATGCGGAGCAGACAACAAACGGCCTCTTACAATGAAAATCCGATCAATTCTCAACAGGAGGTTACAGTGGACAATGGTGACCAAAGCCAGAATCAGCTCGATGGGGTAGTCATGCCTCATGGACTCGGGGCCTTTGATTTGGACCAGAACAGCAGCGACCTGAGTCCCATGGACTGGAATCAGTGGGATCAATTGCTTGAAGATTTTCAGCACCAGTGCACAAATGAGGGCGAACCCCATCTCAACTTAGCATGAGTAAAGGGTTGCCACTGTCTCAGAACGTAAGCGATGGTGCCCACTCTGACGATATCATACTCCACTTGATCGCGTTGCGGATCGATGAGATCTTGTATGGCCGCTCCTTCTGTCTATATTGGTATCACTGCGAATCGACTGTAAGACGCGAAGGAAGGCTTGTCTCAGCACGAATTGAGTGACAGAGCTGCATGCAATATAATGCATTCTCTGGCTTTCTGGGCCATGAGAACATAATTTGGAGAGAATGATGATCGGAGACGCGACTTTGGGCCCACCCAGCCAGGATCGTCCCGTTTGTGATTTCATCCGGATAAGCATTTCCCCTGGGGCAGCTGAATAATCGCAAGTTCCAATTCTGTCTCTCAAAACGAGCGCCAAGCGCAGTTCTTGAAACTTATTCGAGGATTGTTTATCAATTGTTCTGACTTGCGTTTAAAAATGAGCCATCTCCTCGACCATCTCCGCCAAGCTGTGAAGCAAGCCAGGCGGCATCCGTCGGCCCAGCGTCCCAAGAAATCGCCCATGTATGTCGGAATGCCCGTGGCCGAACAAGTAAAATTGCTGACTCAAAGATAGATTTTCAAAGTCTGCGAGTAACACTCGAACGATATGGGAGAAGCTCCCAATGAATGTTCTAATCAAGATTCTTGTGCAATGTGAATTGGGCGAGATTCATTCCTTTTCGGCGACATGCCGTCTCGTGCACCAGCGGGTCTATCATATCGAGCCTGCTATAGCCAAGGCCTATCTCCAATGTCGAAGACACAAGGGTCAGGGGAGTGAACTGGCTATCGGCGACGATCTCACATTCATCTCTGACCTCTTCCCACCGCCGCCTCCCCACTATACAGAGAGTGGTGCGCTGGAGGAATCGCCTGATTACTCGTTTGGGTACTTGACTGATCTCACCCGGTGCTGGAGGACATGCATCCGGTTGTCTTACTACTTTGCTGAATACCTCGTTCAGCATTACCTCGAAACTGACACTACGGCCCGGGAACTATGGGCTTCGTCCAAGACGGAGAAGGAATTTATCTACAGCAAAGGTGTCGGCGCACTTCAAGCGCGTCTGCTTCCGTCCATGTGCGTGCTCTCGCTGCCTGACTTCATGTATCATGCGCGCTAACCAACGCCCAGTGCCTACCTCGTCTACTTTCTTGAATCTTTCGCCGACACTACCACCCCAACGCACTCCCTCGACGCGCAGGAGCGTATTCTCCAGGAACCCCCATTCACAGACCCAGAGGTCCTGCTCTCCACCCACCACACGATGCACACTCTTATTCACACCGTCCGCCACCTCATGGCCCCAGACATCCCATTGACCTCCTCTCAAACATGGGTCAGTCTTCTCCTTACTACCTCCACCCTGGAGCGCATCGTGGACCTTTTCGCCGCTGTAGCCGCCGACAACCAGCAGCCGGCGGAGAAAAACAAGAAGCATGAACCCGCCACCAAACCGCACCACCACGATAACCATGAACATGCACACCACCAGACCCAGACGACTAGTTCTCATGGACATAACCACACACACTCGACCTCAACCACCTCCCACTCCCACTCCCACCCCTCATCCCACTGGTCCCACCGCATGGACTTCCTGTGGCACATGCGCCGCGATTACGGGGATTTCCTGGCCTCCCTAGGCGACCAGGACCCAGAAACCGGGCATTCAGGACTGGTGCCTCGGCTTCGGGAGATCTGGTTTGATGTGGCCGAGCGGGAGATCCGGGCGAGGGGCCTGGCGGCGCATTCGGCTGAGGTGGAGCCTGTTTTACATGGCGGTGGGCCGCGGTTGGGCTGTGAGGTTTGCTGTTCTTTGGTGTAGACTTTTTAGATTGTACATTTGTTTTGATGTGTTGGAGCTTCTTGGTTCAGATTGGGTTAGATGTGTTGGGTTGGAGTGTATATACCTAATCATTATTTTTCAAGAAGGAGGGTGTGATTGACGGAGGGCTGTACATTTATACTCATCATGCTACTAGAAATGCATACGCTATTATTATGTTCACGATCTCGGGATGACGATGAATTGAATCTAAGGTTCGACACCACTTGTGGCTTTTATACATATTGCTTGCTATCACGCATGAGAATGAAAAAAAAAGAAGGTGCTAGTAGTGACATGAGGGACCTAGCAGAAACGAATAAAAGATTCCACATAGAAGATCTAGCCATGGCCAAAAAGGATGGGAGAAAGAGCAAATAGAAACAGAAAAGAAACCCGAAGCCTGCATGTTGCGGGTAGGCAGGTAGGCAGGTAGACAACATGCCTCAGTAAACGACGGGCTACGTACATGAATTCGTTCAGGCACAGCAAGATACGAACATGGACCTGATATTAATACATTATAGGGGGGTTGGGGGGAATTTGGGAGAATGTGGGAAAGGGGGTGGGGGGTTTCTATCCTGATATCAACACCCAGAGAAGGAAGAAGATCTAGTTTGAGGTTGAGGTTAGTTTATTGGACCATGGTGGGGTCTCTGAGGCTGTTGGGGGATGCGTACCATTAGAACGCCAACCATCTTGGCGATGAGCCAGCGGTTGCCCGAGACCCGGGTCCAGTATTTCATTAACTCGCGCTGCGCGCCCTGCACGTTGTCCACCACGTCCTCCGTGTTGGCGTCGATGCGCTGGATCATCTCCGACTGCTCGCTGACCATCTGGGCGAGCTGCCCGAAGATCCCGCCCAGCTCGTTGATTGTGCGCTCGATGGCGTCGATCGCCTCGCCGCGGCCCTGGATGTAGGCGTTGTTTGTCTGCGCTTCCTCCATCACCAGCAGCTGCTGGTCCGAGTGTATCGACGGCCGGCCGAGCGGAGACGGGTTCGTGGGTTCCAGGGTTAACAGGTCGGAGGCGCCGCCCGGTTGCGGCGTTCTCCGGCCGGATGGATTGTAGAGCGGCGAGTCGGAGCGCTGGGGATCGAGCGCCGTGTGCGACTTTTGTGATACGGATGAGACGAAGTTCTCGGTGCGGGAGCGCGAGGCTTGGATGTTCTTCGTACGCACTTCCAGCACGTCCTTGAAGTTGGCGCCGACGTCCGCCAGTTTCCCTTGCAGCATGACAACCACCTGCGGATCGATCCCGTTAGCCTTGCTTTTTACCTATGTGTAGGGTCTTCGTGCCCTGAGACATACATTGTCATTGTGCTCGCCTTCCTGGTCGGCCTTGGATCGATTGTTCTTGGGATGTTGGGAGAGGGTGAGCGCCTGGAGCGAGGCGATCTGTTGGTTCAAGGATGCGAGATCTTGTTTGATCACGTAGGTCAACTCGGAGATCTCGACTGGTCTGTCGTCGAAGAGTGTTTTCCGCTTCGCCACTGCGATTTCAAGAGAGTCCTGAAGTCAGTTTGCGAATTATGCTGTTTCGGGGTTGGAGATAGCCGACTTACACTCAGCTAGCCGCTGCAACTTCGCGGTCGTCGCCGTGATACCGCGTCCGATCTCCACGGCTCTGCGCGCAAAATCCGACCGTCGCTTGCCTGGGTGTTGTGCGTCCGCGGATCCATTGGCTTGTCGCCGTTGGGAATCTGACAAGAGCGCCTGGCGCTGAGATCCGGCTTTGTTGGAGGCTAGGCGTTTCTGAGCTTGGCCTAGAATGGCGTGGAACTCGCTCGTGCGATCCTGGATGGACGGGCCGGCCATTGTGAGGGTTGTGAGAGTGGTGGGTGGTGGTGTGGATGGGAGGTCGATTCGGCGAAGATGAGATGGGATGTGAGGGGTGCAGGCGAGACACAGAACTATACTCCGAGAATATATGGAGGAACGTCTAATCGCCGAATCTAGAACAAATAGTCGGCTGCGGTGCTATGGGGGGGGTTTATACGGCACGGAGTCCGGACTAATCGATAAGGAGGTAACTGAAGACGTGTTCGTTCGTTTCGTCAGGGCGGAGGTGGAGGTGGAGGTGGAGGCGGAGGCGGAGGCGGTGACAGCACGTTATGCGGAGGGAGGAGCCGAGATGTTGGTGAGTGGACAGAGTGAAGAAGAGGTTTACAAGGCAGCCATTGCAAGCGACCGAGCAGCATTCAATGAAAGAGGGAGATTGAGAGAGGAGATTCGCGAGGCCCTGGCGGCGATGGCGGCGATGGCTCCGGGCAACTTTGGCGGGCGGGCAGTTAACTTGCCGTCGCCGAAATAGGAAAAGGCGGACAGTTCAATGCAGTGCCCGCTAACTTCTTTAAGGCAGTCCAGCCACGTGCACACACCAGCCACCCCACATCTGCCCTAGCCACCAAGCTCCACACCAGCCACACTTTGCCCGCTTTGGGACTGTAGGCGGCCGTCAAAAAGGCCAATTAGAGTTCAGGTTGGGCGGAACCAGGGGCACCAGATCAGCTGAGAGCCTGAGACTCTGAGAGGCCCGGTCAAAGCGATGCTATACCCGATCATATAACGAAGGTTGTATCTCCAACCAGCCCCCCCCTCATTTCAAGGTTGATCTATCGCAGTGAGATACAACAGTTGGAAAGTACTTTTCTTTACTGTTTAAAAATAGCTCTCTCAATCACATCCACGTCAATCTACTTCTACTTTGTGCACCGCCCCGTCTCTTGGCGCACTGCCCCCATTTCTCCTCCCACGTCATCTCCGTGACACCATTCTCTCTCGCTGCCTCATTTCTCTCCGCTACACCCGCTCAACGTTGCGCCCACCGCGCCTTGACTGCGGATCAGACGTTTCAATTCTTACATCGATCTTGGCACTAGATATGCCAATCATCGGTTTCAACTACTACCTGCACTGTTGATGCTCTTGATCCAGCCTAGCTGATCGGTCGTGGGAAAACAATGGCGCGCCCGTTTCAGCCTTATGAACCCGAGCTACAGAAGCTGTAAGTCTATGCAGCCGCCACAATTCGGATCTCAGTTGACTGTACTAACGTCTCCGGCGCCCCGTTCTGCAGCTCGTCCAACGCAGAGAGCCCCATGTCGCCGGTTCCAAGGGGAGAGACTCCAGTATCGTTCAAGCCCAATGTGAATCGAGCAAAGACAAAACGCTGGGTAGAAGCGAAGAAGTATTCGTATGATGGCAATGACTGGGGCGACGACGAGTACGGCGAGTATGACGACGATGAGCCTCCACCGGTCCCACAACACAACCTGAATCAAAGCACCGGAGATCTTCCAAGCATGTTCAAGCGGGATACCTCGCGACCGCCACTCCCGTCGATGGATCGTTCTCGGTCGATGGATCATGTAGCGACTCTTGCAGGGGAGTCGAGTCGCAGCCGATCTTCAGAAGCCACTGCCGTCGAGCCAGCTACACGAACTGTTCCGATCATTCGTCCAGCCGATATCTACAAGCGTATGAGGGCAGATAGTGCGGCTCAGCAGGATCCTAGTCAATCAAGCCCAGCTCCTGCTCCTGCGAACGCGACTGTTCCGGGCCTCACGTCTGCTGAACTACACTTGCCGTCTACCAACGAAACACCAGCCGGAACAAACAATTATAAGCCATTCCGACCACCAGGCGCTGGTGACAGTGTGCAGGATGAACAACCACGTCAAGACACCCTCCAGTCTGAACCAGTAGGAAGCGGCACACCGACAGTTCAGCTCCCAGATGTGAAACGTCTTTCAAGCTTTGACCCCGACTTCGCGGGCGATTCATACTTCCCTTCCTCCGATGCCCAGGGACCTGAGCCTGAGCAGCATCAACTGCAACACAATCCCTCCATGGGGTTCCGCTCTGTAGTTCATCAAGCATTTGATGTGCCTGATACGCCCAGCACGACGGTTGACAGCGTTGCACGATCGAACAGCGATAGCACATCGGTGATCAGCCCCATTATCTCTCATCGGACTCAGAGCGACCTAAAGACACCCACAATTGTGGAAGAGCCTGGCGAGAGTACGCCCCCGTCCAAGAATGCGAGCGACGGGCTGGTTTTCAAGCCGGGTCACCGTCGTGATATTAGTCTTCCCAGCCCTAACAATAGCCCTTCGAGGACACCCAAGGTCACAAATATTCAAGGCTCCCACCCATCTGCAGCAGGCGAAATGTCTGTCGAAACTGCGACTGAGTCTTCCTTGGATTCGCAATTGGATTCGCAACCGGCTGGGCAAACACCACAGATAGCTCCTGTGCAAGTCGCAGACATCGGCCCTGATCACCCTGCTCCTTTAAGTATTGGTAGCCACTTGGTAACATCGGCGCCTACAGTTACACACGACGGTGTCCCTATCATTATACCTTCCATGAGCACTGACGATTCTCCTCAAGACACCGAGAGTGATCGTTTGCGAAAGGAAATCATGCGCTCGTTGAGTCGCGAGAACACTCCCTCGAAGGAACAAGAAGATGAAGAAGAAGAATCGGTAGAACGGCCAGAGGCTCAACGCCAAGATAGCCTCATCCCAAGTGAATATGAGAGGTATTGGAGCGCTGCAGAATCTACAACCAGCCCCTTAGCCTTGGACCAGTCAACTCCAGAGTACGTCGCTTCCCCAGTTGCCCTGCAAGGTTCGAGTCCTCCGGTGTTGCCTCCTGCTGCTTCGGAGTCAATTACATCGCCTTCGACGGAGGCTTCAAAGTCAAAACTGGCACGACGCTTCTCGTGGGAATCTTCGTCGTCCTCCGAAGAGCCTGCTCAGGCACCAAGTGTGCAGTCGCCTCCTGCTCCCATGCCAGGACAGTTCCCCGTTTCTTCTGAGAATCAAGTCCAGCCGGCCACGGAGACTGATCGTACGGAAGCGAGTCCAGCGAAAGCCATTCCGGTGGAGACCTTCTCTTCTGATGAGGTTCTGAATAAGTCCCCTGAAGAGAGCGATAGCTCCGTTGGGCATGAAAAGCCCAAGTTGACCATATTGCCTCCGGTGCCCGACAATCGTAGCATTATCTCCGACAGTCAACTGCCGGAGGTTTACGATGCTGAAGCCATTCCCAATACCTATACGGATGATGCACCTGCCATCGCTGGCCACCAGTTCCCACAGTGGACGCCTACAGCCCCTGCATCCGTCGAGCCTACGCTACTGGGCTTCCGGGAGATCTTAGCCATGAAGAGTTCAGAGGAAAGGGTCCAGGCGTTTAACGATACACGAACCAAGTTTGGAACAATCGACACTGGGCTCAGTCACTGGCTTCAAGTCACCGTTCAATCTCATCCTGAGCACGCAGATGTGGTTGATAAGAGCACGAAACTTGCTACCAGAGGGTCCACGGTCGCTGTAACCCGCAAGAAGTTCGCCAAATTATCGTCGCTCGGAAACTTTGGCTCTTCTCAGCTCGATGTCTCCTCGCCATCTGGGTCTGGCCATGTGCGACGACCGTCAGCTCCCCTGGGCGCCATGATGAACAAACAACAAGTGGAGCAACGAGGCAAAGAGCTGTTGCATTCAGCCGGCGTCCTGGGTGGCCGGGCAGGCGAGGCTGCCAAGGGTCTGTTCGCTAGAGGCCGGAGCAAACTGAAGGGAGGTCATTCTGACAAGGTAGATTCATAATCTCTTTTGTGATTGGGGGTGCTTGACAGCGAGTGGAAACTTCTTCTTTATGTGTGACTATGCTTATTGATACCATGCCGTAATTGAACATATTTCGATGCTTGAGAATGTGACACAAGTGATGTCTATCCTGTCTTTCCTTCCGTTGTTCGCGCTTCGTTTTATCGCCTCTAATGCGGTGATGCGATGTAGGGGTTTCAAGCGTTCCGGGGCTATCGCAAGCCTCTCCCACTCACCGAACTTCAGAATGCATCTGCCATAGACCTGACCGACAATGGGAGCACAAATTACAAGCGACATACGGTCCATTTCGGAAGCCTGCCGCTTCCTCGGACGCACTCCGGCTTCATCCAGCGCAAGTGGCAGGTGAAGCGGAAGGCAACCCCTACTGAGGCTGCGAGTAGAGCACATCTGGCGGAACTAGGTGACACAACTCTCGATGTCCGAATTAATGGCGATGGTCTCGGGCCAAAACAGCAGGAGCCTTTCGTGCAGTCGAGTGGTGCTATCACTGTGGTTGGTGAAATGGGAACATTCGAGGCCGATGATAAAGTGCATCCCAGTAACCGCTCAGCACAACTGACAAATACCCATTTATTGCCTGATTCCACCGGGGCGAGCCGGATCCAATTCACAATCAATGGTACGCCAATGACTACCCCTGCAGACGGACCTGACCATGGGTGCACTGCTTCCGGAGAACAAAGAGAGGCGGGGATCAGTATTGAAGGTAGGCCGGCGAACCAATCCAGCGACTCGATAAAAGCCACAAGAGACGAGGCGCTTCTGTCTTGGACAGTGGGCAACCCTCCTGCACGCTTTGTTGAACACCGGCGTGAAGCAAGTCAGTTGTCGGTCTCGTCATTGGGCACGGCTGACGATGGTGGCCCCAACCTGGCGCTTAACAGTGAGTTTCTCCAGACTAATGCGGGTGAAGACATGTTAATCTCCGCAGCACACGCAGCCTCCTCTAGTCTTTCCCTTCCTTCATCCCTGGGCGGCGGCATGGATACGGCTGCGACCGGCGATGCTCGGTCTATGACACCGAGTCGACTGCCCCACGGTCGTCATCTTCCTCATCAGCACACTCAGGTCAGCAGTATCTCGTCCTGTCCTCCAAGTCGGACGGCCACACCAGTGCCCGCCGCTCCTCCAAGTGCTGAGCGCAATGACCGGGCTTCGGCATCGCATCCAACCCCGCAAGCGAGACTCGCGGCAATGAAGATGAAATACGGAGAGAAGATCCGTGACATCCGGCGGATTTCCATCAGCGCGAAGGAACCAGAGCAGAAACCGACTCCACCCTACAAGAATGCGTTTGGCAGACTGACGGTAGGTTGCTAGTTCACCACATTGACTGTCGCCCGCTAACCAACGCAATAGGGACTGTTACGTCCTCGTCGCGGCAACAAACCAAAAATTAGCAGTGTCGCGGACACCGACTGCAGACCTGCCACATCAGCATCGATACGCTCCCCCAAAGTCGTCGTTCCCATTAACCATATTGACCCGGCCCTGTCTAAACCCGGCCATGCTCGCTTCTACTCCGTCGACAACAACAGCAGTCTCAGTGACCGGCATCACCTCGAGAATGTGGCCCCAGATCAATTACGCTCTACTTCGCTCACTCCGGACCCTTTCCACCGGGCGCACATCATTCCTCCCAATGCTTCTGATCCGGTCATGCCCACCAGGACAGCCAGTCAAACCAGCAGCCGCAGCCCATCTCGAGGCCGCGACCCCGAGCGCGGCTACACGCGCAACCTCCACATGCGATCCCGCAGTCCCAAGCCCTATGCGCCCGGCCCAGAAGGAGAGACAGCCTCAATAACCGATATCACTGACCCTGCCCACAATCTGGGAATATTTCGCACCCGGCCGCGAACCAGCCGATCCGGCGACCAGGAGCTCCCTTGGAAGCTGAGCATCCCCGGTGGAGACGATGAGCCAGAAGAGATTCATAAGAACGATCGAAAAGCGCATCATCGTGAATCCTCGGAGCTGTGGTCCGCACGGATCACGGGAGAAGTGCTGAGCTGCATCGGCAATAGCAGCATCCTGCAGCCGCCACCGCCACCGCAACCGTCCGAACCCGAACCTCCGAAGAACAACACGCAGAAGCAACCCCCAGCAAGAGTTGGAAATGCTCCTCTCCTCAACCCCCATCCGAGCCCAGGCCGAACCCTCCACCGCCGAGCAGGGTCCAACGTCGTCGCGTCAGACGCTATGATTCCGCCTCCGCCTCCGCCGCCACCCCAGTTCAAGCTTCCGGCGCAGCCCCTTACGCTCCTCGCGGGAAACCCGGATGAATCAAAGAATAAAGCAGCAGAGCAGCAGCGGCCCAGCACATCCCAAGCGCCCGCCCAGGACACCAAAAGAAACAATGACGAACCAGACAACCCCCCGCCCCCGCAAACCGCTCATCCCCACCGCCCCGAACCACCACGCGCCATCGTCAACACACCGATCGAGCTCCCTGTACCCGCCCGCGACGGCGCTGACGATTCAACCGGTGATTCCCACGAGGACGATGAGAGCGAGATCGTGATGTCTAGCACAGCGTATCCGGGACAGGAGTGGAAGCCCGTTGGGTTCATGGGGGTAGGGATGGGATACGATTGAGGGTTTGAAGAGCAATGAATAATGGAGAAAAAGCCTTTTTTTTTCCGCATTCTAGGGGCATAATAATGATAGCGTGATTCTGCGGGTTTTGAATAGAGGATAGGGATATAATTCGTTATTTATGGGGTTGAAAGAGTATTTCTTGGTTTAAGGGTTTTGATATAGGGGGCTTACTGGGGGTGCATACTCGTACTGATTATGGATTATATTGGTATTTTTGGTGTTCTATGCTTGTGCTTATGTAGATGGGGTTTTCTAAGTTAAGTAGCTGCTAGCGAGATAGCCGCTGGTCAGATGACTGGATTTGAGTATACTCCCATCTACCCATCTTCTGTCCATCAACAGGTATATCGAAGCTTGGCAGTCTTTTGAGAATTGGACCAAATGCACCTAGCTTCCAGTCAGTATACCCCTTGTCTTCCCTATCCAGACGTAATGCAGAGGATCGCGCTCGACCCCTACATCAGCAATACATGAATATATAAGTACCTCTTTTCACCCCATATGAGTGCTCTTCCTGCATGACGAGCAGGCCATAGAGCATAAGTGCAAGGGTGCGGGGGGGGGAGAGGCAATAAACGAGGACCGTGTCGAGGGAGGCGAAAAGGAGTAGTGTTGCTGCTGACGCCGTGGAGGTAGGCTAGAATTACTGCGCGCAATGAAGTTGCCGTCGTCGTCGATATGCATGATGGTTATAGGTATGTTTACAATACCACTAGAAAGATGGTAGTCAGGTTTTTATCCTATTCTTCCTCCCGAGGCGAGTTTGATAGCATAGCCTGAGGGCAATTAGATGAATGTCTTCGTCTGTGAACCTCGATCTGTCTGTCCGCACTACTCAAGACATACTCAGGCACACACAAAAGGAAGAGAGAGAGAAAGAGAGGTAGTGCTTGTGGTAGTGTGTGTCCGACAGGATGGTAACCTGGTCTGGTGGTTTGACGATGCTGCAAGCTACCAGCACCCTGCTTGCTCCTGTGATTGAACAGGTAGCCTCTTTAAATCGTTTCACCTCACTGGTGGGTGCCTTCGAGTTACACCCCAAGGCTAGGTAGTGCTCACGGGCATACCTGGATCAGGCAAATCATTAAGAGCCAGCAATTCTTTCTCGGGGGTCTAGCTCCATTCAAAGGCTGACATCTGTTTTGTGTGTACTTTGTCTTGAGTCATGCTTCGACGTGGGCTCAGTGAGGGTCTAGTGTTCACTGTGGACCGCTTTTGCCTAGGCTTCCGGGCATGGGCTGCAGAGATCTTCCTTGAGCGAGGCGGGATATTGAGTCGGTAGAGTGAGCCCTGTGAGTTACACGGGACATTTAAAAAAGCAAAGGAAAGAACAAGGCTATGCACAGCGAACTATGGCCCACGGAATTGGATCTAGAGCGGGGAAAAGGTCTAAGTCTCTCTCTCTCTCTCTCTCTCTCTTTCTTTCTTTCTCTTTCTCTCTAGCCCTCAAAAATATTACTCCCCAATTCCACGCCCATATCCTTAGCCACACCGCGCATCTGCAACTCGATCTCATCCTCCATGCCGCCGCCCAGTCGCAGGAACTGACGCACCTTGGTGAACCAGAAGAACAGATCCGTGCCGAACAAGACGACCCGGAACACGAGGTGGCCCCAGGCGCCGCGCACGCGGGCGACCACGCCTTCGGGCAGATCCTCGGCGAGGGCGCGCGAGGCCCACGTGCCGGTGATCTTGACGCGGTTGACGGGGCTGCCCAGGAACTGGTTGTTGGCCTGGACAATGCGCAGGTTACGGCCGATGAAGATCAGCGGGCGCGGCCATTTCTCCTCATCTCCCAGAATCTGGCGGATGGCGCGGCGGGCGGACTGCTGCATCTCGTAGTGCAGGGTCGCGGGGTCGTTGTTGGTGTCGGTTGACAGGGTGCGGGAGACGGAGCGGTGGGTGGAGAGGTCGCCGCCCTTGTAGGGCCGCATGAGCGTCGCGGACGCGAAGAGGTCAGTGTTCTGCACCCCCCACGAGGAGACGATGCTGGATAAGGCCGCGTTGTCGAAGGTGAGGAGCGCTTTCCAGAAGCGGGCGTACTGGTGCCGGAACTCCGGGTCCATGTGGATGTACAGGCCGTGGTCGATGAGCACGAGCTCCGGATTACCGGAAGGCGTGCGCCGGATGAAGATGTTGCCCGGGTGCGGGTCGCAGTGCACGTAGCCCCAGAGGAACATCTGCGCCGAGAAGAGGTCGACCATCGTGGTCATGACTTGTTTGAGGGAGAGCCCCAGGCCGCTGTTGCTGTAGCCACCGCGCCAGTGGCTGCGCTCGGGTTTGAGCTGGGCGGCGCTGGGGTTGATGGTTTCTTGCGTGTTGGGCGGGTCGAGAGGCGTGCCGTGACAGCCTGGCGTGCCTTGACGCCAGCCTCCGCGCCAGGGTTGCGTGATCGACTTCTTGTCCCAGAGGCGCACACCCTCAATCCATTCGGCGGTCATCACCCGCTTCGAGCTGAGCTCGCGGTAGACCTTTGGGATATACACCCGGTCGCGGAGGCGGGGCTCGCCCGCCACCAGCCGAGCCATGTTCTCAGAGTTGTCAGCTTCATTGACAAAGTCCGTCTCGAGCGATAGTCGCTCGGTGACATAAGGGACCAGGCTGTAGAAAGGGATATCAAACATCCGGCTGTAGATCCACGTCACAACCCTGCTAAAGTTAGTAGCGCAATCATACGACTATTGCACCGAACGGGAACCATACTTGAATGCCCACAAATCCCACTTGATCTGCTTGCCGATCTCCCGTTTCTGGATTTTGATAGCTACCTCCCGCCCGTCAGCAAGACGGGCCCAATGCACCTGAGCAACACTGGCACTGGCGCGGGCCGTCCGCTCCATGACACCCTTCCCAGGCTCTCCGGTAAACGAAACCCCAAAGACATCCTCGGCAGAGCGGCCAAAGTCCTCACGGATGACCTTCTCAACCTCCTTCCAGTCGTTCTGAGGCGCATCGTCAAACATGCGCGCAAACATCTTCTGGAACTCGGGCGGCAGAATGGCGGACTGCATGGCGATCGCCTGGCCGATCTTCAGATACAGGCCGCCATTGTGCCGCAGCAGGTCAGACAGACGCTCTGCATTGCGCTTGTGCACGGCGGCAATGGAGCTGGCGAGCGGTGGGTTGGGTCGGAAATTGATCTTGTAGTCCAGTGCCACGATGAGACCTAGGCTGAAGGTGCGCGCTGTGCGGGTGAGGGCGGCGGCGTAGAATTGGTTGTCGATGATGTAGATCGCCCCCGTAGTCAATGACAAATAGACGATGCGCCGCAGCCATTTGCGCGTGCGTGTGTAGGTTTTCGCTGGGGTGGGCTTGCCTAAGGAGACCGGTGAGGGCGGGACGAAGGGCTGGTATCGACCCGGATGAACATGGCGGCTGGAGAGGACAGGGGACCGCGGCGGAGCTGGGATGTGGGCACGCGAGCGGAGGAGAGGAGAGGGGAGGAGGGAAGGGCGCAGTGTGCGGAGATAATTGGCTGATGCCATTATACTAGTGTGTCAGATGGAAGAAGTTTCATGGCGGGTTGACGGAGCAATTGAGGAGAGCTTCGTTGACGTCGTAAGAAAAAAGAAAAGAGCGGGCGTTGCAGTGCAGGTGTGACTTGACGACGACGCAGCGAGGATGACGTGAGGCGGTAGTTAAATCGGCGGCGGGTGGGTTGGCGGGCGGAGTTAAAGGCGGGACGGAGATAAGCCGATCGGGGCAGAACCGAAGCATACCTACTAGGTAGTATACTCGTCGCTTCATTTATATCAAATGCACTAGTGACTCGAGATGTGCGTACTTTAGGCCCCTCTGCAACCCTCAGTCGCTGTTTGGACTACCAGCTCTACACACTTCTATTTTCATGAATTCCTTCCTCATCTCCGCTAATTGTCATTTATCAAGCCCCTTTGCCCAGATCCAAAGATTCGATCATACTAGTAACGATCCAGAGATATGTTTTCAGAATGTTATCTTATGCAACGACTATTGGTGCGGATGAACATACCGATGTTATTGAGATAGTCATTCCCAAGCTGGACGAGCGGGAGATTGCCGAGTTCAAGGCTAAAGAAGAGGTGGAGCAGAGGGTGATGCCTTCGTCAAATGAGGTAGAGTGGTAAGCATATATATTACTGCACATGATGCTAAGGTGAAAACCGGCTAACAGGATTTGCAAAATGGCGGCTAAAGTAGCCCTATTCGGCCGCCTGCTGACTCTTGCAATGGCGAATGGAGCATCCAGAGAATCTATATTCTCAATCTAAAGCCTTTCTATTAACACCTGATTGAGCGATAAATGTTCAAAGATTAAGTAGACAATTGTTCTAGGGATGGCGTTACTATTCATGAGCTCATCTATGCCAGTCAGGGCGAGGGGCGGCGAAGCACGGAGTAGCCAACAATATCTGATATAGTCTTGTTGCAGCACAATCAACCTAAAAACTATACATCTCCCCCATAACCACCATCTCACCCCCTAAACGCCGACACACGCCCGCATACTCACGCATTTTCGCGGGGATGATCTCCTCCCAGAGCTGACTCCTCTGCACCCAATCATACTGGGCGCGACAGACGGGCTCGGAGGCTAAGGGCAGCAACCGGGGCAAGTGCAGCAGCGCGGCCCGAACGAAACTCTTTTTGAAGCAGTCGCCGAACGCGGTCAGGGTCTCGCTGTCCGCACAGACGTCGCGGCCGCGGAGTAACGGGCCGCATTGACGCTTGATGAAGGCGGCAACGTCGTCGCCCAGGCGCATCATCATCGCTTCTTCTTCTTCTTCTTCTTCTTCTTCTTCTTCTTCTTCTTCTTCTTCTTCTTTTTCTTCCCCGGGGGTTCTCGGGTGATCCACCCATTCCAGCAGACTGCGGACTGCGGGCAGGAAGGTATTGTTGCGCGTCCAGAGGTCCCAGTGCGAGATTGTCGGTCGACAGCCTTGGTCGCAGATCTCATGTTGAAATTGCTCCAGGAGAGCGTGCGGACGACTGGTGAGGGCGACGATGGCTTTGATGCAGGTTGTGCTGAATTTGGATGTGGCTGGGGTGATAATAAGGGTTATCATCCAGAGACACAGAAAGAGATACCGCATGGTGAAATGCAATAATGGGTTTTCTGTAAGGAGACGAAGGAAATAGAGAGTGAACTAGATAGTTAGAGGTAGGAGAGAGAGAAGAGGGATTGGGGAAGAGGTGCTGCGGGAATTCCCCTGGATGATCGACAACCCCCCGTTCCCTTTCCCCCGCATCGACACCGTCCGCTCTACTCGAATTCATGGCCCACGAACTTGGACTTCTCAGCCCCCTCGAGAGCTTCGATCTCCGAAACCTCAACTTACCGGCCGTTCCTCCCCCAAGACAGACAAGACTCCAACCTCCTGAGTAACAAAGAAGACAGACAGCGCATGCATGTCCATCAATGGGGGAGGGGGTCTATTCCCCCACTATCGCTTCCAGCGCAAGCGAACAAGCTGCATACACCTTCCATTTCAGGCCCCTCGATATGATACATCTAGACTGTCACTCCCACCTTGAGATATCCTCTTGCCCGCCGCAACCGAGAATGCCCGGGGAGGAGCACTACGGGGGGGTTCTCCATCGCGGTCAGCGCGGGTGCACCCGTACGCAGGAGGTCCGTGACAGCCATGAAGATGTATCGAGACGGATCCTGCAAACGATAATGATGGCGCGCATGCATGGACACCACCTTCACCTCCACCACTTATTCCGATCATCCACACGCAGCACGACTATTGAACGATAGACAACCCCGTTTCTGCAGGTAAGAACACCACCCGTGCAGATGATACTGACTGCGATCTGTCCAATCCCTCAGCTGATCGGATGCACTGGGGCCATGCGGAGGGGGGATTGAGCAGATTACTTGATTGAGAGGCTCGCGCGTGCCAGGTCAGATGGGAAAGGTAAGACGCAGGAGGCGGTGTCGGGATTCTCCCTTCCACACCTCCGCACCCCTCGTCAGGGACCTGGTGTTCAACAAGGGGGACGGGGGAAGGGAGAGTGAACTCGGATCAGAGACTGAAGCCAATCATTGCGTCACGGAGCTGATTAGATTGGGTTTGGGGTTAAGGTTCCTCCCTACGGAGCAATAAGGGGCTGGCTGGCATTACAGTGGGGGGAAGAGCGTGGGATGTTCGGTTGTGAGTTCACATTGATTCATTAGATTAACCGCTATCCGTAAATGTCAAGTCCACCACTTATGCTAATGCCGAAACCGTTCGTACCAGGTGTATATCCCCCCTTGCGTCTGATGCCCGAAACTCCTCGCTAATACCAACCAAACCCGAAATGAGAACATGAAGAGAGATGACAGTGAGAAAGAGACAAGTGGAGAAAGATAAGAGATGTCAAGTGACAGTACAAGGAAACGCCTCAAGGAGTGAGATCTAGAATGCTTGTAGAGATGGTGATGGTGGTGACAAGAAGAGATGACAAATGAAAAGTCGTCGTCCCGGACAGGGTATTTGCGCTGTGAAGATGCATGAGGAAGATTTCTAAAAGAAGTAGAGAAGGCTCAAAATGCGAAGTCAAGAGATCAGATGAAACAAGAGAAAGGAAAGAAGAATGTCGAATGCAAGACAATGATTGGAGGAAGGAAGGCAGGAATGCCCGTCAGGCATGTCGCTGGCGTCGCCGTAGCTCATCTCGGCTCAAAAAACGACGAATGCGTGAAACAAAGCGGCCAGCAGTGGAGTCTGCGTCAGGGTTAGCGTGGCTCACATGCATCTGGGATGACAGGTCACACTGGCGGGCGAGCATACCACTGTATCGGCGGCCGGAGGACTTAGACGAAAAATGCTCCGGGGTGGATGGATAAGACATATCCGTCCAGTAGCAGGTATCCGGATAGTCTGCGAGATGGCGAGCCTTGGTCCATGGGTTTTCATCGGATTGCAATTGCAGAGCGACCACATGAGGGTAGAGAGATCCCAGGGGGTAGAGAATCTCTTCTGTCGAGCGTTGTCGGTCAATGTCCAGGCTCTGGCTGGTCTATCGATTATCAGTATGGGTGATATGGTGAATCCGGCGTCGTACTCACGTAAGGCTCGTAATTGCTCTTGTAAGTCATGGTGAAGTTGAAAGACGTGGATGTGGATGTGATGGGAGAGATCGGAAGACGGGGAAGTATAGTTCGGCTTGCTTGATCGAAGTGTAGAACGACAGATAGCGATCGGTAGATATAGATCTCTCGATGGACAGAGAGAGGCGAAGAATGTGATTGCTGAAAGAGAGACACGTTCTCTGGAAGAGACTTTGAAATTGGATGGGGACAGGCTCGGGAGAAACCTTGATAGTTATATAACATACGGCCGAACAGCCGTGCCCTGGTGGAGGTTGAGGAGATTGTCAGCCACGCCTGGCTGGCCTTGGTGGGGTGGGGGGGGGGAAGCAGCTGCCACGCATCGACCTGACCTGACCCTGGCTAGCCTTGTTGTTTAATTGGCATTTTCTCTTCGGCTTCTTTTTCTCGTTCGCTTATCCTGGCAACCATCGAAAAAAGAAGGTTTTTTTTTCTTTTTTTTCCCAACTTCTTTTTCTTTCTGCCATTGTTAATTGATTAATCTATTGTTCACCATGGCTTCAGAATTACGAGATCGATCCTGCCGCGAGGATCGTCCACCAGGATAATCCCAGTCGTGCAGCGGACCAAAAGTCGATGGATCGCAATGCTGGGCCTGATTTGAATTTAGGTCAGGAATGATCTCATCATCACTCAGTCGCCGCCAGATCGATTTAGAGCGAAAACCGGGCGGGAACCGGGCTAGTCGCGTTGCCCTGGGCTAATTCAGGTCCGACGGCTTGGGTTTGGTTTTAGCACTCTGACTGCGACCGCATTGTCCAGGCTGACTGGCGGACAGTCTCAGGGACTAGCTGACCCTAAGCAGGATAGCTGAGAGTATCTTTCATCTGTCCATTTGTGACCATCCAGTCAGCTATTTGGGATGGTCGCTGGTGGGACTCCACTCAGTCAGGCACTGGTTTCAAATCCGGATCCAGTGCGTCAGAGGGCGGGGACTGCACTGGCGCTGCAGGAGGTACTGCTGCATCAACTGCACGCCTGAAGCAGCCTTTGCTTCGCAAGCTAACTCCAGTACATGTACACTAGCTCCGCAGCCTTCGTTAGCCGGCGAGGGCTGATCGACCGCCAACCTGGCCGCTGGCCGGTGTGTCCGATGAACGGCGATCCAGCCTGTGTCGTCTGTCTCCCCTTGCATGGACAAAGCCGGGTCACGTCGGACTATCGACCACGTTGTGCCGTTCCTGGGGGGTTGCATATGTAGGGTGACGCGCTTGTACCACACTCTTCTCTCTTTATCTATTTTATCGAGGAGGAACAAGAAGTTGGTCAGGATGGGCGACCAGAGTGGGCAGAAGGGGGGTTGTGTCACGATTGCGTCGGAGAACCACAGCGAGAGACATTTTGTGCGGGGATAGACAGACAGGAGCGGAGCTGTCACAGATCGGTGGGTGACTATTGATTTGAGAGACCATTCCTGCCTGGGAGCCTGTTTGCTCAGGAGGCCACTAACTAAGTGAGTGCTGAGTGCTGACTACGGAGTACTCCCATACACACTCCCCTTCTTCTCCTTCCCCGCCCCCAAATTCCATCGCTACTCTTCGCCATTCTTCTCTTAGGCTCTCAGCTAGCTCTTAATACTCGTCGTAAGATTAATCTATTTCACCTCCTGTGAAAGGCTCGAACAAACGAAATCGCCGCTAATGTCCGTGTTTTTCCAAATCCTGGTGACCTAGCGCCATGAGCTGTCCAGGTTCTCGGGTCTTGAAAGACAATCCCTCGATAATGTGAAGGTCTAATCTGAGGCTGTGGTCAGCGGTAAGCATTAAGGGAGGCTGCTAACTAATTACCAATTGACTAATTGGGGGGTTTAGTGGCTAACTGACCAGGATGAGATTGCAGGGGTTGATGATGATACTCGAGTCCCCTGTCGGGTATCTGCATGCCTGGAAGCCTGAGGCCTTCAAATAAGGCTGCACAGCCACGCTACTACGGCCCCGCCGGCACCAAACATATGCGGACTGCGAACAGATCTGTGGCGGTCTAGCGGAGAAGACCGTGGCTTGACCCTGAACCCCCCCGTCCGCTCCGTCTCCGCTTAGGGCGTCAATAGTCGGGATAGCTTCACGGCCTGACTCGACCGGCGACTCTCCACTCCCCTGTCATGCGGCCCCTCGCCGTGAGCTTGAGTTTGTTGCACTGATGCTCGGCCTACTTTATTTCCTTTTTGGGATGGCCATCGGGCTGGCCGTCCCCCTTGTCTCGGGGGCTCAGGAAGTATAAGGAGCAGATTCCCTCGTGTTGAATCTGCTTCCAAGTCATCAATCGTGCGACTTTAACTCAGTTGTACTTGTCAGCACATGTCTATGCCCCATGGCTCTAAACCAACTTCCCTCCGCACACGACTGTTGGCAAAGCTCTCCGTCGATGGACTGGTCCGATCAGTCGCCCATCGCTTCCCCCAGCTATTCCCCCGCAAGTAAGAAACTCTTCTTCTGCCATGACCTCCCGAACGCTTCTAAAGACAGAGGACACTCGCAACAGAATCTCTCTGGCTGGACACTGAATTTCATTCCGGTTCTAGGCCTGTGAATATGTCCCCAGCAGGCGGCGGCCCATCCACGCCCGCGTCGTCTTCGTCCACCACTACCAAGTTCTCGTCATCCTCAGCAGATTCTCCCGTCTCTGCGCCCCTCAGCCAACGACAGCACCCCCTGCCGAACCCCGCGGAGGCAGCCGCAGCTCGGCCTGCAGAGGCGACCCCGATCGACCTCGACAGCTGGTACCCACAGTATCTGCGTTGCACGCAGTATTTCCTCGAGCAAGGTCAATTTGCACCGGCAGTGCAGTCGCTGGCTGCATTTCTTAACATTCGCCTGCCGTGCCAGCGGGTGGAGCGGCAGACCTCCTCGGACGCAGGGGGCCAAGAAGCGGCAGCTCACGTGTTGCTACGGCGGTACATCCGCCGACTCGTGGTGACCGCGCACGATAGTCCCGAGGTACTGATGGCCTTCTTCGGAGCGGAGTGGACGGGCGGGGTTGGATGTGTAGTCCAACAAGAGCGGCAGACTTACCTGTTTACCGCGAAGAGCAGCGGCTGGGCGGCGACCAAAGCGGCGTATGATCTGTTGCCGGACGAGCAGACGCCATTCCTGCGGCCGCTGCGAGCGCCGGCGGAGGAAGAGTTGCGGCTGGCGGAATCGCGGTGGAGTGATTGGTTGGCGATGGAGGATTGGATGGTGGGCCCCCGGAGTCCTTGGAGCTCCTCCTGATCATGATGTCTACGACTTTTTTTTTTCCTTACCTATGCATGGCTCTATAATTTCCTATGTGAATGGCATTCATTTCCTTTTGTCTCAGATGATAGTGCAGCTGAATACGATCCCGCAAGCTTACCTTGTTTGAAGCAGCAAAAAGGTTGTAGGTATGCAGATAGAGTCTGTACCACCCACGCTACCGATTCCTAGATCAGGGTTAGTCCAGATAATATGAGGATCAATTAAGAAATGGACCATCCAATTCCAAATCGTGACATCCGCACTAGCCAGGTGACTAGATGAAGTGCGTTCCTGGGCATGCTCGACTACAGCACTTGATCCTCCAAGGGGCAAAGCCGCGGACCCAGCACACTGGACCTGTCAAGTTTCGATGCCCTCGATCATCGGCGCTAAAACAATCGCATTGAGAGACCGGCCCAATGGATGAATGAAGGGCAAGGCAGGGCTCCACATGGATCAGGGATCTTGTTCCGTGTTCGAAAATCAGTCAGTCAGCCAGCCAGCCAGCCAGCCAGCCACGCATGGAATCATCCATGGAAGATTCTTTTGTTTCGATGCATGCTTTGCCTGCATGCATGCGTGAGAGAGGGGGGAAGTGGGAAGTTAAAAATAGTGATTTGTTCGTTTCATTTAGGAGTTCCCAAACACGCCTTAGTTTTGTTGCCCAATTGTCGCGCTAATCTTTTAGATCAGTGCACCGCCTTTCTCGGCAAGTTCGGGGAATCCGAGCTTGTCTTCTTCTTCTTCTTCTTCTTCCTCCTTATTGTTCGTTACTGTGTCTTATTGTTGTCCAGCTAACTTGTTCCTGGCTGAACCTGGGGCAATGGAAGATAGCAGATGAATTAATTGGGGGTGATATTAATTAAGATTGTGCGACTATCAACTGAACTAACTAATCTAGTTTCTGGCTGTCAGCATGACAAATACCCAATTCTTAATTAGTGTCGATGGCGATCATTTTCCCATCCTTCGATGGCAGACTTGGTCACTTTAATCTCTACATCCAGATTCCATCCATCCGTGCAGTGCTCGCTTCTTTCTCCCCTCAGCTTTCCCCGCGACCTGTCATATTTGAGTTTCTGGACGATCATCCATCCCGCCCAAAGCCAAGCTCCAAATCAACAAGACTCGGACATTTTTTGGTTTCTTTTTTTTTTTTTCTTCCTTGTTGTATGCACCCCAGGGGGTAAATTCTCCGTTTACCTGACTTACCGAGTAGTTAGTCCCGGTTGATTATGACTCAACAACCGACCTAACCGACCTGAATAATACTTCCGAGGCGATATCTAGACAACAAGGTAAAAAGAAGAAAAGAAAAAAAAAATACACCAAACGAGTTACAGAAGGAAAAGAAATCCTGTCCAACCCCGTATTCTTCCCCCTGCCAGCCCCAACCTCCCGAAATCCCAACACGATGGATCGGAATCTAGATTCAACCACCACCAGTCCAGTGATCCACGAGATCCCAGCCTCAACCTGGTCCCCCTGGCTCCTGCAACGCCTCGAAACCCAGCTCCCCTACTCGATCTCACTGCTGCGTCGTATTCAGCACCACATCGCCTATCCCACCGCCACCGCCCGCGTCTTGGCTACCTTTCCCGCCAAGCGTCTACTCAATCCCAATAATCCAGCCGCACCAGCCCAAAGGAATGGAGAGAAAGAAGAAGAAGAAGAAGAACCCTGGCTAATAGCCTACACGGATCTATTCGCAGGCCGTGAGACTCAGGTGGTAATCTACAGCAGCGAAGAAGCGTCCGCCTCGTCGAATGTGCTGCTCCAGCCTACATCCAGCCCCACCCACACCCACACCGACACCCACACCCATAAGCCTGACGATGGAAATGAGAATGAAAATAAGGAAGGGGATCAGATCCTCTCCCTCCTCACCACGCCAACCAACCCTCAAAGGGTCCGCGCCCAGCTCCTGGCCTTGTTCCGGTATATCAAAACCCATTTGCTACCGGTGTACACCGCGCATCGCGCTTCCGAGGATGCGGCGAAGGAAGCAGCAGGTGATCACCAACTCGCCCCGCCCCCGCCGCAGGCCTTTCTAGTCGGGAATCTGCACACGGGACTCTTTGCTTTGCTTTTCGCGGGGGCGGTGCATGAAGGCGTGGGTGCGTCTGTTGATGAGGTTGGGAGGGTGTATACCTCCTCCTCTTCTTCCACGTTGTCTTCTTCTTCACCGGAAGAAGAAGAAGAAGGGAAGTTCGTCCCCGGGATCAAGATCCATCGATACGATCACGCGCCGTACGTGAAGTACCTGTTCGGGTCGGATGTGGTGCGTCGTGGTGGTGGTTCGGCCAGGACCGATAAGACCGAGGCGTCGAACCACGCAGACAACCTCGATTTCCGCTTCCATACCCGCTCCGGAAAGCAAGGCGTCCTGCCTCGGCACTTTGCTCTTGTGCGCAGTCGGACCGTCATTCATAGGTCGGATGCTACGTTGGCTGTTTTGCCTGGGGCGGCGGTTTATGTTGATCGTGATGGCTGTGGTGATGAGGATGGTGAGAAGAAAGGGGAGGAAGAGGAGGAGGACCCCGTTGCGTGGGCGTTCCTCGGTCCGGATGGGTCGTTGGCGACTTTGCATGTTGAAGAGGAGTATCGGGGCCAAGGGCTGGCGGGGAGAGTGGCCTCGGAGGCCATGCGGCGTGGGATGGTGGAGGATGAGCGGTGGAAGGATTATGGGGAGTTGCTGGTGCATACGAATGTGGCGATGGGGAATGGGGCTAGTCGGCGAGTGATGCGGAAGTTGGGGGGGAGGGTTGGCTGGACGGTTACTTGGACAGTTGTGGAGGTTGTATAGAGTGTTGCCGTGTTGCAGTGATGCAGTGTATACATCTGGATTGAGTACTTAGAGATGATAGTATGCAAGGTGTAGAACAATCGGATTAGATATGTATGAGTATAGTACCAATGATATCACGAACAGCTGAATAGAGTCAACAATAGCAGCATGCTAAACGATCAAACAACATCCTAACACCAATAGCCATGAAAATACCAAGCCCAGACACCAGAAGATGCAGATCACCCAAAAACCTCATCCCCGCCGACCGTCTGAATACTAGCAACCATCACCGCCCCATCAGCAGTGACAATCCTCTTCGTCTCATTCTCCTCTCCAGTCCGTACTTCTTCTTCAAATACTAACCCCCTCCTCCTCCTCCCCGGAACATTGATTAACTCGCGCTCACTCCGAGCAGGTAACTCCGCCCTCTGCCGATAGAACCCTGTATCGGACAATTCCGCTGTCTCCATGCCTTGAGCCCTAGAAGTCAGAGTCTCCATTCGAACCCCAGCAAGAGAAGCCCTCTCCCCCTCCCTCTCCCTCTCGTTCCTCAACTTCACCCGCAAAGTCCCCCTAGGCGGCGAAACCGCCGGACTCGAATCCGCAGACGAGCCAAGCGGGCTCACGCCGACGTCCACCCTGCCGGCTTCATCATGTTGAAACAGCCGCGCAACGAGGAGTCGATCTCGTTCGTTGAGCGGGGAGACCTCGTGCGCGGGCGGGCGGCGGGGTGGGGTTATTGCTGCCGTCGGTGCAGGCGTAGGTGTAGCTATACCTGTAACAGGTAAGGCTGTCGCTGTGCCTGTAGCTGTACCTTCAACCGCACCCATATCCATACCCATACCCATATCCACATCCCTACCCATATCCACAGCCTGAGCTGAACGCATACCACTCGCACCACCCAAAAAAGACCGACCACCCCAGCCCCGACAATCATCTACCATCTCTTCTCCCACTATCAGCAAAACCCCCACATAAACTCTACAAAGGCGAAGCAACGCAAGCAACAAACAAGCCTAGCCTACCGGGTAACACATCCCGCCAAAAAACAGGGAAAGGGGACGAGAAACAAACCTTTCGTCTCCGTACCAGTCTCATCATCCCCAAGACATTCTTTCGTTGTAAGAGATCCCTTACTACTTCCCCTAAAGCTCCCCCGACGGCGCCAATGCAGGAGCTTGAATTGTCCGCGTCGGCGTTTCCGGGAGCGGTGGATCGAGTACGCGATGAAGGCGGCGAGGAGGAGGAGGGCGAGGATGCCGCCGGTTAGGCTTGCTATTATGGGTTTCCCGTTTATGGGGTTGCGGTTGGGGGTTTGGGTTCTGGTGGTGGTTGCGGTTGTGCTTGGGGACTGGGTTGATGTGCTGGATGTGGATGTTGATGTGGAGGTCTTGACTTCGGCGGCTGTGGTGGTCGAGGTTGTCGAGGTTGTGCTGCTGCTTGCGCTAGCAACGGCAGTACTCTCGGTGGCGCTGGCACTGGCGCTGCTGCTATCTTCCGCGCAGAATCCCACCGTGCATGGATCGACCGAGCAACACCCTCTATACCCTCCCTTGGCACAGACATACCACAGCGTATTCCCGGGGCAAGAACCGCTCGCTCGGACGACGAGGTCGGTCATCGCTGTGGTGCCGAAGATTTGTAAAAGAGCGGTGGATATCTAAGATAATAGTAAAACGAGTGGCGCGCAGCCCGGCTGGCACTGAATGAGTGTCGGTTGAAGAAAAGAACAAAACAGTAGACGCGAGATTGACCTCAGGGAAAGCGTCCTCAAGCCTACATCAAAGTGGCAGTGCTCGGAACCGTCCTCTTTTCTTTGTTTCGTGGACAGCACACCAGACCTAAAGCATGGCTGGCTACTACTCAGACAGACACCTCATAAACAAAGAAAACTCCATTGTATGGGAAAGTAAAACGGCTATAAAGGACAACACACGTGAGTACACCAAACTCATCGCCTGGAAAAAACCTTGGATATACACATATAAACACACGGAAATAGACACGGTCGAGCTTTCGCCTCGCCCTTTTCGTTTCTCCAACTCTCAAATCCAAACCACCCCTCACCTCAGAGAGACGCGCTTAGTACACACGCTTGAAGGGAGGCACCGACTTGCACTCGTTCTCGTCCAGGGTGTTGTGCTCAACGGCACGGTAACCCAGCTGGATCTCACTGTGGGGCTTCTTCTGCCAGGTGAGAGTGTGCTTCATCCAGTTCTCGTCGTCACGCTCGGGGTAGTCCTCACGGGCGTGGGCACCACGGGACTCCTTGCGGTTAGCAGCAGCAACGGCAGTTTGAGTACTAGGTCATCGTTAGCCATGGTCACAGACTACACAGATCAGATATACGTACGCGCAGGTCAACAGGTTACGGAGCTCAAGAGTCTCAACAAGGTCGGAGTTCCAGATCATGCTGCGATCCTTGGTGCCAACCTGGTCGAACATCTTGTCGATAGAGGTAACCTTCTCAACACCCTCGTCCAAACTCTCCTGGGTACGGAAAACGCTGACGTCAGTCTGCATAGCCTTCTGCATAGCGTTGCGGATATCGAAAGTGGACTTGGGGCCGTCAGCGTTGCGGACAAAGTCGAGGTCCTTGATGGACTCGGCACCAGCATCGGAGCTCAGCTCACGGTGGGCCTTGCCAGGGGTAGCGATGTCACGGACACGGTGGGAAACGGCACGACCGAAGACGACCAGGTCCAAAAGAGAGTTGGCACCCAGACGGTTGGCACCATGGACGGACACACAGGCGGCCTCACCGCAAGCATACAGACCAGGGACAACCTGGTCCTGGCCGTTCTCGTCAACGGTCAGAACCTCACCGGTGTACTTGGTGGGGATACCGCCCATGTTGTAGTGGACGGTGGGCAGGACGGGGATAGGCTGCTTGGTAACGTCGACACCGGCGAAGATGGAGGCGGTCTCGGAGATACCGGGCAGACGCTCGTGAAGGAGCTCGGCGGGCAAGTGGCTGAGCTGGAGGTAGATGTGGTCCTTCTCGGGACCGACACCACGGCCCTCACGGATTTCAAGGGTCATGGAACGAGAGACGACGTCACGGGAGGCCAGATCCTTGGCCGTGGGGGCGTAACGCTCCATGAAACGCTCACCCTCGGAGTTGAGCAGGTAACCACCCTCACCACGAGAACCCTCGGTGATCAGACATCCGGCACCGTAGATACCAGTGGGGTGGAACTGGACGAACTCCAGATCCTGGTTAGGGAGACCGGCACGGGCAACCATGGCCATACCGTCACCGGTACAGGTGTGGGCGGAAGTGCAGCTGAAGTAGGCACGTCCGTATCCACCGGTGGCCAAGACGGTGTGGTGGGCCTTGAAGCGGTGGAGGGTACCGTCCTCCTGGTTATAGGCGATGATACCGCGGCACTCGCCGTCCTCCATCAGAAGATCGAGGGCGAAGTACTCGATGAAGTAGTTGGTGTTGTGGCGGAGAGACTGTCCGTAGAGAGTGTGGAGAAGAGCGTGGCCGGTACGGTCAGCGGCGGCGCAGCAACGGTAGGCCTGGCCACCCTTGCCGTACTCCTTGGACTGACCACCGAAAGCACGCTGGTAGATACGGCCATCCTCGGTACGGGAGAAGGGGCAACCGTAGCCCTCCAACTCACGGACACTGGCAGGAGCCTCTCTGGTCATGTAGTGAATGGCGTCCTGGTCACCAAGCCAGTCGGAACCCTTGACGGTGTCGTACATGTGCCACCTCCAGTCATCCTCGTGCATGCTACAGGCCGAGGTTAGCCAAAGTCCTAACCTGAAGAGCCTCTATCAACATACTTTCCAAGAGCAGCGTTGATACCACCCTGAGCGGCGACAGTGTGACTTCTCGTGGGGAAGAGCTTGGAGACACAGGCAGTGTTGAAGCCAGCTTCGGCAAGACCGAAAGCGGCACGGAGACCAGCGCCACCGGCACCGACAACGACAGCATCGTACTCGTGGTCCTGCAACGACAATTAAAATCATAGTCTTCGAAAGAATGCTAAGAAGCCCTTACAATGACGGGGTACTTGTTGGAGATGAAGCCATTGGCCTCCTTGGCGCGCAAGGGTCCGTTGCCAAAGATCCGGGCTAGCGGAGAAAAGTAGTTAGCGAAAGGCCGAAAGGGATAGCGATGTGACTCCAATGCGTACCAGCAGGGCGGGAGGAGGAGAAAGGACGTCTCTGATCCCTCAAAGCGCGGGAAATCTGCGCAGACATACATGTCAGTAGAGTCCTGAGAGAGAGAGAGTGGTGTCCCAACGCGATCCAGATCTGGAGTCGAGACGGACAGACATCGGGATAGGGAACAGACCTTGGATGCGGGAGCTAGGCTCCGCCAGCTCAAGGAGCTCATGATGACGGATTAGAAGAAAAGAGACACTTCTCTAACAAATCCGGGAAAGGAGGGGAGATGGGGAAAGGAATCCAACAGCACAAGGACTGGGGGAGAGAAAGTCGGGGTTCAAGGCTGGTGGTGCATGCGAGCTGCACTTTTGGATCGTCGGTTCTGCTGGAAGAGCGAGGAAGGGCCGGCTGACATAAGCTATTTGCACTTGCCGACGGGGAGGACCGGGGCCGAACGGTCCAATCAACGGCTGTCGAGTGGTAATCACCTCGGGCTGCCAGCACTCGCTCATTGGCCGAGGTCTGCAGGGCACGTGGTCCGGCCTTCTTCTCACCCGGCAAAGCGCGAGACTTCCCGGAGCAAGACGGCCGGTTGACAGCCTGACTTTCGGCATGATGCCTGAGGCTTCTTACTGGCAGTGCTGTCGGTCGTCCACGGTATTTAAGCTTACTACCTAGCTTGGCTCGGTAGCCCTTGCTGATTGCCGCCGCACCGGCAGGGACAGACAACGTAGTAAATGATCATACACATGCATTCCATTTGTAATGTAACCCAGATACTTAAGTCGTCTAATTATACTGCATGTACGTCGCTGTCGAGTTGAACTTCAGGTTGCCCTTGATGACCTTGTCCACAGCTGCCAAGAAGTCCTTCTCGGTGGCCACCTTCCGACGGGCCCGGATGGCGAACATGCCAGCTTCTGTTGCAACACTGCGGAGTTCAGCACCCGTGGCGTTCGGGCAGAGACGAGAGATCAACTCCCATCGGATGTCACGCTCAACCGACATGCTCTTGGCATGGATGCGCAGAATATTGGCACGACCCTCAACATCCGGAAGGGAGAACTCGATCTTACGGTCGATACGTCCCGGACGCATCAGGGCGGGATCCAAAGTAGACGGTCGGTTGGTCGCGAACATGACCTTGATGTTACCACGGGCGTCGAAACCGTCCAGCTGCGTAATAAGTTCAAGCATAGTACGCTGAACCTCGTTATCACCACCAGCTCCGTCGTCAAAACGAGCACCACCGACCGCGTCAATCTCGTCGAAGAAGATAATGCATGCCTTCTTAGTCCGGGCCATCTCGAACAGCTCTCGGACCATCCGTGCACCCTCACCGACGTACTTCTGCACCAACTCACTACCGATGACACGGATAAACGTCGCGTCCGTTCGGTTGGCCACGGCTCGAGCGCAAAGCGTCTTACCAGTACCGGGGGGTCCGTAGAGTAGGGCACCCTTGGGCGGGTCGATACCGAGGTTGACAAAGCGCTCTGGCGAAAGGAGAGGCATCTCGACGACTTCCCGCAGCTTTTCGATCTGTTCTTTGCATCCTCCGACGTCACCGTACGTCACATCGGGCTTGTCTTCGACTGTCATCATCGTCACGCTAGGGTCGATCTTGGGGGGAAGAGGCAGCATAATCTGGTACTTGTTGCGGTCGACACTGTATCAAAATTAGAATCCGGACGTGGCGGCGGATAGGGCCATGGCGACATACCCAACTCTCATGCCTTCCTCAATATCTGTCGGACTCACTCGCTCTCCCAAGTTGACGACGAACTTGGCGATCTGTTTAACGTTGATGACATATTTGCTCTTGTCGGAATCCTTCTCATCCTGAATGATCTTTGTGCACCGGGCCACCTGCAATGGCTGCTCCTCTGCCATACGCTGTCGGTCCGCAGCAACATCCCAGAGGTGTGGAGGCGCGAGACCGGTATCGGATTCCTAAGCAGATCAGCCAAGACTTCCCCAGCGGAAAACATGACCAGATGATACCTTAACACCAATCTTCTCGTTCACACTCGCTTGTCTTTCCTTGATCTGTTTCTCGAGCTTCTTCAATGCGTTGGCGTAGGGAGCGGCGCCGTAGGTCTTTAGTACTTGGATATCCCTAGTTCCGGTTAGCCATCTAGTCGAGACACCGGTGAAATCGGATTGTCTGGTTCACCTACTCATCTGTGAGAGGAGTAATCTTCTTCTCCGGCTCTTCGTCATCGGCGAAGTTCTTCTGGTACTTCTCCCAGTTCTGGCCCGTAGCGCTAGGCATGCTGATGATGTGAGCCGGTGGCGAGGCGACAGGACAGCGAGGGGTTGCGTAAGCAGTTGAATCAGAAATCTAATATTGCGTATAGGGATACAGGATGGTGGCGGATGGTGACGGAGTTAACAAGGGACGTAATGGAAAAGGATGGAGCTTGAGCGGAGATGGTAAGAGTGATGTGGTGGTCGAGCTCAGCTTGAATGCGGTTCGAGCTGTTGACGCTAGTGGCCGCCAAGCCCAGCAGCAACACCGCCCAAAACCGCAACACCGCAGAATTTCCCAGTGCCGCCTCCAGGTTCTGGATCTCCCTCGCCTCGCTCCACCCCTCTTCATACTCAACTTTATCTCTTTTCTCTACGGTGTCTATATCGTAGTCATCTTTATCATGGCGACGACAGCCTCCCAGGGGGCCCCTGGCAACACGACCTTCAAGGTGCGTCTTTCTGCGGAGAGAAATGCGTGTGAACTGTTTTCTAATAGTCGGACAGGACAAGGAGAAGCCTATGGCAGTCCGCACAGCCAACATCTTGGCTGCTAGAGGTATGTATCGCTCTCCGTAAATCAAGATGCAATTGCTGATCAAACAATAGCTGTCTCCGATGCCATCAGAACGGTACGCTTGCCTTGAGGGAAACGTGACAAATGAGGGGCTAACGTGGTATGCAGTCTCTGGGTCCCAGGGGTATGGACAAGATGGTAAGAAGGTGGTCCTCTACCTGGGGGAATACTGGCTAACATAATTTCAGATCCAAACGCCCAAAGGAAACACCATCATCGTACGAAGACCATCCCCATATACCTTCAGCAGAAACCCCACTAACCCCTCCTCAGACCAACGACGGAAACACAATGTTGAGGGATATGAGCGTCATGCACCCCGCGGCTAGAATGCTGGTCGATCTCAGTGCTGCTCAGGATGTTGAGGCTGGTGATGGAACTACATCTGTTGTCGTTATCGCAGGAAGTCTGCTCGGTGCTGCAGAGCGCCTGTTGGCTAAGGGTATCCATCCCACCGTCATCTCCGAGTCCTTCCAAAGAGCTGCTGCTGCCGCCGTCGAAATCCTCCACAACATGTCTCGGCCCATCAACCTCACAGACCGCTCAACTCTCCTCCAGGCGGCCTCCACCTCTCTCTCCTCCAAGATTGTGGCTCAGCACTCCGGCCTTCTTGGCCCTATGGCCGTTGATTCCGTTCTGAAGGTCGTCGACCCTAAGACGGCAGAGAACGTCGACCTCCGGAATATCCGTATAGTGAAGAAGGTTGGCGGAACAATTGAGGACAGTGAGATGGTTGACGGTCTGGTCCTGAACCAACCCGTCATCAAGAGCAGCGGTGGCCCCACCAGAATCGAGAAGGCCCGGATAGGTCTTATCCAGTTCCAGCTCAGTCCCCCCAAGCCTGACGTAGGTGATCCTCTTTCTGAGATTGATCTGGAGTCGATGGGATGTACTGACCGCTTTATCAGATGGAGAACCAGATCGTTGTGAACGACTACCGCCAGATGGACAAGATCCTCAAGGAAGAGCGCCAATACCTTCTCAACATGGTCAAGAAGATCCAGAAGACGAAGTGTAATGTTCTTTTGATCCAGAAGTCCATTCTTCGTGACGCTGTCAACGACCTTTCCCTTCACTTCCTTTCCCGCCTCAAAATCTTGGCAGTCAAGGACATTGAGCGTGATGAGGTTGAGTTCCTGTGCAAGAGTCTGGGTTGCAAGCCCGTTGCCAACATTGACTCTTTCACTGAGGACAAGCTTGGTACTGCTGATCTTGTCGAGGAGGTTCAGCAGTCTGGTGCTCGCTATGTGAAGGTCACTGGGATTAAGGCCCCTGCTGCCGCCGGCAATCAGACCGTCTCCATTGTGGCTCGTGGCGCCAACAACCTTATCCTGGACGAGGCCGAGCGCTCTCTGCACGACGCCCTCTGTGTTATCCGTTGTCTGGTGAAGAAGCGTGCTCTTATTGCTGGTGGTGGCGCTCCTGAGATCGAAGTGGCTCACACTCTGGCGATGCGTGCTCGTGAGCTCACGGGCACCGAGGCCATTTGCTGGAAGGCTTTCGCTGATGCTATGGAGGTCATCCCTACTACCCTGGCTGAGAATGCCGGTCTGAACTCGATCAAGGTCGTCACTGACCTGCGTCATCGTCACGCCCAAGGCCAGCACAATGCCGGTGTCAGCATCCGCAGCGGTGGTGTCAAGGACGACATCACTGAGGAGAACATTCTTCAGCCCCTCCTAGTAAGCACCAGCGCAATTGAGCTGGCTGCCGAGACGGTGAAGATGATCATGCGTATTGATGACATCGCCTTGTCGCGGTGATTGAAGCCGAGCGGAAGTAGAAATGGAAATAGTATAGCAATGGGGTGGTGTATTATGACGAGTAATCAAACAAAAAACCACGATGTTCAAAAGTTACAAATGCCTGCTTCGTAGATTGTGGTCATATACGCTATAAATGGAGGATTGATGGTGACATGTGACATGCTAGTAATTAGTTACAACTTGGATTGCTTCTTCAGCATCCGGTTGGCCGCCGACTCTACGAGTTCCTTCCACTCATTCGAATACATCGACTTTTCCCTTGCCGGCAATTCCTCCCAGCCTTGCGCAATTCGCTGCTCGTCATCTTTCCACCGCTGCACCTCCTGCTGGATCCACGGCCCTAAAGCTTCTGCCGTGGTTGTGACCTTCTCCAGAGGCAGAGTATGTGCGGCCTTTGGAACCAGCTGATGTCTTACTCGACCATGCTCCATGCCACCACTTCCCCCGAATTCAGTGCCAATTTTCTTGGCTATCCGATCATGAATCCCAAGTTTGCACAATGGACTCTCCGCTCCACTCAAGAACAGCACCGACGGCCGCAGATGCGGTACCAATCTCCCCGCAAGGACTGTCTCACACCGATAGGACTTCTGTTCTGGAGCAAGTGGCCCCAGCACATCGGGGAAAAACAGGGGGTCATGCGGCGGACTAGGCGCTTCGTGCTGATGCTTTCGATTCTGCTCATCGGGCAAGCCCAGCTCTCTGTATCGACGAGGGTTGGCTCGCGCGTACATCAATGCCTCCTGATACTTAGTCGTTGCCAACGTCACGGCAGGCCCCTGATCCGGCGATGACGAAGCTTGTGCCGCGCCGTCTTGTGGGTATATAGTTGACGGCAGCTCGCGGTATGCGAATTCGGCCCAGCGCTGCAGCACCCGAGGATCCCAGCCCCGAAGAACCTTGCGCAACTTCTCTTTTGCGACAGCCCGGGACGGCCACACGTCGCGCTTGTTTATCGTCAAGCGGAGGAGAATGGGACCGCTCCCTTGAAGCATCCGTTCGGTGAGATATGGCTCGACCAGCATGAGCGATGAGAATAACCGGGAATGGATCAATGATAGGAACACCCTGCGAACACTTAGTCTCACTCCCATACACTGGCCAGCCGCTGTTGACTACGCGAGGAAGGGGGGAAACTAACATTTGGGTTGCACCCACGCTGTGTCCGAGTCCCATGATAGGCCGGGGCATCTGCTCACGGAACCGGTTGATCATCAAAAGGAGGTCGCGACTGTGATCAAGCCATGATGCTGTTGCAGTCAGTACTCATCTTCGATATGGGGCGTGGTGGGCTGGAGCATTACGGTCATTGCCTAAGTGGTCCTCATTGAGGATGCCGCTAGCACCTTGATTAGCGCTGTCAGCAATCCAGATTGCACGGATTCGAAATCCTTCTTTCTTGCTTCTAGCGTGGAGATCTTCCCATAGAGGCTCGTATAGTTCCTGGATGGTGATAAGCGAGAGGCTAAGGGTTGGCCGACTGGGACTTCTCCCTCCTACCTTTGCAAATGCGGTTCCATGTGCAGCAACGATGGTGACATCGCCTGGTGCGGGATTCGGATTGTCGATGGGTGTGTACTGCTTGACACAGAGTTTCAAAGGAGCATCTTGGGTGGCCGTGGCTCTAGGATACTCTCGGATGTACTGGCTGTCGATAACATGTTCTGTCACGTTATAAGGGAATGCCATCTTGAGGTATTGGATGGACGAGTACTTGGCAGCACTGCAGCGTTGTGAATGAGTCTTGAAAGTATTCTCATTGGGATTTTTAGAAAGACCTCCTTCTCACTGACTCTACGTGCGGATAGTGCAGGCGCATTGCGCGTCATAGCCTAAGAGACAGCAGTGACTGATCTACCGTGGCAATTGACTGTATCGAGACTGTGAAAAATGATAGGCCACAAACGTAAACATCAGGTTGACACCAGAAGCAAGCAGTTGCCGGAAGCAGTAGTTGCGTGGCGCCGCCTGATCGTCTCGTCTCGTGGATCCAATTGATCTCATCTCGAACTCTTCCTGAGATCTCTCAATGTCGATCCTCTTGGCGATCGAGTCAGTTCCCACCACACTCCATGGAGCACCTCTCCTGCAATAGTGACACCGTCGCGATACATGCTTTTTCTATGCTTTTTTCATCAATTCTAATATGTTTCTTCGAAGCCTGGCGAAAATAAATCAGGCGCAGTTGTCGCTTGCTTTGGTTCCTGATATGTGATGTGCTGTGAAGATGATGTATGCTTCGACCACGGACAAATGGCTGCCGCTTCTGACCCATCAACTCCACCAGCCATAAGGGTCATTCCAATCAGACTTTTTGTCTATACCATGACGAATGGATGGATCTCCTAGATGGTCTGTCTAATAACAAGCAAGGGAATCGGAACCCTTTTGTCCGTACGGGTCTTCAAATGGCCATGAGCTTTCTTCCACTTAAATCATTGTAGCGATGGAGATAGAATCTCAATACGGACTCGATGGATCTTGCAGAACCCACACGCGAGTCGGCAAGCAAGCCAATTCCATTTCATCATCTCTGGTATCGTCAATATTTCTCTTCTCGTCGATGACATGACCACGACAAGATATTTGGCCGTCTGCACGGCGGTCAATCGCAAAATCGAAAAAGCCAGGACAACAGCGTGCAGAATAAGCGACGAAATACCTTCATCATGAGCTTACATCTACTTGCAGCTGTGTGTGGAGCATGTCTGATCTACGTAAGTGTTTCTCGTGACTATCACGGGTCTACAATCTGCCAAGCCATAGAGTTGTGCATTGGCACTATATCGACTGTTCTTCCATCCTCTATCCAAATATCCCGGCCCCCTTCGTTAGCCATCCTGACAGACTGGGATGGTTTATATTATGCCTGGCGAGGCGACCTACACAAGCAAGTACAACAATGGCATGCCAGATACGGTGAGCGTCGTCGCCCAACATGCCAAGCGAGAGCGATACAGACCACCTCGCAGGCAAGGTCGTCCGGCTTGGACCCAACACCCTCAGCTTCGATTCTGCGACAGCCATGTCCGACATCTACGGCGTTCGGGCCAATGTTCGTAAAGCAGACAGCTATTGTGCAATGGGCGCCAGTCGTCGCAGCCCGACCATCCTGACAGCCATTGACAAGGGGCTACACGGCTTCAAGCGACGGATCATGGCGCAGGTCTTCTCGGAGCAGAGCCTGAAACAAATTGAGAATCGCGTCCTCGACAATGTCACAAACTTCGTCTCACTGCTGAGCACGGACGCAGATACCAACTCAGGAGGGACTGCGCCTAAGAATGTAGCCGATGCTTCCACCTGGCTCACCTTCGATATCATCGCTGATCGCTGCTACGGGGAGAATATCAACCTGCTGCAGTCGGAAAACATGCGATGGTTCTCCTCGGCATTCCGCAAGATCTCGCAACGCAGCATGATGGTGAGTACAAGGATCTGCCTTGCAAGAAGCAAAACAAACCAGCTAGCATGCGTCGGAAAGAATATGATGCAGCCCAAACTCTGCCAATTTAAACTCGACCACATCTTCCTCTCCTCCCAATATAAGGACATCCGCCGCGCAGGCAGCTGGATCCGTGAACGCGGCGAAGCCCGCGCCAGACTGGGCAACGACATTGTCAAGAAGGACATCTTCAGCGCGATGTTGAACGCCACCCACCCCAAGACGGGACGGAGTTTCACAGAGAAAGACCTCTGGGTTGGATCCAAGCTCCTTCTAGTGGCAGGTATGTACATACATACATACATACATACAGTCCCTGCCTTCTCCAAAGCCACAATCCGCAGCCAACCTCCACATTGCCCATCACTAACAGCAACACACCCCCACACCCCCAAAAGGCTCCGACACAACCTCCGACGCCCTCAGCGCAACAATCTACTACCTCCTGTACCACCAAAACAGCCTAGCCCGGCTAACGAGGGAACTCCGCACGACCTTCGCAACGGAGGACTCCATCCGCCTCGACACCGCCTCCCCGACCACAAGCCCCTACCTCCACGCCTGCATCAACGAAGCATTGCGGCTTCCGCCCTCGGTCCCCAACGGCCCACCGCGCACCGTGCTCCCCGGCAGAATCCCGGTAGACGGGGACTTCATCCCCGAGGGCACGGTGATCGGAACCTCGATCTACACCCTCCACCGCAACGCCGCCTTCTTCGACCAGCCGGATACCTTCCGTCCTGAGCGGTGGTTGGACCCGTCATCCCCCGAGCAGGGATCCCAGCTCCAGCTCCAGCTCCAGCTCCAACGAATTCCATCATCATCATCAGCAGCATCAACCACCAAGCAAACGCAGTCCGTTTAGGCCTTCTGCCCCTTCAGTGTCGGGGCCCGCTCCTGCGTCGGCTGGCGTCTGGCGTACACCGAACTCCCCCTTGCCGTTGCGCGCATGCTGTGGCGGTATGATGAGCGGCTTGCGCCGGTGGCGGCTGCTGCTTGTGCTGCGGACTCAGAGGCCGAACCCGAGGAGGGGCCTTGCTGCGCCGAGGCGCGCGCCTGCGGCAAGGAGACCTGCGGTATGAGATGATGGGGTGGGTGGTTTCGGCGGTGGAGGGGCCGGTGGCGCAGTTTCGGCGGAGGGAGGAGGGTGAGAATGGATTGTGTGTATGATTGAGTTGTCAGTTGACTGATTAGATGATTGTTTGCTTGGGGTTTGCTTGGGATGTCCAGTCAAGTCATGTGTCGGGTTTATGGGCTGTAGATGGTCTGGGAATTATTGGGAGTTTCGGTTTTGGTCAGTTTTGTCTCGTCTAAGATTGTTCTATTTAATCTGTGTGTGAAAGGGCTTTCGGCAGCATGAGTGGATGGGTATATCTACGTTTCACGCTCTAAACTCTCTCTACGACTATCATCTAGCATATTCATCATTCAACAAGAGTTGATTCATTCATATAACCAAGTTATGCTATTATTCTCAAAGTGAGGAAAAAGGTGGCGGGCGTGGGGGGGTATAAATTGCACAAGATATCCATGAAACTCCAAAAACTCCTCATACTCCTTCCTCATCACGACATGCTTCATCCGCACCTGAAATCCAACTTCGGGACAACTTTTCTTCTCTCGTTCCCGTACATCTTAAAACCAAAGAATGATTGACCGTCATGATGGGCATCAGAAACCCAGGGCCAAGAAAAAGCCAAGTATGCAGCCAATTTCCATAATCAATATTACCATAACCCATGTCGTCATGAAAATACAAACCCGATAAATTGCATGGAAGTCAAGGAAAAGGATATGCATGAGGATTATGCCATGATGCCGGAGGCGGAGGTCCCTGTTCCCCAGCGGAATCGCTTCAGGCTGCCCCGGACTGCTTCTTGACCGCAGCCGGTAGCTACTCTACCCCCTGGGCCGTCGTTAATCGCGCCAATCCCGGTGCTGGCTTCGAGTCTGCCGACTTCGCGGCCAAGCACGTAGCCTGCGGAGAAGCTGATGGCTGAGAACAGGACCACGACGCCCGCGCTGATCACCCAGGTCATGATGGTCGGGCTGGCAGTACCGATGGGGTCAACGGTGCTGCCTCGACGGGTTTTCTTTGCGGAGTGACTACGCTCCTTTGACGGACTTGACCGTCGTTTGGCTCGTGGGGGCGCGGACGGGATACTCCGGGGGGAATATGGTGGTGGAGATGGTCTTGATCGCGGGGACCGAGTTGCCTCTGCGGGATCCGCTCCTGTTGCTTCTTCCTCGCAGATCTCCCCCATCGCGACCGATTCGGAGACAAGACGGAACGATGACGGTGCTGGTGCTCGCGAGGGACCGGACTGGGTGGGTTGGGCATCAGACTTTGGCAGACCCCGAGCTGCTGCGGCGCAAGAAAGAAGTGTGGAGAGACTGGCACGGAGAGCAGCATCATGATCGGCGTGGTGAGACGGCGAGATCATGTTGTACGGACTGTGCTGGTAGGATGATCTGCGAGTAGAGCGGATGCTGGCTTGTGAATCTCGCCGGGCCCGAATAGCGGTCCGACGACTGGATGTTGACACCTCGCTGGGTTCCGCGCGATGCCGCTGTTCCGTAGGACGTGTCCATGATGGGTCCTGGGTTGCTGGCGGATGAGAGAAGACATTCGGTTGAGGGACAAATGGAGATGGGCTGATGCGCATGCCAAGTGCCGTGGAGTTATCGTCGTCATCCTCACCTTCATCCGAAGGGACATCCAACGGCAGTGGGGAAGGACCTGTTTGTACCAAGAAGGGATGCGGTCTCTCTGGCGGACGTGTCATATCCTCGGAGCTGCTGAGCACCTGATCAGATTCACTCTCGCTTTCCTCATATTCATCCTGACTGCTACTGTGTTCGCGAGATGAATAGTCTACTTGAGCTGTGGTGATAGCTGCAAGCTGTTGCAACCGTCGCCGTCGGCTTCGATGGTACCGAGCGGGATCTTGTTGTTGGACACGGAGACCGGTCGTGATGATATCGTCGTTGGTGCCTGCGGATGAGAGGGATGAGGACGAGGGCTGCGAGGAGACCTCGATCCAGGAATCTATATAATAACGCAGTGAGTACATAATGATACACTTTAGACATTAATTTGGCGAAAGGCTGAAGTTGGAGATCGAGTACCAAGATCTATGCCGAGTATGCAGGGGCAGAGTAGATATCTGGGAGGCTGCGAGGCAATGACGTACCTTCTGATCTCGTGGGGCCGCGGGTTGCGGGAGAACGTGACTGATGAGGCAGTAGATGATCGCGCGACGACTGATGAAGGTCGCGCGTCAGTCGACCGTTCAAACGAGGGTCTTCGTGTTGCACCTGACCTAATAGGTCATAGTGATTTGGTTGCATGATGGAGATAGAGAGCGAGCCGGAGGGGTAGTAGCGATAAGGCCCGGAGAAAGTGCAGACAGGGTGTGAGGAAGAGGGTGGAAGAGATATATGCTGAAACGGGATGAGAGAAGGAAACTGGGAGGGAAAGAGAAGAGGAAAGAAGAAAGAGGGAGAGAAAGAGAAATCGAGAGTCCGAGCAGAAGAGAGGATTGAAGAAGAGAAGAGAGAGAGAGAGAGAGAGAGAGAGAGAGAGAGAGAGAGAGGATGATGAGAGGTGAGGGGAGGAAGCGAGATCCACGGATGATCTTCAGGCCACGGGGACGGCAGGCGGACCGGCCAGTGATGGTCAGCGATGAAAGGAAGCGGTCAGTCCCAAAGCGCGGGGTTGATCAAGTACTACAGTAACTTAGTATGGATTGGAGGAGGGGATGGAGTGGTCGATATAGAGTTGATCTTATCAAATGTGGGACTAGACACTGTCAGGATCCCCGGTCCACCAGATATCAAAGAGAACGATAACGAGAAAAGCAGAAAAGAAGCATAACGGGGTTGGACGGTGCCGGGTTGCTTGCAAGATCGTGACGAAGAAGATGCGAACAGAGACACAGGCATGCAACAGTCTAACAACAGTCAGCAACAGCAACAGCAACATCAATAGCAGCAGCAGCAGCAGCAGAAAGAAGAAGAGGGGAACACGAGGCCGCATGCGATGATTGATCATCCGACCGCCCACCGTGACTGGCCCACTTTGATAGGCCCATCAATACAGCAGATCAGCCTGATCCACGATGCAGCCCAGCCATTGCAGCCATACATTTGGCCCAAAATCCGAGAATTGAAGCTCGTTGGAGCATAGTAGGAACCTGGCTAAGTTGACAATACTGGATCGATACCCACCCGTCGCGACGGAGACAAAGCCGACCTCGGAGGGGCTTACTGACGCCAACCAGCTCTGCCAGACAAAGAGTAAGCCCATGCACAACCATGGTACAGAGCACAGAGAGGAAAACAGTAAAGCTCTTAGCAAGATTCGAAACAAGAGTTCATTTTGGTCATGGCCATTCATTAATTGTTCTATCCTAGATATCACAAACTATGTTACCGAAGGGGGTTATCAGAAATCCTGAGAAATAGGAAATGCAGCAGCAAGAACTTTTTTGAAAACATCCTCCCGGAAAAGAAAAAAAGGAAAAAAACACCCAGTCAAAAGTCGACAAAGATACACCTACGCATGCACTTAAAAGGTAACCTTAGTGCCCTTGTACTCGGGGATAGAGCCCTTGCCCTTGTTGAAGCCACCGGCACCACCACCGCGACCGCCGAAGCCGCCACGGCCACCGCGGCCACCGCCACGGCCACCACCGCCACGACCACCGAAGCCACCACCGCCGCCACGGCCACCACCACGACCACCGAAACCGCCACGGCCACCGCCGTTGTTGTTCTGGCGGGGAGTGCTGAAGTCCAGACGGACGGGACGGCCCTCAAGCTCGGCACCGTTCAGCTCGTTGTAGGCCTGACGAGCCTCATCAACGGAAGAAAACTGAACGTAACCGAAGCCCTTGGGACGGCCAGACTCTTGGTCAGTGGGCAGACGGATGCCGACGACCGTACCCTGGGCGCCGAAAAGCTCACCGACGGAGTCCTCGTTGGCACTGAAAGGGAGGTTACCGACGAACAGGGTGTCGCTCTCAGGGCTGGCCTGGTCGCCGAAGCTGCGAGCACGGTCCTGGGCGCGGTCGCGGGGAGCACCCTGGTTGTTGGCAGGACGGCCGGTGGCGTAGTCGAGGTTGATGGTACGGCCATCGATCTCAGCGCCCTTCTTGGCCTCGAAAGCCTTGGCAGCATCGGCAGCGTTGGTGAACTCAACGTAACCGAAACTAAAATACATGATTAGCAATGCTTTAGGCACAAGATATCAATGGGAATGCTTACCCGCGAGAGCGGCCAGTCTCACGCTCAGTCATGATGCGGACACCGGAGAGCTCACCGAAGCCCTCGAACTCGCGCTGGAGCCACTCCTCGTCAACGTTCCAGGACAGGTTGCCGACGAAGAGGTTGGCAGAGGCACCCTCAGCAGACTCCTCGACCTTGGTCTTCTTGGGGGTGGCGGCACTCTCGTCCTCAGCCTTGCGCTTCTTGGACTCCTTGGGGGACTCATCGCTCTCCTCGGACTCAGAGTCGGAGGAGTCGGAAGAATCAGAGTCGGAAGAAGACTCCTAGGGACGTTAGCATCAGATATTTTTCAAGCTCAGTGCGTGTAAGCATACCTTCTCGGCCTTCTTCTCCTCCTCAGACTCAGAGTCAGAGTCGCTGTCGCTGTCGCTGGACTCCTTGGCAGCCTTCTTGGGGGCCTCCTCCTCAGAAGAAGAATCGGAATCAGAGTCGGACTCAGACTCAACCTTCTTCTCGGCCTTCTTAGGAGCCTCCTCCTCAGACTCGGACTCGGAGTCGGAATCCTCAGACTCGGACTCTTCCTTCTTAGCGACCTTCTTGGTCTCCTTCTTAGCAGGCTTCTCATCCTCGCTCTCGCTCTCGCTGCTGCTGGAGGCATCCTTCATATCCTCGTCGCTCTCAGAGTCGGAGTCCGAGTCGGACTCAGACTCAGACTCGACCTTCTTCTTCTTGTTGTCCTTCTTGGCGGGCTTCTCATCCTCACTCTCGCTGCTAGAGCTAGAGTCAGAGTCCATCTCCTCATCGCTGTCGGACTCGGACTCGGAGGACTCGGAGGGAGTAGGCTCCTTCTTCTTCTTGGAGGACTTCTTCTCCTTGGTGACAACAGCCTTGGCAATCTGCTTGCTCTTGGCCTTGGGGGACTGAGCAGCCTTGCTCACACCGGCATCCTTGACCTTGCTCAAGGCCTTGTCAACGGGCTTCTCGCCACCCTTCTTGGAAACGGACTTGGTCTTCGACATCTTGAATCTGAAAACAGGAAGATTGACTGGTTAGTGTGGGAAAGGACAGACGGCGGATGGGTCAATATATGGAAGCAAGGGTGGAGACATACCAGATAAAATTGATCACAAAGAAACTTCTTGTGCGGCAAATTTTTTTTCTTGAGTCCCACAAATCACCCGATTTGAGATAAGAATAGCCCACTGATTGCTTTCGCAAATACCCACAGGTAACCCACAACTGACAATGTTCAAGCCCACACGAGTAAGACAGGAGAGAAACGCTACCGTCTATGATATGAAACCCACGGAAGTATCCAACAGATCCCACAGAATAGAACGCAGTATGCTACAACCCACAGCCCTCAAGGTAAAAAGCCCACAGGATGTCTGTTACGGTGTACCTAGCAAGATACAGCTGAGTCAGTCAAGAAGTTCTTGTGATGAGAGTCAAACGGTGTTTGAATCTCGAAAGTAAAAGATGACAAGGGGATGAAAAGGGGATGAGAAAGAGTAGGAGGATGAAGGGAGGAAGGGAGAAGAAAAGAAGAAATTTCTACTGCTGGGAGCTTCGATAAGGCGGCCGGGAAAAAAAAAATCGACTAGTCAAAAATCTGGAGGTTGGCAGAAAAACTCAGCAGGGGTTACCGCTTGCTTTCACAGGACTAGTCGAGGTACTCCGACCCACCCGACCACACCGCATGCATTGCTGACTAGATGCACGCCCCCGGTGTGCCTATCCTCGGTAGACAGAGGCATTGTACCGGATGTAAGCCTGACAGAAGTCGATAAGGCAGTATCCAAGACGCATGTTGGTTGTAGTGCCTGAGAAGTCTTGCTCATGATGACGAGCTAATTTGTCAATTGATACTCTGTATTTCCGAAGCCTGCCATGGTCGTTTCTCTCGGAATGGAGAATAACATTTTAGAACTGCCAAGGTGGCTAAGTGATTCCTAGATCCGCCCACCGCCCGGCCATTGAAGCAACAGAGTGTCATCCCCGGAGCTGGTCCACTTGCGTTCGTACCGCACCTAATACTGCTACTACTTACCTCTAACCTTCTCTTCTCATACTTCGCTTGCACCGTCATCACACCCATCGCAGACGGATCAGACCAAGTCAATGGTATATCCCTAGTTCCTATCGCTTCGCTCCTCTCCCTCAATGGCTCCCCCATCCTCTTATCGCCCGCGGAAGAAGAGAAAGGGTCCCTCCTCGTTCGCGGGCACCAACAATTCTCTCATTGCCGAGTCAGGCGGCAAAGCATCTCCGGCATTTCCTTTGGTCTCATTCCTATGGTCCGCTCGAGCAGGTGTTTCCCAATGGCTCGTTCTCCCGCTCGTTTTAATGGCTGTCGGCCTGTTCCGCTGGGCAGTCAGCCTGTGGGGATACTCTGGTACGTTGCATGGGCTTGGTGACTAGCGCATTGTCCAATTCTAATGGCAAAAAGGCTTCCAGGTACCCCCGATGCACGGCGATTTCGAAGCGCAACGGCACTGGATGGAAATTACCACCCATTTGCCCATCGCGCAGTGGTATCTATATGACCTACAATACTGGGGACTAGACTATCCCCCTTTGACGGCATATCACAGCTGGCTGCTTGGGAAGATGTAGGTTGATCAGACTCCAACATCTTCTCGCTCTGGGGCTAATCTCGCGTAGTGGTTCTGTCATCGATCCGACCTGGTTCGCTCTCGATAAGTCTCGCGGTCTGGAAGATCCCCTGTTGAAGGTGTTCATGCGCGGAACGGTGGTGGCTTCTGAGTATCTGGTCTTCATCCCGGCTGTGGTCAACTTCCTGCGTCGCTACACCCGGATGCAAAATGTGCCTGTCTGGTCTGCTTCAATCGCTCTTGTTGCAATCCTCCTTCAGCCGGCAACAATCCTTATCGATCACGGTCATTTCCAATACAATACCGTGATGTTGGGACTCGTCGTCGCGAGCCTGGATGCCATCTTGGCGGGACGCATGCTCTGGGCTTGTATCTTCTTTGTGGGTGCTTTAGGCTTCAAGCAGATGGCGCTGTACTACGCACCCGTCATGTTCGCCTTCCTGTTAGGCGTGTGTATCTTCCCGAAGATCCGAGTCCTCCGCCTTGTGTGCATTGCTCTTGTAACACTTGTGGCATTTGCGGTTCTTTTTGCCCCACTGATCATTGGAGCAATTGGTGAGGAGGCACGAGAGATTCTGGCTTCGGCTCCGCAACCTCCTCTCCTACAGCAGCTCCCGATCGACCTCGACAAGCATTCCGTGCTGTATGCGATCGCTTTCCAAGTGACCCAAACCATCTACCGTGTATTCCCATTTGCCCGTGGGTTGTTCGAAGACAAGGTTGCGAACGCTTGGTGCGCTATCCACACGTTCTACAAGCTTCATCGATTTGAAGCTAGTTTCCTCCAACGCATGTCCCTTGGCGCCACGTTGGCTTCGATCTTGGTCCCCTGCACCATCATCTTCCGTCACCCACGCGCGTCACTTCTGCTTCCTGCACTCTCAACCGTTGCCTGGGGCTTCTTCTTGTTCTCCTTCCAGGTGCACGAGAAGAGCGTTCTGCTCCCCCTGCTCCCCATGACACTTCTCCTGGCCGGAGACGGCGGTCTCAGCAAAGAAACCCGGGCGTGGGTTGGATGGGCGAATATCCTTGGAACGTGGACCATGTACCCTCTTCTCAAACGCGATGAGCTCCGGGTGCCCTACTTCGTGATGACCTTCCTGTGGGCATATCTGATGGGTCTACCCCCAACTTCGCTCGAGGCCTACCGCAGCGGGGATGCTTCCGAGGACAACGCGGAGCCCCATGTGGTCATCAAGCTATTGCACATCAGCTTCTACCTTGCCATGATCGCATGGCACGTTGTTGAAGCTTTCGTGCCTCCGCCAGCGGACAAACCCGACCTGTGGGTGGTACTGAACGTGCTTATCGGAGCAGGTGGGTTCGGACTGGCCTATCTATGGTGTCTGTGGAAGCTAGTCCAGCAGTGCCGGAGGATTGACCAGAAGGTGGCAGAGGAGACTCAAAAGAAGAACCAGTGATTTGGGTTTGGTTTGAGGGGGGCTCGCCTCCAATATACCTTATTGTTTCTATAGTGATACCCCGTTTCATTTCCGTGGGCTTGCCATATGCATGGCTCTGATTACAAAACCTGGTACATGCATGCCGATTTGTACACAAATACAGGAGCAATCAGATCGAGTTAGTTGATACATCCATGACATCAGAGCATCCATATACAGTACACAGTATACCCATAATAAGACATGTAGTTATTGCACAAGCAGAGAAGAGATGAGAGATACCCGCCAAAGAACCCTCGCAAAGCAAATATAGTACACATTCAAGCCCACAAGCAAGGCCAGAGCGAAGCGCAACCCCAGCACACCCAAAAACTCCAAGATACGTGCATGCGCTCTTAAGCTTGATCTATGTATCGGACAAAACAGATATGGTATACAACCGCCCTCTACCTCCTGGGGAGAACTTTCCAGTAAACCCTAGGTTTATGGTCGGTCGATCGGTCGGTCACCTTAAAGAAAAGTTCCAGACCCTAGGCCTAGACCTTGAATCCATACCCGGCCATGCAGGCCTTGTACTGCTCGATCACCGACTTGCATTCCTGGGTGGGATCGTCGGTCTTGGAGAAGAGCATGCAGTCGTCGCGGGCGGTCTTTTCGGGCTTACAGACGCAGCAGGGCTTTTCAGAAAGAAGAGTTAGCATGTATTGCGCGATTGGGGAGTTGTTGCATGGGAGCGAGGGATATTGTTCGAGTTCAGTTGGCGGGGAGGACGGACCTTGGGCTTCTCGGCGGGCGCGGCTTCGGTGGGAGGAACTGCTGTGGGAGCGCTCTCGGCTGTTTGTGGTCGTTAGCCGTGGTCATTATACATACCAGTGGTGTTCATTAGGTGTACGGCAGAGGGGGGCACCAAAAGTGGTGAGCTTTGGAAATGTGAAGCGGATAATCGCGGAGACATCGGAGGATGTATGTAGACTTACACTTGGAGGAACCGGAAAACCAGGACATCGTGGAGAATGAGGGTGGTTGAGTGATTGGAGCGCAGAATGAGTGACTTAAACTGGAAATTCCTGGAGAATGCTATGAAGTGACAAGAGGAAATGAGACAATTGGGGAAAAGTAAAACAATTGCAATGAAGGACAGGACCGAGAGAAAGATCAGGCAGGGACTGCTGATTAATGGATCGAAAGATGATGCGATGGTTTCCGGAATGACGCTTCTGGTTGCTATAGCCTGCTGTAGCGTCGATCGGGGAAAATTTGCGGGCAAAGCAAGCCCGGTTGTCAGGGAAGCAGGGGGGAGAAAGGCGGGCGCATCAATCATCACACTGCACGGCATTCTTTTGTTCTTTCTTATTATCTTTCGCTTCTTCCACCCCACAATTCTTCACTTCCTTCACATTCATTCCTCCCTTTTTAAACAAACTCACTTTTAAACTTTACACCTGCTGGTTTGGACGGCTTATCGATCGCATCCTTACGTCTGTCTTTTTGACGATCCTTTCCACCATCTGTACCTCCTCACAAACAACCCCCCCTGAAATTTAATTTACCCCGCCATGGCCCCTCCGAAGGTCTTTTCGCTTGAGGGCAAAGGCCTCAAGCTGGACACTGCCGACGATATTGAGGCCCATATCAAGCCCTTGTTGGAGAGCACTGACTACACCGAGATTCGCTTCGGAGGAAACACCCTGGGTGTCCCCGCCTGCGAGCGTCTGGCTGCCGTGCTGAAGACCCAGAAAAACCTCGAAGTGGCCGAGCTGGCCGACATCTTTACCTCGCGTCTGCTGAGCGAGATCCCCGATGCTCTGACCTTCCTCCTGAACGCCCTTCTCGAGATCTCGACCCTTCACACCGTCAACCTGTCCGACAATGCCTTCGGTGCGAACCTCCAGAAGCCCCTCGTTGACTTCCTCTCCCGCCACGTGCCCCTCCGCCACCTGATCCTCAACAACAACGGCATGGGCCCCGAGGCCGGTTCGAACATTGCCAAGGCCCTCACAGAGCTCGCTGAGCGCAAGGAGGAGGCTCGCAAGGCTGGAAAGGAGGTTCCTCTTCTTGAGAGCATCGTCTGCGGTCGCAACCGCCTGGAGAACGGAAGTATGGCTGCTTGGGCACGTGCCTACGAAGTGCACGCTGCTGGTATGCGCTCTGTGAAGATGACTCAGAACGGTATCCGTCAGGAGGGTATCTCTTTGCTGCTGCAGAAGGGTCTCGGCCATTGCAAGGCCCTTGAGGTCGTTGACCTCCAGGATAACACTTTCACCATCATGGGCTCGATTGCTCTGGCTGGTGTCGTTGGCAACTGGTCCTCTCTCCGTGAACTGGGTGTGAGTGATTGCTTGCTCTCTGGTCGTGGCGGTGTCAAGGTTGCTCAGGCCCTGGCTGAGGGTAAGAACGAGAAGGTTCAGACGCTGCGCCTCCAGTACAACGAGATCACCGCCGAGGGTGTCAAGCAGTTTCTGCATGCGACCAAGTCTGGCCTCCCTGCCTTGCGCCGTATCGAGCTCAACGGTAACATCTTCATGGAGGAGGATGACAACGTGACTGAGCTGCGCGAGATCCTGGAGGCTCGCAAGGAAGAGCACGGCTCCGATGAAGACCCTGAGGACATGTGGGGTATTGACGAACTGGACGAGCTTGAAGAGGAGGAGAGCGAGGAGGAAGAGGAAGAAGAGGAAGAGGAGGAAGAGAAGGCCGAGAAGCTCCTCAAGGACACCGATCTGGCCGAGAACGAGAAGGTCGCCCAGAAGGAAGACAAGGACGTCGACCAGCTGGCCAGTCTTTTGGGTAAGACTGGCCTTTAAGCTCTCTTAGATGTCCGGTCTTCTACTCACTCCGCCTTGCCTCGCCTCACACTGACATGCCTATACACACATCCTCCATTTTTGTCGCATACCCACCCATACCAAGTCAGTGAATCGGCAGTGACTTTTCCGGTGCCGGGAACCAGACGCATGGCCGTCCCAACTATGACGAGATGCTTATCGGCATCGCCCCGTCATACCCAGCAGGAACTTAGCATGGAGGATATTATCCTCGACATACCCCATCCAGTCGACACGCCTGTTGGAGGTTGCCCGAGCGCCTCTCATCCGTGAGGCCTGCCACGTAACACTGACGCAATTCTTGGATACAATAATGCCCCAGCTCCTTTTCGCTTCAATGTTGTCATAACATAGCTTATACCCGTTGGAGAGCATTAGACCTAGACAAGAGCTTTAGCTGTTGCTAATGATCATATGCGTTATTGCCTTTATGATGTATATAAGATTTCGATGAAAAAAGATTACCCATGCTTTCACCTCTTACTTCTATTGCTCCGAGATGCAGATACCACTTGCCTTGTGGTCGTTGGCAATTGTTTCTTTCATGACGAAACTTCGAGCGATTTTCCCCAGTGCCAACAACATTGGTCCAATCAGTAGCTGACTCCTATGCGCCCCAGTATCTGCGAGGTTTCTTGACTTATTGCCAGACTTTCACTGAAATATATGCTAAGAGCTTGCAGTAACGCTCAACCTTTCAGGAGATGCCTATATCACAGAGGCTGTATGAATCATCACAACAAATAAACTGGTTATTAACCTGTTCCCCTGGGAAAGGGACCTGGAATAGGGACAGCCTTCACACACCGGCACCGTCAGTCGCTTCACTTCCCCTATCTCCCATAACACATGCGACAAGGAACTATAAAGTCAGGGCCACTTGATAGTCGGTCTTTATTGCCCCCCGGTGTCGGCGTGTCGGCGCTCCGGCTTATAGATCAAGGACAGCACCACGAAACAGACCTGCAAATCGGGCCCGTTCCATGACTTGCTGATTGGACCCTCTTCAAGGTCCAGAGCAATGCTTCAATCCTGGCTCGACGTGCATTAGTGGGTCTGTGCCTATAAACAAGTTAAAGTTGAGGCTCTCACCTGTCTGTTCGGTCCCTGGCCCTGTTATTTCCGCTTAGTCAGTACGGATTCTGCATGTTATCCGCTTCCGGGGCCGAACCATAGCATCATATTTCAGCATTGTCGCCCCTGACAAGCTTGATTGCACTGGAATAAATAGTGACGATGGTCAATCGCTCACGGCTTAGTTCAGAATGGTTGTTTATTTGTCTGCGACGAAATAGACACCTGAGAAAGGTCGGAAACGATATAGCCTCAATCTACGACCATGACTACGGCGCCAGCCAGATTCTCTGGCAAGGATGATTGGAAACAGAACTGGAGAAACTTCCTCGCGGCAGTGGGGGTGAGCTTTCTTCTTTCGCAGCTCTTGTTCCTGGGAGATATGTCTTACCTGTATGCGACGCAGTACCGAGACAGCGAACGAATCCATCAGCTGAAGCTCCTCTATGTCGACTTCGACGGGACTTGATCGGCCAATCAGTCCTAGATGCATACGGAGCCCTAGATGGAGCCAGCTTCCCTACTTTACACCAAGCATCCCGCGACCACTACGCAACAGCCCAGGATGTGCGAAACGCCGTCTGCCATGGCGACTACTGGGGCGCCATCTACGCCAACCCCAGGAAGCACAGCGCGGCTGGCAGTTGTCACTTGCCGGAAACACCGACGACAACGCCAACAACAGCACATCCACAGCGCTGACCTACATCGGGAACGGAGCGCGAAACCCAGCCTTCGCGCAGAGCGCGGTATATTCCCACATCCTCACGCTCCTCCAAGCGACGCGGTCCGCCTACTATGCGCGCAACGCGTCCAACATGCTGCAGACGTTGGCCCTCGTCCACGCCATCCATACTAACCACCTTCCTCAACCCGATCACCGCGACGGAGTTCAACATCAAGATCACGCACCAAGGCTCGCAGGTGCTCTACGACACAGTCTCGATCATCATGCCGATCATCTAGCAGTTCTTCTTCATGATGGCGCTGAACGGGCTCTCGGCGCAGTTCCAGCTCTTCACGCGGCTGACCCCGCGCGCCAACAGGCTGCTGCGCCTGTGCATCTCCTTCTGCTACATCTTCATCGGCGCCCTCTGGGCGTTTCGCGAGTCGTGGTCGGTGACCGCCAACCGGCCCGTGCTCTGCTGGATGGCCGTCTGGCTGGACATGCACATCAACTTCCAGATCGTCGACGTGCTGACGGCCTACGTCCCCATGCAATTCATGCCCTTCTGCATCCTCCCCTGGGCCATCGTCAGCGTCGCCAGCACCGTCAGCCCCTTCGAAATGCAGCCCGGTTTCTTCCGCTGGGGCTACGCCCTCCCCGCGCACGAGCTCTACCAGGTTCTCGTGCAGATCTGGAGCCACGGCTGCGAAAGCCAGTTGCGCACCGCCCTGCCTGTGTTGTTCTCGTGGTGGGTGGTTAGTGCCGGGTCGGGGATTGCTGCGACGCATAGAAGGTGTCGTATTGCGGTTGCTGCTGCTACTCACGGGGAGAAGAGTTTTGAGGGGGTTGGTAGGAGGGACGGAAAGGCGGAGTCGGTGCGGACGGGGTCGAGTACGCAGGGGATTCTGCGCAGGGAGGTGGAGGGGCGACAGGATACGGTTGAGTTGGCGCGGTTAGAGAACGCGGGTGTATGGGAGTAGGGAGATAGGGAGATAGCAAGTAGACTGGCAAAGTGATGAATTGACTTGCAATCCACCTTTGCTCTGCATATTACTCTTTCATTGAATGTATACCATAGCTTTAACATGGTGATATCAGCATGATAATCATAACGAAGACGCATACCCTGCAGCAATCAAGAAGCAAAGCAATCCAATCCCAAGGTCCACCATCAGTCCACCAATCCCTCAATCGAAAGGTAGAATCGTACAGACCTTACAAGTCATCACAGTGTATTCACGCCCCTTCTAACTCTAAACCCTGGTAGCAAATGATAATCACGAACCGAACCCGCCGGGATCGAAGCAGAACCACCTCGTCGCGTCATCTTGATCTATACGACAAGTGACCTACGCAAGTAATCCAGAACCCGCACCACAACGCTGCCAGGGGCAAGCTCTAGCTGGAACAGGAATCAGAAGAAGCCGGGAGGGGACTGGTCGATAACACCACATGCTAACACCCAGTTTTGAGCACGTCCATCCATCAAATATCTTATGAAAAAATCCCATCACACCTACCCAGCAAGGCTCTGTCTGCCTCAATTCAAGCAGATCAGCACCGTCCCATATGCCAGATACTCAATATCAAGAACCACATGGCCCAGCCCAGAAGCACCACAACCCAACCCAATCTATACTCATCTCCGAGAACCTCATCACGTATGTACGCGTATGCCTTGTTCCACAGGGCAGGACATTTTAGCCACAACCACAATGGAGAGAACCTGCAGCTTAGCCATCACCGCGCACTCCCCCCCCCCATCCATCCCCTCAAACTTACTTGCTTGCGTGCGTGCGTACGTATTTTTCAATGCTGCGCAAGCTACATACACTCCAGCACTACAGCAACACAGCACAGTAAGATTTAAAACCAGAACAAGCTCCCACCCATCCTAAACCCAAGCCCAGACCAGACCAGATCCAGCAGGTGAACAAGACCGCGACATCCCACCCCATCAGCAGAAACCCAAGTGCAAGTTTCAGAATTCATGACTCAATTCACAACTCTAAACCCTGCCAAACACACACACACACACATGTACACCAAAAAAAAAAAAAAAAAACACCCCCAAAACATTTCGCCCGATAGACCTGAGGCGACGAAGGAAGGAAGCGAATCGACGTCCAAAACATTACCCACATCAAAGGGAAAAAAAAATGGGCTGAAACCCAACTCTGAAGCAGATTGGAGGCATCGGAGACATCGGAAATTACCCCTGGATAGGTAAGTAAGGTACATACATACCTACTCGAGTAAGCTGAGGTGGTGCTCTCCACCGGGCCGAGTGGAGGTTCAAGGTACAGTAGCTACTAGCTAGTAGTAGCTACTCGCTAGAACGATTAAGCGTAGCCGGTGTAGCTCCGAGTTGACGGCCGGTTGGGTGGGGGGTGCAAAACTTCTTTGGGTTGTGGGAAAAACCAGGGAAAGCACTTGGCTCGGTTGGAGGATCGGCAGTTGTGGGAGGGAAAGAAAATTTTTTTTCGCCTCTTGCTGTTTGAACTTGTTTGTTTTGCGGTAAAGTCTAAGATTGGAACAGAAAGCTATGAAGGCAGGAAGAAAGAAGTATTGAATAGGTGACCCTTGATTGACTAAATTTACCACTATTAATGACATACATACATGTAAAATAGAAAAGAAATTGACTCTATAAAGAGACAACGGTAATAAGAAAAAAAAAGTCTATAATACGGGGAAAAAGGGGAAGCCGGAGTACCAGCTCATGCATGTATGCGTAGCAAGTGTTGGCCAGCGGAGATGGTATTATGGAGCGCAATCAAGCGTTTACTCATCGTCCTCAACCTCGGCGCGAGCGCCCAGGACATAGCGGGACTTGCCGTGGGAGTCTTGCTCGTGCTCAATGGCAAGCTTGGACAGGTGGCCAAGCAGGTTCTCGATCTGGGTGTCGGCGCGGGAGCGGTTCTTGCGGCCCAGGTTGTCGAGGAAGGGGATGATGCTGAGGAGGTAGTAGGTGACGGCAATGATAACGGTAACACCAATGGAGTAGGCCCAGATGACAACGACGGTGACAATGTCGACATCACCGTTGACGGAGAAGTCGGCGCTATCGTGGGGGTGGGTCTGCTCGAAGTCGCCGGAGAGCCAGCCGAAGACACAGAAGAGGGTGGCGAGCACATCGACAACGAAGATGGCACCAACCAACTGCCACGAGGGCCAGGTCTTACCACCACGAGTGACGAAGATGAGCCAGTTCTCGGTAAGGGCAACCTCAAGGAAGAGGATCTCCTGAGGAGAACCGAAGTTCTGGATGATACCACCATTCTCGAGGAACAGGGAAGCACGGATGATCCAGGTGGCGCCAGCAAGTAAGATACCGAGAACGACGGAGATAACCCAGATCTTAGGCAACTGCCACTCGACGGGGCGCTGCTCGAAGTGGGCGTTATCGTAGGCGACGGCGATAGTGGCCAAATCAGCGAAGAGGGCAATGAAGACAATCAGATCGGCACGCATGGTCTCCTCAATGATGATCATGGAGGTAACAAGGTAGATCTCAAGGTGGAGACACAGAGCGATACGGTACTGAATATAGGCCTTCATACGCTGGAAGATCTGACGGGCAAGCTTGATGGCATCGACGATGGTGCTGAGACCGGGAGCAAGGAAAACGATATCGGCAGCGGCCTGGGCAGCTTCGGTGGAACCCTCGACAGCGATACCACAGTCAGCCTTCTTGAGGGAAGGAGCATCGTTGACACCGTCACCAGTCATGGCAGTCAAGTGACCACGCTGCTGGAGCATCTCGACGACCTGGTACTTGTGTTCGGGGAAGACCTCAGCGAAACCATCAGCCTTCTCGACGAGGTCGTGCTGGGCAGAGCCAGCAAGACCACCGTGGATCAGCTTCTCGGAGTCGTAGACCTTGGTGCTCAGGGCAAGCATCTTGCAGGTTTCCTTGGCGATAGCGAGGGCATCACCAGTCAACATCTTAACGGACAGACCAAGGTGCTGGGCCTCAGCGATGGTGTGGGCAGTATCCTCACGAGGGGGGTCGAACATGGGGTACATGCCGAGCAATTGCCAGGGCTCACCCTCCTTCTGGACGGCAACACCAAGGGAACGGAAACCACGGCGGGCGAACTCAGAAGCCTTCTCGCGGAACTTGTCGGCCTCATCCTCGGAGCACTGGGACATGGCAAGGATAGCCTTGGGGGCACCCTTGGCACAGACGTAGCGGACACCATCGCAGGTACAGATGGTAGTGATACGCTTGGAGACGGGGTCGAAGGGAGTGTACTTCTCGGTAACCCAGTTGCGGGCGAGGATCTCACGAGCCTTGGGGTAGCGGCGGAGGGTCAGGATAGTGACCTTGTCAATGGGGTCCAAGTTCTTGATGTTGTGGTTGGAGGCGATAGCGGCGACAGCCATCATCCAGTTAACATCAACACCCTCGTTGACGTAAGGCTCACGGATGGAGAGCTGGTTGGCGGTAAGGGTACCAGTCTTGTCAGAGCAAAGGATATCGACACCAGCAAGGGACTCGATGGCAGTGAGCTTCTGGACAATAGCCTTCTGCTCAGCCAAGTAGGCAGCACCGACAGCGAGGGTAGTGGTGGTGACGACGGGGAGACCGACGGGAACACCGATGATCAGGAGAATCAGGGTGTAGTGGAGAAGGTTGTTGTCAGAGTTCTCGGGAGTAGCGATCTTGAGGTGACGGTAGAAACCACCAATCCAGGCAGCGAGAATCCAGAACATGACGAGAACCAAGAGGGAGGTACCAATGTTGTCCATGACAGCCTTGAAGTGACCCGAATCCTGGGCACCCTGGACGAGAGCAGCGGTCTTACCGACGAAAGACTGCTTGGCGGTAGCGGTGACGATGGCGTAGGCCTTTCCACGCTTGCAACCAGTGGTGTAGTAGCAAGTGTCGGCCATGTACTTGTCGACGGCCAGAGACTCACCAGTGATGGCAGACTGGTCAACGGCGATGAGGGAGACACCGGCACGAGCCTCAATGCCACCATCATCGTCATCCTCGTCCTCCTTCTCCTTGAGAGTGTCATCGCCAACGGTGGCGAGGTACTCCTTGTAGGTCTCGTAGTTCTCGGGCTTGGTGTAGTCGCAGATAAGACGGATATCAGCAGGGACGATAGTACCCTCCTCAACAACGACCTATTTGATAGTGTATTAGTTCGCTGCTCGAAGTGATTCGTAGATAAGCAGAGTTGAGAACGTACAATATCACCGGCAACCAGTTCACGGGCAAGGATTTCCTGCTCCTGTCCATCACGGACAACAACAGCCTTCATAGCAATATCACCCTTGAGCGAAGCGACGACATCGGCGGCCTGCTTCTCCTGGTACCAACCGACGACAGCGTTGAGCATAAGAATACCGATAATGACACCGAGATCGATCCAGTCACGAAGACCAGCAGCGAGCAAAACAGCAAGTTCCATAACTGCGGGAGTACAAGCGCGTTAGACGAGCAATTGAGATGCAGACGCAAGCTAAGCCATTGGTAGTGAAACTCACCATAAAGAATAGGACCACGGAAGTAACCAATGAACTGGATGAAGAAGTTGGTCTTCTCAGTGGTCAACTCGTTCCAACCAGTCCTCTTGCGACGAGCGTCGACGTCGCTGGAGCGCAGACCGGAGCGCATGTCGGTCTCGAGCCAGTCATCGGGGCAGACGAAGCCCTCCTCAGCACCATCAGCCTTCTTCTTGAAGAGCGAGAAACCACCCTTCTTCTTCTGGCCGGTGCTGCGGCCGCCGGCGCTCGAAGTGGAACCACGGCGCTTGCCTTGGGCAGTCGAAATGTAGCGGTTCAAAGCAGCATATTCCTCAAGTCCTTCACCACCTTCATTGTTGCGAGAATGGTCACCATTCTCCACGTCGGGAGCATAGGAAATTCTCCGCTCCGCCATTGTTGCTTCGGCTCACACAGCCTAGGGACCCAACGATATGAGCAGATGCAAACGAGAAATGACAGGGATGGCAAGAGTCGGAATATCCTATGAAGAAGAAAGAGAAGAGAGGGGGAGGGAAGGGAGGGAGAATGTACTCTTTAATATTCTGGGGGAGGGTGGGCTTGCAATTGCACGGGACCAGGACAAACACGTCTTGTTCTCTAAGCTCCAACGGGCGGGCGACCTTCCCTGTGCGTAAGCCCACTTTTTTTTTTTTGTGTTTTTTTTTTTTTTTTTTTTTGCCTTCCCAAAAAAATTTGATTTTCTTCTCCATTATTTTTCCCGGTTCCGTTTTTATTGTTATTTCATTTTAATATTATTTCTTTATTTCCTTTTTGAATTTAGCCTTCCTGGGTTCTAGTCTTGGCCGGGAACAGTTAGCCACTCACTCTCTCTCACTCTCACAACTCTCTTCGCTGTCCCTGGTAAGGTAAGGTTTTTCCCACTTTGCCTCACACTCACTTTCTCTGCTAAACGGCACGCATCGTTAGTTGCCGACCGAGGTCACTGTTCGAAAAATTAGCCTGTAGCCCATTTTCCATTACTCTCTCTGGTCTTCTTCTTCTTCTTCTTCCTCTGCCAGTGGATCAGATTTGCCCCTTCGAGTCTAGTCTGGGCGATGAAAACAAAAACTCTGACCATACCCCATTGGGGCGAGGATGGTACGGCACTTTACGCCCGTCGTCTATTGTCTCTCTCTCTCTCTCTCTCTTACTGTACTGTGTGTCGTCTGGTTGTCTCTCTGTGTGTCCCTCTCCATGACCGGCAGACCTGTGCCGAGTTTGCCCCCCCTCCCACTTCTCCCCGTTCCCCTCCACTGTTCCTATCGCTTCATCCCAGCTTACGTGAAATCCGACTGATGGATAGATGAAAGGGCGAAGTTGTAAACTTTCTCGGGGTTACCGTCCCAATACAATCCGATCATCTTCCATCCCGCACATCCCGTACACTTCGGCGGCATCTACTGGTATGCAACTGGTAAAATTACGGACGTGCAGAACGGCTCTGTCGGCCAAAGTCGGCCTCGCAGCTTACATACAGTAGAATGTGCTTCCCATTTGCCTGGGTGCGTGGGAAGAAAGGCGCAAAAGGGAAATTCCGTACTGTTACGGGCTGTACCGACAGCAGCAAGCCCGGCGAGGGCAATTGTCTCTCCTCAGCACAGAGAGAGAGAGAGAGAGAGAGCCCTTCTTGCCGCGTGCGGGTTGGTTGTTGTAGTGTGTGGTTCTCGTTAATTTTCCCTTTCTCTCGGTCTCTTGTCTTTGCTGTTCCCATCTCACTCATCTCTCTCTCTGTCTCGGGTCTTTTACTATGCGCGATTTTCTGCTCCAGCCAGTCCCTCTCAGTCCGTAGTCCCCAGTCAGAGGACTAGAGGGGAAACAGCGCACTTTTGATGAGGGTAATAATTATCATCTCATCGAAAACCTATCTCCTAGGACCTTGGCTACTATCGCTACGACGGCTATGAAACTAAGACCTAGAAAACTGTATAGAATCAAACACAGCCAGCCATTGATTAGCATTCCGCCCTTGGGAGTAATAATAAGAATATGCCAGGTACATCATCCCTCCCTCTTTTTCTCTCCCTTAAGCTCTTTTGTGCAGCCCATGACATCGGGAGAGGGACTCCATAGTCCTGTCGTTCCCTTGCAGCAGGGGGATGATGAAGTGAAAGGACCAGAGACATACAGCAGCATAGAGAACATACAGAACAAACAAACAGAGTCAGTCAAGTTCAGCTTCAGCCCAAAAAGCTACATTGTACTGTACCTCCTCGATAATGCCCCGAGCTAGACGCTACGCTGGAAATACTTGTCTGGTGTCTGGATGCACACGCAAATGCCACTCACCACCGCACTTGCTCAGGGCCGTCCTACCCGATCTTGGGACCACGAGCTGAAGCCAAACGGGGAACGCAAGGGGGAGGGGGGCGCGGTCCCAAGGAAGAACCCAGACGATACCAATTCCGGCCATGCAGGGCTAGAAAAGGCCCAAAACAAAGACGGTCCGTGAGCTCGATGATGATGCTCATCTCCCACTATCGCGCCCCGATGAAATTAGATTGACATCATGGGCAGGGTTTGATGACAATGGTCTCATACCATTCCCGCCTGGCTAGCACTTTTCTGACATCGTCGTTCGTGATGTTTCCGGGGAAAGGGGGAAAAGAAAGGGAGACCGTAGGACTTTTTTACAGTTGGTGATGATTGAAGGCGGAATTGAGTGCCAGGGACAACCACGATTTGAATAATGCACAACTCACCCACACTACCCACACACACACACATATCCACACAACACATGGAGATAGACTAGTAGATGCATTCAATCATCCATTCGACAGCGAGGCTTCCTTATGTCATCATCGGGATTATTATGTCTGGCCCATCATTCGTTATCTATGCCATGACAATTCGAATCACCTCGCGTTATCTTCCGACTACGCACCAGTCAGGCTTGTCACGTCCCTTAGCCTCCTCTGCCCTTCTGGGTGCTCTCCTCCACCACTGGCATCGGCTTTTCCGCTTCCTTCAGACGGACGGAGATGCAGCAGGTTTCGTTCCCATCTCACCCTAGATCCCTCCAAGTCAACAATGAAGGCGATCGGCCACACCTACTGTACCCTTCCTTCACATCCAACCCATCCTGGGAAGCGCGTGTGACGACTGGGCTTGCTCCCCACTGTCTCTCTAATTAGCGTTACCTTGAATATCCAATCGTCACCCGCCCGCCTTGATTGAGTTTCATGCAATTCCCTCTTGGTCGTGGGGATGGGGGAACTTGAACGGGTCCCCCATCCTTGAAGCGTCATCTTGACATGTTAATGGCTGGGAAGGTCGGGATACGACTCCGCCCGACCTTCTAGCTCCAGGTTTGGCCGGTAGTATCAATGTAGCTATTAATATTTAGTTACTACCACTATCATCCTCCCTGCACTATCACCGTCGTCATCGTCGTGATCCTCCAGAAGACCGAAACAAAAAAAAAAAAAGGCTCATCCTAACTTTGTGAGGTACGTAGTGATCTAGTGGCGGAGAGATGATGCAGCCGTCGACCTCACGATCGGGCTAGTACCGAGACAATGGCCCGAACCTCTCTCCAACTTCCTCAGACAAAGAAGCACGCAGATAGTATAGTAGTGTTCAGGCATCGTTTTCGGTCAGCCAGTGACTTCATTGGTGTCGCGTGCATGGTATACACATACATACATGCATTCTGATAATTCGATAGACCTCATCATTCGAGAATGGTAGGAGGGAGATCTTGTTCCGTCGGCACAGCAATTCCCACGTTGCGACTTGCGACAACCGGGCCGCCCTTTCGTTTTTGAGGAGATGCTTTTGCCTGATTTGGTGCGACGCCCATCTGGTTGACAGGTTGTCTTTCAACGGAAACATGCATGCAGAGCCACGACTGATCGAAGGCCGTGTCTTATCCTGATAGCCTGATATGTGATGTTGAGACTTTTGTGTAAGAGTAGGGAAAGAGAAGCCCGGTCCAGCCGTCCAGCCCCCCTCTTGGCCCAGCGGCAGCTGCAACAGCAACAGCAGTCACGGGTATACCTATCCTACCACAATCTACAACAATCCTACATGATACCCATCACACTCGAAACCTCGATGGCCAGGATCTTGTCGCTCCGTTACTCGACCGGATAATCCAGGAAGAGACAACAAAACCCAGTCCTCCCCGAGGCCCTCTGGCATATCTATTGAGGGAAGAAGGGCCGCCGCCGTCAGCCAGAACCTGGGACAGATCATGGATCGAGGTCGCCTTTTTGCCTTCCTGCATGGCATACTACAAAGTACCGAGAATGAAAGAGCAGCAGCACCATCGATCACCACGTAGCCGTCCGCATGCTTGTCCTTCGCCTCCTCTTTCCCCACACTCCAGCCGATGAGAACTTTCCAATGTCATTCTATATTGAGCGACCCCGATCGACCGACCGACCGACCGACCGACCGCCGCTTGTAATCTTGGTCAAAGTCCAGCAAGGGTATCCCCCGAATTGCAGATGCTAATTCCCAATTGCCCATTCTTTCTCCCCAGAGCGACCATCTAGATACTCGTATCTCCAAAGTAAGCTTCCCTTCGCGCATAAGGCTTGTCTGAAGGTTGATTGTGTACTCTGTTCATTGGTTACATACTTCCGTCCGTATCTGCGCGACGAGCACAGTATAGCGAATGCCAAGCCCCGCACAACCCCCATACGATAGACCCTACTACCTTACACTACAGGATCTATCTACCGATCGCTTATCATGGATTCAGTACTTCATACTCTCTATCTCTCTCCCAATTCTTGGTCCTTGGCTCAGTTATCCCATCAGGGTGATACCAATGCTTGGCTTTCCTGTCTCTGTCCCGGAACAACTATGTTACTGTAAGGATCAACGGAGGGATGATCCGGGGGTTGATCTCGCCTCGCATCCCAAGAACAGCACTATATGTGATATTCGGGGATCGGTGGATGTTGGATCTCGTACATGCTCGCTACTGTACCTAGTCTAGAGATGATCCGACATTTATTGACGATCAATTGGATAGAATCGGTGGTCCTATCAGATGCTGCGTTTCACTGCCAGTAACTCGGAGCTTGAATTCGGTTTGGAGCCCGTAGACGAAAGAATATATCTCACGGCTACTAACTTGCATATACTACAAACAAAAACACCGCAACTACTAAATCAAGGACTTAGGCAGTCAATTGGACAGCATCCTAAATCCCATGATCCCAGTTTCAGCCCTGTCACCTAACGAGTCGAACCAAAAAACCACTCATAGACAGGAAACAAACAAGAAAACCTAATGTCCGGGAGCGCATCCAATAGGTAGAAGTTGGGAGTTTGGGCTGAATCGTAAAGTGTATGGCTGATGATTCCGTCCGACTCCGTGCACGGTGTTGCCTACTCCTTCTTACTCAGACTATCTAGTTACTGGGTAATTGTTTCCGCTCTCCAGGCTTCCTTCGGGCTCAGCTCCCTCCCCAGACTTCTCCCGACTCGTCCGAGAAGGATGGAGAGCCTGCCCGGACGGACTGCGGAGGACGGCACGCAGCTGGGATTGGCCAATAGGGATCTGATATCCTGGTCGATACTGGTTGGGGATAAAGTACCTACCTATCGTACACTTAGGCAGACAGTATACTAAGTAGACAGTGAGATGGAATCTCTAATGATAGCCTCTAATTGCCTTCGTTAAAGACAGTTGTTGTTGTTAAAGTCAAAGGAAGTGAAGTAACAAGAGGCTGGGCTCGGGAGCGATGAATGACCTCTTTCCCCCGCCCGCCGCCACTGCCATTGACAGCTGGGCTCTCGTGCAGTTACAGACTACGTCCAGTACCTTAGTCGCAGTCGATGAAACACTCCTCCCTACTCTGCAGCAGCCACGATATAGATACCGGTGCTTACTATGGGAGATCGCTTCAAGGATAGCGTGAATGTGCATGCCTTCGGGCGGTCGGCTTATCCTCCTCTGACAGGCTTATGCTCAACATGATACAAACACCGTAAAGCCATCCGAATCCAAGCCACTCAAAGGCCCACAGAATGGACCCCGAGCGAGGTTCAATATAGCTCTCCACCATGAGGATGAAGCACCATTTAACGTTCCGTCCGGGTTAAGCGGCATTCCGCGGATGCAGCCTAGTGTTTAGATGCTTACTGCATTTAGCACGGTACAGTACCTACAGTAACTAAGACCATGATCAAAACCAACATCATCATCAATTCAGCACAGCCGAATCAACGACAGGCAACAATGGAATCCAAGAATGGATGAATTCCAGAACGTAAACCACAAAGGAAGGGGTCCGTCATTCGAGGAGTCAAAAACATGGAAGGGGTGGAAACATTCAGTTTCCATTCCCATGACCCAGGCAGCACTGCACTGCACTTCTCCCGCATACTGTTTCCGTCCTACAGTATGTATCTGATCCTGGGGAGAGAGTGAGAAAGAAGTCCAGCCCCCCTCCCCTCCCCTCCCCTCCCCCGTCCTCTAACTACGGTACACGGGGCCGTGCACGTCCCGTCAAGGTTCTCTCTCTCATCCTGATTCTTTCCAACCATCAACCCTCAAATCCGCGTTCGAGAGGGGAGTTAGTTCATCATCGCAGACATTCAAGGAACAGAAAACAACGATCGTCTCATCTTACCGTTGCCCGGCGCAGTCACATCCAGGGGAAGACTAAAAAAGTACGGTAGGTTTCTACAGCCAGAGAAAGGCATGTAACCAACGTCAGCCAAGACCCTCATTCCCATTGCACCCTAGCCTGGTCTTCCAGTTCCCAGCCATCGATTCCTGCTTTCCCCCCAGAGAAACCCACCCACTCACTAGGTATTCTATGGAGTAGTATTCCTGGGGGGGAAACGAGTTTCATGATTCATCTCCCTGGAGAAAAGTTGCGGTGATTAGACCCTCTTTTTTTTCGGGGGTGGGACATTCACGAAAGAGTCCGGAGAGAGAGAGAGAGAGAGAGAGAGAGAGAGAGAGAGAGAGAGCAATTTACGATGGATACACCTAGTCAAGTAGGTCGGTCGGGATCGGCACCGGTTGAGCGGTCAGCTGAGATAGCATAGCTTGCTTGCTTCCTCCGGGGGCGAAGCTACTTACCTACTTTGTACTGTAGTTAGTACAGTACCTGGGTAGGTAGATAATCATGACAAACTTGTCTTAGTAGCTATTAACCCAATCCTCCTCATGCCTACATATGGGGTCATTGCCATAAGTTGATTGTGGGAACTGGGACTGGACTCGCCCAGTGGAGAGACAGAGAGAGCGAGAACGAGACTCAAGCTACTTACCCCATCTAGCTAGCTAGGTGAAGCTGGGTAAGCTCCAATTCAGCTCCAGTGAAGGTACTTACTCAAAAGGTACGGACTGCTGTCCCATCATGTAGTCATGATGGAGTCGCCCGTCTCACTACGGTTACGACAAGTAGCTAGGTAGGGTAAAGGGTTGGGTGATGCTGCTAGCTAGCCCCGAATGGCCGGCCGGGGCAACATCAATGTCGTAGTTTACTTACTGCTTTGCTGTGTACCTGACTGAGTACGATACCCGAGTGGAGATTGGGGCGCGAGTGTGTGTGCATTGCGTGGTTTGGACGGTGTGTGGAAGTAGCAACCCTGGCCGTCGCGCATAAATTAGTGCGTATTGATCCGATACGTCGGGGTTACGGGCAACAAACGGAAGTGGTACCTGGTACCTGTTACTGGTTCCCACCGAGGAGGAAGGTACCTGGGCCTAGTGTAATCTAGAGGCGGCGGTAAAACTTACCTAGCTCGAAGGAAGCTCCCCACATCCAACCGTGGTACGGGCGGTTTTGGTCGGATGTCAGGTCGACCCTGAACCAGCGGGTGGGATGAGAGGGTGGAAGGTTCTCTGTTCATGTCAATCCGATGAGATGAATTGGTTGTGTCTGAGCGTTTTTGATGCTAATGGCGTCGGGCTTCAAGCAGCACGTGAGGCCTCTAAATGCCGGTCGACTTGGTCGTTGAAACAACTCTCTGACAGCTGTATGGACGCTTCCATGGATGTTCTATGCCAGAGGTCTTTCTGGGGTTGGCGGGCCTGAGGCCACGAACAAAGGAAATGTCTGCCAGACCGTGGAGCCGCCGCCAACGACGACACGCGACATACAGGGCACACGTGAGGGATGACTTTGATAATCCTACAGCAGATCAACAGACATACACACACACCCAAGAATCATCCCTTCCAGAACGGTCATGAAGATGACTCAGTTGCTTCCCCGGCATATAGTGGTAGATCGCGCCTCGCCGTTGCCCTAAGACGAACTGAATGACACGCGCGATCGCGCCGAGTGACGACGCGGTCTCTCATAACGAGCGATAATATATCCCGCATGGAGCCATTAGTGAGGCTATTACACGGTGACTGAGAGTGGTGCAAGAGTCCGGAGTAGGCTAAGCCAGAAGTCGGAGTAACTCCTTAGTGCCGCCGACTAAGGACCAAGCTAAAGCCTAAAGCATCCTTAGTAAGGACTCTTATCTCGCTCGTTTGCCCACCGGGACACTTCCCCCATCCTCTGGGCCTTTCTCCATCTCCAAGACCGGGGCCACGCTTTACTCTCTCGGGCAATCCGGTCGCCACCCGAGGCACCGACAGCATGGCCCAAGTGAGGGGCAGGCGGGCAGGTTGCTGTTCTGACCGCAGATTCGCCGTTCTCGAAGTTTTCTAGAATCCTTCTTCTACTGGGTCTTGGGCTCTGTTAGCTGCATTTCCAGTCGAATCAGCGTGTTTGGTTGCCGCCCGGATTCGGGGAGATGCGAAGGTTGTGGGTTGTGAGGAGAACGAGGGGAGGGGGAGGCAAATCCGGAATGGAAAAAAGGTTGTTTGGCGCAGGGTCGGAAATCGGCAGGTGGCATTATTCGTTGGAGGGGTTTGAGACTTCGAGAAGGCGACCGCCCACGACGTCATACCTTGCCCGACTGTCTCCGATAAGAGATCCTATCGGGTAAGAGAAATCAAAATCCTTCCCAGCACTGACTGCAACACAAAGAAGGAAAAAAAAAGGGCTGAGGGTGGGTTGGTCTGTGTGGGATGGGGGATTGTCATTGACTATTGATTTTGATTTGGGTCTTGGGGCAATTTGCCAATAATTAACGCGACTTTGGTCGCTCTCGCCTTCTCTACTCGGGAATTTTTCCCTCTCTCTCACCTTCGGCCTCAGTTTAATTATGTTGGTTGTTGTCGTTTGTGTGGTGCGTGTCTGTGTCCGTTCACCACCCATCTCCGAGGAGCGTAGCGCAAATCCCCGTTCGAGACAGGGCTAGATGTATTGCACTTTGCCTGATTAGGTATTATGTATCAATTGGGTAATATGATACAGTCGATCCAATTGTTGGAACCGGTTTGGCCTGCACCAGCGCATGTCAAATCCTGTATAGCATTGTCATCGGACAGGGCTCTGTAAACCTTTGAGGATATCAAATGGGAGTTCATCCAATTCGATTACAATTACCATTGTCCCATTGCCCCAGGCAGAGGTATCTACTCTGCCTCCCACCCTCTCACGAATACGATCCCGACCGTGGAGCGGCGGCCAGCCCACAGTAGATTTATTCTTGGCTTTCTGGTACCTACAGTAGTGACTGAGGCTAGGGTACTAGCGAGTGAGTAGCGACTCCGGTACGAAGGGGCCGCACATAATCACACCGACCAGGAACGGGACAGGTCGTGCTCCCACCTTCTTCCATCTTCACCGGCGTTAATTGGGGAACAGGCAAATTAGCGCCCCCAAATCGAATGACTAGTGTCCACTACGGCACTACTTCGCTTTGAGGTTCAGTTTCGTTCAAATCGTTCCCCACCGGGCGATCGCCCGCGCCAAGCTGTCTCATCGAGGAGGATCTGGGTGAGGGATTTTCTGTCGACGGTGATGGTGGTGTCTGCTGTCGCGCGCCTTCACCCGAGGTTTCTTCGCTCCCACAGCCAGCTTGCTTGGCCTTGGAAAGCACCTTGAATAGTAGGTGACCAAAAAGAACATCCCGTCTGACGGTTTGGCATGTCGCATAACACGAGCGCATCTCCTCCTAATTCTTCCGCGGCGCCGCGTCACAGCGTGCAGATTTCCAAGCCATCCTATTTGTCCAGCGGTCCTGCACAAGGGACTTTGTGTAGTTGCCATGAAGTAAATATGTCATCCTTTCCCCATTTTCCCCCATGGATCTGGAGAGGATGAGACACGAGTAGGCAGGACTTACGCTCTCAAGAATACTCTTGCCCTCCCCTCTTCTTCCCCCACGGACGGGATCTCCGACTGTTCATCGGAGATCCATCCCACCACCGTCAGTTGTCCAACTCCAACGGGCCAGCCGTCCCCAGTTCTGAACAGCCAATGCCAATGTTGGAGAAACCGAGCAAAAATGAGACACTGGACGGATATTAACCGCAGCTACGCCGCAGCAGCTAGATAGTTAGATAGACTAGCTGCCAGACCACTAGCCTCCTTGGACAAGCTATAGGAGCTACTCACTAGATATCCATACGCGACGTTCCCCATCTTTCCTCCGTCTCTACTCTATCTAACCACCGAGCTCATCATCTCTACCCTGACGGAAAATCAAACCAACAGAACCCCGGAACTACTGCAGCTCTGGCGGGTTATCATCCTGCTAGAGAGACTACTTCTGGCAGTTCGACTCCCTCTGCATCTCTCCGGAGTAAAATGAGGAGTCGGAGTACATTGCCGCCATGCGTGCGTGATTTATTGATCGATCCTCATCCCGCCTCATTCTGCAAGACTCCAGTCTCCAGTCTCCAGTCTCCAGTCTCCAGTCTCCAGTCTCCAGTCTCCAGTCTCCAGTCTCCGCGACGGGGTAGCTTGGGTGGGTGGATGTGGGTGAGATGGTGTTAGTCAAGAAACAGGGGACCTGCCACGGTGGCAGCCCACCGGTACGATAGAACGACGCCAATAGTCGGCTGCAGCATGCAGATAGAATGAGACGCACCAACAAAGCACTTGTCTGATAAGGGTAGATGGTTTAGATGGGGCTTCTTAGTTCTATCGACGGCAAGAATAATTTTTCCGTGGTGCGTACGCCAGTTCTCTAATCATTATTCCTTGAGTGCTTTGCTTCCTTTCGGGGTGGGGACTTGGGAGATTGGTTCGGGTTTAGTCCGAGGCCGAATTCGGGGAATTATGGGCCGTGCCTGGCAAGTCAATCTTTCCTACGCTCCAGCTCCGTGTGGACTGTGGAGATTTCGCCTTGAGATTGCAATCTTGGGGTGCGCCTCGCCAGCAGCAACCGGAAAATCCGTGGACGGCGGCGAGTCAATACGGGTTTACGGGCACTGCTGACTTGCTTGCCTTGCTTGCTTGATTGTCTGCTTGCTCAAAATGTTCTCGGGCCAGAGTGGCCGAGAAATTAACTGCTTTCCTCCGTAGCAGTCTGGCTGAGTCTCCATATTGACCATCAATCATCAGACGCGACCGGTGGATGAATGTGTTCTGGTTGGTCTCACTCAGGATGTCTAGAGTCGAGCCGGTCGGGAACGGTAAATCGGCAGTAGACTTCTTGGCTTATCGCGTGTGTTCGATTCCTGAAGCGGGAGCCGACTGGGATTGACATTTCATTGATTGGTTCTATTGAAAGATTGCGTCGTTGGTGGGAGGGAAATTCGCTCATCACTCGATAGTGTGTCTGCAGCTCGGCGCTTTTTCCTCGGCACATTCAGGGTCGCATCGGCCAACCCGGCCTCACGGGATTCGGCACCGTCTCCCGTTCACGGTCTCAGGCTTTCATTGGTGTGTTTGACTTTGTTCAATGAGAACCTTCGCCCCTCTCCTCCGCCTGTATCAGCATCCATGGTTAAACGCACACGACGTGCTTTTCGCCGTCCAAGAGCCATGGTTCGCCGACCCTAGACGCTTTGCATTCCCTTCCACTCGGGGATGTTTGGTTTCGAAGAATTTTCCCGAATCAGCAGGGCTGTTGCAGCGTCGGGCTTCCAGCATGTCATCCATTGTAAGGCTGAGGGAGGGTGCGCGATTTATTGAACTCCGCATATCAAGTCGGGATTAGAGGGCATAGAGAGAGGCGCATTGGGCAAGTATACGGAGAAACACATCGTCAGCAGCATGCGACCGACCATCAAGGATTTCTTTGCATCTATCTATCTACAAGTGCCTCATCCAGGACATTCAACCAGCAAACACACAAACGTACGAGTAACCCTCCCCCAAATCCAGAACCATGGCATGCACATGGAGGACCTCGATGCCAAGGGATCTCCTACATGGATGGCACTGTTTCCCCCGCAAAATCCTAATTTGCTCGGAAGAAAATCCACCCAGACACGACTGCCGAACACCAAGGGCAAAGCCAGGGACGACAAGCGGTGCAGACTGCAGATTCCTGATCGTATCTGGTCCTGCAACTGCAAGTAAGTACCGTAAGTCACCGCATCAGACAGGTCCCCCTCGTTTCACTCGGTTTCAGCGCCCAGTATCCCCTGCGGGATCATATTCGGATATATCCTCTCCCCCGTGCATATCACTGCATTGGGATGGCTGTGGTTCTTTATTTCCCTTTCAACCCCTTAGATGTTGCATGATCCGAAAGGTAGGTTTGTCGTCCTGAGCGGAGTATACGGTGACAACGCTTAATTTCGAAGAAAAAGGGGTAAAGCCCGTACATTCCTGGGGCTGTCGCGGGTCGATCGCTCTGTGCATATGATGTCAATCGGGTCTGGGCAGATGAGGCTGTTCGATGCGCCGTTCTCGTCCTTTCTTTGAGACGGAGGGTCTTCTCCATTCTTGTTTGATTACTTTTGGTAACTTCGCTTAGTGAGACACTGGACTCGAGTAAGTATATCGATCGGCTCAAGGGGTACCATGTACTACGGGAGGAGTCTCGGGTAGCCGCGACAGTCGCTCACCTTCCATCATACGGTAAATCGTACTATCCTTGTAGATAGTAGAGGAAGTATAGTATGATATTAGCAAATGAGATGGATCGACTGCACATCAGGGGTACTGCGTCATTTGCCAAGCCCGATTTAAGGGAGCATGGCATCGCATGAGTTGCAGCTGTCTATCTGATCCTAGCTTTTTTTGGATGCACCCCTGTGAATTTTACCTCTCTCTTCCTCTCTTTTCTCTCTCCCTTCGCAAGTGAATTTCCTTTCCAACTCGAGGTCGTACAGGCGCCCCCTCCCTCCCATCAACTCTGGAATCACACGACTATCACCGGCCAGTTGTTTCTATTCTTTCTCCCTAAGCCAATAGCCACGACGGTCAGTGGCCGCCAAGCATGGCGATGTGCAGAGCAACCAGCAAGGCTTCTCTTGGCGGTATTCTCATCCCTTGCTGCCGGGAGACGTCTGTCTGGATTTTTGAATCATCAACACAGTTTTCGATTCAATCTGTTCTTCGGATAGGTCGAAAACACCCGATCAATTGCGTTTGCCCTGGCACCAAATCTGGGGATTGACTGAATCTTTGGCAATGAATATCCAGATAAGTGGTTCATCTGGAAGGGCAGATCCCCGTCATTAGTTCAGTCGGTCCGACTTACCAGTTTTCCTGCAGGCCGAAGCCAATCTTCTCCTAACAGGATGATTATGATAATGAGAGAGGATGACTATATCTTGGCAAGAGAGTCTGACTGTGCATGTCATGCTGATAAGAAACAAGGGATGGGGTGGTGGTGAGATACTCAGACTCCAATTTGTCATTGGCAGTTGTCTTGTTTATCGTCAGGATGAATTCCTATACACTTTCTTGGCAACCACCACCGCATTATCACCGGACAAGACCCCAGACAGATACCAGCACACAAGATTCCCACTATCGAACAAGACCCCATGGAGAAGAGGAGCATGATATCCACTCCTCGCACCCCGCCTCGAACTTCTGCTCCTCCCCCGTCCAACAAACCCCTTTTCCCTCCGCACGATCACCGCCAAGACCTGCCGTGCATTCCTCCCTCGATTATTGTCTTGGCGCAGCGAAGGAAGGGGGTGGTTTTGAAGAAGAAATGCTGCCGCTGCTGCTGCTGCTGCTGCGCCTCCCTCCTGGCTGTCAATCTGGCAGGTTCTTGGTTGTGTAACCATCCCTGCTTTCTTCTCCCAGGAAGCGTAACTGCACTGAAGGGCTGTGAGATTCTCCCGAGATTCTCACGGCGCGGCGGCGGATGATGATCATTGTCCCATCCATTCATCTTAATAGACTTTGGGACCGTGTTTCGCTCGATGTCAGAAGTTAGCAGTATAGCCATTTTAGACGCATGCGAAGTTTCGATACAGAGACGGGGGGACAAAGTAGACCCTGTTTGAAACAGTCCCACTCGCAATATCAACCGAATCCGACAAGGACATTGTAGTTCAGAAAGATTAGATCCCATTGAAAATCTATCGTCATCCAGCCTATCACACACACAGAGAGGGAGACGAGAGACACCACAGTACCTTATGCAGTAAGCAGTAAGTACCAAGCACCTGGAATAACTACGCCGACAATCAACCACACCCACCACCCAACCCATCTTCCTGAAGCCTAGACACAGTACGGAGTACTTCATGGATATTTCATCATCCACCCAAAGCCACCCTAAAACCTCCTTCTACATCAACTACCTCAAACCCAAACATACGAAACTGCACCTCCAACCTTAATCATCCCTCCCTCCCTCCAACCCAAGAACTAAGCCACCACCACCAAGCCAAGCACCCCCCAGATAGAGTATATGTATGTGTATACGTAGTACACCAAGACAGCAACACCACCACCACCGCCAACAAGAATACACGGCCCACATACATACATACATACATACATACATACATACATACATACATACATACATACATACATACATCACACAACCCACAGTCCTTCTTGCATCTTCATGCATACCGGCATGTATAAGGAGGATCGTCGCAAACTTTAATTCTATCCTGTGGAGTTGAGCGTCTATCCTAAGTTCCCAACTCTAATTCCTGTCCTTCGCTTATGCATTTGTCCTGGGCTGGATGTACTGCTTACAGCTTATGCTGGGTTGCAATTATGTGTATGTAGGTGGTTATGCATAGCAACGCGTCACTACCCCTTTCACTAACGAGGTATTTGGGCTTCCTGGGCGGATGATTGTGCTTCTAGTAAGAGGAGGCGCAGCAGCAGCAGCAGCATGAGGGAGAGGTAGAGTGGCACGGGTGTCTCGGATTCTGCACTGTATTATGTATTTCTGGGTGCATCTAGCTATATCTTCTGTAGGTGTGTATTGTAGATACATAAGTTTGGAGTATGGGTGATGATAGTGTGATGGGTCAGGGGATCACGCAAGAGGATTTGGGTTTGGTATGCTTGGCAGGAGGGAAGGTTCTGGGTTTCGGGTTGATGGAGGCTGAAAACGGAGTCTAGATTCTGGGGTTGGGTTGGGGGATGCTTGCCTTGGTTTGTGGGGGTGATGATGTTATCTGGAATGTGGGTGGTTGTTACTATCGGTTTCTGGGTGGTCGGTTGGTATGGGAGCTGGAACCCTGTGGGCAGTTGGTTACTGGGTGCTGGGTCTGGGTTGGCTTTGTAGGGTTGAAGGTTGTTGTGGCTATCGACCAGGTGTGTTTGGTGCGAGGGTGTGGTGGTGCTGGGAAGTAAGCCTTGGGTTTTGCTTTGAGATGGCTGTACTGATGATTTATATGTAAATTATGGATATTTTAGCGTGTTTCGTAGGAAGGGATGAGTGAGCGGATAGTGATATCAGATATATATCAAAGTCCAGCTGAGTGGTGATTTATTTGATGTGGTGCATTTCTCCGTATATATATTGGACTGAAACGGCTGAGATGATACTTCCCTTAACTTGTTGGTTGGAACCAACGCTCCCTGACGACGAGACTTGTGATTTAGCTGTTCTCACCTACACTACTGAGTATCGAATGGTCGGAAATCATGCTTTAGAGCCTGCCCAGCTTGGTTGGCTGCATATATTGCCAATAGACTCTGGTGAAATGTCAACCTTTAGCTAGACTACACTGATATGACATCAATGTAAGTAGCCATCCAAGCCTACCGATTGTGGACCTGTCCTAATATACCTAGATATACATGTGGGTGTTCCACCAGCTACTACAGACGAGAGCCCTTACTTACGGCCAATAATACCAGACTCAAACATCAGAACGATATTCTCATACCCACAGAGCACGGAACCAGCGTGCCCGGCATATGTCTCTCAATCGCAAACTTCGCCCTCCAGCCAGAACAGTGTCCGGGCAAAACAACAGCCGGATCCAGCTTTTTCAAATCCTTGACCGTGCTCTCCGTCTGTGCTGCCTCGCTAGTCGCTAGGTGAAACCCTCCGATGACCGCATGGAGAGGTACAGAGCCATCCAGAGCCTCAACCGCATGTCGTGCGCAGTTGACGACACCTGCATGGCTGCACGCGGTGAACATGACGATTCCTTTCCCTGGTCTGATCAGCAATTTAGCTCGTTTATCACCAGGAAGAAGACACCCACCCTTGAGATTACACATAAGAAACCGTTCATCAGCAATGACCTCGTCCGAGAACCAGTCGTTCTCCTTTTTGTCAAATCGCATACCGCCCCTCACGCCAGTCTCGTATGAGGTTCGCCGGGGTATCTCCCCTGAGATAAAGAAGTAGTCATCGAGGACTGTATGCGCTTCAGCTCGTTTGTCAATGACCCCGCCCGCTGCTTGCAGTTCCTCGAATGTCGGATCAGCCTGCAAAGAGATGATCTTATCGCCAATGGCCATGCCTCTGTAGTCTGGGCGATTCGGATGCAGATCGATGATTACATTGTCTGGGACACTATGTGCTTGTCGAGCCTCTGTGATCATCTGAATAGCGCGAGTCAGACCACCTGATACTGTTAGAATGTACGCCTTGACCATTAAAGACAAGGTGAGTACCTGAGTGATCTCGATGCCAGTGTGATAGTTGAACCACTTCCACAGACGACAAGTCTTGTCTCAGTCTATTGACGTTGCGCTCCCAGACTTCACCTTCGGGTCCGGCGTCGAAGAGCAGAGTATGGCTTTTCCCATCCTTGGTGGCTGTCTGTTGCACACTCAGTCATCCTTGAATGCGTATAGAAGCGCGAGATAACACAAGGCCAAGAACATACCACGAGAATGGACAATCCGTGCGCCGCACAGCAGATATCTTCCATCTGAAGCTCCTTGTGTGCGTCTCCGCGGTCCGAGATCGCGTGCGGGGATTGTGTGGCTAGCGTACGCCAGAGGCCCGAGACCTCGACTGTGTCGGGCGCAATGGTCGACATGAGATCGAGGTCATTGTCGACAAGGAGGACTGCCTCGAGGGAGTCGACTTCTACCAGGTTTGGATGCGCCATCTCGATATTGTTTGCGGATCGTTGCTTCTACCGGTAGCTAGTCCAGGAGTGTGTTTTGGGAGCATGAAAAATCCACAGGCTTGCAGAGTACGTAGGAAAGCTGCTATCTGCCAAGTTTATTGTGCTGACAAGCAATTGAGAGGCTGAAAGCTTGTGAAACTGTAGGCTGGCAGTCAGTCAGTCAGTCACATTACCGCCAACTGACGTTCTTGATGCCTGAGGCTGCCGTTAGTTGTTTGGACCTCCTCGGATTCGCCTTCGTTCAATCCACATCACAACCTCTGCGCCGAACGGGCATTGTCTCCAGATTCCTATCTATGATGTGTCATGACTTCGTTCTCTCTCGTAGGATCACTGCTCGCAAGTAATTTACTTCAATGTGTTCTACTGAAGTGTTCACCTGTGGCAGATCACCTCTACCGCACTCAATCTGCTAGGAGGAATTGCTAGTCTCCACTGCTATCGACACTCCTTATGTGCAATTGAAGAATGTACTTGTGCTCAACGGCAAAGACTTTACTTGATCAGAACTCATCCTGCAAATGCAAAGTAATGTCTGGTGCGATCGAGCTAATGGCCGGTGGCTGCTCACAAGAAAGATGACTTTCAAGCACAGAAAGCAACGAGAAGGCACCACCCCAAAACTCACTTCTCGTCACTGAATCAATTGGGGAACACTCCACGATGAATCGCCTTCATTACGAGCGGTCCGGACAATTGAGTATCGCCCGATGGAGGTTATAACCCCGCATTGTATAGGCCGTCTTTCTTCCCCTCACTCATAAGTGTTCTCCCGCCAGACCAACATCCGATATTGATTTGTGCACATATGAGCTCATTCCGATTCAACTTAATCTTGTTGTTCTGCACGCTATTGGGACGAGCTTCTCATCCACCAACGACGATGGCCGACCCCTCCGGCCACCATCATCAGGTCATCCTGACAGGCGGAATGCAATTCTCCGTCCCCAGGCTGATTTCTCCGTCTTCCCCAGCTGTGCTCTGGGGTACAGCCGGTGCTGAAGCTTGACGGGGCCGTTTCTTCTATGACCCCGGATTTGCGCCTCCGCATATAAGATGCGGTGAAGAGAACCGCCGGGTTCTGGGATTCAGGGACCGCACTGCCAGCAGTCATGATGCTTCTCTACCACGGTCTTTTACTTCTCCTGCACGCTTTTCTTGTGCACTCTGCTGCTCTCAAGAAGGGTCTATCTACGGCTACCCGTGAGACATGCCAGACGACCTTGAAATGCCCCGAGGGCACAATCATCGTCTCCAACTCTTCCCACCCAGCCGCCCAATTTAAGTCCATCCAGGCTGCATTTGCCTCCCTCCCTAACGACAATTCCTCCCACACGATCCTAGTGCTTGCAGGAACCTACCATGAGCAGCTCAACGTCACGCGTCCCGGCCCTGTCACCCTGCTCGGCCAGCAGCCCGATCGCAGCGCGCTCACCGATCCTACACGCAATCGTGTCACCATCACCTGGGCCGCTGCCAACCACGACAACACCGGCCAATCGGTGGACAATGTCTACTCCAGCGTGTTGATCGTGTCGCCTACCTTGGAAGCCAGCCTGACTGGATCGGGTACCACAGGGTATGCCGTTCCTGCGGACACCCCGTTCGGCAACACCGATTTCCGCGTGTATAACATCGACTTCCGCAACCTCTGGGCAGACTACAGCGACGGGCCAGCCCATGCGATCAGCTTCAGTCGTGCCAACGGGGGGTTCTACTACTCTGGATTTTACTCCTATCAGGACACCGTACGTTCACCCGCAAGCTCCGAGCCTCCAAATAATAACTAACGCTATGTGCCAGGTTTACGTCGGCAAACTCGGCAACGCATACTTCCACAAATCCGTGCTCGCAGGCCAGACCGACTTTTTGTATGGCTTCGGCACGGCCTGGATCCAATCGTCATCCGTACTTCTGCGATCGTGCGGCGGCGGCGTGACGGCCTGGAAAGGCACGAACACGACGTTCGAGAACAACTACGGCGTGTACATCGTCGACTCGACCGTCACCGCAGCCAACTCGTCCATTGCATCGGACATCAAGGGGAAGTGTGCGCTGGGCCGGCCCTGGAACTCCCTGCACCGGTCGATCTTCGTCAACAGCTACGAAGACGGCAGCATCGAGCCGTCCGGGTACATCAACTGGAGTGACCGATGGGCGGCCAACCAGACGCTGATGGCCGAGCACCGCGCCTACGGGCCGGGCTTTAATGCCACAGGCCGCAAGGAGGGCGAGGTAGCGGTGCTGTTGAATGCGCAGGAGTACAAGCGGTACGATTCGCTGGACAAGGTGTTTCTGACGCCTGAGGGCCAGGCGGGCAACACTGCGTGGATTGATTGGGAGATAGCTGGTAAGAAATGATAGATAGGTAGTCTCGGAAACTCAGCACGAGTTTTAATTCCTTCAAAATATCGATGACATGCATCCCTTTCCTTTCAACATTCTCTCCCCAAACCCAAGAAAGCACCACAAACCAAAAAAAAAAAAAAAAAAAAAAAAATCAAAAAAAACACACACAAACCAACCCCACTAACCCCTCCCCAAAAACAAACAACCAACAAATCCGACGGCTGCTCCACCATCAATCTCCTCTACACAAAAGGAATCGAACTGGACATGGGAAGATCAATCATGAGGATTCTAATCATTGGAAAGAGAGACATGGAAGGGGCCTCGGGAGGCAAAAAAAGAGAAAAAGAAAATAGAATAGAAAAAAAAAAACAAACCACAAACCAAAAAAAAAAAAAAAAAAACAAAAATCACCCCCTCCCCTCCAAACCCTCCGCACCAAACAACTCACCCAACTCCCCCCTCAAAGCCAAATACGCCGCCCCAGTATCCGCCCAAACTAAATACTCCTTCACCTTGACGTCCCCAGAGTCCTCATCCTCCCCAATCCTCAACCGATAAACGAACCCCTCCGCCCACCCCTGCCCCGTAGCCCGCGCCACAAACCGCGCCCACCCACGCACAACCACGACCCCAGCCTCGGCATCCACCACCCACCGCGCCTCGTCCTCGAACCGCATCCCCTCGTACCGGAGGTGCGACCCCATGCACTCGAAGTACTCCTTGGCGGCGGCCAGGCCGACGTAATCGCGGCCCAGGAAGGGGGCCAGGGCCGGGAGGCCGTGCTCGTGGATGCGGATGTCTCCCGAGAAGTTGGCGAGGAGGGTGGGTGTTAGTGGGCTTTGGGTTGTGAGGTTGCTTAGGAAGGTGTGGGTTCTTTGGAGGATTTGGGATTTTATTGGGGGGGACATTTTGGGGTTGGAAGGGTTATGTGGTTTGGGTTGTATGTTGATGTAGGCTTGATATGGTTGTATGGATTTGAGGTGGTGGTATTAAATTTGGAATGTGGTTGTGGTAGGTTGGGAGGAATTGTATGGATGGGTAGGATAATTTGTTAGGTTAGATCGGTTCAGTTGAGTAGTAGGAATCATTTACGTAGGATGGATATTACTTTAAATCTGTTTCATGGATGAAGGTTGAATGACGTTGCTCTTTGCAATTGTCAGTGCAGTCTATGTAGGGAAAGAGATGGATGACATAATAAGTCAATGTCAAGAAGAACATCCATGTTTTGATCAACCCAATGATAAAAAGGAAAACTCCACGCCCGCCACCCCTCTCGCCGCAAGATAAGCTATAGAACAAGAACAAGAAAGAAAAAAAAGCCTCCCTTGAAGCACAGCCAAAAGAGAAAACAAAAAATAAAGCAAGAAATACACCAACAAAGCTTGCTTGCTACTGCCGCCATGACTTTCCGCAGTTCAGACAAGTACAAAACAAGGTCATCGGTTCATCGGCACTGCGCGTCTGCGCCTCCGTATAGGTCACCTTGCGCTGGCCACACTTGCCACATTGCAGACTGGTACTGATGCTGCGTTCGGCCTGGGCCACCATGGCCTTGTCCATGTTCTCCTTCTGTATCTTGCGGTCGCGCTCCTGCTGCTCCGCCGAGCGCAGCTCGTCGTGCGTCATCCGGACAAAGTGATCCGCCGTGACCTCGCCGTTGAGCACACGCACCCGCAGCATCGGGTTCGACTTGTTCTTCAGGTTCTGGTAGAGACTGCGCATTTTGGTGCGGTACTGCTCCTTGGTCTCCGGCCCGTAGACTTTGTACGCCGCCGCCTCCACCAGGGAGGCCTTGGCCAGCACCGTGCGCGGCGCCTCCGTCGAGTTAAAACACAGCCCGTCGTAGATCAGGCCGATGCAGCTGTCGCGGATGCGGTTGGAGGTCTGATTCGTGTCCACCCCGTCGGCCTTCCACGTGCGCTTGTCCGGCGGCACGGACAGCTTCGAGGTCTTGTCCGAGGGCGTCGAGGCGGCCGTGCTGCCGTTCGGTGTCGGCCGCGGCGAGCTGCTCGACCGCTGGCTGGGGCCCGGCGATGCGCCCGCCTTCTGCTTGTTGACTTCGTTGCGCCACTTCGACACGATCTCGCTCGACAGCCGCGCCACCTCGGGCGCCTTGTGCTGCTTGAACTTGTTGACGATGATGCCCACCCGCGTCGAGCGCAGCAGATCCTCCGTCGCTTTGACGCCTTGTTGCAGCTCCTTGAGCAGAGCGACGATGTTGGCCGCCGGCTCGTTCTGCGTGGCCGCCTTGGTTAAGGCCTTGGCCTTGAGTTCGATTTCCTTCGCTTCCATCGGCATGGTGGGCGGGAGTAGTGGGGTTCGTATAATTAGGAGGATAGCTCTAGATCTGGCCGCCGGTCAGTAACAGGACTTGACTGGCTGTAGAGGCGACCAGGACACGTTGCGTTCAAGCATGACTGGGCCACTTTGTATGAACGACACTGTGACATAACGCGACCTCGGTACGAAGACCAATGTCCCAGGACACAGACAGCTTCAACCGATAGAGCACGTGCAACACGCAGCGGGCACCGGATTTGAATTCCGCAGAAAAATGAAGAAAGTTTGTGGACAGACAAGAAGGCTGAAAGCGCCCAGTTGCAAGGGGAGAGGAGAAATCGAGGCGCAGAGAAAGGGGAGGACTCACTCACGCGGTTGCACGAAGCGGGATTCGACCAGCTGCAAAGAAGCAACTTGAGCGATGCGGGCAGTTGAAATTCCGGAAGAAAAGCGCAAAACTGATGCGGCCTGACGAGGAAGAACGGTCTTCGTAGATGCTCAGTCTCAAGGCTGAGCCAGGACAGCAGCAACGGATGGGGACAGAGAGAAGTAGCGGGAGAAAGAGTGGTGAAGACGAAGAAGAGAGAAGATGAAATGCGACAAGCAACGCCAAGCCTGGGGATGCCCGATCAGGAATAGTGACTTTTGACCGTTTGACGCAGCAAACAACCACAATGTGGAGGATAATGTACGTGGTGGTTGTACAGTGCATGCATGTTCTAGGTAAGAAAGAGGCTGGTAGATATATTCAGTAGCTGGTCTATTTCTTTCTAGCGACCTGTCATTTTCTGTCAAGTCCGATCTTACGGATAAAATGATATAGGATTACCATCACCTCACTATCGCACCAACTTCAGCCCTTCCCACAACAATACAATCAAAAAATCAGTGCTCAAGTTGCTTGTCATTCCCCTGCATAATCAGATTTACCACCCATCGTACCTCGTCGGCAACCACTTCCGGCCGCAACAGATGGACATGATGTCCACAGTCTTCCAGATATACCAGGCGACTCAGACGCGACAAGTGCAGCTGGTCTTCTTGCATCGCTTGATCCAGTCCATCCCAGCGATCTAGTAGCCGTTCAAATGTTTTCTGCTGTGCCTCAGTACCATTACCCGCCGCAACACCGGCCTGATAGATCTTTCGGTAGTCCAGCGACCCACGACACCGAATCACGGATAGTGGCTTCTCCCCTAGTGCCTGATGTCGATATTGATCCTTCGATCTCAGTGTCCGGCATACCAGTACCATTTGACTGACCTCCGATGCCCAAGTCCTCTGCCCGCGCGCAATGTCCTTTGCCCGCGCCCGCCACTCCTCTCGGGACAGCTGCGCGTTGATCCGCAGCCCCGTCACTTGCGCAAAGCTCAAATCGCCTTGCACAGCACGTAAATCGAGATCGCGATCTTGCAAGAGCTCAGGTTGTCGTTCCGTCGAGCCATCCGCGAGGACCATCCCGCCCACTGCCTGAGGGTCGAGGTGGAGGAATTCACGTGCTATGATGGCTCCGTAGGAATGGCCAACAAGAAGGTATGGAGGCGGCAATTGCGCTTGAGTGAGTAGTAAGTGCAATTCTTTGGCAGCTGTGGTGGCGAGTGGAGGAATCAAATCTGGGCCATCTTCGCTGCGGCCTAGTCCGGTCCGATCGTACAGTAGGAGCGGCGCAAAGGAGCCAACCTGGCGCGCGAGGGCGCAATAGGACGAAGCCACATCCCCCGCGCCGGGGATGAAGATCACCAGCGGGTGCTCAGCAAGCCGAGGAACGCCACTCAGCGTCGCGAACAGCTGGTGTGTCCTGACCGAAATAAAAGTGCCGTCGTGCAAATCCGACACAGACATTGTCAATTTGACTGACCGTGTGCCAAAGATCATGCAGATATATAGATAACTGCGATGGCGATGAGTTCGCGGAGACGGAAGTAAGACGCTAAATCGGCCGGCCTGGGCATTGTTCCATCTTACAGGCCGACGATCGGCGCCCGACCATATCACCCCCCAACATGGTATCATTAAATGCCTAAAAGTTCTTCGATATATGCTTAATCGCTAGAAGACGCAAATCAAAAGTTGGACCCATTGGGGCGTAGGTCGACAGTCTCAAACTCCAAGCCTCTGGCCTCAAACACATGGCCCGGGCGAAGAGCGTCGGTGTAGATATTTGTCTCCCCATGCGGATGGAACAAGCCTGGCTGCGTGCAATTAAGCACCGTCTTCAACCCCGGGGGGTCGGTCAGCCGGAATACGCCCCAGTCGGGCATCTTACTTGGCGCGCACACGATCGCTATGCTCTCCGGGAGCATCACCTGATATCCACAATGCGTGTGCAGATCGCGTGAGCTCATGAAACATGTTTGCGTGGGGTGTGTATGAATCCAGCCCAGCACCATCAAGTCCTCCGAGTCACAGTAGTCGAAGATGGCTGTCTCGTTCACGGTCTCGCACGTATCCGACGTGGCGGTCTGTTCCGGAATGAGGAGTCGCGACACAAACAGCGCATTCGAAATCAATGTGCCACATAGTATCCCACATGTCTCCAGATTGCGTTGTGTGTTCGGTGCGGCCAGAGACAGGAAGTGTGTCCGTAGCTCGGGCGGGAGGAACAGAGTCCGTAGTGGTGTTCCATTCTCCAGGTAGGCAGATGGCTTGAAAGTGAAGCTGGAAGGATCTAGGTCGGTGCGCGTCTCGCTCTCGGACTTTGCTCGTACCTTGGCAGGAATCGCCGGCACCGGAGCTGGCGTGGAGGTTGGAGAGAGCTTGTCGGGACGAGGTGGACGAACCAATCGTTCATCCCGTCCGAGATCCTGTGTTCGTTCTTTAGGTGGCAATGCAGGGGCTACTGGAGCAGGGGCACTGACGCCATGCAGCTCTTTCTGAGCCGAAGTTGAGGCGACGTCCACGGGCCTCTGGCGAGGAACACTCGGATACTTGTAAGTTGCGCTGGTCTCGGGCACAGCCGGATGGGATGGAGTTGTGTGTTTTGAGTTACCCGGTGCACGAACAGCCGCTTGCGGACCGCCGTCAATCCTCAAACGCACATTGTGAATGCGCTGGCTCAAGTCATCATCGGCATCCTTGCGCAGAGTATGTTCCCAGTCTCCCCACACCCCGGCTGCACGACGAGTCTGCTCCTCTTCCGGGGAGATTCCAGCTTGTCGGATGGCCTTGCGAACCGTGGCTCTGCGACTGATCTCCGTGCGGGCCAGCTTCACGGCCAGATCGCGATTCTCTCCAGCCTCTAAAGGTTTGGCAACCCCCGCCAGTGCGGGGTCTTGAGGCAGTTGCCGCTGAGAATGCGGAGCTACAGGGACGGCTGTGGCGGAAGCGCGGTGTTGCCGCTCGCGCATCAATTGAGTGTAGCGTTCGTAGCGTTTGTTGATGCGGGGTTTCAGGGTCTCCAGGACTTTCAAGTTTCGTTTCACCTCCTTCTCGGCCTCCACTAGAGCTTTGCGGTTCCTCTCATCCTTGGCCTCCGGATGCTCGGCTAGATTGACTAGAACGAGCTGAGCATGTCGAAATAGCAAAAGATAGGCCTGTTCCTCATGTTGTTCTCGTTCGTAGATACGAGCCTATCAGTAGCGGGGTAGGCGTCAGTTCTGTGCCAGCATGTACCAACAAAAAAGAAACATACCTCTCTAATGAGTGTCGAGGCTGTTCGCAGCCAATATCGTAAAGGAATGGAGGGATTGTACTCATAATCCTGAGCCAAGCGAGTGATTGACTCGACGCTCTGTGGAGGGGAAGGCCCCGCACCGGCTGTTGAGGGCAGGTGGGCGGCCATGATCGTCCTTCGAACGATTAACGAGATAAGTGAAACAATTAGGCTTGCTGACTTGACCTGACTTCAACAGTTCTGAGAACGAGCCCTGGCGTCGGGGCTCATCGGGAGCTGGAACAAGCACCAGCAGGGGTTATAGTTGAAGAGCGCCGCATGTAGGCAGCAGATGATCGGAGCAGACGAACGAATACAACAATAACGAAAGTAAGGCGAACGAACAAGGGTAACGATGTGCAGTCGACAGCACCGGACTTGTAGTTAATCTCCTCCTTGGCCCTTCCGATGAAAGAGTGAGGGTGTTCGCGTTGAAACCGAGCAAGTGAAAGACAAGCAAGCTGTTGTTTTGGAAGAGAAGGCGGGAGGAAGAAGAAGCGGCGTTAGAGGCCGGGCCGGAGAACGAAGCGTTACTAACTGGCGAACTGATCTTCCGCCGCCGCATTTCCGAATTTATAACCTTTCCAATCTCAGCTTCAATATTTCTTCTGTCGCTGTGCTGCCGCACAAACCCCCACGATTGCCACCAGCACCCAACCATATCTTTCAATTTAGCAATGAAGGTACAGTCGCGCTAAAAGCCGCCTCCAGCACGTTCAAAAATGGCGTCAAAAACGTGGGCGACCAAGGTTCGAGCGTCTGCCGAGCGATGGAAGCCCGTCCCTCAATACCCCCTAAGTGAGCTGATGAGCAAAGCCTGCGCTGGCCCAAGGAAACGTGCGGTGAAGTTTCCGCAACTAGCCAATGATGAGCTTGGAGGTCAGTTTCGTGTTTTCCAGTAACCATGCCAATGGATTTCTCGGCCTAACAATGATTGTCTCCCAGATCACATGTTGCAGCGTATCTCACCCTTCCTCCGTCGCAATGCCCCCCTGGATATTCTCGACCTATGGCCAGGTAACGGACTCTGGTCTTCTAAAATCAACGAAGCGCTCCGTCCGCGTCGACATGTTTTGTTGGAACCCGAGTTACAGCTTTGGGGAAAGTTTCTGGAGCCTTTAGCCAAAAACAACGAGTGCTACAAAATTGACTCCACGAACCCTCGTTTGATCGAGGATTGGAAGAGCATCCTGACTCAATATTTCCCGGAGCAGGGCCCGGAGAATTCCGATAACAGCGGTGCGCTTCCTTGCAATCACACTCTGCTGGTGCTCGCCAACTTGTCGATGCCAAACTCCAATAGGGATCATATGACTGCCACCCGATGGATGTCTATGTTCTTGGATAGTTGTCTGCGGCAAACAGGCTTGCATTCGTACGGTGCTGTTCGTATCTTGGCTACGATGCCTCAGGAGGATGCTCAAGCCATCCTCCCTCGCCAAGTGAACGACCGCAAGCGTCTCGCCTTAATCGCCGAGAATGTCGCTCTGCACAACTTCGAGGTTGCCGCACACCAGGAGGACTACTACTGGGCCAACACCAGGGGCTTCGAACGCACTAAGGCGGATCGCGAGCGTCTCAACGAACGAGCGACGGCCAACGGTTTTCCGCCAATCCCAGGTCGCGAGCCAGCTCCTTTCGTCGCTGTCCCCGATCTATCCCTGCTTGACCAACCTGTTGCCAGATCGAGCATCTACACTCTCCGCATCCTGACCGAGGCTCATGCGAATTTGTTGAAAACCATCGAAGAGTTAGGTAACACGCCGCCGACCTCGCCGGACTACGCGAAGGCCAGGGCGGCCCGCGGCCGCCTAATTACTCGGGTCAGACAAGAGCACCAGATAATGAGCATCACTCAAGCTTTGTCGCGTAAACTCGCACGGCTAGATGAGCTGAGTAGGAACATAGCCCGCGTCGCCGCGCGGCCGACCACCACTCTCGCCGATCTCGAGCCGCTCCTCTCCGAAACTGCCGCAGTGAAGCAAGAAATCGCCGACACCAAGATAGTGAATCAAAAGAAATCCTGGAGCCAAATGCAGTTTATGTGGGACGATACGCGCCGCCAGGCCTCGGACGAGCTGACGCCCACGACCCTCCTGGCCTGGGACCGGCGGCCCTTCGAAGCTCTCCTCATCAACGACGAAGAATTGTACCCGCGGGGAGACAAACGCAGCATGATCTACTTCGAGCCGAACCCGGACTCACCGGTGGCGAGCAAATTCTCCCCGCTCGACGCCGCCGCGCGCGCCGACGCCCACGGGCTCTTCGAGGTCCTCTCGCTCTCCCTCTGGCGTGGCCGCGAGATCATCACCCTCCACGAGATCCTACCCCTGGTGTTCCCCGGCCGGTCGATCAACGACTGTGTGCGCGCCATCCCCAGCCTGGCCCAGCACGCGATCCGCACCCCGAAGCCCGATTTCGACTCCCTGCCCAAGACCCTCGTCTCCGATGCCAACTCCACTAATCCCGACAACAACAACAACAACAACGCCGAGCTCGACCCCGCTTTGTGCTTCCAGGAGAACCTCAACTACGATTTCAAAGATGTGCGCCTGCACATCATCGGCTGCCCGGTCATCTGGGACATCTGTATCGAGTACTCACGCTACGAGTCCCGACAATCTCTCACGCAGCTCGCTCGATCCCTCGGCGCCACGATGACGGGGTACCGCGCCGGTGCCCATATCTTGCGGGGCAAGAAGATCCACTGAGTTGGCTAGCATACCGATCAAACACCCCCCTCTCCTCCCCCACGACAAAATGAAAGAGAGAGAAAAGTGTAAGAAGTAACGACTATATGACCCCCAAAAGCGTCAACCCCTGTACTATATAATGGATTTTCTCTCCTACCACCCACCCCGACACAACACCACCAGTGGTCGAATACAGATCGACTTGACGACCGGTACATACCTTATTCTCCTCATTCAACTGTGATATCTTTCTGTCACATACTTCCACACAGCTCCAGAATATAGTCTCAGATAGGCTCAAAACATACCTCCAAACAGCTCCCAATGACAAAGTCACGGGTGTATCTGAAGAGAAACACGGAACCATCTCCACTCCTCGACCACAACCACAACCATAACCACTCACTCACCAACCTATTCCTCATCTCGGCTTCAATACTACCTACCTACCTACCTACCTACAACGATGCGCTCGACGGTTCGGGGTTGCGCCGCACAATATTCCCCGCCGTGGGTTTTCAAATACCCGCTACTAGCGGAAGAATGGCTTGAAGGACGCGGCTACAGGGCCCATTGGGATCGCCCGGCCCAGGAGAACTGTGGTTTCCCCACAGAGCTTGGTATCACCAACTTTCTTGTGATGTATCATAAGTACAGGGGTCTATAGTTCCTACGATCCAAGCCTGCAGGTCCCATATCATGGTGCAATCATGCTACATAGCAGACTCAAACTGGAGAAGAGGATTGAAATCTCAGAAGAGACGACGTCATCGTGGATTCATAGAACTAGACTAAGGCATAAATAAAAAAAAAACAGGTCAAACCCTCCGAGAAAAGAGAGGAAAACTGGATTCGAAGATGTTGAATCAGGTAGGGAAAAGGTATAGATAATACATATTAGCGAATGATGATGAAATTGAGGTCTAGGAACCAAGATCATGCATGCGATGAAAGAAATGTAAAAGTAGAAGCGAACATATGGTGCGCGAAGATCGGCATGGTTCATCGATCTCGCCGATATAGATCTAAAACAGGGTATCTTTTATAGTTTGTATGGTCGAAGTGAAGGAAGAAGAGATTAAAACGATCGTAGCCGCCGAATCGCTGTGAAGAAAGGGAAAGAGAGAAAAGTATGGGAGGAGAAAATAGGGTGAAAAAGGTGTCCACGTCATGTGAAAAGGGAAAAAATAAGTGAAGAAGGTCAGAATAGAAGCGAATCAAAAAGAAAATCTGTTCATCAAAAAGCAGAAAAAAGAAGAAAAAAGCCGATGAATATGACCGAGAAACTAGATGCTGTTACAGACAAGACATCATCACTGAGCGGTTTGGGCCAGATGCAGCCAGTCATCCGGGTGGATGCGCTGACTCGGATCCTTGGCGATGGCAGGCTTAATAATCTGCTCGACAACTCCCGCGCGAGGAACGCGCGAACCATTAGGGCCCGAGCGGGCGAAGTCGATCACCCGATGACCCTCGCGAGCCATGGCCAGGCGCTGCAAATTGCTGGCGCCTGGATAGAGAAGGAGATCGCCCGTTGCGGCGGCCAGGAGACTGACGGCAAGGGAGAAGACATCGGATTCGGGCGTGGGTGCGACGTCCGGTGACGTCAAGGAGGAGACACAGAGTAATTCCGGGGCCGCGAATGGCGGCGTGAGCGCGGTTAGGGCTGTGCCCATGCACTGTGCGGGTGAGGAGGGGCTGGCAATCGGGTGCGCGGACGAGAAATCAGCAAAGAGCGGCTCGTAAGGGAACGAGTCCGACTCCAAATCCAACTCCTGGCCGGGTGAACGTAATCGTAGCAGGATATTGTGGGGTTTGATATCACCATGCACCATCTGCGGTCCACGGTGCAACCAGGCAAGCCCGGCGATGAGCTTCTCGGCCAAGACATGCCACTGGGCCCTGCCTTGGACGGGGTCGAACATCGTTTGCGTGGATCGGTTCTTTTGGGCAATGGCGGCCGTGTCCTGAATGTAGGTCGAAAGCGCGAGCGGAACGGCGGACATGACAATGGAATGTGACTCGGAAATGTATCCATGGAAGGGCACGACATGATGCTCTGCACCTGCGACGCGGCTGATCCGGGTCAGAGCCCGGGCTTCAGCATCAAGGACGGAATGCGCATCCCGTCTCACAGGCGACTTGACAGCCACCACCCGGCCTTTGGCGGCTGGTGAACTCGGCGGGGTCAAAAGACCGGATTTGGCGGCAGGAGAAGAGGTCGCTTTGTAAACGACGCTCCAGACGCCACGGCCGAATTCGACTGGACGTCCCTTGGGGTCGTAGTGGTACTCTAGATCGTCCGTGAAGAGTTTGGATTCGGAGACATCCGTGTCCAACTTCTCCGGTTTGGCATCTACCGGGGAAAGAAAGGGGCTGGAGGGATTGGAATGCACGGTAACCTCGCTGCCGGAGAGGTTGTCGTCGTCAATGGTGGGAGTCACCGGAGGGGTAAGTCCCGGTAGAACAGTTGAGTAAGGAGTCTGATCACTCTCATGCTGTGTGCGCACGGAAAGCCGAATAGGCATATGTGTGATCGCCATGACGAAGGACGTTTGTCTCAACTACTGCAGTTGGGAGTGAGACTAAGGTCCAAATGCGACGAGACCGGTATGAGAGGTGTTATGAAACCGACAGATCGCTGCTGACAAGGAAGGGTTTGAGAAGGTTGAATTATATATAGGCTTTTTTTTTTTTTGGAAAGCGTAGGCGTGGGGGAGGCTCGGAGGTAGAAAGATAAGAGGCAGACCCTCTTCTTGTATAGTTATGCAAGCACTGCAGTGATGGGGCAGATGGAGGAGTTATAGGCTGCAGCGCTATAGAATTGGCGAACGATGACTGGTGGCGATCTCGTCGAGATGACGTCGGGGTCCCAAGGAAAGTCAAATGAAGAAGATTCCAGGAAGAATTTGACGGAATGAGTCACTTGAGCATCAACGGATGGCGATCAGAGGAAATCAAGTAAGTGCAAGGACTGAATTGAAGGCAGTTGTATAGACATAACCGGAGGAATGAAGGACTAGGAAGAAAGAGAGAAAAAGGGAAGGAAAATAGGAAGGCAGGGAGGGCGGCAAAGAATAAAAAGAGGAAAAAAAGACACGACCAAAAGAGGATCAAGACTTAAATTATGATTTGAACAGCGGAATAGAGGAAGTCGAGGGGAAAAAAGAAAGAGGATCGCCGGGGGAGCAGGAGCTTAATTGTGATGGCAGAACCATGGAGCAAAGATTCAGCAGAGTCAATCAATTCCCCCGTCACCGCGCGTCTGGGCTTTTACTGACTGCTACTGCTACCGTCACATAAGAAGTAAAGAAATCAGTAAGAAGTAGAAAGAGGAGAAGGAGAGGGTCTCATTCCCCACATGGTTCTTTTTTTCCTCTTCTTTTTCGTCCATGAGTATTCCATTTGTCCTCTTCAAGTTCTTTTCATTTCTGGCTGTCCCCGCAGTAAGTTGTAGACTGGGTTACTCAGGATAGTCACTCTTCCAACGATAACGACTCCGTTCCGAGGATACTTAGATTCCTTACTCGCTCACTCCCCCGATTGGACTTACTCCACGAGAATCCGAGACTGTACCTTGTCTGTACCTGGAGGAAAACGGAAATGGCCGTGACTAGGACTGATGGAAACGACCGAAAAAGACCGAAAAAAGACAAGGCGAAGAGTACTTAGTAGGTATTAGTGTTATTTACAGTCTCCAGCACGGCCACTAAACCGGAAATGGGCAGTCCGGTGGAGTCCGACGATTTTGTGCAGTTCGTCTCTTCTACACCCGAAAAGACCCTAAAACGGCTGTCAAACTTCTTCCTTCGCTTTTCTCTTATTCATCATTTCGTCTGCTGCTGCTGCTGCTGCTGCTGCTGCTGCTGCAGATCCCTTTCTCTTCCCGACTTTCCACCGCGGACACCATGACGAACACCACCAACCTACTCCTGACACTTAAGTCGAGCACCATAAAACCAGACCCAAAGCCCGCGTGACAGGAGGAAGGATCCGAATCGTGGAACGACAGTGCCAATAGTATTGTTACTAGTGTGCAGCCAGTCTCAGTGCTTGCTTGTTTCCATTCGACCCAGTCCAGGGATCTTATCTCGACGCCCCGTCCTGCGCATCGACCTCCGACTGCCCAATCTGGGGGGAAGGGGGGGTCCGGTAGATAGATGAATACCTATTCTCTGCACGCTGCACTTCAGCTGCAGACCATCCAATCTCCGTCCCTAGTACCGCGCATCTGCACGCTGCCTTCCCCGGTAGTCGTGTGCTAATATAGGTACAGTAAGTAGGAATCAATATGAGGCTTTTGCAAAAACCAGGTTGTCTCATCCAATACTGGTATCTCCTTGCGACCGACCGCCCCGACCCATCCCTGTGAATCGAGGCGCCTGTTCTTTCGCCGCCAAATAATAATGATTGAAGGAAGTGACCGCGTTCGGACAGCCAATCTCCACCCCCACGTGGGTCTTCATCTGCCATGGACTCAATGGAAATTTTGGAAATTGGCCGCCATTAAACGCGCTCCACCCGCTCTTCCCAACACGGTAGGTTCCGCGGACTGAGTCGATTTTCTGGGTCACGAGAAACAATAATGGGGAAGAAGAACGACCTGGCCCCCGGACAGTTTTTACCTGAGTATGTCCGCCATATCCACCGTTCCACCATCTCGCTCAAAATGGGATTCATCGGCTCAACAAATCTCGGCTGCGAGACCCGACCGATGGTCCGCGATCGTCGAGGGTGTCGCGCATTTCAACAACTGCCAAGATCATCAATTGATATCGTGCCTATCTCCGGGGTACGCCAGCCATCCCAGATCGGCCGACGGGCGTATCGCCATGGAAGAGGACTCGCGGCCTTTGCCGCAGCAGGAATGGAACAACAAGCAACAACGATGGCGAATCGCGCACTTTGGGTCTGATTCAGCCCAAATTTACTTGTGACTCCGGAGATTGACAGACAGAACCTCGAAATCCTGATCTACTATGGATATTGGATACATACTACACAGCCCCGTGCCAAGCTAACGGTCGCCTGAACCCCCAAGTGTGCGATAGCCGTGTTTGCCCATCGAATCAGTTGCATTCCTTATCATTCCGTAACCCATCTCAAATCTATAAGTAAATCAATCTATGGACGAAACGGACAGCATTCACCCCAGATAAGCCCCGATAACCCCGCCTCCAACGACCACTCCCATAACCCAAAAATAGATCTATCGAGTCATCATCAAGGTTGAACTAACTACCCCTCCTCCTCCTCAATCACTATCATCCCCCAGCACGCGAATCAGCTCATCGAGGGGCTTCTTCTCCTTAGGCGGGGGGACACCACCCTGGGGCGCACCAAACACCAACTGCGCCCGCAATTTCCAATGCGCAGGGACCTGGAAGGTGGTGGCGACCTTATCGTCGATGATCGGGTTATAGTGTTGCAGGTTCGCGCCGAAGCCCTCGGTCTCGAGAGCCGTCCACGCACTCAATTGATGCATGCCGCTGGTCTGCTCCGACCAGGCCTCGAAGTGCTCGGCGTAGGACGCAAACTTGGCCTTGTGCTCCGCGACCACGGTCTGATCCTCATAGAAGAGGACGGTGCCGTACGCGGCGCGGAAGCCCTCGATCCGCGGGGCGGTCTTCTCGTAGCGCTCGGCTCCGATGCGCGCGAGCAGCGTGTCTCGGGTGATGTCCCACAGCTTGTCGTGCTCCTGTTTGAGCAGGACCAGGATGCGCGTGGTCTGCGAGTTGAAAGCCGAGGGTGTTGTAAGTAGGATCTCGCTGAGGATCGATCGGATCTTGGAGTCCGGGATCGGGGATTCGCGGCGGAGGGCGTAGTAGGAGCGTCGGCTGGCTAGGGCCGCTAGGAGGGTGGAGCTTCCGGACATGGCGGTTGGGTAGGAGTGTCTGATGAGCACTGGCGGGCAAGCTCAAGGTTGGAGATCTGCGTGACCGCATCTCTACCTGTCGGGTGCATTTATAGCGCCACCCAGATCAGAGCATCAGGGCAGCAAATGACGCGGCACTCGGAGATAGAGAGGGCGATTCGGGGAATTGCGGGGCGGGTCGTAAACAATCTCGCGAACACGAGGTAGGAATTGCAGTATCAAGTTAGAGCTACTTGTAGTTATTGCAGATACAATCGGGAGCAGCATGGACCAGCACTGCAGCATTGACCAGGTACTGGACCTAGTAGTACCCACCACACCGCTACCAAGCTCAACACCAAGCCTCGGTGCCTAAGTACGAACAAGGACCAAACAGACGGAACATGGCAGTCCCTAATGATGTCAGCCCTACTCCCTACCAACCTGGCTACTCTGATATATACTTATACATTATCAACTCTCAACAACCTCACCCCCTTCTCCCCGCTATTGAATCATCTCTCCCTCAACAAACCCCCTAAGATCATCAACCCACACCCCAAAATTCTCCTCCAACCGCCCCTCAAACATCCACTTAACCACATACGCCAGATACCCAGACTGCACCTCCCAATTCGTCACCTCCGTCACGGTCCTCGTGCCCCCGTGCTCGGGGTCAGGAACCTCCCGCTCAATAAGCTCATGCACCCGCTCCGCGGAGTGAAGAGTCGCCATTACTCGGCCCTGAAAGGCGGTATCATTTGCCCAGGTTATGGTTGCTTTGCGGGTTGCGGGGGGTGCTTGTGTCGGTGTAGCGCTGTCTGCAGGGTCGGTACTATCCCCTTCCCCATTCTCACCCCCACCTCCAATCTCCGGGCTAGAACCAACAGCATAAGGCGGAACACACTCCGAAACCACCAGCCCGACATGATTATCAACCTTAGCTAGGGATTCCGGTGCGGAGGGCGAGGCGGCTGGATGCATGTTTACGTGGAAGGTTAGGCGGGTTCCTTTTTGTAGGATCGAGGAGGTGGTATTTGCGTTGGTGTTGGCGCTGTCGTGAGTGGAATCAGAGGTAGGTGTGGTGGGCTGCTCGCGGATAGTCACGTCCGGGACGAAGCGGTTCCATCTCATCCAGGTGGTGGTGTCTGTTAGGGCGGTCCAGACTTTGTCGAGGGGGGCGTGGATTGTGGTTGAGCTTGTTATGCGGAGGATTGGGTCTGTGGATGACATTTTGTACTTGTCTGTCTGTTGTTCTGTGCGGGGGATGTAGAGTGGGTGTGTCGTGCTGGAGTATAGGCTGGATGGATGGGTATGATCTTGATGAATGGTGTCTGTCAGATTATCTCAATGTCCAGTGTAGTAGTTTACAAGGAGGAGTAGAGCAGGCAGAATCCCACCCACGCACGACGCAATAATCTCACCGCCCGATACCCCGGACCCAAATCTCAAGCCAAACCTACAGGTACTCACGCCAAGGACGGGCCCGGCCCCGGCCCAGCGCCGAGCTCTCGTCTTTCCTTCCCGAACTGCTCCGTATACTACTAAGTAACTACAGTACTAGGTATACCGTCGATCCTCATACAAATATCTCCAACCAGCCCGATGCACCATGCCCAGCCCGGCAGAAGCAAAGAATCGTCTCAGCTGTATGAGGATACACCCAAAGCTTACTGTACTGTATCCTTGTTTTCCTGCAACTGCAAAAGGTAAACTCGAAGTCTAGACCCGCGGATCATAATAACCGTGCGTGCGGGCGTCGGTTACCTACATACATGCTCGCAGTGCATACATGGAAAGGAGTGAGAGCTATTGTGCTGTGTTTGACCATCCTTGCATTAGTGGTAAACTTTACTTTCTCTTTCTCTATAGGGATCGGGGAGCTGCGTTCTGTGAGTGCGTTTTGCAGGTTCTCTCCAGCTTCCTGGCCACCTTAATCTGAATACCAGGAGTAAGGGTATCCGGAGGGAGAACCCCCAGACCCTCCTCCTCTCCAACTTCCTGGTTACCTCGATCCTAATACTAGAGATAAAGGTAGCCGGGGGAGAACCCCCAGAACCCCCTTCTCTCCAGCTTCCTGGCCACCTTAATCTGAATACCAGAGGTAAGGGTATCCGGGGGGAGAACCCCCAGACCCCCCTCCTCTCCAGCTTTTCTCTTCCGAGGTCAGCTCCCTGGCCACCTCAATCTGAGCCCCAAAGACAAAGTAAATCCACCAGATTCATCTATCACTCGAATCAGATCAATTGGTTAAAAACACCACACCAGAAGAGCCCTGCAACGCTGTCATTACAACCGAGGCAATGCAATGCTAAAAAAAACAACCTATCACCACAGGCTATCGCAACGTAGTAGCCCACCATAGCTCACTCCACTCTGGATCAGCGAGGAATCACACAGAACCCATCTCAAACCGCAACCCCAACCCCCTGCCCCCCCTCCGCAACAGCAAAAGAATCCCACCTCAACTCCTGCACAACCTGAATTCCATCCGCCTCCGCCTCAAGATGCCGTTGATGATGAGAATGCGGATGGCTCTGCCCGGAGTCCCCCAGCCCAAGACAGAGACTATCCATGGAGAACGTCCCCGCGACGCTGGTCACGTAGCTGGCGCTTGCCGGCGCAAACGGGTTCTGGCTGCTGCTTAGCACGGCGTTGCTGCTGCTGCTACCGCCGCCGCCGGCGGGGGTGCGGCTGGGTCGCGACAGTTTCTCGCGCGGCGGGTGCGGGTGGTAGGAGCGCGCGCGGGAGGGCATCAGGTGCGGGAAGAAGCGGATGATGAAGGGGCGGAGTGGGGGTAGGCAGGCGCAGATGATGGCGACGTTGCATTCGATGAAGGACCAGGTTGCTGCTAGGCCGTTTCCTTCTTTTTGTTTGTGGGGGCTGGTTAGTGGGTTGCTGATGGGGATTTGGGATTGGTGGTAGGAAAGGGTATGGGGATTGGCTTACCTGTGAAGTCGGGTGATCGGACGAGGTGCACGATCGTCGTCAGGCGGATGATGCTCGTTGCGCAGACGCTAGATACGCTCAAGTTAGTGGGTGAAAGCTGAAAGAAGGATAAGTGTTACGAACAAGAACCCCAACGCGAAAATGAGAATCAGCGCGACCTTCTGGCGTTTCGGGATCTGCAGCTTCGCCAGCACGGGCATCGGCAGGATCACAAGGAGCAGGTCCGTCGAGATCTGGAACGCGGCGTTCAGACTCCAGACGACCGTCTCCGGAAGGCAGGTGTGCGGCAGCGAGGTGTCCCAGAACGAGCGAATAGGGTTACAAAACAGGATTGCGCTGAACACCATCCACAGCCCCGTGGCGACCACAAAACATAAGGTTATGGCCAGGATGATTTGGTAGGACTTCGTCGGGAAGAGGCGCTTGTAAAGGAATATCAAGGACAGTTTGGTCAGGGTCAGAGAGAGGTTGTAGAGTGGAATCGTGATGTAGAGAGCCTGATCCCACTGGTTAGATACATCTTGAAACTGAAGTTCCAGTCGTGGGGCTCCTGAAGGTATCGTGTTACGTTACCTTGAGTTGTTTTCGTACAACGTCTTCACTGAGCTGTGCCTTCTTCTCGGCTAAGCCGTTTTGGACCTCTATATTGATATCAGCGGTTGATCAGGCAGCGAGAACGGCGCATAGATAAGCTTACCAACTATTAGGAAGGCGAAGAACACAATGTCGGCCGCCTGTGATACCTCGTTAGCTTAAACCCTTAACTGCGATACGCCCCAGAAGAACGAACCAGCGCACCGACGATCAGCAGATCATCCATGCCTGGTGTCCGAACCATATGTAATCGCGTGTACAGACGCAGCGCGACAACCAGGCATACCAAGGAGAGAAAGGTGATCGCAATGGGCACAGCGTACATCGTGTCGCTTGATGATCGCGATCACCGCGATTGCCAGCCTAGGATCCCTTCGTTGTCACCTGTCGCAGTGGGTGGTGTAACTTGTGTTTGGCGTGGTCGCATGAAGATCGATCGGTGCAGTTGCTGAAAAGCCAAGGTTTAAACATTTCGACGGTGGCAAGCTCCCACAGTAACGGGTGGAAATTATGCATCAAGCAATACTCAATTGCATCAGTACCAGCGGGGAAGCTTGGGCAAGTGAATATAGGCCAGTCCCGCTGGCTGTCGTACCCACGGTTCGGCAGGCGGTCATCGCCGGATTCGCCCAGTCCGGCCGCGACCCTTGGGAATTCTTAATTATTAAGTTTCCCAAAATTAGTTAAAGACAGAAGGCAGAACAAGGTTGCTAGCAGGCATCTTCCATTATTCGATTGGCATGTACATATTTTTTTCTTCATCACACATGGGAAGTGTAGGAGCAACGTGGCGACAGAGCATATAATGGTAAAGATGCTATACATCATTGACTTGGCATTTGGTCAAGGGTCTCGTGCGATCGCCCCTCCTCCCAGCCCAGAACTGTACAATATGGTCACTATGGTATGTCGTCCTTCGAAACAATAACTAGAAATCACAAACCAGCCTTATGAGCCGCACGCTAAATGATATTCAGAAATGCAAGAGGTAAAAGATTTACAGGCGAGCCTTGAGGTTGGCCTTGAGGCGGCGCTCAACGGCAGCCATGTACTCGCGGGTGGTGACCCAGGCCTCGCGCTCCTTGCGGCCACAAGCCAGAGCCAAGTCCTTGGTCATGATACCTTCCTCATTGACAACGTCAATGCAAGCCTTCTCGAGCTCCTCGGCGAAGGCCACGACGTCGGGGGTCTCATCGACCTTGCCACGCTGGATCAGACCGCGGGTCCAGGCGAAGATAGAGGCAATGGGGTTGGTGGATGTCTCACGGCCCTTCTGGTGCTCGCGGTAGTGACGAGTCACAGTGCCGTGGGCAGCCTCAGACTCGAAAGCCTCACCGGTAGGAGTGGCCAGAGTGGAGGTCATCAGACCAAGGGAGCCGAAGCCCTGAGCGACAATGTCGGACTGAACATCACCGTCGTAGTCTGCCAAGCTCGTCAGTACATGTCAACGTCTATTCTACATCGGCAGTACTCACTCTTCAGGGCCATGACGAAGCCACCCTCGCTCTTGATCATCTGGGCGACCATGTCGTCAATGAGACGGTGCTCGTACCAGATCTTCTTGGCCTCGAAGTCCTTCTGGTAGGTGGCCTCGTAGATCTCCTGGAAGATGTCCTTGAAGCGACCATCGTACTTCTTCAGGATGGTGTTCTTGGTGCTCATGTACAGAGGGAGACCCTTGAGCAGGGCCATCTGGAAACTGGCATGGGCGAATCCGCGGATGGAGTCATCAGTGTTGTACTGAGTCTGGGCAATACCACCACCCTGGAAGTCGTAGACCTTGATGGTCTCAGCCTCACCACCGGCAGGAGTGTAGACGAGCTCGAGCTTGCCGGGACCGGGGATGACGCGGTCGGTAGCACGGTACTGGTCACCGAAGGCGTGGCGGCCAATGATGATGGGCTTGGTCCAGCCGGGGACGAGACGGGGGATGGCGGGGATGATGATGGGCTCACGGAAGACGGTACCGCCGCTGGAAAACTTTTAGCACAAGATCTTCCAGGGGTACTTGTGATTCGGAGCTTACAGGATGTTACGGATAGTGCCGTTGGGGGACAGCCACACTGCAGAACAAGGTTTGTTAGTGAGACCGGTCCCGATATCTCGCGTGGTACAGTCACAACATACTCTTCTTCAGCTTGAACTCCTCCACACGGGCCTCATCGGGGGTGATGGTGGCGCACTTGACACCGACACCATACTTCTTGATGGCCTCAGCGGCCTCAACGGTGACCTGATCATCGGTCTGATCACGGTACTCAAGACCCTGCACGAGTTGTCAGTCCCCAATGGCCGGGGTGGTATACGTGAGTTGAGTCGGATAGGAGGCGCCTACCAGATCGTAATACTTGAGGTCGATGTCAAGGTAACTGGACAGGGGTTCTCAATTGGACTGTCTCATACTTGCAGATCGGAGCGAAATGTCACTTACGGCAGAATCATCTATAGAAAGCGGGTCCTAGTTAGCATGCAAGTCCGGGAGATCACGGGTAAGACCATTGCCCCCCGAGGGGCCCAGCCGAGGCAGACTCACCTTCTCTTTGATTTCCTTCCAGATGATACGGGTCATCTAGGAACATTGTTAGCACATGTCGAGAGATCTACGATCCAGAGCTTTCCAGAGCGTTGAATCGTCGGAGAGATTGGTGCTTGGCCACATGGGTGAATGCAGCCGCGGCTATGCCACCCCGCGTTTTCAGGTGCGCCCAGTCGTCATGGCGCACCTGTCTCCGACGCAGAGGTAAGACAGCCGACTATAAAGCCATGCATACACCCCATGCAAGCCCAACCAGCTCCAGGGGCGACATACCTCATCACCGTCGAGCTCCACGACGGGGTTCTTGACCTTGATCTTGGGGATTTCGGTAGCCATGGTGCGGGATTGAGTCAAATTGATGGAGGAAAGACCGGACCAGCGGGGAGAGGCAGTAGTAGAGACACGGGGCGAGACGGAAGCAATGGATCGGAGAGAACGAGCAGAGGCAAGGGAGGAAGAGGAAGAAGAAGTAGGAGAAGAAAAGGAAGAGGAAGAGGTAGAAGAAAGTAAGCGACGAGGGGCCGGCAGAGGAGGGGCAGCAGCAGCGGCGGCGGCGAAGGGACGGCGCGCCAAAGCGGAAGTAAACCGGACAGACGACATCGCAATGAATTGTTCCGAATATCTGGGGCTGAGGGGAGAGAGAATTGAGGGAGGAACCGGGGAAACTGCCCACACGGATTAGCAATTCGGTAACGGGAGATGGGAACAATAGGAGAGACTAGGGTAAAGGAAACCCGCGAGAGTACCCGAGGGATAAAGTGATGGTCGAGGGAAGAGTTAGGGAATGGAGAGAAGAATAGAGCTCGGATGGAAGGAGGGCGGTGGTGGGGGAAGTTCGGAAGCTGCCGTTAAGCCGGAGCTTCTTCTTCTGCTGCTGCTTCTTCTTTCTTTGCTTTGCATACTTACCCAATGTCTTGTCCAGTCCAGTCAGTGGGCACTGATTATCTACGGGGCAGAACGGAGAGGAAGTGTCGACGTCGACAACCCGGAAAATAGTTTTGTTTGAGAGAACAAGAGAACCAGGAAATGGAAAAAGGAAGAACAGGATGGTCAGGACTCAGGAAGGAACTCGATTAAAACAAGGGCAGACCGACAGCTCTTATCCCAGCAGGAAAAACCCTTTTGCCCTTCCCCGGGGGAACTGTGACTGTGACTGTGACTGTGACCACTGTTCAGTCATTTGCTGCTCTCCAATATTTCCCTTTCCGCCCACCGTTATTGCGGTCCCCATGCCCAGCTGGTCGCCGAAGCCGGACTCTGGGCATTCATCCCCGGAGGGCGAAGTCGTCGCATCATATGCGCTTCATGGTCTCGTCTCGGCAATACTACCATGATTTTCTTGCTCTCCCTAACCCATCATCATCACTTGACAACCTGCTTAAGGAGGGACAAGACAAATCCCTTTGCATTCCTCAATCAATCTCATTGTAACGGTTGTTCTCTCCCGCCCAGCCGATCTTAACCGCTGCTTTTTTTCCCGCGGCTACTCACTTTCACCAACGGAGAAATCTCCGCCCGGGCCATTAACCACCGAAATCGCTGCTTTGCCGGACTTGGCCTACCACTCCCCGGCCTGGAGCTGACTCATCTTTCACCCGCCCTCCGGACTCGGTAGTAAGTAGTAAGTTGGTTGCACTCATTTAGTAGAACTTGTAGTAAACGTTGCTCGGCTAGATGCTACCCGGACAAGATCATGATAACACCCCTCGAGTCTCCACTTGGTCTACTTGTATTTCGAATTGTGTAGCTATTATAATTCCACATCTACATCCAAGTCCACTCTATTTTGTTGAAAGTGACAAAGTATATCCTCTAACTAGCCTTCTAGCCGAGGAACGCCAGCCCTGATGAACGAGCCATGCTTTAAATGTTGAAATAGATCCATCCCGCCAGTGCTCCTGCGCCCAGCGTAGTCGGTGAATCATCATGCGAGATCATGAGTATCAATATGTAAACCAAAGAAAGAAAAGCAAGCTATACAAAAATTCGCACAACAACGACCCATCTAGAAGAGGCCATCGATCTCTCCAGTCTCGGGATCAATATCCACATTCAAGTAACCGGGGGCAGTCGGCAGACCCGGAATGGTCTGGATGTCTGCTGCAAGGGCATACCTAGATAACAATTAGTCCGAGGCCCACATGACAGCGCAACTAAACAGGGGGAGTCTTACAGATATCCACCACCGACCGCCAATCGAACGTCACGGATGGGGACAGTGAAGCCGGTCGGAGCACCCTTGAGGGCCGGGTCGTGACTGAGCGAGTACTGCGTCTTCGCAATGCAGATCGGGAGATTGCCAAATCCTTGCGCGGTGTACGTATCGACCTTCTTTTGGGCCAGCTCGCTGAACTCGACCTTCTCCGCGCCGTACATCGCCTTACCGATCCGCTCGATCCGCTCCTGGATGGTGCCGTCCAGATCGTACAGGAGCTTGAAGTCCTTGGGCTTGGAGCTAGCGGCAAGGACACTCTTGGCCAGGTCCACCGCACCGGCTCCGCCCTCAGCCCAGTGGTTGGCGGGGACTGCGTCCTCCGCGCCCGCCGCAAGGGCCTCCTCGCGAATGACGGCAATCTCAGCCTCGGTGTCGGTCTCGAAGCGGTTGATCGCCACCACGACGGGTACACCGTACTGGCGGGCGTTCTCAATGTGCTTCTTCAAGTTGATACAACCCTTGCGCAAGATGTCGACGTTCTCGGTGCGGTACACTTCAGGCAGAGCAGCACCAGGGGTGATCTCAGGGCCGCCACCATGCACCTTCAGGGCACGGACAGTAGCCACAATGACCACAGTGTCGGGAGACAAGCCGGACGAACGGCACTTGATGTTGAAGAAACGCTCTCCGCCCATAGTGAAGTCAAAGCCGGCCTCGGTGACAACGAAGCCGGTATGGGCGTCGTGGTCCTCATCCGGCTCTGTACCCGCGAGCTTCAAGGCCAACTTGTCGGCAATGACCGAGCTGGCGCCAATGCTGATGTTAGCGAAGGGGCCGGCGTGGACCAAAACTGGAGTACCCTCCAGACTCTGCATGAGGTTGGGCTTGATGGCATCCTTCATGAGGGCCGCGAGAGCTCCGCCCGCACCGATATCGTCGCAAGTGACAGGGTCACCGTTGCGGGAGGTGGCAACGACCATGCGTCCCAGTCTTTCACGCATATCTTCGAGGCTGTTGCTCAGCGCAAGGATCGCCATACATTCGCTGGCGACAGAAATGTCGAAACCAGTCTCACGCGTATAACCACGCTCAGTGGGAGCCTGCCCGATGGTGATTCCACGCAGATGACGGTCGTTGACATCAAGAACACGGCGCCATGTGATGGTCTCAGGGTCGATGTCAAGGCGAGCAAATCGGTGGACTTCCTCCTCCGTGAGCTCGTCCGGGTTGGTCTTGGTAATGCCCAGCTTCTTGAGTCGGCGATACATGATGGGTTGAAACTCACGCTTGCCCTTCCTGGCAGGAACCAGGCGCTTGTAGAGGGCGCCATCCTTCTGAGTGGCCTCGTGAAACATGCGAGTTTCGATGGCGGCCGCCAGAAGGTTGTTGGCGGCAGTGATGGCGTGGATATCGCCAGTCAAGTGCAGGTTGAATTCGTCCATCGGAATAACCTGGCTGTATCCTCCACCGGCAGCTCCGCCCTTGATACCGAATGTAGGGCCCTGGCTAGGCTGCCGCACGTTGGCGAACACCATGCGGTTCAAGTGGGCACCGAGAGCCTGGGACAGACCAAGGGTGGTGGTAGACTTACCCTCACCCAGGGGAGTAGGAGTAATACCGCAAACCAAGATGTACCGACCATCGCGACGGTGAGACAAGCGGTCGAGAACGGACAGGTTGACCTTGGCCTTAGTGTGGCCATAGGGCTCGAGCTCATGGGGAGCGATACCGATCTCTGAGGCGAGCTGGGTGATTTGTTTGGGGTATTGCGCGCGGGAAATAGCGATGTCAGAGGGGACAGGGCTGGTCAACTTGATTGGGAGGGGAGTAATGTGGCGATCCTTCTGCTTTTCGAAGTAGGCTTTGGCCCCGGTAACCACGTTCTCCAGCAGCATGGCCACCGTCATGGGGCCAACACCACCAGGAACCGGGGTAATCTGAGAGGCAACCTGGACAGCAGACTCGAAATCGACATCTCCAACAAGTCGTTGGCCGGATTTGCGAGTAGCATCGGCCTTGTAGTTGATACCAACATCAATGACGACAGCGCCAGGCTTCAGCCACTCTCCCTTGACAAACTCGGTCTGTCCAATGGCGGCAACGACGATGTCGGCGTTTTTCACAAGTCTGGCGATGTCGGGGGTCTTTGAGTGGCACAGGGTGACAGTTGCGTCGGCGTTCTTGAGCAAATAGCTGACGGGGCTGCCAACGATGTCACTGCGGCCAAGAACCACAGCTTCCTTGCCGGCAGGGTCGACGCCGCTCTCCTGCAGAAGCTTCATGACAGCCTTGGGGGTGCAAGGCAGGAAAAGAGGCCGGCCACCTCGCTTAGCCAATTCTCCAATGTTGATCGCACCGAATCCGTCGACATCCTTCTCGTCCGCGACAGCAGAGGTAATAGTGTGCTCGGACAGGTGCTTGGGGAGCGGTAGCTGAACCAGGATGCCGTGTACCGAGGGGTCATTGTTGGCCTTAGTGATCTCTTGCAGAACCTCGGGCTGTGTGACGGATTCGGGGAAATTGATGATCTTGCAGAGGATGTTCGTCTGTTGTGACGATTGATTGCGTTAGCATAAAGATAAATTGAGTCACCTAGGGTTGACCATACCTCCTCAGCAGCCTTCAACTTCATGCGCACATAAGTGCCTGAGGCTATGCATTAGCGTCCGCAACCCTCCACCAGCAATTGAATACCCCAGGAAACTTACTTGAATCGGAGCGGCTGCCCACTGTAAAGATCCCAAGCTAAGTCAGTACTCGAATGGTCGCAGTGCGGAGAAATGACGAGGGGTCACCACGCACCCTGGAAGATAACCAGACTAGGCTTGAATCTGGGGTTGGTTTCCTGAATCTTCTGGATCTCAGTTTTCAGTCCCTCGCGGATATTCTTGGCAATCTGGGTGCCATCGATCTTGGTAGCCGTCATGGCTGCTGGTCTGGAGCTCGAGAAAGTACGTCGGAAAGAGGAGGGTGTGGAGACGAGGCTCGGAAAGCCTAGCACGCCAGAATGAGCAGACGACGACGCACAGCGAAGATAAGACCTAGCCCGGCGTCCAAGGAGGGATTGTCGTAGGTAAAGGGAAGGTAAGGAGGTGTGGTGAAGCTGGTACGGAAAATGAGTATAAGAGCGCTCAGCGTTGACAACACAGCGGGGTAAAGTCGCCGAAGCCGAACGGGCGGGGGGAAACGGCATCGATGGGCTCGGTCGAGTCACAGCCAGCCCAGCTTCCCTCGGCCAGCTCAGATGCAGATAGGGAAAAAGTCAAAACCACGGATAACCAGAATGAATAATTGGATCAGGCAGCAAACAGAGTGCGTAAAAATGCAGGATCGCAATGCGTAGACTCCAAACTGTCAAGCAAGCAAAACAATTACTCTAAGAAAGTCCTTCTCCCAACTCAAATATCCTCGAGATGGATGTTTCTGTGATCTTTGCTCTCTGTCTTCGGCCTTTGTTTCCCATGGAAAAGTCTCCCATAAAGCGCGCCGGAGCCTCAGGCTGACGCTTGAACCATGAACTGGAATGGAAGTGACCATGTAGTTCTCCTTTAGGCTTAGTGCAGGAGTCTAGTCTAGACCAGGAGGGGTATGGCTGGGCTAAAGTCACATGACAAGGTACACTAAACCTAATTCAAGGATTGTTGTTAGGGTCATATACATCATGTGACATGCAACCATCAATACCGGAACTACTCGCCCTCCGGTATGGTCATTGCTTTACAGAACAGGCTCAATCAGGCAAGTCTTGGCGCGCGAGCCCGGACTGTGCGATGAAATTCAAACTAGTCCTGACGACGCCGACGAAGTGAGCCCGCCAGCACCCCGCAAGGATTTCCGCCTCAACACGCAGGTATTATACGACTCCCGGTCACAGACGCCCTCAGCTGTGATCCATCGCTCTTTTTTTCTCGTCGCCTTTCCCCAGATTCTTCGCTTGGTCGGTCTAAGATGAGGCCTATTTTGCTTGCGGGCCATGTGCGTTTGCCCTCCTCCCAGCAGCTCGAAGACTCTTATCTGTCGGCCGTCAAAACACCACAAAGAAACTTGGACGGGATTTCAATATAAAGGCCGGAGAACATGGCGATTTGCTAATCTATCTGATTTGTGTAGGAACGTGCCCTGACTCAGATCAAGTTCAACAGCGATGGCGATCTTCTATTCTCCGTGTCGAAGGATAAAATTGTGTGCGCCTGGTGGTCGGCCAACGGCGAGAGACTCGGTACCTACAACGGACACCAGGGTGCTATCTGGACGGTCGATGTGAGCCCCAACACGGTTCTCCTGGCGACGGGTTCGGCAGACAACACCGTGCGACTATGGAACGTCAAGACCGGCGAGTGCGTGAAGGTGTGGGATTTCCCTACGGCCGTGAAGCGGGTCGAGTTCAGCCCCGACGGAAGCAGACTGTTGGCCGTGACGGAGAAGCGTATGGGTTTCTTGGGTACCATTGCCGTCCTTGATATCAGCTACGGCGAGAACTTGGAGAACCAGGCCGATGAGCCCAGCTTGCGCATCACCTGCACGGAGAGCAAGGCTACGGTTGCGGGCTGGAGTTATATGGGCAAGTACATTATTGCTGGTCACGAAGACGGCAGTGTCAGCCAGTACGATGAGAAGGTGCGAACAAGAACAAGAAACTCTGATCTCTGGACCAGGGATAGGGCAATGAGTGGCTAACACGGCACTGAAAAAAAAACAGACCGGTGAGCAGCTGGAGAACGTCCAGGTCCACGAGTTCGACCACCAGATCAACGACATCCAATTCTCTCAAGACCGCACCCACTTCATCACCGCCTCCAAAGACAAGTCCGCCAAGGTAGGTGTTCTGCTACATCATTTCTATTCCCAGGAACCGGACCAGTTTTATATTAACGCGCCGCTAGCTCATGTCTACCCGTAACCTCGCCATCCTCAAGACCTACCCTGCCGACACTCCCTTGAACAGCGCCACGATTACGCCCAAGAAGGACTACGTGATTCTGGGTGGTGGTCAGGCCGCCATGGATGTCACTACCACCTCCGCCCGCCAGGGTAAATTCGAGGCTCGCTTTTACCACAAGGTCTTCGAGGACGAGATTGGCCGTGTCAGAGGTCACTTCGGTCCCCTCAACACCGTCGACGTCCACCCCGCCGGTACTGCCTACGCCTCCGGTGGAGAGGACGGTTACGTCCGTGTGCACCACTTCGACAAGCCCTACTTCGACTTCATGTACGAGGTCGAGCGGGAGCAGTTGAGGAAGTAAGAAGAGAGGCGGATTTTGACGTTCGGAATGCATTTTGTTTAAAAAACCCCCAGTTACGCATCCTTTGTATGTGTCATGAGGCGAAGTTCATCTTTTCTTTCCACACTATACTCCCAAAAGTAGAAAGGCAAGAGGGCCGGTACGGCGGGAACGAGAAAGACCTCGAGGCGATTCAGGGCATGAGTTTCATTTCATTTATTCCATGATAAAGTCGGAGTTGGTACCATTTCCTATTTCTGGTCGCTTTGTGTGTCCTAATAAAAGAAACCTTATTTTCTTACTGTGTGCACATACATGATTCCTTCCTATTGTCTTGCTCATGAATATATCAGTTGTATTCCGTGGTCAACTTGCTAGGCAACAATTCTATCTCGCCTGAAAAATGCATAAGCCAGCAAAACACTCAGTATCCACCTAGAGGCAGAATCACATTTGAATGATGACTCGAAGTCTTTGTTCTTGATGACAAAAAAACAGACTCCGTTTTGAATACCGGGCCAGCGCTCTTCTGACCAGCAGATAAACAAAGGAGAAAGAGAAACAAAATCATGAGATCTCATTGAATAAAAGTGCGTTAAAACGTGACATCCGAAAAGGTTGCGCAATTGAAGAATTTGATGAAAACCCGGGACGATTGGAACAGAGAATGGCCGAAAGAAGAAGGGAGAGAAGATGAAAGTCGAAAGGAAATGAACTTCATACAGTTTCCCCCGTAAGAAAAAGCCGCGGGCTCACCCCCGACGTTCAATTTACTTTTTCTTGGGGAACTTCTCTGCTCCGATGTCCGAGCCTCGCAACTTGACGTTGAGGACGCGCTCCATAGCACTGAGGACCTTCTGGTCGGGGGCGGCGGTACCACGCTCGAAGTCCTGGATGACGGTGACGGTGGTGTTGCACTTGGTGGCGAGTTCCTTCTGCGTCATCTTGTAACCCTCGTCGGTACGGCGCTTCTTGATAGCGTCCGCGACCTGGTGGCCGACGGTCTTGGGCTTGACAATGTCGTCGCTGCGGTCGACCTTGGTCAAGTGCTGGCCCTCAACGGCAGCCGAGCGTCCGGCCTAGAATCGTTCACACAGTCAGCCGGGTTGCCCCTCCTTTTTCGGGTTTTTGGGCTGCGTGGCGGGTGGCTGCCCCGCGCAGCGAGGCAGAGAAGGACTTACCGAGTTGCCAGTGGCGTACTTCTTCTCAGTTCCGATAACGAGACCCTGGCGCTGGGCGGCGTTCAGAGCGCTCTTGCCCTTGACGACGGTCTCGCGGATGGCAGGGCCACCACGGTTCTTGCTTCCAATGCGCGTAACGGAGTCCCACTCGCTCATTTTGAATGTGTGTGTGGAAACGGTGGTGTAACGAGGTTGTTGAATGGATGGTGGTAAGCGTGTTTGTGGTGAAGAGGAGCAGGTGGCGGTAGAGAAAGATCGCGTGAGAAATGTCGTAAGGAGGGATGATGGAGACCCGCTGAATTTATATCGCCGCCACGGAAGCTTCTCGAGCCTTGAGATGGCGGAGCCAGAGGGGCGGTGGCTAAATTAGGCTTAGTGGTTGTGGCGGGACATCTTCCTCCGTTAAGGCTCTTAACTCCGCCTTCTTAGAAGAACTGTTGAGGTGTCGAAGTATAAACATGCTGGGACTGTGAGTCAGAATGAGTCTTCCTCGCTGATCACACCTTGTTGCAAAATCCAGGATATATGCTTATACCATCAATCTGATAAAGAGTATGGCTAGACCAAGACTAAGGTTCAATTAATCAGCAGGTTGGCATCCCAACTCTCCTTGCAGGACGGCTACACTGTCAGTGTCAATGTACTGGCTCGAGAACTGTACTATCAATGAGCGATTCCAATCCATTGTTTGACTTCGGTGTATCTTTGCATACATCTATGGGGCTTGGTAATGTGCTGGGTTGATGGTTCGTACTACATCACACCCGAGCATCAAACTTACTATATATAGTTTCATCATTCTTAACTGTTTCTACAAAACCCGGTAGAAGCAATTGGCAGTGAACTCGAAGGCTTAGCAGCTCCTTGTGGAGAGGTTCCCAGTTTCACTAGTAGCAGTGCTTGCTCTCATGCGCCACTGATTGACGAAGGCGAATCAGAAAGCATTCAAAGAAGTCTCTCAGGTCCGGTGGATATACTGGCGCTCAATGCACGAAGCCGCAATGTGACAGCCGCCAGTTAGTCGACAAATCACGTGAATTCAAGAATGAGGATATGTGTATGCTTGAGCATAAACCCAAGCAAGGAATCCCATGGTGCGCCTCGTTTGCTGGCTGCGGCTCTTAACATTGAAGATGCTACCACCAGTACATGTTCATGCATTTGTCCTGCCTTGCGGTCTCTGGTACGGAGAAGTTTGTTGGAGACTGTTTTCCATCTCTTATTCCTGCTGGAGGAGTTTGCTCTATACTTATATCACCAAGACAAGTAGTATGGATGGCTGATTGCGGCTGGTACAGATAAGCCTCAGGTGTGCTAGGATCCAGTGAGGGTTTCCACTGAATCATAACCACGCAATTGTGAGCACAATGCTGATCACTTGAATCATGATACATATTTATGCATCCGGGACTAGTGTCCTGATATGCAATATATCCGGTGCACTGAAAACTTGATGCTCTTTGTGGAGCGAAGACTGCACAGATAAAACAAGGTCAATTTCCAAGAATAGCACTTCTCGTATATGGCCAAGAGACAAAGCGAGACATTTCTCATCATCGAAGTAACAGGTTGTAGCATGTCGGCCTGAACCTTGGCATTTGTTGACTGAAGTCAAGTCTTTCAAGAAAACAGCATCATATCCATCAAGCTCCAGCGTTTTTGAGTGGGACTATTGGGCCCTGAACTCTGCCCCTTTCTAGCATCAAGCATTCAACCTCAAATTCAGACAGGAGGGGGGAATAATGGTGCCTGGAATGACAAGACAAGCTAACTTCCGCGGGGCCAATCAGGCCCCCACAGCCTGAGGCCAACCCCTCTGAATGATCGAAGGGGGCCTCAGGTACCAAATCTGAGTAAGAGGAGGGACCAACTGGAGACGGCGGCCAATGCCTCCATCATTCGGTCACTCCATTATCGTCTATTATTATTTGCCTCAGCTCTTCCATCCGTCTTTCTGTTCACTCTTTCTCATCCAGCGTTTCGTCTGTCTCTTGAGTTGAATCACAGTCTTAAATACTTGGCCTTAGTCTTCATCCGTTACTTCACTCGCATTTCCTCTATACAGCCTGTCATGGCACCACAAGGCGATCTGTTCTCGGCCATGACCAACCGGTCGCTCCGCAACGTCCGATCGGTTAGTTGAACCTCCTCACCACCTTCGCCGTCCTGCTAACGAGCAAAATGGACGTCCATGATGACCCGGCTGCTAATATTATACGAATCTCTAGGAACTTGAATTCCTGGCAGACTCATCAGTCATTACTCGTGCACAACTCTCATCCATCTTATCGCAACTCCCGAAAGAGAACGAGCGCAGTAGATCTTCAGTGCCCCCTCAGCAACCGCCAGTACAGCAGCCAGTGGCACCTGTGCCTATCCAAACACAACCGTCGCCCGCCCCCTACTCTCCTCCCACCAACCAATTTGCCAATACTTCGTTGAACGAGAAGGCAACGTACCAAACGCAGCCTCCGCCCCAGCCATACGCCAGCCCGGCCCCCGTGCCGCCTCCTGCTTATCCCCAGGCCCCGCCCGTGCTGTCTATCGCCTCGGCTCTGTATGCGTACACCCCGACGGATCCCGGCGACCTAGCTCTGCAGCCGCACGACCGTATCCATGTTCTGGAACACATGAACGCCGATTGTAAGGATTTCATACACCCCCACAGCCGAGCGTGGCGATTTTGCGCTGGTGCTAACACTCAAGTCAGGGTGGCGTGGTCGTAACGAGCGCACCAACCTCGAGGGTATCTTCCCGCGCAGCTATGTCAACGTGGTTGACGAGAAGGTTGTCTCGTCTCCCCCACCTACCAACTATGGAAACATGCCTCTTGAAGTGAGCCAGGGTGGTTCTACGCCCGATGGGGACCCTGCCAAGAAGGGCAAATTCGAGGAACATGGGAAGAAGTTCGGCAAGAAGTTGGGTAATGCTGGTAAGTCTTCTTCTGGGATGGCAGCACTGATGCTTTCCCATCGGTTTGTATTTTGGGTCCATGGTTGCTGACAAGATGCTCTAGCTGTCTTCGGTGCCGGTGCAACCATTGGTTCGAACCTCGTGAACAGCATCTTCTAATGCTCTTTCGCCAAATTGGCTTTGTAGCAAAGCATCTGAGAAATTGTTGGGTTGCTTTTGTGTGGTTTCATTACTCAATTCAGTCTTTCCATCGGATTGGCGTTGGGGGTTGTTTTTCTGCTTTCCATCATTATACTCTCTGTGAATTCTCTAATCCATGATTTGCTCTTGTGAGACCCAGTTGGAATAGCAGGTTAATAGGTTTAATGGAGCCCTGACAATATTTGACAAGACAGAGAAATAATACAGCAGGCCGCTTTACAGATAGTATATCATGGTTGTCTGTGCTCAAAAGGAGACCCGCTCTTTGCATTGTATCTCATTCTCTTCAGCTTCAAATTTTATCGCATCGATCTTATCGCAGGACTTGCTGCATTGCTTTCGTTGTCTGTAGTACTGTCACTCCCAGGAAGCGCTAAGCAGACTTTGAGCTCGCAGATGGTATTTCCATCGAAGAACTCGAGAAGGCCAATCAAAACTACAACCTTGAAAGCATAGTCAACCCGACAATACGGAGCAGAGAGACGTCGAGCCATTTTTGGAAGAGGAGAAGCGTTCCGCAAGGCGGAGGTCATGGCCTATGGGCTTTTGGAAACAGCCGCCAGGGTATCAGACTAGTGAGCGCTCCAGCCTCGCCCTACGGGGCAGTGAACATGGCGCCTACAGGGCTGAAAATGACCAACTGTGCTTCCCATGTTTCAAAGCACCCCGAGTACAAATCAGCCGAGGGTTCGCTGAAAGGCATGCAATGTTAGAAATTATGTGATTGAGTCACATATCGCCAGCCATGTCGAGGCAATTGATACTATACGCGTTGCTCGCTACAATCCCCGGCGCTCGAGCCACAGGATGGGATGATTTCACGGACGACCTAGCAACAGATCTGGTAAGTCTTATGGCTGAACTCCCAGGCAAGACACGCCGCCATGGTAACATGATCAATCTAGGCACCTCTGATCTCGCTTTTCGGGGATCGACTGAGCAAGCAATACCTTTCCGAGTCGATCAACATCCTTGACAGCTTCATCTTCGCCGTTTCTCCACTGGGTATTCTCACCGCAGTGATCTCGGTTATTCGCGTCTGTGGCAATGCATCCCTAAAGGCGTTTATAGGCAGGGCCCAAGAAGGCCCCGGGGAAGCGGAGAATGAGCTTCTGTCCTGTGTCTCGGAGAGTACAGCCGAGCTCTTCAATAACGGAGGAGTGTCCAGGGTCCTTGGAAGACCGCGAGTGCTCGAGGTCGTGGTGTGGGCGGAGATAGACACGCGGACCCAGCAACGCTCGTGCAGGATCGGGACCCTGCATGATGCGCTTCAGACTGGTGCTTGGGTGGCCGGCAAAGGCCATCGGGTCCTTGATGAAAAGGAACACCTTGCCGAGCTTGACATACCGAATCTATCCCTGAACAAGGGAATTGCACGGAGAAGCCAGGGCTGGTTCTATGCTGCCGGAGCACTAGGGTTTGTGCTGCAAGTGGGTACGTTAACATCGATCCACCGTGACGGGCTTCAGGAGTAGTGGTTCTGACAACATGTCCCAGGTGTGCTTGTTTACGCCGCTATAACAGTTTTCTTGTTTCCGGACCAGTTCCAGAAAGACGGCAACCCGGTCGTCAGTTATGCCTTTCCGCTGTTCTTCATGGGGTCTGTATTGCTCAGCGTCGGGATGTTCTTTTGCGCTTTCATCATCGAACGCTCTTCCACAAAATGCTATATTCGTCCGGCCGTGCCAAGCAAGATATACTGGCTACAGCCAGGCGATCAGGACGTCGGAGACCAAGTATTTGGCGCTTTCATGGCCGTCAATGAAGGGCCGGGGGCAGAGGCCACCAAGGACCTTCTGTACATCAAATCAGTCCGAAGATCCCATAACCTTGAGAAGGAGCCACTGTTGATGTTCACGGTTGTCACGACTGTAGTTGGGTTCGTGACTCAGTTTGTGGGCTTCCGTGGGCTACATGCTTCGGTGATCCTCGCACAGGTGGGCTCGACGTTCCTAATGTCGATCGTGAGGGCATCCCTTCGGACGAAAAGAACCGGACCGGAGGAGAACCGCTTCTCAGACCGCGACAGACATCTGGTCTCACACAAGAAGCAGGAGTTGGACTTCTTCACATTTCACCTTGAGGGTATTCAAGCATTTGACTTGGTGGCTAGCCCAGCCCCTGCGTCTCAGTCGCAGTCGCAGTCCCATTTGACCCCGTCATCTGGTATCGTATCTACCCAAGCCTCAATGACAAGCAATGATCTCAGTACCAGAGCCATACAGACGAGGGCCAAATTGACTAGGTTCACATCTGGAGGAAGCCACGAAAGCATGGATTGGGATGATCTCCCCATCCGTCAGGTAGCTTACAATCTAGCAAAGACAATCACAGACACAATGAACATGCTTTCGGACTGGAAGCATATAAACAAGGACACACACAGCTTCGACCTTCTTATCCAATGCCAATCTCTTCACGCTAATGCTTCACCTCCGAGCTACGAAACTTATCCTATCAGGCTCGAAAGATCAGAGGACACTTTACAATGGAAGGTCGATGCGGCCGTCCTAGAAGCGGTGCTGGGCCTCTGGACATGGTCACTCATCAAGGCCGATGTCAAGTGGCTCCAAGGCGGCCTTGTCCGTGCTGTAGGGCTGAACGAGTTAGAAGCTTCGAAAGAGGAGACAGACCTATTGTTCCATAAATGGGTCCACCGCCAAACCGAAGCATATATGGTTCCTTCCGAGACTGTTGTCTTTCACAGTCGACTTTTTGGTATCCCCTCGACTCGAAACCAGACCGGAAAGAATATACTTGTGGTGCAAACTGAGAATAGAGTGGAGGTGATGGCCGCGCAGGACATTTATATACGGTTTCTCCAAAGCGTCCTGCGAGGCGTCACAGAGATTGGAGGTCGAGTGGAGGTCCGCGAAGGGTCACAGGATAGGTTTACTACGTTCAGCGACCGCCTTGAGCTCCTCGCAACGTGCTTCACAGAAGCCAACCTGGGTTCAAGGGAGGATGCATTGCTATGCATTGTTCCGACTCTCAAGCCATTACTGCCAAGGCTTGCTGCAGACTCAAGCAGCGTCAGGATACAGATCGAACGATCCATATCAGGCGCAGATTGGAAGGGCGCCTTTGCTGTTGCCCGTTGGCTGTGCGAGCGTTGCGAGGGAGAGGAATTTGAGCGTTCCGTTTTCGAACTTGCTTATCTCTGCCAACGCGCCATGAGCCACAACGATGTTCTTGTTCGAGACGCGGGTTACGACGAGGTACGCTCACTTCTACAGTTTGACGCTAGAGCCAAACACTATGAGGGCCTCAAGCGGCCCTTGAATTGGATGAACTCCACGACTCATCAAGCGTGGTGGTCACAGTTCTCCCGTCAGCTTGGCTGGATTACGTGGCACATTATCAAGAATAAGGCTCCAAACCACTCGATAGTCCCAGCTTTAGAAGCTCTGGGTGCATCCAAGGACCTTATCCTACCGATAGGCTCCCAAGGAGACAGACTTCTTAACACACAAAACAACGTTCAGCACGACTCAAGGAGCTCGAATTCTGGAAATACAGGAATAGGTGCGGCTTTTGAAAGTGACACCCAGAGCCTTGCCCAGGAGACCATTCTCGGATGGCTCACACACGGCCTGGACATCGTCTTTGAGAGACAGGTGCCCGGCGACGATGATCGATTGTGCCTCCAATGGGCACTTCAAAACTCGCAGGATGCTCTTGTCACTTGGATTCTGATCAAATGGACCGAAGTCGGTCAAGCATATGGAGCATTGACGCAGAAGGCATTTTTGTTTGCGGCACAATGCAATGCGGATTCAGCAATCCAGGCGCTAATACGGCACGGTGCCGATATTGATGGGCGCGAATATGAGGGCTATTCGGCACTTCTTGAAGCAGTTGCTTCTCAAGATAAGGACGCAACGGAGAGACTGCTTGTCAATGGAGCCAACCCGAACCTGGGGTTGAAAAGAAGCAATGAAGCGCCCTTGTCTATATCGGCCATTCAGGGCGACTTGCCAACAGCTATGGTTCTGCTCAGTCATGGAGCGGAGGTTGACCACCAGGATACCATAGGCTTCACTGCACTGCATAAAGCAGTCATTCATAACCAGTTGGAGATTACACGACTCTTACTCGACAAAGGATGCGATGTGGATGCTGTCACCGCTGATGGTAGGACGCCCCTGCTGTTCGCCGCAGCAGATGACCATGGAGAATGGTGTAAGATCGAATTGCTCCTGAACTATGGGGCAAACGTTAATGCACAAGACGATTTTGGGAATACACCCTTGATGAAAGCAGTGGAGCATGACGCGACCGAGGACATCATTCGCCTGCTGCTTCAGAGATCTGAAATTGGTCTTAAGAATGATAAAGGCTTGACCGTGTCCGACCAGGCCATAGAACAAGGGCGTTCTGACATATTGGCTTTGCTCGAGTCTTCAGCAAGTAATTCAAGACGATGAAGCTTGTGGGTGCTCTCAGCGTATCATCTAGCAGAAGGGAGGAGGGGTAAAGACCTACGTACTTAATCCGCTGACCAACTCATCTCTATAGAGGTTGTTGGAGTCGTTGATTTCTCTGGCACCGATACCCATTATCATTGGGAAATTGAAGAGAAAATCTACCGTACCCATACCCATCCTGAAGGTTGAGAGCCTTGTGGTCTTGGCTCCTGCAGCCAGACACAGGAGGATATCTGCACCTAAGCGGGTGTTCCAAGCGGCCATTCTCCTACACCAATTGCCTGATCCACAGCAACTGGCCGCCTCTGGCAGCATTAATCTTCCTCCAATGTAATACGAAGCCTCCTATTTTCCTGGGCTAGGCGAATGTGGATATGGGCTTCACTCGAAGCGCCCATGCTCTGGCCAATGACGTGTTCCAGCGCTCCGTGCCGCATGGAGGTCAACCAGCCAGATCGTTGGATACGTTCTCTAAGCGCCGACTGGAGATCACCATGCAGTAGTGCTGCTTGGACTGCCACAAGGGCCTCGTCTCAGTCGACCTACTCGTTCATGGCACCGTCTTCCATATCGGTTCATTTAAAGATGCTCCTACTCCTCATTTCCCCTCGTCGCTGTTCCGCAATGTCTGTACCGCATCGACACTGACTTCTTGCTACTAATGTCCTAACAACCCCCTCGTTGTTTCTCTGGCAGAGCAACTCATTGATACACCGTTGTCGCACTCACGATATAATCAGCTAATTATTATTTATATTTACCACATCTCAGCGATTTGGAAGTTTGTCTCGGAGAAAAAGAGAACCCAGATTGTAGGTCAAGCGTCTCAATCCCCACGGTTTACCTTGCCGTACAAATGACTTGTCAGCTAACAATTGGTGCTATTGCTATTAAGCAATTGACTTAATTGCAGCAAGCATGTCTGGACAATTCGCATACCCACCCCCGCCTAGCCAAGGCTCTATTTCCTGTATGTCCGTCGTACTGCAACTCATACTTCGTGGACGGTACTAACCACTCGCTCCGATATGAAGATCCCAGCAACGCACCCAGTATGCCATCCGAACCATGATTGCGATTACTATTCCTAACTTACATTTCCAGCAGTCTACTCCCCGCCGCAGGCTTCCCCGGGCTTTCCACCTCCCAACTTCAGCTTCCCTCCGCCAACCCAGCAGCCTGCGCCTTCAAATGGCGAGAACAAACCTCCTACACCACCAATGAATGAGAAAGCCAACCACGTCGCCGATAACGCCGGAGTATACGGCGCCAACGCAGCCATTCGAAGTTCTTCCGATGGACCGCCGTCAGGCACAACACTCACAAGAGCCCACACGGACATGTCAATCGGCAGCAAGTCCGGCCCATTAGCGTCTGCGAACTTTGTAGGTGCCATGTCCACAGACATGGACGATGTGGGAACCTTCAACGGCGGCAGCTACCGGATCAGCCACCGCGACACCAACAGTCTCTTAACGATCCAGCTAGCTTTCGGATGCCCCCTGCAGGCCCGACCCGGTCAGTCAACCCTTCGCAGAGAATCCTCCATCGCCGCTACCACAGCTTCCCCAACCACTGCCGCAAGACATTGAAACGCAGACTGACATTATATGCTTCTATAGGAATTATGATCGCCATGTCCCCGTCAATCTCCCTCCGAGGCTCGCTCTCCTTCGGATGGATGAAGGCGCTGGCCGGCGGGCAGGTGGCTCGGTCGACGTACACCGGACCCGGCGAGCTTCTCCTGGCGCCGTCCGTGCTGGGCGATATCACCGCGCTCCGTCTGGATGGCACGCAGGAATGGACGGTGGGGCGAGACGCCTTCCTGGCCTCGACGAGCGGCGTCACGAGCGAGTACAAGACCCAAGGCATCATGAAGGGCGTGTTCTCCGGCGAAGGGTTCTTCGTGTACAAGTTCCAGGGCTCCGGGATTCTCTGGATGCAGAGCTTCGGCGCGATCGTCAAGAAAGAGGTATGAACCTTCCGTTCATTTACTCCAAGTCACTCATTGCAGAGATCCCTTGTCCAAGTCATCATTTGAAGAAGAATCCTTTCAACTAACTCCTTCCCTCTTCCCCCTCCCCCCACCATTTAGCTAGCCAAAGACGAGATCTATTTCGTGAACAACGGACACCTGGTGGCGTGGAACTGTCAGTACAAGATCGAGCGCGTCGCCTCCGGAGGCATCATCTCCAACTGGAGCGCCGGAGAGGGCCTGGCCTGTCGGTTCACCGGCCCTGGGTCCGTGTACATGCAGACCCGGAATGTATCTTCCTTCCTGGCACATATCAGTGGCGGGAAAGCTATCAGCTGAGTACATTGTAGTATTCTTGGGACCAAGGTTCTCCTGTCTGTTTAATATTCTTTGTTATATACCTTGTGTTGTGATTTGTTTTGCATCTTTTGTTACCGCAACTAGCACCTGACTGGACTGCATGCACGATGCAATATTCTGAATGTTGGATCAATTCTAGCGCAATTTGACTTGTTGCTTGCTTTTTGTGAATATGCTGTATTTGTTCGGCGAGAAAAGCCTACTGAGAGCGTGATGGTCTCATCTACAAAGAATCGATGCAGTCTGCAAGCTACAGATTATAGGTCATACCGATCCATTCACCTATCATGCCATGCTAAGCGAACTATCCTCAATTTCTCAACACCCCTCCTTGCTTTTCTCTACGGTCCGGAAACCCCTCCATACACCCCCTATCCGGACGTTCAACAGCTTCAAGAAAAGACTGAACGATCATCTCACATAAATCCCCATCATGCACAAATCAACATGATCCTTCATGGGATACATAATCCAAAAAGAGAAAGAAAAAAGGGAAGGAGAAGGAAGTTCTTTGTATACGAGAGAAGATAGAGAAAAGGGAGGTGTGGGAATATGAAATCATAACCATGTCCATCACGAAGTAAAGAGAGGCAATGAAAAAGAGCAAGCGGGGAGAAAAAAGAAGCGGGAGGGGACATGCCACACAAAAACCCATAGATTGCATAAACAAAAGCAAAAACCCTCTTTTCCTCTCTCTTTCTCTCCTTTTCGTGTCTTGTCTCTCCCCGCCTCTCGGGAGAAAAAGAGAAAATATGAATTCCCCCGATTTTTCAAACCGTTTAACCCTGACGCTTTCTGCGGCCGACCTGTCCACGGAAACCGGTCTTGATGGCGGCGACGGAACGACGAGAACCGCAGGAGTTACAGGTGACGAAGTATAGACGGTTCTCACCCTTGTTGAGTTCGGTGTCGGGACTGCGGCAGGTCTTGCAGGTGACGTATTCGACTAGGGAGGAGTTAGTGGGAAATCGAGGCGGTCCAAAAGGGGGACCGAGAAAGACAAAAAGCATACCGATATATCTTCTCAAAACATTCTCAATCTGCTTCTGCTGGAAACGACCCTTGATGACCAGACGACGGGAACCGTCAACACTACCGCTGGTACCCAATTCGGCGAACAGGAACTGCATGACGTGGTCGTCGGATCGCTTCATGCGCTTGCAGATATCGGCGATGTTGGCGAAAATGGTACGACGGTTACCTTCACGCAGACACTGGGGCGGGGGGATCTTGTAGGACTTGGTGCCGCTGGACAGCAGGTCGGGGTGGTGGCTCTGGATAAGGGAGAAGAATCGGGAGACGAGCAGCGAGTAGGGGATGGCTTGCGTCGCGTCGTGAGCCCAGATACCGGTTCCGGCCTCGTGGTCGCCCTCGGGGACTTCATCCTCCTTCTCCTCGCCAGCGCCGGCGTTGGCGCTGACACCGGCCTCGGCCAGCTTGGCCTCGAAGTCGTCGGTGTCGACCTTCTTGGTCTTGGGCTTCTTCTTCTTCTTCAGAGCCGTGGGGTCGAACTCGCCGTCCGCGGCGGCGGCCTCATCGCCTTCGCCGGCTTCCGTGTCCTTGGGCTTCTTGGTCTTCTTCTTCTTCGACAGGCCCTTGAAGAGCTCGGTGACTTCGTCGACGGACTTGTCTGTTCCATAGTAGACAAAGGCGAGGGGTTAGCTTGGGCGATCGAGTAGATTTTTCGGGGGATGAGGTTGACAACTCATCCCCGCCACGGGGGTTCAGAACATACCCTCAGCAGCCTCAACGGGCTTCTCGACCTGAGGGGTCTCTGTGACTTCGCCGTTGGTATCCATGATGACGTCTCCTTCACTGAATGCGACGGACTTGCGTTGCTTGGGTTCGACCTGCTAATCGGGAACCAACCAAACCAACACGTTAGCGGGGCACCGAAATTATAGAATGACAATGAAAATCTCCTGACACCAAAAGTCTCAGGAATAGCACTGCTCGCTGAATACCAGCACCACAAGACCGACAGAAGCAGAGAAAGCGTGCGTTGAGGCAGGCAAGTCGAGGTGGTTTGGACAGCAGCGGGTATGAAGAGGATGAAGAAAATGTGGGAGGGTGATCGGTAAAGGGAAAACGGGCTTTGTGACGTACAGTGTCCGCCATATTGGCTCGGCGCTTGTGATAATTCAAAGGGTTCTCAATCCAACACGGGCAGAACAAGAACCGTCCAAGGGAAAAAATCGAGGGACGGAGAGAACGCTTTTGGTAGAATGATGAGGTCGATCTTCTTGGATTCTCCGTTGAGGTGTTGCTGGTCTGGGTTGTGATCTGATGGCGATTCTGTTATCGCGGGTCATGTCACGTGAGCCCATCCAGTGACTCAAGACTGTATTCACGTTACCGTACTGTCATCTCTCCCCTCCTCAGGCCACAAAAGATGTTGCTGCCTTCCCACTGTTTCTGCCTTACTGCCTTACTGCCTCGCTGCCTCAGTCCTCTGGGTGATTACATCAGACCATCTCCGTCCCGATTCGTCACTGAACAAGAACTACCGTCGCCGAGCTTCAATCCATTCCGTCGCTGTCCTTCAATACCTTCGACCAAGTGGCTTATGCTTAATTCGTTGCTCAAGCGGTAGGCAGGCCACTGCTTGATTTTAAACGCTCCGATTGACATCATTCATTCCATCCCATCACAACAACCACCACCACTACAGCCGGCACAAACATCACCACCACTCCCACTCATCCCCGCATCTCCCTCGCAACGCGTTGAGCTATACCTCCAACAAACTCGATATCTATACAACCCTTCTCAAAAATGTCCGCCTCACCCTCCGCCTCGAACCCATCCCTCACCACATCCGCCTACATGGTCTCCTCGCGCGATCGGTCCTACTCCTCAGCCTCCGACGACGACATCGCCTCCCTCCCCTCCGAATCCACCTCCGCCTCCGACCTCGATACGCTTTCAGATTACTCCGACGCGGAGGAGGAATGGCGCGAGAGTCTTGAGCAGCTAGAGATGCTTTTGACCATGGTGTTTGTTCCGTTCGTGGGAAAATACCTCGGCCGGAAATGCGCTTACTGGAGTATGTTGCTGCCTTATTTCCTTTTTCTCTCTCTCTTCCGCTTCCTTGTAAGATTGAGGGCTCTAACGCTTTACTCTAATACAGGTTGGACGAGATTCATGGAATGGAAGTACCCCGTTGAGGTGGTCGTGAGCAACAAGGCTGCGTTCAAGGGAGCCGGGGCAGTGGGGGCACTTTCCCCTCTGTGATTGAAGTTGTCGTTTTGGGGAAAACATTTACATTCTGGAGTCCTTGTGGGCATTACTCTGGAGGGATTATACCTTGCTGCATCCCAAGTGGGCTCGCGAGCTTGCAATATTGGCAAGTTAGGCAGGCAGGCTTTTGGCAGAGCAACCCCCCCCCCCCTTCAGAATGATTAGAACAGAGGACGTTGGACGTGTGGCGGCCCGGGATGTGGTCACCTGGTATTTTGCGCTCAAAATCTTTTGTGAATAGGATTGTCTTCTGGGACACATTGGTTTGATTTTCGTGTTGAGTTTATAGCATAGCATAATTGTCTTAGAGAGGTATACCCAAATATTAGCCTTAGGGCTTTGTCCAAGTTTGAGCATGCACTGAATCTAGACTCGTGTACAACTTAGACGTCCACATGGACTATAACGGCACTCCACTGCCATCTGGACTTCATAAAGTAACAACAAGTCATGGAGAGTCCACCCTCCTAGAGACAACGAGCTCTACATTCTCTTTCGCCATTTGCTTTCTTTTCTCCCTTCCCTCTGAAGTTCCCGGCTGGATGCCCGCATTCGCCAACGCAGGCTTCGCATAGAAGCACGGGTCACTGTATCCCGGCGTAAGGAAGCGTTCCAGCGGCGTCTCGCGATTTATGCTTTTCTGGTCCATTGCAATTTTGTTCTCAAAGAGCTTCAGTGAACTTGGAAGCTGATTGTTGGCGCTAGAAGCTGATTCGACCTTCGGTGGACAGGTGGAAGCAGTGTAGACTGCTTGAGAGAGCTGCTCCCCCTCTGACGCGATATCATCGCTGGGAGCAGCGTCAGGGTCGGAAAGGGAAAAGCCGAGCTGGGAGTGGAAGACATGAATACGCTCCTCTGCGATGAGAGAGTCGATCCATGAAGGAATGGTTGGGTCCGAGAGGAGATGCTGAGCGGAATGTCAGTGGTGTGGTTATTCTCTAGATGACAGTGGCCTTGTCGTGAAAGGAGATGTGAGGAAAGCGTATACAAACCATCTCGCTGAGCTCTTCGTGAACACAGAGGTTACGCTCTGTCAGCGGTGCTGGAGGTATAGTGCAGGCTGCAGGTGGAGACGCAGCTGGCTCGCGAAGTGACGGGCAGTCTTGCTTGTTGGACATGTTGCGTTTACTTAGTTCTCTGGCTCTTTCCCAGCTCGCTGGATGTGCCTCTTTATACCACCCCAGGCACAGGGCTAACGCTCCTTCTCCAACTCCAACGCAAGCTTGATTCAAAGGAAACCTAGCCAAGCACTTACTAAATCCCAAGGCTAGTTTAAACGAGACCCTTTACGAGACCTTCGAACCACCCTACTGCCGGGGAACTGTACACAGCATGGTGCAGCAAGCCAATGCAACCAGTCAACCTGACAGAACGAATGAGCAGCCATCTACCCCAGTCGACACTTTCAAAGTGATATAGAGGTGAAGGTAATATCATACGACTCCTTCCCCAGTTGGTTTAACTCATCCACGTAGCGTTGAGCTACGCAGCACAGCGGAAGCCTGTCCGCAACCCGCCTCCATGGGCCCGGAAATGCATGGTCCGTATGTACTTGTGCCACATTCTTAGCGTAAAATACTGACTATTGACCCGACAGAACAGGTAAAATGCATAATACGAGTGTGAATGAGGCAATCAGCTCGAAGCCACAATTGTTCTTGCACATACAGGCCTCGTCACGAACGAAAATAGGACTCTTTGCAATCAGACCCAGCGCTTCTCGCCTTCTCCGTCGAGATTAAAGATATCATCAAGAGTCTAAATCAGAGCGAGAATCGCTAGACGCCTTACCACATCTCCTTATCGCGTGCACCAGCTGGACAAGAAAGCAGACCACCCGTTACGCACACACCTTGGCGTACAATCTCCTCGAAAGTACAGAAAGAGCTAGCGAGGCCGGAAGGGCCTATCAGCATCTCATATCGTATGCTTGTAGACTGGAAGCGCTGCATGGGAGACAAATGCACTCCGGGAGCCTTGTCCGAGGCTGGTCCAGGTTCTCGGGTCCGGATCGGCAGCGAATTTACTTTTCCTGTTGCAGCCGAGATGCCAGTTGGGCATTGGTTGCATGCTCCGGAAGACTAAGCTAGATTGCGAGACTGGCGGTGGCTTGTTCGATCCCTCATCGATGGGCTCCCGCTCCTGCTCCGAAGATGTGATGCCACTAACGATCTGAATAGCTTAGAGACAGAGTATCAAGTGACCGCGCCTCCAACAGTATGGCAGCATACACCGAACACATCATTTCAAGCCATACAATACTCCAGTGTGCAGACAATGCCGGAGTCATTAAACGAGCACCTCCTCCCTCGACATACAAGCCCCAGAGACTAAAGAATAGAGGGCAAAACAAACAACCAAGCTACACAACAAACGTCTCCAACGTAGGCTTTAAGTCCAGTCTTTACTGCCGAACAACGTCCCTAGGGTCATCTCCAAAGAATTCAATACAGCCTGATCTCCACCCCGCAAGCCATCCCATCTCATCTCATCCAATCTCCAAAAGAATCAAGTGTAACAAGCAACATACCCGACAGACCGGTTCCTGCAGCCCGTGCGGTTCTTTCCCTCATCCATCCCCTCCTCCTGCGGCAATATTGGTCCCGACAACCTGGTAAGGTCCGCTGCAGCGCGGTCTAGCCCCTGACACCAACGCACAGGACTTCTGCTCTGCTTCCCAGGGCTCTTCCATCCAGTCAATCAACCCAAGGTTTCCCCCGGCCACCCTGCCATGTCACCTCTTCGGCTTGTTGCCTGCTGCCTGGTAGCCTTCTGCCTGATCATGGCCTACTTCGAGTAGATACCCTACGTAGACTGAGCTGCAACTAAAAATCCAACTGCATTGCCCACCCCCTGCTACCCTGCAAGGCGTCGTAATCGGCCAGAGGATCGGACTGATTCTTACTGTAAGCGAACAAGCTCGAGTGGGGAAGGTGGAGGAGTGTGATCCAGTGGTTAATGGAGTACTTACTAGGCTACAAGGCTATCAGTATCCTGGAACTGTCGAGGTTGCATTGGGGTTCCCTATAGCATAGACAGAGGGAGCACCACCGCTAACAATCCTCCGAACGAAACCCTGTCCGCACTAAGCAATGGTGCACGAAAAGCAACATGCGCCCTGTCATAGTCATGGTCATTGCAGTGTCGATCATCGGTCAATCGGTGACGTGGGGCAGGGGCCTCGAGCCTTGAGGAGGTAGGCAGTGCAGCTTGCTCTCCCAGGGGAATGGGTTAGCTAGGATGAGAATTTGAACTCCAGATTGAGATGTTGATGTATCAATCCCCGAAGCCAAGCCCTGTCTACGTGACATGACATCCCGTGACCCCATCCGTGCCCTCGGGACCTGGCAGACCCTTCCTCCCGGGGGTTTGGGGCTGCTCCAGGGCTACGGCCGAAAGTTAGAACCTGGCTAGTTCCACCTTGTCAGAATAGGGTCAGATAGCCTAATTTATCAGCGTTACTCCCTACTCGTATTCTGGTATGATCTTCTTTTCAACTTTGGGTTTGACGTTGAAACTTGACCTTGAAAATTCCAAAACTATTGATACATGATTTTCTCACCTCGGAATATCGTGGCAGGAAAACGAACACATCTTAACCTGGCTCCAACGAAAAAAAAAAAAACAAAATCATCATATCAAAATACCTCATGCAAAGATAACCCAAAGCGCAAAGATGAAATCAAACAGGAACCTTCAATACAGTCTTCTCCGCTGCCAAAAACCTTCGAGATTATTGCCCATCTCCATTTGTCGGCGAACGGGCTCGCATTGCTGGGAGTCAGAGCTTTGGCGCAGCCTACATTCCAGGCAGCCCTCTATATGGGCGAGACCTTGAGCTCGAGTCTGCATTTCTTCATGATCCATAAACAGCTTGCCATGATATCTTGTCTTGATGTGCCCTGACAAATCCGTATCTCCTCCCGCATCGCTTGTAGGGGCGCTCCTCAGAGTATTGTTTGTGTTTTCTGTGTAGTGATAGCATGTTTGCTCTGCAGCCGCCGGCTCGGTGCCCATCTTGTTGAGTCCTTTGCCACAGAGTCCAATGGGATGAATGGGATTCAGTTCTGAAGCTAGGACTGCATCACACGCAGCTTCAAGAGCAGCGCAGTCCACATTGCTGGCACTCAAAACAAATTGGTCATTATCACTCATGTCAACCTCGTTCAATGGGGCACATGTCAAGTACGATTCAGCCTTGCAAGAATCGATGCTGTTAACTTCATCACAGGGGCTTGGTAACGACGCCTCTAGCCTTCCGAGCATGGCCTTGACGTCGTTTTCACAAGACAAGATATGTTCAGATGGTCTAGTCGAGGCGACTAGGTCTCCGGTTACTTCCCGCGATGATATCTGCTGCCGACGTAGGTGGTATTCAGGACGCCTTCGACGATGTCCCGATGAAATTTTAGCCTGAGCTTCAAGAGCTGGCCTCATGTGCTGTTGGCCATTCGCACTCCCTCCCCCTGTCTTTCGCATGTTGTTGAACGGCGCATTCATAGCAGCCTCGGTCGGGACTCGGGATGATAGAGATTTGCGTTTATCAGAAAGTCTGTTGCGTCGCAAGCATTCTGTAAATTTCTTGTGCCGATCCGCGTAAGTTTCCATTTTCCAATTTTCCTCCCTCTTCTTGGATAGCAGTTGTAGATCCTCCAGAGTGCGGCAAAGCTTTTCTTTCTGGGGTTGTTTCATTGAAGTCATTTGTAAACACCCAAGGCTCTCTTGTATAGCCGTCATGGTCAGCGTCTGAAGACAGATTTAAGGTGGTACGTGACGTTCTCGTAGCATTACTCGGAATTATCCCTGTTCCGTCTTCTGTGTTGTGTTGTGACTGATGCTCTGAACAGGTATCAGAGTAGCGCAACACACCCCTCGTACGAGTTCTTGCGATTTGGTCGCTTTGTGAGTTGAGATATGGCTTCAGTTCCCTAGTTGCACGTCGATGAGGGCTCCTTGAAGACTTTCCTAACAGGAAGCTTTCCTCTGAGAACGAATGTGTAGGCACTACGTCATGATTAGCGTTTCGCCTCCACTTATAAAGCTAAGTGAATGTGAATTTGATGAGTACCTCGAGGCTTTATGGGAGCAGATGACCTTCCCTTTTTGAAGATTCCCGGTTCTTGGCAATGATTGAGCTATCATATGACTTAGCATCGCGATAGTTGTAATAGGGAAAGCAGAAGGCCTACCGTCAATCGGTCTTGAGCCACGTTGGGCGCATGATAGTCGAAGGCGATTGCTCGCTTGCGGCGTCTCACAGCTGGATCAGAACCATCCGCCTTGTATACATACTTATCATGCTTGACCTTGTGCCTAGTCTGACGATCATATCTTGATTTGTTGTCTGGGTTTGAGGTTCGTGCAGTAGGTTCCGTAGTTGGGAGATTTAGTATAGGGTGCTCTCCAGCCTCGAACGGAACACCGTCATTATTGTTCTGGGCGAGTGATTGGATATGGGTTTGGAGAGCTACAATGGCAAGATTGCTTTTTAGCTTCATTTTGGCTTGTCAGGAGAGAGGGACTCACTTTCGCGGATGGCGTCTTGATCGGAAAGGACCTGTCTGAGATGGCTAGAAGGGCTCTTATCATCCCCCATGAGCCACTCTTCGACTTTTGACAATCGATCATGATGGAAACTAAGGTTAGGCATGCTTGTCAAGAAGCAGATAGCGAAAGTCAGTCGTTAAGGGGAAGATGGGAAGATGGAAAGAGAGTTGAGGTGATGAGAATGGCTCGAAAGTGGTTAAGCTGTGGAAGTCTGATAGTTGCTTCAGAATGATGTCGGTGACCTCGCACCTTCCTCGATGACTTAAGCTCAAGCAACTGTCATACGTATCCATGATGCGTGTCTTCGCTTGTTACTCAGTTCTTTTTGTTTCAACTCCTGCAATATACTGTAGTTTCCTTCTGGGCAAATGAGAACCGCACCACAGGCGAGGAGCTTGCGAAACTGATAGATAAATTTAGATCGACCATCAAAGAAGCAGAAGGCTCGTACAGCCTGATATGTAGCCAGGTTTAGATAGACTCATTCGACTGGGATGGTTGTGGTAATGGTCTTTATAGGGGGGATAAGGAAGTTCGGCAGTCCATATCAAAGCACCTACAAAGGCAACGCCCATGAATAAGAGAGGGAATAGTCAATCCACAGTGAGACTAAGCTCCACATACGTGCTCATTGACATTGTCAATCACATTGAGACTCTTTTGCTCGTGATTTGGCCTTTCCTTATTCTGTTATCATGTACTGCAAACGACTGTTCTTTCCTCTTCCCATGCTATTTCCCCTTCCCTCTCTCATTTCTTCCCTCTCCTTTCTTTCTTACCTTTGCTTCTTACCTTTGCTTCTTACTTTCTTACTTTACTTCTCACCTCTTACTTCCTACCTTAACTTCTTACCTACCTACCCCCTCCTCACCTCCCTCTCTCTGACCTTACCCTTCAGAATGCGGCCCTCGCAACTCCTTAATTTACTTTACTTTTCTCCTTCAATCCAACCCATTTACCCTAAGTTCCTGATCCAAGACAGTGTAATAGTTAAAGTCAGCAACAGAAAACAAAGAAAAGATGAACAATATTCTATACAACTGCGACTCAGGCTGATCTAATATCTACTAAGATATCTGCCCAGGTCGATAGTCCATGAATCCAAACATTCTTCTTCCTAGCATCCATTTCATAAAATTACGCATCCTGCTATTAAGTAGTATCGTACAAAGCCTCTGAGATGTAAGCAAGATGCGATCCTCATACCGTAGACACCGGCATATTAATTCCGAAGAGAACCAAGGGACGGTACTTGATCCATAATTAGAAGTATGGAATGGCTGCAGTGGTTCTCAACCACTAGCCTCATTCCAACTTGAGATGTGCAAAATACAAACTCCCGGCACAAGAGTATACCTAAACGATTGTCTAAGAAGAGCATATGAGTAAACTCAATCAACGCTACAGAGCATGATCATACTGCATGCAAAGACCCTATGGGCAGTTATTGATGCAAAGCTCTAGAAAGCTGTGGTTACAGCTCAGATTAGTGAAAAATTGATATATGTATGTGTATTGATGGCCTTGGATGAGAGCCCAATGCATGGACTTATAACCATCTAAAGATGTGAATTGCATAGTGGTTGAGGACTTGATAGTGGCACGCGCATTGGAGGTTGAGGACTTGAGCAGGAATTTTCTGTCCTTTGCCCAGCTTCCTCTATCCCGCGTTGCAATGCCACTGAACCAAGATCACGTCCATCACTATGACTATAACTGGCCTGTGTGGCTAGTACGTCCAGCCCAGCTGAGCGGAACCGTGGACAATACCTGCGGGCGTGTGCATCGAGCCCTGCATGGTCGCGCCCGGACCTGGTTAGCATCTTCTTTGCGTCTATCATATGGTCTGGTGTCGCTTCACGTTACTGTACCTTCCTCTGGGCCTAGACTATGATTGTAGCTTTGGGGGGAATCTCGCCCCCTAGCTTGGTCATTCTTGGAGCAAGCGTCCACTTCTGGCTCTATGGCCCCTATCTGCTCGACTATTGAGCTGAAGGTTGTTCCAAACCATAGACCTAGATGCCGAACAGGCGTTTATGAAGAGCACAACAACAATTCTGCAATTTCTCACGATCGGCTCAGAAAACATCAAGTTCCCATAATGGCCAGGTTACATAGATTGGAGAAATCAATCGCGAAGGGGTGGGATGGGGGAGCGAGTTGAGAGAGAGAGACAGCCAGGCAATACAGAAATTTGAAGCTCGGAGAAAGAGGCAAGGGCAAGGGCAGTGATCGTTCCAGTCATTCTTGGGTAACCGCCACAAAAGATTCGGGACTTCGTTCCTTCGTATTCACATCTCTGCCTGGATGAGGACTAATGAAAGGCCCACAAGCAGGGTTTGCATGAAATAAACAGTCAGGGGAGAAGGAGGGAGAGTGCAAGACAGGTTCTGGGGTTCGACATGCACACACGCACGCACTTAAGCATCGGCCTGGTTCGGGTCGTATGACTGCTGTTGCTGGTTGGGGCTACGCCAGTCTGAGAACCTCGGTATCAGCGAGACTGAGATGCGGAATCAAGGAGAGTTCAAGACTTACTACCACCGCCACCACCGTAGCCACCGCCACCACCTGCGTCTGTGTTAGTTGATAGTCCAAAGTCATCTGGAGCGTAGAGCGGACGACGTACCGTATCCACCACGGTAACCTCCGTTACCTCCTTCACGTTGGTTGTAGCCGCCGCGGCCGTGGAAACCGCCACCACCACCGCCTCCGACGTTACCGCGGGGCCGCTCCGAAGCCTTGTCGACCCGGATAATACGGCCATCGAATCTGTTCGGGTAAGCACTGGCTCAACGCAGAGCAAGGACAAAAGAAACAAGCTACTGACTCCTGGTTGTTCATGGCGTCCATCGCCTTGTCGGCATCCTCCTCGTTCGCGAATCGGACGAACCCAAAGCCACGACTACGGAGAGTATCGTGGTCCTTGACAACGACCTAAAACGGGTTAATGAGTCGATGCGGCCGACAGGCGCGCAAAAGGAGGGGGACTAACAGCTTCCTCGACGGTTCCGTAGTTCTGGAATCCTTCGCGAAGGGTCGTATCAGTGGTGTGCCAGGCCAGGCCACTACATTGTGTTAGTTCAGGTTGAGATGAGTGGTTGGTGAATCGAATGGATAAAACTGACCCAACGAAAAGCTTAGACATCTTGATGAGTGAGAAGTAGAGTTCTAGAGAGAGATTTCGAGCGGTTAGTCCCAAGGGATCGGAGCGCTGAGGTTTAGCAAAGAACAGTGGCGCTTGGGACGTCGTTCACGTTGCTGGCGCAGCACAGAGGGTTGAAAAGAGAGAATGAAAAGTCAAGTAGAAGCTGAATGATTCAGAAGAAATATTGAATAGTGGGAGAGAATGTTTGTGACAGTGGCCTTCTGTGAGAGGAAACCCTGCAGAAGATCCCCCTCCAACCGGTCTGGCCAGATAGGACAACTGCCGACAGTCCCACCGAGCAGATTCTCCAGGATTTTCTGTTCCAGTGGCCAGATAAGAGAAGGAGACACGTACCTTTGCAAAACTACTCGTCTGTTGATCCTAGATGGGAAGGGATGCAAAAATGGGGGAAGATGAGGGGTTTGCTTCTGGCGAAAGGATTGCGGTCAGCGAAGTGGGCAGATGCAGCAAGTGGGAGTAGTAAAGAGAGTGAGAGGAAAGAGGACGGACAACGCGGCTGGTAAAGCGGGGGGGGAGGGGAGGGGAGGAAAGGGCAGGCTGAGCAAAAGTCTGAGTAGTCTGACGCCGCCGCAGAAATGGTCAAAAAGCAAAGCAATGTTTGTCTCTTTTAGTATTTTACCTATTTTATTTTGGTGGTGGTAGTAGTGGTGTTAATAATATGCAAGTGGTCCAGAAGTGGCCGGGGGGGGGGGGGGGGAGGGAAGGGGGAGGGGCAATAGTGGTAGTGGTTAGTACAGTAGTAGTTAGGAATAGTGATGACTGACTGTGACTGATTCACTGAGTGACTGAATAATGACCGAGCGTGGGTGATGGAGACAAGAAAGAGACGTAACGGACTCCGACTGAGAAAGGAGGAGTTGAATGAGGGGGGCAAAAGGCGCGAACCTATGGGATCGCAGACGCTAACAAATTCATCAACGGCACACTTCCCTTCCCCTCATTGGTACCTGAGAGGAGGGGCTAAATTTCCATGGCAGAGTCAGTAAAAGATGGAATATGTCTGCCAAAGGACCTTTGGGGCGAGTTGACAGTCGTGGGAATTGTCTTGTCTACGAATCGCGACTTCTCAGGGTTGGTGATGCTTTCACCCAACAGGAAGCATTCTTCATCCTGGAACTGTGGATTTGAGAGGAGTAGGGCAGGAGCAATCAATCCGTCAATCAGCATCAATACATGACTCGAATGAAACAAGGGAGCAGCTGAGCCATGCCTCTTTAGCCTCAACTGATTGCAGACTGATCGGCCGGTCTCTGGCTGCAAATCTGCACTGCATTTCTTTCACTGATTCCAACAAAACAAGGGCATGACGGTCGATCTTGCAGGATTCCTTGGCTGTGAGGGCTAGTCTACCTGCATACATCACATCCCAACGCCTGACAGTTAGCCCAATGATGTATCAGAATTGGCAAATTCTTGCACCACATCTTCCAGGCTTGTCTGATGGTACGGGAAAATCTCTCTTCTCCAGGTTAGCAGCCGCTTACATACTGTCAGACTAGCGGAGTTGCAGCTAGCGGGCAGAAGCACCTTACCCTCCCTCCATACTAGGACTCTACAACTCTTCATGCGCCCTCCAAATCCCCATCGCACCTTCAAGGAAGTACAATCTCTAAGTTGATCTATCTATCACACGCCAACAGCTCGCTGACAGGATCGCGCGCAGCAGCGACAGCGACAGCGACAGCGACAACGGACAACAACACAAGCGGAATGGGCCTGGCCTATTCAACCGGTGAAGCCTTACTGAGCCTCCGCGCCTGATGCATGGAGTGCTTCCTCTATATCCCGTTCCGCCTTTGCCTCTTCTGCCGCCGATTCTTCCACACTTTCGATGGCCTTCACTCGCCGCACCAGATCCGTGACGTGCACATCGGCACTCCCCAGCCCGAGTCCGTCCAGCGACTTTTCCAGAAGATACAGGTACTCGGTGTTCTTACCACTCTGTCCCTGACTGCGACTAATCACCTCTGCCACGTCTTGCTGTTCTCGTCGGGCGGGATCGCGCAGAAACTGAGGGTTGGTTGGCTGACCGATGTACACCATACAGACGATCGGAAATGCCGTAGAGTCCTCCGCATTCGGGCCCTTGGAGGTGTCGACGGGGTGAAAGGGGGTGTAGTGAACAGTGTAACCATCGATCTCTCGGACATCAAGATAATCATGCACCTCCTCAGCATGGGAGGCAGGAATATGATATGCAGCGCCCCAGACCGTGGCTGTGGGGGAGATTTCCAGGTGCGCCAGCTGTTTTAAAACTGTGAGTAACCCGCCTTAATTCGATGAGGTTGTTTGATGGTGGGAAGAATCTAGTGATGCAGCTGCCCAAATGTGGACACCAGACATAATGGAGAGGCATACCGGATCATCCAGCGTTTCCCAGAATTCCCGTTCGATCACAGTCACAACTCGCCCAGGGTTCTCTGAAGTGCCCCGATGGTCGGTACTAGATAGTACCTGTCAGTCCTGACATACCATGTTCGGCGAACGAACAGCCCGACGTACCTAGCCTAAAAGACATGGCTAGTCAGCTCAGCTGCTTACTGACAAGCACACTCGTCATAGGAGACATTTTCGAAGCAGAAGAGATAGATCAACGAACCTGCCAGAAGCGCCGTACGTAGCCATTGATGTAGCCGGGAACCCGTTGGTCTAGCAAACATCAGCCCATCTGCACTCTGCACTTGGGTTCAGATCAGGAGATGTTCAGCTTACCGTAATGCGGCGGTGGCTTCCAGATCAAACTCCTGCTTTGCATCAGCCACTGGTCGTTCAGCTCAGGGATCATCCTGCCGCGGCCCAGCAGTCCCGACAGTAATCGGTTAGGCTTACCCGTATCCGAACACCCAGAGGTCGCCTTTAGGGAAGTAGTTGCGCCACGTCCGACCGTCTGTGGGAGTCTCGCTCCCTTGCTCAGCCGAGCCCATCTCCGATGCTTCAGCCTGGATTAGAGTCAACAAATGTGGCTCGGGTAGTTTTCTTGGCACGGCCGTACGATAGGTGATTGACTCGCCTATACAATATGGCTGTAAAAATAATGAGGGCGTTTGAATAATAGGGAACAGGAAGAGATGTAGGGATGAACTATGGATATGAAGAGAAGGAGGTATAGTCCAAATCTGAGCAACTCTCCAACTTCCAAGTCGACGACTCACTCGGTTCTTTCCAGAAACTACTTATGAGGCAGACAGGCACCTACCACGATGGTTGTAACAAGCCCAGCTAACCAACTAAATAAGCTACGATGAGATATCACCGCCGCTTGATGTTCCGCATGTTTGCACTGTTTGTCAGATTCCCAGTGCATGACTTCAAATCATACCTGAATCTCGCCATCTGGCAGCATTATCCCATGAGACACTGAGTGATCTGGAAATGATGCGACCATAGGCGAATACTTAGAGATCATCTCATTAGCTCATGGCCCAATCTTACGGGAGCAGTTTCCGGCTTAGACTGTACCCCTTCTACATGGATTCCTGCAGAGCCTCAAAAGCAAGGCAGCCGACCGCCCAAATTCCCAGGGCGGATCTCAGGTGCAGAAACCCCGCTTAGACCACCCTTGCTCGGACTTCGCTGCAGAACTTGCGCGCGCCCTCGCTCGTATTCGTTCCCTGCTCCAGTGCGCCCCCATCACTTGTTCGTCTCGGGGGAGACTCAGCGGGGCGGCCCAGACGCCGGACCTGGCTCTAGCGATACGCTAATCTCAGCTGGCAGCTACCAAAAATTCCAATTGTCGAGGCTAATCACTAGCTTCGAGACCGCTGCTTCCTGAGAAGCTCTGTTTGAAACTGTTCAATGCGGATTCACCTATCCCTGCTTCTCCTTCACGATTTCCTTTTCCGTTCGTATGATGTCGACCCCGATGCTTATACTATTGTGTGTCTTCACAGTCATCATGGCAGGGATACTTCGTCTGCGTCGGTCGCGACGCAATATCCCGGTTGATCCTAGTGGAGTGTCGTTCGCAGGGAAGACAGTGGTCTTGACTGGCGCAACCTCCGGGCTGGGGTTCGAGGCGGCCATCAAACTACTCAGCCTGGGTGTCGAGTCACTCATCATCAGCAGCCGTGACTTGCACAAAGGCGAAGCGGCCAAGGAGGAGCTTGAACGGCGCACCAACAGGCCGGGCGTGGTGCAAGTATGGCCGTTAGAGATGAACAGCTTCCAGAGCGTCAAGAGCTTCGCGGAGCGTGTGAACGAGGAAGTACAACGGTTGGACATTGCAATACTCAACGCGGGCTTATGGAATAGAGACTTCACCGTCTCGCCGGAAGGATGGGAGGAGACAATGCAGGTCAACACACTCTCTACATCCTTCTTGGCCATCCTTCTCCTCCCTAAACTGCGGAGCAGTTCGACGCCAGCGCAACCGACACATCTCACGATCGTCTCCAGTCAACAGTTCGTTCGGGTCAAAGCGCAGAGCCTCCGGTCGGAAGAGCCGTTACTCAAGCACTTGAACGATCCCCGCCATTTCATAGGTCGCCGACAGTACGGGATCTCCAAGCTTCTCTTGGAGTATATGCTCAAGACGATCGCTGGGATGGTCCGCAGGGCGGACGGAACGGTGCCTGTGATCGTTAACTCTGTGAGTCCTGGCTTTTGTGCCTCGTCACTCGGACGGCAGTATCGTAGATTTTACGAGCGATGGCTGTCTTGGCTGGCGTATAAACTCTTTGCGCGCACAGCTGAGCAAGGCAGCCGATCGCTGGTAAGTGCGACCTATCAAGGGGTGGAGTCTCATGGCAAGTGCTGGAGAAACGACGGATATCTCGAGTGAGTCGGCTCGTAACCCGTTCCGCGGTTGGAAGTGTCGATTAACAAAGAACAGTGAATCGATCGCATTAACGACCGGAGCGGAAGGACAACGGTTTCGGAATCTTGCTTGGAATGAGATCGTGTCTATTTTGAATGAACAAGAGGAGGGTCTGGAGCGGTTGATCGAGGGTTCGTGACGGCGCCTAGAATCCCCCGGTCTTGTGGCCCTTGCGAATGACATTGCGAGGCTGACACACAGACACGAAGACTAAGTTAATCCGAACCACTGGCTCTTAGCACATCCGCTCAGCGGTTCAATCCCGGTTGTATAGTACTTAGCAGTACTTAGCAGTAGGACAGATGTCTCTTTCGCGTGGGATCCACCACGAATTGGAAAGGAACCCGTGGGCCAACCGCCTCCAAAATAAGCTGTGTCGGATATAGGGCTGAGGTTCTTTCTGTCGGTTTTGTCTGCCTTCTTTCCGCGCGCTGTTCAACCTTTGCCCCGCCGGTAAGAAGACACAGGCTGAGCCAATGATTCTGGCTTGCACAGAAGGCAAGAGATTGGATCCCGATTCACTTTGAAGTGATTGACAGATCATGTGCGCCCTTTGAACGGACTTCCTACCAGGTCTTCTGCCCCCTTTTATGGTTGAATCCGTCGGCGACTCCTGCTGAACCGCCGCCCCACGGCTCCGCTCTGCAGGTCCGCAAAAACGAATCTGGTCGCTAACAACTAACTGGATGGCCGAAGCCTAATAATTCCTTCGTCTCCCCGACCTCCTTTCTACCTTTGCTTCTTCTCCCAAAACCCCTGCGACTTCAGGCCTCTATTCCTCCTCCTTCGGTTGGGAACGTTTAATTTGGACCCAGGCTGCGTGTTCGCTGCCTGTCGCTTTGGATTGCGCCCGCAGTCTCTTACGTCAGTCTTTGCCGCCATGGCATACAATCAGTCCTACAATCCAGATGCGCTGCCCGCGTGAGTCGTGAATCCAGTTGAGCCCAGCGGAAACATTGAGCAAGCGTCGCTAATACATGAGGATGATGGGCACAGGCACGCAGAACCAGAACAGGTACGCAGGAACCCGAAAACGCTGCAGGTTGAGCTGGTTGTTCCTTTACCCCGCAGCTTCTAAACTTTGGCGACGACAACAGGTCGCGCAGATGCTGGGGGCCATGCAAACGAGCAGCTCGAGTCACCAACGACCGCCTCGCCGGCCGTCTAATAATTCCTCCAGCGGCGTGCCTCCTCGAGTCCCAGTATCCGGAGCGCCGAGCGCCAACCCGCAACGCTACCCAGCGCCTGGCCAACAGGTGCATCCCGGCGGCCGATCGCCCGCGACCGTTCCTGTTCAACAACGGCCTCACCCACTACACCCCTCGCCTCCTCCCCAGAACTACGGCTTTGGCCCTCCTCCCTCGCAGCCCGTGCGCAATCGCCCGCCCCCGTCGTCGCGTCCACCGCAATCCCCACACCCTCCTCCACTATCGGTCCCCGACGATGACCCACAGCAGCTGTTCCCCCTGTTCCGCGCCGCCAACTCGTCTCACTCGGGGGCGCTGACCGAGCTAGAACTGGGCTCCGCCCTGGTGAACGGCGACTACACCTCGTTCCACCCGAAGACCGTCAAGATGATGATCCGCATGTTCGACCGGAACAGCAGCGGGACCATCTCGTTTGACGAGTTCGTCTCCCTGTGGCGGTATCTGGCGGCGTGGCGCGAGCTGTTCGATCGGTTCGACGTGGACCGGAGCGGACGCATCAGCCTGCCGGAGTTCGAGAACGCCCTGGTCGCCTTTGGCTACCGTCTCAGTCCGGGCTTTGTGCAGGTCATGTTTATCACCTTCGAGAGCAAAGGGCGGCAGATGAACGGACATACGTACGGGAAGCATGGCATGAGTTTTGACCTGTTCGTGCAGGCGTGCATTAGTCTGCGACGCATGACCGACGTATTCAAACGATATGACGACGATCGGGATGGCTATATTACGGTGAGCTTCGAGGAATTTTTGACAGGTGAGCCCCGGCTGTTTGGCTTTTTGTTTCTAAGGCAGCACCGACAGATTGCTAATGTGTGATATGATGTGGCCTGCAGAAATTCTGCAGTTGCAGGATTAAGTAGCCGGAGGTGTGGATTGATTACACCCATTTCTTCATGATGTGTCATTGTGTACATAATATACCCTATTGATTTCTCATCCAATGGCATACATGATCAAGAGCTGGGTAAATTTGGTAGAGAGTGCAAAGAAAACATGAAATGAATCCAGTCCAAAAGCATCTTCAAAGTGATTGAAGAACTACTCAGCTGTACTATTCGTTCAAAGTTCACTATGCACCTGCCTTAAACCGAAGGCGGTGAATGGATTTCCCATGGCTCTCGGTGTCGGCCTCGCGCTCGCCCGACAGTCATGGATCGGACCGAGACGTAGAGAATGCGGTGTGCATCTTTCTTACAGTTAGTACTCTTGTTGGGCAGGCATACAGTTTCGTCCTTTCTCATCTCTCCATATTACTTCCTGTACAGTATATGACAAACAAATCCTTCCAAGTGTCTTTTTCTCCTCGATGCATCAGAAAAGCTCGGCAGCGCGCGGGAAAAGTCCGACAGTCCGAAGGGATGAAGGATGAATCACTTTGTCTCTCGCCCTCGTGGGATTGCAATTCTCCGTCCGCCCTGCAGCTGACTGTTTTTTTTTCTCCTTATACTTACTATAGTAGTCTTGGGTGGATCCAACGGTAGACAGTCTTTGTATATGAGATGATCCACGTCCCACCCAGCAGTCCAGGGACCGACCTCTCTTGTTTGTCAAGAAAAGGAAAGGGAAAAAAGAAAAGAAAAAAAGGCGCGGAAGGGCCGCTCCAGATCCAGAACCTTTTTTTATTACTTATTCAGGGAATTTCTGACCCCATTTTCGGCGCGAGGGCCACAATCCCGACCTTATCTCCGAAGCTTTTTTCGAAGAAGCGAAATCGAAGTCGAAGTCGAAGAATAACCAACAACTCAAAAAGCAAAACCTCCCCGATCGGTAGCTTAGCTTTTGGAGCTAACCTATCTTAACGCTGAGCAACCTTTTGCCTGTCTCATCATCTCGTTGTTTGCGCACGCGCGCCACCGTTCCAGAAAAGACTGGAAAACTGTGAGCTCCCGCCGATCCCAAGGTTTTGCTGCAACCGTCGTCGGCGTTCGCCCGCCACCGTCAGTCAGTCAGTCAAAACACTAAAGGGAAAACAAGCCGGTTTGGTTTGCTTTTCGGTCTCTGTCCTACAATATTCTCTTCTCTCTTTTTTCCCCTCTTGCTCCAACTCTTAGGCTTGCTTCCCTGTCAGCCTTTTCGTCAAATCGGTGACGGAAAGTCATGACGGATCATCATCATCGTCATCAACACTCTCCTCACTGTGAGGACACTCCCCTGGATAAGCGGCTGACTATCGCGGAGAGCATGTCGCCATCATCCGAGGCAAGCTCCTCTCCCTACAGAGCTGGGTCGGAGAAGCCTGACGCTGTGCGGTCCCCGTCCCGGGCTTCAGATGAACAAGGACAACTTCCCATCGAAACAGAGAAAGGCAATGATGCCACGCTAGAGGATGAGACCGCTGCCGCTGCTGCTGCTGGCGCTGGTACCGCACCGCTGGATCGGGTGCCGTCTCAAGCGCAGAAACTGGGCAAGAAGAAGATCTTGGTGGTGATGACCGCTCTCTGTGTATGTTCTTTTCTCCACCTCTGCTTCTCGGGACAGCACGCTAATGACTTTTATAGTTGGCTTTGTTCTTGGCAGCTCTAGATATGGTAAGTTTTTGTTAGAGGTGTCGGATCGATCGTCTCGTCGTCCACTGACTCCTGGCCTCCTCTTCTAGACAATCGTCTCGACAGCACTACCGACTATCGCTAATCACTTCCATGCATCCGAGGGTGGGTACTCATGGATTGCATCCTCATACATGCTGGCCAACGCGGCCTGTGTCCCCCTCTGGGGTAAGATCAGTGACGTCTGGGGACGTAAGAAGATCATTTTGATTGCCAACTTTCTGTTCCTGGTGGGCAGTTTGATCTGCGCGTTGGCTGTGAACCTCCCCATGATCATTGCCGGCCGAGCGATTCAGGGAGCCGGCGGCGGTGGTATCATTGTTCTAGCGAACATCTGCGTGACCGATCTGTTCAGTGTCCGGTTAGTACTTTGCATCGAGCTGCCAGCATTCCCCCGCAAAGCTCAGAGCTGACTCGACACGTATCGCAGGGAACGCCCAATGTACTACGGCATTTTCGGCTCGACCTGGGCCATTGCCGGCGCCCTGGGCCCCATCATCGGCGGCGCCTTCACCACCAGCGTGACCTGGCGGTGGTGCTTCTACATCAACCGTACGTCTAGCGACTCCCAAACCACACTTACACCCACCCCCTAACAAGTGACCTAGTCCCCATCGGCGGCTTCTCATTCGCCATCCTCATATTCTTCCTCAAGATCGAAGCCAGCAAAGTGCCGCTGCTAGCGGGACTCCGATCGATCGACTGGCCCGGCACGTTCCTGATGATCGGCGGCACGCTGATGTTCCTATTCGGGCTTGAATTCGGCGGAGTGAGCTACCCCTGGGCGTCGGCGACTGTGATCTGCCTGATCATCTTCGGGCTAGTAACATGGGTGATCGCGTTCCTGAACGAGTGGAAGATCGCGCGGTACCCGGTGATCCCGATCCGACTCTTCAACAACATCCACAACGTGCTCATGCTCCTGATCAACTTCTGCCACAGCTTCGTCTTCATCTCCGGCTCGTACTACCTCCCGCTGTACTTCCAAACGGTGCTCCTCGCCTCCCCGATCCTCAGCGGCGTCTACGTCCTCCCCACAGTCCTCAGCCTCTCGATCTTCTCCGCCGCGACGGGCATCGTCATCAAAAAGACCGGCCGATACCGCGAACTAATCATCTTCGGCCTGCTGCTCATGACCATCGGCTACGGACTCTTCATCGACCTCAAACCCTACGCCAGCTGGCCCCGGATAATCATCTACCAGATCATCGGCGGCATAGGCACGGGCCCACTCTTCCAGTCCCCGCTGGTCGCACTCCAAGCAAACATCCACGTAAGCGACATGGCCGCAGGGACCGCAACCTTCGGGTTCATGCGGCAGGTGTCTGCCGCGATCTCCATCGTGCTAGGCACCGTGATCTACCAGAACGTGTTCGCAGCGCACATGCCGCAGATCACCGCCGCCGTCGGGCCGGACACCGCGCACGCCATCGCGTCATCCTTCAGCGGCTCCCAGGGCGATCTGCTCCGCGCTCTGCCCGAAACCCAGCGCCAGGTCGTGCTGGAGGCCTACACGACGGCCTTCAGCCGCATGTGGATCTTCTACTGCGCGATCGCCGCCCTCGGCCTGGCGCTTAGTCTGCTCGTTCGCCCCGTTACGCTTAGTAAGGCGCATACGTTTGCGAAGACCGGCCTCGATGAGCAGGAGAAGGCCCGCAGGGCGGTTCTGGAGGCCGGCGGTAAGCAGCCGCAGCCGCAGCAGCAGCACCGTTCGGAGGATAAGGCTGCTGAGGCGGTATAGCCTTTCTCCATTTTTTTTTTTTTGTTCCTGTTGGTTAAATTGATTATATTTCTGGGGGGTGGTTGGTATATAGGTGGTGCATGCAGCATATATTATGTTCTTAATGTCTACATAGTTTTCTCTCCTCTCCTCTCTTTGAACGTGGCCGAGAAGCGTTTCTTCGGGTAGAGCATGGTCTTCGCCCCATTGCATTACATGAGTTCAGAAGTAGAAGCGCATTGGATGGTTATTTGCCACTACACAAATGAATGAGTCACGGAGTCGGGATAATGCATCAAGCGAGTTAAATTATTTCATTTCAGGTTTCACCTAAGTACCTAATCAAACAATCCCAACCAATCCTGTTAGACACCTTTTATATACATTCTTTAAAGAGAAAGAGAAAGAGAGAGAAGAGAAGGAGAGAATAAATCAGACAGAAAAGAAAACAAGGACAAGATTACGACAAGACAAAACTCAGCCACCCGGACAGGACACCGTCACCGTCACCGTCACCTTCTCCGGCAGTGAACCTCCTATGGGGAAAAAACACGGAAGATTAGAGTAGGGAAGAGTAAGAGATGGAGGAACACGGTGGGTTTTCTCCCCCTTCAAGAATCACCCAATGAGAGATAAAAGGGGTTGTAGAGTAGAGGTACGAGCCTCCGGAAGCAAAGCAGACCCACCCATTTATAAACTAGGCAAGCAGAGCAAAAGGATTAAAGAAAAGGGGTATAAAGTTGTTCGCAAAAGACAACCCTAAAGCAAAGGAGAGTGAGACGCACACATGCACACAAAGACACTAACTTCGACCAACTGCGAATTGCCCAGATTCTTCCGCCCCGGAACAGTAAAGTCACTAACGCCATGTAGATGCCATTATTTGAAACATGGGATAAGAGAGAAAGACGCAGCCAATGGAATAGGAGGAGATCATGATACTAAAGCCAGAGGGGTCATGTCTTCGGCTTTTTCATCACCCCTTCTGCGTTGGGTCCGCTGTCCGGGCTTTTGCGCTTCTTTTCTTGATCGTTCTCTTCGCGTCCGAAGCCGGGCCCGGACTGCACGGCGGGAGTCGGGAACGTCAAGGGGCTAGGGAGCATGTTGCTGTCTGGACCCGAGCGATTAAAACCCCATTCAGGAAAGAAGCTGGAAGGTGAGGGTAAAAGTGCGTCCGAGACAAATCGACTGGGGAGAGCTGAAATCGGGGTATCGATGTTGCTGTTGTTATTGTAGGCGGCATTGTTCTGGGCGGCCGGCCCGGGGGGCGGAGGTGGTCTGGCGAACGGGTTCGGCGGTCCCTGAGCCCCCGCGCTAAGGATCGCGCCGGCCGATGGCGATGGTGGGGGAAGAACCACGCCCGAATGATTAGTGTCCGGATTGGCTTTGGCCGGCGTCAACGTCTTATTGCCCGCCGAGTCGCGGGACGACGATTCACCCGTCGCACTGCCTCTATCTGAGTTTTCGCTCGGGATCTGCACCTTTAGCTGCGGGCGCTTAGGGGGTAATTGGCCGTTGTTGGTTCGTGCCGGGGGCTTTAGGTCTGCTACAGGCTGTGGGCGTGGCGCTTCGGTCGCAGCTCGAGCAGCTGGCGCCTTTCCGGCCTTCCCTGCCTTGACTGCAGGTGGTTTAGATGGCTTTACATCAAGGTTGTCTCCCACCGGAGCCTCCGCCTTGAGCTGGGCATTTTCTCCCGATTCACATGTGGGCGGGCCTACACCAAAGTGACGTGCTAAAACTGAGCCGCGGTCGTCGATCGGGGTGAAGATACTGCGCGACTTAGATGATATAGATCTTTGGTGCGGAGGCGAAGGGCTTCCTTCCGTCTTCATGGGACCCGGCATCTGCTCGGCAGCGGTTGCGTCGGGAAGTGATACCGTCCGCGGCGGTTGCGGTTGCGGTTGCGGCTCGTGTTGCGCAAATGTAGGGGGCATGGAAGCTCGTCCATGTTCTGCGATAAATGCTTGGGCGACCTGTGGTACGGGTGGGTGATGCGGCGCTTGTGAGATGGCCATGGGCGGCGGTTGCGGAGTCATAGCGTGCGGGTGTGGTGCGAGGTGCTGCGGCATTGATTGAGGCGCCATCGTGTGCGGGGGCATTGCCTGCGCCGGCATGGGTGGATGCTGATGCTGAGGTGGCCCGGGCTGGTGATGTGGCCCCGGTGGTCCGTAATGCGCATATTGGCCGGGACGCGGAGGTTGCGCCATTGCGTGGGCAACTGCTGGGTTATAAACGGACGGATTGGGCATGTATGCGAAACCGTTTTGCGGCGGGGGTGGAGGGGGCGGCGGAGTGGCATGATGTTGTTGAGGGCCGATATTCGAGCTGACGCGACGCAAATGATTCCTTGACGATGGTCTCGAGACACCTTGTGGTTGAGGGGTACCGTGCCGGGGATCGAAGGGCATCCCGTTCGGGATGGGTGGGGATGCGGACGGGGCGTGATTGACGTGTTGGAAGCCAGGGTGACCGGGAATATGAGCGGGGATCATGGGAGGATTGGGAGGCGTCGGATGTATATCTTCGGGGGCAGGAGTCGTCTCATCTTCATCGTCGTCATCGTCGCGTTTGCCGTTAAAGTCTTCGGGACCTTTGTGTTCATGAGGAGGACCGAACTAAACCAGTTGGATCGCGTCAGCTCCATGGAGGACAGTCCGAATTTGAGGATCCACCGCACATATTGATATCGAGTGAGCGTCTCGCGCATGTCACAGGACGAAAACTCATAGAGCTTCTTGTTGTGACCGAAGATGATGACAGCGACATCGACCGAACAAAGAACCGCAAGCTCATGTGCTTTCTTGAAGAGACCGCCCTTTCGCTTGAGAAAGGTCCTAAGCACCGACAGGAAGGTCAGTCAGATAGTCTGGCGACGGTCCTAGCTGCAGAACCAAAGACACAACAGTAAGGTGCGTGGGGGGGACCTACACTGAGCGATTGCGGTCATCCTTGATCGCCTTGATCTCGATCTTTCTCCGACCCATGAGGGATGCGAACGCGTGTCTGCAGCACTGGCAACAAGGTCAATCACAAATATGCCAGGTGGAGTAATAGTTCGTCCGAATCGAATAGCGGCGCGAACTGAAACTCAGGGAAGCGCCGCCCGATGAAGGCAATTCCAGAACGCGATGAGATAAGAATAAAAAAATGGAAAGAAAAAAAAATGAAAAATGAGATAGGAAAAAGAGCGACGACCAGAGAGCCAGGTCGCAGTCAGGTTGAAAATTAATATTAATTTTTACCGATATCCCGAGAGAAAGGAAAAGAGGGAATACTCGTAATCACTTCTACAGACCGGAAGAAGAACGAATGACGGAGATCAGGGAAGGTAGAAAAGGTGAGATTGGAAGGAGTGCTATTTTTGGAGAATGGTGACTGGGGGGGTGGGAGAGGACGAAGTGGGAGGGAGGTTGCAGTGATGGGAGGAGAGCAAGTTTGAGAATTGGGGGGTGGGGAGGGGAGGGAAAATGAAAGTGTAAGTAAGTATGGGAGGGGGGAGGATTCGGGAGCGTGGATGTTTGAATGTGGATGTGGATGAGACAACTTAGCAAGTGTGACGGCAAAGACAAAGGGGGGAAAGGAAGTGGCTTTGTGTGGCTAAAGAAAGAGTAAGGGAAAAAGAGAGAGAAACAGGCCAGACAACAAGCACAAGCAGGCCAAAAAAGCCAGGCAGTCAGGCAGCCCCCCCGATGGATGCAAGGATGGCCTCAGGTATACCAACCTTGAAAGAAAGAAGAGAAAAGAGACGCGGGTCGAATAGAGTGGTCGGTCCAGACAGAGTAAGGAGGAGGAAGGAAGAGAACAAGAACGAGAGACGAGAGACGAGGAAGTGGATGTCAACCGTGAGTGACAACAACAATGATGATGCTGATGAAGATGGGATGCCAGCCAGGAGGATAGGATGGGATGGAAGGGGAATGGAAGGGGAATGAATGACAATGGGCGACACGCGGGTGATGCAGATGATTCTTCTAAAGATAGTCTCTACCCGCTCGCCAACGGCGGCTCTCAACTGCCGCCCACTTATTCCTCCCTATTTATAGACTATGCTTCCGGATTGACAGATAGACATCTAGTCAGATAACTACTGTACTTAGTACGGAGTCCTGTACTTCCACTACTATCCGTTAGACGGTAGACCACTAGACACGGAGTACCTTTCTGACAGCATGGTTCATCATCCGACATCCTAGAATTGTATAAGATGCTGTCCGAGCTCATTCCCCCGCCTCCATTCCATTCCCTTGCTGACTCCTGTCAACAACCTCCATGACAATGCACCCTCCACCAGCTTGCCTTTCTTGGTTATAAACATTCATCGCATGGATTTACCGAGCATTTCATCACTAATAACAGACAAGTCTTCATGGCTGACCACACTGCTACTCTGCTAATATCTTATCCAGAATTATGGTCACAACCATAGGCATCATCTCAGCGGGGGAGGAACTGTTTCACCTCGGGGCCGGTGGACTGACTGGACTAAGCTGGACGGGCTGGACGGGCTGAGCAGGCTGAGCGAGCTGAGCAGGCTGCAGTGGGAGGTGGAGTGAACCCTGAGAGGGCCTGACCGCCTGCTTGCCTTGGGCAGTTCCATTGAGAGCTGAGACCCGTGACACAGGGTGACTCTCTCCTTTCGGCCTTATCCTCTCACCTTCCATGGACAGCACTGCAGTGACTGCACAGCACAACACCGCCTCTCCTTCAGGTTTAGCGCAAAGAGACCGACTCGAGCCCTTCCTTTTTTATTGGAGGTCTCCTCTCGACCAGTCACGGTGATCGCCAGTCTTGATTGGACCCGTCTGATTCAAGGTTGGGAGGCACGGCCGCCATATTATTTTCAATGATTATTTTCAATGATCCAAACAATCAGGCATTGAACCTAGATTTGGGTCCTTCCACTCCCCCCACGATTCACAGCTAATGTCCTTTATTGCTGTTGTATCACCCTCAGATGGCCATTGATATAGTCATTCCTGACAAAGATTCTGCTGCAGTCGGGGTCTGGGTAGGTATAATGTGTCACTTATATATACGAGACCGGGCAACCTCTGCATCCCCGACGTGTTTCAAGCATCCACTCGTGCATCCTTAAAAAAACTGTATGAATCCTGTGCACTGTGCCCTGTAGGTAGAAGCACGTCAATGCCGATCCACGTTCACAGACGGTGAGTCGGTAAATGCTAATCAATGGCTAGACTAATGCAGACCCAGTCAGTCCAGGTTCTTCTCTAGATTCTTCATGGACTTGGAACCATGGATAGCACTGTTGACCTATTTTCCACCCCCTGAAACGGCAAACCCCAGTCGATCCTCATCATCACCGTCCCTTCATCTCCTGCCCAATCTTCCCCTCCTCACACTTTCTGACTTGGAGGTTTTCTCTTTCTTTTCTTTTTCCCACTTCTTATCTCTCTCATATTGACTGGTTCTACACTAATCCTCTCCCCACCTCCCTCCATCGTGGCTGCAGTCGCTGCTGCGGTGGCATACTATTTACTTACTACTTACTACTTGCCTACTATCACTAGCTTAAAAGGCCCCAACCCTGATTGCTTCCCGCCCTGCAGGCGATCTTTCCTGGACACCTGGTCGGCCTTCGCTGCATCTGTCGCCCTCGGTCAATTTTTCCCGGCTTTTTTCTTGTCGCTTTGGATCCGATGATTCGACCAGTCTGTAGACGCTGTTGATTGATTGAGCTATCTGATCCGCATCGCTACTTCAGGACTCGGTTTGCATCCGCTGGCCCTCCCCTGGGGAGTCGTCGCTCTCCTCTTAATCCGCGCCTCCATCCTGTTATCATTCTTCCGCCTTTTCAATTTTCGCACCCTGCCCTGCTAGACATATTTCGCGACAGACTCGCATAGTCGGTTTTCCAACGGTCGTATCGGACCCCTCCAGTCGACGCCGGTTACACGCCCCTCCTGTGACGCCGCCGTTGGGCATTGTTCTCCATCCGAGCCACCTCCCCTCCCACCCCCGTGGATCTTTCGCCGAGGATCGCGTCGTCCGCCCGCCGAAAATCTGGCGCGCAAAAAGTGTTGGTTCAGCAGAATGCCTTTCTTTACTCGCGTTTTTCGCAGTAAAGACGCCAATGCCTCCAAAAAGAATGCCAAAACCCCCGAGGTAGAACATAAGGGCCCCGCAAAGCCCACTTGGACCGATGCGTGGCAGCGAACCGAAGTTGCCCCAGAGGAAGTCCAGGAGCTGTTGCACGGATGCACTCAGGAACTGAAAGCACGAGGTATGCCACCATCGTGGTCGATGATCCACCCCCGCTTCCCCCCCCCCTGCCAAATATAGTCCACCCCTGTGTGCATGCCTCAGTTTGCTGATCCTTGCCCCCTTCTTCTTTGACAGCTCTCCAAACTCCTTTCCTCCTCCTACCATTCCGCCCAAGCTCCGATGCCAGCGCTGCACGCACCTTCATCCGTAACTATTTCAATCAGTCCGTGGAGAAAGGGTCGCCTGTGAACGGAGAGGCCTTGGCACAAGATCTACGACTGACCGACCCAATCGTGAGTTATCTTGCCCGGTTCCTCATTGCTACGAAGAAGACTCGATCCTTACTCTACGCTTTCGGTAAATATATAGGTCATTTGTAGTGTGTTGAAATGGTGCTGGAGCAGACTCCCGGGTGGTGTGGTGACCTGGGAAGCTTATGAGTTGTTCAAAGTTGGCGAACAAGGTGCGAACATGGAGGCATTGCAGCTCTGGAATACACCCGGCTGACCTGATCTAGACTCCCAATTCGCGCGCGATGCATTCTCCACATTCATCCCCATCAGTGTTGATTCAGACGCCCGGGCCAAAATCATCACCGACTTCTTCGATCTGCTCGCGGCTGTTGCGGCACATGGTAAATCGAATGGTCTTGGGGGTCGCAAACTCTCTCGCTATGCTGGATGGTGGGCCTTCGACCACTCGGATACAGGCAGTGGCTTCGAGGCTGCCTACAAGAACTGGGCAAGGTATATCGCGGGAAATACATTGAACCAAAGATTTCCCTGGCTTACTCTTTCCTAGTGCGGCGGATGCGACAAGTCATTTGTTCTTTGCCTATCTGCGGTCTTTGTCGCCGGACGCCCGTGGGATCCACTCCATCTCCGCCCTGCCTATCGCTCTTCAGAGCCTGATTCAGGGAACGGAATATCCACCAGAGACTCCCACTCTTCTCCAAGTCTCCACGACTAAAGTGGTCATGATTGTTGACACCGTCTCCCCGACTCCATTTGCTCTGTTGCGGCGCGCAAAGAACTTTGAATACAGAGACAGTGATCGGCACCTGCAAGAATTCGCTAGCTTCGAAGACCCTGTTGGCGCGCTCACAGACGAATGTCTCCGCGTACTGAAATGCATTGCCTCGACTAACCAGTCAGCTGCGACCGAGTCGGAGACCACCGGCCGAGACGAAGCCTCCTGGTCGAGGTTCGAGAACTTCGGTTTCGGAGGTGCGCTTGACTCGGATTCAAACAACGATGCGAATGCTTTCAGTTTGGCACGAAATGAGTTCGGAAGCCTGAAATCCGCTCCCCAGTCCGGTACTGGGGATCTGGGCCGCCCCACGACCCCTTCGTGGGCGGACTTCATGTCTTCGGGCTTTGGCGATGAGACCATTCTGAAAGGACCGGTTGGTCCCTTGCTGTTGCCGCCGGACAAGGTCCTCCCTCCTCTTTCTACCGTCCGAGGCCAAAGCTCGCAGTCGCACAAACACAGCCTGAACGACGAACCTTCAATGGAGCCGGCTGAACTGGCGAGTATTACCACTCTAGATCTAGATGACTCTTTTTGGTGGGTCTGGATCAGTAGCCTAGCGGGTGAGGAGCCCACAAATCGGAAAGCCGTCTTCGGACGTTGCGCGTTGCTTGAGACCATCATCAAAGATACCAAGTGGCTGGTGCTGGAGGAACAGGTGAAGGGGGCCGCCCCTGAGCCCGAGCCTGGTGCATATATTGTCGAGAAGAAGCGGTTCTTTGGGTTTTCGACTCGGAAGAAGGGCGTGACCCGTCGCAAGTCGTCGGCCAAGAAAGTCAATTCGATGGAAGACTCTTACAAACGGTCCGACAACCAGGCACCGCAAAGTAAGACAAGCATTGCTCCGGACCAGCATGCCCGCATTCAGGCGGCCGCTGCTGCTCTCCAAAAGCGACACCGCGAGGAACAGGAGGCTGTCAATGGCTCCAGAACCAATGTTCCGCAAAATGCTAGATACTCCACAAAGACCAATTCCATTATGACTCTGCAGCCATCGATCATGAATGAGGCATCTCAGGCCATGAAGTGGGCGACCAATTATGACAAAAACACCTACCGTACCGCCTATCTGAGCAACAGCCTTGCGGGAACAGGTTCCCAAGCAGACGACGTGAAAGATTCGACAGAGGACCAACCAAGCACCCCGACTTCACTGGCGCCGAGCACCACTCGTCAGGCACCCCCGCCTCTGCCAAAGGATACCCCGGCTAGCTCTCCGAAACCTGCAGTACCCAGGAAAGAGGTTCCTGTTCACGACCAGACTCCTGCTACCAGCCGGAATGGTAGCACCACTGCCGCAGCGGATCTGTCGACGACGGAATCTCTTCCCAAGCAATCCATGGACTCGGACGAATCTGGGAGGAAGCTCAAGAAGAAGACCGGCAACACCGGGTTCAAGAGCATGTTTGGGACGATCAAGAAGAAGAGCGAGCCTGAACCCAAGCCCCCGGCGAAGATCACACCCCCCGCGGGCTCGGCTGTTGCAGCAGCTCGTGCTGCCCTTGAGGATAGAGCGAGAGCCGCCCAGGAGCATCCCATCCGTCCAGGAACCAACAACACTTTGAAGAAGAAGCCTGTACCGCTGGCGCCAGCTGCGGAGATCACCAAGGCTCCTATGGAGGCTTCCAAAGCTGATGTGGAGGAGCCTGTTGTCGAGCAGAAGGAACCCGAGGTTGCTGCCGATGCGCAACCTGCCGTGGAGGTCCCCAAAGCACCCGAATCGCCGAACAATAAGCCTAAGATCCGCCGCCAAGCCGAGTACGACGCCCTGTCTCGTATCGACACGAAAGAGCGAGCCGCTGCCGACCAAGAGTTCTCTCAATTCGACCAAGGGCCCCTAGTGGAACAGCCGGCTTTCGTTCCTGAATCCCCTGTCTCCGAGGAATTCACCGATGCCTCGGCGCATGCTCCAGTCGACGAGCCTGTCTCTCCACCCAAACCCGCCCCAGCTGCCTATGACCGCTGGGCCCAGATTCGTCAGAATGCCGCCGAGAGAGCTGCCCAGATCGAGGCTCGCGGGGGAAATGACTATACCAGCGACGAAAACACCAGCGAAGAAGAGAGTAAGTGGTTAAGTTTCTGATCACTCTCAGGTTGCACTTCTAACATGGCTGATTTGCATAGGTTTCGAATCCCGCGCTGCTCGCATCAAGGCCCGCGTCGCCGAACTGACCGGCAACATGCAAGCCGCCAGCCAGCCTTGATCCCGCTACTACTTCTCGATGTGACACGCTTCCGGTCTTACTGTTTTGATATGGCTCTGTTTTCACTCGCTCGCTCTCGCACATATACCTCGCCGCGCAATCGGATGTGATTTAATCTTACTGTTCATACAAAACCCCATTACCTAATGTATTTTTCGTCTTCTTCATACCGACTCAGGTTATCATCTTGTCCTTTCTTTTAGGCTTCTGCATCGAGTTAGAATGTATGTCAAGGTCTGCACACGAGCAAAGTTTCGAATGACCTCCCTCCATTTCCCGCGAAGCACGAACTCCACGCTAGGCTTTGATAATCACATTCAAATACCATACCACTATCCCTGTCCTTGGTTCTCTATGCATCTAGTCGTCCAATTTCCGGTGTTCGTGTCCATACCACCAATCGAATCCAGATCATGGTTCTAGTACCTGTCCCCATCCCATATTTGGTGTAATCAGGCCGGGGGCGAAGATGTATAAGTTGCTTTCCGGGTCCCCTTTCGGTAACGCCTCCCTCTATTCGCCCCAGGGGACAGGGGATACCGACTTCGTATTGTTCTGCTAAGGTCTGCGTAATCCGTCCGTCTGTCTGGCCTTGACATCTCGCTGGTGGATCAATCTACCTACCTAGCTAGCTACTAGTTACCTATGTACTCCATCTATCTACCAATCCACTCCAATGTAAATACCTATTTACGCCATCTATCTACGATCTACTCTACCTATCCATCCATCATTCTACAAACCACGAAGGAAAATAAATAGGTAGTCTCAGACTCACATACTTCTGCTTCTCGTTCTGCAATGAGACGCTGTAGAATGAATACCCCTGAGATAATTCGGTCTTTAAACATAGTATTTCTCGTTCTTGCAGTGAGAACCGTGTAGGATATTCCTAGCATGAGGATATATTTCGACTTAAACCTTTTTATCCATTTTATGTATAGGATCCTGAATGCAACGGAATATGTACAGCTCGCCTACAGGATTTCAGATTGATTGATTAATTCAACCGAGAAAAGGATCTAGATCATCATTGATAGATAGATATGTGCTAGTTATCTCTCGGAAAGATGAGAACAACTAGAAAGAAAAATTATTTATTAAAAGCTCTAAGATATGTATCATCCTCCCGACAAGATAGGTAGGTATATAGTTTCGAAATCAGAGAGGGCAAATCGTGATATACCTGGATCCAACCAAGGGCAGATATATAATTCCAAATAGCTCATAAGAGGAGAAGAGAAAGTGAGAGGGTGTAAGGCGATGATTGAATCGTGGAATCGTTGCGTATAGTGCGGGTGTTGGTATCAGTCCGATCGAAGATGCAGATATCGAATGACGTGTTAGCATGATCAGGGTAGGGATTGCTCCTTTTCTTTTTGTGCTTTGATATGCGGAGGAGAGATATGTATTAGGTGGGTAGGGGTATCGGATTAATATCGAGGTGGAGGTGTATGTGATTTTTTGTTGATGGCGCGCTCGAGTTTCTGAAATCTTTGTACAGCATATTCATCTGTCTTGTCGCGATATCGACGGAGATTCTGAGGGGTAGGATAATGAAAGGTAAGCCCGCGGGGGCTCTAAATACTTGTGGGCATCAAGGGTCCACCTATTCGGGGAATCACATCACGTGGCGCATCCGTCTCGTGGCTTCGACAGCGACAAGGGCACTAATTGCACCGATGAAGAGGCAGATGGAAATAGCGTTGGGCCTGCTCTTGTCGAGATTCATCCACTGGGATGATTCCTGCGCGGTCTCGTCGCGTTTCGTGCTGCCCGGTTCGAAGATACTGAACACGATCCAGCTGATGAACGTGCCGACAAATTGCGGGAGGGTTGTGTACACATTCAACACGCCGAGATAGATGCCTGCGAGTTCACCGGTTGATGGGACGTCGGAGCCGCCGTCCTCCACGTCGCTGTCGCTGTCCGCGTCGTGGTGGTTGAGTCGGAGGACGTCCATTTCGGTGTCTGTGGCTGTTCGATCGGCGTAGCCACCGGGCAAGATGCTGGAAGAGGTGATCATGGTTACTCGGGACGATGGGGAAGGATCCATGGCCAGTTTGTTGATTTCAACGCCCATGAAGGCGAAGGGGGCCCAACAGCTAATGGCCCACGGGATACCGCAGAGGGCGACGAGGAAGGTTGCAAAAGCGCGAGATCGTGCTAGTGGCGCGAATACCATGGTGGCAGCGAACATAATGTGCGAAATCAACCAACTCGTCTGTAGATCTGGACGGACGCTAGGGACTTTCTTGAGTAATGAGGCGATTCCGGGAGGTGGTCGCGGTGTGAACCGTGGCCGTTTGTTGTCTGGTGGCTGAACGCAGAACGGCAGTAGTACAGCTCCAATGAGTGTGATGGACGAAAAGACGACGAGCGATGAACTGCCGACACGGCCGACTTCTCCTAGCATATCGCTTGGGCGTACTGCATCTTTGGGAACCTCATAGCGAAAGTACGTCTCACCAACCCATGTCGTACTGTAGAAAAGGAAGGGAAACCAGCCTGGAAGAACCTGTCAGAATGGCAATTTGGTCGAAAGAGATAGCCCATAGCATACCGATCCAGGCCCAGAACTGAGCCCAGCAGATTGCCTGGATGCGCGGTGGCAGCTCCATCGTCGTTTTCAGCAGTTGGGAGATGACTTGCAGCGCTCCGGCCTTACCATCGGAGTCCCTATAAATGAAGCGTCAGCTACTGTACGTATTGTGGCTTTCCTCTTCTCCTAATTACCTTGCTGTGATCAAGACTCTCTCCTTCACCGCGTAGGATGTGATGGAAACTGCTGCGATTAGGGACAATGCAGCAAAGACCGTCATTTGCTTGAACTGCGTGTCGCCAAAAGCAGTGCCAAAAATGCTGACCGTGTCAATGGAACCAATGACATATCCAATAAGTTGCCCAATCGCCGTCATTCGGGTCGCTGCACGAGTTTTAGTATATCAATCCTACCACTGCAGGGAGGATGAGACCTACCCCATGCTGAACCGGTTTGCTGAAGAGGAATCGGCAACGTATCGACAATCAAACTGCGACAACACGCTTGTACTATACCGAGATCAGACCACGCATATCTAGCATAGAGCCTTACTCGAACATACCGACATTGATCGCAAAATCCACCGCGTAGATGCTCAAGACGGCCAGAGCAATAGTGGTGTTTTTGGCCTAGAAAGGGATCCAACTCAGCCACCGAACAAACCCAAAGCAACGGTAAAAATCCCAAGTACCTTCTCGGCATCCTTAACAAAGATCCGGACAATCTCCGTCGTCCATCCCAGCAGCAGCAGGCACATTGCGACAACCACGGACCCCACAATCATGAAAGGTCTGCGTCGACCCCATTTGGAGCGAGACCGATCCGCGATGACACCAATCAGCGGCTGTATGATCAACCCGGACAGAGGGCCAGCGATCCAGACCAGCGACGTCTTGGATTTGGTGAGGCCGAGCTGCAGGAGATAAGGCGTGCAATCTAAATCGCGCGAATGATCAGGGAGTGTTGCGAGAAGTTGCGTAACTGGGAGAAGCACGTACAGGTCATTTCAATGCCCCAAGTAAACCTGCAATTGACAAGAAGAACAAGCAAGTCAGATCATGGCCGGATTTCCGCATTGTTCGCTCGCATGCGCATGGCGAAATGACATCGGAGGCTCTCGAGAGGAACTCACTGTAGACCCAACAGACTGAAGGTCAAGAGCACCATGCGCACCCATTCCCTCCGACCTCGAATGGAGGGTGAACCCACCCATCGTGCAGCTTGTGCCATTCTTCGAGCTTGTATGCGCGCATGCAATTGCCCCAGGTGTTTATCAGGGTGGTTGAGCTTTCCATGAACCCGCGCTGGGTCGCCCACTCTACTCGGCGCCTGGAAAAACGGCCCAGAACACGATCGATGACAATCACCCCAACTGTCGCGTATGGTATATGTATTTCTTTCGAAGCTATAACGGTGGGGTTGAGCAAGACCTGAAGCTCAGGAGCGAGAGAAAAATGCAGTGGTTGGTGAAATGGGGTTGGTTGTCGCACGGTTGGTGGGCGATTTAAAAATAGCCGGAAAGGGTTCGTAGTAGTCTAAATGCGGAGGTCAGGCAAAAGGCACTATCAGTATATACAGCTGCGGGGAGAGAGGGTCGTGGGTAGATGCGCGGTTTGCCGTCAATGGAATAGGATTATGAGGATGTAAGAAGTGCGAATTGAGCCGGGGAGTGCGAGAATCGAGAACGAATAAGGACAGAAGAAATAGGAGAGAACAAGACGCAGAGAGAAAAACGAAAGAGAGGAAGAGAGGAAGAGAAGGAGAGAGGAGACGAGGCCTGGGCTGTGAGGCACACGGCAGGACGCATGCGGGACCCCGGCCCGTCGTTGGGTGGTCGAACCGTCCAAGACTCTTAAGACTATCGGCACCGGCCAACACGGTTGAACATGCTGCTGATTGACCCACTGCTGCTACTATTCATAAGTCATTCCCAGATTCTTCGGGCGAACTGGTCCAGAAGTATGTATGGAGTATGTATGCATGTCAGTCAGAGCAGACCACAGGCACGCGACATGGAGAGAGGGATTAAACCCCCCACCCCCTTTGAGGTCTGGGCGCACTCTGGGCACGCTCTGGGCACTCTCTGGGCACTCTAGGCTGCCCTTGGAGAGCCGAGTAGACAGCTTTTAACCTTCTTGGGTCAAGTGCTCGACCCTCAGGAAGATTGACAGCTGCTTGAAATTAGGATCTTCCCACCGCGGTGGGGTTGGATTATCGTTCTTTGTCCCGCATGCTATGTGAATCCGTCTCAGGAACCTCAAGCCGTGTGCGAAAGAAGCATTCAAGACGCTTCACGCCCCCTTGCCACCCAACTGCCTTCTCGGGCAATCGATGAAACCGTTCGTCGCATCCTGCGAAAATGCAAAGTGCTGCCCGCAGAGATGCTGACCGGTTGGTCCTAGGGTCTAGAACAGTAATTCTAGATTTGAGAAGGGTTGTGCCCATGGGAGGCAGGAATGTCCGTCTCTATTTTCTTGTTTTTCCACGCCGATAACAGCATTCCTGCAGTCTAGTGACAGCCGACCATATTCAACTGACACTTTACGCTCAACCCGCCAGCCGCCTACACCAACCCCAGGAGATTCGTAACGTGCTCTGCATTCGTTTCTAAAGAAATAAAGGGGGTTGTAAACAGTAACTCCAGTCATTGCCCGACCGACCGATGAACAATACCCTGAACTTGCATTCCTGTCATATCCACCCACATGTCCGTCCGGTCGTGCCGTAGATCTCGCCTCATAGCATTAACATTTTTTCATAACTTAGTCTGACATTTTACTTCTTCATTCGTCGTGCCCCACTGCCCGCCTCAGGATGTCCTAATGGCTATACCATTGATTACAACCGGTTGGGAGTGGAGGTCAAGGGCCACTGGTAGCCAGCAGCGTCGCTGAACTTGTAGCCGTAAGAGGCCGTGAAGTCATCCAGGACAGCGGGTCCACGGGATCCTAAATCAGGGGTCAGTCACCGCACCGGAGACTAAACATGCCAGTGGTTATACATACCGTAGGGGTACTCCATGGGGATGATTTCCTTGTTGTCATCCAGGTAGTGCAAGAGAGGCGTGAAGATTCTCCAGCTGGCATCCAACTCATCGTCACGGACGAAGTTGGAGTGGTCACCCTTCAGGGCGTCGAGAATCAGGGACTCGTAGGCCTCGGGAATCTTGAGGTCGGAGAAGCGGCGGCGGTAGGTGAGGTCGAGCTCAGTCACCACGGTCTGCATGGACAACCCAGGCAGCTTGGAGTTCATCTTGATGTAGACGGATTCGTTGGGCTGGACACGGATAACGAGTTCGTTGCGGGGGATGTCCTTGAAGATACCGGACGTGACGTCACGGAACTGGATGCGGATCTCGGTCTTCTGCTCGTTCAAGGCTGCAAAGAGTCAATATCTTAATTCAGACCCGGACCTTGCTACCACCAAGGGGCGTACCTTTTCCGGCCTTCAGGATGAAAGGAACACCGTCCCATCTCTCGTTCTTGATGTAGGCAACCATGGCGCAGAAGGTAGGGCAGCGAGAGTCCTGGGGAACGGTCTCATCCTCCTTGTAGGCGGGCTTGCTGCCGTCCAGCGACTTTCCGTATTGACCGATGATGACGTTCTTGGGCTCAATGGCGTCCATCGCACGGAGGACACGGACCTGGGAGAAACAGTCAGCCGGAGAACCCGGTGCGAGTGAAAGTGATGCTTACCTTCTCGTCACGGATGTCCTCAGCAGAGAAGGAGATGGGGCGCTCCATGGCGAGCAGGGTCAGGACCTGCAAAAGGTGGTTCTGCATGACATCACGAATGATGCCGAATTCATCGAAGTAACCACCACGGCCCTCAGTGCCGAACGGCTCCTTGAAAGTGATCTATACCGCGGAGAATATCTTAGCGATTGACCAGAACCCAAGAAACCAGTATATCATCATACCTGAACGTTATCGATGTGGTGACGGTTCCAGGTGGCGTTGAAGAATTCGTTTCCGAAGCGCATGATAAGGATGTTCTTGACCATCTCCTTGCCCAGGTAGTGGTCGATACGGAAGATCTCGTCCTCCTTCCAGTTGGGGTCGAGGGCTTTCTGGAGGTCGCGCGAGCTCTGAAGGTCCTTACCGAAGGGCTTCTCAACCTATAGTGTCACAAGGAAGACATAAGTGTCTGCTCAACAGCGAAATTTGTGGGGGAGACGACTCACAATGATGCGAGCAACACCGTTCTTGGGGTAGCAGTTGCGCTTCAGCTGGTCGGAAACGGTGGTGAAGACACTGGGGGGAAGTGCCATGTAGAAGATTCTGTTCTGCTCCTTCTGGCCCTTCTCAACCTCCTCAAGGTGCTTGTTGAGGTTGACGAAAGAGTCATCCTTGTCGTATTGACCGGAAATGTAGCTGCAGAATTGGCAGAAGCTATCCAGTTGCTCTTCGATTTCCTTGGTGGGGGTCTTGATATATGAGCGCACACGTCTCAGGTATTCTTCGTGATCCATGTTTGTCCGGGCATAGCCGACGATCTTGATGCCCTTGGGCAGGAACTTGTTGCGGTACTACAGGCGCCGTTAGTAACCGGTGCCACCGCCAGTGCCACCCTGGGACTGTCATTGAGAACATACAAGGCCGAAAAGCGCGGGGAACTGAGATAATGGTCAGCTTCGATGTCCAAACGTCCGCTTTTTCTTTCTGTCTCTCATGACTCACGGTCTTCTTCTTCGCAAGATCTCCCGAGGCACCTAGTACTACAATGACGGTGTCATCTTTGAGTTCGGCGGTGCTGCGTTGAATATCCATATTAGCTTCTCAAGTCGGCAGGGATTGACTAAAAGACTGCAGGGATTTGATGTATGTCGATCTGAGAAAATTGAGTGGAACCGCGAAACGGCAGAAAATCAACAGCAAAGAAGCAAATCAACGGGATAGTTGGTCGTGACGACGAATTGGCAGGAAATCGAGTTCTGGCAAGACTGAAGCGGGCGGGTTCGCAGATGAATGTTTGGCGACCGGCCCGGTAAGAAGTGGGTGGGTGAAGTTCACGTAACAGCAGTAGTTCGGGGCGGTGGACGAGGAGGGAATGGAGGGAATGGAGGAGGAGAGGAGGGAGGAGAGGAGGGGTGTGATGTCAGCGAGGGAGGGTCACAGGTAGTACTACTCACCCAGCAGCGCTCTGGCGTTCGTCTATCGTGCTGGCCATTATTCTTTTGGGATTGGTGGGGTAGTTTGGTATGGAAGGTCGCAACAATGGGGGATCAATTGGGGAGAGTCAAGTAGGTAGTAGCAGCAGCAGTAGTAGTAGTAATAAATGGACACAGAGAGAGAAGAAGAGAGGAGAAAAGAGTAGGGGAACAGGTTCAAAGGGATTTAATGGAAATTTCTCAACAATTCCGGCGGAGCAAGTACTTTTTAAGAGCGTGAGGGCTCGTAGCGTAAGATGGCCGGAGGGGAAGCTGCCGCTGCTGGTACTGCTGCTGCTGCTACTGCTTGCTACTGCTTGCTACTAAGTAAATTACTACAACAAAGCGCAAAGGTGGGCGGGCGCAAAGCAACTACTGAGCCCGGGTGGGGCAGCTGTTCTTTCCACTACGTCGATGTTACTGCCGCGGGACCCCGTGAAGAGGAGGAGGAGGAGCCTTGAATGTACACACAGGGTAAAGGTAAAATTATTCATTTTCCTATTTTCCATTTCTTATTATCCATGATTTCCACCTCTTCAACCAATTCCTTCTCCGTCTTACATTCGGACATGACGATGACCGACCGTCTACTCCGCCGTAGTTCGGGGCATTCTTCTTTTGGTCCATGATGACTTCGAGAAGGAAATTCTGTCCGCTTTATAGTTGAATCTTTCCCATCTGTTCCAGCAAACCACCCGCTCCGGTCCAGTTCCCACCCTGTGGCAATGACTCCTGTTATTATATCATTGCTTGGTAAGAGAAACACACTATCTACAATGCACGCACAGCTTGATACCATAATAAGAATCCCGACCGTTCCGGCTCCCAGCCCATCAGCACTACTATCACGGTTCTTCTAATCATGGCACTCACTCCTTCGCGCGAATCTGGGGGAATGACTGACCTCCCCCGAGATTCCCATGCATGGAGAGGCGAATGGAGCTCGAATGAAAAGCACATCTCTCAAGTCACATGCGCCACACCCCGCGTTCATTATTATCCAATAGTCTGTCTGGACCCCCTCCAACTCCGATCTGACATTCTTCTTTGTCTGATTCTCGGGTTGAAGAAAAGAAAATAAAGCATGGGGTTATCATGGCTTATTCCCGGTGACCGTCCTACATGGGATGTATATCCGCGGGGCACTGGGTGAAGACAGTGGAGCTTCCAGCCATGCAGGTCAGCTTAGGGGGGCCTGCCCTCCTGGAGATAGACAGCAATGAATCGTATCCAATCTGCCGCATCCCAACCGCAGGACAAGGCCATTGCAATCTAAATCGGTTCGCGTAAAAACAGAAGATCAACCCGAGGGAATCCCGTCTATAAAGCTTGCGCCTGCCCCTCGTTTTCATTTTCAAGTTACATACTAGTGCGATATTCAACCGTTTTTCAGCATTGTCCCGATAACAGCAGCAGAATGGCATTGAACCGATGTTCAGGCTATTCCACACCCATAACTTAAACCGTATAGATCGCGCCAGAAGCTGCAGCGAAGGATCATTGGCTGCCGGGGCCTGCGGTAGCCAGGTGAGACTGTGAGACTCCTGAATTCGCGTTTCCGGTGACCAGCGCCGTGGGGTTCGATCGGCGAATTTGTCATCCAGAAAAAAGGATGATACGGATTTAATTTTCCCGTAAAATGGGCGTAGTGTAGGAGGAACAGTGAATCAAACCGAAGTTTCGGCCCAGTCGAGTCCGGAGATGGTGCTAACGATGCCGAGTCAGGGCTGGCCTTAGTTAACTTGCGGAGTATTATGCTTCCATCACACCTAGTCTAACTACTGAGAGATGCATCGCCATAGTTGTTGCATTCCAGCCTCACTATTGGACCACATGCTCTTCGTGATGTCTTGCGCTCTAATTGCTTCTGTTCCTCGAGGGCATACCGCGGTGTTGACACCGCCCGACAAAGGAAGACTGAAGATGTAATGGCGTGCTTGCAGGGAAAGGACATCATGTCAGGTTCGTTGCCGATTACTGGTGGGGCTAAGGTACGCTTTATTTCCAAATGAGTGTCTCGGTCTGATCGGTATGGAGGGAAGGTCATCCTCCCCATGTTAAGTCCGCATACCCTCATAGGCCCGTACATTCAATCCACCCGGTACAATTGTTGCGCTACCCTGGCAGGAGCAGATAAAAAGGCCATGCTAAAGGTCCAGATGAAGCGACTAGCCACCGCGACCTTTTCTTGGAACAGGGACCTTGCTTGATTGTCCAGAAGAGGAGATAAGCTCCTCCTGCATGCCAAAAACACCAAAGAGATGCTGCTGCTCGGCAGCCTGCAAACTATCGCAATGCCAGTCCAGAATATGTTCCAATCATTCATTCCTGTGATGAATCATGGGATACTGATGGGGCCAATTGCCGTCACCGTCACCGGTGGGAAACAATCAGCAAACTGTTTTGTCAGCTTGGAGGTCGGGAACACTCCATCTTGCCAGAGCTCCCTCCGCTGTACGGAGTATCAACCGGCGGAAGGCTCTAGAGGGGGAGGGGCAGGACTTCGGACCACAGTAGGCCGGCGGCAAAATAACCGGGTGGGGAGCGCGGACGGAAATTTTGTAAGGAATGTCAAACTGATCCATGATGTGATGACGAAGCTGGAGGATAATCTAGTTGACCGTATCTCGGATCCTGGAGAAAGTAGTTGATCCGGCCAAGTCCGAAAGTAGCCTAGCGCAATATCAATGGCTTGGCATTCTGAGAACCTTCTCTCCCATCACGGGACTTCGTCTTGCCCTGGGCGGTCGCGCTCGCTAAGCGTCCTAATTGGGGTTAGGGCGAGCCGCACCGAACACACCTCGCAAATTGTGGCCTTGTGCGTCGTTCCCGTAACCGATTGAAGCGACGACAACCACGACAACCCGGACGACTTTTTGCGGGTCAATTCTGCCTTCCTTCGACTTCGTTTGCGTTGCCCGCTGTTGCTCAGAGAAACGCCGCCAGAATGCCTTCGGAACACGGTAACAGACGTGAGTCCATCTCTCCGGTTATTGCACATGATGCCGCCACTGGTCGATATGAGGATATGGAGTGGGAAGCGGCAGAGCGCTGTACTGGGGGAGTCATTTTGGAGAGACCGAATGCTAACTTGACCTTTTGCGACAACCAGTCTATGTCAAGTAAGTTGACAACGCCATTACTCCAACCGTCGAAATCGCGCGATAGTCCAGATGTATCAATATGCTCGAAAACATGCCGAAGAACTGAGATACGGGTCGAAGCGCGATGGGATACAGTCAGGGCAGTCGGGTTAATACGAATGCTTTTTTAGGGGTCGCCACCTGAGCTTCCAGCGCTCCAAGCGTGCTGTCAACTGCAACACCAGGTACTACCGACCCGCCCATTGAAATATCGACTTCGGAAAGGAATGGGAATCTGACATGCTGGGAATATAGTCTGATCCAGATCGACGGTGTCAACAACACCGAGGCTGCCAAGTGAGTAGAGGCTGGGATATACTGGGATCATAAAACAGTCAGCTAAGACGGCATTGTACAGCTTCTACCTCGGCAAGAAGGTCGCTTTCGTCTACCGGGCCAAGCGTGAGGTCCGTGGCTCCAACATCCGGGTCATCTGGGGCAAGGTCACCCGCCCTCACGGTACGTCAACGAACCACCAATATCCGCGGAGAAGATGACAGGTCGAGATATGCGCAGTGGGAAAAAAGGAGGGCTGCAAGCGAAACCAGGAACAAGGCACTAACAAGATCTCGATGAACAGGCAACTCCGGTGTCGTCCGCGCTCAGTTCCGCCACAACCTCCCCCCCAAGTCCCTCGGTGCCACCGTCCGTATTATGCTCTACCCCTCCAACATCTAAATGACGCCCTTTTTGATATGATGGTTGGCACTCCGGATCTTATTTCGCGCAGACAGTCGGGCAAGGAGTCGACGGTATGAGCCGATGTTGAGATGGAGTTGGCGGGTTGGTAATGTTCGTGGGAGAGGCAGGGCCGGTTAGCCCTACGAATTAAATTAAAAGAACTTCTTTCTTCTTTTTCCAGCATGGTGATTGTCGGGCCACAGGCATATATAGACGAGGCTCGATCCAGTTTCAGTACTGGGGAGCTCTTGGTATGCCTTGGCCGACAGCAATGGCTTTCCCCACCCCATGTACCTGACGCTCATAAACAACACAATCCATACCATTTCAACACCACGGATTCTGCTTTCAGAATTTTTCGGGTAGTTCCGACCGTATCAGGAGATGTGATATGTCTAGAAAGAGAAACGGCAGTTTATTCGGAGAGTTCTAGCAACTGCGATCTTGGTGCCACAACTTCTATCATCCGACCATTCGTTCCGGATATTGCCATATGCAACTTGGAACAACAGCAGCCTGTGATGACCCAACACCACTGCCGCCCTTCGCCATGTTGTCACATGGATCAACTTTATCGAGCCTGTCCTCCAGTCGCACATACGCTACGCCACAAATCCTGTAGCACCTCTTGCGGTACCAGTGATCCGTGGGAGTATCAGGCCAGACCCCAGACTGCCTTTATCAGTCCCCTCAACTTGCAGACTAGGAACATCCGTGCCTTGATACAGCACTTCCGCGGCCCCTGTCCTTCGTAAGCCTTTATGCTCAGTATTTCCGTGGTCCCGTTAACTCCTTTGATTACAGGGCGTCATTGTTCCATACTCTCGGTTGACTCAAACTGTGGTATCCGCTACCCGTTGCCATAGAGATATCTCCAGCGTTGAACTCCAAATGCCCTCATCTAATGTACCTTACCCTCCATTTTCCTACTACACCACACCACAACCCCTGTAGGCCATATTGTGTTATAAACAATCCGCGAAGGTATATTGACCAACCCTTAAGACTCCCTCCGTAAGACTCCTAGTTCCGCGATCGCGAGCCCGGAGACCTAGCGTACTCGATATCACGTCGCCGCTGTTCTGGGTTTATATACTCTGTTCCCCTATATACTTCACTCTCTATCACCAACATCAGCTCAATGTCTCCCCTCAAATGGGAATAGAACATCCCAGCCCGATGACCTTGTACCTCTCATCCCGACTCTCTACCCTTCATACATCGATCAACTTCCACCCTCCACGCTTGATAAGCTCTGATGAACCGAGTTTTGTATTCCTGAGTGCCTTGATCGGTGAACACAGTATGAACCCAACAAAACAGTACAACCTTCAGGGTGTGATCTTCCCCTTCCAAGGACGGTACCTGTCGATACAGTAAGCAGGGCAGGAAGCCTATGATGGTAGCGAGCAGACGGTGGGCCAAAGGAGGGTTTTGGCATTGCCATTGCGCTTCGGAACAGATGAGCAGAGCTATTACTTTAGGATGTATTTCGCAGACTCTCGCGTAAGAATTAGAGGCTTTCTGTGCGTCTTTTTTCTGATACATCCCTCTTACCACGTTTGTCAACGCGCAAAGGGTTTGGTTTACAAAGATTTATAATTCTCAAGGCCGTGGTGGCGAGGCAAAGTTAGGACGGGGTTGGTGCAAATCTTTTGTGATAGATTCTGTTCAGGATGAATGTACTGCTTTGTGTGGCTCTTGTTGAGAGTATATCATGATCGTTATCGACACGCAGTATGCGTGGGCAAACTGGAGTCTGTGGACGAGTGAAGATCAAATTTGTGTACGAGTACTATACAAGTACACTAGCTGCCAATAAGAAGGGGTATCCTGTGTTGGCGCTGGGTAAGCCATGGTGAAACAGCGATGCCATTCTTATGTGATATGACTGATTGAGTGTAGATCTCTTTCGAGAGGAGTGTCAAAGCTCCAAGATGTCTTGCGTCATGAAGCAAGCTCAGATTGTTATTTCAAAGGGAGGTTTCAATTGGGGTGGTGTCTATCCAAGGAGAAAAGCAGGGTGTGGTTTAGACGGGTTTGATCAATGTACTATTTAACTTTGAATATATATCTTCAATGTCATTGGCGAAATGCATCGCTCTTAGACTTTGCGAGTGTGTTAACCCAGAGCTGCAAGATTACATAGACAATGTCTGATGAGGTTGAAATGAGTGCATCCGCCAAGTAAACAAGGCTGCGAGAATCGTTCTGGAATGGAGCCTCCTTGCAGGGCGGTGATTGGGAAGTCGAGGTGATAAGAAATAAAGTAGGCGCCATCCCCGCCTAGAGTGACCCACTGCAGGAAGAATGATGGGGATCGGCACGATCTCGTCAACCGCGCGGCTTGGGCGAAGTCGGCGCCTCTAATTGCTGCTGATACAATGGCAGTGAAGAAAAAAATGGAACCATTCTGGAAAGATCTATCGCGGTCCAATGTCTTAGCCCTCCTTACCTTGCTTCCACCTCCATGCTACTGTGATGGGTGTCTTTGTCTTTGACTGGAGGTTTGATCGCAGTAACACAAATTGCACAACTATCAGTCGAGCAACATTATTCTTCCTCTTGGGACCAAAAAGAGAAAAATGAGACGCCCACCTCGATAGCAGTCTTCACCTCATCATTTGAAGGGGCTGGGCTCGTGGTGGCGTTGTCTCAGAACGGTAGCAAATATGGCTGGCACACACCAGCTGAGTGGATGAGAAAGGCTGTTGTAGGCGACCTGCAGTCCGACCTGCGACAACCAGCAGCAACTGTTCGAGCCACTCAGATAGCGGTAGGCAGACATATTCCAAGTGTTCATGCCAGGCCAATTGGATGCCGACGTATCACAATGGTGCACGTCCCTCAAATTAGTTCGCAATAGTGGATGGAGAAAGCTTTTCTCATGCTGTCCATGTCCATCCTGCCTCCAAACCGATCTGGATCAAATCATGTTCGTCGTATCGGCACACGGGAAAACGATACTAAGGAGCAAAAAGGATAAGCGTGGCCGGAGTGCCGGCCAAAAATAAACCATGGTCGGGAAATCCCTCCAGAATTGATAAGTGAGAAAGACCGACTGGTTCATGAGGAAACAAACAGGCAGAGTGGCCCGCCCTCAAATTTGAGTCACAATGATGTCGATGGCAGCAGAGGATCTTCAATGCCTACTTCGCACAATCTGACAACTGTATCCGGCATTTGATGATGTGCACCGCACCTCGGTGGCAGGCAGGCAGATAGGCAGGTAGGGGTCGATCAGGCGGCAAGAGCATGTACGATGTTGCAATCCATGACAGCAAAGTTCTGATTTGTGATGATCTGGAACCAGGTTCGTCCCTGGGGAATACGGTAACACATGGTGCCAGTCCCATTCCATGGATTGAAGCCAACGAGAGTCTTCCAGACGGTGGCTGGGTCTTTCTCTCTGCCAAGTGATTGGCGGGGCTGCTGCCCAGGGGAGGGAAAAGCCGCGTAACACTATTCGATTCTTCCTGGTTTGTGAAGATATCGTATTTTCCCAAGGATAAGTTCACTTCCTGAACCCAACTTGGCCCTCGTCTTGTCTTTCCCGGAGGTGAAATTGGCGATGCCGACGATTAAATGGCTCAGGGAATAGGAACAGCAGTCAGTCAGTCAGTTCATTCACTTCAGGCTGCTAAGCAGATAGTCAATGGGAAGAGATTAAGGGAAGCGGCGTGTAGTAGTCGTGATAGTGGTGGACAGAGAGTCGATTGAAGCTTTCTGGGGTAGATCACAGGTTGTGCATTTGACAGCATTATGAAAGGATTATCCCATCTCCAACCCGTCAATCTCACCACCCACCCACAACTACATGAGTATTAATAGAGACAGTCAAACAAGCGTCAACAGAAAGAAGATAGTCCGGTGATCCTCCTCCGTGGTCCCGTCCCAGCTGATAGGCAGAGTTCCAATTGTCCATCCATCGGGTCCAGAAAGTGTTCCCCTCTTAATTGCGTGGCGCCTGTCGTCAACACCACTGGCCAATTCTCAGTCAAATACCCTCAATGGCCCTCCTCTTCTTCACTCGCTGGTCTCTTTGATTTCTTGGGAAACTTCTAGCCCTGGTGAATTTGTCGACCCTCGTTTGATTGCTTCCACTAGACCCTCTCTCCCCTAACCTGCATATAACTCCCTCCATTCTTCACCCACCAGACCTACGACTTTCTTCTCTGCACCGTCGCCAATTTTTCCTACTGTCGATCTCTGTGTGACGACCACACCATCGCTTGATTCTCACTCTGTCACAACCATCACACCATCACTTTGCAGGAGAATTCCATTTCCTGTCTGTGGGGTCCTCGATAGAATTGAACCGAACATACGTACATTCACTGCTAGCCTTAAAAGCGACGATCTCTCCGCCATCTCACTCGCTGACGCTACCAAGACTTGGTCCACATCGCCGTCACTTGGCTCGTTGTTCTTTCATTGTAAGAGACAGTTGACCACCAGCGCGATTCGAGAACACTGTATAGAAGGTCGATTCTCTCCGCAGTCTGCGACGTGATCCATAACGAAAGTGGTCTAAAATACCCCACGTTTCCGTCGCTCGTCTCTCTCGTTGGCTGGACCGAGTCGTGCAGTTCTGAAACCGCGATCGAAAACGTCCGAGAATCAGAGAAATCATTGCCAACGATCATCATCCATTCCTTGGCAGTTCCCACCTGGATCGTGCTTGCGCTCCACAACGGCCGCCATAGCTAAGACAGCGCGCTGCGAAAACCTGCTGCAGTTGTTGGTTATCAGGCGCTAAGCAGGAGTCCCGGGCGATAAATAACCATGGCCACCTCCCAGCCGGTCGCGCCTCCCAGGCATAGTCGGGGTTACAGTTTTAGTGGGAAGTCGAGCAAATCTCAACAGTCGGGCCATTCCAGCAAGAAAATCCAACTCACTGAGTCCGCCGAAGAGAAGCATCGCCGTCATCTACATTCCAAAGCCGATCCGATGGTTGCTATGAGCGAAGCGCAACCTAGTACGTCTCTACCCGGAAATCCCCCCTTATCGAGGTTCCTGGCGACTATCTTTTTCCCTGACAACCTCTCTGTTGTTCTTCCTACCATTTCATCCCAGCCTATTTGCTCCACTTTTTTTTCGCCAGGCCTCTGATATGACTTTGCGCACGCCTCCCCGACTAACCATGCTTCTCAGATACGGTTGCTCTCGAACAATCAACGCTGGGTTCCTTGCGGACCATGCAGCACAAGGACCAGTACGGCAATATCATTAGTACGTTTGTCCACCTTCAATGTCTCGGAAGTGTTCATGCGGGGAAGCTCTTTGACTGACCGTATTCTCCTCGTCTTTCCCAAAATAGCCGATCCCGACCTTTCCAATCCCACGCGCCCGCGATTTGAGCGCCCGCTCGATACTATCCGTTCTTTTGAAGCTGCGATCTATGGAACATACAGCAGTAGACCTGTTTCGTACGCAAGGACAGGTGAGCCTCCCCCCTTACTCCGGCAGGCTGATTCCGGCGTTAAATTAACCATGTCTAGCAGAGGAATCAACACCCGCAACGCCAGAGTACAGCCGACGGGGAAGCTACTATGGAGGTAACTAAACCACGCACTCCCTCACCTACCAGGAGGCATGCATCTCGCATCGCCAACGTGCCGGTGTGTCAATGGAGAAGTTTCACCGTGCTAATTGTGAGGTTCGCTGCAGCACCCAACGGAGGCTATTCCAGCAGATCTCATTACGAACAGAATGGCTACCACAACGGCCGTGGCACCTACTCGCGACCGGACAGCTACGTCGATAATGGCAACGGCCAAGCCGACAACTACTACCCTTACAACCAGGGCGGCGGCAGCGGCCGACCGCGACCCCGCCACCAAGCACGGGTGAACACCGAACAAAGCGGATATTCGCAGCACGCATACCAAAAATCATATGACAACGTGACTGCAGCGTCTGGTTCAGGTTCAGGCAGCAACGGCGAACCCTGGGGCAATTCAACGGACCCAAGTTCTGTGAACAGCTCGATCGATCAGTTCCACCAGCAGCAACAGCAACAACAATACCAGCAGCAGCAGATGGCCGAGAGCTACGGGTTCCAGGGCTTCGGCGCCGGCCCCAATCTTGAAGGGGGTCAGCCTGCGGCCGCCGGAGGACGCATAAACTTCGGCAGCAGTAATCCCTCGACGGTCGATCCCAATGCCGGAGGCCCTGTCGGAGGAGGTCCACCGCCCACGGCCGCGAACAACCGTCGTCACTTGCGCAAAGCGACCAACGATTCCGAGATGAGCAATGATTCGAAGCGAAAGAGCTGGTTCAAACGACGCTTCAGCAAGGACTGATTTCCTGGTTGGACGATCCTGGTGGTCGCGCCTTTTTCCTTCATACACCTGCTTCTTTTCCACCTTACTTGTACTAACCCGGCGTTCATAAGGAGATTCCCCCTACCTACCACCACCACCTTCCTTCTCTTTCTGATCTTCAAGCACAGCACTGGGATTTGCTCGGGATGGGATTGTTGTTTGTTTGATTGTTTCAACTCTCGAGAGGTTGTACTCGATTCTGTTTCCGAGGTCACTCTTGTAATTACTCTTTGCTTTCTCTTTCTCTTTCGCATGAGGTTGATGGGTTGATGAGACCATGATACACGGAATGCCTTGCCCTCCTTTTATGATATTCGATGGAGTTTCTTTCTTTTCTTGTTGAATCGATTCTGATGTTGACCCGATACCAATGGTGAATCTAACCGATCCTTTTTTTATGAATGGAACAAAAGCAAAAGAGTCGAGAATCCGGTTGTGTCTGTGTGGTTTCCATTCTATTCAATCTTTGTCTGTCAATCATTACTTCGAGGATTCTTAATCAATCAACATGCTGATCGGATGGTGTTTTCTCTCCCATCAGAAATAAGCATAAATGTCATTATGGAAACTAACCCCTCCAACCTCCATATATCTCTCAAAACAAACCAGCAAGACCAGGGAATCAACCAAACCAAACAAAAAACCAACAAGCTGAACATCCACCCCCCCTTCCCTTCCCTTGAAGACTTACACCCCCCTACCCTTACACCCTACCCATAACCCCGAAGATAAAGAGAATCACTTCCGCCCCCCAAAAATCTTATACTTCAACTTATCCGCCAACCCCTCATACTGATCATGCCGATGCTGATGCTTCTTCTCCTTCTCCTTGCGATGCTCCTCATCAAGATGCACGTTCCCTTGTCCTCCTCTCTATGTGATCCAAAATCAAGGCATTAGCGTACGATCACAAAACCACAACCATAACCACAACAAACCCCACCCGAGTTTACGACAGGAAGGAAAACATAACCTACCCCAGTATGATAATCGCCATCCATGGACTGCCGAATCGCAACCTCCGGAATCACTTCCGCATCGTGCGGGACCTTCGAGGTTGGGCGCACGTGCGGCGAGCCTATGTTGCCTGCGCCGCCGCGCTGCGTTTGCCCCCCCCCCCGGGGAGGAGATGTTAGTTTTGTTTGGGTTGGGTTGGGTGGGGTTGAAGTATGGTAGGTAGCTTACGCCAGCAGAGTACGCGCCGTCGCCCTGGTCGCCGTAGACGCCTTCACGGACGATCGCGGCGTCGACGTACTCGGTTGAGTCGGCGCCGATGTTGCCTTGGCCTGATATTTTTATGTGGGTTAGTATGGTTGAGGTTTTGGTGTTTTTGCTGGGTGCAATGGTTGTTGGTGTGTATAGTACATACCGCCGCGGCCGTGGGATACGATTGGGTCGTGTTCGCGCATTCTTTGCTGTATCTATCGGTTGTTGTTCGGTGGGTTGTGTGGAATCTGGTGGAGGGGTGGGCGGTTAGTTTTGATGCGATGTGATGCGATGGCGGGATGCCATGCGGAGGGTGCACTTTGTGAGGGGGGGTGGTTTGACGTACATGAGGTAGATTGGGTCAGAGGGTGTCTTCTATCTATCTCTCAAGAGTATGCGACTCTTTGGTGCTTCGATGTACAGGAAGAAGGTGGATGTCAGGTTGGGTAGGGGTGGCGGGATGGTGGTTTGTTTAGCCGTATATATACCTCGTGTCGCATTCGCTAGTACAATCTAGTAGTACCTTGTCGGCCTAAGCCACCGCGCCTTCGGGACTCTCTCCGAGGTCAAAGGATCATGGAAAACTTCATCGCTCTTAGTTACAGTTCCACCGAAAAGGGCTGCAGGGCCAGGAGGCCTTATCTATCGGCTACTTCTGGAGGGGAGTTATCGTATTATTGCAACCCAACCGTGCCCTGGGGAGATGACGTCGCCGTGCTGATAAGATGCTCTCCCGGGTTTGATTGGCCCCATGCGTGACTAAAGCGGGTTTGTCCGCCGATAAGGCCTCAGGCCCAGATTGCAGCCCTGGCTTTTATCACCGGCCTCGGTGTGGCTGGAATGTGGATAATATCATAAATGCATGAAACAAATACATTCGATGTGCTACTAGTACTGAAACCATCCCCTTTTCTTGGACTATAGATGTTGTGTCTCAAGTGTGCGCACGAAAACAAGATGGGACCATTCGACTTACCAAGCACTCCATCTACTTACCCTACTTCTTCTCCGTAGCAGCAGGGCCTCCGCCGGTGGTCGGCAGACCCATGAAGATCTTGAACGAGTCGTAACTGCGATAAGTTAGCTCCTACTCCAAAAGCAATGACAACAGTCGGCAGCCATGAGATAATACATACATCATCCACTGGAGTCCGGTCTGTACGTGATATATTGTCAGTCATTACCTCTAAAAATGGGGGAAGAGGAATTACCAAAGTGCCGATCATGACAATACGGACGGGAAGACCGTTCCAGAGACCGCGGAATCCAATGTCCTTATAGATGCGGCTCATCGCGGCACCGAAGGCTTCGCCAGCCTGACGGTTGGCATTCAGCTTGCTGACCATCACATCGGCTGGGTGCGACACAACAGCGCAAAGGATACCAGCCAGGTAGCCACCAGTGAAAGCCACTGTGGTTTGTGCACCCTTGTTGTAGTCGGACTTCTGACCCGGTAGGTAGTTGTAGATCATCTCGACAATGGTTTCGAAGGACGCAAACTTCATCATCGTATACGGAATCTGACGTCCCCACAGAGGATAAAGACCCTTGTATAGACTGAACAAGTCAGTCGCCATTTCTCGACTGTCTGGCAAATACAGGGGAATAACTCACCCAGCTACACCCTCCTTTGAGACCACATTAGAAATACCGGTGAAGGTCGACCGGATGTCCGGTGGAATGGTCGTCTGCATTCGCACTTTGACAGCTTCGAAAGGACAGAGGGCTACGTCAGCGATAAGCTCGGCGGACGCACTGGCGGCCAGGTACAAGGAGGTCTTCCATCGAGTTGCGTTCTCCACGCCCACAAGGTCACTGTAGAACTTCTTGAAGTACTCATAGCCGCCGTATTTGAATGCACCTTGGGCCTTTCGACAGGTCAGTAGAAAAGGGGTACTCAGTGAGTTCCCAGGCTTACGCTGTATCCAAAGAAAGTTGGGCCCCAACCGGTGAATACTCCTCGCAATCCTTCAGCACCACGGATCGTGCGGAATGCCTCGAGATTGCTCTTGTACAGCAGAGGATCGACCTGACGGCGACACTTGATCAAGTCCAAAGGAGTCACAGCGGTATGGGTAAGACCCTATGCACCGGGGCTATTAGTATGTAGAGAGTTGAACGCCGCGTCAACATAATTCCTCCATAAGAAATGCTACTCACACAGGCAAGCATTCCACCGACAGTGCAAGCCGCATAGTACTTGGGAGTCCATGGCTCGATTTTGCCTGCCTTGGCCTGGGCCTTTTGACTGGCAACGTCGAACTCTCGGGACGCCTCTTTGGCAAGCGTATCTGCCTTCTTCTTGGTATCCTCAATCACACTCCAGGCTGGAAATGGCTCCCGTTTCTGCATTTCCGGTGCTGCCGATCGCTGAGGGGGTGAACCTGCTTGTCCCAGTGGATGCTGGGAGGAGAAAGCTTGTGCGACCACGCTGTCGGTTGGAAACATGATGGCTAGATCGATTCGTCGCGCTGGGAAGCACGTCAGGATATTTCACAAAGGAATAGCGATGGAAGTCATCACAATGCTGCGCTGACAGCTCCTTATCTATACCCACAATCGGTCCCCACCTCTCTCCCTGACGGAGCTAGAGCGGAGTTGAGGTAAAATCCGGAGGACTGAACGACAATACTCCTGTGACCGCTTTACTTCGAGTCACGAGGCACAATAAGAACTGAAAACAGGAAGGCTAGACCACGGCAAGAGTGGAGCTTCTAGTGATGTCTTCGGAATGGGTGCGAGAACTAGGGAAAGGGAAGTGATCCATATATGGGCGGTTCTGTCGGCTCATGACGTCGCACGGGAGCCAGACGGAAGCTAACCCGTTTTCGGTCCTCCCACCAACTGGCAGGCCCGCTTCGGCGATCAATCAATTTTGGTCCGATCACGACCTGACAGTGACCGAGTGGATGCTTGCTTGACTCACGCAATATCAACCTCACTCGTTTCAGAGCCGTGTCGAAACCCGGAACATTGACTTCGCTCCCCGACATCAATTGCCGATTCGAGAATTCCACTTCCTGACACTCGAAACGTTACCTCCCCCCAGACCTCCCGTACCCCTCACCATCATCATCATGGCCTCTTACTTGAGCGCAAGTGAGGCATTCGCCCAAGAGAAGCTCGCCCAGGACGCACAGCAGCCGATCTCGCAGTCTACCTGGGCGGACAAATATCGCGGTGTCAGTACGGACGGATCCCAGGACTCGAGAACACCCAAGATTAACTGACCGCGAATGCAGGCCACCGTTGAGGACCTCGACCCTCCCCCCGCCCTGTCTGTCTCCCCCGATGACCCAATCTCCGCTGCTCTGCTCGCTGCGTATGAGCGCGACTACACACACCTGACTGTCACCTCTTCGACGAAACGCTCGCTTCTCGGATACCTTAGCATCCCCCGCCTTAAGGAGTTGTTGAAGGAGGGCGCCGTGAAGGAAACCGACTCAGTGTCCGCTGCCATGCAGCGGTTCAACCGCAAGCGAGGCACATATCAAGTGATCACGATGGAGACTCCGTTGGAGGAGCTGGAGCAGTTCTTCGAGAGCGACACCGATGCCAGTGGAGCGACGCGGGCCAAGCAGAGCTTCGCCGTCGTCACGGATGCGTCGCGCAAGTTCGTGCTCGGCGTTGCAACCAAGGCCGACCTGGAGGAATTTGTCAAGAGACGGCCGAACTGATTCAGACACCCTTTTCTTTAATCTGGCCCATTTGTATGATTCCCTGGGCGGTCTTCACTAAAACTTAGCAAATGCATCTCCGGGGTGCACTTTCCTTATACCCCGATTCAAGAAACCCTTTTCGCTTGGACCTCCTGTGCTCTTGACAGGCTTCTCGGTGTCATCCCCGGCCTGTCAGCGTAGCAGCTTTTGGCGCTTGTGCTTGTTGTGATTTGACTAACAGTCTACGCATGCACATAGGCACCAATCACCGGCCACACACTAGGACAGACATATCATTTTCCTAGAGCGATCCCCAATAGATACATAGTTACATAGCATGCACGCAGCTGTCCTTGAACGCCATAGATCAAACACCTGGTATTGAATGATAGCGGAATAAACAGACCAACCTATACTCGAAAGCACCCACTACTGCGCTTTCTTCTCCTTCTGCTTGGCGTCGGCCTCTCTCTCCGCCTGGTCGTCTTTCCAAGCGACATAGACGTAGGCGAAGAGGACGATGTTGGCCATGATAGCCGCAACAATGCCGCCAACCGTTGCACTTCCTGAGTAGAATAGTTAACAAGGGCGTTAATCCTGAGCTGGAAGATAGGCTCGAAGAACACGTACCTCCGACGAAGTCAACTGTGACAAAGTAAATACCAATAGGCGCAACCACCATGGCGGCGGAGAAGCCCAGCAGTTTCATGATAACATTCCTGTGTTAGTGTTAGTGACAACTCAGATCCACACCCTCTCTAAGAAGCAACACCAGCTCTTGTATTTTCTGAGCTGCTAGGCTTCCGGAGCTGTTTTCAATAACCCCCGGTATATGGTGTTTGTAGCCATCACCGGATAGCGGCTATGTGGCGTAGTGGTTCTCCTCCTCGGGACGAATCGAATGCACTTACGTGGGAACTGCAGGGGTCACATCTGAGTCAGAGGACTTTTCGGGTTTCGACGGTGCAACGCCATCTTTGGCGGACGATCTGTCGACGGTGCGACGGGCGGACATTGTGATTGAAGTAGTTGAGGGAGGTTGATGGGATTGGTGGTGTGTTACTGGTTGCGGGCCAACAGGTCAAGGAAGGTCTGAACGGCGGTGAATAGATCACTCAGGAGTCGATATCAGGACAGAGCGCGCTTATCTCTGGATGAATCTGGTCTTCTTGGATTTTTAATTCTTTCATCAACCACCACTTTTCTTGTTTTGGAGGAGAGGAAGGAACAATAAGAAAACACGCTGCGCAACACTGATTGATATTGCGGATGAACTCATCCCGGAGTCCAGTAGATCTCGGCTGCTGATTGGTTCCCGGCCAGCGAGATCTCCAAGAACACCCTGTGAGAGGAGAACAGCAGTTGAATCAAGACAATCCAAGAAACACGAGAAAGAACAAGTCTTGGTGTTGTTGAAACAGAGGTTTTCACAGTGTTCAACCCATTTGCGACTCCTGCGACGACTGACTGCCTTTCCTGGGCTTAATTGAAGCGCCAGTTCACGTGACCGATCGCGTCTGGGCGCGCGTTTTGCGGAGAAAATCCCAGAGGAAAGTTGGAGAGGCAAGCAAATCAATCCGTTTGTTCGGCCCTGATAATCTTCCCTTTCACTCATTCCTCCTCCTTCTTCCTTCCCCTGGCACATGACGACATTTTCTACCTTCTCTCTTATAGTCTCAACCCTTTCGCTTGGGAGTCATCCTAAACCATGGAGGACTCAGTGCCTGATACCCCCGTGAACGACAGAAAAGTCGTTCACAGTACCCCGACAAAAGACGATATCGACTATGAGACCGTCGCCACCGTTCCTGTTACCCATCACCAACCGGTGGCAACCCAATCGTTAACCCCTGCCTCTCAGCGCTTCACTCAGCCGACCCAGCTAGTTGACAATCCTTATACTACTGCGAAGAACAACTCCATTGTACAAGTAGCCGCCTCGTCCCCGCTAGGTCCTGCCTCGTCCCCGTCCCGCCCGACCCCGAACGCAGGCCGTATCGCCAACCTCATGGCCCCCAGCGGCACCATGTTCCGACCCCCGGCCGTCGCAGGCCCGGCCAAGCGCGCGCCGGTGATCGATCTAGATGATGATGGACCCACGTATCGAGGCGGGTCCTCCGATGACGATGTCCAGATCATCCAGAATCCCGACATTAAACCAGCCATGTTCACCAAATCCTCGCGGAGTCCTGACAAGGTCGCCGAGTCGCCCATTGACCGCTTCAAGGAGATCACCACCGGCGCCATCTACAACCCTGCGAAACGCCCTGCCGCGCAGATGGAATCGACCCCGCGAGGCACGGCCGTCAAGAAAGTCCGGCAGGAAGGCCCTTCGCGCGCCCAGCCTGTCGACGGGGGGTACTCGCTTGATAGTATTGAAGACCACAATGTCAGAGTCAAGGTGCAACGGATGCTCAAGGTGATGCCGCAGAAGTCCGTGTCGTCCTGCGTGCAGGCGCTCGTGAAGAAGCGCGGTGTCTACGAGGATGCTCTGGATTACCTGGCTAGTGCGGAGGGAAAGGACGTGTCGTCGGAGGATGAATTGAGCATGTCCCATCAATCGAATGCAGCCCCAGCGAAACAGCAGATCAAGGCGCGAGGCACGATCCAGGACAAGTGGTCCGCTGCGAATCTGCAAAGAACTCTTGCAGCTCAAAAGGCGTCGCAGCAGCCGGAAGAGGATGAGGCGAAACCGCGCAGGCGTTTAATGAGAGGGCCCAAGACCCGGGTTTCCTCTCCGAGCCCAGTGCGTTCCGAATCTCGTCCGCAGCCTCGCCCTGAACCAGTCACGGAAACACCACCCAAAAAACCCGGGCGCTTGGTGCAGGGCCGAAGGCCGGATACTCCTCAGCGCTCAGAGTCCCCGGAGGCTCTCATCATCGACGATGACTCCGACTCTGATGTCGAAGAAACGGCAGGCGATGTGCAATTCGATCTCAAGTTACTGAAATTCTTTAACACATGCAGCGTCTTGGATCTGGCAGATATCGCTGCCATTACAGAAGATGTGGCACAGCATGTAATCTCGTGCAGACCGTTCAGATCCTTGGACGAGGTCCGTGCCGTCCCTGCGCCGGTGAAAGAAGAGGCGAAACCTAAAGGGGCTCGTGGCCGCAAAACACCCAAACCGATCGGCGACAAGATCGTGGATAAGTGTATCGATATGTGGGTGGGTTATGATGCCGTCGATTCTTTGGTCGCGCGTTGCGAAGCGTTAGGGAAGCCGATCGCAACTGAAATGAAGAAATGGGGGGTGGACATCTTTGGGAAGAAGGATGGGGAATTGGAGCTGGTATCCATCGAACCCAGAGATTCTCAGTCGCATGACTCCGGCATTGGAACCCCGGCGAGCCAGCGTTCTGATGAAGACAGCGATGGCCCGGCGTCTGGCGGTGTTGCCCTCACACGCAAAGGGCGATTTATTTCTCAACCTGGAATCATGCGAGATGACCTGAAGATGAAGAACTATCAAGTTGTGGGCATCAACTGGCTGGCACTACTATTTGAACACGAACTGAGTTGTATCTTGGCTGATGACATGGGTCTGGGCAAGACTTGTCAAGTCATTGCTTTTTTGGCACATCTTTTCGAAAAGGGATTCAAGGGGCCACACCTCATCGTAGTACCTGCGTCTACGATTGAGAATTGGCTACGGGAGTTCCAGAAATTCTGTCCTACCCTCTCCGTCATGCCTTATTATGCCGGTCAAGCTGAGCGCGCGGAGATTCGGGAGACAATTGAGGATAACAGAGACAGCATCAATGTTGTCATCACCACTTATACCATCGCTAAGGGCAAGGTCGACGCACACTTCCTCCGCAATATGGACTTCTGCGTTTGTGTTTACGACGAGGGACATATGCTGAAGAGCAGCACCTCGGTCCTCTACGAGAAGTTGATTCGCATTCCTGCTCGTTTCAGACTTCTATTGACGGGTACACCCTTGCAAAACAACCTCCAAGAATTGGCTTCCTTGCTAGGCTTTATTCTTCCTAAAGTCTTCAAGGAGCGCAAGGACGAGCTCCATCACATCTTCGCCAACAAGGCCAAAACCGTCGACGAGTCTCACTCCGCGTTGCTCTCTGCTCAGCGTATCGAGCGCGCCAAATCGATGCTCAAGCCCTTTGTGCTGCGGCGCAAGAAGCACCAGGTCATTGATCTACCCGCGAAGATCTCCCACGTCGAGTACTGCGAGCTCAACGACGCTCAACGCAAAATCTACGAGCATGAGCAGGAGGAGGTCCGAAAGCTGCTGGCCGATCGCGCTGCGGGCAAGAAGACCGGCAACAAATCCGCCAACATTCTCATGAAACTCCGACAAGCAGCCATCCACCCATTGCTGTACAGACGCCACTACACCGATTCCATTCTCAGCCGTATGGCCAAGGCCTGCCTGAAAGAAGAACAATTTTCCCAGTCCAACCCGGACATCATCTTCGAGGAACTTCAGCCGTACAACGATTACGAATGCCACTCGATGTGCGTCAAATACCCAGCGCTCAGCCGCTTCGCCCTCAAGAACAACGAGTGGATGGACTCGGGCAAGGTGGCGAAACTGTGCGAGCTGCTCCAGCGCTTCCAGGAGAAGGGCGACCGGACGCTCGTCTTCTCACAGTTCACCATGGTGATGGACATCCTTGAGAACGTGCTGGAGCACGAGCACCTCGGCTTCGTGCGCCTGGACGGCCGCACCAACGTCGAGGACCGGCAGTCGATCCTAGACGCATTCCACGAGCGCACCGACATCCCCGTCTTCCTGCTCTCGACCAAGGCCGGCGGTGCGGGCATCAACCTGGCGTGCGCCAACAAGGTCATCATCTTCGACTCCAGCTTCAACCCGCAGGAGGACGTGCAGGCCGAGAACCGCGCCCACCGCGTCGGCCAGACCCGCGAGGTCGAGGTCATCCGCCTCGTGACCAAGGATACCATCGAGGAGCAGATCTACGCACTCGGTCAGACCAAGCTGGCGCTCGACCAGGCCGTGGCGGGCGAGGATGCCGCCGACTCAAAGAAAGCGGAGGATGCAGGCATGAAGGCGGTCGAGAATATGGTTCTTGCAGATATGGAGCAGAAGTCATGATTTTTATTTCTTTCCTTTTTGCATTTTGCATTTCCCCCATCCTGATGATCTCTTCGTGGTTGTATCTTTTCTGTGTCTATGTTGTTTTGTGTGATACGGGAATTCTTGGGACGGAGTGGTATGCCTTTGTCTTCTCTTTTTGTTTACGTCTTTAGAAAAGAACACCCGTTTATCTTACACGACAAGATCAAGAATTTTTAGTCACTTTTATTCTTCTAATCAGCGAGCTTTTCACCTTTTGTCGCTTTACAATGTCGATTCACCCTTCTACACATACACATGTCATGTGCATTTTCTGTCGGCTTGGATGAGGATGGGGTGATCAAGGGATTGGACGGACGGTACTTCATCATCATCATCGGTGGCGCATTTACACGGTTTCTTTTTTTACTGGTGTTGTTGATTTGACTGCACCGCTCTACCAGAGTCGACCCTTCGCATCCCTTTCTCCCCTTCGTTCAGGTTCTCGACTTCACCACGGTTGGCTACATACGATAAGCCTCACTTCCGAGGTTACACATGTTACTTAGATAAGAAGCAGGAGATGGGGGGACGGGGTAGTTAGATATAGAGTGGAGTTGGTGGTTGTGATGGCGGTGGGGGTACTAGTGGGGATATGCATGTAATGATCAAATACTAGCTTGTTGGTTCTATTGAAGTCTCAGGATTTATTCAGGTCAATTATGAACGGTGAGATTTGTCGTTGTGCCATTCCATCTTACTGGTCTCATCGAGTTGTCATTAGTGATGCCGAGGCTATGGTTGGTTTGGGCTAAATAAGGATATAATAAGTAACTAGTATGGTTTCCAGTTATTGTTGCCGACCGATTCGAGTTTTCTACTGATCTCTTACTCGTCTACAGAGAAGAGGAGTTAAGCTCAACTGGCTTGTGCTCTCTCTTAAGCCTAAGGTAAAAGGAAAGGTGTTGTATGATGGATGCATTTTCTGATTAGAGAATATGAAGTGGGAATCTATGATATAAACCAAGGAGGAGGAGCAACACCGGTAATGCACGCGTGAAACGAAAATGTAAGAGGAATTAAGAAAAGAGAAGAGAAGGAAAGTGGCGTGATCGCATAAGCAGATGATAGACACAAGCCTCATTAACCTATGGGGATTTTCCATGCTCACAGATTACCTAGCGCCGAGAAGTTTGACACAGCCTCTCAATAGGACATTAAATAGAGTTGCGGCTGTGGTTCGATCCGTCTGGATGTTTGAACTAGCCTTTGGCTGGCCTCATTTGTATGGAAACTGCTACAAGTCTTTTTTCTGCGTCCACTTGAGTGGGGTTTATGCTGCAAGTTCCTGTTTAGGCGCAGTAGCACCGACGGCTTCAGCAGCAACAACCGGGTCAAGCTCAACCTTGTTGTTAGTTGTCGCAGACTTCGTGGGGGGCGGAATGGAGTTCGTGCGAATTGGACCGCCAGCTCCAGTGAGGACAGGAGAAGTAGGTTTCGAGCGCGAGGCCCCGCCCGCCGCGCGCGCGGATTCGTTCTTCTCAAGAGCATGCTGCACGGCCTTGCTGACTGCGTCGTCTTGGGCTTCAGACTTCGTCGTCGTAGACTTCGACGACAGGTCCAGGATCTCATCGAGACGGGTTGCGGCGGGGATCAAGTCCTCGAAGCCCAGGGCATGGCAGGTATCGACGTAGGTGCGGGCGGTTTTAGAGCGGTGTGCCTCGGGAGACTTGCCCGGCACAAAGATGTTCAGCAGATACTTGGTGTTGCCGAAACGGTTCTCGCTCTCGAGACAGAACTTCATGTAGTCGTGCACCATCTCCTTCCAGGGCAGGAGGCCGCCCTCGGCCGCCGTGCGGAACGCGGACATGTTCGACTCGGCTGCGGTGGCGATCATCGCGCCGTCGACGCCGTATTCCTGCATCAGGGCCAGACCGTCGTCCTTGTTCATGACGTCGCCGTTCACGACGCACGCCACGCCCGCTTCGTGGCAGATGTCCCGGATCATGCGCAGCTGATCGCGGATGGCGCGCTCGCGCGGCCGCATGGGAGGCGTACGGCAGTGAACGGTCAAGCCCGTGATGCCGGTTTTGACGAGTCGCGAGACCAGCGCCCGGGTCGGCTCAGGGTCTTCTCTATCCAGCAGCCGGATCTTGACCGAAATGCCGATCTGGTACGGCGTGCCGACCTCGCGCACCAGCGCTTCGAGGATCGAGACGAGCTTATCCGGGGTTCGGAGGAGCGCCGCACCCATTCCACCACTTGTGCTGAAGGGCTTCGGGCACCCCGAGTTCACGTCAATGCCGGCAACATCAGGGGCGACGAGCTTGGCGGCTGCGACGGCAATTTCGGGGTTCGCGGTGCCGATCTGGAAGATAAGTTTACCCTTCTCGCGAACGGGGTCGAGACGGTAGATGACGTTTTCCTGAGTGGCCTTGTCAGGGCGGCCGCCGTTGGAGGGGGTGCGGGTAAATTCGACGGTGCCGTTGCGGGGGTTCACGCGGCGGTTGGCGCCTGCCAGAGCGCGGTCGATGGTCTCCGGACCCCAAACGAGGTCGGCGCCATACTTAAGGGCTAGAAGTCGGCAAGGAAGCTCACCGGAGCGCACCATCGGGGCCAGGACGACTTTGCCGCGGTAGTCGACCCCGTTGGCGGGGATGGGGACACGAGGAGGCGTAGTCATTGCGAAACGGACGGATCGTAGAAGCTTTAGCATAGCATTTCTTGCATGAAAGGTGCAGGAATGATATATGAGAGACCGAGACGGTATAGACAGGGGTGATTTGGGCCCGCGAGAAAGACAAAAGATTGTGGTTTGCCCAGAAAGTGAAGTTTATCGATTGTCTAGATCGCGATGGAGGCGGAGAACGAAAAAGTGCCAGATCACGTGGCGATACCCGATAAGGTTTTCTGGCCCTGCTGAGTCATTCGGCGTAGAACTACAACCGGACAATCCATTACTCCGACCCGGTGCCTGCCAAGAACTGCTTGCTGACTTCGCAGAGGAAGAAGATTGATGGGGCAATGGCGCACATGTTGATGCTGAACTCCTACTGGAAGGGTGTACTAATGATCTAGATGAGTTTGAGTGAGTCAATTGACACAGACTCGAGGATGTCGATCGGGTGAGAACAGGGAGGGGAGTAACCAAAGGACAATGGGATTGAAATGTAGGACAATCCACTTGAGAAGTGGAACGGTACTGGTGGAGTGGGTGCAAATCAAGGCCTCACCGACGAGAGGAACAAGAGGGAGAAATGGTGTCATCTGCAGAGTGTTTGCCACTAAGCCTAAAATAATTCCATATACTCTATGTCCACAGTCATGTGCCACGAGAAATAACCTCAGATGCAGGGTGGTCAGATAGAGTAGAGTTGGTTGGAGACGAGTGCAGGTGCATAGCATAGTTGACTTGGTGACAGACAGCCAGCAGCTGCCGAGATGGAAGGAGGAAATTGTCCGAGGCTGTTTTGGTTGGCGTCTTTTTTCTTCTTTGCTTCCCGTCCGATTTTCTTTCCCGATCCCTTCATCCTCTAACTTAATTATAACAATTGACTTCCCCTGAATAAATCACTGTATACCCCGCGGACCAACCCGATCAATTTCAAAGACTATCCCTATCGCTCTCTCTTCACCTCAGGACTCAATTGAGAGCTCGTATTTCAATGTTCCCGGGGGTTAGTTGTGGCTCCGTGTCAGCAGCACTCCGGTTGTCCACCAACGCCTGGAGGAATCCGATAGTCGCCCGCCGCAGTGTGTCTTGCTGTTCGTCCGTTTGTCGCACATCCGCAACACTGGCTCCCCCCACCAAACAAGCCCCCTCCCCCCCTCTCCCTCCCGCCGCCGCCTCCTCCTCTTCCTCCTCCTCCTCTTCTCCTTCTCTCTCTTCCCCTCTTCGTCCTTCCTCTTCTTCTTCTTCGGTTGTGTCCGCTTCAAATCGTACTGCTCTTTTAGCTAGACACTTTTCTTCTGTGTCCGCTACCACATCACAACCCTCCACCATGTCTTACACCGTTCGCAAGATTGGCCAGGCCAACACCCTGGAGCACCGTGTCTTCATCGAGAAGGATGGCAAGCCCGTCTCTCCCTTCCACGATATCCCCCTCTATGCCGATGAGGCCAACAACATCTTCAACATGGTTGTTGAGATCCCCCGCTGGACCAACGCCAAGCAGGAGGTACCCAGGCCCAAGCCCCCCCGCCGCACCCATCGTCGTCGACCTTGTCAACTGACCTCCTGTTTGCCCATCAGATCTCCAAGGAGGAGTTCCTCAACCCCATCAAGCAGGATGTGAAGAAGGGCAAGCTCCGCTACGTCCGCAACTGCTTCCCCCACAAGGGTTATCTCTGGAACTACGGTGCCTTCCCCCAGGTATGTTTTTGTTGTTGCCCCTCATTGGACCGCCATCATCTCACACTTGTGTAGACCTGGGAAGACCCCAACAACGTCCACCCCGAAACCAAGGCCAAGGGTGACAACGACCCGCTCGATGTTTGCGAGATCGGTGAGCTTGTCGGCTACCCCGGTCAGGTCAAGCAGGTCAAGGTCCTTGGTGTTATGGCTCTGCTCGACGAGGAGGAGACCGACTGGAAGGTCATTGTCATCGACATCAACGACCCCCTCGCTCCTAAGCTGAACGACGTTGAGGACGTTGAGCGTCACCTCCCTGGTCTTCTCCGCGCCACCAACGAGTGGTTCCGTATCTACAAGATCCCCGACGGAAAGCCCGAGAACCAGTTCGCTTTCTCCGGCGAGTGCAAGAACCAGAAGTACGCTCTCGAGGTCATCCGCGAGTGCCGTGATGCTTGGGAGAAGCTGATCTCCGGCCAGGCCCCCAAGGGCGACGTCAGCATGTACGTTTTCTCTTTTCTGTTGCGCAAATGGGCGATGACTGACCCACTTCTAGTGCCACCAGCGTCTACGAGGGTGTTGAGCGTGCCGACTCCGCCAAGCTTGCTGCCATCCCCAAGGGCGAGAACCTTCCCCCTGCTCCTATTGACGGCAGCGTTGACAAGTGGTTCTTCATCTCCGGTGCTGCTGTTTAAATATGTACAAATCTTAAAATCCAAAGTTATTCCCACACCCGCGGGTGATTCATATAATTCATATTTCCTGATTCAATATAAATGCTTTATCGTAACAACAACCGATCCACAAGTGAGTTCGCGAGATAATGGTAATGAGTCAAGGAAAAGAAAAAGTTAAAGTCAATAGCTGGTATATACACATGCCCATGAACAACATGATAGATAATACAGGTAGGTAGTCAAACGAGTCGAGAGACATCCACTCCACCACCGACAACATTGAGCATCCTGAGCCCCTCCCCCAAATTCAAGATCCCCAAGGTGCTCAAGAAGCAGCACAACAGAACCCAATGTCGCCCATAGCCTCAAAACCCCATCCCTTCTGGCGCAACAACAACCCAAAAACCACATTCACACCTTCGAAACTTCCTCCTGGATAACACCCATCCTCTTCCCCATCCAAAAAACACCTCCATGCAAGACGAAAGATCTTAACCCTTCAACGACTCCTCCCGCTCAATCACGCGCCCTAAACGGGCAATCTCCTCAATAACATCCCCGATCTTCATCTGCCGCTCGCCGACGGCAATGCTAATCTCCTTGCCGTTCTTGAAGCCCACCGTCAACTCGGCCGGCTGCGTCGAGTGTCGCGGCAGCTGCGTGACCTTGATGTCGATGTGCGTGGGGCTCGACGCCGGGACCGTCGACGGGTTGCGCAGGAGCGACAGCAGCACGCGGCACGGCCGGGCGCTGCGGGCCCAGGGGTTGAAGGTTGTGCGGAAGGACGAGATCGTGGCGAGAGGGATGGTCATTTTGGTTGTTTTGCTTTGTTTTTCTTCTGGTGCTGTCTGTTGGTTTGTCGGGTTAGGATGGGATGGGATTATTTTTGCGGAGTTGGGGACTTACTTCGTTTCCTTTCTTGTATGGGGTTTGATGGGTTAAGATTTATTGAACAGATAGGTATCGCGCGCGATGTTGGGTATGTAGTCAATTGGGTTTGCGCATGTGCTGGCGCTTTTTGCTGGACGGTCTAAAGGTAGATATCTATTGGCCTCGATGGCCCGGTTGGATTGATCTGCCGGAGAGGAGAGAGTGATTGTGTGTGTTTGTCTTAAATGCAAACTCTCTTTTGGCTTTTCTTTGATTTGAGCGCGGGCTTGTGAATGCCTTAGGCATTAATGATTTGCGGGATAGGCTACGGGAAGCCGATGACGCTGGTAAGAACGGACACATTGACCATTTAGCCCCCTCTTTACGGGTTCTGCTTGATTCCTCTCTGCATACATAATATTCTATTTATTTTGGACGTGGGCCACTCGAGCTGGGCTCGTATGCGCTTTTGAAGAACCTTCCCCTACAATACAATCCATACAATGTCCTCGTTGACGGAACTCCAGTCCCGCCTGAAGGAGCTCTCCACCGCTCTAGCTGATATCCATCCGCTGGTAGCTCGCTTGCGGAACTTTACGACCGCTATTGGACAGGGCGATGAGGCGCGCTTGGAGCTTGGGACCGAGATTCACACCCTCCTGAAGGGGGCAGAAGACCAGTTGGAACTGCTGCGCGTGGAGGTCGAGGGTCTCGAGGCTGGGTCCGAGAGCAGACGCAAAGCGTTGGACAATGAGAAGGAATCCGAGAGGGAACGTGTTGTCGCGCTGGCGGGGAGGTTGACGGAGGAGCTGAAACGGTATGCTGTGTCCTGCCCTACCTACCTTATTGACGAGAGTGACCGGGGCCAAGGTGTCTTGCTATGGTGCTGACAAGGAAGCAGAACGAGAAGGGACTTCCGCAACGCACAGCTACAAGCTAAACGCAACGCCGAGATCGCTCGCCGGAAAGAACGGGAGTTGTTGTTCTCGCGATCTCAGAGTGCCGACCGGAAGAAACAGGCCACCGAGAAGCTGACGCAGAATGAGGTCGTCAAGAACGCTTCGAATGATGTTACCGCGGCCCTGCGGCGCACGCATCAGTTGATGCAGGCTGAGTTGTCGCGAAGTCAGTTCGCGCAGGAGACATTAGGTTAGTTGGTGTTGTTGCTGCGAAAGAATGGGCAGGGGGCCTTTCTTGGCTAATCTCTTGTGATATAGAGCAATCTACCGCTGCCCTCTCGTCGCTATCGGAATCCTATACGGACCTGGACTCTCTCCTCTCTTCGTCGCGGAATCTCGTCGGCTCGCTACTTCGCTCGCAGAAGTCGGACACATGGTATCTGGAGACCGCATTCTATATTCTTCTGGGGACAATCACTTGGCTTATCTTTCGGCGCATACTCTACGGCCCTCTGTGGTGGCTAGTGTGGCTGCCGGTGCGGCTACTGGCAAGATTTACCTTTGCTATTCTGAGTGTCGTCGGCATCACCAGCACAGCAGTTCAGGCCTCTGACACTGCTACTGCCCCTGCACAGTTCATGCATGAGACTCCGGCCGTTGTTCAAAAAGCGGAGCCCACCATCCAGAGCGCGGAGCAAGAGGCAGTATGGGATCAGGTTCCTGTCACAGACGAGACGGAAGAGGATCGCCTGATTGACCAGATCGGTGAATTGGTAGAGGAGATTGAAAAGCAGGAGGAGACGAATATTGACGACATCTCTGAGGAGGAAAGACAGAGGCAAGCGGAGCTGCCAAGGAATCCTAAGAAGAGGATGTTCGAAGCTACCGATGTTCCCCACCAGAGGGATGAACTATAGAAGTCTATCCATAGCGAACCTAATGTTTGATGATGAATTTATACAGTAATGTAGAACCCCCGGCAAGCCTTCGACAGCACATATAGATCCTAAAGGAGGCCGTCAGCATCTGCATTGATTTTGTAGCGTTACTAGTAGTAATCCTGAGGGAATTTCCCCGCTTCAAGCTGTCAGATGAACTGACCGCCTTGGCATGATCTCATGTCCACTTTGGCACATTATTCATCTGTCCTCCGCACCACCCCAGTTTCTCTGTCAGATCCCAAGGTCCTCCAAGATGGCTTCCAAGCTCGCTCAGAACCTGAAACAGCCGGCTCTGGACTTTTTGTCCTTTGTCAATGCCTCCCCTACTCGTAAGCTTTGCCTATCGTATTGCCTTATCGGCGCCTGGTGGAGAGGCTATCCTAACCACAATCACTACATATAGCCTTCCATGCAGTCCAATCTGCAAAGGATCTTTTGGCCAAGGCTGGTTTCCAAGAGATCAAGGTGAGTCCTCAGCTATATTAAGGCTTGACTTGACAATGACAGCTAATTCCCGCCGCAGGAGAAGGATTCCTGGGCGTCCACCTGCCGTCCTGGAGGAAAATACTATGTGACTCGCAACCAATCTACCATTGTAGCTTTCGCTATTGGTAAGAAATGGCAGGTATGCGCTTGTTGAAAACTTGCTCCAGCTGCAAGAGAGAACTCACTTCGAATAGCCCGGTAACCCCATTTCCATGATCGGTGCCCACACCGATTCCCCCGTGCTGAGGATCAAGCCTGTCAGCAACAAGCGTGGGGAGGGCTATGTCCAAGTGGGTGTCGAGACCTACGGAGGAGGCATTTGGCACACATGTGCGTCTGCCCATGTTTTTGTTATGAACCCTGCGCTAACTGCTAAAAGGGTTTGACCGCGACCTGGGAGTTGCGGGTCGGGCCATGGTTCGCAACGGCGATGGCTCTATTGTGCAGAAGCTCATCAACATTGACCGGCCTAGTATGAACTGTCTCTGAGAATTTGAGGTTTGGAGCTAACGAGCTACTAGTTCTGCGTATTCCCACCCTGGCTATTCATCTCGACCGCCAGGAAAACTTCTCCTTCAACAAGGAGACTCAGCTCTTCCCCATTGCCGGTCTCGTGGCCGCCGAGCTTAATCGCACCGGTGCCAGCGAGACTAGCAAGCCCGAAACCACTGAGGAGGAAAGCGGAGAGTTCTCCCCTCTGAAGGCGATCACCGAGCGCCACCACCCCTACCTGGTCGAGCTCATCGCCGCCGAAGCCGGTGCTAAGCCCGCTGACATTCTCGATTTCGAGATGATCCTGTTCGATACGCAAAAGTCCAACTTGGGCGGTTTGTTGGAAGAGTTTATCTTCTCTCCTCGTTTGGACAACCTGAACAGCTCCTTCTGTGCTACCGTCGGTCTGATCGACTCCGTTGCCGATGCTTCGGCCTTGGACAACGAATCGTCCATCCGTCTCATTGCTCTGTTCGACCACGAAGAGATTGGCAGCCGGACCGCTCAGGGTGCCGACTCCAACATGCTTCCTGCCGTGATTCGCCGTCTGTCCGTGCTGCCGTCCGCGGCCGGCGGTGATGCCGACATTTCCACTGCCTATGAACAGACCCTATCCACCTCGTTCCTTCTGTCCGCTGACATGGCCCACGGTGTTCACCCGAACTACTCCCCCAAGTACGAGAACGACCACCGACCGCAGATCAACAAGGGACCTGTGATCAAGATCAACGCCAATGCGCGCTACGCGACCAACTCTCCTGGAATTGTTCTGCTGCAGGAAGTCGCTCGTAAGGCCGCCGATGATGGAGGCGAGGGTGTGCCCCTGCAGCTGTTCGTTGTTCGTAACGACTCCAGCTGTGGAAGCACCATCGGTCCCATGATGTCGGCCAAGCTGGGAGCTCGCACGCTGGATCTGGGTAACCCTCAGCTCAGCATGCACAGTATCCGCGAGACGGGCGGTACCTATGATGTGGGCCATTCCATCCGGCTGTTCACCAGCTTCTTCAAGCACTACGCCGACCTCTCCAAGACCATTTTTGTGGATTGAAATAGAGCATAGTTAGCATAGCTATTTGTATAGCCTGTTCATAAGAGATACCTAACTATTGATTACCTAGTGTTGTGGTTGCATCTCTGTGGGCTATTGAATGTAACAGGCAAGAGACAACTCGGGCCGAGGGAAACCCGCAATCGCCTGATGTAGCCGCCCTACAGTAATTACAGTCGTGGTGCCCGTGCCTTGCCTTGTCTTCTCCGCCTCCGCCTCCGCCCTCCATTTCTCCTCCATTTCTCCTGACTTGCTTGCTTAATGACTGTCTGATTGACTGACGGACGTCAGCATCAACCTCAATTTCCCTCCCTCTATTCCCTCCCTCTTTTCCACGCCCACACCACCTCCACTACCTCTCCTTACCATCCATGTCCTCATGACCCTCTATGACCACTCCGGATGTCTATCGAGATGCGGAATACCTCGCTGACGTGTCCGGCTTATCGCCCGGCCTCGTCGCCGGACCTCCGTCCAGCAGTAGTAGCAGCAGCCACGATGAGCGCATGAGAAAGATACAATCGACTACCAAGGTAGCGTACATCGACCGACTGCTCCGCGATCTCGATATTCTCATATACTGCGAGCTGTCCGCGCTTTATTACATGGAGTAAGAGCATTGTCCCATTTTCTATGTAGAAGAACCCCTCCTCCATCCGCAAACACCCGTCCAACATCCTATACGTCCAATCTTCGTACTCGCAAGCCCCAAACGCGCAACTGATCACCGTCTCATCAACCCTACCTCCCATACACACCTTAACCAACCGATCACAATATTGTATTAACACATACACCACAAAACCAGCTGTTCGATCATCCTCTTCGCGACCCGCGCCATCGTGCAACTCATCTTCTTCACCCCCAAAGTGCCCCCCTTCGACCCGACGCGCCGACCGCCATACGTCAGCGCCATCCTCCTCAGCAACCTGTTCTGTATGCTGTGTCACCACCTCTTTGCGCCGCCGGAGGCCGGCGAGGAGACACGCGGATACATGCACGGCGGCCTGCTGATCGACTTCATCGGCCAGAGGACGCCTGTCCCCTTGCTGCGGCTGCTGTTCATGGATTCGTTGGTGCTGGTGCTGAATCTCGTTATGTTGATGTTGGTGGTTGAGCGGGTGAAGACTGTTGAGGTGCAGCCGCAGACGCAGACCACTACAACGACGATAACAACTACGAGTACGGGTACGGGCACTACTACCGGGGAAGGATCCGGATCTGCTACCGCTGGTGTCGGGAATGCGGAGCAACCGGGGCAGGGTCAAGATCATGATCTGGAAGAGCGGGGGATTCTTCGCGGAGGGCGGACGGCATCGGACTCTAATGCTCGATCTGAGGTGGAGAGCGGCGAACACCGACCCATCCATACCGATGACAATGATATCGACGAACGGACCGAGTTGCTGGCTGACCCGGCTGAGAGCGGTTTGAACCTGGGCAGCACGGCGGCGAAGGACAGCCACCCGCTGGATGGGTTCGCCTCTGGCCAGGCGGTTATCATGGAGGCCGGATTGGTGGAGGTCGTCCGCGAGCAGTGGCGGTACAGTGCTGCGACGGCGCCCAGGGCCCAGCGGCCGTTTGTGCCCTCGCGTCACACGGAGGTGTTTCTGCGTGAGAGGTTGGGACTTCGGATTGCGGCGAATGGGCGCATGGAGCGCATTCCGCGGGTAACAGCTGGGGCTGGGGCTGGGGCGGGGGTCTAGGTTTAGGGTGTAATGGCTGCTTTTGGAGTACTACGTCTCCTGTATTGTATAGATTAGGATATACTCCGTGTATTGACGTCGATACACATGATAGTTCTTGGCTTCAGGACATAGCAAGGGAGGAAGAGTCTCGTGTGTTGTGTAGGTTTCACGAGGTAATTCGATAAGATCGACCAGCTGAGTGGAGTTCTTCTCCATGCATGCATCTCTTCATCAATACAAAATCATCTCATAGCATCACATAAACGTACATCCACAAGACAAGAACCAGCAAAGAAAACAAACAAGGGTATGTATGTAGAGCATCAACCTCCCCGACCCCAAGCACCATCCGACGAAATCTACTGCTCCCCCTGACCATCGCCATCGACCCCCTCATTATTATCACCCTTGGACCCCGCCTCCGGAGCGGCACCAACCCTCCGATCCAAGATCTCATCGACAATGCCCATCTCGAGCGCCTCGTGAGCCCCCATAAAATAATCCCGCTCCATGAGCTTCTCAATCTCATCCAGCGACAGAACCTTCTTCCCCGTCAGATGGCGCTGATAGATCTTATTCAGCTGGCTGCGCACGCGCAGGATCTCCTTGGCGTGGATGGCGATGTCGCTGGCCTGTCCGAAGTACCCGCCCGAGGGCTGGTGGATCATGATCGATGAGTGTGGCAGGCAGTATCTTTTGCCAGGGTGCCCACCGCACAGTAGCAGCGAGCCCATTGATGCTGCTTGGCCTACGCAGATTGTTGAGACGGGGCTGGCGATGTAGGTCATTGTGTCGTAGATTGCTAGGCCTTTTTTTTTTTTTTCCCTCCGATTAGTATTGTTTAGAGGGGTTAGGGCTGGGGAACAGGCGGCTGCTTACCTGCTGTGACCGAGCCTCCCGGAGAGTTGATGTATAGGTGAATGGGCTTCTGCGGGTTATCGGCTTCCAGAAAGAGGAGTTGCGCTACGATGGACGCGGACATCGTTTCGTCGACTTCGCCGTTTAGGCAGATTATGCGCTCTTTTAGGAGGCGGGAGAAGATGTCGTCTTTTGGTTTGGCATTGGGTTAGTTGAGTTGGGGTTGTGGATGGGGTTTGAAAGTGTGCACGTACAGGTGTGCCAGCCTCCGCCCTGATGGATTCTGCGTTAGTCGACTTTGATCTCGAATACTAGAGTCGGTGAGGGAAGGTTGGTGACTTACTACTGTCTCTGTAACAAATGGCGTGGGCGTCCATCCCCGCGTAGGTCGGCCGGTTGATGATGGTGGTGATGATAGCGACGGGATGGAGCTGGTGAAGCTCCGCGATACCCCCCGGATGGTCGACGGGCGGCTGAGTATGCGACTTACTCGCTGCAGAGGGCGGGAGGGGTTCATTGTGGGTGCTGTCGAGTTGCTTGTTCGGGATGGAGAGGGAGTAGTGATATGGAAGAGAGAGAGAGAGGTCGGAGTCGAGCTGTTGCAGCTTGGCTGCTGCTTGCAGGCCGGGTCTCCGCTCCTCCTCCGCCTTTGCGCGCGCGCCAATCTTCCAAAACCTCCGCGGGATTTTTTCTTTACATTCTCCGCCGCGACCCTCTCCGTTCACTCACTCACTTCTGCCTACCGGGCATACCACGAGGGAACACCATGGAGTGTCTGTACGGTCGCATATCGTACGCATCATGGCGATTACGACAATTCCGGCAATTGGTCAACAGCACGCGAGGCCCAATTGCTCTTTCGCATCACCGCATCCGCCGCACCTTATCCACCTCCGCCGACGAGCCTCAACCGCCGCAACCCCACGATACCCCGTCCGCTCCTCCTAATGAGACCCCGTCTGAATCTCTCGACAAGAGGCCCTCCGAATCCTCCCCACCGCCTTCCTCCCTCCTCCCCAAATCTCCCTTGCTCACCGACCCCAAACCAGCCAACCGTCAGCGCTTGCACAAGAAGAAAGCCCGCAGCAAGAATCGAGTCTACTCGGACCCAGACCATGACCTCACGAAGAACCCCTGGGCCGTCGCCCTCGCCAGCCCAGTCCGCTACTGCTCCCTGACCGGGTACCGCATGCCTACGGAGTTCCTGAACAACTGGGGTCTGGACGAACATCCCGAGGGGAGTCTATTCCTCCATCCTACTGCTCTCCTGCCAGCCCCATCCGTACCTGTGCCTGGCTCATCATCACCATCGGCCTCATCGTCACCATCATCACCCTCCTCGCCATCACCCCCACAACTCCCTCCCACCCCGCGAACCGCACCCGCAATCAAAAACCTCCGAGCCTGGATCGTCAACCGCCTGCCCCTTCTCACGCACATCACAGAGACACTGAGTGCCAAAACAGCACGCATCCCAGCCATCACGCACGCGTTCCCACTACGCTGGAAGCCGCCACTAGGACCGCTAACAGAGCCGCTGTTAGCGCGCTGCGTCTGGCGCCAGGATATGCCGCAGTTCCTGACGCGGATGATGCGACGACAGGTGGGCGGGCGGTTGCGCAAGGCCGCCTCGCAGACGAATGACTCGGCGGCGAGGCAGGTGTGGACGCCGCTGCTGCGTGAGGGGTGCGACCTCACGGAAAAGGCGCTGGTGGATGCGTTGAACAAGATGGAGCCGATTGTGCGGATGCGCGTCGGCGCGGTGTTGGTCTTGCGACCGATGACGAGTGAGCCCGAGCCAGGGCTGCCGCTGACGAGTTTCTTTCATCTGCCGCAGACGGGTTCGAAGGTGCCTGTGTTTGATGTCACTCGGTTGTTGGACGGGGAGGATCTGGCGTGTGCGAAGCTGGAGGGGCAGGCGGCTGTGTTCTTTCGGCCGGATGATCGGCCTACTGTTGATGCGATGCTGGGGTTGTGGAAGCTTGCGGGGCTGTTGCGTGAGGATCCTTATTGGGATCCGATGCCTGATTCCTCGTGATAGCATCGCGTACCTCAATCCCTCCTGATCTGGGAGCGCACCCAGACCAACACTATATTGTACAAATAGAACAGACGCGAAGATCAAGAGACTATATACCCTCTCATATAATTCTATGGTATCACAAACACAACCCACCCTCCCTCTCTAATCCATCCCGACCAACCAACCATACACCTATTCACAACCAAGCAAATCCGCCAACCGATCCACAAAAGCCGCAGGCCTAACCTCGCCCTCCACAAATTCCTCCCTAGAACTAACACCAGTTAAAACCCCCAACGTCCCGCCCAACCTCCCCTCAATCCCAAACCTAATATCCGTATTCGCGCGATCACCCACCATACAAGCGCGGGCCCGATCAAACCGAAACCGCCCCTCAATCGCCTCCATCATCGCCTGATTCGGCTTCCCCAACGACACCGGCATCTGCCCGCCTAGCATCATAGATAGCGGGGCACTCATCGACCCGGCACCGGGGAATAAGGTCCCGGCGTTCGGCAGCGTCGAATCGATGTTCGTGGCTAGGAACACCGCGCCGCGCCGGATGTAGTGGTACGCCAGGGCCAGCTTCAGGTAGTTGATGTGGAAGTCCAGGCCCACTAGCACCACGCCTACCTCGGGGTCGAGAAGACTTTCGTCGCCGGCCGCGATGCGCTTGTAGTCGTCTGGTGTGATGAGGCGTTGGTAGGCTGGGTCCGTGCCGCCGAGGAAGGGGATGTTCTCTGCGCGGAGTTCTTGCTCGATGCCTGTTTCGCCGATTATGAAGACTTTGCGTTTGTTTGGCGGGAGGGTTAGGATGCGCGAGATGTAGATTGAGGCGCTGTAGGAGGAGGAGAAGACTTCTTCCTTTTGGGTCCGTTAGTGGGTGTGCGTGTCGCGCGGGGCAGGGTCAATGGTCGTGGGTTGGGGCTCGTAACGTACTGCGGAGCTGGGAATGCCTAGCCCTTCGAGCTTCTTCACGTAGTCGGCGCGCGATTTCGTGCTGTTGTTCGTCACGAAGACGACTTGTTTGCCTAATGGGAGCGGGGTCGGCTTTGCTTGTTCTTCGGACGGAATACTGTCCCGAACATACCTTTGCTTCTCAACAGGTCCAATGTCTCGTTGGTACCAGGAAAAAGGTGATCCCCAGACCAGAGGACGCCTAGAGAATTGATATCGGTCAGTCGGTCCTGTGGGTGTAGATTGTGGTCCCTCGAATGAGCCCGGCAATACGCACCATCACAGTCGAACAAGAACACCTAGATTGGCCACATTAGCTTCACATCTTCGACGCGATCCTGTTCAACCAGTCTCAAACTCACATCGAACTTGTCCAGGAACTCGCGGATGCCGGCGGCGTCTCCGGTTAAATAGCGGGGAGTGTGGGTGGATGCGGGGTACTCGGAGGATGCCATGATGACGGTCTATGCGGCTTTCTAAGTCTATTGCGAAAGTCTGATGTCTATACTTGCCGCACAAGAGGAGGAAGAAAGAAAGAAAGAAAAGAACAAGAAGTCAAGAACAAGTTATTGAGTCAGAAAGAGTGTTGATGCGGCGCACTGTATTCCGTCTCTCGTCCGGCGTTTCGGTGAGACAGGAAGCGGGCCGCACGTGAGGAACCGGCGATGATGGATGCACTCACTTTAAGTATATGACGTTCCTACAGCTACACGGGTCGCGTCGCAATTAAGTTGGAGAAAAGCATGCCTTTGACCTGTTCATTATATCTCATACAGTCATAATTTTTGGATTCACTCCACATGGTAGAATCGAATCTAGTGAGCGTGTCCGAGTGTCTTCCGCTGGTAACGGCTCCTCCATACTTCCGTGCTACTGGAAGTGATGCAAGGAAGAAGATGTCATCTGCGATAGCTTCAGTAAGCCGGCATTCTGTGATCATCTGTGCCGTGTCAATGATGAACGATCTCGCCAGTTCTGTGCCCATAGACTACCAGCGAGACCTGCATAGGAATAATGTCGCTCAGGGCTTAGAGAAATTAGTCGAATAGCGGAATCTCTCACGACTAAGCACCGCCGAGGATGCCGGAGATCTTGAGTGCGACATCGAGTATAGTCAAATGCTCGTCAGCTCCATCGACAAGACGACGATCCATCTCTGAGAAAACCGTCACGATCTTATTCTTCTGGATATCTGGAATGGCGTCGTTGTAAACCATGCGTCGGTACAGCTGCGCGAGGTCAGTTTAAGATTTCACCGATCATGCATCTGAAGCAGCTGTGGACACACCTGTAGGAGGAGCTGAGTGCCACTCCATCCATCGGCAGTGATATCCGTAACCACCTTAGAAACCGCATCATAGGACGATCCGATCTTCTTCGGCTGCAGCGCCTGTACTAGATCGTCCAAGACGCTTTCAGGAACGACACCGGCAATTTCCTCGATGGTCCGAACAGTGATCTGGTCCGAACTATCATCCACCATTTCCGTGTCATCATCTCCGTCCTTCTTGTCGGCCAGACCAGCCCCGACCAGCTTGGCCGCACTCTGCAAATAGGTTATGGCCCGTCGCAGATCACCCTCACTGCAGCTAATCAACTTGTCTATCACGCCCTCTTCCAATCTCAGGTTCTCCAGTTTAGCAATCTGCACCAGCCTATCCCCTGCCGCTGTGTTGTCCAGAGCCTTGAATCTGAACTTGCTGCATCGACTCGCCAGCGGTTCAATGATGCGAGTTACATAGTTACAGACCAAACAGAATCGGGTAATCCGACTGTACTGCTCCATGGTGCGACGGAGAGCTGACTGCGCGTCCTGTGTCATACTGTCCGCCTCGTCAAGGATGATGATCTTGAATGGAGGGCACGGGTATTTGGCGAGGTATTCGGCGCCCATGCCCGTCGAGTGACTGAGTTGAGCACGAGCGAAGTTCTTGATCTTGTCGCGCACAATCCCGATACCACGTTCATCCGAAGCGTTCAACTCAAGGATACGAGAGCGATAGAGGGTAGGACCGAAAAGCGATTTTGCAAGAGCAAGAATTGTGGAGGTTTTACCGGTACCGGGAGGACCATAGAAGAGCATATGGGGGAGCTAGGGATCGCTCGTCAGCGTTTCTTGGGCGGAACACGGAATTATGAAGTTCGGGGCCGGTCGTACATTAGAAGCTTGCAATGTGCGCTGAAGGACCTTTGTTGTGTGGTCTTGTGCGGCGACATCATCGAGAGTTTTGGGGCGACTATTTAGTGGTCAGTCTCTCAGGCCTTACAGGGAAAGATGGAAAACAGCTTACTATTTCTCAACCCATGGCTGCAGTCGATTCTGCTCATCCTTTCCGTCGGTTGGCTTCTGCTTGGGGGTGCCCGAAGCTGCTGCTGCAGCCCGGGCTTTATTACTGAAGAAATTGGCAGCCATTTCCAGATATTGAAGGCGGAGGTGTGGCAGGGAGGATACAGGCTCAATCCGTCGAAGCTGAGCTATGCCCGGGGAACACGCCGGCGGGAGACCGTGTCGGGGACGCGTCTCCACGTGATACGCGCTGACCGCCCGTTGTATCATTTGACCTTCCCAGGCTATCCTTATCGGATAAGTTATCATCGTATCATCGTATGGGGAGCAGTCCAACTTGGGGGCTATGATGCAAGCAAGCGTTAGCCCTTGGAGGAGGTAAATAGTCCACGCTTACAACAACACTTACTCTTTCGTCTTAAAGGCTGCGGCAACAAAATAGAGGCCTATGCCCAGAGCACTGATGATGAACAATGCCCCTGACACTATGGCTGCTTTGATCAATGTCTCGTTGGCACTCATCGCCTCGGCTACAAATCATTTGAGCTGCGAAATGTTGCTGAAGTCATGAACAAATGCCACCATCCCTGCGGTATATGCCCCCAATGACAGTATTGTTCGGGAAGGAACAGCCTGACAATAATGTGCAGCTGCGGAAGCGGCCAGCTGGTCCTCAATGGGCATTACATTACATCTGTTGAAGCGGGCGCAAAGCTTGAGGGTTAAACTAGCGCACATCAATTGTCCGCGAAGCAGCTCTATGATTGATCAATTGATCAGAGACGGCAGACGCAAGGTTCTTGAGAGTTCTAGAAAATTATGCAGATAATAAGTACCTAGTGCCCAAAGATTCCCAATACTTGCGCTACTTTGTAATCTCAAAATCCCTGCTGTGCATTGAAAGAGAGAAGCTAGAGGGTCTTGAAGAAGAGAGGCAGCATATTGCCCCTTCTAGCGCAGGCTTAATTGAACAATACCGAATCAATGTCGGTTTTGAGCAGGAAGTATTGATTCCAAAAAGTCAAAGAGTGCTCCTCAAGACTTCAAACTCAAATGAGAATCGCCGTTCAAGAGGATCGAGACAAAGATCATCAGTCCTGACCCAAGACACTCCCAGTTGTGTCAAAGAATCCCGAGTGGTCGTTGGGACTTGTCCTGATCTAGCAGGATCAAGTGGGTTCGCTCAGATTCTTGGTCCAGGCGCTATCGCCGTAGACTATCTTCTACCTTAGATCGACCGCATCATCAAAACGGGGAATTGAACGCCACTAAAGCGGCAGTTGTGACACTGGTGAGCAAGTCCAGCAGAAACTAATGCTGTGACTGGGATCGACCGCAGATTGGATCAGCCGGGGTTCTTTGGATGCAAAGTCTCCTGTTGGAGGGAGGCACTGGCCCAAGCTCCCCCTCGTCTCCTGTCGCGCGTTCTTTCGCAGGGCGCGTGGAATGAGAGGCGGTCGCGCTGCTGGTGCTCGTGGCCCTGGCACGATCGATAACAGTCGTCCTGACCCAATCACCCGGTCGGCGCTTCGCGTCAATGAATGTCATAGACGATACGCTTGGATCAGGTCTCATCCTTCGCCCAAGACGTGATCAATTCAGTGATTGCAAAAGTGAAGTTGCTCCCCATTACCGCCGCAATTTCTTGTTGTTGTTGTTATTGTTGTTGTGGGGGGGTATCGGAAATTGATAGTAGTCGGTGGTAACCAACCTGCAGCCGATAAACAATAAATTAAATCATCGGCGCCCGCGCGCGACCAACACATGACGGAGACGGGGTCCCCCAATCTTATCCTTTCCTCCCTCCTTCCATCCCTCCTTCTACACCCAATCCAGGACATTGTCCTCAGTAATGAATCTGCACCACAGTATTGATAGAATACAAAAGAGCGACTTCTCAAGAAAGGTCGACACCTCATTATACTTGATTTCTACTGGTAAAAGTAATTTTCCCAGGGGACAGACATTCATTATTCAGGGTCAATCCTGCAGCAGTGCCAGGCCAACCTCCCTGTGTTGACCCAAAACCGGTTTAGCGCCACCGACGCGTGACTGCACTGGAAGATCCCCTGCGAAACGGCCGAGTGACAGACTAACTAAAAGAGAGGGAGGGAGAGAGAGAGAGAGTGAAAGAGAGAGACAGACAGAAAGAGACAGAGTCCGGAGACAGACAGACAGACAGACAGGCGGAAAGCAAGAGTAGTCTAGGAGGGAGGGAAAACCCACTCACTCACTCACTCACTCACTCACTCACTCACTCACTCACTGCACTGCATCGTCGCCGCCAACGCTGCCCGCCGCCCGCCAGCCCTTCCTTGGATCGATCTTGTCTCAAACCCCAACAACCCTTCTTCTCCTTCTTCTTACTTCACTCACCATACCCAAGGTGGTCAGGTCAATCTCAAATGACCTCCACAATTTGTGTAATTCTACCCGCAATTCAGTCTTGGGTCTGGTGAGAGACTCCGTCTGTTCCTCCACTTGCCGCCGTTATCCTCTACAACTGCCCGCCTACTTCCCAAGTTAATTTGGTCTCATTGATCCGGAGCGGAGCACAAGGAAGGGCTCTCGCCTGTTGTCGTCAACAACCCGCCCGCCCATTGCTCACCTCACCCACGAAGCTTCAGAGCGCCGATTGATTAACCAGACATTTAAAAAGATCCTAACGGACAGACGAGAATTGCCTTGACGGTGCATTTGCCGTGCACTTCGCTGCGTTTGCGCCTCGTCGACCGTGGGGATCTGTCGCATTGACCCTACCCTGACTGAATCCCGCTTTCGACCGCCATTTGCACCTCGTGAGCATCGCTCCCTCCTTTGAAACCATGGGCGACCCCCGGAAGCTTGATCCTCCTGCTACTCGCAGCGCAGCAAGAAATGGGAAGTCGCCGGAACGTGCTGTCAATGCCTTGTCAATCGCATCGCCTCCTGGCTCAAGAACACCCCCTAGTATGCCATCAAAGAAGACCCTCTTCTACCCTGAACCGCAAGGGAGACAACAAAAGAGTCAAAGTACCTCAGAACCCATCGATCCCGATGCGCTGGCGAAGGCCTTGAAGGACTATGAGGACGCTGGGCGTCCGCGCGAGAGTACACCTGGGACCAGCCCTAGTCGGAAGAGGCAACGAGTGTATGGCGACAGGTCAGTAACACCTCAGTTCGGGCACCATTTTCGGCTCAACCCGGCCGTCCCGAACATAACTTTGAGCTACCCATTGAGCCCCTTGCTAATGTGCCTATGCCGCCCTGTAGATTTATTCCCAATCGCGAGGGGCAAGACCTTCAAGCAACCTACAGCCTCCTTCATGAAGATGGCTGTCCGTCCACTCCGTCCAAATCGAAAAAACGTGCCCCTCATTCGGAGCTTCACTTTCAGAAGAGTAAGTTGGCATACATTTATCGCTAATCCCATGACTAACGATCATCTAGCGGAAGAAGCAAACAGAATGTACTCACGGGTGCTGCGGAGTGAGCTATTCGGAAATACTGTGCCCCAAGCAGATCTGGATTCATTATTACCCGATCCACTGTTGGGGTTTACGAATGGAATCAATGATAAGACTCGCGCCCATACACCCCCGTCACATGTCGTCTCGAACCTCCCCCCAGCCAGTATCACGCCGTCTACTCCACATAAAAACCTCTTCAACTACGCCTCCTCACGCGCCGGATCCGGTCATCCGACGCCAACCAAGACACCTCGAAGTCAACATGGTCCTAATTTGAACGTCCGATCAGAGCTCTACAGCCTTTCGCCAATTCGATACGACAGCCAACGTATACTAGAAACTCCTCGCAAACAGCCTCGCTATGTTAATAAGGTACCTTACAAAGTACTTGACGCACCCGATTTGCAAGATGACTTCTATCTGAATCTCGTCGATTGGGGAAGCAGCAATGTCCTTGGTGTTGGTCTGGGAAATTCGGTCTACATGTGGAACTCACAGAGCGGAAGGGTGACGAAATTGTGCGAGCTGAAAGATGATACTGTCACGAGTGTGAGCTGGATTCAAAGGGTGAGTGCCGAATCCTTTTCAAGCAGAAGTCCTCAGTACTGAACAAACTTTTTAGGGCACCCACCTCTCCATTGGGACAGGCAAAGGACTCGTACAAATATGGGATGCAGAAAAATGTCGCCGTCTGAGAACAATGATCGGGCATACGAACAGAGTTGGAGCTCTAGCCTGGAACGACCATATTCTGACCTCCGGATCACGAGACCGCCTGATCTTTCACCGAGACGTTCGTTCACCCGACCAATTCTTGCGTCGCTTGTCTGGCCACAAGCAAGAAGTTTGCGGTCTCCGATGGAACACGGAAGATGGCCAATTAGCCTCTGGCGGCAATGACAACAAGTTGCTGGTCTGGGACAAGTTGAACGACACCCCTCTTTATCGCTTCTCCGATCATACGGCCGCCGTGAAGGCAATTGCATGGTCGCCTCACCAGCACCATCTCCTAGCATCTGGCGGTGGAACGGCGGACCGAACAATCAAGTTCTGGAACACGTCAACAGGTTCCTTAATAAAGGAGGTCGATACAGGTAGCCAAGTCTGTAACCTGGCGTGGTCGAAGAATTCAGATGAGATCATCAGCACGCATGGGTATAGTCAAAACCAGATTGTGATCTGGAAATACCCTCGTATGGAGCAGATTGTATCTCTGACCGGACATACTTTCCGTGTACTCTATCTGGCTATGAGCCCAGATGGTCAAACCGTTGTGACTGGTGCTGGCGACGAGACTCTCCGATTCTGGAAAATATTCAACAGAAGACCTGGCAGAGAGCACGGTCGTGAAGGCAGTAAGCTGGCTGAATGGGGCACTATTCGGTGACGGCCTCCCGAACCGTTCGTCTTAACACCTTTGTGCTATGTCATGCTTGACTATTTATTAGCAGTTTCCGAAATGCATTAGATCTGGCGTTCCAGGGCATTGGCGTTCATTTGATGCTGGGCATGTCCTTGGACGGTCTGGAGGATGGTCGTCTTACGGTTTTCTATCTGGCATTTCTCGCATCTTGTGGGTTTTCACAGCATTTACGTGGGCGACTTGCAAGGGTTTCATCTTTCCATGCACATTGCGCGCGCTTGAAATTTTATCTGATTCTCCTCCCATGTATTTTGGCCCATCTCTTTGTCGTCTTCCCTTTTCTATTCTTCTTCCAGGGCCTCGTTTTTATTATTCCTTTGAACTACCTCTATTACCCTTTTCTCCGGGCCTTCCTCGAGCCGCGGACTTCCGGCAAGCGCATTTTCAGTTTGATCCAAAGATACGAATCTCTCAGCACGGCGCTCATGGTGTTAGGTGAAATAAGACCGGGTTGATGTCCTTCCGATGGGCAAGAGTGGGGTTTTAGACCCCCTCTCTGGGATTATTGTCCTCTCATCCTAATGGCAGGGATGCACTTGAAATCTTTCTCCTTCCTCCCGGCCTCAATCCTCACCACTTATCCTATTTCTTGCAAATGATGAAGGGACGACATAAGTTCAACAGACCAAGCAAGCATTTATTCATATCGCGCATGGACCAGGACGGGAGCTATAACGAGGGAAAAATGTATGTGAGACAATACCGAGACCAGAATCTACTGTTTTCCTAGATGTGATACGGAGGTAATACATGGCTCGACTATAGCTCTTTTCAAGTAATTCTTTTGATTGAGATTGGTCCTTCCCGCTCACTATCGGTACATCGAATGCACCTGGGTGAATCCATTACCCGTGAGAGTTGTAAATGTTGTGTATGCTATACTAAACCGAAGCATTAGCTGTGTAGAAGACAAAAAAGCAGGGCCTCGTCCGACAAGCCCTATCATCCGTACTTACAAAGTAAAAGAAGAAAAAGATAACGTGATTCCAAAACAACGAGAACATTAACGAAGATGAAATTGGGGTCAAATGAAAATCTACAGAACAAGACGACCGGGCTCGGCGGTCAACAGAGACTTGACGCGGTCCAAGAAGACGCGGGCCCTCTTTTCGTCACCCACGGGCACCGTCAAGCTGAAGACATTGGCGGCCCCGGCGCCCACCGACGGCGCCGCCGCGACGGAAGAAACGACCTTCTTGGCAGCGGCCTTTCCACCAGCCAGGATATCGATGATGTCCTCCTTGACGGACTTAGCCGCCGCAGCTACCACTTGAGGAGCGGCCTGCACCTCCTCGGCGTTCAGCTCGGGGAAGTACTGGCCGCGGGTGGTGCGGGCGGGCTCAGCGCCCAGCACGACCTCGTCGAACAGCTCGCTGGACGTGGGCTTCTCGCGCACCGACCGCGGCAGATCCTCGTTGGCGATCTCGGTCGCACGCTCCAGGAAAGTCGACAGCGGCACCGTGATGTGCAGCTTGTCTTGCAGCCGCTTCTGCGCGTGTAGCACCGCTGCCAGCGAGATGGGCACGGCCACCCGCGTAGTCGGTGGCGGCCGGGCGATCGGGGCTGCGGCGGCGGCGGGCTCGGCGGCGACGGGCTCGGCGGCCTTGGGCGTCGGTGCTGCTGCGATCTTGATGTTGCTTAGGTCCAGGTGGCCCAGTTGCGCGATCCGCGCGGCTTGGCTTGCCGGGTACGACGCATCGATCTGGCCTAGGTAGGCGAGCACGTCGCCCTTCAGGAGGCGGCCCTTAGGCCCTGTTGCTGGGATCTTCGAGATCTCTGACTCCGGGATCCCCTTCTCGTGGAGCAGGGTGCTGACTGACGGGTAGAGGGGGTAGGCGGGGTTTTGGTATTGGACGGCGCTCGTGGAGTTTAGGCCTGTTCGGTGGGAGAGGGTTGTGTTAGTGGGGTTGTTTGAAGTTGAGAAGAAGGGGGGAAGGGGGCGTAATGAGATTGGGTTGAGAATGAGGTAGGTGTCTAGGGCTTTCGTGCATGGTGTAGTGGTAAAGCAGGCGAGTTGAGAATAGTCTCTCTCTCTCCCTTCCGGAGTCGGCGGAAAACTCACGCTTCGAAGTGCTGATCACCCGGGGCTGACGGCGGGCAAGAGCGGCCGGGAGTCGGCGCAAAGGGAAGCTGGAGGCCATCTCTGTCGTGTGGTGGGTGTGTCGTTCGCGGTAGAACCGATTCTGGGGGAGGTGAGAGAGAGGTGGTGTTCGAGGAAAGTCGCGAGAAGCACTTGCAGCTGGAAGCCCGGGAAATCAAGGTTCGGACTGAGGACCCACCACCACGATGACAGAAGGGTTCACGGAGGTCGAGAGTATCGTACCGATGTCGCGATCTGTGACTAAAAGCTGCAAGGCATCCGAGCCGGGGCAATGGCGCTGCGACGGGGGAAGTGAAGTCCGGGGATGTTGAGGTTGTTGGGAGGTTTCACCGATGGCCCGGACGGGAACATTTTTCTGCCGCGGATAACAACGGGCTTAAACGGAGTTGCGCATTCACCAGCTCAATCGCCCGCTTGCTGTGAATGGTTCAAGGTAAGATCCATTGCGCTTTTGTCGACTCTCCACAGTTATATTTGCCATGCTAACCGTTATTTACATATTGTTGTAGTGTTAGACGCGGGATTCAGCCATCATGTTTGCTACACGGCCATCCGCCATTCGGGCAATCTCCCAGCAATGTCCTCGGACTAGCTTCTCGCCAGCTGCCCATTTGTCCAGCCCAGTATGGCGGTTCTTCTCATACAGTGCTCCGCGAGCAAAGGCCGCTGTCAAGGCTAAGAATCCCGCCGCGCAGCCCAAGGTCAAGGCGCCTCCAGAAGATACATTGAGATTCGCCGGCAGACGGCCTGAGGGCTTCGGCAAATTGGAACGGAAGGTCGCAAAGACGCCTTTAGGGGAATTGGTGCTGTTCAAGGCGCCATCGCACCGCAGCTACGTTCTGGGTGCCTACGGTGTCACTGCCTTCTGCTTCGCGTACGCGGTGTACAACTCCAACATCACCTTCCGCGACCCCATCGTACCTCTCCCAATGTGGCAGCAAGTGACGTTCGGTGGTATCTGTGTCATGATGAGTGTTATGGGCACTGTGTTCTTGGCCAAAACGAACAAGTTGATCAGGGCTGTCAAGGCCGTCAACAAGAACGGCCAGACCTATGTCCGCTTCACGGTCCGCAGCTTCATTCCCTTCCGCAAACCATACGAGATCGACGTGCTTCCTCGTCAGGTTGCCTTCGCTCGTCGCTTGGTGGTTTCGCCTGACACTGCTGGTAAGAGGGATACAATTCAACAGACCGCACAGGTGAGCTTCTTCAAGGAACCTCTCAAGAAGATGAACATGTCGCTCTACAAGGTGTTTCGGTCGATTCGCCAGTTGTTCACCGGCGAGGATTTCATCCTGGTGGAAGTGCAGGGCCAAAGTGGTGAATTCCGCTTGGATTCCGCGGGGTATATTTCGCAGGACTTTTTGACCATTGGCAACCCTGTGACCGTGAGACGCTAGATGTCAGCTCTTAACCTGTTACGATATCCTTCTCTTGATGTCTGAATACTTGAAATTTGTTCCTTGTCACCGGTATACTCTTGGCATGGGGTTTTTTTTTGCATTTTCTCTTAGCCCTACTGCTGCTTTCAATAACTATGTATATATACAGAATTGAGCATTTAAGAATTAGTTTTTCATTGTAGGAAATGAATACTACTTCACGTTAGCCAGCATGGTTTGCGTGTGCTTAACCTCGGGGAGTAAGTAAATATGGCGCCCACGTGACCCTCTCCGCAGCGCGTCTTCCCCCCCAATCAACCGTCCGTGACGCGACTTCGAGATAACCAAAGTAGTGAATGCTGCGTGAGCCCCTCCACACTTGCTCCGTGCAGCCGGGCTAATCCAGCCTTCGTCCCATTCCGCGGTGGGCGCAGCTCCTCCGTTTCTCTGCATCGAATATCTGCACTTCTGAATCCGTCTCACGCGCAGTCGCTGCATCGCGACCCCTCCGTCGCAAAATGGGGAAGCTCATCCGCCTTGAGCTTTTCAGTATGAAGGACCTCATCTAGCAGCGCTACAATACCCGCTAACTATCGCCCTAGACTTCAAATCCTACAAGGGCCACCACACCCTTCTTTTCGGAGATGCGTACTTCACATCCATTATCGGGCCCAACGGGTCCGGCAAGTCGAACTCGTGCGTTGCCCGATCTCAATAACAACACCTCCGCGGCAACACGCACCGCGAAGATCATTCCGTGCTGACTTCATCCAGGATGGACGCGATCTCTTTCGTGCTCGGTATCAAATCGTCTCATCTACGATCTACGAACCTCCGCGACCTAGTCTACCGCGGCCGTGTCCTGCGCACATCCAAAGTAGATGCGAACGGCAACGTCATCGACGGGGCAGCAAACGGGGAGGAACAACCCGACGACGAAATCGACGGCGAACAGTCCCAGGACCCGAGCGGATTGAACGACCCCCGAACCGCATGGGTCATGGCCGTGTACGAGGACGATGCGGGCGAGGAGCAGCAATGGCGGCGATCGATCACCAGCCAGGGTGTCAGCGAGTACCGGATCAACAATCGCACCGTCACCGCACAGCAGTACAACGAGGCGCTCGAGGCCGAGAACATCCTGATCAAGGCGCGGAACTTCCTCGTTTTCCAGGGTGACGTTGAGGCGATTGCGTCGCAGTCTCCGAAGGATCTGACGCGGCTGATCGAGCAGATCTCGGGCAGTCTGGAGTACAAGGCCGAATATGAGCGTCTGAAAGCGGAGGCCGAGGAGGCCGCCGAATCGCAGACCGTGCAGCTTAACCGCCGCAGGGGCATCAACTCCGAGATCAAACAATACCAGGAACAGAAGCGAGAAGCTGAGAACTACGCCCGGAAGGCCGAGGAACGCGACCAGGCGATCATCACGCATATCTTGTGGAAGCTCTTCCATTTTCAACGCCTGATTGACGCATCGAGTGCTGACATCTTGAAGTACCAAGATGAGCTGAAAGAATTCCGTCGTGGAGTCGAAAAGTATGAGAAGAACGTGGAGGATGCTAAGAAGAGCCACGCCATGGTTGGTAGGGATGTTGCCAAGGCCGAGCGAAATATCTTGAAGAAGGAGAAGGACATTGAAGAGGCTGCCAATGCACTCGTACCCGTTGATGAGAAGGTCGACATCACCAGAAAGAAGGTCGATCGCTTTGCTTCTCGTATAGCAGAGATTACCCGGGAGAAAGACTCTCAATCGGCGAATGTGAAACAGCTGGAGAAGGACCTCAAGATTGTGGAGAAGGCACAGGCACAATGGGAGGCAGAGTGGCAGAAGACCATGAGCAAACAGGGTGGCCAGCTGAGCGAAGCCGATCTGCAAGAGTACGCAAAGCTCAAGGAAGAAGTCAGTAAGAGATCGTCTGCCGAGCAATTGAACCTCGACAATCTGCGCCGACAGAAGAAGACCGAAGCGGAGGCCTTGAATAGCCTCAGGAGCAAAGTCGAAGGCGCCGATTGGCAGTTTAAAACTTTGGAATCTGAGACACAGACCTTGACTGAGCGCAAGAGCTCTCTCAACGATACAGCCAAGACGGCTTCCAAGGAGATCGACCGTAAGAAGAAGGAGCTCAATGCTTTGACGTCTGAGCGCCTGCGCGTGTCTCAAATGCGGACGGAATTGGAAGAGAAGTTGCAGGTCGTTCTGAAAAAGCTGCTCGACGCCGATGATGGCCGAAAGCGGTCTGAAAGAGAGATCAGGGCTAAGGAACTGATCTCGACTCTTAAGCGCATCTTTCCGGGGGTCAAGGGCCGCGTCAGTGACCTTTGCAAGCCCAAGCAGAAGAAGTACTCCGAGGCAGTGAGCACTGTGCTGGGCCGACATTTCGACGCGATCGTTGTCGATAATGAAAAGACAGCCAAGGAATGCATTCAACATCTCCGCGATCAAAGAGCTGGCCAAGCCACGTTCATCCCCTTGGAGACAATCCAGGTCAAGGCTTTCAACTCGAACCTCAAAGGCTTGCACCGCGGCATGCGTCCAGCAATCGAAACCGTCGACTATGACGACTCGGTGGCCCGAGCCATCAGCTATGCATGCGGTAATGCAATCGTCTGCGATGATTTAGCAACGGCCAAATATCTTTGCTATGAGAGAAACGTCGATGCGAAGGCCGTCACTCTTGATGGCACTGTCATACACAAAGGCGGTTTGATGACTGGTGGTAAAGGCCCTCAACAGCACTCCAAGCGCTGGGAGGACTCTGAGGTGGAGAACTTGTACAAGCTCAAGGACAAACTGATGGCTGATCTCGCCAATTTGCCCAAGGGCCATCGCCGCGGCACTGAAGAGGAGACACTGCAAGGTGACTTGGTCGGCCTCGAGCAGCGTCTTGCCTATGCTCGGGACGAGCTCAAAGCACTTGAAAGAAACCTCGAAAGCAAGCACAGCGAATTGGAATTCGTTAGAAACCAGCTCGAAGAGATGCGGCCGAGGTTGTCCGAGCGCGAGGAGGCGTTAGAGGAACTGGATGAGACCATTGCTGCATCTCAGCAGAAGGTCAGCAGTGTAGAAGATGAAGTCTACAAGAAATTCTGCAAGCGCTTGGGTTATGCCAACATCCGTGAGTACGAAGTCCAACAGGGATCGTTGCAAGAGGAAGCAGCGCAGAAAAAGCTCGAGTTTACAACACAAAAGAGCAGGATTGAGAACCAGCTGAGCTTTGAAAGACAGCGACTGCAGGCTACGATTGACCGCGTTGCTAGCCTTCAGGCACAGCATCAACGCGATGAGGAGCTTATTCAGGAGCTTAAGGCCGAACAAGAGCGCATTAGAAACCAAATGGATCAGTACAATGCTGAGCTTGACATTCTTCGTGAACGTCTCGAAGAGCAAAAGGAGGCTTATGCGCAATCAGCCGAAAACCTGACACATCATCGCAGAGAGCTTCAAAAACGCACCAGAGAGGTCGAAGGCACCCTGAAGAATGTCAATGCCCTAGAGGCAGAGATACAACGCAATTCTTCCAGTCGATACGCTCTTCTCCGGCGTTGCAAGCTTGAAGATATCGATATCCCGCTGACAGAAGATTCCAATCCACTGGATCAACTTCCTATCGATGATTTGGTGCAAGCAGCGGATCCGGATGCCATGGATGTCGATGACGATGCCAACGGGGTTGGTGACGCATTTGGCGTCCAGGACTATGGCATCGAGGTTGACTTTGACTCCCTCGGAGAAACCCTCAAAGAGGTAAGAAATCTAGACTCGAATTTACAAAGCGTTTTTACTAACTAGCAAATAGGAGGACGACGAAAAGCTGGAAGAAGAACTGCTCGAGAAAGTCCGGTCTCTCAACAGCGAGCTCGACAAGATGGCGCCCAATACACGTGCCATGGAGCGATTAGAGAGTGTGGAGAACAAGCTTCGAGCCACGGAGAAGGACTTCGAAGACGCCCGGAAGCGTGCTCGGAAGACAAAGGAGGAGTTTGAAGATGTGATGCGTCAGCGGTCGGATCTCTTCAACAAAGCCTTCTCTCACATCTCCGAGCAAATCGGTCCCATCTATCGTGAATTGACGAAGAGTGCCAATTACCCATTGGGTGGTCAAGCGTAAGCTATGCTCAGATTTAGTTCCAGACGACCCAATGCTAACAGCGCGGCAGTTATCTGGACATCGAAGACTCGGACGAGCCCTACCTCGACGGTATCAAGTACCACGCCATGCCTCCGCTCAAGCGTTTCCGGGACATGGAGCATCTTTCTGGTGGTGAGAAGACCATGGCCGCTTTGGCTCTCTTGTTTGCCATCCATTCCTACCAGCCGTCTCCTTTCTTCGTGCTGGACGAGGTCGATGCCGCTCTCGACAACACCAACGTCGCGCGTATCGCCAACTACATTCATGATCATGCTGCTCCGGGTATGCAGTTCATCGTCATTAGTTTGAAGAACGGACTATTCCAAAACAGTGAAGCACTGGTTGGAATCTACCGAGATCAGGTGGAAAACAGCAGTAAATCTTTGACTCTTGATGTGCGATCCCCTCACCCCTTGTTACTCACGCGCTGATTGGAATACTGACTGATCTTGGCTGCACAGCTCCGTAAATACAACTGAATGATGAATCGAAAAAGGCTGGCCGGACTAAGCTTCTTGACTTTTTCTGTCATATGATGTGTAGAATATATCATTCTCTGGTTTTCTTCTTTATGAGCAAGTATGCTTTAGCTATTGTGCCACGGGATTAATGGGATTTCAATCTGCTTTCTGTTTTCACCTTTGATTTATTCTCTTTGACGCCTCCGATCGCGGACAGAAGTCCGAACCGTACGACACTCTGTACAAGCACGCTAAGCATCATTCCCCCCCAAAGCCCAGCTTCCCAAATGAAGATCCTCTCCTCACCCCCGCTATTATCCCCGCAGACACTTAGATTACATCTCTTCAAGCACGCTCTAATCCCGACACCCCGGAAGAATTCCGCCTTCATATCCGCCAATAACGCCCTTGATGATTCTTCTGGAGTTACATCCAAGTTACATTCGCCTACAATGAGCGAATTACACCCCAACCCCCGTTCTCCAGCCACTGCAAGTCTCACGATGTAGCAGGCTCTAGCCAGGATATATGCCCAGGCTGAGCTAGCAACCAACAATCAAAGTCCGAAGGCCAAGTCAAGATCATCCCATTTTCCTGCATAGCAAACAAGCACTCAGTCTCCTTTTCCGGTGGCACGGAGCAAGTATACTATTCAGGCTATATATATAAATCACAGCCCTCAAAACACGAGTCCAGCACCAGTCCAGCACCAGTCCAGCATTTCGGTTGAAAAAAACCACAAGCTGCCCCCGTTGCTACAAAACAACATTCCATAACAATACTACTAACCATGAAACTCCACCACCACAGCCAACACAGACTCGCACTCGCATCCCTAGCGGCCCTCAGCACAGTAGTGGATCCCACTACAGCTACCAATGTTAATACCACAGCCATCGCCGTAAGCCAATCCGTACCCGAAACCGCAGGGCTGCCGGTTCTGCACCCGTTCGTGTCATTCTCGATCGAGTTTGTGTTTTTCCCGGATTATGCTGGTAGGTTTCTGCCTCGTGCCTAGCTTGTATGGGAGGGATTTGTGGCTGGATACGTAGTGAAGGTAACAGTATGAGAAGAATGAATTGCTAACCACCCGGGTACAAAGGAAACCTGTCCCATCCGAACACCTTTTCGAACCAGCTCCTGGATAACCTCGCAGAACTGGAAGGCGTTAAACCTTTTATCCGGGTGGGTGGCATCACGCAGTATGTTTACCCTTGCTTCGTTTCTCACCAAGCTCCTCGCCCGTTGAATTGGGTCGGATCTCCCGGCTTACTTCCCTGGGATCGAGCATACACTGTACTGTGGTTACTTACTGATAAACGAAAAGGGACTTTGCACTCTACGACCCAAACCAAAAAACCGCAACAAACGGCACCTACGTCCCAAGCATCAGCAAAGACTACCCGCTGATCCTAACGATCGGGCCATCGTTCTTCGAGTCGTACGCGACCTGGCCCGGGGCGCGGTTCATCCACGGCTTCGACCTGGGCCGGAACACGACGGCCAATTTCGCGAGCACGCTGTCGACGGTGCCGGTCGTGTGTCGCGCGCTGGCGGACGGAAAGCTCGCGTACTGGGAGCTGGGCAACGAGCCCGATCTCTACAAGACGTCGGCGCAGGGCGCCGTGCGGCCGGCTTCCTGGTCGGAGCGCGATTATGTGGATGAGTGGGTGAATAAGACCACGGCTCTGCGGAAGAAGATGCGGGAGTCGGGCTGTGCACCCGATCTGGCGGAGGCGAAGTATATTGCCCCCTCGTTTGCGGGGGTCTCGAATAGTTTGAATCCTGTGGTGACGTGGGAGAGTGGGCTTGGGAGAAAGCGGAATATTGCGCTGAATTCGGAACATAAGTGCGTTTTGCTCCTCTTTGGCTCTCTCTTTAGACTACCGGATGATGGTGTGCTTCGTTTGCCCGGACTGATTGACTGACTCTGAACTATAGCTACATCGGCGGCGCCACGCAACCGGGCGTTACACTGCAGAAGACACTAATGAACCATACCATGACGGTGCAAAGTGTCGCACAGCATGTCAATGTCTCGACCATCCTCGCCCAAAAGAACCTGACCACGGACATCCCGTATATCCTGGGCGAGACCAATTCCTTGTACAACGAGGGCGCGGCCGGTCTGTCCGACTCGTTCGGCGCCGCGCTCTGGGGCGTCGATTTCAACCTCTACTGCGCCTCGCAGAACATCCGGCGATCTCACATGCACCAGGGGGTCAACTTTCGCTACATCTCCTGGCAGCCGGTGGACACCAACAGGACCACCATAGGCACCAAGGCGCCCTACTACGGTAACGTCATGGTGGCGGCCATGCTCCACGGCGGCGACGGCGGCGAGAAGGATGATGTCCAGATCGCCAACCTTCCGCTGGAGCGGGACACTGAGGCCGCATACGCGGCGTACGTGAATGGGGCCTTGGCCCGGATTGCTGTCATCAACTTGGTAGAGTTCAATTCCACCGATTCGACCACCGGCGGCCAAGTGGGCAGCCAGCGACCCAATGCAACTTACGTTTTCCAATTGCCTTCGGCCTCTCCCGGGACTACCGTCTCGGTGCAGCGGCTGATAGCGAACGGCAGTGATGCTATCACGGGAGTTACCTGGGATGGATGGTCGTATAATTATGAGCTGGAGAACGGAAAGCCGGTGCGCTTGCCCAACATCACGATTGGCGAGACAATCCCCGTGAGCAGGGACGGGAAAGTAAGCATCGAGGTTCCTTATTCCAGCGCTGCTATCCTGAAATGGTAAGACCCGAGTCTATACGCGTCGACTGGACTGCAGGATTGTGGGCTATCTGGGAGAGATCCTCTTCAGACGGTCAATCATGGCAACCAAGGCAGTGACCGGCCGCGGTATCTGCAGCAGCCCTATGGCCAGGCCCGGATGGCCGAGCGTCATCACGAATAACATAAAGCTCAGGCGCCCTAAAGGGGTTAGCGTGTCTCATGATGTTCTGTTCATGCCTTGTCAAACTGGAGTAGTTGGTTCGTGTTGTCTTCGTATATACTCAATGCTAGACCGCAACTATCCGTTCTTCTGGCTTCGTGACCAAACCAGTACGGAGTATTGCAGCCATTCCCATGTGGCAAATTTGTTCTGTCGGCCGGCAAGTAAAGAAGATGTGCTTGCTATCTTGTTCCCAAAGCCCGCTTTACATGAGGCCGAACTTTGACGTCAAGGCCCGCCGCCATCATGTTTCAAGTCACGGAAAAGGCAACGAGTCGGGATACTGGCCGATCTCGCACCGGACCGACACATTGGGATTTTTAGTGTGATATCAGCGAGCTAAAAAGTCAATAGTCCAGGCCGGATGAGCTAAATATAATCACTATCAGTGGTTGAGTCGATGAAAGGCCCGCTTGCTAAAGTGTGCTCAGCACTTCAGCCTGAGAAGGAGCTAGCCGGAACAGGAAACGACCTGGTGTGGAAAGTCAATGATCGATTTTATCCCGTATTCAGCGTGACGTGAAGAGCTGCGCGAGTCGATAGGTCAGAATATCGGTGTATAGAATCCCCAAATGGGTTTGATGTTGCGATACGTACCCTTGGGTTGCCAGTCATCGCCCGCGGCACTAAAAGACGGATGCTTTGCGCGGTGAGCCACAACTCGACTGATCACATTTTTTTTCTTGCAGCGGATAGTCTAGTGATCCTCGTACTGAACTACAAGACAGGTCTTAACTCTGATCGCTTGTGGATCGGCTTGGTAAGTCATTCTAGTGCCATGGCAGGCAGGATCATGACACATGGCACTGTCATTCGAGTGATGGGTGATGTGGTCTCGAAGCGCATCGCACCGACAATCTCTTGGCCCGTAGTGCAGCGCTCAGATCCCCGAGTCTGCAAGCCACTCTGGAAGAATACACTTCCGCATAATTCTGTCCGTACGGGGAATTTTGCTGACTGCACGTCTCCCGGAACGGTAATCGCATCTCACGGCCTCCGTGGAATGAAAGCGATAGGAAAAACGAGGGAGGCGCCTGAGGAAGTCGCAATTTGTTTGCTTGGGCAAAGAGGTAGCAACCGCGGCAACAAGTAACAAGTAACAAGTAACGGAACTTGCGTTGCCAACTTTCCCCGCATCCGAGTCAGGGCGGCCGTTATTTTCCCTGATGCATCATTTCCCTTTCCCCATTCGGTGACTGCAGCAGTAGCTCCCTGGGTGTCAAACCCTGTCAGTATGCAAGTAGATCGGCAAATCATCGACAGTCGAGTTCCTTTTTGGGCGGAGGCTTAGAGCCAAATCAGCTTTCTCAGGGGCCAGTTTGTTTGCTACCTCCACTGATCGTTTTGACTGCAGGATCGGTGAAAGTGTCTCGAGCCAATCGTCATAGTCGGATGCCAGATCCGCGATTGCCGTTGCATTGATTGTTTGCTGGAAACAATGGGATTGAAGTCCAGCGGGACGATGTTCAATCCGTGGTCTTGCAGTTGTCCCATTTGTCTCTCTGGAATGGATGCACTCTGGAAGATAAATCTTAACCGGCTGGGAATACAGGCTCGAGATCGAAAAAGCCTATCGGGAGACTGTGGTCTGATCCGTGCACCACTGAGGGTCAACGCGTTACAGTCGAAACTTTATTGCTGATCTAGTCATGAAGGCAATTTGAGAGATGTATCAGTGCGATCAGCGGTCAAGCTATGGGCTCTGACACCTAGGGCACGGTTACGCCCAACCTCCGCAATAAGCGCACTAGCTCCCAGGGCAGAGATTGAATCGAAACCCATCGGCAAATTCAGTTTGGAGGAGCCTGAAGCATGGAATCATTCCCACTGGTGGGAGAGTCAAAGTCAAAGTCGGTCAACTGTCACTTCAACCTTCAACAGTACCAACTTCGTACCGTTCCTGTAACATGCCGCGAAATCATAACGCGACTAGAAATTGATAGCAGCAGCCTATCATCAATTTCCGATCCTGCGTTCCGAATACTTTCCGGGGCCATGTGACATTTGCTACCTCAGACAGCGAATCAGCTGCTAGGTGATGCAGCGAAATTAGTGTTGGACATGACTCGGAAACGCCATTGTGTCGAGCATACTCACCCAAACAGCCAGCCAGAGGCCGATTGGGCAAGAGGCTTGTCTCTGAAAGGTTTTGAATATCAAGGTCAAGCGTACCCGTCGACAAGGTTTCAGAAGCGCATGGGTCGGCTACCTGCTGATCAAAGTCTGATTTCCTGATAGCTGAATACCAATAAGCGCCATAGATGAAAGCCCATGACAACTTAGAGCAACAGACCCTGTAGCTCTGTCCTAGACGTCAAGTAACCGTGTTTCTGTTTTGCGGAATTAAGGGTTCTTGCGATTGTGTGCATCAGCTCCCTTTCGACAAAGCTATGAATTCAGCTAGACTCTCACCGAGCTGCATTAGAGTTTGTTGTATTGTCATGCGCTTTTGGCGCATCATCGCAAATATTGAAGGCGTGCCTCTGCATGATGCAGTAGGACAAATGCATACATTCGATATCACTAGAGTGAGTCTTAGTTTGGGCGTCGGCCGGGAGTTGAGGCAGCCATATGCGGTTCTCAAAGCCACAAAACCGGAAAGTTCGAGGCGAATCAAAGAAGCAGGCTGGTAAGGCACCATAATCACATTGAGATCAGGCTATAATATGCGGAGCATGACGAAGTTGTGTCTGCAATAGTGTCTAGCCTCTGTCTCCGTGTATTTGCTATCCTTGCATTAGCCTTGCACGTCAAAACCGCCACCAGGCTGTGTCAAACCCCACTGACAGAGCCCAGTGGGCCTCAATGTTGATAGAGGTACTTTTGTTCGGTTTTCGTATTGCCTTCGATCATGGACCCTAATGAGAAACTCCAGTCGGCCTTTACCGCGATATACGGCGGTTTCACACCTATATAACCTGTTACCCGGGACCGAGAGAATCGATTTAAGACACATCTCAAGCTTGTTGTTACCCTGGAGCTTCTTTCAATAAAATAGCTGCTGGCACACGGAGTCTGGCTCCAAGTCTCTGAATTAGTGAAGTGCCTTCATCCATATATTTATTGACAGCCGGCATCGCTGGACGCAAGTGACATAGGCTCAACGCTGCCCATAAATGCTGAGCAATATGACAAGTCCGAACTGTGCAATGGAAGCGACGAATCGGTTGGTCGAAGCTAAAGGGTCGGACCGAGAACCGATTATGTCGTATCAAGATATGACTGCTCAGTCGAGCCACACGGTAAGAGCTTCACAGTTGCTCATGGGACGATGGGTCATCGGGCTTATGACATGGCACGCCTAGGGCATGCAACGCTCGTCTTTTGGCTTGCGCTACGCACACTTCGCGGTGTTGTGTATAGACCATAGTGGACACCTTCGATTAGAAGGATCCCCCTCTATTGCAGGATGCGAGAAGGACATCTTCACTGAGGATGTGCAGGGGAGATTCTTGAGGTCAGTGGCTTCAGCATGGCAGTCAAGCCTACCGAGCATTCATTCGAGTGAGTCCAACCACGCTGGTCATGTCGGAGATGAATGAGTGAGTAATGAAAGTGGATGTGCAGACACGCTTGGTCACCTGAGCGGCGAAGGCGCGGGCTACGATCCCTGGTACCATCAAACGGCCACGACAAGACCGGCTGGACTCATTCCATGTGATTTAGTCTCTATGCGCAACAACAAGAACGCCCGACGAAGCTTGAGAAAGACAAACCCTGCTTCGATTTCGCCTTTAGGACGGAAGCCTGGATCTCCTACACCGGGCAAAGTCATCAGAACAACAGCCCTGCGGCTTGGAGATACAGACAGCCTTCGCCAATACTACGAAAAGGCATTTGACCAGTTCCAACAGCTGAATTGCCGGGTGATTGCAAAAGCATTAATCAAGCTAGTGGAGCCCCGCAAGCAGGTCAACTATCCTTATAATGGTCGGCGGACTTCGGGGTCCGGTTCACAGAAGATGGACCCTGAGCTTACCAAGCCAGGCTGGTGGCCGGATGGGGTGACACACCGAGAGCCTGACCACCTCTTCAAGCGCGGTGAGCTGAATCCTCCTTGAATGAATGTACTTCTCTGCAACACGCGCTGACGATTTATGCTTGGCAGAGCGGATCAGATTGCTTGTGCACATCCTGTGCGACCTAAGAACCAGCAAGGGAATCACAGCCAAAAGTCTCGAGGAAGCAGGCCAAGATGTCCGACGAGCGATTCAGCCTAGTACACGGCTAGCTGTCTTGGACGAGATCTTCTATGTCCGAAAGATGGAAGAACTATACTTGGACGGAAAGATTAGTATGTCACAATTGGAAACCTCGCCACTGGTGTTCAAATTGAGTTGGGACTGACCTTATCCCGAATCAGGTGGCGAAACAACAATTCGCGTCATGCAAGCTCATCTTACTGATGAATACTGCGTTCCTGAGCCACAGGAACAAACAACAGATTGTTCTCGTGTGCATTCTCAAGCCAGAGCACTCCCTTCAGATTCACAGAAACTGGAAGAGATTGCTGAGCAACACCGAGACGGTGATCGTCCCGAGAGGTCCTTTCAATTGAAGTGCAAAAGCCCATCATCTGTAGATGGGAGCCAATCCGAGAAGGACTCATCCAGTCCAAGCGCTTGTTTCTCCCTCTCTCCGGCATCAACTTCTACGACTAACCGCGAAGGCTCCCTGGAAAGTGGCATACCCAAGGAATTAGCCGACGTTAGTGGTTCGTCCAAGGCAAACAGAGATCCTGGTACGTTTAGAGACATTCATTCAACCGTGTCCCAATGTTTGCCAGAATATTTCGCTCAGCAGGTGCCACATCCGCCCAGTGGGCAGGGCGCCCCATCGGGTTATTGGGCCACCCTCCCATACAATGGTTACTGATCATTGACGGTAGAACTGGCGGGAGTCCCCCTCTGTAAGCGCTGTGAGCACTGTGTACACCATAAATATGCCCTCGTGACGAAGTCTGTGCTTTACCGGTGGTTTGCCACTTTTGTCCTAACACTCTTTTGTATTTTGGTGTTTTCTGGCGTGGGCCATCGTTATTCTAGAAACTTGTGTGTGCTGGCCAATGATACGGCAAGAATATGAGGAAATAATAGAGAGATTCTCAAGGCATCAGACTTATTTTATGAGTATGTAATCGTCTGGTGCTTAGGTATCGTAGCGACCACTGAGCCATGGATGCAGATTCAGAATGGGACTGTTTGTTTCTTGGCCTGAGGCTTTCCGGGGGGTTGAGGGGCCATGTGGGGTCAAGCACTTCCGCTATTGGTTGGCGGGCCGTTGAACTCCACCGATCAGCCGGGCCAGCTACTAGTCCATGAGAGCCTGAGGCTGCAACCCGACTAGCTCGCCCGGGCCAACCAGCTACGTCAACGCGTGCACACTCAGGTCTTCACTCTTCTCACTTGTTCTTCTTCCTCCTCTCTCCCCTACCGCTCCCTTGGATCAACAACATTCAGTTGGGATCATGCGCATTGAGTTTTGAAGCACACTGGCTGAACTATTCTTCAAAGCATCTTCTCCGCATTCACTTATTGGATCTTCGCAACCCTTGGTACTGCCTTACCTTATCAGTCTCCCGATCCTAGGTGCACATCATCTGCCGCCTCCTATCGGTAAGTCATTTGCTCGTGCATCTCTCCATTATGCCCCGGTGATAAATACCGTTTACCCCATACTTTCATTCTCGTTCTCGTCCTACTTCCATAACTTGCACTCTTGCCCAGCTGTCCCGGCGTCGCGCTCAGCAAAGATGGGAATGCTAACTATAGTTCGTTTTCTCAGTCGGCCCTACCCGCATAATCGTGACGGCCCTACGATCTTTTCGTTCGAGCAGAGACTCATCATGGAAGGTGGTGGATCTCTAGAGTTTAGGAAGACGGAGTCTCTAGCCAGCGGTGACTCGCCTACCCTGCAAGCGGCGATGGTCGAAGAGCTCTCCGATGTGGACGGGGCTCCAGGCACTCCCGATACTTTCTATTCACCACCAGCTTCACCCGGTCGCTTATCGCGCAACCCTTCATTTTCCTATCATGATGACTGGGAAACGTTCCCGCCCCTCGATCAGCTGACCGTGTTTGATCTACTTGACAATTTCTCTCTCTCTCAGCGGCTGGAGAAGCTGCAGCAAGCCTTGAATGCACAAAAGGCCAAGGTCAAGAAGCAGCGCGAGAAGATCAAGTCCTCCTCGTTGAACGCCAAGGAACGTGTCGTGGGCGAGTGGAAGAGAAGGGTCCCGACGGCCGATGAGCGGCTTGACAAATATCGCCAGCGCATGAAGAATGGCGTGGAGAGATTGGGCAAACAATGGAACGCGACCGCAACTGTGACGTTGCGTGAGAAGATTTCCTTCATTGCTGGTGTTCTCAATATCTTTATCAGTGGATATCTGCTCGGAGGATGGCCAGAGTACTTCTACATCTGGTTCAGCGCACAGTTGGCCTACTTCATGCCCATCCGATATTACGGATATCACAAGCGAGGCTATCACTATTTCCTCGCCGATCTGTGCTACTTTGTCAACTTGCTCTGCATGCTGAGCATTTGGGTCTTCCCCGGCTCGAAGCGACTGTTCATCAGCACGTTCTGCCTGACCTTCGGCAACAATGCAGTCGCTATTGCTATGTGGAGAAACTCGATGGTGTTTCACAGTATGGACAAGGTAGTCAGGTATGTATTTTTTGATCTCACCTTCAACGAAACGCTTACTGATCCGAATCTAGTTTGTTCATTCATATCATGCCACCGGTGACTCTGCATTGCCTTGTCCACTTGACGTCCGCAAGCACCTTGAAAGCAAGATTTCCGGCCATCTATGCAATCAAATTCAGCCAGCCCGGATTGCCAGATCATTTTACACTTCTCGAAATGATGGGATGGGCAACTGTGCCATACATGATCTGGCAGTCTGCCTATCACTGCTTCATCACAGTGCGGCGCGCGGAGAAGATTGCGGCCGGACGCCCAACCAGCTTTACCTGGCTTCGCAAATCGTACGCCAAAACCTGGCTAGGCAAGTTTGTTCTGAGCCTCCCTGAATACCTGCAGGCTCCGGCTTTCATGATGATCCAATATTTCTATGCGATTCTGACGATGATTCCATGCCCATTGTGGTTCTGGTCTCGGTGGGCCAGTGGAGCTTTCCTCACCGCCCTCTTCATCCTGAGTGTCCACAACGGCGCCACTTACTACATTGACATCTTCGGCAAGCGCTTCCAGAAGGAGCTGGAGGAGTTGAAGAAAGATGTCGCACGGTGGCATTCGTCTCCCGAGGGAGCAATCAGCCCAATGCTGCTACCGTCGGACCAGGGGGACCCCTCTTCCGACAAGGCCCAGGTTGAGTCGGCCACTGCTGGTAGCGGCGCCCCCAACAAAGCTACTAGCATTGATACCATTCCTCTTCTTGATGCTCCTGCAGCTGCAGCTTCAACCGGTGTTAAGAACGCTGCAGCTACCGACAATGACTCTACTGTTCGGGAGAGGTCGTGATTCTTTGTGGAGGGTTTGCCATTTTCTTCTACGGTCTAGTTAATGCTTTGTTTGACAGCTCATCTGTGCGTTTGGTTGCATTTCTGAGGCTCGAAATCGATACCCAACTCACTAGTCGTTCATTTCCCTTTTGCATTTGATTAGTGCAGGTTTTCTTTGCGATTGTTCTGCTTTCTGATATAGCCACTTAGATAGAGCGGAGTCTGTTCGCATGATGAGTGAACGAATTTACATGTTTTTAGAGCCAATAATATACTCTCCTGAAGAAGCTGCAGGATTGCGTTGATTCTGACTCACCAGTGGACTGTTAGTTCTCCGAAGAAGCCAGAACGCAAACGCGGACTCGGTCGGGATTTAGGAAGTGCGAGGCGGAGCTCCCGATTCGGTGGCGGACAAAATCCATTTTATCCCCGAAGACCGGAGCCATCACGTGAGTAGCCACCTTCTGCTCCAGACCTTCGCCGACGACACTACGACGACATCTTCCCTCCTTGACGTTCATTCTATAGTTAATCGCCTTCTGATTGAATCTGTGTGTCTGGCTCGGATATTATTCACTACAAGTTTGAGCTCGCATTGTTGTCCATATTGTTGATTTTGCTCGTTGTCCCGAGCCTTCTCGATTTCCCTTAGATTTCGCCATGTCCGTCACATTGAGGTCAGCTAGCCTGATGCGCGGCAGTGGTGCGCTGCGATCAAACCTGGTTGGTAGGTATTCCGTCTTCCACCTGGCTTCTTGAGGATCATTGCGATGGGCTAATTCATGTTATGTCGATAGTTCGGCCTCGTTTGACCGGTGCGTTGGCTGCAACCACCGCCGCAAACCTGCGCCTCCACGGCAGAGGCTTGCCATCCCAGATCTCCGCCCTCGCGATCCTGGTCCCCCATCAGCGCGGCTATGCCACCGAGCAATCCTCCTCCACCTCCTCTGCCTCAGACCCCCTCCCTCCCCCCGGATTCAATGCGGAACAAGCCAAGAAGCCGCTCGCCGCCGAGCAGCCCACCAGCAACCAGGATGCTGCTCAACAAGTCGTGCCTGCTTCCGAACAGGCCGTTACTGCCCCTGGCAAGACGCAAAACCCGGAAGCCTCAAGTGAATTGACAGCCGCAGCCAAGAGCGCCGAGGCCGACAAGAAGAGCGAGGAGAAGAAGGAGACGAAGAAGTTGACGATCGGCCAGAAGATCAAGAAAGAGGCCCAGCACTACTGGGACGGCACGAAGCTGTTGGCTACCGAAGTCAGGATCAGTTCTCGGCTTGCGCTGAAGATGGCTGCGGGCTACGAGCTGAGCCGGAGAGAACACCGCCAGGTGAGTAGTAGCGATCCATTGCGCCGGCCGGGTCTCCCGACCGTTTTGCTGTCTTCCCCGCTAATGATTTATCTCTGAAAACAGCTCCGCAGAACGGTGACAGACCTGGGCCGCCTGGTTCCCTTCTCCATGTTCGTCATCATCCCCTTCGCCGAATTGCTGCTCCCGGTCGCGCTCAAGCTCTTCCCCAACATGCTGCCCAGCACCTATGAAGGCCAGAAGGGTCGCGAGAAGAAGGCGCTGAAGCTCAGCTCAACGCGGAAGGAGGTGTCGGGCTTTTTGAAGGACACGCTGCGTGAGTCGGGTCTGCCGGTGACGGCGGCGACGGTGAAGAACGAGGAGTTCACCGAGTTCTTCAAGAAGATCCGGACGACGGGCGAGTCGCCGACGCCGGAGGACGTGATCAAGGTGTGCAAGATCTTCAAGGATGACCTGACGCTGGACAACCTGTCGCGGCCGCAGCTGGTGGGCATCTGCAAGTACATGAACCTCAACTCGTTCGGCACGGACGCCATGCTCCGGTACACGATCCGCCACCGCATGCGGCAGATCAAGCGCGACGACCGGGCGATCTTCTACGAAGGTGTCGAGTCGCTGTCCGTGCCCGAGCTGCAGATGGCGTGCGCCTCGCGCGGTATCCGCACGCACGGCGTCTCGCCCGCCCGCTTGCGCGAGGATCTGTCCGTGTGGCTGGATCTGCGTCTCAAGCAGGGCGTCCCCTCCACGCTGCTGGTGCTGAGCAACGCCTACGTCTACGCGCAGGGCGGCAAGGAGGCGGAGATGGCGACCCAGATCGAGTCCCTGCAGTCGGTGCTGTCCAGCATCCCCGAGGAGCTGTTCCACGAGATCGAGCTCGAGGTGCACAACGCCGAGGGCGCCGCCACCAACAAGCAGCGCTTGGAGGTCATCAAGGAGCAGCAGGAGCTGATCGAGGAGGAGAATAGCCAGAACAGTGAGAACGAGGAGACGGGCGTCTCCGCGCCGCAGGACACCGAGGATATTGACGACGACAAGGACGACGCGAAGTACCGGCCGTCGTCGCAGTCCGGCGAGGCCAGCGAGGCTGTCAAGGAGGGTGAGAAGGTCGAGGAGACCCCTGCGCAGCCGCCCAAGGAGGAAAAGAAATAAGCATTTTCCATGCCGTGTGTTTTTAAATTGACTGGGGGCGTTGTTTCTTGAATTTGATGACCCTGTGACATAGACATATTACTCTACTTTTTGTCTTTTTTTCCTTTCTTCTATTCTGTGTTAGTGTTTAAACAATATAGACTTTACTTGAGACAAGCCAGGAACCAGTGCAGCTACTTGGCCGTGTTACCGACAAACAGAAATCTGCCTGCAACCCAGCAGTAGAGAATGAGATTGAATGACACAGGATTCATCCCCCCCTCCTATAAACAAGATGAACATGATTACTTCTGTGCCAACGCGCGAAATCATTGTCGCCCACACTAAACGAACCCCCGCGGACAATTCCAATCCTCTACAGCTCAACCTCGGCAACCAAGAAAACCGGCGCAACTGAACTTCTCCAACCGCAACCCTATCACCCAATACACTCCTCTCATCGTCTCTACTCCCCTTAAACAAAAGTTTTACAAGCGGGACCTGCCATGCGCCCCTCCCGCCCCAGACTCCTCTTGAATTTAACCTCACGAATCCACCGAGTCTCCCACCCCACGGCATCCACCCGACGAGCCCTGACGAGCGTCTCCCCCGCCGCCAGGATGCCACGCCTGAACCCGTTATCTCAGGTATGAGTAGTACTCCTATTGCATGCATGTCCTCTTGCCCGTGGAACAAGATCGTCACTCTCCTTATCCACCCTCGACATTATCTCTACAGAGCAACCCCAAACACCCCAGTTCTTCCTCCCCGAGCCCGAGGGAAACAAAGAGACGGATAGATAAATGACGTAACGCCACCACTGCACACCACAACCCAGATAACCACCCTCTCAGCTGAATCCCCATACCAACCCCAAAATCATGATAAACGGTTCTCACGACGAAAGCCAAGTACTGACAGAAAATAGACCGCAATCGACCGCCTAAGGAACTACACCCCCCCGCCCACCAGCTACGAGCAAGTCCCGCTGTCGCGGCGCGCGGCGGTCCTGGTGCTGCTGTATGCGGACCGGACGGGCGAGTTGAGGGTTGTGTTGACGATGCGGGCGAAGACGTTGAGTTCTTGTTCGTCTTCTTCTTTTCTACTTCTCTAATCATGGACGGTGGGGAGGGGTGGTTTCCCCCAATTTCTGGATTCTGGACCGAGGGTGTAGGGCTGAGTTATGCTGATGCTTGATGATGGTTGTGGTTCTAGATGCAGGACAGGCTGCGTTACCTGGTGGTGAGCTTCCCTGCTTACTCTAACTAGTGAAGGGGTGAGGGTTGGGACTTTCTGATCTACGACCTTCCAAAGAGACAGGACAGAGCTAACCATCAACGACAAGGCCGCGCCGACACCCTGTCCGAAACCCCCTTCCAAACCGCCCGACGCGAAGCCCACGAGGAAATAGGTCTACCCCAGACGGACTCCGAATTCCCGCGGCCGTTCCGCGTCGAGCACCTCTGCGAGCTCCCCGCCAACCTCGCTCGAACGGAGTTAGTGGTCCGGCCGTGCGTGGCCCTGCTGCATTCGTACGATGAGACCACAGGCGAGAACGCCGATCCCGAGGTCTCGCTGATCCCCCGGTTAGACGCGAGGGAGGTGGCGGCCGTGTTCACGGCGTCGTTCCGGGATTTCTTGCGCATGAAACAAGATACGGATTCCGAGTGGTATCGCGGGGCGTGGACCGAGTGGCATGAGAGTCGGTGGAGGAGTATGTTCTTCTTCTTCTTCCCTTTCGTTTCTTTTCTGTCGTCTTGGTCCAGGTGGAAGGGCTTGGGATGAGCTGAAGCTGATAGAACGACAGTGCACCAATTCTTCGTCCCCGTTCGGCCTGAAGAAGTAGTCAAGCCGAGGCCTGAGACTCAAGAACGGAAACAGGTCCTCGGGCAGCTCGAAAACCTGGAGAAGGCTGCCTCCGCTGGCGTCGCGCGGTACCGCGTCTGGGGCATGACGGCTCGCATCATGGTGGACGTGGCGCGGGTTGCGTACGCCCTGGAGCCGGAGTTCGAGCACAATAGCCACTTTGGCGATGAGGCGATGATCTCACGGTTGCGGTTGATGGGGCGGTTGAGTGCTGTGCGGAGGAAGGGCGATCAGTTGACTAGTGAGGATATGAAGTTGGCGGCGAAGCTTAGTTGAGCTGTTTCCTGCTTTTGCTCCTGCTTCTTTGGAGACAGATGTTATGATACCATGCGTTGATTGCATTAGATGCGCTGCTTGGCGATAGAGCCCTGGCCTTACTGGTAGTAAGTTAGATAGCTGAGTATTCGTCTTCATTAGAGTAAATAGTCTTCATAATTTCAGCTTAGCTACTCAAGGATCTACTCCGGTGTCTGGCTAACAGCTCCAGAACCCCTGAAGCGTTCGAATATCTACTCGAATTTGTCAGCCTCCCTGCTCAGTTTATAGTCCGCTGCACGACCCAATATTGGGACTTAGAGGTGACACAAACGGAAGACACTAGCAAACACCCAAGCTCATAACATACCCTGCTAAGCACTAGTGCTAAAGCCCAAGCAAACTTCTCTGGACTTCTCAAGCCATCGCGTCACAAACACAGGGTCATGAGTACCAGCCAAGCTGCACAAAGCCACCACCTCGAGTCCGAGCCGGTTACACTCAAGCACAGTATTATCAAACCTGGGCAGTGAGCGTTATGCATAAAGATGAAGGAGAACCATCCTCCATATTGGAACATAATCTCAAATCCCAATCGACAGCACACGCGAGATCGCAGACACTTCTTACCTAGCACAGGCTGTGACAAATCTTCTTTTCTGCTGCATAGTTACTCAATGCATAGGTAGCAGGTAGGTCAGTCGGTCAGACCCGTCCATTGAGTCTCTGCTCCATGGGGACTGGTGCGATGGGATGTACGTGCTCGGGCAGAACTCCGATGACTTGCTTTGATTGCTTCGCTGCATGTATGTACCCGTGGCTACGAACTATTACGTGGTAGCGATCCGTGTCTTTGGTAGAGAGGGCGGTTCGCTGGAGGGTGGAGGGTGGATGCACTTTGTCTGTCACTATTTAGTTGGGTGTAATGTTGTGATCATCTCCGTGGGTTATGCAGGCATAGGGACTACAGGAGTGTTTGCGTGGTGGTGCAGTATCACTATTAGGTGATGTAAGCGCTCAACCAGACGTGGTTCTAGCGCCGATGATCGCAATTAGATCATGAGATGCTTCTGCTATGGTACAGTAAACTGGATTAGATTGTTGGGTGTGCCGGTTAATCCAGACTCTTGGGTGGAGTTGTTGCTTCACTTCTTACTTCTAGTGCAGCGCTTATAGTACAGATCTTACTCATAGTACAGAGAGCACAGAAAGTAAGGTTTACTGACGAGCAGGTCAGCCTGCACTGAGCTGATTTATTTTTACATTCTGAAAAGACGGGGTAAGTGAACGGCATCCGGATTTATCTTTTGGAGTACTGGTATATACTTCTGAATGTAACAAGAACATCCTATAAAGCACCCAGAGAGGAAGAGGTATAGGCACTGGGGCTCTTGCATCCACTGAGAACAGAAATTCAAAAGGCGAGGGGGGTGCAGGATTATACCTAGCACCCAGCCGGAGCATTCATAGCTAGATCCTGTTGCCTCGATGAAAAGTAGACAGCTGATGCGATCCAGGTACAGCTGTACAGCTCCTTTGCCCCTGTGTGAGTGCCAGCAAATGACGTAATCACTAAACGCCTTGCAATAAGATATAGTCAACACTCAGCAGCTAGTCGCCTGATACCTTTTCACCAGGACGAATGGACAACCTACCTTCCAACCTGGCTGGCTGATATCAGTAACGAGTTCCACGCTGGACGCTGCTTCGGTTTCTAAAGCTGTCCTCTGCGACCTACAACGCCTTTCTCATGAGGGACCCAAAGCAGACCCAATCCCAATCGTCCATGAAAAGGTCTCAGTTTCAAACTTACCCGCCATCACCTCGCTGCCAGATACGACCAGGGGCTGGAATACATCCAGATGTCCTCTTCGAGGCGGCTAATTATTCCGCTTACGGACCCAGTTCCCTGCAAGTCTCACGCGGTACCTAATAGATCACCTCCCGGCACCCTTAAAAGAGAAGCTTCAGAAGGAGGTTGAGTGCAATACGCGCGAACGATCGAAAGGTACGCTAGCTTTCCATTCCAATAACTATTTATCTCAAAGTGAGAGAAGTAAGCGAGAAAAAGACCCCGATAAATCCGCCCTCGGGAAGAAAACAACCGAATGCATCGGGAAGTGGGTTGCTCCGAACGAATTTGTGGCGCATCTTACGCGACTGCATGCGTCGATGGAAGACTACGGAGTATGGACGCTGGATCGCGCATTCAATCCACATGCTGGGGGTGTCGTGAGGATGCAAGGATGTATCACGTTCCGGCCGCGGCGGCTTGGATTGATGTTTTGAGGCGGAGGTCTATTGTTGGTTGGTGTAGGAGTCATCAGAGGATAAAAGGGAGCAGTGGAAGAGGGGATTTCGTCCGGTTCTTCCATGTTCGGATGGGTTTTCAGCGGATACGAGAGGAAAGGCGTGGATGGCGCTCAATAGGATGAGAGAGGTGGAGGGGTCGGGTGAGCGTAAGGTATAGTGTAACTGGGTCTGCTGGTAATGCGATGTTACCGACATGGATTGGATTGTGCTGTATACTGAGTACGGCTTCCGCAAGATTGAAATGCTATCAAGAAGAGACTGGCTCGTGGTAAAATGCCGACACTGGATGACGGCAACCATACTTCGACCGCTGACTAGTACAGTATAACCGGCATTTATTGTGAAACTGTTCTTAGGTGGCTGCTATCATAAGGGAGCGCCAGTGGGTGTGGACGGCGGTGAAGGCTAGAATGCTATCAGAGTAGACGACTGTCAGAGTAGACTGTCGGAGTGGACGGCTGTCAGAGTAGACGACTATCGGAGAGGACGGCAGTCAAAGTGGACGATCATTCGCACGTCCAAGCCATAACCTCGTATTCCCCTCTGCTGATCGCACAGTCGAGTCTCACCGACTGACGCTGGCTGCCCAAGTCTTATCTTCCAAACCTTGCAGTCTATAAAGTATGTTGGGCCTTACCGGTTTCAATGTGACCAGGAACACAAACATGAGTAATGGTGATGTCAGACCCAATGCCTTTCCGCGCCGATCAAAGCTTTGTTGGCATTATGCTCTGTGGATTCTTGTTTGACGGTGAAAGGATATGCGGTCTGTTCTCCGATTGTCAAGATGGCGGGCCGCCGCCAAACTCGGCAGCAATAATGACCGCCACAAGATCGATCGCCACCGGGCGGTATATCTGAAACGAATCGACTGGGCCGGTGGGCCAGATTGCTGGAAGCAGCAGCGGTGTCCAATGCGATTGGTGGCCCCATTGCGTGTCTCCGGTTCTAGAAGGTCTACAATCCAAGCAATGTTGATCTTTTCGGCCCATTCCCGGGCTGGCGAGTGGAGCAGGACTGCTCGGTCGTGGGGGGCATGCTATCGCCTCGTCCAGCATGAAATCACGAAATCTTGGATGAGAGGCTCGTCGCGTTGTTCACCGTCTCTTGAGAGATGATCGGTGGTCTACTTGGTATCCGGGCCTGGGAACACGATTTGAATCCCACCACCCGAATTATGCCCGACTCGCGTCTGTCGCACCGCAGGTCCGCTGCAGGAGGCAATTGTGGCGCTGTATATTGACAACAGTTGTTGTGGGTGTCGTCTTCAGTGGGTCGGGCTATCACCGGGACTGGTCTCGTCTCGGGGCCCTGGGCTGCTGACAACCACGGCCATGCTGGTGAGTCCCGCGGCAGAGGGACGAACAGTGGAGGGGAACGAGAACGAGGGAAGACCGAAAGGAGACCCAAGGGAGAATGGTCTATCCAACGGCACGAGCCGGGTACTATATGACCTGTCAACACTCGGATGAAGACTATCATTTAGTTCCTTGCAACTGTAGCTCCACTGCCCAGCCGATCCAGCGCATGGTGGAGGTTGGGTTGGGAGATCGGCCAGCCAGTGTGATCAAGAACCTTTCTGGTTCGACACGAGCAATGTAAAACTCTATGTGAAGGGCATGATTCAATCAAGGCCAAGGTATGCCTTGAAAGATGAAACAATGATCATTCTGGTTCCGAGGAGCCGGGTCTTAATGTAGGCGATATTGTGTCACCGGCGGTTTGGTTCTGTATTGGATTTCGAACAAAGACCAGCGACGCAGACTCCGAGGTCATATTGGAACCGGCCGAATAAACCGCTGAGGCCGAAAAGGGAGGGAGAATAACGTGGCAGAGAATTGGAAGAAAAAGAAGAAAAAGGCAACCCACAGGGAGATCCTCCCTACCGCAATGTGATGTATCCTAATGTATGTCATGCTAAGTTAAGCGAAGTGTAACTTTGTTTTATTGCCCTAGCTGCAGCAGCCAGGCACCAGATTGTGAGTGGCTGTCACTAATGAGCTGGACGATAAAAATGAGAAGAATTCTTGACAATCGGCCATGTCCGAGGAGAACAAGATAGAAAGAATAAGAGAGAGAGACGGGGAATGTGTGAGTGTCGAGAAGTGGAAAAGACAGGCGAGTGACAAGAACAAGAACTCGATGACTACTCCGTAGACGTTCAGTTCATCGGGCAACGGAAAAGGGCTAGACTTGGCGGGGGGAGAAGATCGGACTAAAGCCCCAACAATAACTATCTATTCCCCAGTGTCTTCGTATTCTGTTTCTATTTCCCGTTAGTCTGTGGAGATGCTAGTCCAGTACTCAATGGTTACTAAGTTAGAATCGGTCTGAGCTGAGTGATATGATTATTATTATGATTCTGGTCATCACCTTCAATCTCTGTATGCAAACAGGGAACTTCCCCCCCCCCCCCATCTCGATCGAGTCCATTCCCAGTTCTCATCCCTTGCATGGATGTGTCACTCTGATGAGGCTGTTCATGACTCCATGCCCATGATGACCACGACGATCCTGCAGCCGACCAGGAACCGTGCTTGGGAACTGGAATTAATTATTTACATAGCATAAAATAATCATATTTGGGAGATTCAAGATTCAAGCCAAGCGGGTCCAGCCATCCCTTTGAGACCGCAACAACGCCCTCAGCTCTTGACTGTAATCCGGTCTGCTCCGCCCGTTAACCGGGCAGGACAAACTAGGGATGATGAGCTGGATCATGGATCATGGATCATGGATGGATGGTTGGAGGTAATGATGATTTTCATTTCCTTTTTTGTCCTCATCATTCATGGTGATGATAAATAAATGCGGCCTCGTTTAACTGCAGCCTTTATCCCCTTTTCGACTCTAGTCCAGCCTCATGCATACTGATCGCATCGCAACCAGCAAGCAAAGCAAAGCAAAGCAAAGCAAAGCAAAGCAAGCAACGCAAGCAAGCAGGCAATCAATCAATCAAGTATCGGTTCGTTGCCTGTTCCCGATTCTTTCTGCTGCTTGAATCTGTTCTCGTGCTTCAACCTCCTCCTTCTCCTCCCTTTCCTCGTTTCATTCGCTTTTAACCCCTCCTTTATCTTCCTCTTCCCTTCCCCCCCTCATTGTGCCGCTTCTTTTCTTCCTTTCCCTTTCCTTTCTCTTCTTTCTTTCTCCCTGCCTTTCATTCTAATTCGGGAGTCAAGCAAAATATGGTCCTGACCTTTTCTTTATCAATTTATCCTGCAACCCCTTTGCAGTCCCGCAGCAGACCTACGGCAACAGGTTGAGGGCGTGAATGAGCGTGAAAGGGACTGGTGGTCATTAATTCGATCGGCCTCAGCCTGTCATCCCAGACGCCAACAAAGGTTAAAAGTGCACTGAGCAGCACGCGACGGGGTGATAAAAAGAAGCAGAGTGCCTGACTGACTAAAACTACTTCCTCCCCACCATCTCGCCTAGTCTGGCCCAATCTGCATCGAGTACGTGCTTTATCGGGCTTTCAGGCTAGAGCCTATCGATCTACTTCAGGCGTGCCTCCCACAGCACCCACATCCGTCCCCAAGCCTTTTTTAGAACTTCACTGGCCACTCACTCCATTCTCTACTTTTTTGGGGACTGGTTGTTTCATCCCCGGAGGAAAGGAACAACTCAGCAGTGGGTTTGCGGAGTCGGTGAATCCTTCTCTTTCATTCTTTGATCTTTGACCCCCCTCTCACCACCCCCTCCACTCCCGCGGTTTTATACACTCCCATTAGCCGCCCATCGGGGCCGTCACTCAATCCAACCCCACTCCGATCAACATGCTTTCGCCCTCCTCGTTGGCGCTGGCACGAGAAGCTCCCCCTGTGAGACCGTCTCGGTCCTTAGAAGGATTGGAACAAGTCATTCCGCCTCGAATCACTCTGCCGTCCGTTCGCCCAACCTTACTCTTAGATAAACCGCTCCCCGAGCTGCCCGTCAAACCTCTACCAGAAGCACCCGCCATGGATACAGGCTCAACTGCCTGGAGCGACGACAGCAGCATGGTCTCTAGCTTCTATGGTAGTCGACGCTTTTCCGAGGTGTCCACCGAGAGCTACCCCGTTTTTGTCCGTTCAGGGTCCGACGATCTAACCGAGCTTGTCGATCATCCTCCCGCTTCCGCCCCCATCGATCACTACAGAGACTCCAAACCGCTGGCCATCACCGCCACCTTTTTGCACGATGACCAGGTCGACCGTCCGGCCCCGTGGACGGTCAAGTGCACCGGTCCCAACCATTACTTTCGTGAGAAGAAGTGGGATTTCTTCCCCGAACTCGCTCCTCAATCTGCCTTACCTCCCCGACCGACCAACCAGGCTGCGGCCTCTCGCAAAAAGAGCTGTAGTCGACTGAACCTTGCGGTCTTCGACTTCTCTAAGAGTCGCGGTCGCTGGAGCTCGTCTGACAAGGGGGGACGAGCTCTTGCGCATGACGTTCGCGACTCAATTCGATCATACGTGCAGCGCCGGTTGTCCAAACACTCGGTCGACCGAGACACTGCCCGGCCAAGTTCGCGACCCGAATTGCACCGGGACACACGACCCGAGACGCAACCTGATTTGCGACCGGACACAGTACTGTCAAACCATACGCAGGATCGAGCGCCATCGCTCGAGTGGACGCTGTCGAAAGAACGCACCGATGTCGTGAGCCCGCTGATGCCACCCAGCCCAATGGAATTCCCCAGCTCGGACAGGCGGCTGTCCGGGGGGTCGTCACGGTCGACGGTCGGTTCTCGAGTGAAACGTCCGCCACCTCTCACTCTGCGGAAGAAACAGCCGGCTGTCCCTCTTAGCCCTTACCAGAAGTATGGGGCTTCGATCTGGGAGAAGCCAGGCCGGGAGAAGCGCATCAGCTATCGGCAAAACCGCCAGGTGCGGTTTCCGAAATATGGCAAGAAGAGCCCGTCGACACCGAAAGGATTCATCTCATCGGCCACGCCTCCTCTGACACCCCCGGCTCGGTCTCAACTACAACAGAATACTCGTGACTATGTCAAGGCGTTTCACCATGGAACGTCGCACTTGTTGGGCGCCCTTGGCGGCGCTCGAAAGAAAATCACCGGGACCAAGCTCGAGCGCCGGCACTCGCAGTTGAAATCGCAAATCCGTCTCATTGGCCCGGTCAGCCCATACAACACCCAGGGACAGACTGACCCATGGGTCTGAGCCTTGGCAACCACTTTCTTCCCAACCTATTTATATCTATATTCGGTGGTCTTTCATCAACCCTATACTTTTGGCATGGTGGTCATATTAGCGTGTCTTTCATTATTGGTTTGTAATTTCTCATCTCTTGTGGTTCTCACTATCTTCACTCGATATCCCGTTGGCATTTTGGAGGTTTACGTTAGGCGTTGAGGCTCTTTGTATGGACCGAATCATAAGATTGTTAGTTTATAGTCATGGTGTGCATATCATGACCCTATCTACACCTTTTCATGATCACTTGACTTGCCCTACACCAAAACGTGTAGTACCTAAACGCACTGTCCCCTTCCGGAAAATTCCACAGAGTAATGACTCCACCCCAAGAATGCAATCCAAACACGTGCCAGGGCGAGTATCTGTCTGTCTGTCTATCGTTCCCTTGCGCATCCCACCAACCCTGCCAAGTCACCCCCATGATGTGTAATTCCCGTGCATGAAGATTGCCCTACAACCCACACCAGGGGTTAGCCGTGCATGCACGATCCTCCCCTTGTACAACCTCGGGAAATTACCACGCTGGTCGCTAAATTGCAGGATATTCGCAGATGACTTGTGGCGGCAGGGTGCTTCAGATTGTGCATAAGGCATCCGCGTATGTTGCGAGGATGGAATGCATCAGATTTATTCGGGGTACGGAGCATTCTTGATTGTTACAGCTGTATGCATGTTGCGGCAGGGATGGGGTGCATTTGTGGAGTGCGGAGTGCGGAGTGCGTAGCTTGGTTCTGGTGGCGGTGGCTTTGCCTTATTGATTAGCTGGTTGGGGGTTGTCTTGTGGGTATTGCATGCTTACTGTACTCTGGACTATCCGGCTAGAGGGTTTTGTGTAGTTGTTTGCGTGCTTGCTTGGTGTAGAGGTGAATCGTCCCTGTGCTTTGTACATTCCAGTTTGGGCTCGACTATTGAGTGTCTGTCACTCGATTCTTGTTCAAGGTGCTATTCATTTTCAATACCTTGTATAAGATTGAATCTATCTTAGACTATGAGATAGTGAATACGTAGGTTGCTTCACTCTTGTTCTTCTGTGCTGGTCTTAGCATGATAGACCTTGTCTACTCTCGTTATTCCTCTTCTTACAACTTCATACTTGTCTATACCGTTCCATTCGGGGGAGCCTGACTCCAGGTCTTGCGACTACCTATCATGTTGAGATGATTATATACTCTTTTCATATCTTTATCTGAGATCTCCGTTCCACTAATCTCTGATCTTCATCCAACTACAATGTGAAAGTAAGATCCCCACTCGTCCCACATAATCATCTCCCAACTTCACCCATTCAGAGACACCTATCATCAAGCCGGGCTATCAATATCTACTCCATTGGTATGTATACAGCATAAAAGACCTCTTTAGACACCCACAGAGCCTCAGACTCGTCCACCCCAGCCAAATCCGACGACGAACATATGAGACAAAAAGCTTTTAAATTAGTTATTATTAAAGATACAGACAACAACAGCAAGACGAGGCGCTCCAAGCGTGGGCCTGAGCCATCTGAACCAGGTTGGACCAAGAGGCCCAGGCTGAGCAACAACACCATTATTAAAGCCGGCACGGTCATTTCTGCGCCAGTCTACACCAATAGGCAACTGATCGACTTACTACCTTGCTTCCAGCGAGTGAGAAGCGAGCGAGAAGCTCAGATAGCAATACGAGCAAATCTCTCTACAACTTGAAAATCATGCGAGATGAAATCCAGAATGACAAAGAGGACGATAACAAGACTCAACAGGTCTATCTACGAGCGGCTTTTCGCTATACATCCCGAACCGCGATCTAACAAAGTAAGTGCTCTACCTAACCCTTTCCATCTCCACCCACAAGCCAAACTAGCATGAGCCCAAAGCTCAGCGATGATAAACCTCGCGAATATAAGCTTACAAGACATGCAACGCAGGCTATTCCATCGCATCGTCGACAACTACCGGAGGCGGTAGATCCAAGTCCAAACAGGAAAATGATCTTGACTCTGTTCAGCATGAACCGGCGCTTCACGGCTGTCATACAGTCTTGATGCGCTACAAATCAGGCGCCTAGAGAGATGATCGGCGGATGCGATCCACCGACGGATTGCTCTGCTCGTGGCTGTTGTTCGGTAGAGCTACGATATTTACCGAGAGGGACAGCGATCTTGATCCCAGTGCTGGACATGAGAAGGACCGCATGAATGATCTTTCTGTCTACTTTAGAAAATTCCGACCTTTCCAGGAATCCTGATGACTGCCGAACAGCTAGGATTCAGAGGACGAGCGAGGTCTGCAGATTCATGCTGAATCAATTAAAATCCCAGCATCTACATCGAGGATCGAGAGGTAAATCTCGGAAGAAGCGCCCTGGGCCTATTACTCCGTCATTCGAGCATTCCAAGGACTAGATGCAATTCTAGTAGATACAGTTATCCTCGACAAGAGGATCCCAAGGGAAGATAGCGGGTCGGTTGGAGCACATGGAAAAGGAACTCCTTGGATTTCTTGCAGGTGTCATTACAGATGTGTATGAAGGCGCGATTCGTCAGAGTCTACATGCCCGAGACTCCAAGACTAAGAGACGAATGCTTGGGCCCAATCACAAGGGAATTCCTGACTTCTACCAAGCGAGATATGCTCTCGACACGAGGCCTTATCCCGCGTCGACTTTTATGGTAAGCAAGATCCCAGAGATAGCGGTGATCTCATTCAGCCGGCATTTGAAAATGAGATCAGACCGATAGGGCACCACCATACCTTGAATCGAACAAAAGACCTACACCTTACTCGATTGTCGAAAGACATGTGGATCTGAGATCAAGCTACTGTAGGGTCTATACCTTGACCGAAATCGGCTGAAGGGTGTAGACCCTACCTCGAGCCCTGGGCCCTACCAGGGAGGATATAGAACAGACACGACAGGAGATGCTTCGTCGCCTTGCCGATTACGATTAGCATTGTTGTGGCAGTCCTACTTATATGTATGCTCTTCTTTTGCGTTACTGAATTTTCAGATATTGATCTCTTTTGGGGGGAGAGGTGTGCCGAGCGTGTCTTCCCATTATGGAAGCGACAGCATGTAATGGTGTCGATCTCTTAGGCCCTGGGGCAGGCTATCACAGATTATAGCTACCACCACCACCACCGCTTCCATCAAATCGTACACGATTCTCATAACAGTGATGTCTAAAGCTCATCTCAGCGTGAAAAGCCAGAAGCGAGAGGCGTATCATTGCCCCCAAAATAAAGCCCGCAAAGGAACAAACGCCCAAACGCTGGAGAATCGGTGATCCTAAGCCGAACGACAAGACTGCACGAGAGTCCTGGCCGGTGGTCGTCGATACCGTTTGGAATCCGTTAACCGGAGCAGTAGACTGGCCACCATTAGGCGTTCGTCTTAATGACGCTTTCGATTTTCTGCCCGCAGTAAAGCACATACGAGTCAAGGAACGCTCAGACCGATTTCCCGCAGAGTTCGACCAAAGTGGATTGTGCCAATGTCATCCACTCCGGCTCCTATACCACCCGCCCTAATTCAAGGGACTGCATCAGCACCAGCTCTCATACCTGTACCAGCTTGTGACCGGGATTCTCGGCGACGCCCATTCATGATCTACACTCTTGGGATTCTGACACGGTTTGAAGTGTGGATGGTTTCAGGTGATATTTTAGAGGGTGCAGGTAACTATCCCCTGTCACTCCTTTAAGAAATCAGATCTGTAACTTTTGATTGAAGAGACGGGGCGAGATGGCGATGAATGGTTAGGTTATTCTGCTTATCTGTTCATCGATGATGCTCAGCAATCATATGAGATGCTGAGTTGATAAACGGCCTGTACAGGGGTAGAGTACGTGTGTCGGTCATGTCACCTCCCTATTTGGAACTAGCAGTATTCATACATAGTGATAGCTATCAATACCACGAACAGCTTCTTCTTCTTCTTTTTCAATCTCAGTTACTGCTGTAGACTGCCACAGAACGAGTAAATCAAGACCAATTTGTAGGTTGTCGAAGGCGAGCCAGCTGCTCTACGGACATTGCTTCAGTTTCAAAAGTAAAATATCTTGTATACGACAGTCGCTAATCGAAGTTGAACGAAGACAATAACGATCTGGGACGGGATTTCCGACTCCGACTCTGGCCCACAGGACCAATAGAAGCATTCATTGCCCGGGGAGAATTGTGCGGGTGCTGAACTCCGGTATGGGAATGGTAGCATGTCCAGGGCTTGTCGACGACGACGTTGACGAATACGAGCTCCTGGGAGGGCGTAATGGTCCGAGTGGCGCGACATGCGCCTACCCTGGCGTGTTTGGGAGTGAGCTTCAAGCACTGAGCGCAACCACGTTGCCTCGGGTCAGAGCGATGAAGTCAAGGTTCCTCGACTCGAGCATGAACTTTTTGGTCTCGCCATGGTGGGAGGGGGAAGAGTGGATGGTGAAGCTCACCTCTACGGTATGCCTGGGACTTTTCCCGTTGCACTTCGAGGTCGTTTGTTTCCTCGCTAAATTCGAATGAGTGAGAACCAGATTTCCCGTGGCGCTCACCAGGGGCAGCAACTGTCGTCGACGTGGGAGGAGGCGTTGGTAAGACTCTGGTGGCCCACTCTATCCGGAAAGCCCTAACTGAAGAGGGAACGCACAGGGGGTTTTTGCTTGCAGCTATCGCAGCTGTACTTTGATCTCCAGTTCGTTATCCAAGACCGGGCACCCCGCGCTGCGTCAAGGCGAGACTATCATCTGGCCACGTGAAAACCCCCGAGGCGATCAAAATTAGGGCGCGTGCGATTTGTCCCGCACGATTTCTTCGAGGAGAACCCGGTGCGCGAAGCAGGGGTCTCTTGGGCTACACCGGCCCTCCTATTCTGTCACGTCCGCATCTTCACCGGGCTCGTGGAGATATCTCGGGGGAGTGTTCTGGTGCAGAATGGGATTATCACGGCCGTGTCAGATCAGGCTGAGATGCAACCGCCCAATGCCTCCACCATAGTCCTTTCTCGCCCTGGTCACACGCTATTGCCTGGTTTTATAGACGGCCACGTTCATGTGTGGCGACAGACCGCGCCGCTGCTGCAGTCCCGGGGCTTTTGGACTGACCACCGTCTGCGATATGCACTTGGAGACGCAGTTCGTGCCGGAGCTGTGCGCCGTGCAGCGGCGGAGGACCCAGACGCTGCAGATTTCCGAACCGCCAGCCAGGCATCGCCTGGGCGACCGAGGGAGAATCGCCGTCGGGGGCTTCGGGCAGATCTGGTGCTTGTCGAGGGGAATCCAATGTTGAACATTCATGACACGTTGGATTTTGCGCGGTGTGTGGAAGAAATGCACCTTGTGTTCTGTTTACAAGGAGAATTAGGGTAAATAGTACACGGGATTGTCATCGATCCCCTCAGGGAACCAGTGTACAAAGTGTATTCTTCGGACATCTTGTAGAGAATCTTGTTGAGAACAATTTCTTTTAATGACGAAAGGCAAGGAAGGTATAATCACATGTCACTGAATTAAACAACTGACCGTCAAGAAATCACACTGCAAGCTTCTCCCCCTTCATCAGGAGGCTGGCAACCAGATGAGTCCCGCCACCCACACGCACCAGAATAAACACCTTCTGCATGGCTTTGGTAATGACCAGGATGGCCGTCGTCTTGTGCTCGGCGTCAAGGTCCTGGAACAGAGCACTCTGCGCGCCAGCCACGATGCTCTGGATGTCGGAGGTAGTGTAGCCGGTGCCAGCAAGGGCAGCCGTTAGCCCGCTCTGTGCATAGGTCTGGAAGACTTGGCCGGCGATGACGAGGGCGATGACGGAGCCGCCAATCTGGGCATAGTTCTGCAGACAGAGCGCGCTCCCTTCCTGGCCGGGCGCCTTGAGGCTGGCGACGGCGTAGCCCAGCTGGAGCGTGAGGCCCGTGCCGACAGCGGTGAGAACCGTGAAGCCATAGATATAGCTCTCCCGGTGTCCGGAGTCAAGTAAACGGTCAGCAGCACGCTGCCTAGGATGATGAAAACCGCGGAGACGCAATACACGGGCTGGTAGTACTTGACTCGCGCAATCAGCGAGCCAGCGCCCAGATTCAAGAGCACCGTCACCACAATGTAGGGCAGCAGCCGCACCGCCGCGTCCAGCGCCGAATCCCCGTGCACAAACTGAAAATAGATGGGCACATAGTAGACGATAATGAAGATTGAGGTAATGGTGCTCGAGGTCGCCACGTACAGGAGAATTTGAGACCGAGACCGAAGAAGCTGTACCGGCACGCATCGGTCCTCGAGCGTGGTAAAGATGCACCAGGCCTGCTGCACCCCCCACAACACCCACAGAACCGCAAATACCACGATACTCGCGATTGTACGCCCGTCATCCCACCCCCACTGCCCCCCGCCATGGTAAAGGCCAGGGTAAAAGCCACCGAGGTGCCGGCTCCAAGTACGAACCCAACCCAATCGAGACGGCGTAGACGGGCCAGCAGCGGTGTCTCCGCCCCGAGATTGACAGAGGGCATACAGAGCCAGGTAACCGGGGTGAACACCCCAGCAATAATCAGATTGATGTAGAAGGAGAAGCGCCAGATCACGGACGAGTCCGTGAAACAGCCGCCAATCACAGGACCCAGCACCGCACCCAGCCCCCAAGTGATGCCCGTGCCCGTGATGTAGGCGCCGCGCTCCTGAGGGATGGTGAAGCTGGTGAACAAATTGAGACAGCCCATATACAGTCCGCTACCCCCTGCTCCAGCAACGACACGACCAACAATCAGGGCGGCCATGTTAGGGGCTGCACCGCACAGCGCCGATCCCGCCGCAAAGATGACCGTCGACCCAATATAGGACCACTTCATGTCGAAGCGCGCGTACAACACATCGCACACGCAGATCACCGCCACCGACCCCAGCGGGAATCCAAATCCAATCCACGACAGCTCATTCACCTCCCCGAACTGCTCCACTATCGTCGACTGCACATCTGCTGCGATGGTAGCGTCCAAGCCGTAGACAAACAAAGAGACGTAAAGCGGGATGCATACTCCAATCCACCTTATCCCCGTAATGGTGCGAGCCGAGGAGGGGGAAGAGGTGGCGCCGGGCTTGCTGTCGGATGGAAGCAATGTGCTATCGCTTGTGAACTCGGGGAGACCTGTTGGGGCTGACGAGAGACCGGCTTCCTCAGCCGCATGACTGTTGTAGGTATCGCCTGGGGCCGTGTATATGATATTGCATTATATACACATACTATACTATATCTGCACTGCTTAAGCATCAGTAGCCCGAAAACTACTGCAAGCCCTGCCACCACTGCTTCTGGCTGTAATCCGGTCCATCGGCTAATATCTGCTCATTGCAGAAACGTAGTAGCTACCTGCTCGTCATCGCTTGTTGTAAACAGCTGGAGATACTCGAGATCCTGCGACTATTTCAACCATGGCTGGTTACTCACTCTTGGACTGCAGTGGGATCCTGCGATCAGAAAACTACCGAGAGTATCCTGGACTACTTCTACAGTGAAGGGGGTAACTTCCTCGATACCTCGAACAACTACCAGGCCGAGGAGTCCGAGCGGTGGATTGGAGAATGGATGAAGAAGCGCGGAGTGCGCGATCAAATGCTCGTCGCTACCAAATTCTCGACCAACTTTCACGCCGGTCGCGGTGACAAGGAAATCATTGTCAATTTCAGTGGGAATGGCACCAAGAGCCTGCACACCTCGGTGCACGCGAGTTTGGAGAAACTTCAAACCACCTACATTGACCTGGTACGCTTACTTCACAGCCTGAGAGGATAGATGCGTCCGGAGTGGGTAGAGAAAGACTGACTGAGAAATCGACAGCTCTATGTGCACTGGTGGGATTTTGCAACCTCGATCCCCGAACTGATGCAGTCGCTCAACCACCTGGTCGCCGCCGGAAAAGTCCTCTTCCTCGGGGTGAGCGACACTTCGGCCTGGGTGGTGAGTAAAGCCAACGAGTACGCGCGCAACCATGGACTGCGTCCCTTCAGTGTCTATCAGGGCCGGTGGAATGCAGCCTCACGGGACTTTGAGCGGGAGATCCTGTCCATGTGTCGTGCGGAGGGCATGGGAATTGCCCCCTGGGGCGCCCTGGGGGGCGGCACCTTCGTGTCTGAAGCCCAGGAGAAGCGCGAGGGACGAGCAGTGGAACCCGGGGAGAAAGAGCGACAGGTGTCGCGCGTGTTGCAGAAGTTAGCCCAGCGAAAGGGCACGCTTCTAACCAGCATCGCCCTGGCCTATGTGACCAGCAAAGCCCCCTATGTTTTCCCCATCGTTGGCGGTCGCAAGATCGATCATTCGCGCGGAAACATCGAGGTACTCAGCATCAAGCTCTCGGAGGAGGAGGTTCGCGAGATCGGGGCTGCTGTACCATTCGACCTGGGTTTCCCATGAACTTTCTGCATGGGGGAAGCTCTGTGGTCGAGCATCCGGGGCCGTCTGGTTTCTGCGGATGGGAGGTGAGCTCGAACATGTGCCAGAGCCGAAGCCATTGTCCAAAGCATGATGACGTTGGAAGAAAATTCTGGATTTCCATCTGTTCGCTCTGGTCTAACACTTCACTGCAAGCAATAGTCGATTGAATTGGTAAACATGCTGCATAGTACTTTTGATTCGGCCGGCCGAAGAGTTGGCGGTTTCGCCGAACCTGAGGTCATAATGTATAGGGATGGCATTTATAGTCGTCGTTCCCAAATCCAAATTGTCTCGCTCTCCCGGAAGCTTGTCAGGTTCTGGCACAATGATGGAAAAGAGGGGGTTTTGACTAGTACCTACTAGGCAGTAGGTACACACTACCTAGTAGTAACTTGTAGTAAGCCCTAACAATTCTTCCGGGAAGCCCCATTGGTTCTTTCGTATAGCGGCCGTTATCGTTGCTCCGAGCGAAGGCCAAAATCAGTGGATGGATAAATGTTAAACCCCACGTAGTTTTTGCACTGGTGTTCGAGGGACAAATGATAGGGTTGGCCCTTCCCATTGGACGTGGAGTTGAAGCTATTCCCGGCACTTGTCCAAATCGCCAATCCTATGCACTGACCTCGAGCCGAACCGGCCTTCCGTTTTAAGGGCTGTCAACGACGACGTCGGTGGACGGAAATCTCGGCGAACTCCTGCGACGTGAAGTCAATGAGGAGATTCGATAAGATGCACACTGCCAATAAAGCTCCTCCAGCTTGACACCCGCAGACTCGACGGCTGGGACCTAATCCACGGAGAATTGATCGGCAGGATTCCTTTCATGCACGTCCCTTGATTGAAGGTCGGCCAAGAAGCCAATGAAGGTTTGTTGCTGTCACCAATGCCCGGAAATCAAGCTTCGATATCTGCCATGAATGAGCTTGAACGATGCCTACCAAAGCGGTGGACCGAGAAAGAGGACCAGACTCTGTACGAGGAGGCACGGTGTCAAAGTATGTGATGGCACCAGATAACACTGAGGGTTTACCACATGCGCATCCGCTCGACAGTGAGCACAGGCGAGATCAAGGACGGGAATCGAATTGGCGCCAAACTGCCTGGCCGGATCAACGAAGACTGCCGGAAACGGTGGATCAACAAGGTGTGTGGATTGCTGAAGAAAGGCGCCTGGGAGCCCGACGAGGACCAACGTCTCCACGATGCGATTTGCATTCATGGCCAGAAGTATATGGCTGAGCGTGTTACTAAGTAAACTGTTCTGCTGCAACTTAAATCCCGTGTGCTTACCCGATTGAGGTGCCGCCAACCTCATATGGCCGAACACATACCTCCCGATGAATCAGGACCTGAGAGTCGTTGGTGTCGCTGGGCACTCGAAATACTAGCTCTGGGAGCGAGGTCCTAGCATGAGCTGGGCATATTATGCGCTTGAGAATTCGTGCTTTACATTCCAGCGAGTTGTAAAAGGAGTCATCCTGATGGGAGAATTCAGGTTGGTAAGAAAAGACCCAACAGTACATTAAACAGAACTCAATCCCGCTTGAATTGATAGGGGAAGAGACCACCTGTGAAAATGTCTTTGGCCTGCAGCGCCTTAGAAGTGTCTGTATACAATCTGGCAAGCATATCTCTGTCAACCCAGTGAGGGCGAGGGAAAAATAAGCTTCAGGGCATGGGCCATTTCACATATCCGGGTTCTTGCTCCAGACGACCTTCCTGCACTAGGTTGTCAAATGTCCAGTCGGAAGGGCAGCCAAGGAGACTGATGTTCTGCAAGCACGGCTATGGGTTAGTATGCCTGAAGCATGAAAGTACCACACACCGCTAGAGGGCAAAAATTGATTGGGGAACAAAACCTACCTCCAAATTCAAATCCGCATGCCCATGAGATACAATAGCTCGTCTCCAAGCATTCACTGTGTCTGCCATCAGAGAAAATTTACCACTGCTGACCCACGTAGCTGTGGAGCGACTCCGATCGTATCGGAACCAATGGCCTGTGTCGTGAGCAGGGTCCGGATGACTCTCAGTAACCGCTTCGAAATGTAGATGTGCCATCCCAGGGGGATATAGCTGGGGGATAGCCTCCAGGATCATAGTGTTAAGAACCGGCATATGCTGAGCCGCTTCACTGGCTGCTCTATGAATGTCGTCTAGGATATCCGCCGGCTTGCTCCGAAATGCGTCGGGGTACCGGTCTTGAGGAGCCGGAGTTCGGGGGTCCCCCCTTCCTTCGTAGTCCTCTTCCTGGGGGATACTATATGGTTGACAGCGGGGGTCCTTCTCGAAAAGCCACTGACCTGATGGCGTAACAGCTTGGTAGACGAGTTTGAATGAGGAAAGCCGAGGCCATCTGGGCTGTGCTGAGTGAGAGTGCAGCGGCCAGAACAATTCGGGTCGATCATGATCTTTTCAATCTCGACAGTCACCAGCTGTTGCGTCAGCTGGTTGAGAGCAAGGCTGAGCGGGTCAGCCCAAGGCTCAGATCGTCGCAAAGGGTGGAAATCTCCATCTGCTGGAGGAAGCCCCGGATATTCAAGACAGAGGTGTTCAATGGTGCTAGGCCAATTCGACAAGGTGAGAGCGAATTCTATCAACGTTAATATTTGACTGCAGCCTAACTAAATCATAGAGGCAAGAATGAGGTACCATTCCGGAGTCGATCCCGCAGCTGTTGGTCTTTTCGCTCATCGTCCGAGAGGCTGGCATGGACTATCTGCGTTCCTGGAAGCCGTGACAACAATTTGGATACTGCCGCTGGGGCGATCTTGCGATGGCCACGACACGTGACTCTGAATTGCACCACAAAGCTGAGCTCGGGCAGGGTAGTCGGGTTTGTTGTCAATTCCAGGTAGGATTGATAGAATCGCCAGTCCAACCAGTCTTCCTCGGGGAAATTGCGGCCCCATTGCCGGCGATACATGCGTTTCCTTTCATCGGGTTCCGCACCACAATCGCTAGGAGATCTGGCACGTATTTTCAACGAAATTCCTGCAACGTCCTCTGTGGACCATGTACTCAGAATGCCCCAGAAAGAGATGATGGTCTCAGTGAAGGCCTCATTGTTTTTCTGGCGATCAGTTTCGGTTTCCAACCGTGTCCGCGCAGCGACCTCGTAGGCAGGAAGCAGGATGTACAGATCTCAGTGACGAATAAAGCAGCGTCGGGGGGACCTTGGGGAGATAATCCGCTTAAATTCGGTCAATCGGTCAGGAGTCACAAGAAGATGGGAGAAGGTCCGCTTCTCGATCAGCGCCTGCCACCTCCTACAGATGCTGGCGAAAGAAGCCAAAGAGGCTGGACTTAGATGTGCCAGAATCAAAGAGAGGATTTCAGTGGGTAAAGCACTGATTCCAGTCATACCGCTGTGTAGAACTTCCTGGCAATTTCGGAAGCATGAGGTGAAGCGAGGATGGGAAACACATAGATGGAGGTTAAAGTGTGGTCCGCGCCGCGCCGCACCGCGCGGGAACATGAGCCAATTCGGTTAGAAATCTCGCTACTTGTAAAGATCGATACTCGCTCCCTCGACCGAAGGGCTATGTATGATAGACTGGATTCACTTATTGAATGGATACCGTGGCGTGGTTTCATATCTAGCTAATTGACCTCCTCGCAACAGGCGTAGGCCCGCGCAGTTCCTAATAGTACCTTGGGGCCCCAGGTCTCGACCGGAAACTACTCAACCTACCTTAGGAGCATAGTGGGCAGTCACTTGACATAAAGCCTGCACTTGTTCACCGCTGCCTGATCACTTTCCCACTCTCACACCAAAAGCCATCCTCAATCCCATCCATATCACCGGTAGATGATTAAGTCGAATATCCCACACTGGCTGTGTCTTTGTGTCGCCGCACTAGGCGTTCATAGTATCGCCAAACCCGTACAACAAAAGCCTCTCGTCGGCGTGGACGTTATGGTCAAAGAGAACAAGGTCCCCGGGCACAACGATGCTATATACGATATCGTGCCAAAAGGAACACCAGCTATTGAACGTTGAGTTCCTTGAGGTTGCCCCAACGCCTATTCTCGCGTAAGATTCTCTGCTTGATATGCCCCTTGATCATGACGTCCTGACATCCTGAAGTGACCGCGTCTTTTTCGTCTACCTGCGCAGCGATCTACCTGAATCCAAAAAGAAGAAACTAGGACTCTTTGATGAAAGCCTCATCAATGCGACACTCTCTGTGAGCGGCTCTGTTGTCTACCCGGATGGTAGCTACATGGAACCAAGGTCCTTTACAATGCCGTTAAAAACTATTTCCATCAACGATGCAGCCCATTTCGTCATCCGCGATTCTAATGGTACTCAAATTGATTACCTACCTAGTAGCGACCGCAGTGATATGTTATTAGATTTCCAGATTCCTGCAATGTTTTTGAAGAGCGGTATGTGGACTTTTGAAGTCGACGCCAGGCTCGGAGATAAAGACAATTCTTGTCTATTTGCCATGTCGTTGACACAATGGTTAGATTGGGGGCTTTGAGAAGTAGGGTATTTGGAATGATCTGCAGGCTCAATGTTATCGTGTAATTTTACATGGGCATTTTACCGTTAAGTCTTTTAGTGCTCCGCTCTGCGTCGGTAGTTTTTGAGCTGTCTATATGGTACCATTAATCCTAAGCTGAGCAGGGTTCCTACTTTGGGTTCAACCAAGAACCCAAACGCGCTCCCAACGAATACTGAGACTTCGAACTCGGTCACAATTCCCTAGTGCAGGGGGAAGGAGGCTTAATATATCCATCTAGCAAATTTTCTCATCCCATAACCCTATAGTACGCAGCATTTTAGTTACCTCGATAGGTAGGAGGAGTTCGCGCGTCCAAGCTCATCCTGCGTAGGTAGAAGCAAGATATGTATTTACTATAACCAACCAGCACGTTGGGCTGTAATACTCCCCGGACTCGCTTCACTTTAACGTCTGGCGTGGGGAACCGAGCGTTTTATGCTCCCCGAAGTCAGCTGGCAGTGCTACAGTAGCATTCTCGGCATCAGGCTGTCAGAATTCTCTTTGCTCTTACAGTGCGCCGTGCCAAGAGGCCGTGTGGTGGCTGGGCAGCCTGGCTGCATTTGTATTCTATGTACTAGTATATCAATGATCAAAGCCACCACGAGGCTATGCGGATACGAGTCGAGGTGATATGGCAGTATAATATCCCATCACCTACCCGTCAAGAGCCAGTTCGAGTTCACAAGGAGATGTATACATAAGGGCCTGTCCATTCTCTCCCACGTCCCCATCTATGTATTCAGTCTTGCAGTATCGATGATATCTACCTATACCTATACCTATACCTATACCTATACCTATACCTATACCTATACCTATACCTATACCTCAACACTCCTGTCCTGCTCCAAACAACCAACTCAAGCAAAAGCCTCCCTCACTCCGCATCTCCAATCTCATCGAAGTGACCACTCTAGCCAATACATCTCTACCTCTACAACCCCAAACCCACCCAGCCCAAACCAACATGTGCATCCGCGTCCTAGGCACATGGCACTACCTCTGCGGTCACACGCAGCACTACCACGCCTACAAAGCGCGCACGAACTGCTGGTTCGGCTGCGGCACGATCCTGGGTGAGGTTGTCGGTCCAGACAGGCAGGATCTGTCCCGGCCGTGCGCTGCGTGTGTTAGTTCCGGGGTTTATTATAAGAGGGGGACGCGGTGGTATCGGCGGGATTGACCTTCTTTCCTTAGGTTGGGAGGAAATGGGGTCTTTTTTAGGGGGGAAGTGATATCTTGGCCTGGGAGCTGGTCGGCGGGGTTGATGCGGCCTGCGTCGGTGACTGTGCTTTGTGCTTCATTTAGCTGTTGGTTGGGTGGTAGATGGTGCAGTGGAGTTGGGGAGGTGTTGGGTTTGGGGTTGAGTCTTGATGGCTGGGTTCTTTTGGATACCTTCTTATACTTACATACTTATATGCTGTGGGTCGGGAGGCGGGAGGGGATGGTATGTTTTGAGACTTTTTGCTGGTTGTTGTATTGGGCTTTGGCGTTTGTAAACGAGAAGGGGAAGAGTGCTTTGCTGTCTGTAGGATTGTAGCATGGATTAATCGATGGATAGGGAGTCACGGATGAGATTGTTGTCTTCGGTGGATGATGGTAGGATGCGGAGTATACCTAAGATCTAAAACTCTGGTTGGTGCCAGTCGATGTATAGTACAGTACGTCCTTGTCGTATCTGTATATCCACCTTGGACCTAGGATTAGACTACAGCGCACAGTCGCTTCGAGTCAATGCCACAAAAAAGTCAGATTAATAATTCCTGATATCATCCATCCCAAAGTCGTCAAAGATTCTATCTATTTTATCCAGCCCAGGAGAAAACCCCGAAACCCCGTTACCCCGGACCCGACTCCGCTAAAAGAGCAAACCAAACAGTAAGAAGCACGCTACAATTGCACAACATTGTTCATGATCTGGACCTCCTGGCCAGGCTTGAAGGCCGGGAGACCAATGAAGGGACATCCATCACACCGGAAGGCATCGCCCAGAGCGCAGTTTCCGCACGAGCCTGGCTTGCCCTGCACGGTGAAGTCCAGCTCGTTCAGATCGTCCGTCTCGAGCTTCATCACGTTCAGCGCCTCGTCGGCTTTCTCCCGCTGGGCTTGCTCCTCCGCTTCCAGTCGCGCAGCGAGACCGCACGTGCAGTCCTTGCAGGCCCGTCTTCTGCGGCCTTTCTTGGGTTGACATTCGGGGGCTGTAGAGATGAAAGGTTGCTTGTTAGTGACTAACGTTGATGAGATGTGGGAAGGTAGGTTCACTCACGAGGAATGGGTCTCTTCAGATCATCCTCCGACAACAGTTCGTCCTCGTCAATCAATTCGTCGTCATCGCCGTAGTCGGCGTCATCGTTGATGATGCCCATGGCCGGGGCCGGGGCAGCCTGCGCAGGAGGAGCGGTCGGAGTAGTTGTAGCAGCAGCAACGGGCGTCTTCTTGGCCGCGTCCTTCTTTCCGCCCCGACGCAGGGGAATAGCGAACACCTTGCCCTGGTCGGCCTTCTCGAATCCACCGTCCGTCTTGACCAAGCCCGCCAAAACCGCCTCCCGCTCCTCGGCCTCTCCGAAAACATTATCTTGCGTCTGGAACTTAGCGCCCGCCTTCATGGACGGCACCAACGCGCCGTAGACGCTCCGATTCAACAGTTGGAGCGCCTCGGAGCGTCGCGTGCCATCGGTGTCGGTGAGGACGAGGACGAGGTCGTATGTGCTGGCGGGGAGGGAAACGAAACCACCGGCGACGCGGTCGAGCATCTGAAGGTCGGTGGTGGCGCGGTCGTAGGTGGTGAAGAGGTCGCGCAGCTTCTCTTCTTGGGTGGCGATGGAGGGGGGCGCCAGGAGGAGGATGCGCTTCGAGGAGGGGTTCACCGACTTGACCGGAGGTGGGGGAGCCAGGTCGAAGTCGGGAGTGGTGTCGATGGTCACGAACGAGGGAGCCATGGCGATTGGTCTTCCTGTGTGTTCGTCTAAAGGAGAAGTGTCTGCGAATGGATTTCAACTGTGTTTGTGGATATCAGATAGTAAAGGTGGGATTGTGACTGCAGATTAAATGGAAATCTCTCTGCGTAGTTGGTTCGGCGATTCGTTTTTTTGGCTGACTCAAAAAATGTCATCTGACGGTAACGTGATTGGCTGGCGGAGGTGGTGGGAGAGATTGTCGGCGCGGGTTATCAGATTACTCATCTGCGATGACAAATCGATAGAATTCCGAGGAGATCATGGCTTGATGATACAGACAAGTGTCAATCGGAGAGGCATGATAGGGTACTAGGTATTGTGTATCTTCAGTCAGAAAAATGCAGATTGCAATCTTGAGTTGCTTGGTGGTTTGCTGCTGCTGGCGTTCTGTGTAGCTGGAGCTGCAGTCCTGCTAATCGCCCTCCGAGGGCTTCTGCCCCGCAGTTCTATCAACACCTCTCGTTCTATCTACCTATCTCTCTACTGAGTATCATCATGCCTTAAGAGTCCTCTTGGGACTATTGTTCTTTCATCGCTATTGCTGGAAAGAACACGCTAACAGTATTCAATCTTCATCGACGAAACAACCGCCATCGTTAAGGCCTTTGGACCACCTTATCGGCCATCAGACCCCAGTCACTTCCTCACGGTTCCCCGCTCGTTCTAATGATGTCACTGATAAAACCATCATCTTTGGTCTCAATGAGAGGTCGGCAACGATGCTGACAGGGGATACAGATGGCCTCTGTTGCACAATCTTATAATCTTCTGACTCTACTCTTGCTCCAGGAGGCTGCTTTCTTGATGCGCCTGCGCCAACATACGTGGTTCTGGACGCATTCCAGAGGGAGGCGCTCTCCGCAGTTCCCACCCCGGAAGCGGCTACCAAAACCGACGCCAAGCATGAATTACCGGTTTTAAACACCCAGACAACAATCAATCAATCGATGGATGTCTCACTTTGGTGCTCGGGGGTATAGCATGATGAACGGCTTGTTCTATGACTTCCTCAAAGCTTCTCTCGACGTTGACACTGGGGATAAATGTGTTCTAGGCTTATAGTGTAACGTGCCGCTTAGCCTCTATAGAGGGATAGTCAAAGGAAGGATCGGCGAGATAGTATTGTAAAGAAGTCATCAAACCAGGATAAATGGGTTACTAGGTAGAATTGTGATACCCCGGATTCTGGAGGAGCTCAGCTGACCGCAGTTCAATCACTTGGTGCCTGCCCGTTCCTGGCAGCTCCCCTTCTCTCCTCTCTCTCTCTCTCCACCACATCATCTCCTCCCCCTCATCCTCTTCATCCCCCGTCTCTGTCCTTCATCTTCAAACTCTCCACTTGAAACCAATCATCAACTAACTTAATTGTCCCTGTAGATTGGGACAATTCATCATCCTTGAGCGCTCCCATCCCACTTCCCCTCCCACTCCAACTAGACCCGCGGTGATGGGTGGAGCCATGCCCCGACAAGCCCCCAGCGGCTTTCCCCGGACCCCCGAAGGCCCCGTCGGCCAGCGTATCCAATCCATCTACACCGACCGTCTCAAGCAATTTACGTCCTCTGGTCAATACGAGGGACAGAACCTCCTCTCGTGAGTAAAACGCCCCTGTCTCACAGCAATACGTCCATCACAATGATTATTGTAGCTAATACTAGTCCAGCAAGTTCTACGAGGCTGTCAATTCCGACGAAGACCATGTCAAGCTTTCCGTATACTCCGTCCCCGACCTCCAGCGTCCACCTTTCAAAGAAGCCACATCCCATGAGTTTAAGCCAACCCACATCGGGGCATCGTTCGGTCCAAGCTGGTCCACCCATTGGTTCCACATCCGCTTGACAGTCCCCAAGGACATGCGGGAGAAAGAACGCCTGGAGTTCCATTGGGATGCCAACAACGAGGGCTTGATCTGGTCGGAAGACGGTCGGCCTCTTCAGGGCCTCACCGGTGGGAATGAGCGTATCGAGTGGATCATCCCCGACGCCTGGCGCGACGGAGAGGAGCACGTCTTCTATATCGAGATGGCCTGCAATGGCATGTTCGGTAACGCACCTGGCGGAGACTCCATTCAGCCGCCCGCTCCGGATAAGTATTTCACCTTGAGCAAGGCGCAGATCACTGCAGTCAACCTCGAAGCTCGGGCGCTGTTTTATGATTTCTGGATTATAGGAGGTATGCTGTTAGCCCTCGTTCCTCGATTGACGCTGCCGTAAAATATGCATTTAACTGATCAATTGCCAGATGCGGCGAGAGAGTTCCCAGGAGACTCGTGGGAAAAGCACGAGGCCAACATGGTGACCAATGCTATCATTGATGCTTTCATTGCGGGCGATGGAAGCCAAGAATCTATCAAAGAGGGCCGCAAAATCGCGAGAAAGTATATCGGAGACAATGTCGACTCTTCAATGGTGTATGAGACCGACACGGATCCGATTGTCTACGCAATCGGGCATTGCCATATCGACACTTGCTGGCTCTGGCCTTGGGCGGAAACAAAGCGTAAGGTGGCCCGATCCTGGTCAAACCAGTGTGACCTGATGGACCGGTATCCGGAGCATCGCTTTGCTTGTTCTCAAGCACAGCAGTTCAAATGGCTGAAGGAATACTATCCCTCTGTCTTCGACCGCGTGAAGCAATGGGTTAAGAAGGGGCATTTCCAGCCTATTGGTGGTAGCTGGGTGGAACACGACACCAACCTGCCAAGCGGAGAGTCGTTGGTGCGACAGTTTCTTTACGGGCAACGCTTCTTTGAGAGTCACTTTGGAGAACGCTGCACAACCTTTTGGCTGCCAGATACCTTCGGTTATTCAACGCAGATCCCCCAGATCTGCCGTCTTGCGGGGATGAGCCGGTTCTTCACTCAGAAGCTCAGCTGGAATAACATCAACAATTTCCCCCACACCACCTTCCAATGGGTCGCTCTGGATGGAAGTCAAGTCATGTGCCACATGCCTCCATCGGAGACTTATACTGCAAGTGCCCATTTCGGCGATGTCAAACGCAGTGTAACCCAGCACAAGTCATTAGACAAGGACAATACATCACTCTTGGTCTTTGGAAAGGGTGACGGCGGAGGTGGCCCAACCTTCGAACATCTGGAAAAGCTGCGTCGTTGCCGCGGAATGAGTGACAAGGTTGGCTTGCTTCCTCGCGTGAAAATGGGAGAGTCCGTCGACGATTTCTTTACACGACTTGAACAGAAGGCTGAAGATGGTACCAAATTCGCAACCTGGTATGGTGAACTGTACTTTGAGCTTCATCGGGGCACGTACACCACGCAGGCCAACAACAAGCGAAACAACCGCAAGTCGGAGTTTTTGCTAAGGGAGATCGAATATCTCGCCACACTGGCAACTCTTCACGGAGACAAGGGTTATCGGTACCCCAAGAAGGAGATTGATGAGATGTGGGAGGGTGTGCTCTTGTGCCAATTTCATGACTGCCTTCCTGGAAGCTCTATCGAAATGTGCTATGATGACTCCGACAAACTCTACAAGCAAGTCTTTGAGACGGGCCAGAAGGTCAGGAAGGAAGCGCTTCGAGCTCTGGGGATTGGCAAGAAGACCAGCAAGGACTTCATTGCGCTCAACACCCTGCCTTGGCAACGCTCCGAAGTGGTCAGAATTCCTGCTGAGTCTGTAGCATCGGGTGGTCCGAAGTATGCATTGGTCAGTGGAGAAACTGGTCTCATTCGGTGTCAAGTGCCTGGGCCTTCCAAGACAGCGCCTGCTGTTACAGTCTCCGAAATCAAGCCCGGTATCTTCCGCCTGCAGAACACAAATCTCAGAGTCGATGTCCAAAACGGGGTTATTACGTCTTTGTATGACCTTGAAGCGGAGCGCGAGATCATTCCTAAGGGCGGAAAGGCCGGCCAGCTAGTTATTTTCGACGACAAGCCGCTCTACTGGCAGGCGTGGGACGTGGAAGTTTTCCACCTCGACTCCAGAAAGGAGCTGCACTCGGTGAAGACCGCCATTTCCGAGAAAGATGCTTATCGCGTCAGCGTTGTCAGCGAAACCAGGATCAGCGAGAACAGTTGGGTAAAGACTACTATCAGTCTCGCTGCTGCCAACGGGGACCAACCCTCATATGTTGAATTCGAGAGTGAGGTCGAATGGCGCGAGACAATGAAATTTCTCAAGGTCGAGTTCCCTGTAGACATCACCAATACGGAAGCGTCGTATGAGACACAATATGGGATCATCCGGCGTCCAACGCATTACAATACCAAGTAAGTCAACCATTGCGAACAGGGCCGAAGTATGCCACTGACTTGTCTTCCAGCTGGGATATGGCCAAGTTCGAAGTATGCTGCCACAAGTGGGCTGATTTGTCCGAGTACGGCTATGGAGTCTCGATTCTCAACGACTCGAAGTATGGCTTCGCCACTGCCGGCAATCTCATGCGTCTCTCGCTGCTACGCGCCCCGAAGGCGCCAGATGCCCACGCAGACATGGGCCGGCATCATATCCGCTATGCCATCCTACCACACACAGGACCACTGGATGCACGCACAATTCGAGCCGGGTATAGCTTCAACCATCCTCTTGTTCTTGAGCCTGCCAGCGGCCAGGAAGCCGGCGATGCATTCAAATCGCTCGCGCTCTCGGGCAACCCGTCGTTGGTAATTGATGTGGTCAAGCGTGGCGAAGACGATGAAGACGTGTCCCGGGACAACCTGCCTCGGCGTTCTGGTAGGAGTGTCATCCTCCGTGTCTACGAGTCGCTCGGAGGCAAGAGCCGCGGCACCATCCATACCAAGCTTCCCATCACCAAGGCGTGGAAATGCAATGTCCTTGAGGACGACGAGACTCCTCTGACGCTTACACAGCGCGCTGAGGGAGCGACGGATATTGAGATCGAGCTGAGGGCTTTTGAGGTAGCGACGTACCGTCTGCAGCTGTAGTTTTGCCGTTTGATATGTCTGGGATTAGTCTATAGTGTCAATCATAACATACCGCCACACAATGACAACATATTGATTGTTCTTGCTAGTCATGAATGAGATTTATTGACGGTAGTTGTACAAGAGGATATCACGAATAGAATACAGCCCAGCGCAGCCCAATGCTGAGCAAGAAAGAGAAAACAAAGCACAATATTCTAACTTTCGCACGCCAAAGCTCCTTAACCAACGACCTAACTCCAGCCACTCCAACCGATCCTAAAACAAACAGCTTCGACACGCGACAACTAATCCCGTGGTGCCCAACTGATCTTCAAACGTTTCGTCGGCGGACGATCACCATCCGTCCCCTCGTCATCATTATTATTCCCACCCTTACCTTTATTCGCATTGCTCCCGCCGCCGCCGCCGGACTTCTTCTTGTTCTTAGACGACTGGCCCTTGACACTATTCGCCGCCGACGAGGCATCCCCGTTGTTATTGTTCCCAGCTTTTCCTGTCGAGCCATTGTAAGTGGAGCTAGGGGTTGGGGCGTGCGAGGGCGTCGTTTGTACAGATGAGGGGGCAGGGGAGTCCTAAACCATTTTACTGGGAGTTAGCATTTGACCCTTCTTTCCTTCCTCCTTCCTCCCTCCCAGGAGTATGTAATCGCATCCCCAACCGGAAAAAGGAGGGGAAAAAACCAGAACGGAAGGGAAAAGGGGAAAACAAACCCGCATATAACTCGCCGAACTCCTGGAGAACACCCGATCCGCCTCCGTAACAGCCGCCTTCCGTCTCGCACCACCACCACCACCACCACCACCACCTCCTCCTCCTCCTCCCCCTCCAGCACCTCCTCCACCGCTACCACCCCCACCCATCCCAGAGGATAGAGACAAAGCTAACCCCCCGCCACCGGTCGTCGACCCCTTGATATACGTATCGAATCCCTTGATGATGTTCCCTGCTGTTGTTTCCTCGAGGTAGGATTGTTCGAAGCGGTAGATTTGGTCTTCCAGTTGGGCCTTTCGTTCACCCCCTAGTTAGTTCTCGGTTTTGTGGTGCGGGTGCGCTTGGGCTTGACTTTCTGGACTCGGGAGGGTAACGAACCATACTCTTATCCATCAACCGTTTCTTCTGCAGCGTGTCGCGGAGCTCACGCCGTAGTTTCTCGTAGTACGGTAGGCCTCGATTCGCTGTTGCGGTTCCGGGGGTTTCTGTTGCGGGAGTTGTGGTTCCTACTCCGCTTCCGGCGGCGGTCGGTAAGGGTAGGGTGTTGTTTTGGGTCGTTGTTTGCGCTGCTCCTCCTCCTGGTGGTCCTGCTGTTGTTGTGGTGGTGGTGGTGCTGGTGGTGCTGGTGCCGGGTTGAGGCGTGGCGGTGTTGTTGGTGTTGTTGCTTTTACTGTTCGTGTCGCCGTTTAGGTGCTGCGTTACGTCGCGGAGGTGCGTGGGTGTGTTGCTTGTTCCTGGGGCTCCTGCTCCTGCTCCTGCTCCTGCTCCTGGTGTTGGTGCTTGGGAATGCGAGGGGGTTGCATTTGCGGCTTGGGATTGGGTTGCTCCTCCTGCTGTTGCGGGGAGGGGTGCCGGGGATGTCATTCTTGCGGTTGCGGGCAATTGGTTTCTGAGGCTGAGGTTATAGGTGTGTTGGTGGTTCGGATGGGATGGGAGTGAGTCGCGAGCGCGTTGGTCTCGGTCTAATCGCGCGGTATTATGTTCTGTAGGTTGATAGGTTGAGTGCCGATGCTGCGCGAAGAAGCGTGCTCAAAGCTGAGGAGTAGCAGCTGGGTTTATTCAATTCGCGCCTGCAATTCAATCAATGAAGATGGGTGGTCGCGGCGTTGGGATCAAATGCCCCGAGCACCTGGGGCACTGCAGGCAGATCTTATCGACCGTTGAACGGCCGCTGTTTGTCTGGTTTGCATCTGGGGCGGAGAAACCGTTGGTTTGTTTGGTGCTTTTCCGATAGGCACTTACGCCATCCCTCGCTGCTGCTCCTCTCAACTCCAACTCCGTTCCTCTCCTTGGCTTGTTGGTCTGAGATCTGTGATTGTTGCATTTTGCTATAGAATACTCTTCTTGTGGAAAGATTCTGACAATAAAGAACGGTCCTTTCAACTCACGGCCTACAAGATGGATCACTCGATGCACCATATGAACATGGATATGGACCATGGCCACGACCATGGAGATATGGATATGGGGCAGTGTAGCATGAATGTACGTTTCTCATTTGCCTGCTTTCCTCTAACGCTCTGTCGTGAGACAACCAGAGCAACGGCACTATACTTCCTTTTTCTGTGCCCTGCGGCGACATGCTAACGCGCCCTAGATGCTTTTCACCTGGTCTACGAAGAACCTCTGCATTGTCTTCCCCCAATGGCGTGTCACCGGCACCCTGTCCCTTCTCGCCTCGTTGCTGCTCATCGTGCTCCTGACCGCCGGCTACGAGGGCGTCCGCCAGCTTACAAGGCGGTTCGAGGTGGCACATGCGAAGCGATTGAGCGCATACACAACCCCCGCAGTCGGAGGTAAGTTGTTTTCTTTTCGTGTGTATTGGCGGTGGAGGGAACTGGCAAAAGGGATAGCACCTCGTCTTCTATGGTCATGGGTTTCTATGCAAGCCCTTGCTGAGATGATGCGCCTGACAATCCCGTGTTTGAAGGCAGCGAAGTCCACGCCGATTCTGCGCCGGCCAATGACCCTCCAACCCAGACACTGCCTGTCCCGATCGCCGGCTCACAGCTCGTTGTAGGTAGGGATAGCAGAAAATCCGTCGAGCAGAGAGGAAAGATTACCATGGCCGCGTTGTATGCTGTGCAGGTGTTCTATAGCTTTTTCATTATGTATGTCTCCCCTGGCTATCCCCTGTCGAAACGGACTGTTCTGATCTGTCTAGGTTGCTCTTCATGACCTATAATGGTCTGGTCATGCTGGCTGTCGCTGTCGGCGCCTTTGTAGGCTACCTGGCGTTTGGAGACGATACTTCCGCTAGCAAGACGGTGGCGTGTCACTAGATGGGCGCGCGGGCTGGGTCGGTTGGAAGCGGTCTCAAGTTTCTGAAGAATAGGCGTCACTGGGCTGGAAGTTCAGACGCTGGTCGTTCAGGGTGTGGGCGTTGTCATAAATATTGCCAAAGTCGTTCTCTTAGAACGCGAGGTGGGAAGATCTGGATCACGGGACCTCGATGTCGCTATCGTCGCCTCCGAATCCGAAGCTGAACCCTCCACCTCCACTGGTCTCCTCGGGCCCGTCTTGATCTGTTTTTCCATGAACAATTTCATCCCACTTTCTCTTTTTGCCTTCCATCTTCTTCCTCAGCTCCTCCTGTGCCTGCTGGAGCAGCTCTGGGTGGTGCTCCTGCATTTTAGCCAAGAACCGTTCGTAAGGATTATGCACGTCTTTCCTAAACCCGGAAACCTGATCCGCCTTGTTGGACAAGAAATCCAGAGCAGCGCTCAGATGAGCGCGAGGAATGAAGTTCTGCGTAATGGCGATAGAGGGTTCGATATTCACGACCAAGTGCCACCATCCCGAGGGCACATGGAGGATCTCTCCCTCCTTGCAGATGCCCTCGATGCAGCCCGGGGTGCGCCGGGCTTCCGCGTGGAACCCAAACAGCCACTCCGCAATACTCAGCGGCGAGGTCACCTCACTCTGATCTTCCGACACATAGACTCCCGGCGGAGGCGGGAGCTTGGACGACGAAGGGAACATGATCCAGTACTTGGAGCCGCGAATGACCGCGTTCCACGCGCTGGTGGCATTCGGGTCCTTGTGGAAAGTACTTCCAGACCGTTCGGGTCCGACAATCAGCCACTGCCGGTCTGGCCGATCATTGCCCAGCACGGAGAAGAAGTCCTCTCCAAAGCAGGCGAGCGGCCAATAAGCGGCCTCGGGTTCCTGATCCCGCTGTCCAACCTTGAGTCCCATCTTCGACACAAACGCGCGGTCGAAGAGATACAGCGGGCTCTCGTCGGAGTTGTTCTTCATGTACTCTACATAGCTGTAGAACGGCCAGTCGACGGCCTCGGCGCGGAAGACGGTCTCGCCGTAGTCGTAGAGCAGCGAGTCCACCGTCCACTTCTTGAACGCCGGCCACTCCTTGACGGGCTCCGTAAGGATGAAAGGCGTGTCGGTCCATTTCTCGTTGAATTCTTCGTAGGAGAGATCGGGTAATCGGGAGATCTGGTTACGGGCCGGAATGCCGTTAACGTAGGGGTCGAGACTGATGTGCGCGCAGTGGAAGGGACGGTGCAGGACGTCCGAGTAGAGGTTCGAACAGTCCAGAATGCACACTTCCGCCGGTGGGATGTTCAGATAGCTGGAGCGCCATGTTCCTTTCCAGGTAAACTTGGCCGGGGGAGACCTGACAGTGGGGTGTCAGTGCAGAGCTTGAGAGATACTGGGCGGATTGCGATGCAAGACCAATCCTGGCAAAGGCTACCCAGCACGTAGATGGTGAATCTAGATCTTACGCAATAAACAGAGCCTTCCACAATTCTTCGGCCCGGGTGAAAGCATAGAATGCTTTACAGGTGCGTCCAATACGCACCAGACTTGACCCGTCAAGGTGCTCCAACAGCAGCAGGATAAACTCGTCCGGCAAAATGTTGAAGGTCCCAATTGCATCCCGGAGGTTCGCAGTCGCAAGCAGGGCGTTGCCACTAGGCTTGACTCCCAGTGGATGACCGGGAATTGCATCATGAGCTGACTCGCCCTCCGGTTCAGGATTGGAGGTGGAAGTCGGATAGGTATGTGTTACCATATCCTGACCTAGGGACAGGACACCGTCCCGAGCATTGATGTCCGGCATTTTCATGCTTGCGATTGAGAGTGGGAGGAAAAACTGAGAACTAAAAGTGACGAAGCTGAGATTCTGGAGACTTTCCCGATTAGGATGGGGGGAAGAGAAACGCTGCAGTGGCCGAGAGGCGGTACGAGTACGGTACGTTACAGGACTGAACTAGTAATTTTGAGTAACACCCACATTGACCACATTGAGGAGAGAGAGGGGAGGGGGAACAATCAGGCAAGAGAATGCCCGACCATGCACACCCTAACCGAGGGATACCCGTTCACAGACAGTGCCAGAGATATGGAAAGAGGAGATATGGTCCAATTTTGTCACAAGGGCCAGCACTATGAGCTTAAGCTGTACCCAATATCGTCTTCAGGATGAGTGAGGGGCCCCTGGTGTTACGTAGTTTCATTCGTGCTGGTCAAATAAAACTTCGATGGCAAAAATACAGGGGCGAACAAAAACGTGGGATATTTGCCACATGTAGCAGGCGGTGAACGTCAGCTGCACTAAACCAGCGCTAAAAGTCAAAAAATTTCAAACCGCGTCAGAACAAACAGCGCCAGAGCAGGGAAGAAAAAAAAAGAGAGTGAAAAAAAAAAAGTTCGCTCGTTCCGCCGCCGCTTTCTCTGCCCCATTCATTTTCCCACACCAGGCGTCGGCCATCCAACTTGAGAATCTTTCTTCCTTTTTCTTCCTCAACCCCTACGACTCTAGTAGTCTTGTGATATTCTTACAACTTTCAGAAGTTGTGTTTCCGGTACGTCTCCATCTCATCAAGGCCTTCTTTTTAACCTTGGCGTCAACCCCTCCCTCTCTGCATTCCTTGCTAATAGGCCTTTTGGCAGTTTTATTCCCAAAACCCCACCGTCTTATTCGATCACAGAGCGTCGCCTGTGGTCACCTTCCTACAACAACACCGCAATCATGGCTTCTAACGACAAGGGTTTGGAGGAGATCCCCGAGGGTACGTTCCATTCGACTATCTTCAACCTGGAATATTCTTTTTCTTCATCTTCAAGCGAAATGTGTACTTGGAGGAATGCTGGGTCCGTTTGTCAGAGGGCTTGGCTAGAACGAAAAAGAAAAACTCTTGCAACCACGAACACACAGCTTCGCAAAGGCGTTATACAGACGAGCTGACAAGATTTTTTTTTCGCAACAATAGGACAGATCGAGTCCAACTACGATGAGATCACCGACTCCTTCGACTCCATGGACCTCAAGCCCGAGCTCCTTCGCGGTATGTGATACAAATTCTGATCCGCTCCGGTGGGGTCAGTGCGGGCACCAGACTGACAGCCATCAGGTATCTACGCTTACGGTTTCGAGCGTCCCTCTGCTATCCAGCAGCGTGCCATCATCCCCATCATCAAGGGTACGTTCTCAACGACTTCCAGCACACCCGATGCATCGCAATATTAATTTCTTTTCTCAGGTAACGATGTCATCGCCCAGGCCCAGTCCGGTACTGGAAAGACTGCCACTTTCTCCATCTCCGCTCTCCAGAAGATCGACCACAACCTCAAGGCCTGCCAGGCCCTGATTGTCGCTCCCACCCGTGAGTTGGCTCAGCAGATCCAGAAGGTCGTCATCGCTATTGGTGACTTCATGAACATTGAGTGCCACGCCTGTATTGGTGGTACCAACGTCCGTGACGACATCAACGCTCTCCGCAACGGCCCCCAGGTCGTTGTCGGTACCCCCGGTCGTATCCAGGACATGATCCAGCGCCACGTCCTCAAGACCGACCAGATGAAGCTGTTCATCCTCGACGAGGCCGATGAGATGCTTTCTGTAAGTTCAGCACTCTAAACCGACTTTCAACCGTGGTGCTAACGGCATGATCAGCGTGGTTTCACCGAGCAGATCTACGACATCTTCCAGCTCCTCCCCCAGTCCACTCAGGTCACCCTGCTCTCTGCTACCATGCCCCAGGATGTCCTTGAGGTCACCACCAAGTTCATGCGTGACCCCGTCCGTATCCTGGTCAAGAAGCAGGAACTTACCCTCGAAGGTATCAAGCAGTTCTACATTGCCGTCGAGAAGGAAGAGTGGAAGCTCGACACCCTCTCCGATTTGTACGAGACTGTTACCATCACCCAGGCCGTCATCTTCTGTAACACCCGCCGCAAGGTCGACTGGCTCACCGACAAGCTCACTGCCCGTGACTTCACTGTCTCCGCCATGCACGGTGACATGGAGCAGGGCCAGCGTGATGTTATCATGAAGGAGTTCCGTTCCGGATCTTCCCGTGTCCTCATCGCCACTGACCTTCTGGCCCGTGGTATCGATGTCCAGCAGGTTTCCCTGGTCATCAACTACGATCTCCCCGCCAACCGTGAGAACTACATTCACCGTATCGGTCGTGGTGGTCGTTTCGGTCGTAAGGGTGTTGCCATCAACTTCGTCACCGCTGACGACGTCCGTATGATGCGCGAGATCGAGCAGTTCTACAGCACCCAGATCGAGGAGATGCCCATGAACGTTGCTGGTAAGTTTTGCTTCGCATACGATGTAACATGAATCCATGCTAACCGCGTCTCAGACCTCATCTAAACACCTTAATCCCCGAATCACCTCATGCCTCTCGATGCGGATTACGAATGCAGTTTGCCAATAACGCTCCAAGGGTGAGCTGCGGTGGGAAAGACGCTCTGTCATCGTCATGCTTATCTTGGTAAAGGAGAATCCTTCAAAAAGTGGCTTCCTGTGTCTCCAGCATTTTCTCTTTTTAGCAGTGGGCGGCAGGGGCCTGCAGTGGCCATGCCATCATGTCCTGCGTGTTCTTGTCGAATACTTACTGTTTATGGTTTACCCTTTTTCTTTTGTTATGGAGATGCGACAACGTTCGTGCGGTTTTATTGCTGTAATTCATGGTTCCTCGCTTCCGGAAACGCCTTTCTCACGCTTTTTTCCATTTACTTTTGTACCTAGCTCGCTCTGATTGGTTAAGGATGCTACGTTCATACTTGATCAATAGGTCGGGCACCTAAAATGTGATTGTTCTGATTCCACGGAGATGGTGACCTGTATGAACCCATGGCTCGGAATGGGTTTGTATACCTACCTGTGTTCATACGATAGACGAGAAAGGTACTGGTTGCTTTTGGTATAGTGCCTATTAGCTGAGTAGGTAGAAGTATTGTATACTTGTATCGTTGGGATGTTTTTTGGATGTGAGTGTTGATATACCACTACCAGGAAGTCAGCAGTAATGATAACACCACCTCCACATTCTGGTGTTCCTCGCTGGAGTAGCTACTGTGATTTACTCCACCTATCCCATACACTTGGTCTATAGATCTCAATCGACCACCCTACCAATCGTCATCCTCCATCCAACAGCGCTCACCTTGATTTCTATCAACAGCACAGAACAAACCAAGCACCAAACCAGTATACAACTCTTACGTTCAATACATCTGTCTCCCTCACCCACGAAAAGAAACCGAACTGACCGACCAACCCAAACCCCCAACTATACAGCAACAACAACACAACAACACAACAACAACCTTCCCCCTCCTCTCCCAACAAATCAACAACCCCAAACACGATAAACCCAAACCAATGCCCACAAAACCACAACCAATCTCAACCCCAAACCCACCCCCAAATCCAAATCCACCGAACCCAATCGACCTCCTCTGGGCCCACGAACTCCGCCGCGAAAACGTCGAGCTCGCCACCCGCCTGAAAGCCACAACCACCCGCCTCGCCGCCGCGGAGTCCGCGGTCGACACCCTATCCGCGCAGCTACGGGACCTCGATGCCCAGATTCAGCGATGCTGTGGCCGGAATGAGGAGCTTGCTTCTCGGGTTGACGGGATTGAGGGACGGGTTTTGGAGAAGATCGAGAATATTGGGCTCAGGGTTGAGGGTTTAGAATGTCGGTTTTTGGAGGGGGTCGTGGTTGGGAGTAGATTGGGGGCTGCTGGTGGTAAGGGTCCAGGGGCTGGTCTGGGTGGTGATTGTGTGGTTCAAGGTCCTGGGGATGAGGGTCCTGCGGTTGAGGAGGTCTTGGTGCCAGATTCCATGCCTGTTGCTTCTTCAGTGGGTTTGAGGGTGGATTTGGATGAGGTCATGGGTAAAGGTACGGGCGTTGGTATCAGCACCGGCATGGGCATGGGGAAGGGGGGTGGGTTGTCTTTGACCGGGTCGTCAACAACGTCTTTCACGGGGAGGACGGTTGGGAGTCAGAGTGGGAGTTCGACTAATAGAGGGGAGGGAGACGGATGGAATGCAGGGTCGGTTGAGTTTGGTGGTGAGGAAGTACCCACGGGGAATGGGACCATTGATCTCTTTGGGCTTCTGAGGCAGGGCCGCTTGATGCCGCTGGAGGAGTATCTGGGTGCGGCGGAGGGCGTGCGACGGCTGCTATTGCTTGCGGAGGATGATCGCGGGTTTATGGAGGCTTTCGTGCGCGGGTTGCGTGATGGTGGCTTGAGGGTTGCGGTCGAGAAGGAGATGGGGATGATTGGGTGGTCGTGGGAGCGCTTGCAGGAGGTTGTTCTGCGGTGGGATGCAGAGCATGCTGATGCTCCCTGTGGCGCTGGATGCAGGAGAGCGAGCCAGATCTCTGGAGACTGGGCCGATGGCCATGAATCCAAGCGCAGGAGGAAGAGGGCGAGACGCTTCATACCTATTGTTCCGGCTGATGAGGAAGATGTCCTCATTGCGAGGGCGATGATGATGGGCCGATGAGCTTGGGAACATCGAAAGAAAAAGGTTCATTCAGGGTATGTGTATATACTGAGCTCTAACTCTAACTTCTGTACAAATCGGCAGTCGTCTAGGTCTCGCTGTAGCGGTAGCGGCCCTCGCGATCCTGGACCTCAACCTCGATCCGGCCCTCCTCGAGCTCCTTGCCGTCCACCTCGATGGACGCCTTCATCACGTCCCCGGACTTGACCTCACCCACACCCTTCGGGGTACCAGTCAAGACCAGGTCGCCCTTCTCGAGAGTCATGACCCGAGAGATCTCCGCCAAGAGTCGGGGAATGCGGTAGAGCATCAGGCCGGTCGAGTCGGCCTGGCGCTGCTCAGAGCCCACACTCAGGCGAAGGAAGGCATTATGGGGATCAGGGAGTCGGGCTTTCGAGATCTCCTGGGAGATAGGCAGGAAGGTGTCGAATCCCTTGGCGATCGTCCACGGGAGACCCTTCTTCTTGGCCTCTTCTTGGACGTTGCGCGCGGTCATATCGATTCCGAGGAGGTAGCCTAGTGAACACGCAGTTTTCAGTCATATGCGCCAGCAGAATTGCGAACGGAATGTGTTGGCTCACTGTGAATTGCATCCAACGCGCCCTTTCCATCCTCTGGGTCGAGGTCGCGGACCGTCTTGCCCATCACGAGAGCGAGTTCCACTTCATAGTGTAGCTTGGTACCCTGGGGACGCAGGATAGGACCCTGGCCGGGCAGGAGAATGGAGGATGAGGGCTTGAGGAAGAAGAAGGGCTGCTTGGGTTTGGTGTTGTTCAGCTCGGTAATGTGATCGCTGGAGATAGGATTGTTCTGTCAGCCGATTGATTGATCCATTGTGAATGCCACGCGGGGGTAAGACAAGAGGACATACGCATAGTTTCTGCCAATGCAGATGACCTTCCTGCATTGAGCCTTGATCGCAGCAGCCATTGTGTCTGTGAGGAGTAAGAATCGCAAGGAGAGAGAGTTTGTTCGGGCTGAAGGAGTTGGGGATGGCTGGCGGATAATAATATAATCGGTTCAGGCGATGCGACGGCGGAATGACTCTCCGCGCTTTTCATTGCGGAGAACTCGGAATCTCCGAGGTTCGGAGGTTGGGGCCGTTGCTGCCAGCCATTCTTGGGGTACCCCATTTGTCAATTCAATTACTGAACTGCTTAATGCCAGACACTGAGCTTGAGGGAGTGAAAATATACCACTGCACGATTGTACAAGTGAAGTCAATTGAGCTGCGTCGGCAATTCTGAATGCAAACGACTTGAATGAAAATGGACTTTCTTACGTCACGCGGGCTGCAGCTTCTCTCCCAGCCGCCTTCAAGCTTCCTTGAAACTGTTTCTTGACACAGCCACAACACAACAACCTTGATCGAGATAAACTTGCTGAACCCCTAGCGATCTATGAGCCACGCTTCTATACCCCGAACTTTACCATAGACGCCTCCGTCACCATGCAAGTAGCGGAAATCCTGTCCGATCTCACCTCATTGCGCGTCTGTGTAGGTGCCTTGCCTATCGGCCACTTTTCTAGAAGCCCAGCCTGTACTCAATAAGACCTACGCTGATGACCTCTAGGACCACAATGATGCTCTGGCTCTCGTCACAGTTTATGAGAGACTAGATTCTTATCCTACGGAAACTCAACTGCAGTCCGTTGACAGCAGAGAAGGAACTCCTGCTCTGCAGAAGGAGAAGGATCAGCTCCGTCAAGCCAAGGAACTGGTTGAGCTGCATCACGAAATGAAATCACGACATGTGCTGGGCACCGTGGACGAAGAGCTGACCAAGTTAAGAGGGGACGTACAACGTGTCTTGCTGGAGCTAAGGCGCCAGTGAATGTTCCCTAAGGATTGCCGACCAAAGCTTGTATACTCTCTTCTCACACGCGTTCCTTCTTTCTGGTTTATGCGTTCATGATAGGCGTTGTTGAGATTCATTCAGCATGCAACCTGTATTCATTGTTCTATGGGTGGGTTAGTTTGATGATACCGGATAGATGTTTTCACATTCTCTCTAGTGAGAAGTATTGGTTGTATGGCATAGAGTGTGGTATTTCTTCTTTCCATGTTCTCATCTCATCACTGAACATGATTTACGATTACTGAGAAATGTCACACTTCCTCCATCGCACATAATCACTTTCTCTGTCAACTCTGCCCTACTTTCTTACCTTCTTAACCTTATCCCCGTTCTACTGCAACAACCACTATCCCTCGACACCACCTCAGAATTGGTCCCGAATATCTTCTCAACCCTCTATCCCATTTTCACTCACGCGTTCAGCTGCATGTTTGATCACCCTCAAAAGCCAAGGAAAAAGGATCCAGTCAATCACTTACAAGGCACTTCAAGCTGTGTCTTCCTTCCACTTTCAGAGTTCTTTGAGCTTTCGATACTGTCCTTTCCCACGCGGACGCTCTAAAACGTCCATATAAATGTCATCCATTCCGACTATTCAACGTGAGGCCGATCATGAGTTCGATAAGTCACAATGTGAATCTCCTCGTGAGTTAGTGCTCCACAATCCGCAGACCCCTCACATGGCGTGCAGCCTCAATATATATCCGAAGGACTGGCTTTACTGTGCGGTCTGCCTTATTGTTCAGACATTCTAACCTACAGGTTCAATGGGGACTGGGTGTCCACAACACAGTGGAAGCCAATATATACCTGCCCGTCAGTGACCTTGTGTCCCTTACGGGTCAATTGCACGCAGTGACTAGATTAGGGGTGACCGAGAATCCCAGTCTGGTATGATATTGGTTACCTGATCTTTGAGCATGGAGAACCCCTGGGTCATATGGACGTCACGCATTTCGTGTCCCATGTGGGAATTGCTATCCCTCGCATATGCGGACACTCTGCAGCGGTCCAAAACAACGTGGATATCCCTTTCACCATGACTTTTGGGAGCCCCGAAATGAAATCTGTTATGGTGGGAGCGAGATCGGGCCTTAGAGAAGCAACGATTGTGGAAAGGGGGTCTGGCTTCATCAATGGCTATTACTAGGAGGAATATGAGCCGGGGCCTGGGGGCTGGAATGGATCTTGATTTCTTGATTATTACTTAGTGATTGAGCAATGGTCTGAGGGAAAGAGAAATGTATTGGTAGCCGTTTTCATTATTCATTTACAAGATTCTGCATTGATTGACATAAGAAACATGCCAAGATTAAAGATTCTTCTCAAGCCAACCCTGCACCCGACAGGAATCTCTACAAAAAGTATTCATCATGGTTCGACCAATGCTACCAGTCATCAGCACTGTGTAGAAGTGAATTTCCATCACCAGTGGCACAATCAACCGCCTGATCTTCAGACAAGTTCCAGACATCCCGCATCAATTGGAGTAGAGTTTTATTTCCGATAGGGGAGGGAAATAGCTCTCACGAGACAGTTTATTTCCGTCAACTTGTCATAGAAATGTACGGACCGGCTGCAAGCATACACTGATTCTGGACCCTGCTTTGAGCATTGTACGGAGTTGTGGATAAGAGCGAACATTCTTGCTTCGGTTACCGAACCGGACGCGGAATTAAGCAGTGGAGATAGATAAAGCCGATAAGGTTGCCGGCCGGGATGAAGAAAGCTTATCTGTGCAACTCTTCCGGATACTACGGAGCTCTCTATAAAAACTTGTGCTTGTCGTCATTGTTCGTCTCAATCCATAACCTACACATTGATCTTCTCATCGAGCTACTAAAGACATCTCCTGACATTTTCTTTGTTCATATCTCCAATATGCCCCAACTCACCGGCAAAGAAATTGGCCCAATTGGCTTCGGCCTCATGGGACTGACTTGGCGCGACAAGCCATGCTCCCAGGAGCAAGCCTTCGAGACTATGCGCGCCGCCCTGAAGAATGGCTGTATGTGAACCCCTTCTCAATTATCTTGCGGGTATCTCTAAATCCCTGACTTGACGAGATGCTAATCCCCCAATGCAGGCAACTTCTGGAACGGTGGCGAATTCTACGGACCGCGGGAATACAACAGTCTCGTGCTCCTGGAGCGATACTTCGAGAAATACCCCGAGGATGCGGACAAGGTTGTCATCAGCATCAAGGGTGGTATGGACCCGAAGACCTTCCGCGCGGACGGCAGTCCCACTGGCATGCGCCGGACCATGGACGACTCCATGGCGCAGCTGAAGGGCCGCAAGAAGATCGAGCTGTTCGAGTCAGCGCGCCGCGACCAGACCGTGCCCATCGAGACTACCTTCAACGTCCTTAAGTCCGAGTACATCGAGACCGGCAAGCTCGGCGGCATCTCGCTGTCCGAGGTGCGCGCGGAGACCATTCACGAGGCCGTCAAGCATGCCAAGATCGAGGCTGTGGAGGTTGAGCTTTCGCTGTAGGTTACACCTGCTAACTTACCTGCCCCCTTACCTAGTCATCCTTATCCCCCGCTCCCTGTTTCTACTGCACACACTAACCGCGCATGTACGCAATCAGATTCTCCACCGAGCCCCTCGAGAACGGTGTAGCCGCGGCGTGCGCGCAGTACGGCATCCCGCTGATCGCATACTCGCCCATCGGCCGGGGCATGCTGACCGGCCAGATCAAGAAGATCGAGGACCTGCAGGATTCGATGCTGCGCAGCTACCCGCGCTTCCAGCCGGGCAACTTCGAGATTAACCTGCAGTTGGTGGAGCAGGTCGAGGAGATGGCGCGCAAGAAGGGCTGCACGCCCGCGCAGCTCGCCATCAACTGGACGAGGGCGCTGTCGAGACGCCCCGGCATGCCCACTATCATCCCTATCCCCGGTGCCACGACGGTCGAGCGGGTGGAGGAGAACAGCAAGCTGGTGGATCTCTCTGACGAGGAGATGGCGCAGCTGGATGCTACGTTGGCTAAGTTTACGCCGGCTGGCGAGCGGTACCCTGCTCATGTTCCTGTCCATACTTAGGTTTGTTTGCTTGATGTGAATGTTTGTATGGTAAGATGTACATAGAGTGGTGACTGTGACGAGGGTCTGGGCTAGGAAGCTGTCTGCAAGGTTGATGGTCTTGATGGAGTGGTTGAGATGCGTAGGGCAGTTTTGCACGTATTACCTCACTCTCTATGGAAAAGCGCATAAGTAATCAATCCCATTCCAAGTGAATAGTCGTTTAAGTCCTCAAGGAGAATAACAGTAGCACACTCGACTCCAAAGCCCCACCCACCTCAAGCATTGGAAATCACCTACGTCATGACAGTCACTTTCCCAAAACAGCAAGATTGAAGCTATACCTCACAAGCTAGACTATCGGACCGATAAGCTTCCGAATTGTACAGCCCACCACACCGACCAACCCCGCAACTCTCGTCACCGACGACCGTCCGTGTCGCGCATTGCCGGTCCAATAACTCTCTTTGGCCGTCTCTCCCAAGTTCTTTGTTTGCATCTGCGAGTCAACATCACCTTCCAGAGACCACGAACACCCTATCGCAAACATGGCGGCAAGCGTGGACGCCAAACTGCTCCGGCAGACCAAATTCCCTCCCGAATTCAGCCGGAAGGTGGACATGAAGAAAGTGAATATCGAGGTCATGAAGAAGTACGTTACGCCTGAAAGTTTGCTTTTGCTTAACTGGGGATCCCCAGGCAAGACAGACAAGACACAACTACCGAGGATTCAAGATTATGAAACTAACCACTGCTTTATTGGGGCTCGCCTGCAGATGGATCGCCGGCAAGATCTCCGAGATTTTGGGCAACGAGGATGATGTGGTGATTGAGCTTTGCTTCAACTTGTTGGAGGGTTCCAGGTTTGTATGTCGCCTCCTTTTCTGCTGAATATGCATGCGCCGCCTCGCCTGAAACAACCATGATCGCTAATACGAGTGTTTAGCCCGATGTGAAATCGCTTCAGATTCAGCTTACGGGCTTTTTGGACAAGGATACCGCCAAGTTTTGCAAGGAGCTTTGGTCGCTGTGTCTGAGCGCGCAGGATAATCCCCAGGGTGTTCCCAAGGAGCTGTTGGAGGCTAAGAAGCTGGAGCTTATACAAGAAAAGGTGATAATATCCGCGTGGGTGAGGTGTCTTGCTTGCATGCCGGCTAACATCCGTTGCGCTTTCTCGTTTCTAGATCGAAGCTGAGAAGGCCGCCGAAGAGGCTCGCAGACAGAAAGAGCAAGAGCGCACAAGGGAGAGAGAGCTGGAGGATATCAGACGGAGGGAGCGCTCGGAGCGGACACGCGGAGCTGGGGGAGGAGCAAGACGAGGTGTCGGTGGTGGTGGCCGCGGCGGTGGTCGAGACTTCGAGAGACGGCCGCGGTCACCTCCCAGGCGACGTAGCAGGGAGCGTTTCCGGGAGCCACCTGCGCGACGGGAGTTTGACTCGTACGTCCCCTCCGGTCCTCGCAGAGGTCGTCGGCCTTCCTACTCGCCCAGCCGCTCACGTTCGCGATCCGGCTCCTCGTCGCGGTCGCGGTCACCACCGCCCCGTCGCCAGCAGCGCTATTCGAGCAGGGACCGGAACAGGCGACGTCGCTCAGTTAGCAACTCGGACTCCCCGGACCGCGGGGACCGCCGCCGGCCCAGGAGACGCAGTCCGGATTACGGTGATCGCGCTCGATCCTATTCCCGCAGTCATTCATCCCGCTCACGTACTCCCAGAAGAGACCGCCGGAGACGGAGATCCGTCTCTTCCCGCAGTGCATCGCGCTCGCCTGCCGTGAGAGACAAGCGCATAAGACGGGGCTCGCCGTCGGCGTCCCGCTCCCGATCCAGGTCATCGGGGTCGGATGCCAGTGGGCCTCGACGACGGAGGAGATCGTCGCCTCATACTTCACGAGATGATAAGAGAGAATTTCCCGCTGATATTGCAAAGGCCCGCAAACCCCGTGATGACCGCCGCCTGAGTCGCAGTAGAAGTCGCGATGATGACCACCACCGCCGCAGACGTCGGCCTTCCTCTAGGGACCACAGCCGTGACCGCAGCCACAGTCGAGGCCGTTCGCGTAGCGCCAGTCAGGACTCGCGGAGCCGCAGCCGGAGTCGCAGTCGAGGCCACGCAAGGGATCGCAAGAGACGTCGTTCCATCGAAAGATATGCCCCCGCAGGCCGGAGACGGTCTTCCGCGTCCGCTCCTGGTGACAAACGACAGAGGATGGCTGATGATAATGAAGAAGCGACAAGACAACCTGAACCTCCAGCGGAGAGACCGAGTGCCGGCGACCATGAAATGAAGGAAGCCGATGAGGTGGGTGAATAAAGATTTTTCAAGGAAAACTCTCCACCACCAAAACGCTATCAACATGGCCTTATTCTGATGTCCGTTAAAATATCTCAACGCTCCCCCTGCCTTTGAACGTGGCTGTTACCTGTACAACAATCCAGCCTAACACCATGCGTTTCTAGCCTGCTCCCTCCCGATCTACCCATGCCCGCATATCCAGCTCGGAACTACGCGAAAAGATCCTTCGCGAACAGCTCGTCGCGAAGCGTCGTACCGCCTCGATCGACAAAGGTAGGTAGTTATAGCCATTCGAAACCATATGAATAGAGAGCACCACAGAAGAATATCCGCGGAGGCATAGCACACAGTACAAGTGCAAGCACGCATGAATTGAATGGAAACTACAAGATTTCGGTAGTCACATGTGAAAATGTTTCTTCCATAACCGTTTGCATTCTCTTCTCCTTTTCAGCAATACCTCCGAGTAACTTTTGCTTTCCTTTCGTTGCCTTTCTCCTGGTCGGCCAAATGGCCAAATAGTTAGCCATAGTCTTGTTTCCAAGCAGAGCAGGCAGAGTTCAAAACAAGTCTAAGTCTAGGAGAATTCCAGAACCACGTTTCAAAATCAATAGCCTCTGGACTCAAACCCCCGACTCCCCACTGCTAATCATGATAGAGTTTTGGTGCCTGGATGCGCCCTTTTTGCGATCGACCTAGAAACTGTCCCTAAACCACGAGGCCAAAGGGAAATCAATAATCTAGTCTAGGTCTCAAGTCTCGGATGATCATTCCTTCTAGACTTGAATGGTAGAACTACACGGGTGTCCGTGCCCGGTAGTAGATCCATCAGTATACTCGTACCTACAGTGAATCTGTGAAAGGCAAGAAAAAGGGGACGGTTTGGACTGCGGATGGAGGCTCCCCTTTTCTTTCCGGCCAGCAACTGACCGTTTATCCTCATATCCAAGCAGCACGGACGTGATGTTGTCGTCTAGTAGTACTTAGTTCACTTAGTGAATTTCAACGATAGACTAGATTGGACTGGACTCTGTGCTGTACATTGTCAATAGTATATACCCACCCAACAGCAAGCAAGTACTCGCGTAAGCAAACACCAGGCAGTTTTTTTTTTTTTTTTTTTTTTTTTTTTCCCTGGGTTTGCTAGTTCCAACAGGTATCTCTAGGATCAAGTATCGGGAGGTACGTGCAGTAGTATCATAATCCCTGCTCAATATCCACACCCCAATCCATAATCCACCTGCCCATGCACAGCTAGCTAAGTAGCAAAAGTACCTGTCTAGCAGCAAGCAAGCAAGCAAGCCACCACTAACTAACCCACCTAATGTAGCCCCCAAGCAGGCACTGTATGCAGTGGTTACGCACATCTCAGACAAGGTAGGTTACACCTAGTATGTAGTCACTTCCCTGTAAGACCCACAAAGTAAAGCACTTTTCAACCCCACAGCTATCGAAATGAATTGATTTGCAAGGTAATAACCTTAACTACTACCATTGAGTTATTAAAAAAAAATATCCTATTCTCCACCTCTCCCGGTCATACGACAACTAGCCAAAGTCCCCCCCAACGAAACTAGTCCAGGATCCTGCATGCATTGCATCCTACCACCGCATCAAACGTGATGTACTGTACCTACATTAGCTAGCTAGCTTGAAGGTCTCAGTTTGTTTGCTTGCTTCCCTGTGGAATTTGGACGCTAGCAGAGATTTTTACAGGCACTATGTTTGCTTTTTCTTTTTCTTTCTGGCTACCTACCTACCTAAGTAGAGGCCCTCTTTTCTTCCATGCTGGTTTAATGCAGCTCGTGTTGATTACTCGATTGGGTTGGAAACAGTAATTCGTATCTTAGTGATGAAATAATCCTTGGTCACAGTAGGTACAGTAAATGCTGGATTTGGACTCCGTAGTTGGAGGTGGATGGGAATGGATTATCCCCGCTACCATGAGAGGGCCCACCCACCCTTTCACTCACTCACAGCAATTACAGTACATCCGTCCTCTTCCGCTGGATTACTCCTTTCCTGTTCCTAGACGATAAGCAGGGGAAGAGAAGTGGCGATCGCACGGGCTAGGGCGTAGGATTATCCTCGGGGTCTGCTCATAGGAAGAAGGAAAGATGGAATCGCATTGAACGGGAGAATGATATGATTGGGATCGGCTCGCTTGTGCATTCGGTTACATCAACCAACCATGCCAGGTCAGGTCTGTCTGTCTGTCCGGGTGGATTTCACCGCGGTGGTGGGTGGTGTGGCTGTGAAGAATGAACAAATAAATGAATAGAACAAGGAGAGAGGAAAGGAGACTGCACGGGTGGCTCGGTAGTCACGGGGCCTGGCTGATGCTGATCAGCACGGGATGGATGTCGATCAGGCAACGTCAACGCTGGGGTCGGCAATGGAAAGGAGGGAAGAGATCACGAAGGAGAGGCTGAAGGGTGGACTCGTAAGTACGACGAGCACGACCTAAGTTCGCGTGTGAAGAGCCAAGGATGGGGCCTTGTTGGAACAACAGTCACCAACTAGTCACGGAGTAAGCAGGGCTATGTGTTGGTATCGCTAAGTGTTTGGAATTACTGACCGACATATTCGACAACGATTATAGGTAGAGAGAAATCAAATGAACCCGAGTCTTCTTTCTATTGTCCAATACCTTCACTTACTATACAGTTGCCATATGGTACATCTTTTTGTAGAAGCTTAGGAAACGAAAGTACTCCGTTGAAGGGGATGTGCAGTGATAAACATATCAACAATTGAGCAAGCAGATGGACATCATTCCTTGACCCCTCGCACCCTTTGTACAAAGATGTGAAGCAAACATTTAAGACAATCTTCAGAAGAATTAGAATTAGAAAAAGATTAGGTATATACAGGAGCTTTCTTCGCCATGCATGCCGTTGCTATCGTCTCAGATCGGGGTGTGTTGTCATTGCTTGCCTAGTAGTCGCAAGCAGAAACGCTCACAGTAGTAGTGATGGTGACAGTGACCACATCGGAGCCGGAACCGGAACCGGAGCCAGCGACAGGAGCGGTGGTGATTTGGGGGGAGGAGCCTCCCTCAGCGGCGGTGCCGCTAGGGGCAGGAGAGCCCTCAGTCTGAGTAGCGACAGGGACGACAGTCTCAGTGACGAGAGTGTCGCAGGGAGTGGTGGTGGAGTCAGCGCTGGCACCCTCAGGGACAGTACTGGAAGTAGGAACAGCAGGGACGCTGGCAACACCAGAGGGGGCTTCACCACCAGCGGCACCACCGGAAGGAGCAGCACCAGAGCCACCCTGGGCAGGAGCGCTGGGGGCAGAGCCGCCCTCAGTCTTGGTGGCAACAGGAACGACAGTCTCGCCAATGGAGGTTTCGCAAGGAGTGGAAGAGGCGTCGGCGCCAGCGCCACCAGGGGCACCACCAGAAGGAGCAGCACCGCCAGCGGGAGCGGTGCCAGTGGGCACAGCACCAGTCTGAGCAGGGGCAGTGGGGACAGAGCCACCCTCGGTGTTGGTAGCCACAGGGACAACAGTCTCGCTGACAAGGGTATCGCAATCAGCGTCAGCACCGCTAGGAGAAGCACCGTTGGGGCTGCCGGAGCCGGAGCCGCTGGAAGAGCCGCTGGAGCCACCGTTGGGGGAAGAGC